CATAAATGGATCATATAATAGGCTTACTTTTGACCTGTGACAACTCTTGTCAGCTGAAGAAGAATGAAGCCTGTGGAGCTGCGTCTTGAGTTAAGAGTTTACGTCAGACTTTGGTTATGTTTGAACAGCAAAAATATCAACTCTCCACAGTAATTTTCAGATTTGGATTTAAACCAAATCATGAAATACGGTCACTCTCAGATTCATTTGAGTTGCCCTCAGTCTCCTGGTAAGCCGTTAGTCGTAAAGTGGGTGTAGGCTAGTCAGGTCCACTCCACTTTTCAGTTCTGGTTCAAATTATTCTCAGGTTTAGAATAAAATCCAGTCAGTTACATGCGTAGTTTGTCAATAATTATGGTGCATATTAGTCTCGATGACTCTTTTCACTCAGTTGATATGCAGTATGTCGGGAGCGCTCATTCCTCTACAAGTCTGTGGAGTTGCTGGAAAGATGAAGGGCAGATTCAAGTCCTCCAGAGGGCAGCAGAGTCATGAAGAGGAGAAAAGGTGCTGAGAAAGTCACTTTGACTATTATAAAGTTGTGTTTTTGTAAATGGCCCAGTATATAAAAATAATTCAATAGATGGTGTTATTTCACTGGAATAATTTCGAGATTGTTCATGATGCCATGCCGATTGAATATTATGATACAGTATGGTACAACCACAGACTGTTTATAGAATGTAGTATATACAGTCTATGGTTACTACAGGATAGTTTGGTTGAATTGAACACTTTAACACTTTATAAAATATATATTTTTTTCATGTCAAACAGGTGTAAACCTGGAAATCTTTACGTTGATATAGGGAATATGTTTCCTCCCGGTGGTCAGACGAGTCTTGGAGAATTTTTCAGACATGTTCAGTGCTGTGAGACTTGATATGAGGCCAGGATTTAAAAATCAGAGGTCATGAGGAGTTGGTTTGGCTTGGTTAGTGAAGTACCACATGTGCAGAGGCTGCGGTCCACATCACACTGGCTGCTGCATCCATTCCTGGTGCCAACAGGATTTGGTGAATGTCATCCCCTTCTCTCTTCCCATATCTGCCTCTCTCTCAAGCTTTTTATTCAATAGAGACTATAGGCAAAGAAAATTTGAGAATCTCTTACAGTGGTCAACATACTGTAGTTCTTTTAGTTTTTGACCAGAGTCCAGATCCTGAACACAAAGATGAATGATAAGCGGTCTTTGATGGGTCATCAGAAGAGAGATTAAGAAGTCATGAGAAGACTTACTGTAAATGTCATTAACATCAGCCCATTAGCACATGATGAGGTCCGTAATTGTTTGGACAAAGAAAATCTATTTGTGAGACGCTGAACTCTCCTCTCTACTCTTTCTCTTTTTATCTGGATTGTCCCTCTTTTTTGATGGCTGTATGTGCCAGAAAATTCCAGAAAATACAGGGCTGTCTTGTCAGATATATGACATAAGGGACTGCTATTGTTCGTGGCTCCTCTTCCATTCAAACAGCTGCTCAAGCTGCAACTCAGTGACCTCATTTCCTGACAGCCTTGGGCCTCCTCTTCACAGTGAAGAGGACTGAGCTGCATTGTAAGCTGTGTTTTTTTTATTTTAGTACACATTAAGTGCAACTTTTGACTGAGGATATTCTTTGAGAGCATGAGGACACAATGTCTATCATGCTTTTAGGATTAACACTGAAGGATGAACCGTAGGAAATAAAGAAGGTCAAAATATGTTAAATGATGACACAAATAAATAATCAGAGAGCTGGTTTAATGTGTGAGGGTATTGTATATGTGTGTGAGGGGTGATGGCTTTTATCGCTCATGGTGCTGTACAATAATGCACATAACATGCCCTGCAGTGGTGAATCCTTTATCCCGACTGTCCTTCTTTCAACTCTTGGCAATTAAATTTCAGGCCTTGAACTTATTTTTAAAGATTGGCCCAGCTTGAATGAAACTCAACAGAAAAAAACCCATGTTCAAACACATACAGTAAAACAAACAATAAGGATATTTCACCAACCAATTCACACTTTCAAACACTAATTCAGACCAAGGGAGAGCAACGAAACCTTGGTTTGCTGTTACAATGTAGAGCTAATGCCAGCAAGAAACTACCACTTCAGCTACTCTGATCACTTATATGTTCATTGGCTGTCTAAAAAAACACACGAGCTATTGCTTAAAGGAGGCATGATGAAAACAGCTCTTTACTTATATTTTAGTATTTCGTTTGGAATCTTCATCGTAAATTATACTACCATACAAAGCATGCATATCAATAAGATTATCTCTATTTTTTAAGTTTTTATTGATATGATGTAAATTCATTTGAGTCAACATTCACTCAAGAAAAAAAGTCAACGTTAGCCTCTCTCTGACATGTGTGGAAACTTAGCTGAACTGTTTCCAAAGGTAACAAGTTTAAGATCCACAGTTGTGTGGAGCTGGCAGGATTTTTCCAGGGTTTTTACCACTCTGCTTCAGAAATGAGTGTACACCGGCTTGACAGGTGGCCAGCATCAAACTTGTACCATAATTTTTAATTCTTCTGCCAAAGAACAGAACCAAACAATGTCAGTAACAACCATGTTAAGTGTTCAAAACATGCCTTTAACTGATTATGTTCACACTGCAGCCTTTACTTCTAGTATCACACACAGGCAAAGAATACCCTTTACCTACCTCCTTTTCGAATTACACTAAAAATTATACTGATGCCTCTTTATGATATACAAAAGCAAACAAGACCATCAGTGACAAGACCGAAGAGGTTTATTTTGTCATTTTCAACACCTCATACCGACATGAGGGGGCAGGTGTCCACTGAGAGATGGCCCTAATTATACAATTTCAACATAAAGTATACAAAGAAGTGAAACACCTGACTGTAGGATGATGGAGAGGTCAGCAGGATGAGATAGATGTCAGGTCAAAATATATTACATAAGCATGAAGAGTGCAAGGTCCACATGGGGGCACCATAATTGGCACAAAGTGCAAGTTCCTTACAGGAGCTTTAAGTACAGTTACCAATTTATCTCATTACCATTTTGAGTCAAACAGTGCAAGCAGAGGGGCCCATAATCCCTTGCTTATGGTTATTTCAGCAAAAGAATTATGATATTTCTCTAAAAGAGCTAGTGAGTAGGGTAAATTATTGAAATAGCCATCAAGCTAATTGTTTTCATCCTTCAGTAGTTAAGGATAATGTTAGAAAGTTGTTGAAGCAAACAGACAGACAGTTAGGCAGTAGCTTATCAAATATGATGTCTTTACTCGAAACATGGCAAACTGTCCCTTCTGTTTTATGAAATATACTGATTTTTAGAGCTCCTGTGAGGAACTTTTGGTTTGTGTCAGTTTTGGTGCCCCTTGTGGAGAAAGCAGTCTTTGCTTATCCTGTCTGCTGTTTGCTAAAAAATTAATGTAGGACAACCAATTTCATCCTACTGGTAACGAACCATTAAATGTATCATGACTGAGTCCACTTCTGCAAGGTTTGAAACTACCCCCTCAGATGGGTTTCAGACAACAAAAATATGGATTAAAAAAATCAGTTTCATTAATTATAGATTTGTTTGCTTTTGTTTATCATGAAAAAGCATCATCACTAATTTCAGACAATTACATAAATGTCAAAAAAAAAACTCTTCATAGGAGCTTTAAGAAGCTAGTTAATGATGGAGTAATTGAATGAAATTATTTATTGGATTTCTTGCTTTGTTCTTCTAACCTGGAGAGACAGATGTGCAGCATTTTAACAGTTTTCAGCTTCAATCCTGAGCTCATCAGCATGAGTAAGCAACCTGCATGCTGGGCTATGTTAACTAATACTGGCTTCAGGATTTGTGTTAATCAAAAAGACATGGGAGTAGTGGGGTTTTTCTTGTTTTTCTTGAAATATCAAAATGCCTTCCTGGCCTCATCAGTTTGTCACTCATATGTTACTTCAAACCTTTTTACAAGAGCTTAATTCCTCCCATGGTTTGTAGTGCTAAATATCCTTTTTTGCTGCTATGAATATTTGTGATTGCAGTGATCGATAAATCATGTCAGAGTGTCTTGGAAATTGGAAAACAGAGCTTCTCAGGGACAGGAAGCCAGAGACACACAAAGCCAAATACACACATGTGGCGGCGGCACAAAGTCAAAGCCTCATATTGATTTGTGTTTATGACAAATTGCCAAACAGCAGGAGTGGAGCTTATTATAATGGACGAACTAATTCAGTTTTCGGAGATAATAAATCACAGTATACACACAGAGAGTAAAAGATAATGCTAAAGTTTTCAGTTCAGATCACATCCAACTGACAGGCCAATGTTGGAGTGATCAATGTGCTGCAAGTCTGGACCACAACCAGCACAATAAATCATGTCATATTTTCTCAAATCAAATTAAGGTACGTATATGCCCAGCTTGTGCCTGTTTGAAGGCATGCTTCTCTTTTTCATTTGTAATTTCGTGTCATGGAGAGGGTCCATTATTCCTCATGGTAATTCCATCAAAGTAAGGTCGCCCACCAGCCGGGCAAACCACATCATGTGTTTGGTTAAAAGGTCAAAACAACAGAGTTTTAAAGGTTAAAGTCCTGCAGCAAAGAAGGAATAACAGCCCGGTTCTTTCCTTGTGCCCGCTTTTCATTTCATACCACAGCCACTCAGATTCCCAAACATAATTGCCTACAGCTCTGTAACACGGGGGAATATAATGAGTCAGAGATGGAGAGCCCAGAGCTTTCCATGGTCCTGAAACAAACATCTCTCTACATCTTCCCCTGTCTCGGTCTGTTGTTTATTCAAAATTAGCAACCCTAGTTTAAGGGATGAAACACGACCACTAATAGCCTCCATAACCCCTCCCTGCTGTGTATGCCAGTCTCTTTTACTGTCTCTCTAACACACACGTGCACACATATACACAAACACACACACGCACACACACACACACACACACACGCGCAATCACTTGTACTGGCTCTTGTCAGAGGAGGAGCGACATCCACACAGGGTTACTCTGCTCCTCTCTCTGCTCCAGTGTGTCGACAGAGGTGAGACTAACATGGATGAAACATGTCTTTCCCAGCAGACAAGATAAGAAAACATGTCTCTGTGATTTTTAACAAACTTCAGCAGGTAAGGACACTAATTTACAAACTTATAGGACAGCTGCTTGTAAGAGTTTTCTTTTCTTTTTTAAATTCTAACCTTATCTGTAGAGTCTAGTATATTTTTGTACCTGTAAAAATGAGATTTTTTCTTCTTTATTTGTGAGTGAAATTGTTAATCATGTAAAAGCTATTTTTTAAAATTCTTTTGACTTGAACAATGATACATTAAACAAGATAAAGATATAAAATACAATATGTAGGATAAAAATATTGATAAAAATGTCATTTTCATGAATTGAGACACACCAGGAAATTCCTGAAATATGATGCGACACCTTCTTCAATATATTGACTGAAATTCCATCTTTGGCATGCATTTTTAGCCTTCTCAGGAAGTTTCTATTACAGTATGTAGATCTGGGTTTTATTGTTCCCCTAAGGCTGTTTTAGAATTGTTAATCTTCGTTTCCACCCTGAGCTGAGAGGTTTTAATCAGACACCAGACTCGGACTCTGGTTGTGGATTCCCCAGTCTCCCTGCTCCAGAGGAATCCCCTTGGTTACTCAGGGTTTGTGTTCGAGATGGAAATTAGATTTCAAACAGAAGGCTCCTCCCTTGTAAACTGAAGGCCTTCGAGCTGAAATCAGGTTACAATTTTTAATCTTTGCTCATTAACCCTCCTACTCTAGTGTCCTTGCATGGACCACCTCTGACTATAGATGCTTTTTCTTGAAGAAATGACCTTTTTCTCTCTTTTGTGTTTCATCTCTTTCACACCTCTTAACTTCAGCCATATTTCGAGGAGCCTCTCTCCACATTGTCCATGTTTCTCACTTCTACGCTTGTTATTTTCTAGCTCTTTTGCAGAGCTGTGTCGGGCTTTTGGTGGTTTTCTCTTCTCTTTGTTACATTGCTGAGTGGGGCCAAGGCTCAGGTTGATGTGAAATTTCCCACTCCACAAATTCAGGACACACTTCTCTTACAGTGTGCCTCAAAATACTGCATTGAAAAACAATTTAAAAACAGCAAAATACAACAAATAAAAGACCTCAATCTGAGCATCTACCTGGTCTATTCTGTCGTTTTTATGTCATTTGCATACTTATTGTACAATTGCATATTTTGTTGTTGGAGTCCAATCAAGACCCTTTCTGTACAAACAGTGTAAACATTTGAAAAAAAAAAGCTGGTCAGGAGCGCTTGCATCTTTAAATCATTAACACGTTTAAGAGCCAGAGGTCCATTTACAGTGACTAAAATCTGCAGCACTCTGATCCCTGCTGTTGTTAAATCCTCCTTTTGATCAAAGTGTGTCCTCTTTGCCTCTTGTCTCTGCAAACAAGCCCCCTTCCACCCGAGACATTACACCAGCTTGTAAACTGCAACTGACCGCTCTGGCCCACAACATCAAAATCAGACTTTATAGAGCTCAGCTCTGTGAGTACTTCAGTACCTTATCCTGGGAGCATATTACCGGTACAGCTGTTGCAGGCAGCATCTGCTCGATCTAATTACTCTGTTTCTCTGCCTGTCAAAGAAATACTGTTAGCTTCTCTGACTCTCTCCAGTAGCCCTGAATAACAATTATGGAGGTCCAGTAATATCAGTCTTATTAGCGTGAATGTAGGGAAGAAGTGAGGGCGGGCTCATGAGCAGGAAGTGATCTCCTGCTGCTGTAATGAATGAGTCCACATTGCATGGGAGTATCCTCACACAAGCTCATTAGGCAATCTGTTCACATACTGCGATTGTGCCCGGCAAACTAATTAGGCATCATACTCATTTATGTGGAGTTCTGAAACATGGATAAAGTTTGACATGATTCACAATAAGGGAAAAACATGGGACAATATGAGAAGGCAATAAAAAAGACACACAGTGCACCATGAAGAGGGGGTATCATGCTTTTTCATAGATTAAAAACAAATGTAGATTAGAATTGTTGGATGTCAGTTCTTTACATGGACAAAGTTTAATGTGTAAAGTTAATATGTCTTCAAGTAATCCCCACATGGGACTACAGGGTGCTATGAATGGCTTGTTCAAAAAGTCACACGAGAATTCAACATGGTCATGATGAAATTTGCTCAAATCGTTACATCACCACACAGCGAACATCCTTAAAAGAGCAAATTTGTCATTTTACAAAAAGAAACAAAACTTTGTTGGATGGCAACAGTGAAGGAGGCTATCAGAATGCTGGTCTTTGAAACGCTGGGAGGAACTAAAAGGGACAGAGGCTGAAATGAGGGGTTTTCAAAGAGTAACCTGAAATACTGTATGTTCAGAATTTGTTGAACTGTAAATAATGTAAAGCTGCTAAGAGGCGATCAGAGGGACAATACAAACCAAATGAAAATGAGCATAATACCCCCTCTTTAATGGGTCCCAAAACATGTAGTCTCTGTTTTTTTTAATTCTCATTTTCACCACAAGAGGCTGAAAGTTATACCTTCCCCGTGTTACAGATGAATCCAGTGTGGTGCCATCTTATAAGTGGCCATGACACAGCTGAAATGACAAGACTCATCAGTTTAGACATAAGATACATGAAGTAAGCTACAGAGTACTTTGTAGACCTGCATATTTTCTGTTTTTCTAAAGAATGGGTATGTTACCAATCATCACAATTTAATGCTAAAATTAAGAACATTTGCCATCATTATTGATCCAAGCTCTAAATAGGAAATGGTAAAATTACCTTTGACTGAAAAATGTTGAAAGATCCCTGGCTGCCGAGGTATACCTGCTCATATGGAACTACAATCATATGTTGTCATATGAGTCTCTGCACCATCTGTATAATTTCTGATGCGACATTTTGTTATTTTCTGTAATGTGAGCTAGTTGGATCATGTCAAACATAAGAAGCTCATGAATGGAGCCTTGGGGAACTCCAAATGTCATTTTTAAACACTAAGATGTGTAATTACTGTCAACTCAAAGTAGTCTCTGTCCTCCAAAGAGGATTTTAAATCAGTTTAGCATTGTGCCAGAAAGTCCCATCCCATTCTCCATTCTGTCCAGTAATATGCTGTGGTTTACTGAATGCAGCACTGAGATCTAATAATGTCAAGACTCGAACTTTTCCTCTGGCTGTGTTTGTGTGGACATCAGTCGAGACTTCCCCAGAGCAGTCTTTGTGTTGCATTCAAATTCTGGATAGAAAAGCGAAACGGGAGTCGAGGAACAACAGGATTTTTGTTGTTGAAAGGCTGCTGAAAAACTTTCTCAGTTAGTGTCTGCTAAAAAGTTACACAGGTCCCTTATTTGTGAATTGTCCATCACTTGATAAGTTTCAGTGTTTTAGAGGCTGAAAGTGAGAACTGAATATTTGTTTTTAAAAATGTACAGCATTTTTTGCTGTAAAAACCCTGAAGTAACTCCCGAACCTCCTGCCTTATAAGCATAAGAAAACCCCAATTCCCATCAAAATGTTTTGGATTTAAATAGTTTTTGACTGGTGGTATAATTCATACAAATGGGAATATTTTGTGATATCTCCTGGATTAAAATGCTCCCTTGCTCACCCCTTGTTGATGCGGTGCTCATAAATTGTGGCCACCAAGTGGACACCTGTCTGTTCACTGGTCCATCAGACAGCACTGGCTACCTATCTGCTTGCCACTAAAATGCCTCAAAACCTCTGTTTTGCCTACATGCCTACAATCTGTTATCAAGCTAATATTTGAATTCAAAAATGGAAAAAAAATCAATGTTTCTTTTCGACTTTTTGGAAGTATGTCAACCCTGATGACTAGGCTGCAAATGAGAACAGAGAAACTGAGAAAATGGTGAAACATTTGGCACCACTGTACACAGTCTGACAACCAGTTTGACTTACAGAGACTTGTGGATCACCTTGAGGTTCCTCATTTTCAGTAATAATATCTTAAATCCGCTGACTCCTCTGTCGAACATTGGAATGTTCATCCACCATATTGTCATGGGCCGAGTTATATATTGATTTTTTGACTTCTTTTTTTTCTATTTATGTGATAAAAATAGAGAGGAGTTGATCTGTGGTGTGTGAGGAATATTGGTGAATATTTTTAGATTTCAAATTCTTAACTTTGGGAAGATACTAAAATAAATCATTATAGATATTCTGACCATAATATCTATAAAGACGGGTCAAGCTTAATTCTAAAAGTGCACCTTGTAGAGACCTTTAATGGGAGGTCAGAAATCTTGTAAAAGATTGGCTCTACAGCAAAGTATGAACAAAATGTAGTCAGAGCTGAAACCCTGGGATCTCAGGCTGTCAAGATGAGGACTGAGAGTTATAGCGTAACTAAACTGTCCCACACTAGCAGAGTGAGACAGACGCCAGCTTTGTCTAATCTGTGACAGAAAATGCCCAGAATGGGTCCTTGATGAGTGAGTGATAGAGTTAGAGATGCTTTAACGAAGTTTGAACATGCTGTAAGAGCAGGAAGGAAACATCTTTCAGGTACAGTTTGATGTTATCGTGTGTCTTAATGGAGTCACTTACAGGATTTCAGCAGTATGCAACAAGCCTCGTGGCCTCAACTAAGTGTCTTTACATTGATTTTCTGATTACAATACATCACTTAATCACATTTTTATGTTTTGTATACTGTAGCTCTATTCCTGATGTTACATGTATTAAACATAATTTTAGCTGTGATACTTTGTCTCAGACCTTCTGTGGTTTTGGCTGTCTCTTCCAATAACACAGGGGCATTTTGAAAATAAATCCCTTATCAATAAACAAACAGGGTCTTTGTTAGTATTTTAAGTGCTGTTTATTGGTTCTTCAGTCAAAAGCATTGTGATTACCTGGATGAATTTAAGAAAAGCACTGCAGGGCCTCTGCACAAAGCCTCCTTTTATCTTGTGTACTGAAGTTATCTTGTGTGCACGAGATAATAGGACAAACATTTTTATCTTTGCAAGATGTCAGGAGGTTTTTGGTTCCAGCTAACATGCCAATTTTCTGTCTTATTTTATTCAGTAAGCCTGAATTAGTCTGCAGAAAAATCTCTTTTGACGTGTCTTGGCATTACTGCAGAGTCATAGTGTTTGTTCATGCTTTTCAAATATCTACTTAAAAAAACAGGCACCACACAGAAAAACACATTTAAGTTGATGTGTACAATGCACAAAAGTTCAGCAGGACTTTTAATTTAACTGAAAATTGGATTTTCAAATCGAGCAGTATCATTTGATGGAGATGAAATGTTGTGGGTTTATTATGGATAACGGAATAGAATTGACTCTTGTGTGCAGATTTGTGACTATAAAGGCCAAATGTGGAACTTAAATTCACTCTCAAGGGATGAAGGTGGCCAAGTTCAACCTTTCAGGTCAGTTTAAAAAGACTTTAGACTAATGTGAAATAGGTGGAAATAACATTTATTCACATACAAATGTAACCTACTGAAAACCAGTCCCAAAGGGGTGGATGGAAAATGGTTTTCAAATCATGCTGACTGATCTGTTTTTTTTTTATTCAACATTTGGGCCTTTCAACAGCAATAACAATAACCATAACAGATGATATTCACTCACCTAAAATTCAGATTTCAAGCCTCCATTTCACCTTGTGTTACTGTTTTGTTCCTGATATGAGCCTGTGGGAAAACACTGTGTCCTTTTTAAACACAGCTGCTGCATCCTTTATTTACTCATCTGTTCATCATTTCACCTGGGCCAAGCTATCAGCTCACGAACACTCCAATACCTGCCAAATGTTTTTTTATATATATTTCTGCATAGGGTGATAAATGCACACACAAAGAGAAAAGACCTGGCTTGAAATGAAGGCAAAATTGTTGCACGGAGTCTAATTAATTCAAATGTCTGTGTTTACCAGGTACAGTGTGAATATGTTTGCTGTCTGAAGAATTTGTGAGAAGGATTTGCAAAACCAGACAGTATGGAGACTCTGAATTTATCCTACTTTACCAACACCAGCACCAGCAGTAGTGATAACACCAGCCTCTTCTCTGAAAGCCCGTACTCAACGGTGGAGATCGTTCTGATCATCCTGGTGGCAGGATCTCTGAGTCTGATCACCGTCATTGGAAACATCCTCGTCATGCTCTCCATAAAGGTCTGGATCTTTTTCTTCTTCTTGCATGTGTAACCCGGTGCAAGAGTTGATCTAATCAAAATGAGAAAACACATATCTCATCACGCAAAAAAAGGTTAGCATCTGACAACTTGCTCCATGTTGTTTTTCTAAAGGTAAACAGGAACCTGCAGACGGTCAATAACTACTTCCTGTTCAGCCTGGCATGTGCAGACCTCATTATTGGCATCTGCTCCATGAACCTCTACACCGTCTACATCGTGATTGGCCACTGGCCCCTGGGTGCAGTAGTGTGTGACTTGTGGTTGGCTGTTGACTATGTCGTCAGTAACGCCTCTGTCATGAACCTCCTCATCATAAGCTTTGACCGTTACTTCTGTGTCACCAAACCTCTTAGCTACCCAGCACGCCGCAGCACCAAAATGGCGGGACTGATGATTGCAGCTGCCTGGGTTTTGTCCTTTGTCCTGTGGGCTCCAGCCATTTTGTTCTGGCAGTTCATCGTGGGTGTTAGAACTGTGCCGCCAAATGAGTGTTACATCCAGTTCTTCTCCAACCCAGCGGTGACATTTGGAACAGCCATAGCAGCTTTTTACCTACCTGTAGCCATCATGATCTACCTTTACTGGCGCATCTCCAAGGCCAGCCGCAGCCGCATGAGGAAGAGCAGCAGGAAGACTTCAGGTACCAGTCTGGGGGAATGCCCTGAACCCAGCCATGAGGACAGGATAGAGAGCCAAAACAACTGTGTCCCAACAAGAGAGGCTCAGCAGGAGGCGGAGGAAGAGAAGGAGGAGGAAATGTTGCAGCAGCAGAATGGCAGCAGGCCCTGCATGGAAGACAGACCTGACCAAGTGGACTCCACTACAGACAGCACCAATGAGTCAATATCAAAGGACACTGTTGAACCTGCAGCGACAACCGGAGAGAAAAACCCAACTCAAACACAGCCACCCTACCCTGACACCTCAGCCGCTGATAGACAAACAGCGGTTGCAAGGACACTGTTAAAGGTAATTTCACTGATACCATCATTTGTGTGAGTAGTCTGTTGTAATTGGCTGTTGGCTGTCAAGAATTCCTGACAAGCTAAAGCAAGACAAGTTTATTTTTGTTGCACATTTTGGCAACACACCCAGGATTTGAACGGGGCCATGGTCCTCTGGTGGCATTGGGATGTATAACTGTGTGTCATCTGCATAGTTGTGGTAACTTGCTTTGTTATTCTATTTAAACTAAGCCAGTGGAAACATATGTTAAATAGAAGAAACCCCAGCATGGAGCCTTGGAGAACTCCATTTGTAGTTGTTGTCTGCTCAGATACGAAGTTGTAGCAAGTGGACACCCGGCACAAAGCACCGCCATTAAAATGACTTAAAAGCCATCTCTGGCAATATCTGCAACATGCAATCACGCAACTGCTTCAGTTAAAAAAAATTAGAAAATTAACATTTCTCTTAACCCTTTTGGGAGTATTAAAACCCCGATGGCTAGGCTGCAAACGAGAAAAGAGAAACAGAGAATAGGGAGAAACATTGGCAACATTATGCACAGTCTGCCATGCCTTATTACCTGAACACTGCAGGGGTAGCACACAAGCTGTAGGAGGCAAGGAAGTTCACTTCCCCTGAAAACTGAGGCGAGTCATTATCTCACATCCCATTTACTGGGAGATTGATGCTGATTTATTATGGCTACATAGAGCACTAGCTCCAAAAAATGATATTTTGTCCCAATTATTTGCGGGGCTGCACCACAGCACTCTCAGAGCTCAGAAACCAGAGATACTGAGGGTTACCTTCTGCATTGGCAATGTCATGGTCTGAGTTTTTGCACTGGGTGTATGATAGGATCCTCATTGTGGGTAAAACAAGTTACCAAAAATGAAAACAACTAACATTTCCTTTATTTATCAGGTAACGAAGCAGAATGCAGTGGCCAAGTGGAAAAAGAAGGGCATTTCTTCCAGGGAGAAGAAGGTGACACGCACCATCATGGCCATCTTGGTAGCTTTCGTTGTCACATGGACGCCATACAATGTGATGGTCCTGATCAACACTTTCTGTACAGTCTGTATTCCCATGTCTCTCTGGACCATTGGCTACTGGCTCTGCTACATCAACAGCACAATCAACCCAGCCTGCTACGCTCTCTGCAACGTCACCTTCAAGAACACCTTCAAGCACTTGCTGCTGTGCCAGTACAAGAACATACGTACAGCACGATGAGGGTGAAAAATTCTGACTCACGTTTGTGATGGAGTGAAATAATGTGATCAATCCTGCAAAGTGACATATTGGAGTGAACATGTTGTTGTAGTATAGACTAGGGGTGCTCCTATTGTGCATTTCTTTTGAGAAGGTACAGATTACTCCTGTTTTCATTGAAGTGAAACCATGTTTACATTTATAATAACATAGTTTACTGATTTTAGAAATATATAGCATTGTATTGTAATTCTGAAGCGAGTGCATTTACTGGGATTAACTCTGATGGACCTTCTCCTGTTCACTCCTTATAAATGAACTTCCGCAATACATTGATATGCCACCTATTTTTACCCCAACAGTGTAATGGTGATCAGTGTGATGGTTTGTGACTAAAACGGGGGTTTTAAATCTACTTCATGGCTCATATAAAAGGAAAATAATATTGTGAAAGATGTATCATTAACTCATAAACAAGTGTTATGACCAACACTGAACTAAAATATGATCAAAATTTGTATCATTTACTGTTAACAGATGTTTGTGTGTGTGTGTGTGTGTGTGTTCCTGCGGTGTGCGAGTGTGTGTGGGAGAGAGGGAGTTGTGCATGGTTTGATTAATCCCCTCATATGAAGATCTGTAATCCATGTTTGTTGTGAAATGAGCCCAGATGTGATAGTTGTCCAGATTTTTCCCTCTTCGTTCATGCATTTAAAAATGTTTTCTGTAAATAAAGGCAATAATGAAACAGTGCTTGGTTTGGTTCAGTCGGTTTTGTTTGTTTTTTTTAAACCACAGAATGACAAAGGTAGATTTTATCACAACACCAATATTAGCTGCTCCTGCTCCTCCTGCTTCCTACCAATTTAAAACCAGACTCTGATACATTGATAAAAAATGAGCAGCACAGAAAGACTTGAGGGCCATGACAGATATCACACCCCTCTGGACTGAACGTCATGCACCCTGACTATTGACTGTCTGACACACAAACAGAGCAGAAGGCTGAAATACACACCCTATCCTCACACTGAGGAAAGAAAGGACAAATTGTCTCTGAGTCTAAACTGTGGGAAATCTCCACATGCTCTGCAACTGCTACGCCCTCTAGTGGAAGAAAGCTATCCTATTGATGCTCCTGCACCCACTAGAGAAGAACTTAGTCCAGCCAAGTTCTTGTTTTTACATCAACCTGCAAATGAAGACAAATTTTATCACGTAAATGCCAAATCTATTAAAGATTGTCATGGCAAAGTCTCTCACTGATCTTCACTCCAACTTGTTCCACAAAACATAAACTTAAAATCAATGTAAGCATCAGAAAAGTGACATGCTCATCACAGACTCCTGTATATACAGCATTTAAACTGTAGGGACCTGTTGAGGAACTCTTTGCTCTTTGACTGGAGGATTTGGGGTCTAAATTTAGCACAAGGGGTAGTACTTTTTAATGGCTTGGGTACTTTCAAAGGGCCTGGCAATCTCATTTACGTCACAATACCAGGTCGTTACTTTACATATAAAATACTGGTATCACAGACAGAAAGAGATACCGGATTAAGTACTTCATACGCTAATATTATCTGATCAGTAAAGCTGTGTATTTACATGAATTTTGACCTCGTCTATGTACGTTTTGTCCATCTCAGGAAATGCCTTTGGGTGTTTAGCTTTTAGTCTGATCATGAAACAATCTGCTTTGTAATATAAGCTGGTATGCAATTTACACACAGACGGTCAAAGTCAAAGAGAGAAGTAGATAGAGGCAGCAACATGAGCTATTATTTCAGAAACCTGATGTTATGTGACGATAAAAATAGTTTACCCTCTGCCAACATGATTTATGACAGCTTTCGGTAAAAAAAGAGTCAGCAAAGACTCGAATGAGGAGCTGCGCAACTAACTTAATGTCCAAATCCCATCACTGGATGTGGTAACACAGACAACAATGGGTCACAGGAACCATTTAGTTCTTGAAAGAGAAGTCCCTGGAGCAAAAAGTTCTGGGTGCTTTTGGTTGAAAAGCACATTATGATGCTCAGCAAGGAAAGAACAGAGGGTGAAAACCTCTACAGCTGCTTCTCTTTAGAAACAGACACAGATAACTAGTCATCTCGGTCTCATCCACAGAGAGGACATATGAGGACGACTGACTTCTTTCATGAACTTTATCATCTTTGGGTCAGCTTAGGACAGCTCATAAATTCTGATTAATTTCTTTTTTTTCTACTACCCAAGACTGTTACCAAAGATTAAGTCTGTTTTATCTTAGGCTGTTTTTTTCCACTTGTTAGGTCTCTAATGGAAATCACTGGTTGAAATAATTTTCACTCTTCAGGCTCTGGGTAGCTCTTCTGTCTTCCTCCAGCCTTTCAGTGGACCTATAAGTGGAGTTGTTTGGTCACCACAGTCCATCTGCTAATGCTGGTGAGGGTGTAGTGTAAACATATAACCATGCCTTTTTGTTTATTGTGTAACCTTCCTGTCTTTGTGCTCAGTGTGAATGTAACCAGTGTTATAAAAGACAAGACAAGCCAGGACAAGGCGCAGCTCTAGAAGATCACATGCCCGAAGTCCTAACTTTAAGGGATTTTTCTTTTACACGAATAGGAGGCCTTAAAGGACCAAAGATGACTTGATAAGTTGTTGAACACTTTGCTACATTCTTGTATTTTCAGGTCACATTTCTCTAAGTGCTCCTGTTAGTATTTACACTGCAAACACTGCATTCATGACTGATTATCTACTTTATACTGAGTCAAAGTAACACATGAACTGCTTCTGTTTAGAGTAAACAGGCCCTTAGGAGGAAGTGAAAACATTGGACATACACGCACCTTCACCTGGCCTACTGTCACATGCCCTGTGTATTTCGTTGTTGAGTCATGGCTGAGGATAAGGAGCAAACAGGAGCCTCCTGTGCGAATCTGCCACTGCCTGATGAGTTTCATGAATCACACTTAGAGGACAGATCAGAGCTGAACGGAGAGGATGAGGAGGGACCCTCTGCGACCAGAGATCAGTCTGTTAAGTGCGGCCCTGACCTGCTGCAGATGCTGAAAGCAGCAGAGAGCAGGCGGGCAGCTCAGGGTCGGGATAGAGACGGGAGCTTGGTGTCAGAGTCTGGGACAGGAGTGCTGGTAACTGAAGCTCTGAGGACGGATATGGTAAGTGAGGACTCTGCAGTCAAGACTTCCTGACTTTGACTCGTGCTTTTGTAAGTGAAAAGAAGCGTGAATCTGCATACACTCAGGCTGTTGATGATTAGAGCTGCTGTGTGGCTCTATGACTGTTTGACCAGCTCATATGCATACAGATAGCTCTCTTATCATCTCTTCAAAACATCATATGCTCCTGTGTGTGTTTGTGTGTGTGAGAGTGCATAAAAGAAAACTACAAATGTAAGAAAAAATCTGGGGGTGTAGTCTGCTTCTCATCTTAGAGGCAAGCAGCAGGGGGGTACATTGGCCCATGCTGGCTTTACACACCCAAACTGTTTGCAGGTCAAGAAGTAAGTCACACTGGATTATTTAGAGAAACTTGGTGTAGCTGCAGTAATATGTAGTTGAGAACGTGTCATCTAAAAGTTATAAAGCGAGTCATTTAAAACTGTGTTTAGTTAAAGAAGTTTTGTTCAATTTCTTAAACATGTTTTTTTTTTATATATATAACATCATGGACAACATACAGAAACTGAAACCTTAGAGCATTAATGCATTATTCCTCTGGGGCACTATAGTAACAGACTGAATGAGCAGCAGAGGAAAATGGATTATATATTCATATCAACACAAAATACTCTGTCTACAGCCTAAAGCATTCACTCCTGTTTTCTTCACTCTTTGTTTTTAGGTTTCTTGACTTCAGAAAATGTGCCATTTAAAACACACTGTCATACTGAAGCCTCTCCATGCTTATTTACCCAGACTGTAGGCCTATTTATTCAGCATCTTCACTGGTTCCTCCCACACTGCACACTGTTACAATATCATTATCAATCCATCCCAAAAACTTTAAAATGGCAAAGTAAACTTGTTTTTTTTTTCATCATGGGCAGATTTCTTTTGGATAGCTCTGATTTATGCTGAAACAACAATCAATAATGAAGGAATGTCAGGCATTACAATTACTAATAAAAAAAACCCAACCCATTTAAAACCCTGTTTTTGTCATTTATAGTACTCCCTGTGAACAAGGGGATCTTTGCTGATTTTTTCTTGTACTGTATACAGGGGGACGGTCAGTCAGTTAGTTAAAGGTGTAACTCAAGAGTGTGTAAAGTCTAAGTCAACTTGTGGATAAGGATGTAAAAAGATGAAGAGTTATACAGGTGTGTTAAAAGGGTAAATTAATGAGGGGGTACTATGCTAATTATTTGGCTTTATATTGTGCCCCTGATATTTCCTTAGTAGCTTTATAGTTCAACAAATTCTGAATTCTGAGTCTTTCATGCACTGTCTTTGAAAACCCTCTTTTCAGCCTCTGTTTGAGACGTTTCATTTAAGACACTGTCCTCTTTTTAAACACCCCCTCTCCCCAGCACTACAGAACCCAGCATTCAGGAAGCCTCCTTCACTGTTGCCATCTAACAAAGTTCTGTTTATTTTTATAGAATGACAAATCTTCCCTTTTAAGTGATATCACAGTGATATCACATTGTCTGGTGATATCACAGTTTGAGCAAATCTCATCTTGATCTCACTGAATTCTCATGAGGTTTTTTCAACAAGCACATATGCCACCTCTTTAGGGGTTAGTTGAGGGTGACATGACGGCTTAGTAAAAGATGATATAGATGCAGATTTGATCTCTTTGGTTCCTATCAGACATATATAGGTCTCTTTAAACACGGTGAGTAATTGATCTCTTTCTCATGCTGTGCACCTCTCTGCTAATTACCTTGTGTTTCCTCTTAGAGCAGTTCACTCCTGGACATGCTCACATTCATCACGTGTACCTTTCCTGACAATCCTCTCTCTGCTCTTCATCCATAACTTGTTCGTTCTCTTACATTTTCCCAGCCTTCATTTTCTTTATTCTCACAAAGACTCTCTTTATTCCCCTCATACTTTCCACCTGTTACCTGGGGCTGCTGGGTGAGGGTGTGGCGTAAAGTGTGAGTGAGAGCTTTCTAATCACTTTGACCTCAGCAGCAGCAGCAGCAGCAGCTCTGCAGAGTCACTTTGTCTCTGTGATTACGTTCTGTCAGCATGAAGAAAGTGTACAGTCTGGTGAACTTTACCAAAGCCAAGGACCAGGAGACTGTGCAGTCCATCTGCATCAAGGTATCAAAGCTTTTTTAACACGGTGTTAGTCTCTTTGCAGGGAGATTTTTGACTTTTCTGTAGGGTAGTAAGAGGAGATGCTAGAGTTTGCACTGAAAATGCTCCTGTGCTCCTTTTTTTAACCACCATAGCTTCATATTTAACAAGTTTTTATCGATTATAAGACATGAAAACACACATAATAAATTCAGACTTTGTCAGGAGACAAATCTATCCTAAGTAACATTTTCTGTATCAGAATAAAGTCTTTAGCCTCTTAAATCTCTTTATCGGCTGTCATTGTGCTCTGAGTGTAAGTGGCTCTTTCCTGATCCAGTTTCATTCTAAGAGATAATGAGTTAATTTTCACACAGCTGAGAGTCGCAGCATAATGCCTGTTTCTGTTAAAGATTAAGCAGTTACTTTCAGCTGAAGGCTTGTGTTGTGTTTAAGTGTTCATTTCTCAGAAAGAAAAAACCTGTTCAGTGTAAGTCCACATCTTATTAAAAAGAGGCCGTAGAAGTTGTTTGAACTGAAGTCAGTGACTGTTTTTGATAGATTTGTTTTAAATGCAGATTCAATCATCTGGAAGATTGAAAAAAGCTGATTTGCAACCTTATCAGTAAAGGTGCATGTTTAAATCAGAGGAATTCACAAATCATAATTCATTATGATTCATTTAAATGCTCTTTTCTGTAAACTGTTATTCAGTTTGTGTAAAGTGTCTTTGCTCTGACAGAATTTTAACTACTGCTTTAAGATTATTCAGGCCACAATCACTATTTCTGTCCACTTTTTGCCTCTAAAATGTATTATTTCTCCAGATTTTTCAACAAAACATTGTCACTGTAAAATTTTTGGCCAGTTGAAAGATAGTTGACATCAACCTGTGTGTATTCTGACCTGATTTCAGATGTGGTGTAGACGATTTTCAACCAATTCAACACTGAAATGTTGCTTAATGCTCACTAAGAATCATGCTTTTTTTGAACAGCAAAACTGATCACTCACTGTGAATTTTTGTAGAAAAATTTAAATTTAAAGCCTTTTCTGCAGTTTTCAGTTTATTACTTCATGTGACACCTTCACAGAGGCAGTAGTAAAAGACATTAAAAAACAGTATGTAATAATTTACCGCCTTATTTATATTCCTCTCTTTTTTGACTTTTGTCCGTCATTTAAAGCATCAATTTGCATGTTTTTACTCCAGCTCCACACAGGAGCCTTAAATTTACAGTTTTATTTCATAACTGAGCATCCACAGTCATGACTCTGAAGGGGCATTGTGCTTATTTCATTGTCAAATATTAAGTTGTGTGATAAACTATGATTCCTTTTTAATTTGACCATAAGATCAACATCATTTTAACATATGCTATAGAGTTTATCTATGAATTGTAATGTTACTGTAAAATTCATATGATACTAAAGCAACGCAGAGTCCTACAACAACCTTCAGTAATTAGCAGATAATTTAACTCTGTCGTCTGTTATTAACTTCAACAATCCTGTTAAATATTACAAATGTGCCAACTTTAAATATACGCCATACCTTTCCCATGATGCAATTCAGTTACACTTTCAACGGGTAAAAGAAAAACCCTAATGACATCATCAGGGTTACTTATTCCTTAACTAAAGTAAACATCACACAATTGTATTCACTGATCCTTCTGCAAAAAACTTACGGGTTGACCCTCTTATGTAACATATATTGATTCATTTGAATCTAGGTCTTTCCATCCAACTTTGACAAGCACTAATCTTTAGGTGAGTGTGTTCACTGTTCGGGGGTATGTCTATTTGTGTCCTTCTACATGGGTGACAAAGTATGAGCAAAGCTGCAAAACAGCCCGTTACAAAGGCAGGAGATCTTAGTAGGAGGGGAAAAATCCTCAGTTAAGCCTTCAGTTGTTGGGTTTTTGTAAAGCTGAACTTAGAGATCAGGCAGCAGAGTTAAGCGAGCAGACATGTACAAGTGGGATCCCTGCAGAGGCAGCAGTCCAGATTTCAAACAGCCACACTGGAAGGTAAGACAGCAGCAGCAGCAAGAGGGATAAGATTAAGAGGAGATTTGTGATAGCAACAGAGGTTTAAGTGCGCAATTCTGCAGTGATTTGTGGTGCTTTCTGCTTTTGTGACTCTATCAGAACTGTCTGTCTGTCTGTCCAAGGCTGATGCTCCTGACGTGCAGTGATACAACAACTGAAAAACTTACTGTGAAACTCTTTCTGACCCTTTTTCATTTTTGTTGTTTTTCTGTCAACTCAACAGCAAATCCAGTTCAATGACCAGAATCAAGAATTCAACAAACGTCCCACCAAGACTGTTCGTCGCTCCCTGTCTCGCTCCATCTCACAGTCATCCACAGACAGCTTCAGCTCAGGTAAAAAAAAAAAGAAAAGAAAGAAAACACACACCCTTAATGATCAGATCACATGTTTTTAATATATAGACTTAGCTGGTCCTGATTCCAGCAGCACGAGAACTACAGGCCCCGAGGATTAGCCTTAGTACTTTCACCCTTAGCTAAATCTTAATTAATGTGAAAGTCCTCTGAAGAATTAAGACTCTTAAATTTTGGACCTAAACGGCTCTTTAAGCCTTTCTCAAACATGTCAATCACTGACTTCAAAGACTCAAAAAAAGAAAAAACCTCACCTCACTAACACTGATCACAAACACTGTAGTAGGAACAGCAGCTTTCAGAGCCAAAACACAATGGTCCAAAGTTAAAGCAACAGCTGTCATGGTGTGTGGTGCAGACAGGAAAGTGGAACCCAAACACAGACAGTTATGGAAAGATGTGCAGTTTTAGTATACTGTATATCTGCCTGCCAGTTGGCTGATTTTGAATGACACCATATATACAATACCACACAATATGATACAATGTGACACGATACAATGACGATTATATATGTAGAATATGATGATTCGAAACAATACGTCATGAAACTGTATGATACGATGATTAAATATTATATAAATTTTTCATATGATGAGGTCTGATTTGATACAATAAAATATGATGCAATATGACCATATATGACCAGCTACAACACTACACAATACAATACAATACAATTCAATACAGTTATTTGATATGATATGACTTGGTACAATATCATATAATCTGAATCATATGATACATCTCTATACAATACATTTCTATACAATATGATGATTTGATATGATACAATATGATGTGATACAATACGAAATCATACAATATGATATGATATATGGTATGATATATCAAAAGAAACGATACAATATGATATTATTTGATATGATATGATACGATATGATATGATATGATATGATACAATATGATATTATTTGATATGATATGATACGATATGATATGATATGATACAATATGATATGATATATAAAATGCTATATCATAGATGCAATATGATACGATACGATACGATAAGATATGATATGATATGATATGATATGATATATGATATGATATGATACAATGAAATATAAAAATTATACTGTAATGGTTTCCCCAAGTGTGTTTAATATGAACTCAGAATCAGACCAGAGGCAGCAGGAAGTGTTTAAAGATTTATTTAGAAGAGCAGGTGATGAGGGGAATGGGGTCCAAGATCCTATGTGAGAGTTCCATGGTGAGGTGAGGGTGAGTGAGTTTGCTGAGAAGGCAGGTGAGTGATCTGGAGAGCAAGTTGTGGCACATGGCAGAGGTCAGGGCTTGTGAGGCTCTGGAGGGGAGAGGTGGAGAACAGGAATTAGACACAGGTAAAGCACAAGTTCACGAGAGTGAGTTTCTAAAATTCTTAAATCTCTGTTTTGCAGCATGCAGTGACAGCTCTGAGGATGGTACTTCACCCAGAGACAAGCTTCAGAAGACCTCCACTGGCTTTTCTGACTTCTGCATCAAAAACATCAAACAGGCTGAGTTTGGACGCAAAGAGATAGAAATCGCTCAGCAAGGTAGGGATGAAGAGTTTTTACTGTGCTTTTTATACCTCACTTTCTATAAGACAAAACAAAAAGGCCTCTCTGTTATAAGAATAAATGTGACTTTGTGTGATATTCAGAAATGCCGGCGCTGATGGTCCTGAGGAAAAAAGTAGGTGGAGAAAAACCTCTGGCTGGAGCCAAGGTGGTGGGCTGCACACATGTCACTGCACAGACAGCGGTTAGTTTAACACACACATTCACAACCATACACACCCTCTTGATAGATGATCATCCAAAACTAGATTGAAAAGGAAGGATTACTCAAACATGCTCTGTTGACTGTCCTTCAGGTGTTGATTGAGACTCTGTGTCTGTTGGGGGCTCAGTGTCGCTGGGCAGCCTGTAACATCTTCTCCACTCAGAACACTGTGGCTGCTGCTCTGGCTGAAGGAGGTCAAACTTCCCACTCCTTTATCTCTGTTTCTCAAATGCTCCCTTACTCTTTCCTTTGAACTAAATCAGCCACTCTTCAATTCAGGCACCTCTGTGTTTGCATGGAGAGGAGAATCGGAGGATGACTTCTGGTGGTGCATTGATCGATGTGTCACTGCTGAGGCCTGGCAGCCCAACATGGTACTATGAGCAAATCGCATCATTGATCTCTGACGTGACCTTTCATTCTTGTCATTACGTTAACTTGTTTCTTTTTTTCCACTTGAGTCAGATTCTGGATGATGGAGGCGACCTGACCCACTGGATCTATAAGAAGTACCCCAGTGTGTTCAGGAAGGTCAAAGGCATTGTGGAGGAGAGCGTCACAGGCATCTATCGGTTTGTCTCACCCATAACTTTGATAATGTTCTATCCCATATTTGATAGAGTCCTCCAGCATGTGTGTCTGCCATGTGTTTTTCCAGGTTGTACCAGCTTTCAAAGGCAGGCAAATTGTGTATCCCTGCCATGAATGTGAACGACTCAGTGACCAAGCAGAAGTTTGACAACCTCTACTGCTGCAAGGAGTCAATTCTGGATGGGTAGTGAACCAAGATATGATCATGAACATGTACAAAAACAGGCAGTACACAGCAACAGTCTGAACACACTGACCTCCTCTTTTAGGTTGAAGCGAACCACTGATGTCATGTTTGGAGGAAAACAGGTGATGGTGTGCGGATACGGGGAGGTCAGTATGAAAGAATGAATATTTTTCTTTTACATTTGACATGAAAGAATGATTTCATTCAAGCAGCTCTTCTCAACCAAGCCTTTTTTATCTCTTCCTGTAAAGGTTGGTAAAGGTTGCTGTGCGGCCCTGAAAGCGCTGGGTACAGTCGTGCACGTCACAGAAGTGGATCCCATTTGTGCCCTTCAGGCTTGGTATGAATGGAGGAAGCTTTTAGTGGCACAGATGCAGAGTGTGTTTACATCTTTCTGCAGCACAATGAAGCAAAACAGCATGAAATATTAGAAAAAGTGTAACCCTATTTGTTCTCGTCATCGCCAGCATGGACGGCTTCAGAGTGGTTAAACTGAGCGAGGTGGTCAGGCAGGTAGACATGGTCATCACCTGCACAGGTAGAGAATACCCTCTTTAAAACAAACTGTTATTTCAAATACCAAGGTGGCTTATTTTGCACGTCTCTATCTGCAGGCAATAAAAACGTGGTGAACAGGGAACATCTGGACAGGATGAAAAATGGCTGCATTGTCTGCAACATGGGGCACTCCAGCACAGAGATAGATTTAGTAAGAACTGAAGATCATGTGTGTGTGTTTTCGTTCTCTGTAGACCTCTGCTTCTGTCATATTTGGACTCTTTCATTCTCAGACGAGTCTGAGGACTGCTGAGCTCAGGTGGGAGCGAGTGAGGCCTCACGTGGACCATGTGATCTGGCCTGATGGCAAAAGAATCACACTGCTGGCAGAGGTGATTTTACTGTTTTTATGACTCTGAAGCATCGCCATTAGGAATGACATAGTGTCCAGAAGTGTGACTCAAAAACCACTCCTGCATGTCGGCGACAAAGAAGATATGGTTTAATGAACAGACACATAGGCACAGTCCTCATTCTTTCTTGTTGGAGGGTGTGTGACAGATGTGGTTTCAATGGGAGAGATATAAATGATTACCAGTCAGTATGCCGTATAAATCATAATAACAGCAGTTATCGCTTTACATTTCTTAAGAGTCTCCTAGAAAAGGCAGTAAACTGAGCAAGATTTTTGTCTCCTGTCTTGATTTTAAAAAGTCTTATTAGACTTGATTAGACTGGCATTTATGGCCAGACTTGATTTCTGGCCATAAATGCCAGAAAAGTCCAGATAACTTCTTCTTTCAAGATTTTAAAAGCTTGACATGAAACCTGGCTAATTGCTTGTAATAAGTTAAATAATCTGTCGTTTGACCCAGAAAAATATACCATTAATTTTTCTTGAACAAGACTTAAGTTTCCTGAAGTTAAATTGACATCTTAATTCATAGTTTTTTCTTTACCCATTATAAGCAATCCAGGCTTTACCCTAAGCTCCTAATATCTTAAATGAGATATTAGTTTGGGCTTGTCAGGAAATTGTCTTATCCTGACTCTAATAGGAATTTTACCAGAAATAAGACAAACACACTTGAGAAGTTTTGAGATAGATAAGATATTACCACTATTAAAGCATTAAGAGGAGCAGGAACCTCTGGTTTTGGAAAAAAAAAGCTGATGTAATTGTTGAAAAATAAGACCTGCAGCTGCTTGAGTGTTTACTGGCTTCAAAAACCAAGGACAGCCCAATAGGTCCCCAAAAGTGAAGTGAATGAACAGGTCTACTACAGCCTGGGAAAGTCAAGGATGACAAAAAGTCAGCATGCTGTCTGACAGGTGTTCAACAGCAGTCAAACAAGTCATCCTCCGCACATCTGATTCAAAACTAGTGAGGCACCAGATCGCTGTCTCAGCATGGCGCTCTTTATTGAATCAGATTTGCAGAAGAGGGAACACTTAAAGACAATTAGATAATAATCTGACACTTAACAGAGTCTTAGCTTCTGATCAGTGTCTGCTGTCACATCACAGCATGTCCTCTGCCTCTGAGATCTGTTTGATGTTCATTTAGGGACGTTTGCTGAACCTGAGCTGCTCCACAGTGCCTTCACTTGTACTCTCCATCACAGCTACAACTCAGGTACGATCACATGTCATAATGAGGCCTTTCGTGTTTTGTACAATGACTCCAGCAGAGACTTTATCTGTTTCGTTTCAGGCTCTGGCTCTTATAGAGCTCTACAGCGCTCCAGAGGGACGATACAAACAGGACGTCTACCTGTTGCCTAAGAAGATGGGCAAGTCCTCACTTTCATTATCTGTAGTCAACTATCGCATAGACTTTGTGTCTTTTTAGTGTAAATTAAACCAGGTGTGGTTCATTTCAGATGAATTTGTGGCCAGCCTTCACCTGCCGGCCTTTGAGGCTCACCTCACAGAGCTGACTGATGAACAGGCCAAGTACCTTGGTATCAGCAAGCATGGACCCTTCAAAGCAAACTACTACAGGTGAGATCAGGAGCTCTGGTTATTTTCTCACACACAAAACCTGCTTTTAATTTTGTTTTTATACAGCAGCAATTCTCTGTCTTACAGGTATTAACCCCCAGAAAAAGCCCTGATGGTCCTGAGGGTGGAGCACTGGCGCCCTCTACAGTCTGAATCCGACATAGACTGAATATCATGAAGAAACAGTGGATGAAGACTGCTTTTTTTCTTTTCTTTGTTTTTGTGTTAAACTGTTTGTTGTCATAAATGTTACACAGTGTAATCTTAACACACATATCCAAGGAGGTGTGAAGAGAGAGAGCACGACTGACTGAGACAGAGAGAGAAGCAGGTGGTGCTAGTTTGTCCAGACTTGCTTAATGTTCACGTGAAAGCCAACTCTGATTCATGGTTCAGTTCAGAACAGACAAGTTTGTTTTAGAAACTCAATGCAAAGAGACAAGCTCTCAGACAGATCCAACACACGTCTGTTTTAAGACAATGTTCAACTGGATATGTTGATGTTGTTATTAACTTGATACTGAACTTAAACTTTAGGCCTACTTGTGCAGAATGAATGATCCATTGTGCCAAAAAGAGCTATATTTTATTTACTAGAATCAGCTAAAAACAATCTATACAGCTACAAAACATATGCATTCATCCTTTATATTTCTTGAAAAGTGTGATGTCCAATGAAAGGCACCTCTGAAAACATGAGTTGTCTTGCTTATTGGGTGGAAGAGCTAAAATTCTGCAAAGACCACAGACTGTTTTGGATTTTAGGGCAACTATAACACATGCAGATAAACAGTTAACCATTATGTGAGCATCTCTGTCATTTTTCTAAAATAAATCAATGATTAAAAACGAGAAATGATTTACTAGGAATTCGTCTTAAAACTCAAAGACACTAATTTTGTACACTTGTAGGTATTGAATTTACTTTTTCAATTTTATGTTCAGATTCTCTTTAGGTCGATTTAAAATGCATTTGTGCAAAGTCAGGGGTTAGGAGATTGTAAGAAAAATTCCAGAATCACCCACAAGGGGGCGCAGTGACGCTGCTCTAGTGTAATAAAACTCACAATTGAATCGTTTCTTCTATCCAATGCACTTTGAGCTCTCTCTGTCAATCAATCAGACTTTACTGGAAAAGTCCTTTGTTACATTATTTAGTTAAGACCCATAATGAAGACAAAATAAGGATTGATCTTATTGTGATCCACCATGAGAAAAGCACTTTACAGCATTTATGAAGTTCAGCAAAATCTCTTTTTTCACAGAAACAGCAGCACCATAAAACTGAACAGCCATCTACTGCAACTGTTTTGACCTCTGGAAAAAACAAAGAGAGAGACACAGGAAGAAAAGGCTGGATAGAGATAAACAGTGACAACAGCAACACAACCAGACATATTGTTAATAATAATAATAATAACAATGCATCAGATTTCATACAGCGCCTTATCAGAGACCCTCAAAGCACTTTCCATTGGATACATGATTCATTCGCTCACACAGTCACATCCTGGTGGTGGTAAACTAACTTAGTAGTCACAGCTGCCCTGAAGCAGACTGACAGAAACGTAGCTGCCAATCCACGCCTTCGGCCTCTCCGACCACCACCACACAACACTCACAATCATACACCAGTGGAGGACACACACTGGGAGCAAGGTGGGTTAAGTGTCTTGCCCAAGGACAAGACACTTATTAGGATTAGAGGGTTAGGGTTAGTGTTGGAGAGTTAAGGTTTAAGGTAGGGTAGGGTTAGGGGGTCAGAGTTGGAGTTAGGTTTAGGGTTAGATGGTAAGGGTTTAGATGAAGGTTAAGGTTTCAGGGTTAGGGTACAGGTTAGGGTTTGTATTATAAGGTAAGAACGTAAGGTTTAGGGTCAGGGTTTAAAGTTAGGGTTAGAGTTACAGTAAGGATTAGGGACTAGAGTTGGAGTTAGAGTTAGGGTTAAAGAGTTTGGGTTATGATTAGGGTAAGGGTTTTAGGGTTGATGTAAGGGTTAGGGTTAGAGTTAGTGGGCTAGAGTTGGAGTTAGAGTTAGGGTTAAAGGGTTTGGGTTATGATTAGGGTTAGAATTAGGGTAAGGGTTTCAGGGTTGATGTGAGGGTTGAGGTAAGGGTTTCAGGGTTAGTGTGGCGGTTAGGGTTTTAGGGTTTGGGATAAGGTTAGAGATTCAGGGTTAGGGTTTCAGGGTTGGTGTCAGGGTTACCGGAAAAAGTATCTGCTCTTTTATAGGAACCGAAAATGAATGAAAATTGACTGATTTTTATATGTGAGGCTGTCAATTTAACAAGTCTTATAACAGCATTTACAATCAACTAATACAATTTATTATCATCTGCTGATACTGAACTCTGTTACTGACGGTTAAATGAACCTCCTTCCTGTGAAGAATTTTTGGATGTTTAATGAAACAGACTGAATTTCATATCGATGCCTTTTTATGACATTAAAAAGCAAACAAGACCTTCAGCAATAAGACTTTCGATTCTCTTGTTGTATTTTTAATGCCTGAAACCAATGTGAGGGGGACTGAAGAAACTGTTTTTACAATTAACATGTTAAATATTCACAATAATTCATACATTTTACATCAAAAGTCATCAGGATAGGACATCACTGAAGCAGCCAAGTCTTCTCACATATTCACAACAATTCCTCTTGTTGCAGCTTTATTTGCTAAATGAACTGTTAGGAAACTGCGAGACACTTTGGTGTTAACTTGGTTAATTTGGCTGGTCAATTATTGCATCCTGTCTGTCTGATCATGAAGTCCTAAAAATACCTCCTGTCTCTGGATTACATTAATCCAGAGTCTCCCTGAGGATGTGTGTGTCTGTGTGTGTCTGTGTGTGTGTTACTCGTAGTCCCTCCTGGCTGGATATCCCCATTGAAAAGTCTTTCCTACCTCTGATTCCTTCAGTTTTATCAGGTGTAACGAGAATGAGACAATAAAGCGAGTCATAGTGGTTGGTGTAGAAAACATTTAATGTCACATTGAAGCACCACAATAACAATCAGCACAGAGAGACATTTGCAACAAAAGGAATTAAACAGCCCTCAGTTTAAGAGATAAATTAGGAGATCCATTGACTTCCACACCCAAACTAATCTAATTACACCACTCATTCCCCTTCATATCCCATAATCAGTGGGCCAGAGTGGCTGATAATCCACTGGTTGATGGTACATTCAGGAATGACAGATGGTCCATGCAGCCTGTGTACTGCTAGACCTGTGCACTCAGTTCAAAGTCCGTTTTAGCGACCAAGAAGTTGTGTATCAGCATCCTGTATGTGTGTGTTTGTGTGCATGTATGTTTGTGCATGTGTGTGAGCGTGTGTCCTCACCTCCTCCCAGTCAGGGATTCTCCCTAAAGAGCTTTGATGCCTTCCTTGCATCACTCCTCGCTCTAATCACTGGTACCAGCTGTCATTGTGTGGGCCTCCCTCCTTCCTCTCTGAGCGTCTGCAGCACCACTTAACCTCACATCCTCTACAGGCAGCCATAATGGACTCACGGTGCTCACGCTGCAACATTATGTACACATATCAGACACTGACTGCTCAACCTTTTTCGGTGTGTGGTACTTAGGTGAGAATCACAGCTCATTCTTGCCTCTCTCTGTTTTCTCAAAGCCTCAAAAAACCCTCTCAATAGACCTCAAAACTAAATGTCAGGGTCGAGTCCCGAATACTTTTTCTCTCTCAGTATGAACTATATTAATGTCACTATTTATTGTTATTCACGGATATTTAGCTACCTGAATGTTTTTCTCATTCTAGTTTTGTTTTCCTCGTTTAAGAATAAAGAAACATGTCCAACACCAAAATGATCATTCCAACCTAAATTTAACATTATTTATTATTGTTTTTTAACATCTAATGGATCAGAACCAAGTTTAAGCAGTTCAGTCTGTAGTCTGCATGAACCACAAAAAAAATGATGTTGATCCTGCTAACCTGTGAAAATTTGGAGGGACAGCAGCTCATATTTGAGGATAAAACAGCACATAAAGTACCCACTTAGCCACTGTCAGAAACAGATAACATTAGCATTGTAGTCATAATAGCTGCATGGCTCATTAGCATTGAGTTATATTTCTTCATATTACCCAGGTTAACAGGATTGCAGAAAACTAGTATTACCTTTTAGTAGTTTGGCATAAGGTTATAAATATATAGCTTTTATTAACTTAAGCCATTCTGTCAGTAAGTCAACATGATAGTAGCTACTGCATGAGAAACTGAGGTGAATCTGGTGAAGAATGAAGAGGCTAAATGAACCTTATTTTGTTACCGAGCAGTAGATTTGGTTGCAGCATAAATTAAACCGCGACAGAACACATCTATATCATCTGATCAGTGTAGATGATGGCCATCTCAGCTGCCTGCTTAATGTATAGTCTTATGAGTTTTGGCCCCTGCAGTTCAAACCTTTGATGGGATCTCCTCAGCTGGGTTATATCTGACCATTTTTACCTGAGGGAACATCTTAGTTCCCTAAAAGACGAATGAGGCTGGACTAAAACTTCCTTTTTTCCTAAACCTATAGATCTGCTCCACTCAGAGTTAGATTGTAACCTCTGTCTGCTTGGCCACTAACCTATCAACTAAAACCTTACTCTAATCCTTCACCTTTGACCTTTTGTAATAACAAAGCCTGTATTGGGATGAACGCAACATGAAATAATCCATCTGCTGTGATGGGTCCTGAGATTTAGGAGCATGGGGGGTTAAAACTCTCGGCCAGTTTTTGGCAAGTCTAGAACCACCGGATCCTCTCAACCCACCAGAGTGAGTTCTACCATTGCCAAACACTGTAGGAGAGAGAGAGAGAGAGTGAGAGAGAGGAGGAACTCAGAGATCACTGCCTCCAGATCTGTGACAACCAGGTTTCAGGTTACACAGGACAGCGTGTTGGAGATGGAGCATGAGCCTCCATGGTAACCAGCATCCATATCTCATCCTCTCCGTATCTTTCACACAAATACACAAGAGCCTATCAATGAAAATGAAAATGGGCTGAGTGTTTTCTTATCCTATATTGGCACTGCACATGATTGCTCAAACAAGAAGAACAAAAGCAAAAATGTGCTAGTGCCAAACTGGGCTAAGAAGAGGGTCAGTTCAGCCTGGTTACTTCCACAGCAGATGGAGACACAGGCAGTGTGGTTCTGTCTCTACTCTGTTTATGGCCCTATGGTAATTCACTGATAGTTTGCTGTGACAGTGAATTCTACCAGTGCCATACACAGAACAGGAGGAGATACACGTGCAGTTCCAGACTCACATTTGTGCCAACAAAGATACGCAAGTCCACTCTAAACCTCATCCTGTGTTCAGAATGAACAATATCGATGTCCACTACATTTGATTTCTTTCATTTTAAAGTTGAATTTTTGGGCATGTTTGGCCTCCACCTTTACTTTTACAGGGGCAGGAGGAGCAGGTCTGATGCTCACATTGATTATGAGTGTGGGGAATGATGTGCTAAGTGATTTTTGAGATGCTCCAAATGGGTCCCAAAGCAGGGCTCATCTTTCTGTTTCCGGGAGAGATCAATAGAGTAAAAAGCTTCAGAGAGAGAGAGAGAGAGAGAGAGAGGGAGAGAGAGAGAGAGAGAGAGGGGGGATTCTCATGAAGCTTCACTGATTAGTTGTATGTTTTTAGTTGCTGTGTCTAGTGATGATTATTAGTGCACACAGGACTTACCATTACAATGCAGCTGAAACATGTGATACCTCATTGATAATTCAGTTGAACAGAGTATTTCTCAAGCCACATGCTTTTTTAAACATTGCTGCAGTGTGATATTAAACATCACGTAGTCACAATTTAATTTGCAGAATCGAAACTTCACATATCTTAAGGTTTTTCTGTCAAAATCAAACCATCATATTTGAGGAATAACGAGTTACTTTTTCACTTCTTTCCCCTGACATGATCAGCTGCTCTTTGATTTGCTAATCAACAACATGAAAATTGCTTTCAATTCTTCTTCAATTCACTTGTTCTTTTTTTTTGCAGGCTTTTGGATTCTTACCTTAAGAAACGACCCAAAATCCTGCGCACAGTAGTTACAAAAAAGACGAGAGGAAACCACTGTGAAAATCCAAACACGTCCAACAGTAGTGTCTTCAGCACCACAATCATGTAAAAATGTTTTAAAAAATAAAAAACTTCTTTTCTACCTCCTTTAAATAAACTGTCCAGATGACTTTCATTCTTCTTGATACCTCCTCGGACCTCTCCGTCCACACTGACCGCTTGCTTTCCAGCTCCACTCGCCTCACGACTCCCTGCTTGTTTGGGCAGCATGGCAGGGGATTTTAGTGGACAGGTAATTAGTTGGTAAGCATCTTAACCCATTGGTAGTATAGTAATCCACGCTGCCCTCCTCCCTCTCCTTCTGGCGCCTCTGTACGCAGGCCTACGGCACATCTCCTCTGCCTCTTTTACGCACGGGACGCGCACTGCAGTGGCGACGATGAAGGACAATGCTCACTGGCTGATCGTCACATAGTGTTGCCCAACTATTTTTTGTTTAAAATAGTACAAGCCACACAATATACAGAACTAAAGTACATTTTCACACAACAAAGATTAAAGTCACACTCCACGCGCTGCAAAACAAAACTGATGTTTACAGCAAACCTACCAGCACCCCCGGGTGTGGCACCCTGCTGCAGCCCGGCCTGAAGCTCCGCACGGTTTCTGTCCTGCTCCCCGGGTCCAGAACTTTTTCCACACCGAGGCCTCCACTGTTCCTCTTTATATGCAGGCACCCTGAGATCCCTGAAGGGCTCATTTACCTGCTGTCGGTGATTATTAGCCAGATTGCTGGTGGAAAAGACGCATCATCCTTTCAGCTGATGTGAGGGCGTCAGAGTGGGAGAGGACAGGTTTGGGTTACGGCTCTTTCAAAGTTGACTCTGAAATCCACCCGCGCAGCCTTTGTCCTCTCCATACATTATGAAGGAGGTGCAGCCGGACAGCAGCGGCTCCCCAGCCTCCACACTGTGCTGCCAAAGCTGCTCGCGTTACTCCAAGGATGAATTAAAAACGTGCAACTCTCAGATAAAACTCATCGTCGCTCCATTTTCTTTAGTTCAATTTTTTGATCTTCATAAAAAAGTAATTTACCCCTCGGAAAAATTGGGCTTGGTTATTAAAAAGTCAAATTGTCCACTAATGGCTGGTTTTATAACCATTTTAAGTGTCAAGGATTTTCTTTTTTTTTTTTGTCTGTTACTTTTAAAATGTGTGATGTGAGAAGAGACAAGAAGACAAACATCACATTACAACAGCAGGTCTCAAACAACTGCTCACTAAATATCACTTTACAATCAAGGAATAGTAACAGGAGAAAATTATCCATTTGAGGGCTAAAAGCTTCGTGCGTAATGACGCTGCAGCCAAATTTAAGTGAAACAAGAAACCTGAACGTACCCAGAAAGACGCTGCAGGGTCACAGCGATGAATATTTCATAGGATCATTATGATAGACTGTCGGTCTGTGTCTGCACAACTCATACTGCATCTCAAAATTCATCTAAGACCATTCGATATTTGTTTAATATTTCGATACAACTAGAAAATAGAAAATCATCACAAATCCAATTTTGATCAAGACAATGTTCAGGCCTTTTCAGTATCTGTAAGTGTATCAAAAATGACCAACAATGACAGCCAATTTCTGCCAAGAAGAAACGAAATAATTGAATAGGCTGATAAACAAAAAATGGAAAAGTGTATTTTATAGTTGGGATTGGACGAACCATTGTACATCATGAAAGGGATTTTAAAAATCAAGTTGAAGTCTGAACTTTATATTTTCAGTTTATTATCTTCCAGAATGACTTTATTTATGACTCTCTTTGTTGTTTGAATGTAAAATGTCGAGAAAAGAGAAAATCTCAAGTTAGTTTTATTGGGCAAAGTTCGGTGTACAGTGAATCCAATAAACACAGGCGGAGCTTTACAAAGCAAGGGACGAGTCCAAAACCCAAAAAGGTCAAGTCAAAAATAGCTTTCTAAACAGCAGCTGAAGGGCCAAGACGATCTGGCACAGAAGGAGTGGAACACAGACTAAATACGCCAGGTGAGTGCATGGAGACAATTAGGCACAGGTGAGGGGCAGGAAATCACACAGGCTGGAAACGAGTGGGTAAAGGAAGTTAAGGGACAGAAATAAGACACATGGGTGACTCTGAACAAAATTAGGCTGAACTGGAAACTTTAGATATGAAATATGAGGATGATGAAAATGAGCTCAACTATTTCACTATTCAAGGACAACTTCCAAAAACTGTTCCCTAAAGAAAGTGACAATGAGCCAGCATGTTCAACACCAGGATCCTGGAACTAAATGGCTTCTTTGAATTAAGCCATCATAATTTTATTTATTTATTCATTTATTGCACCTTTTGCATCCTTCTGATTGCATCTTAGTGTCCTGCCCCCATCTTGAAATCTGATTGGCCACATAAGGTGCCACTCCAAACCTTTAATTTCGACTGACTGTCTCTTTGCCTCAGAGGCAGGACTTTTGTAAAAAAAATCCTCATATTTTGACTGGGTCACACATTTCCTTTCACAAGTAAATCATGATGTAAGTTAAGAATCCAGTAGAGTCTAAGCTTGAGTAGAGTCTAAAGTCTAAGTCTAAATTTGAATCTCCCCCTGGGAGTAATAAAGTAACATCTTTTGAATACTTTAACATTTGTAGAGAGGCATTAAAGCAGATATGATTAGTGGTTCACTATTTGTGTGTAACTTTATACCACCAGTACAAAGTTAGTGCCCAAGTCAGACCACCACAGTCAAAACATTGAGTGAGTGATTAACTGAGTCGATATCGTTTTCTACGCATGAGTTTTTAAAGGATAGAAATGAACACGGTACAGTTCCTGGAAAACCTTATGTTTGTTCAAGAATCAGTCAGCCCTGTGTTTTCATTTCAGTCTGCAGGAGAGCGATAGGGCGCCATCTGGTGGTCAAAGGAGGGACGCACCTGGAAAAGCATCACTTAACTTATGACTACATTTTTAGATACAGTCATCATGTAAGACTGCTCTAAGTCTTTGGAAAGTGAGGTTCTAACAATTCAGACAGTGTGGATAACTCTGTCAAACACACACACACACACACACACACACACACACTGTTATAGTTTGTATATTTTGTTTATTTCTTCAAGTTACAAGGGAAGCACATTTATTCACTTTTTTGCATTTTAAAAATCAGGGTTATCTGGACTTGTATCCTGGGCTTTAGAGACAAAAAAAATTAAAACAATCAAACAAATTATCGTCATCAAATATTTGTGTCTCATCCAAAAGAAAAAAAACAAAAAATTTTACACTGATGATTCCAGATCTCGACCAGTAACAAAGCTGGACAGTGTCTTTTATTCAAATGACTATTATTATCTGTGACATCATGTAGTCCTAAGATCTACATCAAATTATATTTGGTTACCAAGGCTAATTAGAGCCATTTTACTAGGCTATACAATAAAAACATGTTCATGCTATTTCAAAACTGTGATATACAAGTTTGAACAACTCTACCAAGTAGAAAAAACCCTCTTGCAAAACACCATGGAAGAAAAATAAAGGGATTGAACAGGATTATTACATTTTTTAGTTTAAATTTCCTCCAAACAAGATGAAGAAGTCCATTTTGGTGGTGACGAATATGACTCTTTTGTTTCCTTTCAAACTAATCTGCAACATGTGCATGTTTTAAAACAGGATCACGATCAGGATCAAGCTTCAAGCCTGTGCTCGAACACGGAGCAGCGCACAACCATGAAATTTAACACTGAACTGTCACTGCTCAGTAACACTTCCTCTTCATAGGCAAACACACCTTCCAGGAGTAAACCAGGACATAAGAAAACTTTAGCTGTAACTGACCAGGAGAAGGGTACATCTTTTCTTTTATTTTGAAGCCTCAGAGTAAACTCTTCCATCCTCAGTCCACTCAAGGAGGACATTGAGGTGTTTAAACTGAAAAGTCATGGCCCTGTTAGATATTGGTCCCACCATTTTTAGAAAAAAAAAAACAGCCAGCCATCAATAGCGTGAAACGCCAAACAAAGAGCACTTCTGTCTGATGACATAAATCTTCTTTTATGGACACATTTGCATAAGAAGGGTGCAGGGAATCAGGGGTGCAACATGTCTTTGGAGGATTTTTTGAACGAAAAGTCATCCTAAAGACAAAAGACGTATCCATTCTTCTTATAGTAAGAGGACAACTAGTCTTTAAAATATTCTTTTTAAGTATTAAACCATATGTTATGACAAGATTCACCACCCGTAAAATAAAAAGAAACTAACTATACCTATGCAATTCAGACACCTATTATACTGTAGTTCAACACAAGCAACAGGTAGAGTTCAGAAGTTCAACAGTTCAACAGGGACCTGGATAATCTCTGGAAAACCCCACTCGGCATCCCCCACATGTCTACACAACTTTACTTCAGTGTCATGCCACGATATACAAAGATACTCCAAAAATGAAAAAGACTTTCCTAAAACGGAGAGGAGAGAGAGAGGGGGGAAGAGAAAGAGAGAGTCAAAGCATAAAAAGTGTTATGAACCTTCTTTTTTGCGCATCAGCGGTACGGCACAGATTATCAAAACACCAGGATCCTCTCTGAATTACATTCCTACACTCAAAGGTGCACACACAAAAAACACACGAGTGGCTGATGGTCATATTGTGTGCATTGGCTGTTTGACAGTGTGTGTTGATGTGTCAGCAGCTTTGCAAAAGAGGAGGCAATCTGGTCCAGTCTGTACATGTGACCACACCATAGCCTTAGCTCTGGTCCTTCAGGGGTGACTGATGATTATAACGGTTATTCTTCAGTGTCCCAAAAAAAAAAAAAACAATTTAAATGAAAAAGATATCGGCGCTCAGTGGAAGCAGAGCACGTTTGGGTGGTTATCATATTTATCGTCTTGTATTCCTCAGTCAACCTGGTGATAGACTGACATTTTGAATAAAAAAAAAAAGGAAGAGTGGGTGGTGTTGCTGGTTGATTCAAAAGGGAAAATGTGTATAAACAGTGTCGTTTTGATGATCATCCTGATGGTGTAAAATCCAAGACTCAAGCATGAAAACAGAGTATTCCTTCCTTTTTGACCCCAAAGGCTTCCGTCATGATGATGAAGAGGGTGGCGAGCAGGTGGTCATGAACTCCTATGTAAAGGTTAATATTCTGCAATATCATACTGCAAATCCTTGTGTAACAATAAAAATCATCGTGTTGCAGTAAAAAATTGTCTTAAATATGAATAAAGTACTGAGCTTCTGCTCTTTAGGACATGTCAGTCTGTTGCACGGTGAAGAGGGCGGGGCCCTTCACTACAACTCCATGTCCTGAGCCTCGTCCTCGGAAAAGTCTGACATGGAGCTCTCCGAAGAGGAGTCACCTCCCCCCTCCTCCTGCTCCTTTAGAGCCTCCTCTGTGGCGTACCTTTGGATGTACTCTGACAGAAAAACACAGAGATGCAAAACGAAACATCAACAACTACAGACAGACATTTAACATTGAAGTCACTGATTTCTCACATCCTCAAAAGACTGAAAACAAATTTTAAAAAGTTGCCGAAAGAATATCTCTGCAATTGATCTATTAAAGGCGCTGTGTGTGGAAAAAGTGGGAAAACGGGGGATATCCAGCTCTCCCATTCTGGACTGAAATGCTTCCTGGTTTACTCCTGCTGTCAGTGAAGTGACAAGGTAGTGAAACTTATTCTAAGATAACCAGAACACAAAAGGATTTTATATTAGGTGATTATTGACTCATTTTAAAAATAAATAATCGTTTGAAAAAAGTTTTACTATTTTGATGAGAGGAATCGAATGGGGGGTACTATCCTATCAGATCAGTGTGGGGTCATGAGGGAACAGCAAATATACTTCAAAGTGTGCATCAGTATTTTATTATTTGACATTTGCCAGACATCCTGTCACACAGGAAGAGATCAGATCACAAATTAGAACAACAATGTTTAATACTGTTTAACGAAGTTTAATTTTGATCAGTTCTGGTTTTCATGATCCAATAACTTTAGTATACTATAAGTATACGGCCTCTTTTCTTTTCATAACTGAAACTAATTTCTGGAAATATTTCAATTCACAGGTTATCTTGTTCTTTGTCTGCCTCATCATGTCCCAAAAACACTCAGATCTCAACTAAATCACTGTGAACATGCCTGACTTGCCATACGGTGATATAAATCCCTGTAGTTCAAACAGCCCCTCATCCATTTGCAATTTGGGTCTCAGACTTGAATTGTCAAACTGCAGCAGTTTGTACTAAACTCTCTAAACATTGTTCAACACTTCAAAGTTTTAGCGCTTTGACTACCTTTGATCTTGTGTTTGTAATCCTCAGGTCGGTGCAGGTACATGGCTGCTGCGTCTCCGTTCAGAGGGTCGATGGGGTTGGGGTAGGCGAGCAGCTGGGGGAGGAATGACTCAAAGATGTTGGTGAGGTCTGGAGGAAGAGAGGAGAAAAAGTTGAGTCAGTGCAGAAGAAGAAGTCCATTTTAAGCGCAGCTGCACCATGTTCCACTAGAGGTCTCTTGATTTTTCCTCCCATTTCCAAATCGACGTAACATGAGCAAAGCTGTTAGAAACTCAACTGTAGAAAACACAAGTCATTTCAGATACAGAAAAGTGTGTTTCTGCTACCTGCCATCAGATGTCAGTGTGATTCTTGGGGAACTGTTCAAAAATAGATGACGTCTTTTACTAAAAATAGATTTGGTAGTTTCATGATCAATATAAAGATATTATGAAACTCTTGAGTCTGCTCAGACTTTTTCTGTTTTCGAGAAATAAGCCTCAGTGAAAAACTTTGTTTAAACACTCATGAATCTGCATCAACAGTGGTTCTAACAGGGTGACTGTGTGAATTGTGTTCAGTGTATTAGTCATCCGAACTTAAAAGAGCTAACTGCTCACCACAGTGGTATCACACCGCCCCAGCAAAACACACAATTGCTTATCTGGGTGTTTCAAAGAGACAGCACATGACTAGAAACAAAATAAAGTGGATTAAAAGCAGGCTGGACAACAAATAGGGTTATCTCTCAGCTGTGATTAAATCTCACACAATACAATATCACTATTAGCATTATCTATGGGATAAAATCCTTGCATACACTCACATAGACAAAAGACACCAAGTTGGGAAACCCCCCTAATTGACAGTCAGTCTAACCCACTTATCAGTGAACTACATCAAGCTGCTGTTGCATGAGTCCTGGCTGTAGCTTACCGTAGAGAGCCGTCCATGTCTGGTTTATGACATCTAAGCACACAGTTCCTGACCTGAAAAAGACAAAACACTGAGTACAACATGGCAGCCAAGACAAGCAGGAATCAAGAGTGTTTTCAGCGACATGATATGCAAATATTAGAATCTGCTTCAGGCCAAAGGATGTGAAATGTTTTCTACTTACGCTTCATCAATGTTGGGATGAAAGATTTTATTCATGAATCCTGTGAAAAAAAGGGAAGATGTGTCAATTATCTAACTTTATGATTGAACACTGAGATTCAGAATCTTTCCCACAGCAGAGAGTTTTCATACCTATTGATGGTGATTTGAAGGGGTATTTATCCGGCAGGTCTACTCTGACCTTCCACACACCTCCTTCATACGGTGCTGGAAAGAAAAGACCTGTCAGTATTCAAACACATTCTGAGTGAAAAGAAAGAAAAAAAAACACATATATATCTGTGACTCTTACTTCCTTGCGGCCCATGGAATTTGACCACAAACTCGTTGAGTCCGCTGAGGATGGTGACCTCATGTTTGCTCTCAATGCTGATAACAAGTTAGGGAGAAGAGATGCTCGAAATGATGGTTACAGCAGAGAAAGAGGATTCTGACAAAATCAAACATGGCTTCAAAAAAACCATGGATCAAAAACAAGCTGAGCTGCTGAGTAGGCTGGTCAAAGTGCCTGTATGAACTTGTCTGGGTAAAGACTGGATCAATAACACTAGATCAATAATGCAGTGTTGGACAAACCTCGACATGGGTCTGAACCTCGTCCAGCAGAAGGAAACAGCCTGTAGATAGCTGTCAATCTGACTTTTTAAAGTAAACAAGAGGCTGCTGATGGTGTTTATGATCACAACTTCACTTTAGTGAAAATCAAACTACTGAGGCTGAACCTGCACGGATGAGAAGACCTCTATTAAGTCAAACAAGCTGACTCCTACGTTTTTACTTGTGTTTAGTGACTCTTAATTGTTTCGATTGCTAATACCGATAATGAGAGAGCCGGTCAGCTGATGGTCAATGTATGAAAATCACAAACCACTTAAATAACATTAACAAATTACAAAGAAAGGTGTTAAACTTTAGTGAATTTTTAATCAAATAGACATAGATAGAAAACAAAATGAGCTCAATTAAATTTTGCCACAGAAGACTTTTTGATTTCTGTCTGACAATATGTAATTTTTAATATATTATGAGGTAAATGCTGGTTAAAATATGAGAAGAAAATCATGTATAGATTCGTTATTCCACATACATGAAAATATGACTAAGTGGTTGTCTTATGAGGGAGTTGTACTGAATCAATGAAAAGACAGATATTGGGTTGTGGTGAAGACAGGCTGATATTGCTGTTGATATTGAATATTGTAATACAGTACATTATTCAAACACTAGTCAATGACTGTTTTAGATGTGATACGCCATTAAAGGATGATAAGAAAGATGTGTTATCACTTAGAAAATATGCAGGTGATAACGGCCTTCTTGGGGCCGATGCTGATTATGTCAGTTGATGCCGTTAAACGCAAAAATTAATCATTTTGAACAACCTACTTTTATCATTTATGCCTCTGAGATCCTTTTCAACCTGCTTTCTGAAAACAAACTGCAACACAAATAAGAAAACTACAATCTCATTATTTTTAAACTACTAAACCCCTTACCTAGACCCGTACCTGTGAAGATGAAAAATCCATTTCAAACACTCGCTTTAGATAACAGGTACTTTTGCTTTTTTATTCTTATATTTGGTGAATCTTTCTATTCTAACTGTGACATATTTTATTGTTCCTAAAACATTTCATTTTTTGCTTTTAGGTGCAGGTTTGATCAAGAACTAATTTAATTGTTTTTCAGTATTTGCTCTTGCTTTTTCTTTCTATTTCTATGTGTAATTTTAAAGTAATTTCAAGTTCTCACTTCGTTTAAAAGGTGTCATATAAATAAAGTTTATGAAAACAGATGGTGCAGACATCAGAAATAAGGTACATTAATTGGATCTTTTTTTTTTTTACAGGTAACTACAGCCTGAGATGATGAAGTGTGATTTGGGTGAGAAGACAGTGTCGTATTCACAGCTTGTGTTGACAGCAGCAGGGTCGAGCGCTTTCAATCAATGACTGCGTGAGTGTGACACAGTGACAGACTGTGTAGGAAAAAAAAAAACAACAACACAAAACCACACTGGGAGCTGTCACACTCTGTTTCATCATGCTGTCATAAATCCTCCTGTCATCTCTATTCACACAAAAAAACAAGGTAACATATGCATGTTTATTTAGCCGAACGTCTAGAAAAAAAAACACTCATAACAGCACTACACAGCTTTGTTGCAGGACTGTCAGAGGCCGATAGAAGAGAAAACATCTAGCAGGGAGTCAACCCAAGAAGGTTCACAAACCACTGACCAAGAAGACAGAGTGTCTCTAAAAGTGTTGTGAGGCAACCAGCTCTATAAATAAAACCTGTCATAGATTCATGCCGTTAAAAACCTGCATCACTCCTTGATGCATTTCCCTTCGGCTCATGGATAGAAACCTAAGCACATGCTCACCCAGGAGTAATGTAACTACACAAGGGAGAGGCTCTATTTTTGACAAAAGCTCACAGGGCACACGGCTCTATCAGCACTTCCTCCTGATTTTTCACCACTTTTAAAAATGTTTGTTTTTGCTGTTTAGTCTTAAAGTCACAACATGCACTCATGATGCTACACCCTGGATTGAAGGACCATTGGATAATTCTTATTAATTGGAAACAACATGTCCAACCACTCCGCGACAGAGTCTTTTATAGTACACGGGCCCTGCTGCCATGGACGGGATGTTCCCAGCCCCCATCCCCTCATGTGCCCCGTACTGCACGCTTGTTGTTCCTCGATCAGCTGTGTGTGAAACTCCGCCCTCCGCCGTGTTCCGGATGGTAACAGACTGGCCAATCAGAGAGCAGCATATAGCTGCAGGACAAAAACAAAACAATTCAGCTCACGCTGTCGGAAACCCTTTCATGCAAACTTCTGCGCATAACTGCTAAAAATAACACGAAAAAAGACATTATGCGAGAAGTCATTTCGATATGACTGCACCATCAGCTTTAGTTTTAGAAAATAATAACATAAATAATAACATGAAGTAACATACAAAAGAAAGATGGATGTTACTCAAATATAATACAAAATAATAATGAAGAAGGTGATGCATGTATTCGCATTTAAGCACCCTTTAACTGTGTTTATAATACATTTCTGTTACATGCTAACTGTGAGTCAGGCTGTAAAGTAAATTAATATATTGCTTTGTGTTTGATCATATTTTAATCTTAACTATTTTGATTTTACATTTCCCGTTTTTAAAACGTGTTTTAGGTGTCGAGTTTACATTTTTCTTTTAATAGAATAACCACAACGACCTTTTTTGATCCCTTTGGTTGTACACAGGTACACAGCAGCTACCTTAACGTCCACGTCAATAACACGACAGAATAAACTTGTCTGTTTGAAAAGGTATTTCCAAAGCGTGAAGAAGTCTCCGCCAGTCCTTCACATGATGTTGTCAGTCCGGTGGGACTACATATTGACAGTTTAACAAGCTAACTTTGTCGCCTTAAAGCGGATGCTCAGTCAGCCTCAGACTCCGCTGCTGTGTATACAAAGCTGCTAATGTGTTAGCGAGCTAACATGCTAACAGATAAAATTACGTTAAAGCTGCAGCTTCCTCTCCTCTCTGCCAACTTCGCCGAGAGCCAGCTAAGCTATAAACCTCAGCCACACATTAGACACAAAACTACACATTTACATTTGAGTGTTTACACTTTTACTCCACACACCAATCTCACACAGCTATCAGTAATGTCAGCCTAACATTCACCATAACGCAGAGATCAACACTAACAGCAGAGAGATAATATCACTCTGCTTTGGTTCTTCACTCTTGGTGTTTATGGTCTGAAAAGGATACAGTTTCACCACGTCGGTATCCATTCGCCTCTTGCCCGGACTTGGAGACGACATTTTTGTATTCCTTTCAGAAGTGAGCTAAAAATACTGCGGCGACGAGGCTACCCCAACCTTTCAGCTTGAGGAAAAGCTAAAAAACCCGTCCGTGGACTGTATCAACAACAGCCTGTCCACAGTGTCCACAAACAAGATCTTAGCTGCAACATCGCCCACTTTTTTCCTCTCCTCACAGCGTCGCTCTGACCAGCTCAGTCCTGTCCGAAAGACTCTGCTGCTGCTGCTGCTGCTGCCTGTGACATCAACCTCCAGCGACCACACTGAGGAGAGGAGGGGCCCGGGTATAGACATACACTCTATAGAACAGAACTGGAGGCTTCCTATATTATGTACAGAGGAGAGTAAAAGTGGAGTTATCATTCACGAGAAGATACCACTCCTTTTTCGAGATTTGTTTGACTTCTTTTTGTAAGGTTGGTTATAAAGTACACAAAGATTACACACATGCCTGTCTAGTATGCCTAGATCTATGCTCAAGGGCGTCTCCAGGAATTCTGTACTCCACAAAAAGGTATCAAAATGGGCCCCCAAAACCCAAGTATTGTACCATGAATCCAGTTATGACTGATTAAAAGCTTTCAAGAGTTAAACATTTGTGTAAAACCCTGTAAAACCATTTCAGCATATGTACATGAAGGTAAAAAAATACACCATTTTAGTTGCAATCATAGACTGTCGACTATGGACAACTTGGTCCCGCCTCCGCCAGTATACAGATTTAAAGCCAAAAAGCTCTCGGTAATTCAGCATTTTTTCTCCACTTCCTGAAACCAACATTGCGCAGTAGCATTGTACGCACTCCACCACTTGCGCAGTAGCATTGTGCGCATTCAGCGGGGGAGTAACCAAGAGTCGCTGTGATGACGCTCGGCTCAAACAACGTATCTCCCGGGTGAGCTACGCAAGCTTCGTACGCCCATAGGCTGTATCAAGTGTCAATCATAAAAAACATGAACCCCCTAATAACATTTAAAAATGGAGCTGTACAGAAAAAAGAGGACTTCAGCACAAACCAGTCTTACAATAACTATATGTCAACATCGCAATGAGGGGGGAGAAAAATTTATGTTCTGTGTAATAAATTTCTAAATTTTGTCCACAGCCCCACAGACGGAAGTGGGATTTATGACCAATACTTCAGCCCGTCACCAGGGTGTGCTGTTCTCGGAGTGGCTTCACCCAGCGAGGAGGCAGACTCTGTCCATTTTATATACTGTCTATGAATGAAACAGAATAAATAGATTGTAATATATATGACATTATTTTATATAAACAATACAGTGAATCTGTATCTCTTGCTGTAGATAAGAAAACCCCAGTTGGGTTTTGAGCTCTGGACAGGTCTAGACATTCACTTGACCAGGTTATTGTAGATTAAAAGCTCTGCCCAGACTACAGTGTGGGGAAAGCAAATAGTTCATGCCATCTATCTGAGACTGAACCAGAACCATCTGGCTGTAGTTTTAACCATCTCACCACTGGTCTGCTCAGGTTGATGATACTTTCAGCAGGTTGTAGTGATTGGAAAATATGGTCTGGGCTGAAAAAAAAAAGCAGATACAACATTTAAGCTAAAGTACTGGATTTAAACTCTAAACCAATGATCTTGAAGTCCTAATAACTGCACCACAGTTTGCCTTGTATTTTTCCTCATATAGGTTTTAAAACTCCTTTAATACTGGACCTACATATTGTAAGACACCAGTGCTAGCTGACACACAGAGGGGACACACCGCAAGGTTTCCTTTCCCAGGATAATCCGCTTACTTGTTCAAATTAATTTAATTTACAGTACATTCTGGTTATTTGAATGATCTAATCTAAGTCCAGAACATTGTTGCTCTACACAGGAAGGCCTCTGCTGCAACACCTCAGTTGCAGTTAGAGTGCTGGGGTCACTCTTTATCTCTTTTTCTCTTTTCCCTCTTTTCTCTTGGACATATGTATTTCAGACATTTTCCTTCTGTTTTGAAAGTTATAACTTAGAGAGAAAACATTCAAACAAAAAAGTACGTTTTCATTTAATTGAGGGCCTTCTTCCTTCATTTGGGTCCTGGTAGTCAGTCCCTTTGTCCCCAACCATGACCCCCATGTCTATGCTGAAATAAATTTATTAGATGTTAAAGCAAGTAACATGCCTCATTTTGAATTTTTATTTATTTATTATGTATTTTTTTTTTTTCAATTAATGATAAATCAGTCAAGTTCAAATGTGAGCTTTCCTGGGTTAACTTTGGCCTCCTTTCCCACACTGTATCCTTGTAGGTATCAGCCGGTGAAAAATAATGTTCTGGACCATCTGAATGGGAAGCAAGTTAGCAGCTACTTGCCAGTTAATCAAGAACACTCTAAAAATGTTTGATAATTACCTAGCATTTGTAACACCTAGTTTCATGTATATTACAATGGTCAGCTGATTAGGTACACTGGGTCTTTGTAAATAGAATCTGATCCAGACCAGCTTTTTTTGTTAAGCATCTTGAGATAATACTTGTTGTGAATTGACGCTATGAAAATAAAGATTGATTGATCAATTGACCATCGTTATCATGAATCCATTATACTATCAATCAATCATAGCAGTCTATTGCACTCAATACAATTAGTGCATGACAGTCGTCAGCCATGTAATTTGACACAGAGCTGCAAGACACAGACTAGACAGTTCCTTAAATGATTCATCTGAATAGACAAGGTAATTAAATGGTATTGAGTTATTTTTTTGTGAGTGAACTCATTCTTTGTGCCACCCCTGCAAAAGTTAGAGCTCCAGTTTGACCACCCAGTCAACAAAGTCTGGTCCTGTCTCTTTTCATAAACAGCAAAACTCCAAACAGGGCCTTTTTTTAAAACTGTTGCTTTGAGCTTAAAGACAGTTTAAATGCCAGAAAAGTGCATATTTTATGTTATAAATATGATTATGTAAATTGACCTTCAATAATTTGGCTATAATAACTTGTTTACATTAAGAGTGATGAGAGGGTTTTGTGATAGGTTTTGTGGCTGGAGTAAAAAGGGTGAAGTGAAAATAAGTTGAACAGAATTTAGAGCAGTCTGTTCATGTGACTGCAATAGAAAATGTACTTCATGTACATGTGTTGATGAGTAAAAGGGTGTTAGTCATAGTGGACATGATCAAGATGCTTCTGCGGGAAAAACAGTTTCTTTCACGTGATTGCTGATCCATGATTTCAGAATGTAGCACGAAGCTAATGAAGATGTGGTCTCTTCCAGTCCTGCCCTATTGAGTAAATCACTGACTGGAACAAAAAAAAAAGGTTGATGACTAATCTGTGTTTACTTTTATTCACTCAGCCTCAGCTCTTTGTTTAAGCATTTCTTCAGTGTCAGTGATACGTGACACACCCTGGCCTCATTTCTTTTGATAAAAAATGCTGAAAAAAGCTGACCAAATGGAGCTGAAGTCTTTTGTGTTGATGACTAGTCAGTCAGTTCCTCAGCCAGCATTTAAGTCGTTTGGAGCAGCAAAGTTTCAAGTCAGAGGGAAACTCATGAGGAATTATGCTGCACCCTGAAAAAAATGTGTACTGTCAATTGACTGATGAAACAGGGGCAGATGTTTCTCAGTTATTCACAATTTTGATTCAGTCTTCACAGCCCTGACTGGCAGTGAAGGGCTTTAGATGCTAAATATTTATATTATCATAGGCGTATATTAAAAACAAAGAAACTTGTTCACAGCAGAAAAATTGAACTTTTGCAGCTGACAATCTCAGATAAAGGTCTTTGTAACAGTTTTTACTTTCATACAGTCAAGGTGAAGAAAAAGCTGATTTGGTTGTTCTTTTTTGCTCCTCAAGTCAACCCCAATGAGCCCCAAATCCAGATTACTTCATGTCAGCAAACAGCCTCCACAGATCTGGGGTAAAGGTTGACTCTTGGATCAGTGTATCAAAATCACATCAAAGTAATCAATAGGTTTAAGCAAAAAGAAAGCAAATTTATGAGTGAGTTTTTCTGTTTAACCCCAGAACACTATCGCCAGGTGATTTTCACCCGACCAAACATGTTTACGTGATTTTCATTATGTTGTGTTTGCTTGAGTATCATGGGTCCCTGGGTAGTTTCAGCATTGCCTTTGACACCTTTGAAGGCATATTTGTTTCCCTGATCCAAAACCCGCTTTTTCCTACAGGCACGTGTTCGGGTGATTTTCACCCGGCAATAGTGATAGAGGGTAAAGTAGGTTTAGGTGGATTTGATGGCTGCATGTAGGCGAATAAGGTCAGTAAGAGTGGTCCTGGAATTTGCATGCTGTCTTCATTTAGCGCAGTGGTTATAAATAACTATAAAAAGTAGTGATTTTCAAGGGAATTCATAGTCAGCAGGTCATTTTTACTCACTCTAAATATGCTATATTTTGGTTCTCTCTCCTGCAGCTGTTATTGTGCCAAGGACCCTGAGTCTCCACCAGGGAAGACTCACGTGCCCCAGGAATGGGTAAGAAAAAAAACTACTTTAATTTGTCATGTATTGTCCTATCTTGATTTATTTTGATGACAAGTACTTTTTCTTGGGTATATTATTTCGGGTAAAAATCACCCGGCAAAAGTGATGGTGTTGCTAATTTTAGCAATAGTGTTCTAGGGTTAAATACAATATGTCACCTCATATTAGTTTGTTAATGTCAAACCTTGTAGTATGGCTATAGTCTTCATTCACACAAATTACTGCTGAAGAGGTCCCTAGACATCAAGTCAAATCTCTTATAGATAGATAGATAGATAGATAGATAGATAGATAGATTTGATATTTTGACATGTCTGTACCATTGTGGGCCCTTCCAATCTGAAAAAACAAACAAACAAAAAAAAAAACAGTTACCATCTCCAAATGACTCTTGAACGCGACACATGCTGTTCTCTCCTCTGATTGGTCAGATCAGACCAGCTGGCTGTGACGCTGCAGGCAGGCAGCGGCAGCAGGTGTGGACGCTCAGTGCCTTCTTTTCTTTATTTTGGTGTGATTACTGGCGCCTGCACACTCACGCCATGACGTGTGGTTAGACTGAAGCTGGTTCTTGTCCAGGTCCGGGTGTGAGCCTGTCTGTGCGATTCTCTGTCGAGATGTCATCTTTGGAAAAGGACGGGACCTTCAGTCAGCTCAATAAGTTTGAGAAACTGTCGTGGAGGCCCTCAATTCGCGACTCAGGTTTGTAAACAAAACGAGCAGAACCTGCAAGAACGAGCTGCTTGACAGCCTGTAGAGCAAACTGTGAGCCTGGGGTCAGTGTAGGTAACGATAGTAAGAGTCAACCAAGTCTTTGTGTACACCAGCGTATACGAGCTGCTGCTGACTGTGTGTCATTGCTAACTGCAGGACAGAGGCCAAAGAGGCGAGCTAACGCTGCTACGGAAGCTAGGAGGAATCAGTGGTTCTATCATGTATTCAGTCAATGGGTTGAATAAACCCCCAGCAGGCTTCTACAGCGATATCCTTCCTTTGTTTGCTTTTGTGAGATTGGTAGGTAGAGACAGAAAATCTAGAAACAGCCTTCATGGAGGAGACCCACCAGATTCCCACCACTAATCCTGCTCGGACAACAACCACGGTTTCCAAACACTCGTTAGTTTTTTGTTTAACTCTTTCATTTTTCAGGTAAAAGCCACTATAGTTCTCTTTACAACAGCTGTGAAAGAGTTGAGTTGACCTGTGCTTTCATAGATCTGAAAGTCATGAGTGTGAGTCCAGGCTGAAGTGGACAAAAGGTTTCTTCACAAGGTTGTAAATGGAGACAGAGTCAGCCCACATGAACTACCAGACCCTTTAAAAAGAGCCACTGAAAAGTAAATCATGATCTGTTCATTATTATTTTGAACCAAAGACTTTTAGAGGAGCTTCATCCTGATCAGGATCACAAATTGCATTGTTTTAGCCACTAAAATCTATGCTTTATCTTAACTGTACATATTTTTGTGTTTTATTAACAGGCTCCAAGAAGCGGGCACGGTGGCTTCAGGCTCGGCGCATCTTCTCCCCTTCTTGCCCGAACCTGCGGATCCCCAACAGGTTCCTTAGAGAAGGTACAGAAAGTGCACAACGTCCGTATTGTCTCTCCCTATTGTCTCACTGCAACAGAAACCCTCTCTCACTGCAAAGCCCCACATGTCGGCGTTCATTTTCCTCTACCAGCTGACATATAAGCTCCACCCGGTGTTAAAACATCCAGGTTGTCCTTTCATTTTTGTTTACTTGGATAAACCAGCTTGTCTGGTATTTTTAACCACTTCCCTAGGATGCATTAGAGGCCCACACATAAGTATATTTTTAATGTGTTTAATTCTTTTTCCAATCACTTCAGTCCTTACTGAGAACTTTGTCTGTGTTGTCTTTATCCTTCTTACAGGACACTGTGCCCCCCCAGCCCGGAGCGGACACCGCTGTGTTGCAGACAATGCCAACCTCTATGTGTTCGGAGGATACAACCCAGATTTTGAGGAAGCAGGCGGCTCAGAGAACGAAGACTACCCTCTTTTTAGAGAGCTTTGGCGGTTTCACTTTGCCACAGCGACTTGGCAGCAGGTCCGAACAGAGGGTTACATGCCCACAGAGTTAGCCTCTATGTCAGGTAAGGACCTGGGTGAGCCCCTTTATTTTATTTTTTTAATTTTCTTTTATATTGATTTCACATATCAATGTTCTATCAACATTTTACATATATTGAACAAATTTCCAAGTTTGTAGCCTGAACCAAGGGTATCAATAATCTACAATACACAATACCCTTACTGCACAAAGTCTGCTCTCAACTGAGACACGAAGTCATCCCAGTTTTTCCAGTAGTTTTAATCGTATCTGTTTTCAATCTAGATGAGAAAGTCAGCTTCTCCATTCTATATAAAGATATGCACTTTTTATCACTCAGAACAAGCGGTGTCTTAACTAAAAGTGCACTGTGGAATTTTGGCTGGGAGGTGGTCTGAAGAGCAATGTTTAGACTGGAGATCAAGAGTCTACTTCTTTGTGAATCTTGTGAACACAGTCACAGGATGAACATAACAGGATGAATTTTTATAACCTACTGGAATAATGACGATCAGTGGACAGGCCCCTTCACACTGCGATTGTGGTGTTACCTCTCATGTTAAATGTAAGCCTGTTTACACCCCTCATGTTGTTCAGGGGGTTACGGGGTTCTTTCAAACATTCAGAAAGTTTAAATATGTCCTAAAGTGTTTCCAAAATTACAGCTGTGGATGAAAACTGCAGCATGAAGGAATTCAAACACGAGGCCATAACGCTAATTAGAGCTCAGAGATGCACAGTGAGAACCACTAAACACAGACCTGTTTGACAAAAGATAGCCAGCAGGGCTATTTTTAATGCTTTATCTACACATTGTCTGTTTGCACTTTGTAAGATGTCAAACATGCACTATTCATAAAAAAGACAGTTCACGCTGAATGCGTGTTTGCTTAGTTTGTTCCAGGTCAAAGTAAGTCAAAGTAAAAAAGTCCTATCTAATGGAAAGTTTGCTACACTTTAGTGATAAACCTGTAAAAAATTGCTCCTCGTTTCACAGATCTTTTTATAGTGTGTCACTGCGTATTGATCTGGTGCAAATCTCCTTTGTGTTTTTGTAGATTTAAAAAACTGTTATGAAGATTATATCCAGATGAATAAATCATAGTAGACTGATTATTGTTGATTTATTTTCTCCATCAGCTGTCTTACACGGCAACAACCTGCTCGTATTTGGCGGCACTGGGATTCCTTTTGGTGAAAACAACGGCAATGATGTCCATGTCTGCAATGTTCAGTATAAGCGATGGAATCTGCTCAACTGCAGGGGGAAGAAACCCAATAAGATTTATGGGCAGGTAACAGTGTTTGTCTGTCTCTCTACAGCTGGTTTAGATCAAACTGTAGTTCTAAAGGCCACTCTCTTTGATCGCTCTGTTTTCCTCCAACAAACCTTCATCAGGCTATGGTCATCATTAATGGCTACCTCTACGTGTTCGGAGGGACAACCGGCTACCTTTACAGCACTGACCTTCACAGGCTGGACCTGACCACCAGAGAGTGGACCCACCTCAAACCTAACAACGCACCCTCAGATCTACCTGAGGAGAGGTAAGACAACAGACAGATTTGAATAACAACTATAGAAGCGACTTTTTTTTAACCTGCGCAGAACTAGGCTGAAAATCACTGCTTGGTCTCACAGGTACAGGCATGAACTGGCTCATGATGGACAGAGAATATATATTTTAGGAGGAGGGACTTCCTGGACATCTTATTCCTTGGACAAGGTTAGAAGGATGGAGCACGTATATAATGTTTGATAGAAATGATCCCTCTCCACTTCATTTCATCAGTTAAACTCTGTCTCTTTATCAGATACATGCGTATAATTTGGAGACCAACTACTGGGAGGAAATTGTCACCAAACCTCATGAAAAAATAGGTTTGTGTTTTATTATCACCTTTCCTCTCTGACTATCGCACTGGAAGATTTATTTCACTTTTGTTCACATCACCTTTTGCAGGATTTCCTGCTGCCCGCCGCTGTCACAGCTGTGTGCAGGTCAAAGATGGTGAGAAGGATTTTCACACAGTATAACATGCACACACACATCATTGATTTAAAGCAGGCTTTTCAACCATGTCTCATTCTGTCCACCCACTCAGAGGTGTTTATATGTGGGGGCTATAATGGAGAACTGATCCTCTCAGACCTGTGGAAGATCAATCTGCAGACTTTTCAGTGGACCAAGCTGCCTGCCGTGATGCCAGAACCAGCGTACTTTCACTGTGCTGCGGTCACACCGGTCAGTAAAACATCAGTCCTGTACTGTAATCCAAAACCTATCCTGTTAGCAGCTCCAGACCAGCTTGTCAATATGAATTCATCATCCAGTGTTATCTGGTCTAAAAAAAGCTAAATCTTCTAACATGATTATTATTTCTTGGTGGTTGCAGGTTGTATTAGGGACCCATGGCTTGACTTAATATCTTTGGCCAGTCAAATGCATACAGTGATGAGAATTCAAAGGTTTTTGTTGCTTTAAAGGGATATTCCGTCGTAAAATTAATTTAGGGTCAAACACACCGTAACACCGAGTTAGACACCCCCTCAAGAGATGAATGTTGCTGACCGCTTGCTTCTCTAGTTAGACCAACTTTCGTAACGACTGCATGATAGCAATACACAGCAGTCTGAGGAGCCATAAACAAACTTCAACCAAAAAGCCACTCTATAGCCACAAATAATGCTCAGAACAGCACCTAACTTCATCAAAAGTACATATAGGGTCCCAGCCATAATACTAGCCATCAAACATCTTTTTAACTTTGCCTGATTTCTTCAGCAAAGAGACTAAACACAACTCACTCACTCTCTTCTAGCAGCCGCTTGTTTGTAATGAGACCTCGGGCCAGTCCATTACGGACCACAGCAGGGTGACGCAGCTCAAGGAAGAACATTTATGATCATTTCTTCATGGAAATGCAATCAGACCGAGACGCTAAGGCAGAAGAACTACCGCGTCTGCAAAATGATTAATATTCATCTCTCATAACATTCATCTCTCGAGGGGGTCTCTAACTCGGTGTTACGGTGTGTTTGACCCTAAATTAACTTTACGCTGGAATATCCCTTTAAGTGAATACTAATATAGTGTTAATTGAAAATGGGTAACTAAGATGGATTAAAATGAAACATTTTCATATTTTATTTTCTAGCATCTTTTTGAGAGTAGAAATGTAAAAAAATTCTCAAGTTGCTGTCATCAAGTCTACACTTTTGTACCTATTTTTCATTGATGATTTTTAGGGTTGGTGCGTTGCAAAGGATGTTCACAGATGCCTGAATTCTCACTACTTGTGAGTTTTTATGTATTTAGAAACTGTCATGAGAACTGCAACTGTAAAAGAGCTGTGTACCAGTACACACTTCATTTTCCATGGGTTCTTAAATGTTTAGAGACCTGTAAAAGAAGTTTTCACACAATTTTTGTTAAAACCTGATATCAAGAGTTTTGCATTTGGGCTTTTTGAGAAAAAAAAAAACTTTTGGTGGTTGATTCTCTAACTTCTAATTTCTGCTCTCTTCCAGGCGGGCTGCATGTACGTCCATGGCGGAGTGGTCAACATGTCCGGCAACAAGAGGACTGGCTCCTTGTACAAAGTGTGGCTGAGGGTGCCCAGCCTGCTGGAACTGACCTGGGAGAAACTGCTGAAAACCTTCCCTCATGTAGCCCAGCTGTCCACCCTTCAGCTGCTCAGCCTGGGACTGACACACACGCTGATTCAGCGGCTCAAGTAGATGGAGCTCAGAGACTGGAGGAGGACCGCATGTGATGGGACTGCATCAACACTAAAATGACCCAGCAAAAACGGATTTCGTGAGGATGGAGAAAGTCTGATGATGTCATGAAAAAGGTTTTGAATGCCTTTTTAACTTTAGCCTTTGGTAGATGAGTTTTTTTTTATTGTTTTTATCTCATGTGTGTGTCTGATCAGTTTCTCTGTAGAGGAATGTGTCAGAGTTGACTTTGCACACATCCATCAGAAGCTGTCACTCTGCTCCTTCCTTGAACTCTACCTACTCCAGAAGTTTCCTGAGTTTTGGGTCCACTATTTTTTTCCTGTTTTCATTTTTTTATTCTTTTTTGCAACACAACTCTCACAGGAGTTAGCTGTGCATGAGTGGGAGCAATCCATTGCAAAAAAAAAAAAACTTCTTAAAAGGCTAAATGAATGTTGCTTCTGCTTGTGTATTTGTAGCTTCCCCGCAGATTAGCTGGATTTTCTGTCGCTGCAAAGACAACACGCTGCAACCCACTTTTATACTTATTTCATGTTCAGTCAGCTGCTTCTACATTCACTGTGAGATGATCACATAGGAAAATTACTGATATAACCTTAAATGTCCATTTTGTGAATCGAAAAACAGCCAAACTCTCTAAAGCACAAGTGACACTGGCTGTACACAGTCGAGCGTTAAAGTAGGTGTATTATTTGAAAATAACTAAGTCTGAAAATAACGTTTTGATTACAGCATCTTGGTTAACTTGAAAATTGCTCTTTTGAATGGTTTGATTAGGCCCTGTGATTGTTACTATGGCGTCACTGTGACACTTGTGCCTCTTCGTTTTTTAAAGCATGAAGATTTGGACATGAATCGTTATACCTGTTGCTTCACGGTGATCCTCGAGCCTTTTTGTTTACTCATTTAGTGCCTTCTGTATTTCCAAATTGAAAACGCTTTTGCTTTTTGTGTCTGTTGATCGGTCTTTTTCAGGTTGTTCCTTTTTTTCCATGACCTGCACATGTAGCTTTTCTACCGGGCTCTTTACAGATGAGCCTTTTATGACTGGTTAATCTATTCAAGGACCATCAGGACATACTACTTTACTTAAAAAAGTTTGTTACATATTTATTTAAATCACTCTGCTTTTGTTTTTATGATTATACTCTGAATTGTAGCAGAACTGCATTGTTTTCCTCCTGAGTTTAGTCTCGTTTTACTTGCTGACTTTTGCCTGAAATCCATTTTTACCTTTTATTACTGTAGCATAGGCTGTATTATTTTTTATCTTTTTAATTTTTTCACTCATGGTCTTGTTTTTCTGAAGACTGCTGTTGTGCTGTGGTACTGAAAAGATAGTTTGTATGGGGCTTTGTTATCTAGTAACGAGGTAGAGCACATACAGTGCACTCAGGTTGTTTGATACTGTGATCAGACTCAGTCTGCAGGGCTCTGCAAACAAACAAGACTCAGCTGTTTATGTGAGCCTCGATATGGGTTTGTTGAGATCTTTGGTCACTGTGGACTGTAAATCTTAAAACTTTAAATTCCCAGCCGCTTGAGTGGAGTCGAGTTTGCCTTTTTTTTTACTCATCTTCTTTCCTTTGAGTTTAAATTTTCCGCAATAGTTAATTTCACACATTCACTGTAATTGTTGGCACACTGCTAGACTCACTCACCTGAAACTCTGTGTCATAGAACTCATATTTATATCTTCTTGTGAAGCAGCAGTCTGCTGCAGTATGCGCTCTGACTTGATAAGTGTAATGCCTCGCTCCAGATAGAGAGGTTAATATTTGCATCATTTTTGATGTTCAAGTGAAATGGTCTCTTTTGCATGTCAGTATGGTGTGCATGTCACTTTACATAAAACTCTTGGGAGAGAAGGTGAATGTCTCCTCAAAGGCACTTGTGGCTGTAATGTACAGTATGTTTTGTAATTCCTGTCTGTACAAACAATAAAGACACAGACAGCCCATTTTTCAAAATGTTTAATATTGTTATTTTTTGTTCTCAGCACTGCCAGCATGCTACTCTACCCATTTAGAGCTATCAGGAGTTTATTAAAAATATTTTTACTTATCTAATTTTCCCATTTTGGAATTAAAGAGCATATAAAAGTACAACCGTATCTTAGATAAACGACCATTAGCGCAGAACTGCTATGTAACATGGTCCATCCTCGTGTAAAAATACTGCTTTTCTTTCTGTCAACACACTCTACAGGAAATATTAGAAGTCTGAAGACACATAAATGGACTGCAAACTGCATTTTACAGGATTTGGAGTGAAACGTTTAAGGACTCAAGGCAAGTACCACCCTATCATTAAAACACAGAGGGTGGAAAAAGATATATACTTTAGTAAACAGCATAAGAAAACCATAAAAGGCATGGAGCAGGATTCACTCCCTTTCAGTGATTTAGTATCCTCCATGCTTTTAAAAAAAGAGAAACTCCAGCTTTAAGGTATCAGCCTTGCAATGCAGGTAATAGACCAACATGATGGATTCCTGGCCAATGAAAGAAAGGGTTAGTCCTGAAGTCAGCAGCCAGCTGGAGATGGAGCGTAGTAATACAGAGCCAGAAGGATAAGATAGACGATCACCAGAGCAGTACCTGATGCAGAAACAAAGGAGGAAATAACATGAGTTTACATGAGCATGAGAGGCCTACAAAAGCAACTAACTCAAATGAAACCATAGTGAAGCTCTGATGCAGGCAGGATTACTGGTTGAGTCTGTTCATTAGTTTAACTGAGTTATCTGGATAACTTTTTGAAATGCCTGACAACAGACAGAGTCCTCTCTTGTTACATTTGCATGAGTCTGAACAAAGCCATGGAAACTCTCGGGACATTAAGTGATTATTAAAACTGTAGTTGCAATTCAGCTACATTATTCTGATGCATTACTTAACCATAATAATTTCTAGTGCAACAACTGCATAATCCACATCCTGTAACAAGACTTCTTTTATGGATTAAAGTGGAGTTTTACAGCTTACAATAACATTCAAATACATCTATGATGACTTACAGTAATGTTAAGGTTTCATCCCAGAAAAAGACATTATTGCTGTAACCGGCACCACAAACATGAGGGGATCTTTGTATAATCAAACATGATTACTGTCTGTAATTCTGTTTTAAAACCTGGTTCCTTTTTTGTTTTGGAAGATTTATAACTAAGTGAAATGACCCTGAAGTGAAGAGTAAAGGAGCATGAACACTTCCTATATTCTCTCCTTAAACAAAAAAAAAACAAAACAAAAAACAAACTCAAGACTGTCCTCCTGAAAGTCATGAAACAGATAAAACATGAACATTTGTTAACCATGGTTTAAATGACTACATAAATATTCATCTGTGATGGCGGACTATCCTTATTTGCAGTTTATAGTGCTTCATACATTTACGTGGCTGAATGAATTAACATGATGGGATTCTGTAGTCCATGCTCGGTGGATTGTAGTTTTTACACAGCAGATTCATGTGATATTAGTAACATCCACGTAAAGCAAAAGGAGTCTGTTTTCTTTTCCTAACCTCTTATATACACCTTTCCATGACCCAGTGATGTTTCCTATCAGGGTTGAGGAAAAGACGGTGTACATTTTGGATTTCTTGACTGCACCTTCATTTTTCCACAAGGGGGCAGCACATCAACAAGTTTGTAAAAAACAAGTTTCTTCTCTAACTAACTAACTAACTAACTAACTAACTAACTAACTAACTAACTAACTAAATAAATAAATAAACTCTTACCCTGAAAGTAATCGGACTTGCCATCCATGAAGATATAGTTGACCAGGATCACACTGAAGATACTGGCCCACAGGTGCAGGTCACTGAATAACAGTGCAAAGCCCACATCCTATCCCAAACAGAGGGAATGTTTGAGTACATAACATAGGTTCACACCTGTAACCACATGATTAAATACATAAAAAATAGAAAGGAGGGGCTCTCACATAGAAGGCGTTAAATAAGACCAGGATTGGAATCTGTAGCATGCAGACCTGAACAGCAATACAGATTCCCACCTCCAAGCTGAAAAACACAAAACACTCAGGTAAAGATACCAACTTTTTAAGTCTTTACAGGCTTTTGTATTCAAACAGGATTTACCTCAGACTGATGTTGTTTTGAAGAGCAAACTGGATCCCATTAACAATCTCTGGGATCTCAGGAACCATCGCTAGAATGGTCACTCCAATAAAATACTGTAAAAAATGAAAATTAAGTGTTGGCACAGCAGGAAACGTTAATTAAAAAAAAAAAAAAAAAGTCTGATGCATGTCCTGACCTGAGAGACATTGGGCTGGTTGAGTATGGGCTGAATGTGCTCTGTGGCTAGATCAGCACAAGCAGACGTGAGAACAGTGGCCAGGATAAGGATGACCAGAGACCTCCAACGAGACCAGTGGACCACTGCTCCATGGTGCCCCGTCTCTGCAAAGACAAATAAAGAGATGATGGTTTTGAAGCACTAGAGAATTTGAAGATTGGAGAGAGTAAACAGAGATAAGGGAGACTCCTACCCTGCCTTTCTCCAACCTGGATGTCATAAATGTGCGAGTGTGTCTTCAACGTGAATATCAGACCGATGATGTAGGCAGCTGGTAAGAGGGCAGATATTGTGTACACGAGTGGCCTGACAAAAAAATAAAAAGGCTCAGGGTAACTGAAAAGACATCTATGTCTGGTAAATGATAAATAAATGAACAAAATATGGCACAACTTACTGGACATGGCTGTGAAACAGTGTGCCATTGTTCTGTTGGGAGAGAAAAGAACATTGTATGTAACAGAGTGTATGGACCCTACATTATATTAATTTTTATGATAATAATAATAATAATAATGATAATAATGAGACAAATGTCACTGACCAGATCGTAGTGACAGTTGTGACAGACAAACGGCCCACTGCTGCCATTTCCCGTGGTTGAGTTAGTGCAGGCGTCACATACCAGGTTTCCATAAGCCTTGGAGAAGAGCGTTGGAGCAAACACGCCTGAGGGTGAGAAGTCAGTGGGATAAGTCAATGTGTAATTGGGCAATTAGACTGTTACCTCACTATTTCTTGAAGAAATAACTTTTTATGGTTTACACTGTTGCAGTAAAGTACTGGAAGTCTTTGGTAAGTTCATATTAATGGTTCATGGTAGGTTAGTAAGAGTGCCTTGTTAGATTTACAACTCGTCCCTAATATGGATTTATTATAGGAGCCAAAGAAAAGACTCGAAAGTAGCATTTCCCTCCATGTAAACTTCTCGGTGTGAAACTTCATTCAGTAAGATTTGGGCATCTTTAGTGAGTCCCACTGCAATCATATTAATATTGTGTCCTATACTGGCATCATGCATGTCCCCTCAGCCCACAGCCATTAGAATAAAACTAATCGAGGAACTTGATTTTGATTAGAAAACCTGAACAGATCAATAAATTGAGGTGCATCAGTTAAATTTCCTCTCAGTTAAAGGGGACCTGGCAAAAGTATGGTAAAATCCTGTTTCAGAATTGTAACGTGAAATCCTTTTTTTAGAAGCCAAGGTGAATTTTTGTTGCAGTTTAAGAAGAGAGAAGGGAAATCAGGAGTTTCAGACAGTTTATGAAAAAAATCTAAACAGGAAACAACCACCAGCTGGTTTGCATGCACCAAGATTGGTTGTACACTTCATTTTCTTCAGAGGGCAAAAATCTTTTTTTTTTCAGCAGGATTGTCCCGCTTGTTTTGTGCAAACAGAATGACCGCACAGCTTCACCTGTCTGAAAATCTGCATCAAACTTTACACAAACAAATGAGTTTGTCAGTGAGTTAGGAGCTGTTTGATGTTTCTGAATGTTTGATATTTCATAATAGCAATGTGCCACATTCTGCATATTTATGATCGAATACTTGCCTCCGACAGAGATAAAAAGCAAAGCAGCGCTCACTCCTGTTGATCGACTGTTGAACGTTTGCTCGCTGTGTTTCAGCCCTCCGATGATCATGCAGATGCCCTAAGAACAGAGAGCCATGTTGTTATCATGCTGCTCAATACCTATTTTGTTGCACATAAATGAATCCCAGATCTAAACTAATATTGTCTGTTGAAATTGTTAGATTTTAACACAAACACAGCTCAGCTCACAGGGATGAAGAGGATGCATCCCAGCAGTGTGCCGGTCAGCGCCGCCTTCACAACCTCCTGCAGACATGGGTTTCCTGCCTGGTGGCCTCTGAGCAGGGCTGTGATGTAGAAGGTCAACTCTGTGATGGAGCCAAAGCTTGCGTTCACCACTGCACCCACAGCAAAGTTACTCTGCGCTGAGATACTGAGAGTGACGACAGCAAAGAGAGAGAAAATAAGTGACTTCAATATTTTGGTTGACTGAAACTAATTTATAAATCAACATATTTCACTGATGAATTTAAAGCACAGGAAACAACTCACCTGGCGATGCCCATTCCAATATAATATGACAGAGGAATGATGGAGCAGATCGCTACGGCAAACTTGACGTCAGAGGTGGCGTACTTGTTTTCTCTGTCAATATATCCAATTACCATAGCAACTATTACTAGGGGGAGTAGGTCTGAGATGAAGGTCAAAGATTATAAGGATTTTATATACCAAACACACACAAGTACTTCAGATATTTTGGTAAAGGATACTGACAGCAAACACGTTGATCCCATCTACAGTGTACTTATAATAGTACCAGTTTACAGCATGGTAGCAGCACAGAAGAGCTCTGGACTCATAGCCGTCATGCTAATGGTTAAAAAAAACAGTGAACAAACAGACAGGGTATTAGCACTGAAGCAGCAGTGATTAGGTCCGAGTTATCTATCATGAAGGAATCATTACAAATTGTACCCCAGCCTTCCTCTGTGAGCATGATGAGACGGAGACATCCTCAGGGGCTAAAAGAAGAATAACACCCAGGGTTCGTGCATTCATCTTAGAAACGGGGATGGTGAAGACCAGGATCCAGGACAAGAAGCAGGCCAGGGAGTGCACAACTATCAGAAGAGGATAACCTAGCAGCAGCCAAACATATGTGGAGAAACGGCGCTGCAGAAGAGGACAACCCATTAAAAACACACTGTAATTGACTTTTAGTGAAGCAGAGATCAAATATCGTAGAAACTGGACTGGATATTTTTAAAAGTTACCCAGTAGGGAGTTCGGTATGGTAATGCCGGAAACTCTGTGATTGGCATCTCTGTAGATGGGGGCAACAGGACTGGTGAGGTATCTTCTGTTCCCTCTGTGTTACACTCACAGTCAGGCACTCGCTCACAGCATCTTTCTATTGTGTTTCCAAACTGAGACAGAAAAACAGCAAACTTTAATGTCTGAATGATAAAGAACTTACCAAGATAAACAATAAAACATAAACCAAAAGAAAGAACTGTAATGATATGTTCAAAGAAAACTGCATGTATATATTTGATTACACAAATCAGATTTCAATCTGTCTTTACTCAAGAATATAGAAATCAAACAGTTCAGGATTGTGAGCTGCTGCTGACTAACTGTGCTTGTAAGTGGTAAATGAAAATCAGATGATCCGAGACACTAATGAAGCAAGGCAAAAAAAAAGACTTAACCATCTCTTGTGGAAAATAATGTGGCTGAGACTGACTGGGTAATCACATTACAGGATCTGAGATGTTCGTCGTACGCCCTGGAAATATCATGCCATCACCACTTCCTCCTTGTCCAGGATTAATCTTCAATAAATATCGAACTGAAATCACTGCAATGCAGCTCTTCATAAATAACACAGAGAAACTGACGCTGTTCAGGCAGTGTGAATATCTGTGAATCACATGACCTTTCACAGGATTGCTACTGTTACAGATAACGCAAGATTAGGCAGAATTGCTCAGACAGTGTCTGTCTGGGTGCTTGTTAATGTTGGGGGCATATAGACTGCTAAACCAGCTGGACCATAGAGAGTTTCATTTTAACGTCCTGCAGTGCATGTTCATAGTGGTGATGAGAGAATCATTGGCGAAGGAAGACAGTGAGTTTTGTTTACTTAGAGCAGATTAAGTTTGATTAACCACAGTCAGAAATGGCAGAAGAATACTCATGAGAATATTTTTGAAGTTTGCTCATCTTTATCTTTACTCAAGTAAAAACTCAAGTTGATAGGGACAGCGATAAAAGGAACAGATTTCAAACATCAACAGGAACCAAATGGTACCTCATGGATGACCTTGCCGAATGGCCACAGGAAGTAACAGGACAACTTTAAGCAAAGCTTTCCTGAAAAGTGAAAGACGAGAAGGAATGAGACCATGTCTGATTGACACCATCATTACACTCTGCAGACTAGCTCACCTACCGTACGGTACACCAGCGATGGTTATGAACATCAGGAGGCTGACCAGGAAATACCCCAGAGAGACCCACCAGCCGAAGAGAAACACGTACCCTATATTTCCACATGTGATGAGATTACCTGAAACAGGAACCAACAAAAACTGTAAGTGAGAGTGAGCTCTTCACCACCAGGCACAATACTGACGGCTGTAGTGACTAAAGTAATCACAGAACAGAAACTGTGCAAAACCATTAAATGTACCTGAATGCGGTTTTATGATGTTCAGTTCAGAGTAGAGCTCTTTAACGACCTCCGACCTGACTTCAAACGGGCGCTCTGTCACGTGGCTTTTCCATTTCCTGAAACCAAACTAACATTCACAGACGTAAATTCAGGGACGAGGAGCATTCAGCCTGCTGTGATGCACTCAAAACCTCTTTTAATTTAAGAATATTAACATTTATCTCCAGACTTACCCTGTAGTTGTTCACCAGTTTATTTGCTTCCACTTCATTTTCTGCTCTGATGGTCCTCTTGCTTTGAACCTCTGCCCAGCCGTCATCGTAAGCGTGGTGGCTTGGACCTGTAGCGTCCAGCAACGACACAACAAACACATAGATTAGCCATAACATTTGAACAAACTATGTAACTATATGCAACAGTGTAGGTACCCAGTACTCACATGCATGTGTAGAGATGCATTTAGTTGCACACAGGGAAGGGCAGACAGTGTGATGAGTAAACGGAGTGTAAGAGTCTGTTGAATTGAACTGATCCCCACACAGTCGCTCACTGCTCAGCTCATGATTGTTACCTTCCTGGGGTTCATGCTGCAGCGAGGGATCTGCAACAACAAGCAGAACACTATTTAGATTTGTTACACTTAAAAGATTTTTATTTATGGTTACAAAGGCTAAAATATTCGGAATTAATCGAAAACTTTCATTTAGTGAAAACACAAAGGCTGTATGCAGAGAGAAAATTACAAGTGATAAAGAGACAAATGTGGCCTGAAGTTGTGACCTCTGAGTGTGTTTGATTATCGCACAGTCATCTGTTCTGCTAGCAAACAGCATTATTTAGGCTGTTTTTTTTTTTTTTAGGTTTATCTTCAGACATCTCTGATTATAGCCCAGAGGACAGACAACCTAAAGAAAGACCTTAATTGCTTTAATCAAATCACAGTTTTCTGGTAACATATCAGGTCTAGACCACCAACTGGGTTTAAATCTAGACAGCGCCCCTCCATCACCTCATGTGAGAGATTTTATGCAGATATTGTGCTACTGGAACCACGGCCTGCACAGAAAGGATGTGGCTTGTGAAGAGGTGAGACTATCGTTGCACCAACTCCTTCCCTCTTATCAAAACCAAGCCAAAAACAACTTGCTAAGTACTGCTGGTTAACTCTGGAGGACTGTTTTGCCTTCAGCCCACCAAAAAATGTCACGCTGTTTACTAACACCAAAAGGGTCTTCACTGCAGCCAGTTAACAGGGGGAGCTCTAAATCTTTTGGCACCACTATATGCTGTTTATGTTTTTACACAGCTGCATGTTACTCTGTAAAAAAGCAGCTCTGGATGTAGAATAGTAGAATTATTTCAGCAAGTGATCTAGCTTTACATTGCCTTGTCCTTCATTCAAATATGACATTTATTAAAAAGAATAAGTTCATCTTTAAATGGACTTAAATTTGATAATTTATTAGAAAAGACAATGAGGCTTCTTGGAAATCTTGAGCTGTCAAGACAATCCTTTGTCTTAAGAACAACATCCTCATGCACAAATTTGATGCTGGTCTGTGTCAGTTACACAATCTGTCTGCCCTGCAGCTCTCTCATTGCAATGCAGAGTCAGACACTGAGTGTAACTACCAATAACATATACTGCACTGCTTAGAATTACACCCAGCACAGCATTCATAACAAAGACCTAAGTAATAAACTCTCATGACTTTTAACAGGACTCAAGGGAATTAACTTCTGTTACATGGTTTGGATATGTAAGTGACAAACTTCCCCTTACATCCAAAAAGTGTTATCATCTAGACTGCCCACCTCAAACTGCCTCCAACAGTCCGGCAGCAGCTGGATTTGTTCAGCAGGGATCACAGCAGCATGACTGCAATTAACTAAGGGGCAAATTGCCTGCAGCCATCCAAACAGTTTTATCTCTCACATGATAAATACTTGATGAATGACGGATTCCGACCAACCACTCACATCTCAACACAACTGCAACTTTTGACTTCTCCTTTTGAACTTTTCGAAACAGCGTGCACACATTTGAGGTGTCTTGTTTTGTTTCCTCTTTTAATGCTTCCTGCATGGGACTTCGAAGAAAATTGTAAAATCAAAAACCAGTGATTTTGAACAAGATGCTAACATGAAATGGAGAGAAAAAATCTGTATGGGGCATAAAACTATTACTGCGTTCACCTACAAGTGCACTTACCAGCTGCTGTGATGACTAGTTAATCAATAAGAAGCTTTAAACAATTTATTTTTGCAACACAAACGTGTTTTAAGCTGTTTAAATTGAAGTATTTTTATTTATTTTGCAATTTTTAGACAAAAAAAGTAATTTTGAGACAGCCTGCTCCACTGCTCTGCTGATCAAGCTGCAGCCCCATTTTCCCAGAATAACTTATGTCTATCTATTCTGTATCAATCTCTCTCACACACACACACACACACACACACACACACACACACTCAAAGAGAGCTTTTATTGACGTATTGGTACAGACAGTGCTGGCTGTATGCGCGCATGCACGCATGTACACACACACACACACACACACACACACACACACACACACACACACACACACACACACACACACACACACACACACACACACACACACACGCACACACACGCAGTGGGGGGCGTGGGGCTCGTAATAATCAATACGACGTGACTGTCTTACAGTGACTGAAGCTACAACGAACAGCATAAATTGTCAGTTTTCGTCAAGCGTACATGATATCCCGATACACAACGCCACACCAACATATAGACGGATTCCAAATGGTGAATAAATTCACGTTGCTTTCATCAGCCTGTTACAAATAAAGTTCTTCCAACTGCTAGAAAAAGAGCTGTAGCCCACCTTGTGCGTGTTCAGCCGGCCTCCTCCTTCGACTTGACGTGTCCGAGCTGTGTGTGGATGAAACAGACATTTTTAAAACACCTTATACTCTTAAATCCTCTAGTCTGTCAGCTGGTCTGAACCGCTCATATCCACAGACGCTCTCCGTCCGTCGCTCTGCTCATGCGAAGGCATTGGTTGACGGGGATTTACATCGAAAGGAATTATGGGTAGTGTAGGCCGTCGCGGTAGAGTCACTCAAAGAAGTAAAAACTGATAAATAATTCTTTGAAAAATATGTTTATTTGTATATTTATTAAATTATTATTATTTGGAAGAAACTTTTGACATTTGGTTTATGAAAATGCCTTACTAAGTCTTGTATTCACAGTATGTTTACACTGATTAAGGCTTTGTATGTATTACAACTTTAAATAGTCCATGAAAAAAAAGGAAAGAAAGAAACCTTAAGGTTTATCTACAGTAGCCACTGTGCTGTTTAAACAGGCTTTTAAAAGTCTATTCTTGAGTGTTTTATGGCTGACAGTCCTTTGAACAACAGGATCATATATTTTGCAACTCATCCAATGTGATTGTTTTGTATGAGCAATCAGGGCACTAAAGGCCACAGAATGATGTCACTATGTCACATGTTTGACGACCTTTTACAGAAGAATGTAGACTATTGTACCAATCACAAAATTCGTTATCAGCATGATTTTGTACTTTACCTCTGTAAATCTGTCTATAAAGTATATTGTCTACTCTTTTGACAGGGTTGTACGAGACACATTGTCCAGCCTGCCCCCATAGGACACTGCTCCAAGTTGCCTTCTACTGCCATCAAGTGTAATTAACCTGGCATTGTAGGTTTAATCTCAAAAAGCCTATCTTAATTTCCAGTGTACCTCTCTTTTTGTGCTATGGGCTTCTATGACTTAAAATCACTTAGATTTCTCTGATAACATCAAATCGAGAATGTAGTCCAGACATTATTTATGGCATGGCAACATTATATATAGAAAATGTCAAAATTGTATCTCATCTTTTGTTTGTATTTGAATATTTATATTTTTAAAAAAGATTTTTGGAGGTACTTTGGTTGAAAAATATTTTATATGTTTAATTATTATTATTTGTATCTTTGTGTTAACTTCAAATATGAGAAGTACAGAACTGTTTTACTGTCTTTCGATTAACAAAGGCTGACAAGCTTGTTGATTTAAATAAGCCAGTTTAGACAATACCAGCTGATTTCATAACATTGTGAAACCATAAACTACAACTGACTTATTAACCAGTAAAAAAAAAACCTTGAACATGTGTGTCTGAATCTGATACTCTGTCTTTGTAAATTCTAATACTGTTTTGCATAAAGCTCAGTAACCCTTTAAATGGTCCAATTGGTTTAAAACTTTCAATGAATGTAAGCAAAGATTGATCAATAATTTATACACAGTCATGATCATATAAATGAAGATTATAATGGCCCCAAACTTAATAAAGTAGTCCCCAACAACCTTGATGACAGTCTCCCTCTGAATATTATGCACAGATTAAAATCATTTTATTGTAATAGTGCCACCTACTGGTAAGTTATAGTAAGCTTTACATGGCAAATATCAGTGGGCAACTATTGATTTTACTGTATGCTCTCATCTCATGTTGTGTTCAAAAGAAACAGCAGTAAGGATTATTTTGACTGTTCATTGTCTGGTAAATACCTCTCGCAGCCCTGTGTGAAATTAGATGTACTGGGGTAGAACAATTTAGAAACAGACAGGGATATGGAGCCAAACTTATTGTTTCGTTTCCCGTATGGAAAAACCTCAAATAGATGTCTTTAAAATGCATCAAAGCTATTATTACTGATGCACTGTTGGAACGGAAAAACACCATTTGCCTGTGTTGACTGTGATGGCATTGTCCTGTAAGTAAATGGACAGCCTAATCTTTAAAATCAGCTCTTGCAAACAGTGTTATTGTATTCTTACTTAAATTGTCAGTCTACTGTGGCTGTCAGGCAAAGGATGTACTAAGTAAAGAAAAAGAAAAAAGAAAAAAGAGGTTTGTGTCCTCTCTTTTGTGATTTTTTCGTCTTCTCAGTGTCATAAATCTATGACCTTCACAGTTAAAGACTGCTTTCTTACTACCCGTAAAGGCCTCCACAGTGTACATTGGCAAAATAAACAGCAGACAAATAACTTGTGAGGTCACATGGACCTTAGGAAGGTTGGTGTGACCTAAATGTTTGACTTGTCAGTTCAATTTGATGTCACAATGATGGCCAACTCAGTTATCAAAACACATGTTTTATCCTCTTGTCCCACTTGAACAAATGGTTCTTTGGACTTATCACAGCATCCTCTTGACTTACTTTAAAAAAAACATGAGAAATTAACCTCTAAAAGTTATAAGTGGCTGCTGAAAAGATAGCTTGCTGTGATTGGTGGTGATGTGGCCTCAGAGGAGGAGTTTCCTTGTAACATTAAGCTTAGTGGCTTATAAGTCTTGCAGCACATTTTTTTGGAACGATCAGACTCCTGGTGAACCATGGCACGGCAATGGACTGCCATTTCTTTCCTTGTACTGGCACTGCTAGGGTGCTTACTTTGGACGGAGGTAAGTGCCCAGGATTCATGGCAGAAACCTGCAGTATCTGTGTCAAAGGTCGCTCCACCTTCTCAGACGAAGCAGGTTTATCAACTTCCACCAAAGGCTCCTCAATATCCTCAAGTGCAACAGGTCAAGGCTCCTCAACTTCCTCAGGCTCCTCAGTATCCACAAATCCAGGCTCCTCAACTTCCTCAGGCTCCTAAATATCCACAAATCCAGGCTCCTCAGATGCCTCAGGCTCCTCAACTTCCTCAGACTCCTAAATATCCACAAATCCAGGCTCCTCAGATGCCCCAGGCTCCTCAACTTCCTCAGGCTCCTAAATATCCACAATTCCAGGCTCCTCAGATGCCTCAGGCTCCTCAACTTCCTCAGGCTCCTCAATACCCACAAATCCAGGCTCCTCAGATGCCCCAGGCTCCTCAACTTCCTCAGGCTCCTAAATATCCACAAATCCAGGCTCCTCAGATGCCTCAGGCTCCTCAACTACCCCAGGCTCCTCAATATCCACAAATCCAGGCTCCTCAGATGCCCCAGGCGCCAAAATACCCTCAAATACCTCAAGTACAAGCTCCTCAGATGCCCCAGGCACCAAAATACCCTCAAACTCCTCAGATCCAATCTCCTCAGATGCCCCAGGCTCCTCAATACCAGAAACCGCCACAAGTGCAAGCTCCTCAGATGCCCCAGGTGCCAAAATACCCTCAAATACCTCAGGTACAAGCTCCTCAGATGCCCCAGGCACCAAAATACCCTCAAACTCCTCAAATGCCCCAGGCTCCTCAGAACCCTCAAAGGCCACAGGTCCAACCTGCTTCCCTTCCAAGGTATCCTCAATTTCCTCAAGCACCACAGTTGTCTGGGAGTCCTCAAATATATGATGATTTTCAGTCTCCCCAAGAGTCAGGGGCCCCTCATTTGCACCAGCCACAGCAGCCATCTGGGCAAGAGCAACCACATCAGCCATATCAGCCCTATCAGCCTCAGCAACCGAATGATCCGCAGCCGCAATATAAACCTTATCAACCACATCAACCATCTCAACCATTTCAACCATATAAACCATCACAACCATCTCAAGGATATCAATCACCCCAGGAACAACAGCAACCATCTGCACCGCAGCAACCAAATCAACCACAGCAACCATATCAGCCACAGCAACCATATCAACCACAGCAACCATATCAACCCACATCCCCACAGGCACCTTCTGTGTACAAGCCCAGTACAAATAAGCAGCCGTCTTTACAGAGATGTGAGGTTTTAGAGAGCCAGAAAGTCCCGTGTGGGGGTCCTGATATCTCTGCTGCTGCTTGTGAAGCAATCAGCTGTTGCTTTAATGGTGGACAATGCTACTTTGGAAAAGCAGGTGGGTCTTTCAACATACTGTTTGTTCTTATTCCTGGACAAGTATAATACACATTACATAGTCTCTTGTATCAAGTAGACCCACATGCTTTACTTTTCTTTGTTCAACAATGTCAAATCATTTTAGCTACCCCTGTCTGTTTTTGTGCCTCCAGTAACTGTCCAGTGTACCAAGGATGCCCAGTTCATTGTAGTAGTGGCCAGAGATGCCACTCTGCCCAACATTGATCTTGAGACAATCTCACTGCTGGGAACAGGTCAGGGTTGCTCGCATGTTGACTCTAATTCTGGCTTCGCCATCTACCAATTTCCTGTCACTACTTGTGGCTCTGTTGTTATGGTGAGACCTCTTTATATCCACTTTTCATCCAAATTACATACTTCTGGAGGTTGAATACCCAACTGCATTTTATTTTCTAAATTTTCTAGGAAGAGCCAGGAGTCATAGTCTATGAGAACAGGATGTCATCTTCATATGAAGTTGGAGTTGGGCCACGTGGAGCCATTACCAGGGACAGCCATTATGAGTATATGATCATTCTTTTCAAAATTTAATTGAGTCCAAATGTATGTTGTGATCAAAAAACATAAAGTAAGTCATCTTTTCAGGTTGCTCTTCCAGTGTCGGTACACGGGCACCTCTGTTGAAACTGTGGTTGTACAAGTGTTGCCACTGGACAACCCTCCTCTACCTGTTGCTGCACTGGGACCCATCAGAGTAGACCTGAGGTTGGCCAATGGACAGTGCAATACAAAGGGCTGTAATGAAGGTGTGTGTGCCAGCTGAACAGTGTTGTCAATCATTTCATGTTGCTGGTTGTCATAGTAACTGGTATCTTTGCTTTCACAGAGGATGTGGCCTACAGCTCTTTCTACACAGAGGCAGACTACCCTGTGACCAAAGTACTGAGGGACCCTGTGTACGTGGAGGTTCAGCTCCTTGGAAAGACGGATCCAAACCTTGTCCTGACCCTTGGACGCTGTTGGACAACCACAAGCCTGAACCCTCACAGTTTTCCCCAGTGGGACATTCTGATAGACGGGTAATAACAAAACCAGTTCCATTGTCTGACTAAGATTTCATTTCCCTTAAAACTCATGAATATTAAAAGTTTACGGATCTTCATAGGTCTCATGGAAATTTAAGATACTGACCACCGTTACCTGACCTTCGTTTTGTCACCATCAGGTGTCCATACAGAGATGATCGCTACTTGTCATCTCTGGTTCCAGTGGGCCCCTCCTCTGGTCTGGACTTCCCAAGTCACTACCGGCGATTCATTTTCAAAATGTTTACCTTTGTGAACCCTGAGTCAATGGAGCCCATGAGGGAACAGGTAGTTACTCATTCATTCATTTTTACATTTATATATTCATTCAATCAATCCAAATACATGAGAAACGGATGAAAGTAAGTTTTCACTCAGCTAACACTGTTTCTCTTCTTCAGGTGTTCATTCATTGCAGTACGGCTGTTTGCACCCGTGCAGCAGGTCACTCTTGTGAACCTTCATGCTTCAGAAGAAGTAAGAGATTACGTTAAAGTTTGCAGAATTCAGAAGCCAAATGACCTGATATCTGACAACTTTTGCATAAATGTGTGTCCACAGGGAGAGATGTCCGAGCTGTGGACCAGAGCAGTGCTGATCCAAAGGTCGTGGTCTCTATTGGGCCTGTGATCATTTCCCCTGCTGAGCAGTAAACATCACTGTGTTGAGACCAATAAAGAGGATGAAATTGTTTAGCAAAGTAAAAGAAACATTACTTGACCCTTTTTTAAAAAGAAATTTCTTTTTTTATATTTTTGTTTCATTTGTATAAGACGACTGCTTGAACTGCGATGAAGATTCCCTAGATTACTGTAGTCAGGTTTTTTTTCTTTACATATAATGCATACTATTCAGCTATCTTCATTAAATTTAGTTCATATTCACAATCTGTTTGTGATGAGTTGAATGACGTGGATGACTGAAGTTGGTTAAGTTGTTTCATGCCAGTTCATTTCAAGCCAATTGTCTAAACTGTTAAATATAAATTGTATTACTTCATTTCAAATCATTAACAAAGGCATTATTGACTGTTTAAAGTAACATCAGCTCTAAAATGATAAAATAAGTAGATAACTTGTTTTATTTCTCTTATTATTCTTATGATTAATTACTACAAAGGAATTGATAGTGTTCAGTTCAATCTGACATACCTGATGCTATTTTTAAAAGAAGTCCTTAAAATGAAGAGCTTTCAATTATCTCCATCGGGTCCAACATAGCATATTTAAAAAAAAAAACAGTCAAACAGCAAAGCAAGTGTAACATTCAAAAGGGTGTCACATTTGATTATTTTTTAAATCTTGTACAAGAAATATTTACCCAAACACTGGTAGGCCTTACTTTATAAAACAAAAGTCCCTTTTATAATAAAGAACTCATGACTGGCCTAGTTATCTGAAATAAATGGTCATTTAACCTATAAAATGCAGCACATATAAAAGCTATCATATAATGTGTGTGAAATGTATAAATCTGAGTTATCTAGCTGCAGTTGGTTGGGTTTATACTGTAAAATGAATAAAGGTGCAATATTGTAGCAGCCAAGGGTAGAGAGAGTATAAGCTCATCATGTTCATGTATTTCTCGTGCTTGGGGGAACTCCAGGATTTACTTTGACATCACATGACCCCAGCACACTGTATATCTTTGATATAAGAAAGGGTTCATCATCACAAGTTAATTTTCCTTGAAAAATGTGAGCTCTGTCTCAAGGAAAAAAAGTTCTACAACACAACAATTTTAATTACTGTCTTCAGGCAACAACTTCTCTGCAGGACTTTAAATGTTTCTTCAAAATGTGTTCTGACTGATATGTTGTTGTGTTGGCTCAGTCAACAGAGCAGGTGCCAAAAATACAGAGGCCTGTATCCCTATTGTCATTGTCACTCTTTCTTCTCCATGTTTCTTGTCTCTCCTCATTTGTCTTAATAATCAAAGAAGAGGCCACAAAGTAATCTGTCTGAAAAAGACAATATAAAGTCAGTAGATGTCTTAGTTAAGAGTGTTCAGAAGTATGGTAATTCCATATGGAGCCATAGGGGTTGAGTCAGATAAGATCCAAATTTGGGTTTCACCAGCAAAAATTTCCTGTAGGGTATAAAAACTGGTCTTACCAGATTACCTCCACTAAAACCATGCAGCACAGCATATCCACCACAGCGGTCACTGAATTTCAAATTTGCTGATGGCATATACTTGTCAACAGACCCCCTGATGCCCGCAATCAAACAATAAACTTGAGTGCTTCCCTGTATATTTATTTTTTCTCTCTTTCATTTCAATGTGTGCACAATCATTAAGAAAGGACATCAATTCTGGTTTATGCCCATCCCTCTACACTCTGTAGGCCTACACCAAAGTCCACACCAGCCCTCACCCACGACCACTTAGTTTAAATAAACAGATGACACTGCTATCATTGCTCTCCTCATAAATATTAATTTCAATATCTCCATTGGAGTGAGAACAGTGAGAACAACCCCCTCAAGCTAAATGTCAATGAAACTGAAGAAATGTCACCTGTCATCCAAGCCCTCCTCCACACTTCGAAGCACATAACACCTTCTTATATCTTTGACTCACATTAGATTATAAACTGAGTCACGGCCAACACACAAAAGACACTTAAACGCTGTACAAAAGCATAATGGACTCCATGTCATCTCATTTCCTGCTACTGCTACATAAGGCATCATCCCACCCTTCCTGCTGAACTGCTCTGCCTGTTTCTACAGTATGCTCATTTTCCAAAACTGAACTAAACTCAAACATATAACTAACACCCTCACAAGATAATAGGCCTCCCCACTCCCAGCTTCTGAGAGCAAAACACTAAAGGCTAAAACAAACATGCTAGGGGTCCAGAGTCTTGACGTACAAAAGGGCCCGCTTTGGGAAAGCCCCCTTCCTTAGCCACGGCAAACTTTAATACAAACTTCCAGGGGCGCCTCCTAAATTGCTCGGTTTCTATGTGCCTGTGTCATGTGGTGATCGTCATGTAGTGTCATCCACCCAACTAACGAACCAAACAACCAAGAGTCTAACTAACCAACTAGCCAACTGACTAGCTAATCAGCCATCTAGCCTTCCGACAAACCAATCAACCAACAAACAGAGCAACTAGCTGACCAACTAACCATCTAACCAACCCAATAACAAGATAAAAAGTAACTAACTCACCAACACGCTCACTAGCCATACATCCAATCATGTCATGTACTAACTATACAACTACTTAACTAGCTAACTAAATAACTAACAAACCTCCAAATAGCTACTTACCAAATAGTTATCTAGCAAACCAAACAACCAAACAACCATCTAGCCTACTTACTAAGCAATTAAAAAACAACAACAACAACAGCAACCAGCAAACCAATGACTGAAGTAATCAACTTACCAACTAGCTTTCTAACTAACCAACCACCCATCTAGCCTACTAATCAACCAATTCATTAATCGACCAACCAACTGGCCAACTAACAGTCTAACCTACTAACAGACCAGCAAACCAACTAACTAACTAACTAACTAACTAACTAACTAACTAACTAACTAACTAACTAACTAACTAACTAACTAACTAACTAACTAACTAACATTATCTTATGAGGTCAAACAACTTTTTTGTTTTTATGATTGACCTACTTAGTTGGACTGCAGACTCAGGGTAAAACCACAAAGTTGATACTACAAGAAATGTCATATCAAAGGTCCTCTGAACACCAATCAGAATGACTTATTTGCTGACCCAGTGGCCCATTTTCTTTCACCATCTAATAATATGTGTACATAGAGACCACAGACAATTATTGGTTTGTAAATTAAATTTTGAAAGTCTCTGAGCTCAGCAGTTATACTGGTGTAGAAAATGCTAGAAGTCCTCACGTTTTGTTGAGAGCACTTTTTGTATCACAAGGTTTAAAACATACAATAATTGTGATTTTTACATTCTGTGCTATCAAAGTCACTAAAGTTAGGTGGGCCAGTAAACCTTTTAAAATCAATTTAAAAAAAAATGTTTTCCACCTAAAAGAACTTCCAAACCAGGTGCAAGCATCAACAGGCACTATCATTATTAATCATAATTTGTTATACTTGATCATAAAAGAACTCACGCTTTTACTAACCTCTATATTATACTGTGTTAGTTAATATTTAGAGTGGCTGTCTCAGTCTCACAGACAAACTGTGTAGTGACTATGCTGACCTGAATTTTAGTCACTGTCTGGGTGCAGGAGTAAGGTGTTTTTGACGTGCTTCTAGAATAATCCAATGTCCAATCCAAGGTTGTTGTTGAGTTATATTTTGCCATTTATTGATTAAATGAAAAACAAACAAAAAAAGACAGATACGTCCATCTTACTACAATGGTGATGTTCGGGATGAGGGTGAAAGTAGTGTCAGAGATTAGTGGTAAAAACCGTGTGCTCTACCCGTTACCCAGATCACTGCTTCACCTGTGTCCCTTTGTAGCATTTATCTGCCCATTCACCTGAAGTGCCCTTGTGGCGATTGTGCGAGTAACAAAACAAAACCCCAAAAATAATATAGATAAAATGGCTCATACACTGTGGCTGACATAGATTTATGCAGTACATTTTTGTTGCAGCAGAAGCAAAGCTCTCTGCTCTGGTGAATAAGAAATGACTGTGTTTAAAGTAATGGTGATCAGAGTAAATATGTTCATTATTGGTTATTAGTGTTAAATGGATACCAGAGGGTTTTAATACTACTAGATTTAATCAATTTAAAATTAGATTGGTGTGAACAAGTGCTTAAACTTTAACGTTATTCATGGAAACTTCTCTAAAAGGTTTGTTGAAAATAAAGGTAATTATTAACTAATAGAGTCTACAGCCACTCTGACCCTCATAAAGGTGAATCTGACCCAAATCTGAAGTGCCCTTGTGGCGATTGTGCGAGTAACAAAACAAAACCCCAAAAATAATATAGATAAAATGGCTCATACACTGTGGCTGACATAGATTTATGCAGTACATTTTTGTTGCAGCAGAAGCAAAGCTCTCTGCTCTGGTGAATAAGAAATGACTGTGTTTAAAGTAATGGTGATCAGAGTAAATATGTTCATTATTGGTTATTAGTGTTAAATGGATACCAGAGGGTTTTAATACTACTAGATTTAATCAATTTAAAATTAGATTGGTGTGAACAAGTGCTTAAACTTTAACGTTATTCATGGAAACTTCTCTAAAAGGTTTGTTGAAAATAAAGGTAATTATTAACTAATAGAGTCTACAGCCACTCTGACCCTCATAAAGGTGAATCTGACCCAAATCTTTAACTTGTCAATACATACCTAAATGTTACAATGTCATCCAAGTCAGTGATCTAACAGGACACGTGTTCCACCCCCTTGTCCGGCTGGTCTAAAGAGATATCAAAATGCCCACCTGTATAATGTTGTAATGTTGTCCCTAACCCCAGGGAGCTTGTGAATGGCTACTGATAAAATACAAGGCTGTCATTGGTAGTTAAAAATCCTCAGAGGTTTTTTCAAAATTAACCCTTCTCACATATAAATGTGTCAGCATTAGTGGTTTACCAGGGGACTTTCTGGATTGGACTGCTCTCAAACCATGGCGAAACACTGGAGTGCCACATATCTAGTGGCTCTTGGATTACTAGGATGTTTGATTGGGGCAGAGGTAGAAGCTCAGGATGCATCATGGCAGAAGCCTGCACCAGCAACGTCTAAGGGGGCTCCACCTCCTCAGACACCCAAAGAACTTGCTAGACCTCCAGCACCACAGCTTCCGCAATTCCAAGCTCGACCACCTCAGGGTCCTTTTTATCCTCAAGCACCAAAGTCCCCGCAAGTCCAAGCTCCTCCACCACCCCCAGCGCCAAAATTCCCGCAAGTCCAAGCTCCTCCACCACCCCCAGCGCCAAAGTTCCCGCAAGTCCAAGCTCCTCCACCACCTCAAGCACCACAGGTTAAACCGGCAGCACCACCACAGTATCCTCATTTTTCTCAGTTTGATCAATCCCCAAAGGAGCCAGAGATCTTACAACCACAGCAACCCCAGCAACCCCAGCGTCCAGTGCAACAGACACCTTCTGTGTACAACCCAGGTGGAGCAAAGCAACCCTCTGCTCAGACCTGTGAGGTTGAAGGACGTCTAAGGATTCCATGTGGAGGTCCTGATATCTCTGCTGCTGGATGTGAATCCATTAACTGCTGCTTTGATGGCCAACAGTGCTACTTTGGAAAGGCAGGTAAGTGAAGTCTGTGTTATGGCCATAAGTTTAGTAGCGAGATCCCCTGATTTTTGAGTTAACTTTCAGTGTCAATGAAGAAATAAGAAGTGAGTTTGAGCTTTTTTAACCTCTGTTCAACAATGTCAAATCATTTTAGCTACCACTGTCTGTTTTTGTGCCTCCAGTAACTGTCCAGTGTACCAAGGATGCCCAGTTCATTGTAGTAGTGGCCAGAGATGCCACTCTGCCCAACATTGATCTTGAGTCAATCTCACTGCTGGGAACAGGTCAGGGTTGCTCGCATGTTGACTCTAATTCTGGCTTTGCCATCTACCAATTTCCCGTCACTACTTGTGGCTCTGTTGTCATGGTGAGACCTCTTTTTTTATCCACTTTTCATCTGAAGTACAGACTTCTGGAGGTTGAATTCCCAACTGCATTTTATTTTCTAAATTTTCTAGGAAGAGCCAGGAGTCATAGTCTATGAGAACAGGATGTCATCTTCATATGAAGTTGGAGTTGGACCACGTGGAGCCATTACCAGAGACAGCCAATTTGAGTACATACTTGCTCCTTTAAAAACATTCTTGAGTCCAAATGTATGTTGTGATCAAAAAACATAAAGTAAGTCATCTTTTCAGGTTACTCTTCCAGTGTCGGTACACGGGCACCTCTGTTGAAACTGTGGTTGTACAAGTCTTGCCATTGGACAACCCTCCTCTACCTGTTGCTGCCCTGGGACCAATCAGAGTACACCTGAGGTTGGCCAATGGACAGTGCAATACAAAGGGCTGTATTGAAGGTGTGTGTGCCAGCCGGACAGTGTTGTCAATCATTTCATGATGCTGGTTGTCATAGTAACTGGTATCTTTGCTTTCACAGAGGATGTGGCCTACAGCTCTTTCTACACAGAGGCAGACTACCCTGTGACCAAAGTACTGAGGGACCCTGTGTACGCGGAGGTTCAGCTCCTTGGAAAGACGGATCCAAACCTTGTCCTGACCCTTGGACGCTGTTGGACAACCACAAGCCTGAACCCTCACAGTCTTCCCCAGTGGGACATTCTGATAGATGGGTAATAACAAAACCAGTTTCAATGTCTGACTAAGATTTCATTTCCTTTAAAACTCGTGAATATTAAAAGTTTCCAGATCTTCATAGGTCTCATGGAAATTTAAGATACTGACCACCATTACCTGACCTTCGTTTTGTCACCACCAGGTGTCCATACAGAGATGATCGCTACTTGTCATCTCTGGTTCCAGTGGGCCCCTCCTCTGGTCTGGACTTCCCAAGTCACTACCGGCGATTCATTTTCAAAATGTTTACCTTTGTGAACCCTGAGTCAATGGAGCCCATGAAGGAACAGGTAATGAAAATACATTGTTTATAGAAATTGGCAGGACATTACTTGGTATAACAGAAAAATGTTCACCATGTCAACAAAGGGTGCTGCTTGGTTATGAACACTCTCTCTGTTTCAGGTGTACATTCACTGCAGTACCGCTGTTTGCACCCCTGCAGCAGGTCACTCCTGTGAACCATCATGCTCAAGAAACAGTAAGAACTTGATTTATTATCAGCAGATTTTCAGAAGTAATATGGACTAATATCTGACCACGCTTGTGTTATTGTGTGTCTGCAGAGAGAGATGTCCGAGCTGTGGACCAGAGCAGCGCTAGTCCAAAGGTTGTAGTTTCTGCTGGACCTGTGATTATTGCCCCAGCTGAGCAGTAAACACCCTTATGTAGAGAGCAGTAGGCTAACATGGATGGGACATCCATGTAATAGACATCAAGTAACAGCTTTGAAACAATCAGGAATATTGGTCAGTCATATCTGGTGTAAAATCAGAGAAGACTGAAAGGTCAAACTTGTGCTACAGAAACAATAAAATGAATCACTGGAGTTTTATGAATCTTTGCTGTAAATAAATTGATTATTTTATGTTTTTTTTTTCTTTTTAAATTTATGTTCAAGAACACTTTATCACTTAAAAGGCAGTAATATTTCACTTCTGGTTTCATTATACTCTCCTTATAAAAAAAAAAAATCGGTACAGGTTTACTGTAATGAATAAACTCAAAATTGTGATCAGATGAATGTCTTGTTGTGGCTTAAAACAGTGATGATGAGCCTCCTATGTTTATATTTAATAGTTTACAGTTAGCCTGTATATTGAAAATACAATTAACTGAAATTAATATTTACCCAGTGTGAGGATTTTACATTACATTATGGCACTGCTGTAGCATAAAAGGCACAGCAGGAGCTCTTCACGCTCACAAGCACACCGCTGTTTTGCCCTGATGCGTCACATCACGCCCATCCCCTCCGTCCCTATATCCCTCTGTCATTACCTCCAACAGAAGATCAGAGGCAGAATGACTTATTGCCCACAATCCAAAATACTTGAAAACATTTTAATAAATACCAATAATTCTAGCTGTATCTTCTGAAAGTTTGTAAAAAGGTTAAGTTATCCTTTATTGTATTTTAAAGACAGTTTGTTGTATTTTTTTTTCCTGTTGTGTCCGTGTTTTGAGGATGGGATGTCACAATGGTGCAAAAAAAAATGGCGCAGCACCATAAATCCTTCAGCATGTTTTTTTTCTTTTTTTTTTTGTTAAACAAGTCCTGAAAATACTTGGTTCAAAGAAGTGCCCATTGTTTAACCCTCTTTCAAATATACTGACACACTGATGAAAACTTTGAACCTTTCATCATGCATTGGCATCTTATAGTTAAAGGCAGATGTCCAGACAAAAACACTCGTTTTTATTCAGTTTAATCCTACAGGTTGAGATTGAATTGAAGACACTTGAGATTTAGAGTGCAGTAAAAAAATCCAGCTTTAGGATTGAAGTTAATTAGAGGACCTTAAACCACATAGAGAAGCAGTAGAAACACATTGGAAACTGAGAAGTAAAACATCACACTTTGGCACAGTGGGAGAGATTTATGCTACGACGAAGCTTCTGTCCATAGCACCATAGACAATGCAAGAGATGCTGCCATACTTCAAAATGACATTACCACTATGACAGCATCAAAATGCATAGTTAGCAGAAAGAAGTTATTGCCTCAAGTCACTCTGTAACTGTAAAAAGTTCATTCATTTCAACCACAACAATGCACTTAGGATGTGACAGACACGTATCTCAATCATCGGGTTTTATATCAATCACAGTACCTTTAATACTCTACATAACATCCCCTCCTCAGTTAAATGTCATAACTCATCATTGATTGTCTTGCAAGTGAAACACGCACACCAATACCCACTTTTACAGGACTAAAGTAAACTAATGTGACACACTGCAGTAAGAATAAGGGTTTAACAGTGGCTTAACATCAACAATGAAACATGGACATCTTATTTGAAAACCTTCAGGCACAGGTGATAACTCGGTGTTTAGACTTTTTTAACCAACAGAGCAGGATAGTCTTCGTTAGTTCTTGCTTTGACGGTCCTTACCATATAATCAATTTTTTTTTTTCTTTTTTTTTTAACCAACAGTCACATGTAAATAAAATACTGAACAAAAGAAAAAAAAAAAACACAACCCCCTCACCAGCATGAGTGTACACTGAACTTTTGAGTCTTTAGTTGCTCTTTTCCTGCTCATGAATGCTAAAACAGGCAAACACTGTGAGCCATACACCTCAGCTGTGTGCATTCACACACCTCCTCTCCATATCAGTCAGATTTGTCCTTCTTTTTGACTCCTCCTCCTATGGGAACTTTGCTGACCACCGCAGAGCCAACAGCGGATACTCCTCCAGCTACAGCACACACCCCGCCTTTAACCAGCCCCACACCCATCGCAGGCACAGCAGCTACAGAGGTCACAGCAGTTTTGGTGAGGTCCAGGCTTTTTCCTCCTATCCAGGTTACACCACTCACTGTGGCTCCTAAAGCTCCTTTGGTGGCACCGTAGAGGCCCCCCGTCAACCTGCCGAACATGCCCGGCTGTGCTTGTGGATGATCCTTGTTGTCTGATTTAAAATAACAGGGGAACATTTAAGATTCAATACATCATGGGCAAAGAGCAGCAAATACTAACAGCTATCTACGTTATCAGTGATCCTAACCAGTGATTATTTTAATGACTGTTATTAAGCATATATCATGAACCAGGGAAAGTTGTCAGTGGCTTTTTTTTTACAGCAAATTTTGATTTGTTTAAAATGTAATTTAATCAGGTGTGGTTAATTCTCATCTGTGAGTGTACTTAAGTGTAGCTTATATTGTGTGATCATGCTGGAAGGAATCACTGTGTCCCATCTGTTATATGAGGCTATCTTAACAGTGATGCCCTGATTTGACACATAGCATGACAATACAAGCATGCAGAAAAGAAGTGATGCATGAGAAAAATAAACAACAGGGCAATCCTTGAAATAAATCTTAAATCTAACAAGTGATATGCACTTAATAAAGTTGATTTGATGATATCAGAGAGATCAGGATCAGCGTTTTTGGCAAAGTATATGCGCAAATATAAGGAATTAGACACTAGTGGACCTTGCTAATGAATAAGCGCCAGCCCTAAGTCTGAATACAGTTTACAATAATAAAAACTATGAAAAACTGACATTTAATCATTCCCAAACCTGGAACTCTTGACCGCCAGGTTTAATGGGAACTACAGTAACTTTTGATTGAATTTTTCTTAAATAAAAAGTTCCCTCAAAAGATTATTTGCTCCTTTTTCTTCACACTGATTTTCTGTATTTCATTTCTACCTTCACACCCTTCAACCACTCCTGCAAAACCACATTTGTTTGTACATAAAACAGTAATTGTGTCAAAAGCACAATAAATTATTGTAAATTTCTCTGACCTCATAGGAAAAACTTATCTTGTAAGATCAACCTTAACAATTCTAGCAAAAAAAATCACAGTGAATTTAACAATTCTTGATTTAATTAAATGTGTCCCACACTAGTTCGGACAAATCATTGCCACCGCACCATCTTATGTCTTTGGGCACATGCTGGTGTAAATAAACAGACATTTCTTACGGTCAAAAGACTTTTGTAACACTACTTACCGGTGGATTCTGGCTCATCTTTGAGGTATGCAGGCATGTCCTCAGGCACCTGCTCCGCCTGACTCATCTCTCTGAAAAATAAGTAATCTCATTATCAAACAGACACACGCACACACAAAATTTACAGTAAATTCTTGTATTTTTGCCGTTGACCCTGTTTAATGTCAGGCTCTGCTTCAGGTTGCATAATTTCAGGCTTCAATGTTTGTGTGTTGAGAGTAAAACAGCAGAAGTGCCTTTTCTGCATCCAAACCCTGCATTTAGAAGAGTTCCACTTAGACTTTTACCTTGTTTAACTTGACCCAATTTGCAAACTGTCTGAGCAAATTCAGGCTTCCTTCAGTCTATTGAACTCTTAAATCTTAGTCTATTGAAGACATTGTTTCATCGAGTCTTCAGAGAAGGCCTTATCTGAGCACTCAGAGTTAACAGTTTGGCAGTAGTGAGCACACCCGCTGACAGGAAAATACAACAGCTTGCTTGGGGTGTGCTGCTGATCTTAAAAAAACAAGGCAGACCAGTTCATGCTCTGTCCCAGAGTTGAACAACTACAAACATGGACAGTCACCCTTTACTTAAATAAAGTTATTTGAGTTATTGTCTGTGACAGCAGTAAGACATGAAGTAGTAGGCCTATGGGGTAAGCCTACTTGATTTGTGGGCTTTGGAAATCCCTATGACAGTCTCAAAAACACAACACATATCTGGTGAAACTGTGATCCCACAACCCCCAAACTTTACTTTATCAGTGACCCCTTTTACTGTTTCAGATGTGCCCTTGTTTTTTCTTTGCATTTGTGACTTAAATTCATTTAATGTGTTTACATTTTGTTCTGAAGACAGTGAATGACTCCAAATCACCTTTGTCAGAGGCACAACACTGTTTGAGTTACAGTATGTGAACATCAGGAGATATTGCTATATATTCTATAAACTGATGCCTGATCAGCTTTAGAAACAACATGTCCTGGTTGGGTTATAAGTTACATTTGAGACTTTTTAGTAGATTGGCTGTAGGCCTACAATAGTGAGGGTAAAACTTGCGCTGGATAGCAGCTAAATGTAGCATTTGTTTCGTGGAAGTCAGATCTCACGTTATGTTATCTTGCGCTAACTTTTCCAGAGGCGTGAATGCGTCGAAATACAAAACTATTTTCGCTTCTTTTTAACGGTGTTGTGAAACTTTTACTACTAGAAATGTCGGTTTTTGTGGTTGATTTGGACCTCTGATGGGCTGTTTTTGAGGTTGGACGCCATAAGTTAACGTTAGCCTATTTGTTCAGACCAACAGACACGTCACTCCCGAAACACCGAGCATCACTTTAACATTAGACACCGTTCAGTCAGGAAATTTCACCAAGAAATCCTCCACACACGAATTCTCCACAAACACAGTCTGAGGAATTTACTTAGAAGTGGACTGATAAGATAATTTGGCTCACTTTTATCAGGACTATCGCTGCTGCTGCTGCTGCTGGTGGTGGTGGTGGTTGAGCCAAACTCCGCCTGTCTTACTTTTATCACTGAACCTTTCCCCAAACTAACTAACGTAGTCTAACACTTACCTTGTTTTGTAACGTTTGCAAACTGCTCCGATGTGCTGTACAGGACCTAAAAACTAATTGACCCAGTTAAATGCTGCCTAGGCCTGTAATAAAGTTGCTGCTTATGTGCTTAGGCTGACTTGTGTTGTCTGTGTGACTAAATTTTGGAGGAGGATCTCAGTCTCCACCCATAAAGCACACAGAGGTACACACTGTCCACAGACTGGAGCTCCAGCTGCTGGCTGCACTGAAAACACTGCATGCATGTAAAAGCCGTTGTCCCTGTCAAGTTTAGTGTGCGTTGTAAACATAATTATTTATATATTTTTATTATTTTGAAAATGGAAATGTACGGTGGCCGACAACCGCCACTGCTGCACATAAAAATGATGCAAAAAGAAAAAAAAGAAAAGATTCCAATGCTCACTTCAAATAATTTCCTTTTTCCCCCCTGGAAATTGGTTTGCTAATCGCTCAATTGAAGCTTTTTCTGGATCAGATTTTTTCAGTTTTATTTAAAGCAAATGTTTATTTAGGCTATCTCTTCATCTGTTTTTTAAATAAAACCTTAAATCAGTTAATCCAACTCAAAAGTTTAATCATTTAGGTAAAGTGTAATGGCTCATATCCACACAAAGAAAGAAAAGCTTCATTATTTAAAGTTGTGAAAATAAATAAATAAATAAATAAATAAGAAAACCTTATTATTATAATGGTAAAAATAAATAAATAAAATAGAAAACCTTATTATTATTGTGACAAAATATAAGTCAATCAATCAATCAATCAATCAATCAATCAATCAATCAATCAATCAATCAATAAGAAAACCTCATTATTATAATGGTATAAATAAATAAATAAATAAATAAATAAATAAATAAATAAGAAAACCTAATTACCATTATTGTGGAAAAAATATAAATAAATAAATAAATAAATAAATAAATGAATAAATAAGTTTAAAAAAAGAGAAAAGCTTAATTATTATCATCATTGTTGTCTGTGTTACACTCTCATGATTTTTAAAACACTCCGGAAAAAAGGTGTCAGTAATGTTTTAAGTTTGTGCTTTTCTAATTACTACAAGTTAAAGGAAAAATAATAAATAAAAAGTTAACAGAATAAAAGAGGCGGAGGGAGGGAGGGCGGAAACGCTGCACCACGTGACAGCAGCCCAGTTTCCCGCCTGTATTTGTAATTATTTATTTAGTCCCGGAAACTGCAGCGGAGTGACAGCTCTCTGTTCCGAAACAGTCCGGGTGGAGGAAAAGTGTCCTAATTTTAGATAAAGGAGCGCATTTACAACTTTCTTAACGCGGGTGGACGTGACTGACACGGATTGTGGGTAACAAAAACGGGTTTACTTTTCCAGGGAGATTCGCTGTTGCATGTGCACATCACAGCCTGCCGTGTGCCTCCGCCGCCTGTGCAGCATTACAAAGATTCACCCTCTGCAAATACAGGTAACTCACAATATGATGATGACCGTTCTTGTAAAGACAGTAAAGATGAAAACAGGAAATTAAATCTTTAACTTTCAATAGTAATGCTTTCAGACAGAGTAATGCGTGGGTGGAATTCAGCTGCAGTTTTGGTGTCTGCTTTGAGTCTTTTCTTCTTTTCTCACAGAACTGGCCAGTCTAGTGAAATAAGTGTGTGGGTTTAAGTTTAATTTTTAAAAATATTTTTTAGATTTTTATTTTATTTTATTTTAAGTTTTCTCTTTTTAATTCGTGTATATTATACTTGTACAGAACTATTTCCCCCTGAGATCAGCTGGTATTGAGATTAATTGCTGCATGTTGACTGTCTTTGCTCTAAACAGCTGATCAGGTTTAGTGTATTTTAGGAAAGAGGATTAATAAACCAAAGGTCTCACCAATAATGGATAGAAGCTCACCAATTTCAAAGTAAAAGTAGTCATTCTTACATAAAAACATAGTTTGGAAAAAGTAAAAGCTCTGCATTTAAGGAGGCAAAGGGGGTAGGATTACGCGGCATTTACTAGAACAGACTTGGTAGTTCTTATGTACAGTTGAATTAGTTAAAAATAATAATAAAAAAGAGACAGTAGTTACAAATATACAATAGGTTAAATAATGGTAAGTTTAGGAATCAAAAAATCTTACACCCCATGAACACAGGCTGTAGTTCATGAAGCAGTCCAAGGTCACTTTCTGATCTATGGCCCTATGCTGCATGTCATTCCCTACTCTCAAAAATAACAATATAATACTGACAATAACAAATCTTCAGTGTTTAGTTCTCTGATAAATATTATGGAGCAACAGGAATTATGAAGTCAGAAAACTTGTAAACAGCAGAAAATGTCACATTATTCTTCTTTGAGGTGTAGTTATCCAACTGAAGTCAGACACACTTCACACACCGAGCATTGCACTGAGTTCCCCAGCGAGGTGGTTTTCCTGTAATGAAGTTTAGATACCAGCAGGTGGCGGTGTAACTTCACTCTTACTTAAACCTTTTTAACACCTGCTGCACAGAATAAGACTTACTTTCTTGTGCGCCTGATTTCATTCAGATCTTAGAAAGTACATCAGTAGCTTTATCTGATGCAGTGTGTCTTTGACAACGAGCTTTTCTCACGAGCATGCTGATATCTCTTTTAAGTTTCTAAAAGCTATGATTTGTTTGACTGTGTAGTGGCCTGATCAGGAGATTGTTTAGGTCTCAGTCAGGAGTTGTATGAATGTACACAAACATTTAAGTACAGTTCTCTAACATATACTGACCTGCTGTTTACGGCCTTTTTTAAGGGAAAGATTGAAACTTTAATTTTTGCACCCCTGAAGTACAACTACTGTATATACACAGCTTTATCTAGATAAAAGGAGCTGGGGGGGAGTTTTTAGTTGTATCTGAATAGTGTAACAACAGCAGGTCAATATTTTTATCACATAGAGGATATTTGCATTTATATCATAATGTTATTTTAGGCTGTAAAAGTAACTTAACATCTATATTATGGATTACTTGGTGTTTCATAAGGGTTTATCATTCTCAGAGAAGTTACAGGATGAGGAGAGTCATTAGTTAGCCATCGAGCTCTGCTCTGTGTGAGCAAACAATACACAAACACAAATCAGGACTTGCTGCTTTGTGTCAACAGGGAGCACAACAAAGATGCTGCACTGAGTGATATGTCATTAGTGAGCAGGTGGGGACGACGGACCGAGAGCTGCTGCCTCTCCAACTAAGTAATGAAGGGGTTTCCATGGCAACCGGGCTGCCTGTTTTCATCTCTGTGTGTGAGGGCAGTGGAGATCAAAGTCTGCTGTCCTTGATTCAGCTGTGAGTGGAGGGTTAAATAGCGGGGTTGCAGGGGGAAATCCCCTCATTAAACTTAACCAAATCTGCTGTAAGACACAGCTGATAGTTTCTGCAGAGGCAGCAGGTAGACCCAGGCTGTCCACAGGTTCAGGCTGCTGCTGCTGCTGCTGTGGACTGAACGAAGATCTGATTCTGTCGTGTTCAGCTCAAGGATTAAAAGTTCTAAAGAAGTGAATCCATGAGTGTGAAGATGTAGTTTTAGGAGTTTACTCAGAATAAGTTTTTCCTGTTTCTTTTTTTCTTGTATCTGAATCAAAACTGGATTAATGGGATCAAAGCTCAGATTTAGGAGACTGAGAAATTTGAACACAAAAATGAACAAGTCTGAATAGTTAATTAAATCCCTAATAAGCAAGTTTCATTAATAATTATTTCAGCATTAAAAATATCTTAACTTACATATGACTTTTGTTGCCTTTTTTACAACAGTTCTGACCACGGTCGGGAAAAAGAAATAATTTACAGACTTCGATAAACTGAAATTCAAAATTTTCAGGAGTTTTCAGATGAAAAAAAGTTTGATTAATCGGTCTAATTATTCTGTGTTGCTGACTGGAAAAATGAAATAAACCTACGATCAGGCCTAAACTGTTCATCAATAATTCCACACACTGTTCAACATATCAGCATGTTGATGTAAACACACCTTTTACAGTTAATACAGTTACTGTTATTTTTCATCAAAGCGGTTGTTTGTTTGTTAGGATGACAAATCTCGTTTTTTTACCCACCTCTCAGATTTGCTTTATGTCAGACTGGACCCCTTCTTGCCTCCCTGGTGATCAGTAAATGTCAGAAAGCAGGATTTTTTTTTGTGTGTGGGTGTGTTTTTGTTATTTGGAGACAAACTTTAGGTCCTGCTGCCGTTTTAGCTTTTGGTCCCTTCAGTGGTAAAAGGATTACTCTCATTGTTTGGGGGGTTATGGTGAGCACTGAGGTGTTCCCAGTGTTCAAGGATGGCTCTAATTAGATTGCTGTAACCCTCATATGAGCAGCGACACTCCTGGTGGTCCAGTACCGGGACACAGAGGGACACGCAGGGCTCAGCTTTTTGACTGTGGAGAGCTGCAAGAACAACAGTGTGAAAGGAGTTACAGGGGGAAAGGGGGGCTCTTTCAAATCCTTTTTAAAACCTTTTGTCATTTATACGGGGATTTATTTGTCATTAAAGAAAACTAATAGCACAGTTTGATCCTTTTCAAATAAAAAAGAAGACTTTAAAATACAGACACTGACTTTGATATCAGACAGAAATCCGTTCAAAAGAAAATCTAGAAGATTAGCCTGTTTGGAAACCTGCGGCTGCATTCTCTATTGCAACATGCTCCCCGTCTAGCCCCCAGGTTTAAGCATTTTCCTTCTCTTTATGTTGAATTTAGTTAAAGCATATTCACTAGAGATGCACTGACTGTGAAAATCAAAGCTGATGTGATGTTTAAAATATCGATTAGTCTCTTTTTACCTTTTATTTTTCAATTTCCAGATAAACGGGCTTGTGTGCATGACTTCCCCTGCGGGTGTAACTTTTGTAGGTGTGACTGGACTTTAGCTGAGTGACCGGTCTGCTGCTGCTGCTGCTGCTGAACCGTCTGTGTGAGACCTTAATAACTGGGCTGCTGATTTATTGCCTGTACTCAGCAGTATCTTCTTTTAAAAAGAGGCCCACACAAAAGCCTAGACCATCATCCCCTCGCCCTCCTGTTGTTTTTAATAGTTCTTAGGATGTATTGGGGAAAAAAAAAAAAAACATTGGTAATGGGGGGTTTCAGCCCGCAAAGAGGCAAATTTAGAGAAGATTGAGTGCTCAAAGACAGACGAGTGTGAGATTTTTAAAGGGTTGTTTACAAATGAAGCTTTTAGGAGTTTATCTATATGCTTTTCAGTTTATAATTGTCTGTAGATGTTACTGTAAAAATCAGGAAAGCTTTCAGGGTGCATCTTTATCGCTTTTCACTCAGAAGGCTGCTATTTTCCTTCAGCAGTGACCCCTCTCCTCCTCACATGTCCCCTCAGAGGGCGATAAGGTGCCGCTGGACAGAGGCCGTTCTTATCTCCCTGTTGCCCTCTTGTCAGTTGTTTTATGGGTTGTAGCTCTTTTGTTTCCTTGTTCGCTCCCTGATCCCTCGCACTCATTCCTCATGGAAGTTGTTAGAAGGCCGAGAATAGCTTTAAGAGAGGAGACCCCTCCTCCTTCTCCTCTTTGCTCCCCTCTTCTCCTCCTCTGTTCCCTCTTTATTGAATCCCTCCTCCGTATCATTTATCTCTGCACTCCCCTCCTCCTCCTCCTCCTCTGTCCCCTTTTCTCAGTTCAAGGGGGCCGTTAGGGGGCATCCTCTTTTCTCTCCCAGCTGGGTTTGTTGACACACAGTCAATCTACGGATCCCTTTCACCTCAGCCACCCCTCTTTTTTACTCTCACCCCTCTTTACGTTCAACCCTCCGTTTTCCCTGAACAGTAAAGCTGCCACAGCTGTGGACTGTATTAGCATAGCTGCTGAGGGGCAGAGGGGGGGTGTTAAATATATTGCAGCCATTACCTTTTGTCCAACAGTTGACACTTTTAAAACATTTCAGCGTCTTTCTGTGCAAAGGGAGCAAGGAGAAAAGGATGATTTCAGTGTAACAGCTTTTTAAATATGGGAAACAGAAGAGCAATGTGGGAAGAAAATCCCCGTAAACAGGTCAGAATCTAATTAGCGCAGAAAAAGTCTGGAAAAAAACAGGCACAGAAGCCCAGTCTGAACTGAGGACAATAAAAAAAATCTCAAAGTCGTGTGGAAGAATGTCACTTTGGACTAATAACACTCAGGACAGCTTATAAACTGTGATTTACCATCTGCTTCATTTAGCTCCAATCAGTTGTTGTTGTTTTTTTCTCGCTCTCATTAGGTGTGGGAATGAGCAAGTCCAGGTCCAGCTGGGATAAGAAAGCTTCCCAGCCTCCAGTCACAAGGATAACCCGCAGCTCCAGCTCTCAGGCCAGACAACCGGACCCCACAGAGACCCAGGACCCAGGTGTTGGTCCGTATGGAAAACAAAGAAAAAAACAGACAGATTCTGCTTTGGCCAAGGACCTTAGCCAGATGAGTGTGAGCGGGCAGGACAGTTTTCCTGTAAGGTGAGGACACATTATAGTCAACTTTGGGGGACCTCCTGATAGCACTAGAGGGAGATAATTGACCTACTTATTGCATGTTTTTGTCTTGGTGTTTGTCTCATGACTGTGGTTTGACCGTAGAAACTTGTGTGATATCTTTTGAAAGCAGATCGATACTGATTCCTCTTTGTGGGAAAAAATGGGGAAAAAATGACTAGATCAGAAAAGTGATGACTTTGCCTACAGAGGGTGCCAAAATCAACTCAAATCCTCAGAGCGGCTCTAATATCTGGATTTATCTGTTTTTGATTGTGCGCTCTCAAACGGCTGAAGTTGCCTCTTTGAGCAAAGGTCATCTGAGAAGGAATTAGCAGATATCTCCAGAGCATAAAGATGGTCCTGTTAATATCAATAAGTAATAAATACAACTCACATAACCCCCAATTTCCACCACCTGCCACTGAAAAACAAAAAAAGTTCTCTCTGTAATTTTGAGGTTGTTCCAGATGAGAAAGACCTGTTTCTCTTAGTCTCTCCTCTCTCTCTTTTCTCCAGTACAGGAAAGATGTTGAACGGCAGCACCGACTCTTCACAGCCTGGTCACTCCTCAGGGTCCAGATCTGATCAGGACACGTCGTCTGCGCTTCCTGTTAAGTCCTCATCTCGAGGCGGTTTGGCCTCTGTGGCTCGTCTGGTGAAGCTTGGTCGCTGTAAGAAGGTCGTGGTGGTGGCTGGAGCCGGGATCAGCACAGCGAGTGGCATCCCAGACTTCAGGTCTGTTTCTCATTTACACCCTCATCTTCTCCTTTTATATTCCCTTTACAGATAAACAAACAAAACTAATTTCTTGAAGTTTGAAGATGATCACTGACATGTCACATGTGAAATTGTCTGTATGTCTTCATTTTCAGAACTCCAGGAACAGGTCTTTATGCCAACTTGGAGAAGTACAACATCCCGTATCCAGAGGCTGTTTTCAACATAGACTACTTCAGCAACGACCCTCAGCCTTTCTTCTCTCTGGCCAAGGCTTTGTATCCAGGCAGCCATCGACCAAACTACATACACTACTTCATCCGCATGCTTCACCACAAAGGCCTGCTGCTCCGCATGTACACACAGAACATCGATGGACTGGAGAAATGTAAGAAAGATCTTTTTAAGGGGATATCAACAGGTTCTTGATGTTGTAATTTACCTTCAATGTTGATTTTTTTCACAGTGTGTGGCATCCCTGACGACAAACTTGTGGAAGCTCACGGTAGTTTCGCCACAGCTTCCTGTCACCTGTGCTACACTGCTTATCCCGCTGAAGATGCAAAAGTATGTCTGACCCAATGTTCAAAATCTGCAGTTATTCGCTGCATCTGATCTTACGGCGATGCTCCTTTTTCTTTGTGTTGTCTGCAGCACGCTATCATGAATGACAACGTTCCCATTTGCACGTTCTGCGCCGCCACAGTCAAACCTGATGTTGTGTTTTTTGGAGAGGATCTCCCTCAGAAGTATTTCCTGCACACTAAAGACTTCCCTAAAGCAGACCTGCTGATCATTATGGGCACATCTTTACAGGTAAACGTCATGACTTCACAAACTGATGTTAGGTGGTTTCAATATGGTGATATTAGAACTTGCATTGGATCGACATAAGAGTTGGATGTCAGAGCTCGACTTTGAGGTCAGATTCTGCACCTTTGGCAAAGGGGTTTGAGGGTGTGCCTTATGTACATAGATCCTTTCTGCAACTCTCTCTTCACGTATATCCTGTAACTTTCTACCTGTCCTGTCCAGGGAGGCAAAATGCCCCAAAAGTGTAACTTTATAAACTGATATCAGATCAAGTCCTGATGTTGAGTTGCTGTCAAGGCAAGAAGTCAAATGCCGGGTTCAGGTGTAAACAAATCTCCAAAATCATCATTTCAGATTGAGCCATTTGCCAGCCTGGTGAATACCGTGCGCTCCACCGTTCCTCGTCTCCTCCTGAACCGACATGCTGTCGGTCCTTTTGAGAAGGTCCCTCTGCGCAGAGGAGACCACATGGAGCTGGGGGACCTGGAGGACACGGTGCGGAGGTTTGCTAAAATCCTCGGTTGGAGCGATGAGATTGAAGAGCTGATGAGGAGCCAGGAGACACTGGTGGGTTTTAGATCCAAAACTAGGCCCCCTTCTGTGACATGCTCACCGTAGCTAATGTCGCCTCAGGTTGTTAAATGCAAATACAAACTTAACACAGCTCCCTCTTGAGCCACATGTGCTGCACAACACACTTCCATTTGTAAACTTAGCAGAGTTCACGTTCAATCAACCAGTCTTTATTTGTATAGCAATAAAAAGGAATAAAAAAAATAACAAAGAATACCCTGATCTACTCCAACCCAATTCCCCATTCCCACCCCGCAGTCTAAGAACAACAGAAACATTTATTAAAATGCATGAACTTAAAAAGGGCTTGATTTAATAGAAACAGGAATGTGCGCACTGAGGAAACACCGTTTTAAAATTCAAGATAAGGAAACACTGGAGGTTGAGTTAAAATCTAAAAACAGAGTAACCTAAAATGAACTTTAAGAAAAAAATCAATAAAATGAAATAAAAAACACAGTAAAAGATATTAAAATAAGAGCACCAAAATAGCTCAGTAGAAGAGATTAATGCTAAAAACACTAAAACAAAGTTAATGATATAAAATTTAGTTAAAAGCAAAACTAAAGAGGTACGTTTTGAGTTTGCTTTTAGACTTTGAGCTGTCTCTCACTCTGTATTAAAACACTTGTTCTTACCATTCATTTCCCTCCCTGCAGAGCATCCCTCCACTAATGAGTGGACAGACGCCTTCAGTGGAGACATGCAGGTCCAAACAAGGAGCTCAGAGGGCAGCCAGCAGCGGCAGCGAGGAGACCGACTCAGAGACAGACAGCAAGAGCTCTGCCTGAACAGGTGACTCTAAAAGCCTCATGAACCACAGCACTGGAAACCATCAAGAGTTACTTCCCTCATTCGTACACAGACAGACTGCGCTCCAGTAACTGTGCACAAGTTACGCACCGTCGTCTTGTTTTCTTCTGGTTGTGCGTCTGTTTGAGTGTAAGATGTCTTCACCTTTTTGTGTTGACGTCACAGAGTGAGTCATGTTCATGTTATGTTCATATGTACATTGAAAAATCAGTTTATCAAGCTAAAAAACATTTAAAGCACTTATTATGAAAGGAGGGTTCATCGAGAACGCTAGTAAATAAATATCTACGCCCTGTTTCTTCAAGATTTTTAATAAGACTTGTTCTAGTTTTATATCAGCACATTACTGACTTTTAAAGAGTTCAATAAATGATTCCTGTTATTTGTGTCTTTTCCTTTTTAAATTCAGTTCATGTCGTACAGGTCAAAAAATAACAACTTCACTTGATGTCCAGTTTATTCACATTTCAGTGAAAGCCTAACTAAATAAAACAGGGTGGGTGTTTTTTTTTTTACAGTATGTAAAGAATGTGCAAAAAAAAAAATTTCTTACAAGATGAAGCAAGCAACATGCAATTCATTCATGGTTATTGCTGAAAAAGAAGACATCCACGCAGGTAAAACAAAGCGATCAACAGGTGCGGGACAAATAGAAAAAGAGACAAAACAAAGAGTGGAAAAAGCACGAGCGTTGAAAAAGTTTGGCCTTTACACTGGAAGTTTTTCTTCAGGCATGTAGTGACCCCTAAGACACTTGATACTGGTTTTACCTTTAAATTTGTGGCTCACTAAACGGGTCAACAGGCATCCATCCAATAGTTTACATGAAACGAAGTTCAGCAACTCATAACGAGTCCTGTCTACTCTGTTGATGTGAAGCCGAGCACGAATCGTTTTATCTTTCTTTTTGATATTTTGATCTGGATGATTTGTGTGTGATTTTTCACATTTAAACGAGTGTCCGTCAGATTCTCTCAATAACACGTTCTTTGGCTGAAACAGTGTTAAGTCTCTCTGGATTGTGATCATCATAAAAACATCAAGTGTAGCAGTTTTCACATCTGGGGACGGATGATTTCAGATCCGGTGGCTTTTTAATTAAGTGAATCACATTCACGTGAAGGCATAATTTTCATACTTTACACACACTCATAAACTTAATTTATAGAAAATTTACAAAAATGTCAATCTAGAAAACAAAAAAGAAAATCACATAGCAGAGAACTTTTTTCACATCATGCAGATTTGGCAAAAGTAACTGATCAGAAAACAATCATCATCAAAGTCAACAACAGGCACAGAGCGTCTGTTTACTTTCATCCACTGGAATAATGTTGAATTATTAAAATCTGTAATTCTGATTAAAAAGAAGTAGTGTTCATGTCCAAAATATCTTTTAGCCAATGAGACCTGGATTTGTAAAGTTTCTGTGGAGACTCACTGGTGTGCATTCATATACCACCTGATTTCACAATATACATCAACCCTGTGGTCCAAACTTGACAGACCTCGTGATTTGAACTCGAGCGAAGTTCTCAGTGATTTCATGTTTACATGTTTATAATGTGCACTTGAGTTTTCTTGACAAAGAAACAAAAATGTGGACAGTACAAGAAACAATACAGCAGAAATAAGAGTTAAAAAAAACAGAAGCACAAGAGGAATGATTCTTCCAAACCCAGTTACACCTTAACAAATCATGACAACAGTGCTTTTAATGTGATACCCATAATCCAGCAAATATTATATTATTACCTCTATTTTCTCAACTAGGAAGGAAGCAGTAAAATAAAGATTAAAGGTGCAACAGTCACCATGGAGGCCCTCTATCAACAATGATGCTGCTGCAGAGTCTCTGCCTCACATCAAGTCCTTTCCTTCCTCAGAGACCCGCCCTCAGCCGTGATCGGCCCTCTGTTGTCTTTGCTGATGTATCGAGCTGTGTCCCAGTTCGAAGCCTGATTGTCAGAAGTCACATTTCTGAACTGAAGTTCACCATAAGAGGTCAACCAGGCCTCTCCTTACTCTGAACGAGGCTTTGTCTCATTAACAGCGTTTTCCAGGTGATCTCTTTGAAACTAGTAATGATTTAAACTGTTGCTTTATCACTTTATAATTTTCAGATTATGTTCAAGTATTTGGAAACAGGTTGATTTGGGATTATGGCTCCTTTACGCTGTAGGCTGTAAAAACATCTGGCAGAAATACACGCACACATAAATAATCTTTGTATATTGATATCACCTTTAATCTACTGTGCTGTCCGCCATGTGAGTTCACCTACTGCAGTAAAAGACTTTGATTAGTTCAAACTTGTAAAACTTTTCGACTGTGCAGCCTGCAGACCCTCTCGTTTAAGGTTCAGCCGGCTTCAGCTCTTACAGGATCCACCTTCATTTGTGCTTCATTTAAAGGCTCAAGTCCTTGAAATGGGACACAGCTTTGGTTGTGTTGGAGGGCAGTGAGGGCGGCCCGCAAAATGTGGCCTGGATGTTCAGTGCACTAGTCAGAGTCTGATCCTGAGACTTCCACAGGTGCGTCACAGAGAGTTTCCTCAAGAGGTGCTAGAGTCCCGTCGGGTCTGACCCCCATCGGCCGGATCACGTTCTGCCTGTGGACATGAAGACAAGGGTTACTACTTGTTATAATTACATTCACAACGACTCAACCTCATGTTTTCATTTCCAGTCTAACTTCATAGAAAGCTTCAGTGCCTGAGGACCCTCACTCCATAACCCCACCTCTTTATGGACACTCGCCCCTGTTGGGTCATCGTCTCTCCCCCTCAGACCCCTGCCTCCCCCTCCCTCTCTCTTCTCCTGTGGCAGTTTAATTACAGGATCAGCGCTCCGACTAATCTCCTCAAAGCCACGGCTGCCCCTTCATCCTAATCCAATTATACCTGCACTGAGTGTCACTGCTCCCTCTGAGATGATTCATCAGAGAATTATCCATCACATTTAAAACGGAACACTTACATTCATTTGAAAGAGATTCACATGTAAAACCGACTGACTCCTGATTAAATCTTGTTTCTGGAAAAAACTACAGAAAAGGGTCTTCAAAAGGACACTTGTGGTGCAGTGAAATCTACCATAACATACATCTACATCTTAATTAGCATATACAACATCTGGCCCAGAGTCAGCAGGTACAGTGAAGACTAAGAGGAAAGAAATTTAAACAACATATAACATCAAATCTCCTAATTAAGGCAAAATACATCCCCTCTGCTCCTCGGTGTGATGGAGGACTTTAAGGGGGTTGTGCAGGTTGGAGTGGGCGGTGGGTGGGGATGCAGAATATGTGCTAATTGGAGGACCAGTTAAGCAGTTAGGGGTGCACATTCTTCTCGGGCTCCGACTGATCTCCTTAGCGGCCTTACTTCAACATCATCACATCTCTTTTACCGAGGAAGAGAAACAAGAATCTTCCTCTTCTGGGCGCACGTGCCTCATTACAGCTCAACCTTCTTTTATCTCGCTCCACAAAGACGAGGTCAGCTGTCTTCTGTCTTCACATTTGTTCATCCACGTCTTGTCCCCTTCATCCACGTTCCACCAAAATTGCTTTGTCTACTTTTTGCTTCTGTCTCTTGTCCACTGTCTGTCTAGAAAACGGCAGACTCTTCAGAATGAGAATAAAGTCGGGACACGTGTTATTAAAAGGCAGAGACACAACAGAGGGACACAAAAGAAGCGGGACTGTGTGCGCCAATTAGATGATAATTAACAGAGTGGTGGTGATGATGCTGCAGTGGCGTGCCGGCAGCCTTTATTTACTCTGGCTGAATGCTGCGGCATGCTGCAAGTCCAGGACTAATTGAGGCTTCAGCTAAAGGCAAGAGATTCTTCCTTTGATAAGTCAGTTGGCAGGGAGCATCTCTCGGTTACCTTTGTACAGACGTCATGCTTGGCTGACGTTAGCCTCTACTCACTAAGGAAAGGTCAACGCAAATACAGCAGGGCTCTATGCAGAGGAAACAATAAATGAAATCAATAATTTGAGTCAGGAAAGCAGACCAACAAAACACTATTTTAGAGGAGCCTCTGCTAAAAAAAACAGTTCATTATTTGCCAAAGATTTCTATGCGTCTCTTGTTTGTTTTGTAGATCTGAAGGGTATTTTTTCCACATAGTTTCAGATAGTTTATACTTCAAATTGTCTAAAGCAGAATGCCCTCCAAACAAAGTGCTCTGGGACTCTAAACATGTTTTGAAACATCCCTGTTTGACTCCCCCCACAGACCTATGATGACGTCCCTCCTAGTTACCCTTTTATTATGCCGTGTTTCTCTCCTGTCCAAACTCGACTGTGAAACATGATGATTCATGTAGTCTGCCAGAAAAAATTTTGCATCCTAGGACTGTTTCTTTTGGTTATGTTTACCTTGATAACTTGTCAAACATATTGGCGAGCTTTTCTGCTTCATACTCCTTCTGCTCCTCCGTCATCTCCTCTATAGGGTTCTGCATTGGCTCCTCAACGTGACCAGTGATGGGGTTGATGCTGGACCAAGCAGATGACATACGAATATATTATCAATCCATAATGAACATGCAGATATCAGATTTGAAATGTCATTTGATCAAAATACTCACAAAGGTTTTGCAGTTTTGTACTCCTCTGTGTCCGAGTCTTCATCCTCAGAGTACTGAGTTTCTCCTCTACCTCCTGCAAGAAGTCCCCGAGCCACCAGGAGTCCTGCTGCGTTCCCATATCCTGTGTACTTCAACAGGTTGTCCACTGGAAAACAAGAGCACAAGTTAGAGAAGTGACACACAGAGGTCTACGTCTGTTTCCCAGGACTTGTTCACTGCCTTCACTAACCGCTTTCTTTGCAGAGCACAAAGAGAAACTCTGCGGCCGTCTGCTTCACACCCATGTCCACGTTTGTCATCAGGCGGACCAGTTTGTTTCTGACGGTGCTGCCGATCTCTGGCCTGATCTTCACATCCTTCAGTGGGGGGAGTACCTGAAGAGGCAGACATTACCAGCTGTTTATTGGGTGGTATTGTTTCTATGAGTCTCTTGCAGATGAACACGCACACACACCAACAAAACAGAATCAAAAATCTATCAAAGTTCTTTTAGATCCGGTTACAATCCCGGTGAGATTAACGAGCTGTATATTTCATTATCTCTGGGTTTAGTGTTTGCAGTGACCGTACCTGAGCTTTAATATATCTGCGGATCTCTCTGTGATGCCTGGATCCTTCAGTCAAAAGGCTGAGCACTGGACTCAAGCCCTCTTTGTAGTTGGAGCCCTGCTTGGAGTGACACAAACCACCGACACTTTACAAACTGGTGCAGCAGCAGGATTATAATCAGCAGTTCAAACGAAGGTCTCACAAAAGATAACTCCAAAGTGACATATATGATTTAAGGAGAAATTAAAAACTAAAACAAGCCTTTAGCTAGTGGCCTTGTTATCAGTGTTTCAAACTCAGATTTAGTAGTAAACCTTTTTCTGTGTACAAACATTTCAGTCATCTCCTCCAGTGCACGCTGCAGAGGATGAATTTTACCTTGTTGATCCTTTTCTCCATGAAGTCCAGTAACACCTGGATTGCATCCATGTTTTTTCCACCATATTTCTCTTGTCCTCCTTGTACAGGCAAGTCAATCAGCACGTCCAGGCAGGACACTGGCAGGTTATTCAGCAGGTTGACAGCATGGCTGGAGAGAGGAAAACAAGATTGAAGGATCTATCATATCAGATTTCTAACAAAATCCCAGCACACCCGAGTGCCTCACTTCTGCCGGATAGTGGAGAGCAGCAAAGCAAGCTGGAAAACCTGTTCGGTCGCTCTCTCCGACTAAAACAACATCAACCTGATCAAGGGGTAAAACTCCAGAGACCCAATAAGCCACTAGAATAAGATCAGTCACTCTGTCAGTGATTCAGTCAATGGTCACAGATTCTTAACATTCCTGCATAAACTTCCTTAAGGAGACGGTCCTGCTGCAAACACCCAACACCACTCCAAAGAAATGTTTTTTCCTGTGATACTGAGGTCTCCTGTCACATGGATGCAAGCTGATCTGCTGAGTGAGTGCTGCGTGCTTTTCGGTTTTGTCGATTTGCATTGAAAGTTCAGTCAATCTCTCAGCTGAACAGGAGCGTTCATGTCAACTAGCAATCATGAGGTAAAAAGGAAAGGACACGTATATGCATTTGCTATACTGGGCTGGGTCATCGATTGCAAAGGGCAGAGTAGCCAAATATCATAAGAGCAGATTTCCCACCTGTGTGCTTCCTCTGTTTTCTCCTCTGTTTTAGTCCTCTGCATCAACAGATGGCGCAGTATGGCAGCTATGAGTCGGAACTGGTGATCGTCCTCCTATAAAATCAAAAATGTGAGAGAAATGGATATCAAGTTTTAATCAGGTCAGAGGTAAAGCAAAACAAAAAATAATGAAGTGAAAAAAGAGAGAGAGAGGGACGTGAATGGTTATGTTTTAAAAGCAGCAACTTTAAAATTCAATCGCACATAATCCATGGTGTAAAGCACAAAAAGAGAACAAGGATAAAGATTGATACCAAAGCTTTTACAAACAATCAGCAGGAGGAGGCAGGAGTTTGGATTGTGATCAAAGAGAAGTTTGTATTCATTAAGACTTACAGATATAATAAATGCTGCCTTTGCCTTTGCTGTCATGTATCTCCTTCAGTCCAACCAGCATGAATATATGCCTTCTCAGAGAGGTCTGCCGGTTTGATTTTCTGAAATTCTTGCCATCAAGTTGCACTAAGTCAAATTAAAGTGGACTGATGCTGGGTTTAGGTTAGGTTTTTATGTGCAACAGCCGGGTTAACCCTAACTTCTCACAGAGCTTTAAAAATTGCTGAACTCTGAGCCTGTTTAGAGGGACTTCCCAACACACCTGATACTTAGTTTTACAAAAATCTTCTTGGCTTTCCATTCACTCTTGTTAAGATAAGATGTTCCTTTAATAGTCCCACAGGGGGAAATTCCAAATTTACAGCAGCATAGTACAGACACAAAAAGAGAAATTAAATGATAAAGAAACTTAGAGTTAAGAAAATATATGTATATGAGTCATATTTACATGTGTACAAAAATATACATAATGTTATGATTTATTGTACACTGAGGTTGGAGTCTGACAGCTGCAGGAAGGAATGACCTGTGATACCTCTCTGTCACACACTAATAATAATAATGAGTGACTTGAAGTGTGTTAGGCATTTTATCTTCATGTACATTCTATTGTATATTGATTTAAAGTATTTGAACAAAATGTTAAACAGATGTATAGCAGCTATATAAAATCGGGCTGTTGTAGGATTCAAATGTATCTATGTTACAGTGGACAATAATACCTTATTAAACACATCCCTGGAATCCTTCAAAGCTCAGTTTTGTTCAATTTGGGCCTACTTTTCTTACAAATTTTATGCAGATGATCCATCCAAAATCGCTTCCATTTTGGTCAACTTTCTGGACTGCTCTAGCAATATTTAAAACTAGATGGCAGATAATGGTCTATAAATGGACATCCCATAAACTCCAGAATCCAGTTCAAGATACCGACATCTCAGCAAGACTCTGCGGTCCTCTAATTAGGGTTTGTTGATCATCTCACATTCCAGGCTTAAGACCTAAGAAGACTGTGCATTTGCAGTTGTAGCTCCAACACTAATGAACTTTCTGCTACTGTTTGTTGGACCATTGGACAATCCTGACACTTTCAAAAAGCAGCTTCAAACTCATTCATTCAGACTTGCTCATACTTGTTCAGTTGTGCATTGTTGTTCACCTTTTATTTTATTGTAATTCATTGTTAGTTTATTGTATCTTATCAGTTTTTCCTTGGTAAAGCACTCTGTAACCTCTGATTTTTAAAGTTGTCATCCAACCGAAGTAATTCTTCTATTATTAGTTATTTCATCAGTTTTCATTCTCATTATTTGTGCACCCCTAGCCTGCTTTCAGTTTCTCAGTACAAGACACCCTGTAACATTACATACTCTCACAGACTTCCGCACACTCACCTCACCACCAGTGCATGACAGCGTTAGGTTGAATGAGGCTTTCAGCGCCTCCATTGCTCTCTCATTATCCTCTGCAGGCATGGGCAGGGTCTGTGGGTCTGGTGGGGCAGCCTCATATGGACCGACCCAGCGCACATCCAACGTGTGCTCCAGCACCTCTGTCAGGAGCTTTATAGCGTGCAATTCTGTCCTCATAACCCCACGCACATCTGGCCTCAGGGCAGACAGCAGGAAAAGGAGGCGAAGTGTAAAAAGACCGACCTCATGGTTCCATGTGCTGGCTGTACGCAGACCTCTGCAAAGGCCATGGGCCAGCTGCACATCTACACTGACCTGCTGAGCTGCAGGACTGTTATAAACCACATTGCAAAGGCACTTCAGGGCCTCAATAACCACCCTCTCCTCCTCATCTGACTGGGTGTTTTCCTGAGTGCTTTCCTGGTTGTCACCTCCATCCTCTCCAGGCTGCAGCCTCGCCATTCGTCCCAGGATCAACATGCCTTCCCGGGTGGCTACAGGTTTTAGGACATGCTTGTCTCTGGAGAGGATGCGGAGCGTCTCTAGACATGTCCTCTGACAGCTGGGCTGCACCTGCCTCCCGAGTACAGTCAACACACTCTGGCACAGCCTCTGTAATGCCACATAGAAGGGAGAATATAGATTTGACACAGCTCTGGTTACATTATCGTCTAATATTGAACTATTCAGGTGACCATACTCACACTCCGGAGAGTTTCCTCCTTTTTCTCGAAAATGAAGGTGTGGCTATTCTGAAACAGGAGATGCTCAGTGAGGATGGAGAGCACTTTAGCTTCGTTGTTAACGTGTTTTAAACAAAATAAACTCCAGCCTTTATAAGAATAATATTAACTCATACATATTTCATTGGAACCTTAAAAAGACCATTTGCTGACACTGTATAAAACAACAAAACCGGATGGCAGCAGCGTTAGCATTAGCAACACCATCCTGCCGATGTAAACAATATCCTCAGATTATAAATGTTTTTAACAAAAACGTAATGACTATTTTTTACCCAGCACGCTAAATGTGGTAAAATAGATTAAACATCTCGGCCAAGCTTGATATAAAGTCGTCAAGCTCGCTCAATGCCGCTTGTCAAGCTAGCTAGCTAACGTTAGCCAGGCTGTTTGTTTTGGTTGACTCACCTCCCGGTTAAACTGCTCAAGAAGCTTCTCGGTTTCCTCCTCGTCGGAAGATTCAAGCTGTGACAAGATTTTGTTCAAATCCATGTTGTCTTTGTGAAGAAAAGGGGACAGTAAGCTTGATTTAGACTGAAACAGTGTGTGTGTTGTGCAGCTAGCTCGCTTGCTAGTCCAGTATGTGTGTTAGGATGAGGTCTGCGGTAGTCAGCAGGGAAACTCCCCTCACACGACCGAGCCGCTCCTCCAACCAAACACTTTACAACAATTTATATAAATATAAAAGCTTTTTATACAAAAAAACCCAGTATATTTGTAGGTGAGAGTATTTCGTCTGGTAAGGGCTCGACACTTTGCTTGTAATCACCTTATAGTTTTTAATTGGAAAAAATGATAAAATTAATAATATGAATAACAATAATTATTATTATTATTTAAAAAATACTGTAACTCCACTGTTACAGGAAATTAACATCAGTTTTTAAAAATAAATTTATTATTATATTAATAATAATAATAATAATAATAATAATTACTATTATTATTATCATTATTATTATTATTATTGTTGTTATTATTATTATTATTATTATTATTATTATTATTATTATTATTATTATTATTATTATTATTGCTGTTACAATTATTACTATTAATCTATTATTTCTAACCTAATTGTTACAGGAAATTGACATCAGTTTTTTACATAATAATAATAATAATAATAATAATAATAATAATAATAATTATATTATTATTATTATTATTATCATTATTATTATGATTATTATTATTATTATAACAATAATAACATTATGAATTTAATAATGATTATTATTATTATCAAATCATTATTATTATTATAGTTATTAATATAATAACAATAATAACTATTATGATATAGTTATAATAATGATAGTTATTATTATTATTTTTATTATTATTATTATTAACTTTATTGTTGCAGGCAATTGACATCCGTTTTTTTTTCTTCTTTTTTAAATTATTTTATCGGCATCTTAATTCTTGACCTTTATATAGCTTGAGGGGGCAAATACTAAGGATCAATTCTCCAGAGGGGTTGACTTCCCCTCCAGAATCAAGTCTCGTGAAGGTTTAAACAAGTTTTTAACTAAAGAGTTAACTCAATTCCTTTGTCCCTCAACTTTAAGTCCCTGTTGTGGAATCGTCATGCCATCTCTGTTTTTACACCATTAAGTGAGACCAGTTTACACCAGGGCTAGAAAGTCCAGTTGTAGTCTCATTAAACAAGCGTATTTCTTTTAAATATATTGTATAAACAAATGTAGGAACTTTTAATGAGTTTTATACTGGCATACTCATGCACGCCAACTTATAAAAAAAAACTTATAAAAAAAATTGTGGTGTAAACAATAGCTCCTTGCCTCCTCTACACTTTGAGAATTACACAGTGAATTTTATGTGTTGCAAAATGATTTTGTCATCAAATGACAAAAGTGTGGAACACTTTCGTGTCTTGGTGCTGTGACAAGTTTTCTCTTTTTGAAGTCTTGTTCTAGCTCAAACTCTTGCTAGCGGATCAAAAACTTCATTTTCTCTATCCATGAACATAAACAAATATTTTTCGGTGTGAATCTAGTTTGAAACTGATTAAAAAATGAGAATTTCACCAGTTTAAAACTTTAACTCAGTTTGTTGCCCAGCTATTTAGACGTGTTTTTCTCTTACTAAACCAACATGTGATGCACTAATTTCAAAGACCATAACTTTGATGGAAAGTCCTATTTACACCTCTGTTAAAGTAGGCCTTTGTTGATCTATCAGCACACATTTCTCACAACCAACAGCAAAGCTCTCCCTCTCATCCAGGATTGCCAATCTTTCTCCACCGTTTTCAGCGGATATTGATATTGACACTCAGGTCGGGTGATTCAGTCATATTATCTATTGTTTCTGCGCTGCACTATCAGGGTTTTTGCATTCAAAGTCTGGGTTGTGAATCATGCATGATTTCGTAGACACACAACAAGGAGGTTCTATGTGCCAATAAACAGAAACCTCGGCAAGGGTCAGAGGTCAAAGGTTACGGGACTGAGGTGCAATGACCCCAGCACAGCAGGACATTCTCTCTATAGAAATGTAATTCTTTCTGCAGTGTGGCCCCTGTGTTTGCAGCCCAACCCCCCACTGTGCTGTCACCACATGGAGAGAGAAGTAAAAACTCAGAAAATCTTACACCTTCACCATACTAAAATTCAAGCAGAAGAGTTAAGACACATTCGAGAGAAATCGTGGTTTTGATTTGGCTCCACTGCTGACATTGATTGTGGTTGATCAAATTAATACAAAAATATGTTGTTGTTTTTTTCCAAATATTGGGTGTATATGCATATAGTCTGATGTATTTTAAGGCAAAAGGATGAAGACAGGGTTAAACATAAAATAAAATTTGACACAGAGGACTCACTTTTTTTAAAATGTGAAATTATTTATGTGGCAATTTTTTACCCACATACACATCAGTTTCCACTGTGATAGTTTAACATTTACCACAGACAGTTTCCAGTGCTTTTATTTACAGAAAAGTGACTAGACTTCATGTTACTGTACACTTTGATATTTTCCCTTTTTTATAAATACCCATAGGGTAATAGGTCCTCAGTAGCTTTGAGTGCATTATAAAACACGCAACCCTAGGTTAATGCGTCTTTTGCTATCCATAGAAAACAGAGAACAAAGTACCAATTGTAACATAGAAAATAAAGGATACACCATGTTACAAAGTTACAGAAAATACATACTATATTTATATATACGTATATCGCACACAAGTTTTTTTTTTTTGAGTCACAGCATTTAATCAATAAAAAAATCTATCCGAGATAAAGACACCTTAACACAGCGCTCAGGGACTTCCACGAGTCTGTGATGTTTTGGCTTTGTGCCACAGTGTGTAACTGGTGTCCAAAAAGAAAGTTAAGGCAGTCCAGCTCATCCACATCCTGCAGCAAACACATCTGCTGTGAAGAGCACACGACAAGAAGCTGCACAGTGTGAAGCGACAGGAGGAGACAGTCGTGCCACTGAGATGGTGTGAAAGTCAGTGGCGGCTAACAGCACTCTGATCCTGCAGTCGTAAACAGACTGAGGGCTGGTGGAATAATGTGTGCACTGACATAAGAGACTGATGAGGGAAACTGGCAAAGGAGTACATTCCTTAAAACAAAGGCACAGTTTGGCAGCAGCATTGCACTTTTATGATTTTGCTGCGAGTTTAAACAATCTACATGATTTGAAGTGATAGTTTCCACCAGGCAGTGAGCAAAAACATCGATTGTTGTCGAAATTTCACTAAACATCTGCACAGATTACACAACAATCATCTTGGTATTTTCAAATTGTCAGCACACCCTCACCGTGATTCCTAATACTTGCATTGGTACGCTCAGCTATCTGCTCCTCCTTTTTTGAAATACATGATTGGAAGTGTTTGCAACCACCAGTTTGGCAGGAGGGCCTTGAGTTATTTGGCCCAGCCGGTGGTGGCCTCTCCGTTGATGTAGGCAAAGCCGGGGAAATGCTGCGAGTGTTCGTACTCCGAGTTCCTGCGTGGGCCCAGAGGAGAGTACATGTCTCCAGAGGTGGCATAGCGAGATGAATGCATAGGTGGGCTGGTGTAACAGCTGTTAGTTGGCGACACATCAGGCCACCGGGGGGCGACAGGTGTAGGGTGCAACCGAGGAGTGCTGCCCATCAAACAAGGCTCCATTCGGGACATCTGACCGTTGAGCTGGTACTGAAATAAAAGGAAGAAGAGGAAAGGAATGAGGAAACATATACACACTCATCATGGGAAATCTCAACAAATGATTCTACTTGTAATTGTTTTGAATGTGTATAAGAATACGCCACAACCATTTAGTTTTCAAGTAGCAGCAGCTAAAAAGTTTAGCTTGGCAAAAAAGTGCTTTGTGCCAGGAAAAATGTTTAGCGCAAAACCCATGTGAATGTTTGTTTTAAAGTAGATAAAAAAAACAAGATAAATGAGTTTATGTGTTAATATTTAATATCCAGGGCTTCTCTGTTTTAGACTTATCTATCTTTGAACAGGGCTGGGTTTGTTGCTTTCCTCTTTCTTTGAATCTTTACGCCAAACTGAACTAATATTTTGACACAAGCCAAAAGTTCCTGACTGCGGGTTGAACTTTTTACAGGTTATTTTTGTTGGTTTCTGTTCATTCCGAAGGGAGACAAAAATATGGGAGGCAGAGAGAAGTGATGACTTAGCAAAAGAAAAGGGTTGCAGCACGGACTCAGCTCAGGACATTCACTTTACAGGTGTTTCAATCTGCTGAGTACAAAGTACTCATCAGGACACTTGTTCCCCATCATGTGTAGTTTTAAAATGACGGTTTAAATGATCTGCTGAGGATCTGACCTCCGTGTCCTCACAGGTTCTGCTCATATCAGATTTGGTACTGAGAATCTCTGTGTGCTGAGTATAGTAAGATGGTAATTGGTGATGGGGAAATTGCTTCACATTTTGCACCATAATAATCAAAACAGAAAATTTAGCCACTTAAGAAAATTAGACAACAGCTGAAAATGCCTTTCCTCCTGTCATGTTTGTTGCCTGTGGTGACCAAACCAAAACAGCCTCAAACAGATCTGCTTGTTGACAAAAACGTGTTGAACAGATGGGATCCGACAGCTTATTCTGTCCATCTCCGCTCTACTCCGTCCCGAGCCTCTAACATAGACAGAGCAGAGGCATTGTGCCCGATTTATCTCAGACAGGCCTGCGAAAAAAAAAGTGGAAGTAGGACCCTTTTCCTTTTTCACACTAAATATAAACACGACAGTCGCTTCCTTTATGAGGGATCACGGCATGGAAAGGGACAGTCAGAGCAGGTCAGAGAGCAGAACAGACGGCTCAGCTGCCTCTTGTTCACCAGCAGAAAAGACACCATTGAATAACAATATTTTAATAAACGCCCCCTTGCCCCGCTCTGTGGCTACTGGCTCACACACATGAAGAGACTATTGAGAGCTAGAGTGAGGAGAAACAGAGCAGGGCCCCTCCTGGCCCCGGCTGAGCCACCTTTCACTGTCCACTTCCGCCGCGTTGAGAGGGTGATTCGGGGACTTTCAGAAACACTGCTACCGCTGAGGCCCAGCTGATCTCCTCCCACTATAAAGCAAGCGGAGGCTGGAGGGCCCTTGACAGGAAATTACCATCAAAAGAATAAACTCACACCAGTTGTTACACGAGCAAAGCCTTCGCGCCTTATTGTGATTTTTTTCCCTGAGTGTGAATCATCTTTTTACTCTCTGTACAGTTCCAGTTTTGAGACGGTTTTGTGGTATTCTTTTCCATGTTTGTTAAGTTTACCCTGAACCACAAACATTATATCTTATATCTTTTCCTTTCAAAATTAGGCTTAACAAATTCTTCCTCTATAAATAGCTTACATACAGTGATAAGCTGATCATTGCCCTGCATTGTGGATACAAGCAGTGAAGTTCCCTGCACGCTGTCCTCACTCTATATAAGTACTTCTCTTGGGTACAGTTTGAGGCACTTGTATTTGATTTTGTTATTGGCTGTTAAATCTCTCATAGAGCAATAAAAAAGCAGTTTCCTCATAGACAAAGTACCCAACAGATTACATGAAAAAACGCACATAGTGTACTCCAGAAGTGGCAAAACGAAGCAAAGAGCTGTTCTGGTCCTGCCTCCTTCCAAACAGTATTACATCATTTTGTGAAAAGTAATCTCGTAATGTCTGATCGGGAGTTTCAGAAGGAAATATTGAACTTTTTACTCCACCACATTTACCTGAACTGATGCAGTTCCTAGTTATTTATTTCAGTTGAAAGCACCAATCACACTCCATGGTGCACCTGTCAATTTTCCTTGGAAGTTATCATTCCTTTTTTTATTCCTTGTCTGAGGTGATATTGTCACTCACATTTATAGAAAAAGTTTGAAAGTTTTCACTTGATTTTAAAACACCATGAACCCCTAGTTTACAGGGACTGACCTGTGCAGACGAGCGGTGGTAGGCAGAGTAGTGGAGGGGTGGTGGGATAGTTGACTCGTGCGCCAGACTGGGGTAATGGCTCTGGATAGAGTGAGGATGCTGGTTGGTGTAGCTGCCATAGTTGTAGCTACCAGTGTACCTGGAAGGGGAAAACAAGTTTAAAATGTTATCAGAAGCTTTTCAGACTAATTAAAACATTATCTTAACTTTAATTGGGCTTTCAATACTGAAATGATAATTACCCATGCTCCTCCCTGTGCGTGTAGACAGGCATCCTGTGAGTGGAGGAGGGAGGAGGGACCGGAGTGTTGTTCCTCATACAGGACAGCTGCTGGCCGGCCTCTGGAGTGGAGCCGCCTGCTGTTGTCACTGTGTATGTAAGGGACCAGGTATATGACTGAACAGCGCCTGGCAGACACATGTACACACACACAGACACATGTGTTGGCCAGAGGAACCACATGCTTCTGTATACTGAACATATCTGAGTGTGACTGTGGAGCCCGGCTCACCTGTGGTGGGGGTTACTCCAGTGTACTCGGGGGACACGGCTGCTGTGGGAGAGCTGGCTGAGGAGACGCCCACAGAGTGCACCGAGCGGGCAGGAGAGAAGGATCCCGGAGATGGGGAGGTGGGCGTGGTCTCTGTCAAAGTGAATTCCTCCTCTCTCTCTGCTGTGTGAGTCGACACAGGACAGACGATTACTCACGCTTAAAGCCTCAAAGATTAAAATTTCTTCTCTATGAGTCAGGGGGTCTCCTTTGTTTTCAATATGTGACAAAGAAGTTCATCAACCAGACTCCTCTACTACAGAGCCACACCGTTGTAATCCATGCAAAAATAGTGAGGCATCATCTGCATATGTTGCTCCAAAACCTGCATATGTTGTTCAGCATTGATGGTGTCTTCCCAGTTGTGACAACCTATGTGACCATGTACGGTCACAGATGCAGAATTTTAAATTGTGGGGTTCCTCCCCCCTTTGGAGCAGAGGACGTCATGTCCACGATTTCAGAAAAGAATGTGGAATTTTGATCGATCATACCACCAGAAAGTTGTCCCCTGTGCCTCAGTCCACCTTAAATGAGCCCAGTCTCAGCATTTCTGGATCATGTTTATAAATGATTTTGCTTTTATGCACTGAACAGTTTAAACCTGCATTTGTGGATGAAGTGACAAACTGTGTGCACAAATGGTTTTTAGATGTGATTCTGAGCCCTTGCTGGGATTTCCACAGCAGAGTCAGGCCTGTTTGTAAAGAAGTGCTGCCTGAGGGCCTGAAGATGTCTGATTTATGTATTTTGATATTCTGTAGGAGGACTTCTCATTTAGTGACAAGTAAAAATGCACTGTGAAGGTAAAATATTACATGAAATATCTACTCTTTACTTCTTCAACTTGCAACAGGTGCACTTTGCAGCCACTCAATAAATACAAAAAAGAAAAAAAACATACAATTTCAGCATTACTGTTCTGTGTTTCTGCAGAAACACGGTGGTGCACAATGACAGACACTTGGAGCTTGTTGATAAAAATAAATTATAGTTGTTTTTAGTTAATTATGCACCAATTCAGATTCTGTGTCTGCCAAGTCTCTTCTGCTTCATGCTGCTAAATTCTACCACTACAGTCTACCTTCAATATCCCAGAGCTAAATATGAGGTTTTTAGTGAGTTTTGGTCTACCAACAACCAATAAAAACCCTGCTGTTTGTCCAAAAATCTATCATGAAATATTCATTACCAGTTAATTTGGGGGATTTCTGCCTGAAAAGCACTTTGACAGCTATCTAAGTTTCTAAAAATTATACACAAACTTATGCACAAGACATTTATTGCAGCGAATGATAATGAAAACCTGCAGGTAATGGTCTCACCTGTGCTGCCTTCCCCCTTCATGGCCCTCATGAGGTCATTTGCCCGCTCCTGGCAGTGCAGGGATTCCAGCAGGTAAAGCACATAATCATCAAACATCAGGTGGATCAGATGGAAGGACCCTGCATGCAGACAGTCGGAATGAAGAGGTTTACTTTTAACAAACTCCAGGAGAAAGAATGAAAGTTTAAAAGTGACACAAATGATGAATCAGGACTGAAGTGTTTCCAAAAGCATCAGAGTAATGGCGTCACATCCTGCAGACTGAAAAGACAGCTGCTGTTATCAAAAACAGAAGCAAGTCCAAGTTTTCCGTGTACAGAGTCCGTGCCAGAATTATATCCGCTGACCTTGAGGGTCGCACAGAAGATGGGAGCTTGGCATATGAAGGAGCGTCACAATTGTGTCATTGTGCGGGTGGCTGAAGCCGCCGTGTGCATAATAAACACTTGTGGCTATTCAGGGGAGCGAGGCGTAATACTGACCGGTCATAAAATGGAAAAGACAGGCAAACACATCGGGAGAGGGGAGGGGCGGCTTTTGTTAATTAGCTGTTTGTGCACAGAGAGCTGCTTTATCAAAACACTGCAACCAGCTGTGTCTTTGATATTCACAGACAGAGACACAGGACATAAGGAGAGGGAAGAGAAGCCATTTTCCTTTCTTTCAACTTTACAACTTTTCACGTCGTGCAAACCTCAGTCAGGCACAACCAGCTATTAAAACAGCCATTTTACTCTTTCTGCCCTCCTAATCCTCCACTTATTTTAGACTTTAAATTCATACTCTGGAGGAATAACGAAGCTTGAGGCACTTGATCATTGAGGATTTAATCAGTGTGTGCACCAGCTCTGACCTCCAGTCAGAGGTTTTTTTTCCATTTGAATATTTGTTGATTTGTTTGGGTGAATATAAATTTCTATACGTATTTATACAGGCTGTAATGTAATCATTAGAATACTCAGCATGTGTAAAAGAAGCATTGATCTAAAGAGATCCACGACTTAAAACCAAAAATCAAGTCTGTTTGTCGTGTAACAAGTAGTGTATATATATATATATATATATACACACATATACATATATTGTTATAAAAGTGTCACTCCTTAAGTACTTGATTACTCTGTATCTTCTGAGCCGGTATATGACTCAACACATAATTTTTTAAGTCTAATCTTTTGCAAAAAAAATCTACTCTCGCTTTATTTTGTGGGCTTATTTTTAGCCTCAACATTACTTTTTAATAGAATTGATAGAATAAAATACATAGTAGAATAGAGATAGGTTGTTTGGGCAGGAACATCAGAGGAAATAATGTCTCAGTTTGTGGTTTTGACAAGTGTACAGTCCATCCCATATAAAAATCTGAATAATTTTCTATCATGATGCAGTGTCGTCAGACTTGTCTACTCTCCGTCTGTTGCATTAAAAAAGGATGACAAAGCATTAGCTGCTTACCAAAGCTGGGTGCGCTGTGGAGGGTCATATCCCGGATGACTCTGGTACCAAAACACGACCACATCAGCAGGAACTGTTGGGCCACCTTCTTCAGACACCCGGGCCTCTTCCCTGCCACCTAGAGAGAACATTTCCATGAGAAAGGAGGGGGAAGGGTCGGGATGCCGGGGTAGAATTAACCCCTGGGTCTGCATTGGGGCTTAACCCACAGGAACGAAAAACATGTCAACAAGTCAACTATTTAATTTGCCCCCGGGGACACGCCTTCCCATTGAACTATTGTCTGGCCAGTCCAAGACGTTGCCAAGGCGACCAAATTTTACAAGCCAATATCTGACTCATAATGGACGCAAATGGGAAGCTTGAAGACATCATTAACTGGAAGGATTGCAACGTAAGTGCCTTTGAGGAGAAAGAAGCGCAGAGACGAGTGGACTTCAGCAGCAGGTGTCTCTTAAGGGCTAAGTAATCAGACTTCCGCTGCACAAACACTTCACTGTGACTTAAAAACCACTGCGCAGCATCAAGTGAATATAAAAACCTAAACAGATACTTGATGCAAAAAGTCCAGAGTCAGAGAAAGTTTCAGCCGCCTTCAGTGAATGAAAGCAGGTTGCTCTCTAACCTTGACGACACAGCGGTCCACCATTGAGTCCAACCACTCGATGTACGCCTCTATGGGAGACTGCTCCTCCAGGAGACGGTCAAACTCCTGATACACTGTGAGAGCAGAGGAAACAGATTAGATTACATAACACCTCAAATAGGGGGGGCATTTGGGTGCAAGAAAGTGGGGTTTCAACAACATATCTGAGTGTTGGTGTCAGCTGATAGTCACCCATTTGCAACACCAGCCAGTAAACAAAAATATGATATTTACTGAAACCAGCGTGTTTTTAAAAATAGATGTTGTGCTGTTTTGATGTATTAATGAAAAGTTAGTACAGTTTTTTGCTTTTGGCCAAGGTGAAAAATGTAGATATATAAATGTTAACTTCCCAGCTAATGAGGAAATTAATGACAGCAAAAATTAAAAAAGAAATAACCATTAGCTGGAAAAACTATCTATGGGGGGCCAGTTTAGTCCAGTTAGTAGAGCAGGGGCCCTCTGTACAGTCTTTTTTGTAGGTTTACAGTTTGTCCAGATGTCCAGTAAAACCTAAATTATTTTAATAAAACAAAGACAAAGCCCGAAAATTTACAATCAACGAGAGGAAAATATCGACACTGGGATTTGCTCATAATCATCTTGAACATTAGTATCAGTATCAGTGCGTCCCTTCAAATAACTTTGTACCCTCTCTGTATCTGTGACCTCTGAACCTGTCAGGGCTGCTTCAGAGGAGAGAGGTGGGAGGTGAATTGTTGATGCTCTGTGGGGTGTTTAAGAGCAGAGAAAACTTGTTTAACCTTTTGCTCTTCATCTTTAGTGCTTTGACTCTACTGGTCATGGGAATGGCCGTCTCTCTCTCTGACTCTTTCTCTCTGTTGTTTGTGAAGATGTAAAGTGTAGTTTGGTTATGTTTACACTTACAGTGGATAATAAGCTGTCTGTGCTCCTCTTGTGAGTCCTCCATGGTGTAAAGTGTCTGCTTGGTGATGCTGTTCAAGTCCACATTCCTCCAGTCCTCCAGCATTTGAAAGGTGATGTCGGCGCTGTTTATCACTGTCCTAGATGCCTGGGGGAAGATAAATCAACAATATTACTCACACAAGCATACTCATATCGCTTATCAGCTGTGTTTGTTCATATAGATTTTTATTAAAAACACATTCAGTACGTGACGGGCACCTGACAGAGATGGTTTAATGATGTTTGCCGCTTTAGGATCTGAGAAAATCTTCTGGACACTGGAAACAAAACACACGGTTCAGCCTGTTAGTGTCATCATCCAAACTCTCTATGAGGAAATGATTGTGTTGAGTGGCGGCAGAGTTTATACCTACATTCAAATTTGATGTTCCTCAGGTTTTCAGGGAGGTCATGAAGTGCTATTTTAAGCCACTCGTCGAGCTGTTTGGCAAATTTCCGAATAACCTGAGTCAAACTGGGCAGAAGAGGGAAAAGAGCATCACTGACTGATTTTATACTGTTGTGCACTAAGGTTTGATAATGAAGTATCACTCAAGCTTACTATCATCCATCACCTGATAAAAACAGGGAAAGGAAAACCGTGGGAACTAAGCTGTAACACTTTTATTTTACACACTAATACATTTTATTAAGTCAAAAGAGGCACAATTCACTTAAAGGTCAACTCTACCGACCTTTTTATTACCTTCATTTATCATGTCCTCAAGAAAAACAAGTGTAAGTTTCAGTGTTAGATCAGTGACAAACTGAATAGTACTGACACACACAAAAAAATAAATGTGCTCGTTTAAAGAGTGAACATGTGCTCACCTATCAGGTAGTGCTTGCAGGACGGTGGGCATCAGCACTCCAGAGATGGCCTTGTAGAGGATGGAGTCACAAACACCGACTATGTTCACCACCGTGGGCGAGCCGAGGACTGGGAGCATGTGGGGGGGCATGCCCTGCCAGAAGTGCAGCAAGAAGCTCTGGACCTGAAAGCACCGCACACACACAACGTTTTAAAACAACAGGGAATAAAAGTACAGCTGAAGGAATTTATGACACACAGGAGGAAGTTTATTGTTCAAACAGATTTTATCAACTTTAATGTGTGGATGGTTTAAACCTTGCCTCATCAAAGTTGGCTCTTATTACAGTATCCAGTATCCTCTGACAGTGCGTTCTGTACATCATAATGAAAGTCGAGACCTGTGAGAAACAAGAGTTAAAAAGAAAAAAATTACATTACACACTGAAATATTTTTTTTCTCAATTGGGAAACTTAAAAAAAAAGAAGTGGTAGAAAAACAAGAAAATAAATCTTGCACAAAGCATGTGAACCAATAAATACATGTAACAGGTCTGGGCTGGAGCGGAGTCATATAAAGCAAGCTTTAGAGATCAGCAGAACACAAACCATTTAAAATCATGGCCCCTCTTTAAAAGCTGGACAGCTAGTGCCTGTCCTTTGTCCAATGCTAGATCTTATTATCTCCCCCCAAAGATTAAGAGTTAGTGAGGAGCCAGCATATAAATCCTCAAGGTCCCTCTCTAAATGCAAACCCAGTGAAGGTCCTGGGGCAGATAAAAGGCCGGAGCCAGAGGGGGCGCAGGGATGGTGAGATGGTTTAGGAGAGGTGGAAGGAGGGAGGGGTTGTAAGGATGGACTTTTAACACTCCTGTTTACCCTCTCTTCTGGCAGGCTGGCGGGCAAATTTAGGTCTTTGACATTTGGAAACTCTGGCAGGAGCGTTCCCAGTTTGGAGCGCGGTGAATACGCCACTGTCTGCTTGGTGACCTCTTTCTTCCCCGTCTCGTTCACCCACGCCGCTCCCTTTTTGGAGTACATCACGTCATAATACTGAGAGGTCTCCTTCACTGCGATGCCGTAATAATGGTACCTGAGGTAAAACGAGGGGATAAACCAGTGGAGGTTAGAGAAAACTGAAACGGAAAGACAAACGATTCAAGATAGAAAGATTTGTGCACTTTTTAAAATCTGTAGCCTTAATTACAGATTTATCTTACTATTAAATGTTAGAAAAACTTCTTTGAGGTTTAAAAAAGTTTAGATTTTTAGTAAAATAAGTAGATAAAAAAGCAGAAACTATAGAAAACAATTGTATTTAATATATTTTTGTGTGGCCATCCTGTTTCTGCTCATGTTTTCAGGGTTCGAGGTCATGAATACTGGACAGGTATGTGTTGTTTAAGTTTTCAATGACAAAACAAACTCACTTAGACTGCCCTCTAGTTCCAAGTCGTCTGGTGGTTAATGCTGGAAACTGCTGCCTTATGATCTGTTTATTAGAAAGAATAAAAAAAGTTATCAGTGTGCCCTAACTACAGAGAAAAACCTTTCATTTAATCGCTAATTTTCACAGCCACTCAGAGCAGGAAAAACAAGAAGAAAAGCAGCAGAAAAACATACAACTATTTTAGCTTTATCAACAGGGCGGTCAGTGATGAATACAAAGTTTTCAGAGCTGTCCGTTTATGATTTCCAGAGGCATTACATTTTTCTTTCCTCTTTGTCTATCTCTTCCTCCTCTCCTCTACCTCCTTCTTCCTTTCTTCTCTTTTTGTCCAAAGAGATTGGCTCCTTGGTTCGGCTCCTGGTGCAGAAACTTTAGCAAACAGTGTAGCTCTCCATTGTGTGGGATGAAAAAAGAGGCCAAGCTGTGAAGTTTCTGTCAGGCCCCGCTTGATAAATGAGCAGACAGGGAGGCAGTCCGGGCCCTCTCTCGTTTTTTTGTCCTGAATCAATGAAGCCTTCCTAAAGGACACCCCACACTGCTCCAGCCACTGATCTAACATTCCGCAACATCTCACCCTTCCAAATTTCCTTTAATTACACATTAATCCAGGCCCCTTCTCTTTTTCAATATCTTCCGACAGGAGCTGTAGAGGGGCGGAGGGAGAGCCGGGTTGGGGGGCTGGGGCCAGAGTCCAGGGTACAGAGGATGGCTGGGGGTAGGAAGGCTGAGGAACTTCTTGGGGTTGTGGGAACAGACGAAAGCACATCTCCTTTGGCTCTAGATTATGTGTTCAGTGAGTGGCTGCAGAGCTTTCCATGCTTCACACTGAGCTGAGCTGATATTACTTCAACAGCAGCCAGAGCCGCTGCAGCACAGAAACTAATCCAGGCATGAAATGGCCAGAGAAATGCTCATGGCTGGAGTGAGGTTATCACCACCTTCAGTAACCATCATGTGAATGCCGCTGATTGTCTTCTTCTTTTTAGTCTATCACTCAAAACTTGAAGCACAAGTGTAAAAGAACATTAAAAACCAAAAGAGGAAGTCGTGTTTCTCTGCGACTGACTCAGCTGCACCATTTACCAAATATGTTACAGGGTTCATGTTATTTCAGAACACGTCAGGAACTGGACACATGAATTTCAGTGATGAGCTGCTGTCGTCCCTGCTGACGTTTGATTCTTACCTTTCCAAAGCTGGCTGCGTTCACAGGCTGCGTGTCGTGCTTCTCGCTGAAGTCCAGGTAATGCATATAGAGGGCACTTCGGGGGATACACACACCTTCAGCTATCTCATAGTTTTCTTCTAGCCTGTTGATGAAAACGTTGATGATCAGTGCTGAAAAATATCCACTTTGAAATATGAAAAGGGATCAAATAAAAGAAACAGATGATTTCAGGAGAAAAGATAACTTATTGTGTAAATGTGAACAAGAATATATGTATGAAAGCAAAATGAATCAATGCAATGAAAAAGACTATTTATAATTATATGATAGTCACATCACATGTAAAGCATGAGCTCTAAAACAAACTGAAACTGGATCAAACGTACTTTTTTTGTACTTTTGTGCTGCAGCTTTGCTAGCTCTGTATTGAGAAGACCTTATACATTAAAAAAACTGATATTACTTGTATTTAGATCTTTTGTTTAGAAAAAAGTGGCTGTATTAATTTTATTTACATTTTACAATAATTTGAAAAGACTCTGTAGCTTGTTTGAGAAAAGTGTATGTGACATTTATGTGTCGTTTGCCATTTTGCTGCGGAATCCGCAGAATCTGGACTCATCAATGACTTCGACATCATAAAATTATACAGAATTAAATCATTATGTAAAACTTGCTGCTACTGTATTCTCTAAAGAGTAACAGAATAACACTCTGCAGCTGTCTGTCTTTGCGTCTAAATTAAATCGAGAGTGATGAAGCTCTGGTTGTCGCATCTCCCTCCCTTTTGTGGGGTCCCTCAGGGGCTCATTCTTGGTCCCCTTTACAATTAGCCTCTCACCTCCAATGCAAATCCTTTGTAGACATAATACTAATTTCCATTTTTAATTGGATTACTCTATTTCTAAATTAAACTTTGAAAATATATATATATATATTATTGTAATTTTTTGATTTTGCTGAATTAAAACTATAATGCCCCCAAAATTTGATGTTCTTCTGGTAAACATAGCTCTAATCAGCTGATCAGGTCTTATCGCGTTTTTCATTGACTCCATTTCTTACTATCATAAATAGCTAAAGGTGTAGTTATTGGTGTTTACCAACATAAACATTTTTAAAATGGTTGGCAAAACAGATCTCTGGAAATCTTTAATAGGTTTTTATATTTAACTCTTATAGTCAAAATAAATATGAATCTCTGAGCATGAGAATGCACCATTATTATTATTATTAATAATGATATATAACTCTAGATTTGTTGCTGATTTAAAGTATCATTACAGTGTTTTCTTTTTTGAGGAACAATTGCAGACAATTATGGATCTTTGTGGCTCTCCTCAAGTATTCAGGTTTTTATCCCAAACAGCGTAAAGAGTTTTTTTTTTATAAAAGCATTACTCAGTTGATTTCTGCAAACAAGCATCATCTGCACATGTCAGAAAAAAAAGCCTAATCAAAACAGCAGAAAAAGAAAAATATATCCAGTGACAGAGAGCTCACTGTTATATGTGACGGTAACATTTTTCAAACTTCATCATGAGTCAAAAATTGTGATCTGGGCAGTAATTCATGTATGTTACATATGTTAAAAAAAATCTAACAATCCTTGAACAAAACAGATACAACCATCATGGATGGGTTAACTCCTGTGTTGGTGGGAACAGAAATCTGACATTTTAAGGAGCCTGAGATGTAAAAGGAAAAAAGAAGCGAAGTGTGATTTAATTTCTACATGTGATTTTGAGCCATAACTAACCTGATTTAAGTCCTCGATCACTACTTCTTACATCCCTCCTTCATTCTGTTATAAATCACATTTTGAACATCTGAGGAGACATCTTTGTCCTGTTGTTTTTGATAAGCATCGTATCAAAGGCACATAAGGGTGTTTTAAGAAGAAGCCAATCAACAACATACACTATACTATAGTATAAACATTTAAAGCTAATCAAATGTTGATGAGGAGGTGAGATGTAAACTCTGGTCTGACAGCATTTCTTTGTGTTTGCGTTGTAGAAACTCCAGCAGCATTTATGTCTGAAGTTTCTCTTGTGAGGTCGAGGTATGTGAGGGGTTTGCACTGATATGAACAGAAGCTGGAGATTATTGAACGTTTCACATGTAATGAGTGTGTCTTATGAGATATTATTTAATAGCAGTGCCAAAATTCCCATGTGTAGACAATTAAATCTGATCTATTGTGCAAAATCAGGATTTAAACGAACATATTCAACCTCCATAAATGCTTTTTCGTTTCTGCAGTGCCTGACTGAGTTACAGTTTTTTCTGAGCTCTAGATTCAAACCTTTTACAGCACAGACCAGCTTTTAAAGAAACTGCGGCAACACAGGAAAAATGTTGGGTTTGCCTCATTTAAATAATCTTTTTTTTTTCTTCTAATTAATAAACAATTGGGTCAAATCAAAGTAATTAACAAACTTTGAAAACTTGTATATTTCTACTATTTTTAAATTTTTTGTTTTTCTGGTGCTGTTGTCAGCGATATGCTTCACTGCTGCAACACAAAATATTAGTATTTGATTGTGACATTTTTCAAAGGTTTTTGCATATGTGGACTTTTTTTCTCTCTATTTTTACCCAGACAACAAGAAATACGAATAACGTTTTCTGGTTACTTACCATTCCAGAGTAGCTGGTGTTGAATGTGGTTTGGAGGCTCTGTTGTTTTCTTTTTCTTCATCTGTAATCAAAGATTTTTACATTTTACAGTGCCGTTAAATCATTTTCAGGTAAGTGGCACCAATTAAAGTCTATATGAAACAGACTTACACAGAAAATTAAAAGAAAAACTCTCAGAGACTTAAAACATCACACGTATTAATATGATAAACTACGATCAGTATGTTTACGACTAAGTTTTACATTTATACATCATTGTAATAACAACATTGTAGTTTTCAGCTTTAAACTTAAAGTTGTTTTTTTCCCAGTGAGGTCTGGGAAACAAGCAAAAACAGTCTGCAGGTCTCCTGAAGTGTGACAGCGTTTTTGTTCTGCTTACGTTCATCATTGGACATGTTCCCCAGAGACGTGTGACTGGAGTACCGCTTGCTCTCACTCTCGTTGAGGCATCTTTCAATCCAACTTTCTAAATGAGAAATGATGGATCACAGATCAGGACAAAATCTACTTTTTACTGCCTGTAAAAAAAACTGTTTCATGTCAAATTTTAAGATGAACTTATGAAATTTAGAAATCTGCCAAAATCATTGACACAGTAGTGCTGTAAATTTTGATGTCGTTTGACATTAATTCATGAACCCTTCTTGCTATTCTTTTTCCAAGACAGTTTCTTTGCATTTTTTAAATTCTCTTCATATTTTACTTTGAGCCTTTCGTGTCACTAATGTTGAAACTTGTAGTTTTAGAGCCATCTGACTCTGATATAAAACGTCTTCTGCTCTTTTAATGAGAGAATCAGTTTTTCAAACCTGCATGACGAGTGACCATTTTAAAGCCACTGGGTTGTAATTTCTGCTGAAACTAAAATCTAAAAGCTCTTTTTCTCTTTTTTTTCTGGTTTGAACTCATTCTGTCCTTCAGTAGAAAAGAACTGAGACGTTATTTACATAAACAGTGCAAATCACTGCCTATAGAGGACACTTTAAATGTCGCTAATGTGACAGGCCGAGCTGACAACAATTGATTGTATGGGCAGTGGTGGCGGCCATGGCTCTATTTGAGATGTTTTCAGCAGGACGGCAGGAAACCAGCTTTGTTCCCAGGGGACTACGAGCGTACACACTTGCTTAAAAGAGCCTGTGCACATTACTGAAGCAGTCTGCTGGAATAGAGGCCATTGTCCTGTTTTAATTTCTACTTAGAAAAAGCTCAACTGGTGTTCTTTTTGTAACAGAGCAGCAGCAAAACACCAAAGCTTTCATCTCCAGACAGCCTGACAAATAGAGCTGAAATACGTTGAAATTTTCTACATTTGTCAATTGATGAATTAATTAAGAAGGAAACTGAACATGATTGACCACCCTCCTGTTGATTTAGGTGCAGCAAAGACAACTGGACTTTCAATTTCTATCAAAGCTGCTTTTTTAACTATGAACTGCAGGCCCAAAACAGAGGAATAAAGTCAAAACTTTTACATTCTTCAAATTTTGGTGGATAAAAAGTATTAAAACCATTTAACTGGTTACATTACAGCAAAAAAAGAAGCACTGACTGCTCATAAAAGATTCTGAAGTTAAGATCTTAACCAGCTATGTTCACCTGTACATCAAAATAAAATGCCTCTCTCTATCGTACTTCCTAAAAATCAGTTTGCAATTATTTTTTTTTGTATAAACTGACCACAATAACCATGAAAATTTCTCCTGCTAGGACAGACTGCTGGCAGGACTACCTGTTGTTGCAGCATGTGCAAACAAACAGGCTACAGAAAAACCTCCAGAGACAGACACAGAGCTAATTTGTTTTTATTGTTTTTAACTCTTGAATGATCAGTGAAGTCGTTGTATTTACGCAAAAACACTCTGAGATTAAAAGTTCTGCACAAGCTTGTAAAATGATTCAGCTTTCTACACCGTTTCAAGCTAAGACCTGTGCATTTGCCTGTTTTAATCAAACTCTACCACTGTCAGCGCCATGTCTCCTCTTCTTCTGATAGTGTTTGTTTGGTAAACTTGAAGAAAGCGAGTGAAAAGGAAAAAAAAAAAAACTTAAAATAAGCAGACCCTGGAAATTAAAAACTGAGCCCACTGAAGTGAGGCTAATTCTCCTCACAGGCTCAGATCTCAAGCTTCATTTGCCTCAAGAACAGATAAACTGGGGATCTAAATAATTGGATTAAATCTGGTCAGCAAGTAAAATGGATGTTCGCTCGTTTATTATTACACGTTCAGAGTTAAACTATCTTTGCTGCACCAGAATAATTAACTTTTTTTCCCTCACTGTCAGAGATTTATACATTTAAGTGAACAGAATCACTTCTCGGCAGTAAACAAACTTTTATCAGATCGGTCACTGAGCGTTAATTTTTCAGAAAAACACAAGAGATATTAAAATATCTTACTTCAAAACTCAGTTTCTGAAGTTGAGTCAATCCTTGTTTTTAAAGGCTAGTCTCAAAAAGCAGAAAAATAAGAAGTGCAGTCGGTGAATAACAGTCTCAAAGAGTCAGTCTTAATTAAAAATGTGGGTTTTGAAATTAGTTGGGGATTAGAATTTAAGATCTGTTTTCTTGTTTCTGTCTCTTTTTCTCGATCAAGACAAAACTGGCAAAGCAGTTCTTCAGATAAATATGTCTCTCCAATTCTTGTCATCAGTGAAAAACTCAACAACTTTGAGAAATCACAAAGAAAAAGCTGAAATAACGAACTAAATCAGCAGTTGAGCATCCTGACACTGTTACTGAGTGAGTTCAGAGAAAGTTTCAGCAGCAGCAGATGCTCTCACACCGTTCCTGAACAGATGGGAGATTTCAGTCAGAGAGGAAAAGAGTTGAACAGGACTGACCTGTGGAATCCATATCAGGCTCCTCCAGCAGCCCGCAATGCATCCTCTTCCCATCAACGACACTGGCTCCTCCAAGAAAATGGCTTAGTGCACGTTTCCCCCTCCTCAGCGGCTCTCCCCTCTGCTCGCTCTGTGTTTCCGTGACCACTACCCGTCACGGGAGATGTTGAGGATCTGAGGTTCGCCCAGAGAGGGGAGGACTCGGCGGAGGAGAGGGGGGAGGTGGGAAGAAGAAGGGAGGAAAAGGGGATGGGGTAGGGGGGGTAGAGACTCCAGAAATCCAGCGGGGGGAAAGCCAGACCCGTCAAAATGTTTGCTGATGTTTCATGGGAAAGGGGCTGATTTTATAGGAGCCCTGATGGGGACATGTCATTGATAGGCTTGGAAGGCTGATGAATGGCCCCAAGTCAGATGGGGATGTGGCAAGGCTCACTGGAAGTCTTTTGTGGCGCTGTTTTGAATAAGAAAAGCTCCCTCCCAACGAAAAAAAAGAGGCTTAGATCTACGCAGTCCTAACACTGTGGCCTCCCCGTCTTCCATTATGGCATTTAATACGTTTTTATACACCCCAGTGCTCCATATAAACATACATCCCAACACAACCACTACTCCTATCTGTCCTACTCTTTTAAACTCCCTCTTTACATCCCAAGGACACTTGTTGCCACATTTCACTGTTTCCCACCTCAAACCATCAGTAGAAGATCTCTGTGCTAACTTTTTACACCGTTAACTCAAAGTCCAGTTCAACTCACATCCCCAAAATCCTACAGACAAACAAAATCACACCAATGTGAATTTACGAGTGGAGTTTTCCCCTTCTTTTCGCCCACTCTCTCGCTGTGGAAACCTTATTTTTGGTGTGCCTCTGAGAAGAGGGAACGGTCACAAAGGGGGGGAAGTAAAAGTGCAAAGCCCGAGGCTGGGAGGGCTCTGATGGAGTGCCTGAGAGCTGGAGAAGGGAAAGCTGTGATTAGAATATGAATGGAACCACAGGAGAGGGGAGAGGAGAGGGGAAAGAAGAGGGGAGAGGAGAAAGGCGGATTATGGCTGAATTACTCACCACACCATGGATAGCAAAAGGAGGACTTTCTCCACCAGTGCGCAAGCGTGAGCACCACTGATGCAGCTCCTCAGCGACATGCACCACGCAGCCACCTGAGAGCAGGTGTGGAGCCAGCGGCAACAGCAACACAGGTTCACAAACTGTTCAGACATTTTTGAGCAAATTTCCATCTCAAACAAGAACAATAAAGGGGCTGGGCTGAGTGACTGCATCTACATCTACAAAAAAAAGACTAAATGACTGTGACAATAGCTAACCAGCAAAACATTAAAACAAGACATTAATGACACGACACTGAGAGGCCAGAGCAAAGCTGCGACGTTAAAGAGGATCTAATTAATTTCAGTCGGATAAAGAGAAGATGGAGACGGCCTCTCCTTCAGTGGACGCCCTTTATTTTCATGCCGTTATCTGCTTATTAGAGCCTCATAAAATGGGACAGGTGCAACTGCCAAAAGAGCTTCTTCCACCCGTCCTATTCTCGCACTCGGCCCGCACAAACGGATGTGTTCTGCTTTTGTTTACTGAAAAGGCCCCAATTGAGTTGTGTGTGTGTGAGTGGGGGGCATGGTTACGCTGCATACAACATGCCGGTGGGTTGAAAAGAGGAAGCCGTACGACTCAGAGACACCGTCTCTTCCTGATGGCATCAATGAGAGAGCTGATGTGTAATTTCTACAATCACTCTTGTACCCAGCTGTCTGTCTATCAGAGGTCCTAAAACTCTCAGCTTCAGGGAGAAAAACTTTGATTATCTGAAGTAGAAAATGAGTACTTATACATTTTTAGCGGTTTTATTTGCAGCCAGTCAGAGTCCCAATCTCCCAACAGACAGCAAACATGTGGAAACATTCAGCGTGTTTTAAGAGTTTAAAAGTTTTTCTCTTTATTGAAAACTTAAGAGGACGCTGAATATATTTGTGGGATAAAAATGTGAATTATAGTTTCTCTACATTAAAAAAAAAGATTAAACAAGAAAAACTTGATCTAATGATTGGATATAGAATTACAAATTTGTTCTGACTAGTGTGATAGAACTGGCACAATGCTGCTAAGTGTTGATTTTATCTTCATTTATCGGGACAACTTACAGACAATACAGCAACATGTGGCCTCTGTAAAAGGTAGGCACACTTAGACTACTTAGACCAGCCAGCACCCCGAGTGACTGTCTCTACATAAAAATGTCACAAAAGTTTTATCCCATGTCATGATTGGGCACCAAATCTTGTTGTGAAGTAGTTTTCATCCCCACCATAAAAATGTGTAGTTTTTATTCCTTTACAATCCTTTTTTTTCCCTTTCATCGTTGCTTGTATTTCTTTAATAACATAAATACTCTGTTCAGTTTTCTCTTGCAGTAAGCTACCATAAAAAGTTACACCATGAAAAATCAATAAGTGGCATGTTTATTTTATCTTATTTATACAGATTAGCCCTTTAACTACTTGTGTAGTTGTCCTATTGACTCCTATTGTCAGTAGTGACAGTGTGCAAGTGCGTGGGTGTGTGCATGTGTGTGTATTTGCGTGTGCGTGTAGTATGGAGGGCTGGAGGGAGGAGCTTTATTTATAATTGTTTGTCTGTTTCTTTTTTTTCTCTTCTCTCTTTATGTGTGTAAAACACTTTGTGTTGTATGTCTTTGCAGGAAAATTCTTCTGCAAATAAAGTTTGGATTGATTGATTGATTGTAATGGTACCTTGCAGACCTAATAAACCAGAACCAGAGTATTAAATTGACCAAATATGGTCTTCATGATAAAAGCTCAAGAGTATTATAAATATAGATATCTACGATGTCAAACCTGTTGTTGAAATTGTTACAGCTGTATCATGCTGATGCTGCGCCGTCACTCTCCAGCACATACAGCCACAAGGTTTTTCTCGAGGACTGAAACCCTAATCTCAGTTAACCTGTGAATTAAATCAGAAACCAAATCCCAAATTTAAAGTAACAGCGAGCACTTGAACTCATCATCATCAACATCAACACTTAGAGTTCAAGCTTTGATGTGCAGCTACTGACTATGGCTCCGGCTTACAGTTGCATTGTGTAGATATTTGGTGATATCTAGTGGTTTGATTCTACATTGACAGGAAGCTCCTGTCATGATCAAGTTTGATCCTCCACTTGTCAAGTTTTTTTGAACCACAAAAATGTGTAAAAACATTTTAAAAACCTAACCATTTCCCATTTCCACCCAGTCTGCTCTGCTAAATGGCCCTAAAAATGATATACTGCACCTTTGAGATAACTCAAGAGTAAAATCAGGCCCTTTTTTTCCAACTGTAATATATCAATATGTACATGACAGCTGTAAATAACACTCATGTATATATCTTTTTTTAACCTTTAAGTTTCTTCATCCTTTAATTTTTCTTTTTGTATTTGTGTGCTGCTGTAAATTTGGAGTTTCCCTCTGTGGGACTAATAAAGGAATATCTAATCTAATCTCTATCATGATCTCCTTAAAAGACAAGAAAGTTTGTGGTCTGACTCAAAGTATCATAAATCCTCATTTACAGCTCGTCTGATTATAGCTTATAAAAAATCTTATAGCAAATGTAAGAGGATGCATCCTGCTCATGCACTGCTGCTATTTGTCCCCCATCTGCTTCATATTTGATCACTTCTGTGAATTATAAAGTATACTAGTATATATTTGGAATTTGTAATGAAGATGGAAATGTATTATTGAAAGTAAGAGTACCACACAGCAGCTGAAAATCAAATAACTGTTCTGTGTTTATTATACACATTTACAAAGAGCAAAATTATAAGAAAGTATCAACAAAAAGTTAGTTTTTTGCTCTGAGAATACCAACAAAAGCCAAATTCTTCCATAAAACGTTTTTAACTTACTTACACCTCTGATAGCTCCACAAAACCTTCACTTTCAGACCTCTTACAACAGCTCTACCTCTGATCCTCTCACTCACAGGCTTTCTTTCTCTCCCTGTCCTCTTCACTCGTTATAGCGCGAGAGTTTGAGACGGGGGATGATGTTCATGGACTGCAGCTCCTGGAACAGCAGCTTGCAGGCGTACGGGATACGCAGTGAAGACACGTGGCAGGAGGACTTACAGTAGTGACACCTGGAAAACAGAAAACTGAGAATCAGACTGGAGACGAAATATACTGTAGGTCCATCCTGATAGAAAAGTCTCTGATTCTGGTGTTACTGAGGGAATTCTGACTTTATTATCCCGACTCTAAACTGTGTAAAATCTGCTTTGCTGTGCTTCAACAACATACTTAACTTTTGCTAGTGTCACCCAGGCCCAGGCCGAAACAGGCAACGTTAAAACACACTTTTTGGATGATATGGTTCCTCTTTAGTTAAACCTGATAATATTCTCACTGATTAATCTTCAGCTTGTCAAGAGGATCTGCTGCTCCACTCACCACCCAGAGTATCCCAAAAGGCCGCACTGTCCACACACGTCCACCTCGAAGGCATCGCTGGAGATCATAAGGCGCTCCAGCAGTAACATGCTCGCTCCGTAGCCGATCAGACAGTCGCGCTCCATCTCGCCCAGACGTAGACCTCCATCTCTGGAGCGGCCCTCAGTTGGCTGTCTGATAGCAGGGACAGGCGCAAATAAAATGGGGAGCAGTTTGATACTAGACCTGCTCTGTTTGAAAGTTGAAAAAATTTACTTCTTCTGTTTCTAAAGTGCAAAAAAGATCCTAAACCAGCCAAACAAACAACCAAACAAACTTCAGCTGCATTTTGTTTACCTGGTGAGAACAGCTCTGGGCCCTCGAGCTCTGGCGTGCATTTTATCGAGGACCATGTGCTTCAGCTTCTGGTAATACACTGGACCAAAATAGATGTAAGCCTCCAGAGGTTCCCTGATGATGATAATAAAGCAGCAAAAACAGATAAAACATCCATAAAGCACCGAACATTTATTGGTGTGTTACATCTTTTCACACCAGTGTTTGCAGGGCCTCTCTGTTTCTGCTTATTTGAAGTGTTTGACCAAATAATTATACAGAGGTAATCAATCCTGTCCCCGATGGTTTCACCTGCTTTTGTGGGTCATAAAGAGGCATCAGGGTTCATTTCAGTTTGATTCATAAGGAGATAAAAACTCAAAACAGGAGGTTTAATTTAAGAGGACCAGATACGACCTCTCTTATAATGCTTTTTTATACACAAGCTAGATTATAGTGTGAAGTAAGAAATCAAGGGTAAAGTCAATAAATACGGTGTTTTTCAAACCAACAAGGTGTGCATGAGTTATTTTTAAAACATGGGGTTAAACATGATCTCCTGATTACCCGGTGATTCCTGATGTAACGTAATCTTTGCCTTGGTAGTTGTATCCATAACGGATGAGATCTTCACACACGTCCTTCACTTTACTGCCTCCAAAGGCCGTACCGTAGTGGAACCGTCCGTCCAGGACCCCGGCTTTTCCAGCCAGCAGCTCTATCAGCTTTCCCACCTAAAGACAGAATAAAACCACAGAAACACACCAGCCATGTTACAGTTAAAACCACAGTTAAATCTTTGAACAAAGGTGACACATTAACATAATCCACAACCACTCGGTTTATCTTTTATTTACTTGTTATTCTCAATCTCATGGACATGCACAGAAATGTGGACCCTGACCCTTCTGCCACAGAGTAAAGCTGAAACTAGGTGAAGATGTCGGTTTGATTTAGATGTTATTTTCTGTACCTACTGGAGGAATGATTGCTCAGTATTTGGAGGGACATCAATCTCAGACAAGTCTAGGTAAATTTAGAGGGGTAAAACCTCATATTTGAAGCATAATGAGCCATTTTGATTCATCAATGAGCAAGCCCTCTGAAGCAGTTCAGAGGGTCTGATCCAGTATAGGGTGCTCTCATCGTTACCTGACCATTGCATGGCACTCTCAGCCTCAGTAAACTAACACAATGACGAGTTTCTAAAAAAATGGAGGACCTAGGCTGCAATCAAAGCTGTCCTGAACCAACAGCACCTTGTGGAAGAATCGAGACAGACAGTGAGATAAAAGACAAATGTGGGGCTGTATTTTGACCAGTGAAGCAACAGAGGGGGCACCAGAGTGGAGCTTGTAATGATCTACTCTCTTTCCTGGCACCAAATGTGGTGATTTAGGGTGAAATTAGATTATACCTTCAACCCTCGGGATGGGACCGGCAGTCCAAGGATGACACATTTCAACAATTCCACCGAGGTCGCATTCAGACGACCCCTGACCCCGCACATAAAAGGAAACACCTACTCTCAGGCCACAGAAACATCCTCCCGAGCCAAACATTTCTGAGTGTTTTCCATGACAACCGCAGAGTAAACACGCTGACAACTTCAGCAGTAAAGATGGTTCAAGTTTTTACAGTTAAAAGGACAAAAAGAGGGCAGAAACGGAGCCAAGTTTCATGTCATTCTCATTCTGCACCATCCTGCACTTCAGATGTACTGTGCACGTTTGATAAAACTTCCACACACTGCTACGGGCGGCCGTCTCCACGGCAACAAATATCTGTTTGAGAACAGTAAGATTGCTGCTTAACAGAGTCAATGGACGTGTGCTCTGGAAGCCAATGATAACCCAGAGAGGAGAGGAGTGTGGATAATGAGGGGTATTGTCTCAGGGGAGTGAGACAAACTCATGAAGAGAGTCAAAGTTAGTTCACAGATAAATGTTTAAAGTTACAAGTTTGGGTGTAAAAATACGGAATTTTCAATTTTAAGGATTTGAACATCGCAACTTAACAGCTGAAATTACACAGCAAAAGGGTGTAGAGACTAAACCAGATCCTGGGCTGAAGCAAAGACAACCCCAGCCTCTGCAGTTGGGGTGTGTGCCATGACATCCAAATAAACCACGGCCTCTTTTCTGGCATCCTTTAAATCTAACGTTTGAAGTGTTTGTTAATTGAATACTCGAAAGATGAATCTGTGAATGAGCTGTCAAAAAGTTCCCTCCACAAAATGCCAAAACTCGTACCGTCATTCTGGAGGGATATCCATGAGGGTTCATGATAATGTCTGGACAGATGCCGGAGTCGCAGAACGGCATGTCTTCCTGAGGAACGATGAGACCACAGACACCTGACACACACATACGCACGTACACACACAGAAAAAAAACAAAAACAAAGTCAGTACTCACACATTTGTACTCTTAAAAGATGCAAGTTCTAGTTTTTCATAGTCAAACAGAAATTATCTTTGTACTCCAAGTCTGTTGCTGCTATAAAACTTTTCATGTTCTTGATTTTTTAAAATATGAAAAGCAGCAAAAAAGATGTGACAGCCCTATCCTCAATTTTACCAAACGGTCAGATGAGTTAAAACTTAAATAAACTTGAAGTCAAACATCCTTGGAAGTTTTGGCTGCTCCTCTGGCTGGGCCTGACATTTCCATACTCCTGTGGACAGACAGGCTCATCTTTTCATTCACATGACGTGGGGGACGAGCGCCCTGGTAGCCAGGAGTTTAAGTGTGAGTGTAAATGTTTGCTGAGGGGCCGAAGCACTCTTCCCTGGCCAGGGTAAACAGATTGTCAACCCATTTGCAAATGAAAAAAGAGAAAGAGGAGAGAAGAGAAGGAGAGCAGGAAGTGGAGAAAGGTGCTTAGCTTGACAGTGAGACCGGGATTACACACCCATGACTTTCAGTTCAACGCGGAGGAAGTGGAGAGGATCAGCTGGAGAGGAGAAAGTGAATCCGTGCACGTGGGAAAAATTCACTATTAGTCGACTGGCCAGCGACAGAGCAGACTGTTGATGCCTGACAGGATGTAGTAACAGGATGTTGACTGCGAACAAATGCAGCGATTTACTGGAAAGTCATCCAACAGCAGGAAGAAGGTGTAAAAGAGAGGAGAAAAGGCAAGAACACCCGGGCCAGGAGTAAACGTATAAAGGGGGGAATCAAAAGGGAGAAAGGGCAGTTCAAAGCTTGAATATCAGGATAAAGATAAAGAGAGGAAGAGGAAAGCAGGAAATGGAGGAGTAAATGTGCAGAAATAGTCAGAGGTAAAGGAGAGAGACACTAGTTCTCATGGCAGACATCCTCGGTGTTGTTTGTTTTGTGTGAAAGTGAATGATAGAAGAGGCATGAAATCAGCAGAGAAAGGCAAGACAACAGCAAGGGTCCAGAGCCCTCCATCACAGCTCATAGAGCTCCACGCTGGCGGCTTGCACAATGGGCCCCTACTACTGACTACCCCTGCACCCTCTCCCCCACCCCCACCACTGTGAGAGAGGGAGTGTGTGTGTGTGTGTGTGTGTGTGTGTGTGTGTGTGTGTGTGTGTGCAACCGGTAAATAATTAACTTATTCTGCTCTGCTGACCAGGACTTATGAGACTAGTCATGAGTAGCCTGCAGGTCTGTCGCTGCAGAGAAAATGAATTCTAATTGAATAATAAAGCATCAGTGTAGGATTCACCTTTCCTGTGAAAACATTTGTACAATGAGAAAATGTGATTTACGCGCGCAAGTAACATCAGCAGGGGGGAGAAAAAAGGTTTTACAAGGATTTTTTTGGTCTTGAGCGACTGCGAACTCCTCAAAATGACCTAAAAAGCTGCGGTTCAAACTGTCCGTCCATCGGCTGAACATCTGGAACTTTCCATCAAAGATCTCCTCCAGCTAACCTCACGGCGACCCCTCTCTCTCCGACACGATCGGAGACAGGAGACATTGTCCCATCCTGAGCTGACCGCCCAATGGCCACAGCGTTAATGAGGAGAGTAAATTATGCATGGCGCCAGTTAGCTTTTTGATTAAAACATCATACCAGCCCTCTATAGGGGAGGTGCTGCAAAACAATGGAGGTTGTAAACACTTTTTCCCCCAGTAGCGGAGGAATACTGCTGGGGTGTAATAAATTTGCATAGTCTGGCACAGGACAAAGAGCCAATTAATTGAAAAGAGCTCTTGAAAGATGAGGACAGGGGGGCAGTGACAGAGCAACAGCCACTGGGACTTGACTCAACAAATGCTTCAGCAATGAGACAACAGAAGTTTTTGTCCTCCCGAGTCATTTACAGTCTCTCATGACCAAATTTGAGGCTTGCGGCCAGAGGCATATCAGTATGATCCTGTTGGTACGATGTCTGTTAATCTGGTTTTGCGCTGAACATTTAAGGACTTTGTCGAGATGACTGTGTGTGAAAGTGCTGAGGTTGGCACCTTTCTGTCCGTGCCGACTGCTGAATTTATCCCCAATCTCAGGTCTCCTGGTCTGCCTCAGGAGGATCTTGATGAGGAAAGCATCTTCTGCGTTTGAGGATATCATCACCTTCTCGATGTACGAGTCTGTTGAGCCTTTATAGCTGCAGAGGAAGTGAGAACAGAGCCTGTGAGAGTTTGCGGGAAATACAAATGTTGAATTTTTGATGTGTAACTTCCTCTCTGTTGTTTAATAAAGACGCTGAACAGGTGTTTCTAGAGTGTCACACACTCTGAGGCCACAGCGAACATGTTGATGTGTGTGTGTGCGGTTTTAGGAGCTGAAAAGGACTCACCTGATGGGCACGTCTCTGTACTGGGGCTGGCCTGGCTGGGCACTGCCCTCCAGTGGTGTCTGGGTGACAGTTGGCATAGATTTGTTCACTAACACCTGTTTATTCTCCACTCTCTCACCTGTAACAAGCAGAAGATACTTCGCAGGTTATCCCTCAGATTCATCTCGACTGAAAATGTGCTGAAAAAAGATCCTTGTTTTAAAACAGTGAAGTTGTTGATCAATTTTGAAACTTAAAAGTTATTTCATTTCGTTAATATGATGAATAATCATAATTTACTGTATGCAGCCACTTTAATTTATGGTCTTTTTAAACCTACAATGCCTTGTTTTCTTTATTGAAGTTGGGTTTTTGGCATGACATAATAAAATGAAAGAAATCCAGTTTCGATGGTACTCACCAGGGGAGCAGATGCCATCAGCATCCAGGATGCTGTGCCTCCAGATGGGCTTTCGTGTGGTAGCATCTAGCATTGGCCCCATCACCTTGTCAAAGGTCTGGTTGGTGTAACGTCGTAGCGTGCACTTGGCGTTCTTATAAACAAGGCAACGGCCGAATCCTGCAGCGAGACATAAACCTGCAGCTTACTGAATGTCTTATATTTTGACAGGTGATAAACAGTAATAAAACCTTTTTGAGAAGGATTAAATCAAAAGTTGGGATTGAAAGTCCACACTGCTCGTCACAAACGATCAGCTCTCACCTCTGTCCAGAGAGGCTTTGTTGAGGACCAGAGCGTCCTCGATGTCATAGCCACTGTAGCTCATCACGGCCACTGTGGCGTTCTGACCTGCAGGAAGCTTCTCGAAGTCAATTATCTCGATGGTTTTTGTTTTGACCATGGGCCTTTGAGGATACGCCAGCAGGTACATCAGGGTGTCAATGCGATTCCTCTGGTTATAGCCGATTGTACCTGTGGGAAAGAAATCATTGGTATTTGAAGCCTCTCTATAATGCATTATAAATATATGTATAATGCGTTATAATCACATTATAGCACTGTATAACTATAGTTATAAACACTCATAAATGATCATAATGCTTTACAGCAATAATTATATCACATTATGAAGCATTTTATCATGACTTACAAGGTCAGGTATTATAATGTATTATAACTGTTAACAACTCACTGACAATGCCCACATAGATAATTCAATGCAACTGTTGTTAACAGTCAACATTATAATACCTGACCTTGTAAGTCATGATAAAATGCTTCATAATGTGTTATAATTATTGCTATAAAGCATTATGATCATTTATGAGTGTTTATAACTATAGTTATACAGTGCTATAACGTGATTATAACGTGATTATAGACATAGGCGTCAAATAAAGTGTTACCAAATCATTGATTTGAGCTCACTCTATGATTTTTGACTGTGTAGGTATCATTGTTTCAGACCTATATGACTGTCTGAATATAATCTATGGTTCATGGTTATTTTGTCCCACCCACCGTCTGTGCAGTGGGTGGGACAGGCCTGGACCCAGTTATGATCGTCTCAATGCAGCAGATTTGAGCAACAGGGCGAGTTATGGCATAAAGCCTGGCCTCCCTGGAAGCCTTGACATTTGTCAGATGCTATTACTTCACAATCAGGCAACAAGCACAAAGTCTGTGATAATAGGCCCGAGCCACACAACCAGATTTGCACATGTATAGAATGGGCCACACAAAACAGACAAGGCAAAGGATATTGGGCCAAATATAGTTCCAGTCCGTGTTTTTGTAATAGTGGAGGGAGGGGAGGAGGGGAGGGGGCGGATGGAGGTAAAACGGTGGGGTGGGGGGCTCCTACGAATGTTAGCAGGGCTGTTTGGGGAAGTTTTGGTTACCAAGGAGTTTCGGGTGCACACTCTGTGGTCTTTCGCAGCTGAGCACACTGACCCCCTGAGCACAGCCAGAGCAGACACAATGAATTGCTAATGACACTCTGGGTGACTGGCAGGGAAAGGGCCTCCGCACACACACTGCACAATAGAGAACCTACGCAAGCGCCCCATGTTTGATGTCCATGCGCATACACACACACACACACCGACACACACACATAAGAAAAACACTCAATCACATATACAAATGTATTCTGACATGAAGTAGAACAGGAGCAGGGTTTTGGGGGGAGACTAACCAGCAGGCTGCTTGTATCTACAGTGTTTGTTATTCTAATGTGCTTTGTATGATTTCAACTTATACAAATAAAACTGTAAACTCTGAACCAGCAGATTTAAAAAGGATTAAAAAAAAGATTAGATTACTGACAGTGTCTGTGTTTGTGTATTTGCATGCATGGAGGTGAATACTGCAGCTGTGTGGAGGATGTTTGAGAAAGAAGTGAAATCTCCACAGTTTAATGCCCTCTCTGCTGACTGAAGACACCAGCTCAGCTGACTCTTACCCATCGCCTGTTTGCCCATAGCGCACTGGTATGTGTTTCTGGGGGACTGGTTGTGGTGGGGGTAGGGAATAAGGCCGGCACAGACCCCTAAGAGAGTGAAGGGCTCGATCTCCAAGTGTGTCGTGTTTCTGCAACAAGAAGAAGCAGATATATACACTCAAAGAAATACAGAAAAGTAGAACCAATTTAAGGAGAAACGTCATGTGAATCATCTACCACTCACTTGTTAATCATGTGTTCATAAAGAGCGATCTGACAGTCGTTCTCCTCATTGACATCCAGGTACTCCACCAGACTCTCGTGGAGAAAGTCTTCAAAAGTTCTGATAAGAAAAGTTAAAAAGTCAACAGGGCGAGTTACACAATTGATTTTCTTTCCAGAAACATCTTAAGGAGAAGTTCTCCTGACACTCACCTGTAGCCCTGTGACAAGTCTTCAATGTGCTTGTTTTTCACCATCGGCTGTCCCTTCTTCACAATGATGTATGGCCTGATGGAGGACAAAGGCAAAGACAAGAAGAGGCATACTGTTAATTTTAATCCATCTACTGTTATCAATAAAAGATTATGTGGAATAAAAAAAGGCTTCAGCTAAGAATTAAATCAGCTGTGCAATATACTGCATTACCCAAATGTATTAAATGAGTCATGTCACCTGCAGAGACGTCCTCCGTCCGAGGAGATGTAGACGCAGCGGTCGGTCAGGTTGGTTGAGATGGACACAAACTCGTTGATAAAACCTGCCCTGCGCATCAGTCTGAAGGTGTTGACCAGCTTTTGATGATCTCGAATCACACCCAGAATGTTACCTGTTCGAGTTAAACAGAGAGATTCAGGTAAAGATTCACATCATCAGTCAGCGTGTTTACATGCACAGCTTAATCGGACTAAGCTCATAATTTTTTTTTTTTGCTGAATCGGACTTCTCTCCTTGTCCGCGTATACATAAAGCTGTGAAAATCGAATTATTGACGTAAACGTGTCCTCCTCTCCAATACTAGGTAGCGATATGGGTCTCTTCAGCAGCACTGTTTCTGGTTCACCCTATACAACTGTCAACAACAACAGCATGTCTGTACCAGATGTCAGAAGTGGCTACAACAGCTACAGCGCATTTTTGAGCAAGAAGATGGAGCATCGTACAGCGTTGTTTTTGTCGTACATGATGTACACGCTACTTTTACTGCAGATGAGGTGCACGCTACTACTCCTCTCTGGTGTTTTTGTTGTGGTGTTACGGGGGAATGGCGTACGCACACATGCACTGGCCGATCATACTCCGACTAAACTGGTTGTATGGTAGAGAAAATCGAATTCCAAATGCATTATCTGGGTGTCTTAATCGGAGTTCTCAGACTCCTATTGGAGTTCTCAAACTCCAATTATAGTTGGACGAAGGTGTTTACATGCACTTCAGTTGTCCGGTCTTAATTGGAGTAAGGCAATAATTCAGTTTTCTCGAGTGTCATGTAAAGGTACTCAGTGACCAAAATCAACAGTGATCCTTTCCTCTGAAGTTGGACCCATGAAGGATCGTGAAGCTTCAGCGTATAACTCAGCTTACCACAGGACCAGGGAGCTTACTCTACATAAATGTGTTAGATTATGTTAAAAACAGAGGTAAAGGGTAACAGTCTCTGAGCACGAGTGTATCCTGGACCTCCTCTCCTGGTAGAAGCTGGGCTCAAACTGCCTGCAGGGGTTTGTTCATATCTAGCCTGACAGACAAACGAGTGGAGAACAGAGGAGACACTGTGCTCTGTCTCTGTGTGAGGGCACACGTGCAGCGAACGCACTCTGAAGGGCTTTGACACCTGCTGCTACCAACTAATTAAATGGTATGGCAGCTAATATAATTTGACAGTTATCAGTGGCAAGACAAACATATACAGTAATTAAGGGGCCAAGTTCTAACTCAAGAATAATACCTACTGCTGCCATGAAATTAATGACTTATCAGCCACCATGCAAAATACAAACCTGCCACCGTCTGTAAACTAAACAGAATATTTTCCTTCATGTTCATAAGCAATGCTTTCAAAACAGAGAGGATTAGACTTTCTTTTCAAGTGATCTAAAATAGCAGCATCCAGTGTTAATTCTCTGTGTGTTTATTTATTAAGCTCTGCTGGTGCGGCTGGGGGAGTTTTACCGTTGAGGAAGACGAGAAAGACACTCGGATACGAGAGCTCCTCTCCACACAGCAGGTTGACGTCTTCTACGCCCAGGTTAAAGGCCAGCTTGATGATCGGACCGTCCTCCATGTCAGTGGTGATGTGAGTCATTAAAGCCAAGTTCTTCACGAGACCACAGGCCTTAGGATGAAAACGATCATGAAAACACATGAACCGATGTTTGAAGGTTTAAACAGAAAAAAGGCAAACATGATGACGCAAAAAAAATACTCAGAGGTTAAAATTTACAATTTAAGTATAAGAGCTCTCTTAGAGATTCTACTTTCTCTCTCACTCTTCCTTCCTTATCTTTTTCTTTCCCTTTTCTATCCTTTATCTAACTTTTTCCTTTCTTTTCCCTTTCTTCATTCATTTTTTCTTACCTTTCTTCGTTTCATTTTCTCTTCTCTTCTCCCTTCCTTTCTTCCTCCTTCCCTTCTTTATTTTTTCCTTCCTCTTTTCCTGCCTTTTCTTTTTTCCCCTTTCATCCTTTTTCCATTCCCATCTACCTTCCTTTGCTCTTTCTCCCATTACTTTTCTTCTTTAGTTTCTTTTTCTTTCCCTTTATCATTTCTTTTCTTCATTTCTGCTTTTCTTCTTTCTTTCCCTCCTCTCTTACTCCCTTCCTTTCTTTATTCCTTCCTCTCTCCCTTTCTTTATTCACTTCTTTCGCACTCTTTTCCTTCCTTTCTTAATTCACTCCTTTCCTTTCTTTCTTTATTCCCTCCTTTCTTACTCCTTTCCATCCTTTCTTTATTCCCTCTTGTACTCCTAGCTATATTTCCTCCTTTCTCACTCCTTTCCTTCCTTTCTTTATTCCTTTCTGGACAAGTCTTGAGTCAGGATACAGATAAAGTTGTCCAGGCTTCAGACCGCAAATGTCCACAGTACTGATCAGACACCTTTGGTGGAACTTTTAACACATCTGAAGTGGTGTTGAACGAATATCTTTGATGGCTAATCCACAGTTTTACTCCATGTGTACTTTATATAGCTTTCCAGAAGTTACATTTAACCAAACTACAGTTTAACCTCTGAAGGCGGTGAGGAACAGTGATTTTGTGACTTGTAAATAATGGCATCCTCTGTGGAGATGTTCCATGTGTCGGTCAGGTGTGGCTGCAGCAGCTCACCCACCTCTCCCTCAGGAGTGTCAGACGGACACAGCATGCCCCACTGTGACGGCTGCAGAGAGCGTGGCCCGCTGACCTTCCTGGTCTTCTCAAACTGGGAGGAGATCCTTGTCATCATGCCAAGAGCCGAGATGTAGGAGAGACGAGACAGGACTTGGGTGACGCCCTGGCGATCCATCTTGAATCTCTTCAGAGACCAGTTGCCCTGAGGACAGAAAACTCTTTTTCACCCTGCTCTCAGGTTGATTTTCTTGATTGACTGCTGTACTTGCTCACTTACTGTGGATATGGCATTGACCATGCCGTTGGTGATCTGATCCTGACGCATGTGTTTCACGACATCAAACTGAGCCGCTCTTTGCTTTGGGATGATCTGGTCAGCGATTTTCTTAAGTTCAAAGTTAAACTTCTTAAACAGATCTTCAAACAGCAGAGACAGGAGCTAGGAGAGAAAGGAAACATGTGATTTATATTTCTCAGACTGGAGTCATCATTTATTTTCAAACAGTCTGACTTTCAGGTATTCAGACACCTTACATTTGCTCCTGTCTCTAATCAGAGCTGAGGTGCATTCAGGAGTCGGCTTTAATAACCAGGTGTGGCAGCTCACTGATAAGCCTAACCTGGCCTCTGTCCCAGGTCTCTGTCCTCCACCACCAGGCCTACAGGAGGCAGCCTCTCCCACAACACCCCTCCACCCCCTCACCCAGCCTGTGCATTAGCATACATCAAAACAAACAGGCAGCACTGCTTGAAATTAATAAAGAAATTAAGCTTCCGTCGCGCAGCCAGGCCAATTAGTTGAATGTCAGGGAACCATAATTGGAGAGTGAGGAGATTGCAAGCGTTGTTAGTGTGTAAGCCCCCTATTGAAAGAAGGCTCCGTGCCCCCCTCCTCCTGCCTCCTGCTCCTTATACAGAGCAGGTTGGGGGGGAAATTAAAGGCCTTAAGACAGCAGTAATTACATTATCAGAGCCGGGCCTGCGGATTAGCTCAATCGCTCCAGTCAAGGCAGCAATTCTATTGTCACGCTGCTGAAAAATCCCCATGCTTTCACAGCCTCTGGATTTTGGTGCCACCTCATATCTCTCTCCTGACAAAGCCAGGCTAAAATAAGAGGGGGGGAGGGAGGGGCTGAAAACAAAACAGGGAAAAACAAAGCTGAAGGGAAATAATGAGAGTCTTATTAAAAGAACGAGGCAGGAACAAAGATGCAGGTGAGAGATCAGGACCGGAGCAGACGCTGTACTCGGGTTCAGTGCTGTGATCAACCCTAAAACATATGAGCCCTCTTTATATTTTTTACTTGTACGTGTATTATTCACCAGCATCAAGCATGTTTTCAGTCCAGAGAAATGAATGAAAGGAATAATGAGGTTCCCTTTTGCCAAATAAAAACAGAATCATTGACGCCATCCTGTGAAAGCGTAAACAAAACATCATGGACAAAGATGCTCATGTCACATGATACGTTTTGAAAAACACTGACTGGATGGAGAAGAAGTTTTGGTGTCATCTATGTGGTAAATAAGACTACATGGTGAACAAACCTGTCCTGCCAATTCGAGACGTTTGTTGCCATAGTAATCTCTGTCGTCCACCTTGTTGTCACCTTGAGCAAGGATCACTCTCCGCACCATCACAGCGAGGTAAATGCACTTTGCCCGGAAGTTAAACTCCTTCACCTACACAGAAAGAGCGTGATGAGACCCTGCGTCGCCTACCAGACATTCCCCATGATTCTTAACTGGCTAAAACATACAGGCACATGTGTGAGGATCAGTGATGCCAAAAGCTCTCTGGCCTCCTCCATCTTGGTCTTCTTGGGGCCTCCCCACATGCGCTGTCTGCGAACTTTATTCCCGAGGTACCTCAGAGCCTGAAACAGAGAAGCAGACACAGTAGAGGTCAGAGGGTGGAGTACAGTTCTGCTTAAGACCTAGATTTAAGTATCAGTCTGATACTAGAGTCCTGACACCTGTACTAAAACAAGAAGTTGATAACTTTAAAAAATTGTTTTTTTTTCCAAAATAAAAGAAATTGTCTTTTTGTTTTCTTATGCCTTTCCCTCCCCCTTTGTGTTTTACTCTTCATTCTATTAAATGTTTAATTCCAAGTTTTATACTTACAGCTAAAGAAAAATTTTATACATACATATACATTTATAAAAGGAAGAGAGAGAGAGAGAGAGAGAGAGAGAGAGAGAGAGAGAGAGAGAGAGAGAAAGATGAGGAAAAATAAAAGTACCAAGTGTAAAAATGATGTGTAAGTTGATGAGACAGAAATAGAAATGACTGCTCTTCACATAATCACCTGATCCGAACCATAATTTAGGACCTTTTGACAGCTTAAAATAGAGGAAGGGAGACTTTATACAATGTTATAGCAAATTAACACATTTTAATAGAGCTATTGGGTTATTATTATGTCACACATGCTATTCCCTTTTTTCTTAGTGATTAATAAACTGCTGAATAAGAAAGTCTCTAACTAAGATTTAACTCAAGAAAACTGGACATTTAAAATTTTTAATGTTTTTAATTTGAAACACTAAATTTTCTGTATTTTGATTTGTTTATTACAAGACAAAAGCAACAACAAAAAAAAGAGAAAATGAGAAGTTAAAGTGAGTAATGCACAATTGTGAGACGCAACAAAGTTTAATAGTGTGCTGAGACGAGATTCCCAAATCAAATCATTATTTTTGCAACAGGCAATTGTAAACTTCTGTAAACTGTGTTGAAGGGTTATGAGTTTTAAAGGTAAAAGTGTTTATAAACTGCTTCATTTCAAGTGTCTGAAATAAATAATTTTAACAAATTGTTTGAATTATGTGAAATTTTTGTAGAGAGGATGATGCATTTATCACATACACACACTGACAACGCACACCTGAGTATATCTGCAACTGCAGCCCTCTTCATGACAATGAGAGAGGTCAAAGGTTAATGAGGCTGAAGACCACCCACCCTCTTAGGCATGTTAAATAAAAAAACTATAGACTTGAAAATGTTGAACCTGATCAAAAAGTAAAGGTCTGATCTAGTGATATGAAAATGATCTATTTGATCATGTGCTGTTGTGACTCCGCTCATATGAACAGAAAAAAGATGACAGTTAAATTTGGTAAATGCAGATTACTTCTCAGGATCTTGCAACAATGTGTCTTAAGCCTCATCGGCCTTTCATTATATAGGTTTAGGCCTCACAGTGCTCAATACAACCACCTAATGAATACCATGAAAAGACATCATGGAGGCCGTCAGACAGACGAACATGAGAGCTGCGCGGCCGGTTGCTAGGAAGCAAATGTGGCCTCATCAATGCATCAGTCGTTCCTCTAACAACATTATCTTTATGAAAAACAAATTGGCCAATTGCATCCATCTGTAGATGTCAAAGAAAACAGGCGGGCCTCTTAAACTACACATGAAAAGCATTACTTAACTGGCTGGAGAGACAAAATCTTAGTCATCTGATGACAAAGAAAATACCCTCTGTCAACAGGCCGTCACATGTTTCTGTGTCACAACAAAACTCTGCTCTTCAGACTCACTTAACAGGCATATTAAGGCTGGATGAAGACTTCTTTAGGTGTTTGTTAACTCCTAAAAAATCTTTTCTGATCAAGTCTTATTCTACTGTACACTTCTATAATTATGCATCTCTGAGGATTTCCTCTTGGTTTTATAATCAGAAGTTTCCTTTTCAACCACGATGTTTATATCTCAGAGAGAGCATGAACAAAGCCTACACAGCTTGCTGATAAATTCAGATATCTTATAGACCTGATGAGGATTCCCTTTCCCTAATAAACTACATTTAACCCGCAAAATCAGTTAACTATTGATGCTCTACGAACATTTTTAACCACACCCCTCAGCTCTGGAACACATTGACCACTGAGGTACCTGAGTCTGTGTGAAGATCTGGGCCTTCTGACACTCCTCCAGGCTCGGGGCAAAGCTGGCCATGACATGCTCCTCTGTCCCGATCATCTGCACAATCTCCTGATCACTCTCGACGCCCATACCCTGAGAGAACAAGAAGCACAGAGTGTGTGGTGTGATCTGATAGCAAGAGGAGAGGATGGTCAGAGTTTAAAAGGGACACAAATGAAATTCACATATTTTGTTTATTAACCCTGTACAAGATGTCTCAGTGCATGTAACTTGAACAAAAGGTGAGCCAGGAGGCATGAGGGGGGGGGTTGAGGTGTGTCTACAAGGAGGGCAAGGATGAACTGGGAGTCATAGGGTTGTCTGACATTTGCTTATGGAAATTCAAGGCTGTGGGAACTGAATTGTCTGTACCAAACTGGAGCTGATATTTTTTTCCTGCAGCTGCTGTCAAGTCAAGGAAGAAGTCATCCAGGATATAGAAGTGCACAGCAAACAGAGCGAGCGGATAAACTCAGTCCTGTGGATATTGACTCCAGATCAAAACACTCAGTGCTCGGAAGCTGACATGTTTGAAGAGACTTGTCCTCGGAGGGGAAAGAAGTTAATGATGCCAGCTGGCTGACTGACATTTTCATTTAGAGCAGAAGGAAACAAATGAATCTCATGAAGAGCAACTGAAACTGTGCTACTCCAACAGTACACCTTACCTGCAAAAACAAACAACAAAAAAAACCTCACAAAACACACACAACTTCGTGCATTTTAGAAAAAAATCTGTACCAATGAATCTGAGGCAGCGATATTAAAGCAGCTCTGTCCACTTTGAGCTTGCAGTCTTACAGCACCCTCTACTGGCTGAGAGGTATAACTGTGCTCTGTCAAATTCATCACTAATGTCTTGTTTACCTTGAATATTATGGCAATAGGAGCATCCTCTGACAGCGTGTTGTGCCTAAGGTAGAATCTGCCTTGTTTGACAATCATATTAGTTCTGCTTTTTTTCTCATGAGTGGAGCTGGAAAAAACACAAAGCAAGTGAAGAAGAAGACAGTTAAAGAGAGAGTTAAAAAAACACAGACAAGACATTTACCTCTTTTTTTTTTTTTTTTAGTTTTTCTTGCAATTATTTTTTTCTTAAATAAATATAGAATATTTTCAATTTCTTTCCTGATCTACAGGTGGCAAAAATATTAAAAAACAACAAAATGCCTTTTTAGAGCTCTGTTAATGCACGTGAACTGTTAAGAGTACCTGGTGACTGAAGCTCCAACCGCCCCCTTCCTGTCCTGCTCCACAATGATTCGATTCTTGGACAGCTGCTCTTGGATCAGAATGACTTTCTCCTGACCTTTCACAATAAAATAACCCCCTATGGAGAATTGAGAGACGATAAAGGTTAGTAAGAAAACCAGTTTCTGACTCAGAATCAGTATCACTTTTTTTTTGCTGTGTCATCCTTCATGTACCTGGATCCAAAGGGCATTCATTGAGTTTTGAAAACTCCATGGGTGTCTTTCCTGTGAGAACACAGTTTGAGCTTCGCAGCATGATCGGCATCCTAAGAGAGGATATGAGAAGGTGAGCAACATACATGCACAATAAATAACATTATTTAGTGAAGCAGATGACTGATATTGTGTTATTCAGTGGCCAGTGCTGATGCGGATTGTGAAAGAGCAGGCCAGTCAATAGCCAAAATATCACGCAGATATCAGTTCATAAAACACAAGAATTTAGTAAAAATGACAAATCAAGAATTGTTTAAGTTGACACAGTATTTTCTCTAATAAATGTAGACAGAAAAATATTTGACTTTGTTATTTATTTCAGAACATGACTGATATCTGTGTCAGCAGCATTATCATATAGCAGTATTTTATACATAATTACAGGATTTATTTTAATAACTATCCAGAAACTGGTTTAGATATATAACGCTGTCATTTAGGATGGGAAAATATGTTATAATTTCAAAAAGGTAATGGTACGAGCAGCAATGTGAGCGCTGATGCTGATTATTTCACCCTGCCATTAATCAACCTGATTAATGAGCCAAAGAACTTATCTAAAGTGGAGCACAGAAATGATTTGTTAACATTAAATCCAGACCATGAGTTTACCAGGCAGGATTTTACCCTGAAAGATACAAAAGACCAACTATGATACCTTCCAATGGGCAGAGCATTACGGATTATTCTCTGGCTGCCACGAGTGTACTCTATGTCCACTGTGATGGGCGCGGAGTACGTCATGTCCCTGAGACGACACTGTGGAGTCAAAGAGGAGAAATAAGCTGAATCACAACAAGGAGAAATGTTCAGGGCCTTTTTTTCTACGCCATTGTGTTATTTTTTTTAAATGTACTGTTTAAAATAATTTATTATATGACCGTTTTAACTAGTGTGACTTAAGATCAAATGTTTTAAAATCAGTTCATCAATATCTAATTTAAAGAACCAATTTAAGGTTCAATCAAACAGTTGCAAAAAGAAATCACTTTTCATTTATTGTAACTTTTGTAAACTCGGCAGTGATGTCTTCACAACACTTTTTTTGGTCAGATCAACTAATTAAAATCACACAGTCATTAAAAGAAATCAAAATCACACCAAAATGTTTTATTTGAGAAGTTTCAACCAGCATATGTTTATTCATTTATTTAATTCTGCTTCTTTGCTTTTTAAAATTGAGGCTGTTTTTTTTATCTGACAGGAAAAACAGTTAAATGGCAGCATTTATATTTATTTTTTTAATGGTCTCATATCTTTTGATGTTGCTCAACAAAGGCAGCTTACCTCATGAGGAGATACTGGTCTGGTTACATTGAAGCTTTCTTCAACATCGGGCATGCCCACATAGATATTGAGGTATCTGAAAGTCAAATAAAAAAGCACTTAAACTCAAATCTAAATTCGTAAAGCTCCCCCATCTGTGAGAATAATCAGTGTAAGATTAAACTGACTTACTTGAGGTACCACATTGGATCAGCATCGCTTGTGATCTTCTCGTTTGCTTTCATTATTTTTTTAATCTGAAAAACAAGAAAAGATTTTGACATTAAGACACAGTTGAAACACCTGCAACATCACACTGATAGATCACGTTTTACCTCCACATTGATGAAATAGTTGAAAGAGTCAATGTGCTGCTTCACCAGTCCTTTCACCTGGAAAACGGAGACCAAAACAGCTCAAAATCACAGACATAAAAAATGTGTGTAGGTGGAGCTGGTTAGATTTGATTTATTAGTTTTACTAATCGATAAATTTTTACTCAAAGGGCCAGATAAAGATAAAAACTGTAAGCAGTGAAAATAACTGTAATTTTAAATTTAATCTCTTTTCTTTATGGAAACTCTATACGTATGTATAAACAAAACATGTCTATGATTAACAATATAATCTGTGATTGATGTGACAGAGGTCCTCATTTCCACTTTCTTATTTAATGCAGCAAAGAAGAGAAATCATCCTGTTACTTTTACAGTTCAAAGTTTTTGTTTGTACTTCTCAGGTATTTCATTTTATCATTGTGTTAAATGTACAAAAGTAGGTGTATTTTGTCCTGTTACCTTCAGAAAGGCTGGCAGCAGTTTCCATTTTTCCTGTCAAGAGAAAAATATGTAAATTAACACAAAACTGACTTTTTATATTGATTGTTTAATGGATTTTATGATCAACCAACAAGGAGAGTTTACGAACAACACAGCCAGGAAGCTTCCTCTGGTCAAACCTGAATTAATTTGAGGCTTTAAGTCTATCAGTTACACGAAATAAACAGCAAACAGACTAAAGAGGCTTTGAGGCTCTACCTGCAGGCTGATGTTTGCTTCTGCTGTTAGCCTCTGTGCTAGCCTGTCTGTACTCGTGGTGTGAACCTTTGCTTCATTTTCCTTTTAAACTCACCGTTACAGTGTTGACAGGAGCCGCCAACTCTTGGGGAGTCATGTCACCAAACTCTCCTCCCAGAATATCCATAGCTGATATTGTTTTAACAGTAAAAACACAAAACTATGGTTGTAAGGCTAATATTGTTTAACGGCACCGGAAGAAGCCCCGGCATGCGTCTAACTCTTGGTGCCACAATAAAACCTTCCGGGCGGACCGATTCCAAGAATGCGTTCCGCCATCATCCTGAAAAATCAGCCGCTGTACCTAGGTCATGTCAAGGCGTGAGGGTGTTGAAGAAGTTGTAACCAGATATAAGTAGTATTAAATTATATGGAGTTTTAATACACGCCCGTGCCTCATAATAATAATAATAATTATTATTATTATTACACAATAATAATAATAATAATAATAATAATAATAATAATAATAATAACAATAATAATAATAATAATAATAATAATTATTATAATTATTATTATTATTATTATTATTATTATACTAATAATAACAATAATAATAATTGTTATTGTTATTATTATTATTATGATTAATATTCTTCTTATTATTATTAAATAGTATACTCAATATTAATAATGATTCGTTTCTGAGGTGCCTTGAGATCAAATCATGTCTCTCAGGTTTCGACCACAAGTTTTTTCTTTTCACCCAGCCTAAAAGTATGTTGGGTACAAACTGCAAAGCTTTGTTCTGCAGGTAGGGCTGGGCTTTTGATTGACTATGGGTTCCAATAGTTGTGTGGGCATAGGGTGTTGTCTCAGCCACTATGTTTTCTGCAATTGTGACTAGAGAACACCCTGATAGCTCAGTTGGTAGAGCGGAGGGCTGTAGGATGTTCCTAATCTGAAATGCTGTGGTCCTGAAGTTGCTGGTTCAACTCCAGCGCCAAGCCTGTGCATGTCAAATTCAAGTAAAGCCAAGCCTTGTCTTTGTCTGTCAACTCCTCCAATATTTAACAACACAACTTAATTTTCCAACCATCAATTTTTTATTCACCCAGCCTAAAAGTCTTGATTATCAGTTCTGGGTCCCTGGCAATGACTGTCGGGTACAAACTGCAAAGCTTTGTTCTGCAGGTAGGGCTGGGCTTTTGATTGACTATGGGTTCCAATAATTGTGTGGGCATAGGGTGTTGTCTCAGCCACTATGTTTTCTGCAATTGTGACTAGAGAACACCCTGATAGCTCAGTTGGTAGAGCGGAGGGCTGTAGGATTTTCCTCATCTGAAACGCTGTGATCCTGTAGTCGCCGGTTCAACTCCAGCTCCAAGCCTGTGCATGTCAAATTGAAAGAAAGCCAAGCCTTGTCTTTCTCTGGCAACTCCTCCAATATTTAAAAACACAAACAACATAACTTAATTTTCCAACCATCAATTTTTTATTCACCCAGCCTAAAAGTCTTGATTATCAGTTCTGGGTCCCTGGCAATGACTGTTGGGTACAAACTGCAAAGCTTTGTTCTGCAGGTAGGGCTGGGCTTTTGATTGACTATGGGTTCCAATAGTTGTGTGGGCATAGGGTGTTGTCTCGGCCACTATGTTTTCTGCAATTGTGACTAGTGAACACCCTGATAGCTCAGTTGGTAGAGCCGAGGGCTGTAGGATGTTCCTCATCTGAAACGCCGTGATCCTGAAGTCGCCGGTTCAACTCCAGCTCCAAGCCTGTCCATGTCAAATTGAAATAAAGCCATGCCTTGTCTTTATCTGTCAACTCCTCCAATATTTAAAAACACAAACCACATAACTTAATTTTCCAACCATCAATTTTTTATTCACCCAGCCTAAAAGTCTTGATTATCAGTTCTGGGTCCCTGGCAATGACTGTTGGGTACAAACTGCAAAGCTTTGTTCTGCAGGTAGGGCTGGGCTTTTGATTGACTATGGGTTCCAATAGTTGTGTGGGCATAGGGTGTTGTCTCACCCACTATGTTTTCTGCAATTGTGACTAGAGAACACCCTGATAGCTCAGTTGGTAGAGCGGAGGGCTGTAGGATGTTCCTCATCTGAAACACTGTGATCCTGAAGTCGCCGGTTCAATCCAGCTCCAAGCCTGTGCATGTCAAATTGAAATAAAGCCAAGCCTTGTCTTTATCTGTCAACTCCTCCAATATTTAAAAACACAAACAACATAACTTAATTTTCCAACCATCAATTTTTTATTCACCCAGCCTAAAAGTCTTGATTATCAGTTCTGGGTCCCTGGCAATGACTGTTGGGTACAAACTGCAAAGCTTTGTTCTGCAGGTAGGGCTGGGCTTTTGATTGACTATGGGTTCCAATAGTTGTGTGGGCATAGGGTGTTGTCTCAGCCACTATGTTTTCTGCAATTGTGACTAGAGAACACCCTGATAGCTCAGTTGGTAGAGCGGACGGCTGTAGGATGTTCCTCATCTGAAACGCTGTGATCCTGAAGTTGCCGGTTCAACTCCAGCTCCAAGCCTGTGCATGTCAAATTGAAATAAAGCCAAGCCTTGTCTTTATCTGTCAACTCCTCCAATATTTAAAAACACAAACCACATAACTTAATTTTCCAACCATCAATTTTTTATTCACCCAGCCTAAAAGTCTTGATTATCAGTTCTGGGTCCCTGGCAATGACTGTTGGGTACAAACTGCAAAGCTTTGTTCTGCAGGTAGGGCTGGGCTTTTGATTGACTATGGGTTCCAATAGTTGTGTGGGCATAGGGTGTTGTCTCAGCCACTATGTTTTCTGCGATTGTGACTAGAGAACACCCTGATAGCTCAGTTGGTAGAGCGGAGGGCTGTAGCATGTTACTCATCTGAAACGCTGTGATCCTGAAGTCGCCGGTACAACTCCAGCTCCAAGCCTGTGCATGTTAAAATTGAAATAAAGCCAAGCCTTGTCTTTATCTGTCAACTCCTCCAATATTTAAAAACACAAACCACATAACTTAATTTTCCAACCATCAGTTTTTTATTCACCCAGCCTAAAAGTCTTGATTATCAGTTCTGGGTCCCTGGCAATGACTGTTGGGTACAAGCTGCAAAGCTTTGTTCTGCAGGTAGGGCTGGGCTTTTGATTGACTATGGGTTCCAATAGTTGTGTGGGCATAGGGTGTTGTCTCAGCCACTATGTTTTCTGCAATTGTGACTAGAGAACACCCTGATAGCTCAGTTGGTAGAGCGGAGGGCTGTAGGATGTTCCTCATCTGAAACGCTGTGATCCTGAAGTCGCCGGTTCAACTCCAGCTCCAAGCCTGTGCATGTCAAATTGAAAGAAAGCCAAGCCTTGTCTTTATCTGTCAACTCCTCCAATATTTAAAAACACAAACCACATAACTTAATTTTCCAACCATCAGTTTTTTATTCACCCAGCCTAAAAGTCTTGATTATAAGTTCTGGGTCCCTGGCAATGACTGTTGGGTACAAGCTGCAAAGCTTTGTTCTGCAGGTAGGGCTGGGCTTTTGATTGACTATGGGTTCCAATAGTTGTGTGGGCATAGGGTGTTGTCTCAGCCACTATGTTTTCTGCAATTGTGACTAGAGAACACCCTGATAGCTCAGTTGGTAGAGCGGACGGCTGTAGGATGTTCCTCATCTGAAACGCTGTGATCCTGAAGTCGCCGGTTCAACTCCAGCTCCAACCCTGTGCATGTCAAATTGAAATAAAGCCAAGCCTTGTCTTTATCTGTCAACTCCTCCAATATTTCAAACCACATAAATTAATTTTCCAACCATCAATTTTTTATTCACCCAGCCTAAAAGTCTTGATTATCAGTTCTGGGTCCCTGGCAATGACTGTTGGGTACAAACTGCAAAGCTTTGTTCTGCAGGTAGGGCTGGGCTTTTGATTGACTATGGGTTCCAATAGTTGTGTGGGCATAGGGTGTTGTCACAGCCACTATGTTTTCTGCAATTGTGACTAGAGAACACCCTGATAGCTCAGTTGGTAGAGCGGAGGGCTGTAGGATGTTCCTCATCGGAAACGCTGTGATCCTGAAGTCGCCGGTTCAACTCCAGCTCCAAGCCTGTGCATGTCAAATTGAAATAAAGCCAAGCCTTGTCTTTATCTGTCAACTCCTCCAATATTTAAAAACACAAACCACATAACTTATTTTTCCAACCATCAGTTTTTTATTCACCCAGCCTAAAAGTCTTGATTATCAGTTCTGGGTCCCTGGCAATGACTGTTGGGTACAAGCTGCAAAGCTTTGTTCTGCAGGTAGGGCTGGGCTTTTGATTGACTATGGGTTCCAATAGTTGTGTGGGCATAGGGTGTTGTCTCAGCCACTATGTTTTCTGCAATTGTGACTAGAGAACACCCTGATAGCTCAGTTGGTAGAGCGGAGGGCTGTAGGATGTTCCTCATCTGAAACGCTGTGATCCTGAAGTCGCCGGTTCAACTCCAGCTCCAAGCCTGTGCATGTCAAATTGAAATAAAGCCAAGCCTTGTCTTTATCTGTCAACTCCTCCAATATTTAAAACCACAAACCACATAACTTAATTTTCCAACCATCAATTTTTTATTCACCCAGCCTAAAAGTCTTGATTATCAGTTCTGGGTCCCTGGCAATGACTGTTGGGTACAAACTGCAAAGCTTTGTTCTGCAGGTAGGGCTGGGCTTTTGATTGACTATGGGTTCCAATAGTTGTGTGGGCATAGGGTGTTGTCTCAGCCACTATGTTTTCTGCAATTGTGACTAGAGAACACCCTGATAGCTCAGTTGGTAGAGCGGAGGGCTGTAGGATGTTCCTCATCTGAAACGCTGTGATCCTGAAGTCGCCGGTTCAACTCCAGCTCCAAGCCTGTGCATGTCAAATTGAAATAAAGCCAAGCCTTGTCTTTATCTGTCAACTCCTCCAATATTTAAAAACACAAACCACATAACTTATTTTTCCAACCATCAGTTTTTTATTCACCCAGCCTAAAAGTCTTGATTATCAGTTCTGGGTCCCTGGCAATGACTGTTGGGTACAAGCTGCAAAGCTTTGTTCTGCAGGTAGGGCTGGGCTTTTGATTGACTATGGGTTCCAATAGTTGTGTGGGCATAGGGTGTTGTCTCAGCCACTATGTTTTCTGCAATTGCGACTAGAGAACACCCTGATACCTCAGTTGGTAGAGCGGACGGCTGTAGCATGTTTCTCATCTGAAACGCTGTGATCCTGAAGTCGCCGGTTCAACTCCAGCTCCAAGCCTGTGCATGTCAAATTGAAATAAAGCCAAGCCTTGTCTTTATCTGTCAACTCCTCCAATATTTAAAAACACATAACTTCATTTTCCAACAGTCAATTTTTTATTCACCCAGCCTAAAAGTCTTGATTATCAGTTCTGGGTCCCTGGCAATGACTGTTGGGTACAAACTGCAAAGCTTTGTTCTGCAGGTAGGGCTGGGCTTTTGATTGACTATGGGTTCCAATAGTTGTGTGGGCATAGGGTGTTGTCTCAGCCACTATGTTTTCTGCAATTGTGACTAGAGAACACCCTGATAGCTCAGTTGGTAGAGCGGAGGGCTGTAGGATGTTCCTCATCCGAAACGCTGTGATCCTGAAGTCGCCGGTTCAACTCCAGCTCCAAGCCTGTGCATGTCAAATTGAAATAAAGCCAAGCCTTGTCTTTATCTGTCAACTCCTCCAATATTTAAAAACACAAACCACATAACTTAATTTTCCAACCATCAGTTTTTTATTCACCCAGCCTAAAAGTCTTGATTATCAGTTCTGGGTCCCTGGCAATGACTGTTGGGTACAAACTGCAAAGCTTTGTTCTGCAGGTAGGGCTGGGCTTTTGATTGACTATGGGTTCCAATAGTTGTGTGGGCATAGGGTGTTGTCTCAGCCACTATGTTTTCTGCAATTGTGACTAGAGAACACCCTGATAGCTCAGTTGGTAGAGCGGAGGGCTGTAGGATGTTCCTCATCCGAAACGCTGTGATCCTGAAGTCGCCGGTTCAACTCCAGCTCCAAGCCTGTGCATGTCAAATTGAAATAAAGCCAAGCCTTGTCTTTATCTGTCAACTCCTCCAATATTTAAAAACACAAACCACATAACTTATTTTTCCAACCATCAGTTTTTTATTCACCCAGCCTAAAAGTCTTGATTATCAGTTCTGGGTCCCTGGCAATGACTGTTGGGTACAAACTGCAAAGCTTTGTTCTGCAGGTAGGGCTGGGCTTTTGATTGACTATGGGTTCCAATAGTTGTGTGGGCATAGGGTGTTGTCTCAGCCACTATGTTTTCTGCAATTGTGACTAGAGAACACCCTGATAGCTCAGTTGGTAGAGCGGAGGGCTGTAGGATGTTCCTCATCTGAAACGCTGTGATCCTGAAGTCGCCGGTTCAACTCCAGCTCCAAGCCTGTGCATGTCAAATTGAAATAAAGCCAAGCCTTGTCTTTATCTGTCAACTCCTCCAATATTTAAAACCACAAACCACATAACTTAATTTTCCAACCATCAATTTTTTATTCACCCAGCCTAAAAGTCTTGATTATCAGTTCTGGGTCCCTGGCAATGACTGTTGGGTACAAGCTGCAAAGCTTTGTTCTGCAGCTAGGGCTGGGCTTTTGATTGACTATGGGTTCCAATAGTTGTGTGGGCATAGGGTGTTGTCTCAGCCACTATGTTTTCTGCAATTGTGACTAGAGAACACCCTGATAGCTCAGTTGGTAGAGCAGAGAGCTGTAGGATGTTCCTCATCTGAAACGCTGTGATCCTGAAGTCGCCGGTTCAACTCCAGCTCCAAGCCTGTGCATGTCAAATTGAAATAAAGCCAAGCCTTGTCTTTATCTGTCAACTCCTCCAATATTTAAAACCACATAACTTAATTTTCCAACCATCAATTTTTTATTCACCCAGCCTAAAAGTCTTGATTATCAGTTCTGGGTCCCTGGCAATGACTGTTGGGTACAAACTGCAAAGCTTTGTTCTGCAGGTAGGGCTGGGCTTTTGATTGACTATGGGTTCCAATAGTTGTGTGGGCATAGGGTGTTGTCTCAGCCACTATGTTTTCTGCAATTGTGACTAGAGAACACCCTGATAGCTCAGTTGGTAGAGCGGAGGGCTGTAGTATGTTCCTCATCTGAAACGCTGTGATCCTGAAGTCTCCGGTTCAACTCCAGCTCCAACCCTGTGCATGTCAAATTGAAATAAAGCCAAGCCTTGTCTTTATCTGTCAACTCCTCCAATATTTAAAAACACAAACCACATAACTTAATTTTCCAACCATCAATTTTTTATTCACCCAGCCTAAAAGTCTTGATTATCAGTTCTGGGTCCCTGGCAATGACTGTTGGGTACAAACTGCAAAGCTTTGTTCTGCAGGTAGGGCTGGGCTTTTGATTGACTATGGGTTCCAATAGTTGTGTGGGCATAGGGTGTTGTCTCAGCCACTATGTTTTCTGCAATTGTGACTAGAGAACACCCTGATAGCTCAGTTGGTAGAGCGGAGGGCTGTAGGATGTTCCTCATCTGAAACGCTGTGATCCTGAAGTCGCCGGTTCAACTCCAGCTCCAAGCCTGTGCATGTCAAATTGAAATAAAGCCAAGCCTTGTCTTTATCTGTCAACTCCTCCAATATTTAAAAACACAAACCACATAACTTAATTTTCCAACCATCAGTTTTTTATTCACCCAGCCTAAAAATCTTGATTATCAGTTCTGGGTCCCTGGCAATGACTGTTGGGTACAAGCTGCAAAGCTTTGTTCTGCAGGTAGGGCTGGGCTTTTGATTGACTATGGGTTCCAATAGTTGTGTGGGCATAGGGTGTTGTCTCAGCCACTATGTTTTCTGCAATTGTGACTAGAGAACACCCTGATAGCTCAGTTGGTAGAGCGGAGGGCTGTAGGATGTTCCTCATCTGAAACGCTGTGATCCTGAAGTCGCCGGTTCAACTCCAGCTCCAAGCCTGTGCATGTCAAATTGAAATAAAGCCAAGCCTTGTCTTTATCTGTCAACTCCTCCAATATTTAAAACCACAAACCACATAACTTAATTTTCCAACCATCAATTTTTTATTCACCCAGCCTAAAAGTCTTGATTATCAGTTCTGGGTCCCTGGCAATGACTGTTGGGTACAAGCTGCAAAGCTTTGTTCTGCAGGTAGGGCTGGGCTTTTGATTGACTATGGGTTCCAATAGTTGTGTGGGCATAGGGTGTTGTCTCAGCCACTATGTTTTCTGCAATTGTGACTAGAGAACACCCTGATAGCTCAGTTGGTAGAGCGGAGGGCTGTAGGATGTTTCTCATCTGAAACGCTGTGATCCTGAAGTCGCCGGTTCAACTCCAGCTCCAAGCCTGTGCATGTCAAATTGAAATAAAGCCAAGCCTTGTCTTTATCTGTCAACTCCTCCAATATTTAAAAACACTTAACTTAATTTTCCAACCATCAATTTTTTATTCACCCAGCCTCAAAGTCTTGATTATCAGTTCTGGGTCCCTGGCAATGACTGTTGGGTACATACTGCAAAGCTTTGTTCTGCAGGTAGGGCTGGGCTTTTGATTGACTATGGGTTCCAATAGTTGTGTGGGCATAGGGTGTTGTCTCAGCCACTATGTTTTCTGCAATTGTGACTAGAGAACACCCTGATAGCTCAGTTGGTAGAGCGGAGGGCTGTAGGATGTTCCTCATCTGAAACGCTCTGATCCTGAAGTCGCCGGTTCAACTCCAGCTCCAAGCCTGTCCATGTCAAATTGAAATAAAGCCAAGCCTTGTCTTTATCTGTCAACTCCTCCAATATTTAAAAACACATAACTTAATTTTCCAACCATCAATTTTTTATTCACCCAGCCTAAAAGTCTTGATTATCAGTTCTGGGTCCCTGGCAATGACTGTTGGGTACAAACTGCAAAGCTTTGTTCTGCAGGTAGGGCTGGGCTTTTGATTGACTATGGGTTACAATAGTTGTGTGGGCATAGGGTGTTGTCTCAGCCACTATGTTTTCTGCAATTGTGACTAGAGAACACCCTGATAGCTCAGTTGGTAGAGCGGAGGGCTGTAGCATGTTCCTCATCTGAAACGCTGTGATCCTGAAGTCGCTGGTTCAACTCCAGCTCCAAGCCTGTGCATGTTAAAATTGAAATAAAGCCAAGCCTTGTCTTTATCTGTCAACTCCTCCAATATTTAAAAACACAAACAACATAACTTAATTTTCCAACCATCAGTTTTTTATTCACCCAGCCTAAAAGTCTTGATTATCAGTTCTGGGTCCCTGGCAATGACTGTTGGGTACAAACTGCAAAGCTTTGTTCTGCAGGTAGGGCTGGGCTTTTGATTGACTATGGGTTCCAATAGTTGTGTGGGCATAGGGTGTTGTCTCAGCCACTATGTTTTCTGCAATTGTGACTAGAGAACACCCTGATAGCTCAGTTGGTAGAGCGGAGAGCTGTAGGATGTTCCTCATCGGAAACGCTGTGATCCTGAAGTCGCCGGTTCAACTCCAGCTCCAAGCCTGTGCATGTCAAATTGAAATAAAGCCAAGCCTTGTCTTTATCTGTCAACTCCTCCAATATTTAAAAACACAAACCACATAACTTAATTTTCCAACCATCAATTTTTTATTCACCCAGCCTAAAAGTCTTGATTATCAGTTCTGGGTCCCTGGCAATGACTGTTGGGTACAAACTGCAAAGCTTTGTTCTGCAGGTAGGGCTGGGCTTTTGATTGACTATGGGTTCCAATAGTTGTGTGGGCATAGGGTGTTGTCTCAGCCACTATGTTTTCTGCAATTGTGACTAGAGAACACCCTGATAGCTCAGTTGGTAGAGCGGAGGCCTGTAGGATGTTCCTCATCTGAAACGCTGTGATCCTGAAGTCGCCGGTTCAACTCCAGCTCCAAGCCTGTGCATGTCAAATTGAAATAAAGCCAAGCCTTGTCTTTATCTGTCAACTCCTCCAATATTTAAAACCACAAACCACATAACTTAATTTTCCAACCATCAGTTTTTTATTCACCCAGCCTAAAAGTCTTGATTATCAGTTCTGGGTCCCTGGCAATGACTGTTGGGTACAAGCTGCAAAGCTTTGTTCTGCAGGTAGGGCTGGGCTTTTGATTGACTATGGGTTCCAATAGTTGTGTGGGCATAGGGTGTTGTCTCAGCCACTATGTTTTCTGCAATTGTGACTAGAGAACAACCTGATAGCTCAGTTGGTAGAGCGGACGGCTGTAGGATGTTCCTCATCTGAAACGCTGTGATCCTGAAGTCGCCGGTTCAACTCCAGCTCCAAGCCTTTGCATGTCAAATTGAAATAAAGCCAAGCCTTGTCTTTATCTGTCAACTCCTCCAATATTTAAAACCACAAACCACATAACTTAATTTTCCAACCATCAATTTTTTATTCACCCAGCCTAAAAGTCTTGATTATCAGTTATGGGTCCTTGGCAATGACTGTTGGGTACAAACTGCAAAGCTTTGTTCTGCAGGTAGGGCTGGGCTTTTGATTGACTATGGGTTCCAATAGTTGTGTGGGCATAGGGTGTTGTCTCAGCCACTATGTTTTCTGCAATTGTGACTAGAGAACACCCTGATAGCTCAGTTGGTAGAGCGGAGGGCTGTAGGATGTTCCTCATCTGAAACGCTGTGATCCTGAAGTCGCCGGTTCAACTCCAGCTCCAAGTCTGTGCATGTCAAATTGAAATAAAGCCAAGCCTTGTCTTTATCTGTCAACTCCTCCAATATTTAAAAACACAAACCACATAACTTATTTTTCCAACCATCAGTTTTTTATTCACCCAGCCTAAAAGTCTTGATTATCAGTTCTGGGTCCCTGGCAATGACTGTTGGGTACAAACTGCAAAGCTTTGTTCTGCAGGTAGGGCTGGGCTTTTGATTGACTATGGGTTCCAATAGTTGTGTGGGCATAGGGTGTTGTCTCAGCCACTATGTTTTCTGCAATTGTGACTAGAGGACACCCTGATAGCTCAGTTGGTAGAGCGGAGGGCTGTAGGATGTTCCTCATCTGAAACGCTGTGATCCTGAAGTCGCCGGTTCAACTCTATCTCCAAGCCTGTGCATGTCAAATTGAAATAAAGCCAAGCCTTGTCTTTATCTGTCAACTCCTCCAATATTTAAAACCACAAACCACATAACTTAATTTTCCAACCATCAATTTTTTATTCACCCAGCCTAAAAGTCTTGATTATCAGTTCTGGGTCCCTGGCAATGACTGTTGGGTACAAACTGCAAAGCTTTGTTCTGCAGGTAGGGCTGGGCTTTTGATTGACTATGGGTTCCAATAGTTGTGTGGGCATAGGGTGTTGTCTCAGCCACTATGTTTTCTGCGATTGTGACTAGCGAACACCCTGATAGCTCAGTTGGTAGAGCGGAGGGCTGTAGCATGTTCCTCATCTGAAACGCTGTGATCCTGAAGTCGCCGGTTCAACTCCAGCTCCAAGCCTGTGCATGTTAAAATTAAAATAAAGCCAAGCCTTGTCTTTATCTGTCAACTCCTCCAATATTTAAAAACACAAACAACATGACTTAATTTTCCAACCATCAGTTTTTTATTCACCCAGCCTAAAAGTCTTGATTATCAGTTCTGGGTCCCTGGCAATGACTGTTGGGTACAAACTGCAAAGCTTTGTTCTGCAGGTAGGGCTGGGCTTTTGATTGACTATGGGTTCCAATAGTTGTGTGGGCATAGGGTGTTGTCTCAGCCACTATGTTTTCTGCAACTGTGACTAGAGAACACCCTGATAGCTCAGTTGGTAGAGCGGAGGGCTGTAGTATGTTCCTCATCTGAAACGCTGTGATCCTGAAGTCGCCGGTTCAACTCCAGCTCCAAGCCTGTGCATGTCAAATTGAAATAAAGCCAAGCCTTGTCTTTATCTGTCAACTCCTCCAATATTAAAAAACACAAACCACATAACTTAATTTTCCAACCATCAATTTTTTATTCACCCAGCCTAAAAGTCTTGATTATCAGTTCTGGGTCCCTGGCAATGACTGTTGGGTACAAACTGCAAAGCTTTGTTCTGCAGGTAGGGCTGGGCTTTTGATTGACTATGGGTTCCAATAGTTGTGTGGGCATAGGGTGTTGTCTCAGCCACTATGTTTTCTGCAATTGTGACTAGAGAACACCCTGATAGCTCAGTTGGTAGAGCGGAGGGCTGTAGGATGTTCCTCATCGGAAACGCTGTGATCCTGAAGTCTCCGGTTCAACTCCAGCTCCAAGCCTGTGCATGTCAAATTGAAATAAAGCCAAGCCTTGTCTTTATCTGTCAACTCCTCCAATATTTAAAAACACAAACCACATAACTTATTTTTCCAACCATCAGTTTTTTATTCACCCAGCCTAAAAGTCTTGATTATCAGTTCTGGGTCCCTGGCAATGACTGTTGGGTACAAGCTGCAAAGCTTTGTTCTGCAGGTAGGGCTGGGCTTTTGATTGACTATGGGTTCCAATAGTTGTGTGGGCATAGGGTGTTGTCTCAGCCACTATGTTTTCTGCAATTGTGACTAGAGAACACCCTGATAGCTCAGTTGGTAGAGCGGAGGGCTGTAGGATGTTCCTCATCTGAAACGCTGTGATCCTGAAGTCGCCGGTTCAACTCCAGCTCCAAGCCTGTGCATGTCAAATTGAAATAAAGCCAAGCCTTGTCTTTATCTGTCAACTCCTCCAATATTTAAAACCACAAACCACATAACTTAATTTTCCAACCATCAATTTTTTATTCACCCAGCCTAAAAGTCTTGATTATCAGTTCTGGGTCCCTGGCAATGACTGTTGGGTACAAACTGCAAAGCTTTGTTCTGCAGGTAGGGCTGGGCTTTTGATTGACTATGGGTTCCAATAGTTGTGTGGGCATAGGGTGTTGTCTCAGCCACTATGTTTTCTGCAATTGTGACTAGAGAACACCCTGATAGCTCAGTTGGTAGAGCGGAGGGCTGTAGGATGTTCCTCATCTGAAACGCTGTGATCCTGAAGTCGCCGGTTCAACTCCAGCTCCAAGCCTGTGCATGTCAAATTGAAATAAAGCCAAGCCTTGTCTTTATCTGTCAACTCCTCCAATATTTAAAAACACAAACCACATAACTTATTTTTCCAACCATCAGTTTTTTATTCACCCAGCCTAAAAGTCTTGATTATCAGTTCTGGGTCCCTGGCAATGACTGTTGGGTACAAGCTGCAAAGCTTTGTTCTGCAGGTAGGGCTGGGCTTTTGATTGACTATGGGTTCCAATAGTTGTGTGGGCATAGGGTGTTGTCTCAGCCACTATGTTTTCTGCAATTGCGACTAGAGAACACCCTGATACCTCAGTTGGTAGAGCGGACGGCTGTAGCATGTTTCTCATCTGAAACGCTGTGATCCTGAAGTCGCCGGTTCAACTCCAGCTCCAAGCCTGTGCATGTCAAATTGAAATAAAGCCAAGCCTTGTCTTTATCTGTCAACTCCTCCAATATTTAAAAACACATAACTTCATTTTCCAACAGTCAATTTTTTATTCACCCAGCCTAAAAGTCTTGATTATCAGTTCTGGGTCCCTGGCAATGACTGTTGGGTACAAACTGCAAAGCTTTGTTCTGCAGGTAGGGCTGGGCTTTTGATTGACTATGGGTTCCAATAGTTGTGTGGGCATAGGGTGTTGTCTCAGCCACTATGTTTTCTGCAATTGTGACTAGAGAACACCCTGATAGCTCAGTTGGTAGAGCGGAGGGCTGTAGGATGTTCCTCATCCGAAACGCTGTGATCCTGAAGTCGCCGGTTCAACTCCAGCTCCAAGCCTGTGCATGTCAAATTGAAATAAAGCCAAGCCTTGTCTTTATCTGTCAACTCCTCCAATATTTAAAAACACAAACCACATAACTTAATTTTCCAACCATCAGTTTTTTATTCACCCAGCCTAAAAGTCTTGATTATCAGTTCTGGGTCCCTGGCAATGACTGTTGGGTACAAACTGCAAAGCTTTGTTCTGCAGGTAGGGCTGGGCTTTTGATTGACTATGGGTTCCAATAGTTGTGTGGGCATAGGGTGTTGTCTCAGCCACTATGTTTTCTGCAATTGTGACTAGAGAACACCCTGATAGCTCAGTTGGTAGAGCGGAGGGCTGTAGGATGTTCCTCATCCGAAACGCTGTGATCCTGAAGTCGCCGGTTCAACTCCAGCTCCAAGCCTGTGCATGTCAAATTGAAATAAAGCCAAGCCTTGTCTTTATCTGTCAACTCCTCCAATATTTAAAAACACAAACCACATAACTTATTTTTCCAACCATCAGTTTTTTATTCACCCAGCCTAAAAGTCTTGATTATCAGTTCTGGGTCCCTGGCAATGACTGTTGGGTACAAACTGCAAAGCTTTGTTCTGCAGGTAGGGCTGGGCTTTTGATTGACTATGGGTTCCAATAGTTGTGTGGGCATAGGGTGTTGTCTCAGCCACTATGTTTTCTGCAATTGTGACTAGAGAACACCCTGATAGCTCAGTTGGTAGAGCGGAGGGCTGTAGGATGTTCCTCATCTGAAACGCTGTGATCCTGAAGTCGCCGGTTCAACTCCAGCTCCAAGCCTGTGCATGTCAAATTGAAATAAAGCCAAGCCTTGTCTTTATCTGTCAACTCCTCCAATATTTAAAACCACAAACCACATAACTTAATTTTCCAACCATCAATTTTTTATTCACCCAGCCTAAAAGTCTTGATTATCAGTTCTGGGTCCCTGGCAATGACTGTTGGGTACAAGCTGCAAAGCTTTGTTCTGCAGCTAGGGCTGGGCTTTTGATTGACTATGGGTTCCAATAGTTGTGTGGGCATAGGGTGTTGTCTCAGCCACTATGTTTTCTGCAATTGTGACTAGAGAACACCCTGATAGCTCAGTTGGTAGAGCAGATAGCTGTAGGATGTTCCTCATCTGAAACGCTGTGATCCTGAAGTCGCCGCTTCAACTCCAGCTCCAAGCCTGTGCATGTCAAATTGAAATAAAGCCAAGCCTTGTCTTTATCTGTCAACTCCTCCAATATTTAAAACCACATAACTTAATTTTCCAACCATCAATTTTTTATTCACCCAGCCTAAAAGTCTTGATTATCAGTTCTGGGTCCCTGGCAATGACTGTTGGGTACAAACTGCAAAGCTTTGTTCTGCAGGTAGGGCTGGGCTTTTGATTGACTATGGGTTCCAATAGTTGTGTGGGCATAGGGTGTTGTCTCAGCCACTATGTTTTCTGCAATTGTGACTAGAGAACACCCTGATAGCTCAGTTGGTAGAGCAGAGGGCTGTAGTATGTTCCTCATCTGAAACGCTGTGATCCTGAAGTCTCCGGTTCAACTCCAGCTCCAACCCTGTGCATGTCAAATTGAAATAAAGCCAAGCCTTGTCTTTATCTGTCAACTCCTCCAATATTTAAAAACACAAACCACATAACTTAATTTTCCAACCATCAATTTTTTATTCACCCAGCCTAAAAGTCTTGATTATCAGTTCTGGGTCCCTGGCAATGACTGTTGGGTACAAACTGCAAAGCTTTGTTCTGCAGGTAGGGCTGGGCTTTTGATTGACTATGGGTTCCAATAGTTGTGTGGGCATAGGGTGTTGTCTCAGCCACTATGTTTTCTGCAATTGTGACTAGAGAACACCCTGATAGCTCAGTTGGTAGAGCGGAGGGCTGTAGGATGTTCCTCATCTGAAACGCTCTGATCCTGAAGTCGCCGGTTCAACTCCAGCTCCAAGCCTGTGCATGTCAAATTGAAATAAAGCCAAGCCTTGTCTTTATCTGTCAACTCCTCCAATATTTAAAAACACAAACCACATAACTTAATTTTCCAACCATCAGTTTTTTATTCACCCAGCCTAAAAGTCTTGATTATCAGTTCTGGGTCCCTGGCAATGACTGTTGGGTACAAGCTGCAAAGCTTTGTTCTGCAGGTAGGGCTGGGCTTTTGATTGACTATGGGTTCCAATAGTTGTGTGGGCATAGGGTGTTGTCTCAGCCACTATGTTTTCTGCAATTGTGACTAGAGAACACCCTGATAGCTCAGTTGGTAGAGCGGAGGGCTGTAGGATGTTCCTCATCTGAAACGCTGTGATCCTGAAGTCGCCGGTTCAACTCCAGCTCCAAGCCTGTGCATGTCAAATTGAAATAAAGCCAAGCCTTGTCTTTATCTGTCAACTCCTCCAATATTTAAAACCACAAACCACATAACTTAATTTTCCAACCATCAATTTTTTATTCACCCAGCCTAAAAGTCTTGATTATCAGTTCTGGGTCCCTGGCAATGACTGTTGGGTACAAGCTGCAAAGCTTTGTTCTGCAGGTAGGGCTGGGCTTTTGATTGACTATGGGTTCCAATAGTTGTGTGGGCATAGGGTGTTGTCTCAGCCACTATGTTTTCTGCAATTGTGACTAGAGAACACCCTGATAGCTCAGTTGGTAGAGCGGAGGGCTGTAGGATGTTTCTCATCTGAAACGCTGTGATCCTGAAGTCGCCGGTTCAACTCCAGCTCCAAGCCTGTGCATGTCAAATTGAAATAAAGCCAAGCCTTGTCTTTATCTGTCAACTCCTCCAATATTTAAAAACACTTAACTTAATTTTCCAACCATCAATTTTTTATTCACCCAGCCTAAAAGTCTTGATTATCAGTTCTGGGTCCCTGGCAATGACTGTTGGGTACAAACTGCAAAGCTTTGTTCTGCAGGTAGGGCTGGGCTTATGATTGACTATGGGTTCCAATAGTTGTGTGGGCATAGGGTGTTGTCTCAGCCACTATGTTTTCTGCAATTGTGACTAGAGAACACCCTGATAGCTCAGTTGGTAGAGCGGAGGGCTGTAGGATGTTCCTCATCTGAAACGCTCTGATCCTGAAGTCGCCGGTTCAACTCCAGCTCCAAGCCTGTCCATGTCAAATTGAAATAAAGCCAAGCCTTGTCTTTATCTGTCAACTCCTCCAATATTTAAAAACACATAACTTAATTTTCCAACCATCAATTTTTTATTCACCCAGCCTAAAAGTCTTGATTATCAGTTCTGGGTCCCTGGCAATGACTGTTGGGTACAAACTGCAAAGCTTTGTTCTGCAGGTAGGGCTGGGCTTTTGATTGACTATGGGTTACAATAGTTGTGTGGGCATAGGGTGTTGTCTCAGCCACTATGTTTTCTGCAATTGTGACTAGAGAACACCCTGATAGCTCAGTTGGTAGAGCGGAGGGCTGTAGCATGTTCCTCATCTGAAACGCTGTGATCCTGAAGTCGCTGGTTCAACTCCAGCTCCAAGCCTGTGCATGTTAAAATTGAAATAAAGCCAAGCCTTGTCTTTATCTGTCAACTCCTCCAATATTTAAAAACACAAACAACATAACTTAATTTTCCAACCATCAGTTTTTTATTCACCCAGCCTAAAAGTCTTGATTATCAGTTCTGGGTCCCTGGCAATGACTGTTGGGTACAAACTGCAAAGCTTTGTTCTGCAGGTAGGGCTGGGCTTTTGATTGACTATGGGTTCCAATAGTTGTGTGGGCATAGGGTGTTGTCTCAGCCACTATGTTTTCTGCAATTGTGACTAGAGAACACCCTGATAGCTCAGTTGGTAGAGCGGAGAGCTGTAGGATGTTCCTCATCGGAAACGCTGTGATCCTGAAGTCCCCGGTTCAACTCCAGCTCCAAGCCTGTGCATGTCAAATTGAAATAAAGCCAAGCCTTGTCTTTATCTGTCAACTCCTCCAATATTTAAAAACACAAACCACATAACTTAATTTTCCAACCATCAATTTTTTATTCACCCAGCCTAAAAGTCTTGATTATCAGTTCTGGGTCCCTGGCAATGACTGTTGGGTACAAACTGCAAAGCTTTGTTCTGCAGGTAGGGCTGGGCTTTTGATTGACTATGGGTTCCAATAGTTGTGTGGGCATAGGGTGTTGTCTCAGCCACTATGTTTTCTGCAATTGTGACTAGAGAACACCCTGATAGCTCAGTTGGTAGAGCGGAGGGCTGTAGGATGTTCCTCATCTGAAATGCTGTGATCCTGAAGTCGCCGGTTCAACTCCAGCTCCAAGCCTGTGCATGTCAAATTGAAATAAAGCCAAGCCTTGTCTTTATCTGTCAACTCCTCCAATATTTAAAACCACAAACCACATAACTTAATTTTCCAACCATCAGTTTTTTATTCACCCAGCCTAAAAGTCTTGATTATCAGTTCTGGGTCCCTGGCAATGACTGTTGGGTACAAGCTGCAAAGCTTTGTTCTGCAGGTAGGGCTGGGCTTTTGATTGACTATGGGTTCCAATAGTTGTGTGGGCATAGGGTGTTGTCTCAGCCACTATGTTTTCTGCAATTGTGACTAGAGAACAACCTGATAGCTCAGTTGGTAGAGCGGACGGCTGTAGGATGTTCCTCATCTGAAACGCTGTGATCCTGAAGTCGCCGGTTCAACTCCAGCTCCAAGCCTTTGCATGTCAAATTGAAATAAAGCCAAGCCTTGTCTTTATCTGTCAACTCCTCCAATATTTAAAACCACAAACCACATAACTTAATTTTCCAACCATCAATTTTTTATTCACCCAGCCTAAAAGTCTTGATTATCAGTTATGGGTCCTTGGCAATGACTGTTGGGTACAAACTGCAAAGCTTTGTTCTGCAGGTAGGGCTGGGCTTTTGATTGACTATGGGTTCCAATAGTTGTGTGGGCATAGGGTGTTGTCTCAGCCACTATGTTTTCTGCAATTGTGACTAGAGAACACCCTGATAGCTCAGTTGGTAGAGCGAAGGGCTGTAGGATGTTCCTCATCTGAAACGCCGTGATCCTGAAGTCGCCGGTTCAACTCCAGCTCCAAGCCTGTGCATGTCAAATTGAAATAAAGCCAAGCCTTGTCTTTATCTGTCAACTCCTCCAATATTTAAAAACACAAACCACATAACTTAATTTTCCAACCATCAATTTTTTATTCACCCAGCCTAAAAGTCTTGATTATCAGTTCTGGGTCCCTGGCAATGACTGTTGGGTACAAACTGCAAAGCTTTGTTCTGCAGGTAGGGCTGGGCTTTTGATTGACTATGGGTTCCAATAGTTGTGTGGGCATAGGGTGTTGTCTCAGGCACTATGTTTTCTGCAATTGTGACTAGAGAACACCCTGATAGCTCAGTTGGTAGAGCGGAGGGCTGTAGTATGTTCCTCATCTGAAACGCTGTGATCCTGAAGTCGCCGGTTCAACTCCAGCTCCAAGCCTGTGCATGTCAAATTGAAATAAAGCCAAGCCTTGTCTTTATCTGTCAACTCCTCCAATATTTAAAACCACAAACCACATAACTTAATTTTCCAACCATCAATTTTTTATTCACCCAGCCTAAAAGTCTTGATTATCAGTTCTGGGTCCCTGGCAATGACTGTTGGGTACAAGCTGCAAAGCTTTGTTCTGCAGCTAGGGCTGGGCTTTTGATTGACTATGGGTTCCAATAGTTGTGTGGGCATAGGGTGTTGTCTCAGCCACTATGTTTTCTGCAATTGTGACTAGAGAACACCCTGATAGCTCAGTTGGTAGAGCGGAGGGCTGTAGGATGTTTCTCATCTGAAACGCTGTGATCCTTAAGTCGCCGGTTCAACTCCAGCTCCAAGGCTGTGCATGTCAAATTGAAATAAAGCCAAGCCTTGTCTTTATCTGTCAACTCCTCCAATATTTAAAAACACATAACTTAATTTTCCAACCATCAATTTTTTATTCACCCAGCCTAAAAGTCTTGATTATCAGTTCTGGGCCCCTGGCAATGACTGTTGGGTACAAGCTGCAAAGCTTTGTTCTGCAGGTAGGGCTGGGCTTTTGATTGACTATGGGTTCCAATAGTTGTGTGGGCATAGGGTGTTGTCTCAGCCACTATGTTTTCTGCAAATGTGACTAGAGAACACCCTGATAGCTCAGTTGGTAGAGCGGACGGCTGTAGGATGTTCCTCATCTGAAACGCTGTGATCCTGAAGTCGCCGGTTCAACTCCAGCTCCAAACCTGTGCATGTCAAATTGAAATAAAGCCAAGCCTTGTCTTTATCTGTCAACTCCTCCAATATTTAAAAACACAAACCACATAACTTAATTTTCCAACCATCAATTTTTTATTCACCCAGCCTCAAAGTCTTGATTATCAGTTATGGGTCCCTGGCAATGACTGTTGGGTACAAGCTGCAAAGCTTTGTTCTGCAGGTAGGGCTGGGCTTTTGATTGACTATGGGTTCCAATAGTTGTGTGGGCATAGGGTGTTGTCTCAGCCACTATGTTTTCTGCAATTGTGACTAGAGAACACCCTGATAGCTCAGTTGGTAGAGCGGAGGGCTGTAGGATGTTTCTCATCTGAAACACTGTGATGATGAAGTCGCCGGTTCAACTCCAGCTCCAAGCCTGTGCATGTCAAATTGAAATAAAGCCAAGCCTTGTCTTTATCTGTCAACTCCTCCAATATTTAAAAACACATAACTTAATTTTCCAACCATCAATTTTTTATTCACCCAGCCTAAAAGTCTTGATTATCAGTTCTGGGTCCCTGGCAATGACTGTTGGGTACAAGCTGCAAAGCTTTGTTCTGCAGGTAGGGCTGGGCTTTTGATTGACTATGGGTTACAATAGTTGTGTGGGCATAGGGTGTTGTCTCAGCCACTATGTTTTCTGCAATTGTGACTAGAGAACACCCTGATAGCTCAGTTGGTAGAGCGGACGGCTGTAGGATGTTCCTCATCTGAAACGCTGTGATCCTGAAGTCGCCGGTTCAACTCCAGCTCAAAGCCTTTGCATGTCAAATTGAAATAAAGCCAAGCCTTGTCTTTATCTGTCAACTCCTCCAATATTTAAAAACACAAACCACATAACTTAATTTTCCAACCATCAATTTTTTATTCACCCAGCCTCAAAGTCTTGATTATCAGTTATGGGTCCCTGGCAATGACTGTTGGGTACAAGCTGCAAAGCTTTGTTCTGCAGGTAGGGCTGGGCTTTTGATTGACTATGGGTTCCAATAGTTGTGTGGGCATAGGGTGTTGTCTCAGCCACTATGTTTTCTGCAATTGTGACTAGAGAACACCCTGATAGCTCAGTTGGTAGAGCGGAGGGCTGTAGGATGTTTCTCATCTGAAACGCTGTGATCCTGAAGTCGCCGGTTCAACTCCAGCTCCAAGCCTGTGCATGTCAAATTGAAATAAAGCCAAGCCTTGTCTTTATCTGTCAACTCCTCCAATATTTAAAAACACATAACTTAATTTTCCAACCATCAATTTTTTATTCACCCAGCCTAAAAGTCTTGATTATCAGTTATGGGTCCCTGGCAATGACTGTTGGGTACAAACTGCAAAGCTTTGTTCTGCAGGTAGGGCTGGGCTTTTGATTGACTATGGGTTCCAATAGTTGTGTGGGCATAGGGTGTTGTCTCAGCCACTATGTTTTCTGCAATTGTGACTAGAGAACACCCTGATAGCTCAGTTGGTAGAGCGGAGGGCTGTAGCATGTTCCTCATCTGAAACGCTGTGATCCTGAAGTCGCCGGTTCAACTCCAGCTCCAAGCCTGTGCATGTTAAAATTAAAATAAAGCCAAGCCTTGTCTTTATCTGTCAACTCCTCCAATATTTAAAACCACAAACCACATAACTTAATTTTCCAACCATCAGTTTTTTATTCACCCAGCCTAAAAGTCTTGATTATCAGTTCTGGGTCCCTGGCAATGACTGTTGGGTACAAGCTGCAAAGCTTTGTTCTGCAGGTAGGGCTGGGCTTTTGATTGACTATGGGTTCCAATAGTTGTGTGGGCATAGGGTGTTGTCTCAGCCACTATGTTTTCTGCAATTGTGACTAGAGAACACCCTGATAGCTCAGTTGGTAGAGCGGACGGCTGTAGGATGTTCCTCATCTGAAACACTGTGATGATGAAGTCGCCGGTTCAACTCCAGCTCCAAGCCTGTGCATGTCAAATTGAAATAAAGCCAAGCCTTGTCTTTATCTGTCAACTCCTCCAATATTTAAAACCACAAACCACATAACTTAATTTTCCAACCATCAATTTTTTATTCACCCAGCCTAAAAGTCTTGATTATCAGTTCTGGGTCCTTGGCAATGACTGTTGGGTACAAACTGCAAAGCTTTGTTCTGCAGGTAGGGCTGGGCTTTTGATTGACTATGGGTTCCAATAGTTGTGTGGGCATAGGGTGTTGTCTCAGCCACTATGTTTTCTGCAATTGTGACTAGAGAACACCCTGATAGCTCAGTTGGTAGAGCGGAGGGCTGTAGGATGTTTCTCATCTGAAACGCTGTGATCCTAAAGTCGCCGGTTCAACTCCAGCTCCAAGCCTGTGCATGTCAAATTGAAATAAAGCCAAGCCTTGTCTTTATCTGTCAACTCCTCCAATATTTAAAAACACAAACCACATAACTTAATTTTCCAACCATCAATTTTTTATTCACCCAGCCTAAAAGTCTTGATTATCAGTTATGGGTCCTTGGCAATGACTGTTGGGTACAAACTGCAAAGCTTTGTTCTGCAGGTAGGGCTGGGCTTTTGATTGACTATGGGTTCCAATAGTTGTGTGGGCATAGGGTGTTGTCTCAGGCACTATGTTTTCTGCAATTGTGACTACAGAACACCCTGATAGCTCAGTTGGTAGAGCGGAGGGCTGTAGGATGTTCCTCATCTGAAACGCTGTGATCCTGAAGTCGCCGGTTCAACTCCAGCTCCAAGCCTGTGCATGTCAAATTGAAATAAAGCCAAGCCTTGTCTTTATCTGTCAACTCCTCCAATATTTAAAACCACATAACTTAATTTTCCAACCATCAATTTTTTATTCACCCAGCCTAAAAGTCTTGATTATCAGTTCTGGGTCCCTGGCAATGACTGTTGGGTACAAACTGCAAAGCTTTGTTCTGCAGGTAGGGCTGGGCTTTTGATTGACTATGGGTTCCAATAGTTGTGTGGGCATAGGGTGTTGTCTCAGCCACTATGTTTTCTGCAATTGTGACTAGAGAACACCCTGATAGCTCACTTGGTAGAGCGGAGGGCTGTAGGATGTTCCTCATCTGAAACGCTGTGATCCTGAAGTCGCCGGTTCAACTCTAGCTCCAAGCCTGTGCATGTCAAATTGAAATAAAGCCAAGCCTTGTCTTTATCTGTCAACTCCTCCAATATTTAAAACCACAAACCACATAACTTAATTTTCCAACCATCAGTTTTTTATTCACCCAGCCTAAAAGTCTTGATTATCAGTTCTGGGTCCCTGGCAATGACTGTTGGGTACAAGCTGCAAAGCTTTGTTCTGCAGGTAGGGCTGGGCTTTTGATTGACTATGGGTTCCAATAGTTGTGTGGGCATAGGGTGTTGTCTCAGCCACTATGTTTTCTGCAATTGTGGCTAGAGAACACCCTGATAGCTCAGTTGGTAGAGCGGACGGCTGTAGGATGTTCCTCATCTGAAACGCTGTGATCCTGAAGTCGCCGGTTCAACTCCAGCTCCAAGCCTGTGCATGTCAAATTGAAATAAAGCCAAGCCTTGTCTTTATCTGTCAACTCCTCCAATATTTAAAAACACAAACCACATAACCACAATTTTTTATTCACCCAGCCTAAAAGTCTTGATTATCAGTTCTGGGTCCCTGGCAATGACTGTTGGGTACAAGCCTGTGCATGTCAAATTGTGTCAAATTGCAAAGCTTTGTTCTGCAGGTAGGGCTGGGCTTTTGATTGACTATGGGTTCCAATAGTTGTGTGGGCATAGGGTGTTGTCTCAGCCACTATGTTTTCTGCAATTGTGACTAGAGCACACCCTGATAGCTCAGTTGGTAGAGCGGAGGGCTGTAGGATGTTCCTCATCTGAAACGCTGTGATCCTGAAGTCGCCGGTTCAACTCCATCTCCAAGCCTGTGCATGTCAAATTGAAATAAAGCCAAGCCTTGTCTTTATCTGTCAACTCCTCCAATATTTAAAACCACAAACCACATAACTTAATTTTCCAACCATCAATTTTTTATTCACCCAGCCTAAAAGTCTTGATTATCAGTTCTGGGTCCCTGGCAATGACTGTTGGGTACAAACTGCAAAGCTTTGTTCTGCAGGTAGGGCTGGGCTTTTGATTGACTATGGGTTCCAATAGTTGTGTGGGCATAGGGTGTTGTCTCAGCCACTATGTTTTCTGCGATTGTGACTAGCGAACACCCTGATAGCTCAGTTGGTAGAGCGGAGGGCTGTAGCATGTTCCTCATCTGAAACGCTGTGATCCTGAAGTCGCCGGTTCAACTCCAGCTCCAAGCCTGTGCATGTTAAAATTAAAATAAAGCCAAGCCTTGTCTTTATCTGTCAACTCCTCCAATATTTAAAAACACAAACAACATGACTTAATTTTCCAACCATCAGTTTTTTATTCACCCAGCCTAAAAGTCTTGATTATCAGTTCTGGGTCCCTGGCAATGACTGTTGGGTACAAACTGCAAAGCTTTGTTCTGCAGGTAGGGCTGGGCTTTTGATTGACTATGGGTTCCAATAGTTGTGTGGGCATAGGGTGTTGTCTCAGCCACTATGTTTTCTGCAATTGTGAATAGAGAACACCCTGATAGCTCAGTTGGTAGAGCGGAGGGCTGTAGTATGTTCCTCATCTGAAATGCTGTGATCCTGAAGTCGCCGGTTCAACTCCAGCTCCAAGCCTGTCCATGTCAAATTGAAATAAAGCCAAGCCTTGTCTTTATCTGTCAACTCCTCCAATATTTAAAACCACAAACCACATAACTTAATTTTCCAACCATCAATTTTTTATTCACCCAGCCTAAAAGTCTTGATTATCAGTTCTGGGTCCCTGGCAATGACTGTTGGGTACAAACTGCAAAGCTTTGTTCTGCAGGTAGGGCTGGGCTTTTGATTGACTATGGGTTCCAATAGTTGTGTGGGCATAGGGTGTTGTCTCAGCCACTATGTTTTCTGCGATTGTGACTAGCGAACACCCTGATAGCTCAGTTGGTAGAGCGGAGGGCTGTAGCATGTTCCTCATCTGAAACGCTGTGATCCTGAAGTCGCCGGTTCAACTCCAGCTCCAAGCCTGTGCATGTTAAAATTAAAATAAAGCCAAGCCTTGTCTTTATCTGTCAACTCCTCCAATATTTAAAAACACAAACAACATGACTTAATTTTCCAACCATCAGTTTTTTATTCACCCAGCCTAAAAGTCTTGATTATCAGTTCTGGGTCCCTGGCAATGACTGTTGGGTACAAACTGCAAAGCTTTGTTCTGCAGGGAGGGCTGGGCTTTTGATTGACTATGGGTTCCAATAGTTGTGTGGGCATAGGGTGTTGTCTCAGCCACTATGTTTTCTGCAATTGTGAATAGAGAACACCCTGATAGCTCAGTTGGTAGAGCGGATGGCTGTAGTATGTTCCTCATCTGAAACGCTGTGATCCTGAAGTCGCCGGTTCAACTCCAGCTCCAAGCCTGTGCATGTCAAATTGAAATAAAGCCAAGCCTTGTCTTTATCTGTCAACTCCTCCAATATTTAAAAACACAAACCACATAACTTAATTTTCCAACCATCAATTTTTTATTCACCCAGCCTAAAAGTCTTGATTATCAGTTCTGGGTCCCTGGCAATGACTGTTGGGTACAAGCTGCAAAGCTTTGTTCTGCAGGTAGGGCTGGGCTTTTGATTGACTATGGGTTCCAATAGTTGTGTGGGCATAGGGTGTTGTCTCAGCCACTATGTTTTCTGCAATTGTGACTAGAGAACACCCTGATAGCTCAGTTGGTAGAGCGGAGGGCTGTAGGATGTTCCTCATCTGAAACGCTGTGATCCTGAAGTCGCCGGTTCAACTCCAGCTCCAAGCCTGTGCATGTCAAATTGAAATAAAGCCAAGCCTTGTCTTTATCTGTCAACTCCTCCAATATTTAAAACCACAAACCACATAACTTAATTTTCCAACCATCAATTTTTTATTCACCCAGCCTAAAAGTCTTGATTATCAGTTCTGGGTCCCTGGCAATGACTGTTGGGTACAAGCTGCAAAGCTTTGTTCTGCAGGTAGGGCTGGGCTTTTGATTGACTATGGGTTCCAATAGTTGTGTGGGCATAGGGTGTTGTCTCAGCCACTATGTTTTCTGCAATTGTGACTAGAGAACACCCTGATAGCTCAGTTGGTAGAGCGGAGGGCTGTAGGATGTTTCTCATCTGAAACGCTGTGATCCTGAAGTCGCCGGTTCAACTCCAGCTCCAAGCCTGTGCATGTCAAATTGAAATAAAGCCAAGCCTTGTCTTTATCTGTCAACTCCTCCAATATTTAAAAACACTTAACTTAATTTTCCAACCATCAATTTTTTATTCACCCAGCCTCAAAGTCTTGATTATCAGTTCTGGGTCCCTGGCAATGACTGTTGGGTACAAACTGCAAAGCTTTGTTCTGCAGGTAGGGCTGGGCTTTTGATTGACTATGGGTTCCAATAGTTGTGTGGGCATAGGGTGTTGTCTCAGCCACTATGTTTTCTGCAATTGTGACTAGAGAACACCCTGATAGCTCAGTTGGTAGAGCGGAGGGCTGTAGGATGTTCCTCATCTGAAACGCTCTGATCCTGAAGTCGCCGGTTCAACTCCAGCTCCAAGCCTGTCCATGTCAAATTGAAATAAAGCCAAGCCTTGTCTTTATCTGTCAACTCCTCCAATATTTAAAAACACATAACTTAATTTTCCAACCATCAATTTTTTATTCACCCAGCCTAAAAGTCTTGATTATCAGTTCTGGGTCCCTGGCAATGACTGTTGGGTACAAACTGCAAAGCTTTGTTCTGCAGGTAGGGCTGGGCTTTTGATTGACTATGGGTTACAATAGTTGTGTGGGCATAGGGTGTTGTCTCAGCCACTATGTTTTCTGCAATTGTGACTAGAGAACACCCTGATAGCTCAGTTGGTAGAGCGGAGGGCTGTAGCATGTTCCTCATCTGAAACGCTGTGATCCTGAAGTCGCTGGTTCAACTCCAGCTCCAAGCCTGTGCATGTTAAAATTGAAATAAAGCCAAGCCTTGTCTTTATCTGTCAACTCCTCCAATATTTAAAAACACAAACAACATAACTTAATTTTCCAACCATCAGTTTTTTATTCACCCAGCCTAAAAGTCTTGATTATCAGTTCTGGGTCCCTGGCAATGACTGTTGGGTACAAACTGCAAAGCTTTGTTCTGCAGGTAGGGCTGGGCTTTTGATTGACTATGGGTTCCAATAGTTGTGTGGGCATAGGGTGTTGTCTCAGCCACTATGTTTTCTGCAATTGTGACTAGAGAACACCCTGATAGCTCAGTTGGTAGAGCGGAGAGCTGTAGGATGTTCCTCATCGGAAACGCTGTGATCCTGAAGTCGCCGGTTCAACTCCAGCTCCAAGCCTGTGCATGTCAAATTGAAATAAAGCCAAGCCTTGTCTTTATCTGTCAACTCCTCCAATATTTAAAAACACAAACCACATAACTTAATTTTCCAACCATCAATTTTTTATTCACCCAGCCTAAAAGTCTTGATTATCAGTTCTGGGTCCCTGGCAATGACTGTTGGGTACAAACTGCAAAGCTTTGTTCTGCAGGTAGGGCTGGGCTTTTGATTGACTATGGGTTCCAATAGTTGTGTGGGCATAGGGTGTTGTCTCAGCCACTATGTTTTCTGCAATTGTGACTAGAGAACACCCTGATAGCTCAGTTGGTAGAGCGGAGGGCTGTAGGATGTTCCTCATCTGAAACGCTGTGATCCTGAAGTCGCCGGTTCAACTCCAGCTCCAAGCCTGTGCATGTCAAATTGAAATAAAGCCAAGCCTTGTCTTTATCTGTCAACTCCTCCAATATTTAAAACCACAAACCACATAACTTAATTTTCCAACCATCAGTTTTTTATTCACCCAGCCTAAAAGTCTTGATTATCAGTTCTGGGTCCCTGGCAATGACTGTTGGGTACAAGCTGCAAAGCTTTGTTCTGCAGGTAGGGCTGGGCTTTTGATTGACTATGGGTTCCAATAGTTGTGTGGGCATAGGGTGTTGTCTCAGCCACTATGTTTTCTGCAATTGTGACTAGAGAACAACCTGATAGCTCAGTTGGTAGAGCGGACGGCTGTAGGATGTTCCTCATCTGAAACGCTGTGATCCTGAAGTCGCCGGTTCAACTCCAGCTCCAAGCCTTTGCATGTCAAATTGAAATAAAGCCAAGCCTTGTCTTTATCTGTCAACTCCTCCAATATTTAAAACCACAAACCACATAACTTAATTTTCCAACCATCAATTTTTTATTCACCCAGCCTAAAAGTCTTGATTATCAGTTCTGGGTCCCTGGCAATGACTGTTGGGTACAAACTGCAAAGCTTTGTTCTGCAGGTAGGGCTGGGCTTTTGATTGACTATGGGTTCCAATAGTTGTGTGGGCATAGGGTGTTGTCTCAGCCACTATGTTTTCTGCGATTGTGACTAGCGAACACCCTGATAGCTCAGTTGGTAGAGCGGAGGGCTGTAGCATGTTCCTCATCTGAAACGCTGTGATCCTGAAGTCGCCGGTTCAACTCCAGCTCCAAGCCTGTGCATGTTAAAATTAAAATAAAGCCAAGCCTTGTCTTTATCTGTCAACTCCTCCAATATTTAAAAACACAAACAACATGACTTAATTTTCCAACCATCAGTTTTTTATTCACCCAGCCTAAAAGTCTTGATTATCAGTTCTGGGTCCCTGGCAATGACTGTTGGGTACAAACTGCAAAGCTTTGTTCTGCAGGGAGGGCTGGGCTTTTGATTGACTATGGGTTCCAATAGTTGTGTGGGCATAGGGTGTTGTCTCAGCCACTATGTTTTCTGCAATTGTGAATAGAGAACACCCTGATAGCTCAGTTGGTAGAGCGGATGGCTGTAGTATGTTCCTCATCTGAAACGCTGTGATCCTGAAGTCGCCGGTTCAACTCCAGCTCCAAGCCTGTGCATGTCAAATTGAAATAAAGCCAAGCCTTGTCTTTATCTGTCAACTCCTCCAATATTTAAAAACACAAACCACATAACTTAATTTTCCAACCATCAATTTTTTATTCACCCAGCCTAAAAGTCTTGATTATCAGTTCTGGGTCCCTGGCAATGACTGTTGGGTACAAGCTGCAAAGCTTTGTTCTGCAGGTAGGGCTGGGCTTTTGATTGACTATGGGTTCCAATAGTTGTGTGGGCATAGGGTGTTGTCTCAGCCACTATGTTTTCTGCAATTGTGACTAGAGAACACCCTGATAGCTCAGTTGGTAGAGCGGAGGGCTGTAGGATGTTCCTCATCTGAAACGCTGTGATCCTGAAGTCGCCGGTTCAACTCCAGCTCCAAGCCTGTGCATGTCAAATTGAAATAAAGCCAAGCCTTGTCTTTATCTGTCAACTCCTCCAATATTTAAAACCACAAACCACATAACTTAATTTTCCAACCATCAATTTTTTATTCACCCAGCCTAAAAGTCTTGATTATCAGTTCTGGGTCCCTGGCAATGACTGTTGGGTACAAGCTGCAAAGCTTTGTTCTGCAGGTAGGGCTGGGCTTTTGATTGACTATGGGTTCCAATAGTTGTGTGGGCATAGGGTGTTGTCTCAGCCACTATGTTTTCTGCAATTGTGACTAGAGAACACCCTGATAGCTCAGTTGGTAGAGCGGAGGGCTGTAGGATGTTTCTCATCTGAAACGCTGTGATCCTGAAGTCGCCGGTTCAACTCCAGCTCCAAGCCTGTGCATGTCAAATTGAAATAAAGCCAAGCCTTGTCTTTATCTGTCAACTCCTCCAATATTTAAAAACACTTAACTTAATTTTCCAACCATCAATTTTTTATTCACCCAGCCTCAAAGTCTTGATTATCAGTTCTGGGTCCCTGGCAATGACTGTTGGGTACAAACTGCAAAGCTTTGTTCTGCAGGTAGGGCTGGGCTTTTGATTGACTATGGGTTCCAATAGTTGTGTGGGCATAGGGTGTTGTCTCAGCCACTATGTTTTCTGCAATTGTGACTAGAGAACACCCTGATAGCTCAGTTGGTAGAGCGGAGGGCTGTAGGATGTTCCTCATCTGAAACGCTCTGATCCTGAAGTCGCCGGTTCAACTCCAGCTCCAAGCCTGTCCATGTCAAATTGAAATAAAGCCAAGCCTTGTCTTTATCTGTCAACTCCTCCAATATTTAAAAACACATAACTTAATTTTCCAACCATCAATTTTTTATTCACCCAGCCTAAAAGTCTTGATTATCAGTTCTGGGTCCCTGGCAATGACTGTTGGGTACAAACTGCAAAGCTTTGTTCTGCAGGTAGGGCTGGGCTTTTGATTGACTATGGGTTCCAATATTTGTGTGGGCATAGGGTGTTGTCTCAGCCACTATGTTTTCTGCAATTGTGACTAGAGAACACCCTGATAGCTCAGTTGGTAGAGCGGAGGGCTGTAGCATGTTCCTCATCTGAAACGCTGTGATCCTGAAGTCGCTGGTTCAACTCCAGCTCCAAGCCTGTGCATGTTAAAATTGAAATAAAGCCAAGCCTTGTCTTTATCTGTCAACTCCTCCAATATTTAAAAACACAAACAACATAACTTAATTTTCCAACCATCAGTTTTTTATTCACCCAGCCTAAAAGTCTTGATTATCAGTTCTGGGTCCCTGGCAATGACTGTTGGGTACAAACTGCAAAGCTTTGTTCTGCAGGTAGGGCTGGGCTTTTGATTGACTATGGGTTCCAATAGTTGTGTGGGCATAGGGTGTTGTCTCAGGCACTATGTTTTCTGCAATTGTGACTAGAGAACACCCTGATAGCTCAGTTGGTAGAGCGGAGGCCTGTAGGATGTTCCTCATCTGAAACGCTGTGATCCTGAAGTCGCCGGTTCAACTCCAGCTCCAAGCCTGTGCATGTCAAATTGAAATAAAGCCAAGCCTTGTCTTTATCTGTCAACTCCTCCAATATTTAAAAACACAAACCACATAACTTAATTTTCCAACCATCAATTTTTTATTCACCCAGCCTCAAAGTCTTGATTATCAGTTATGGGTCCCTGGCAATGACTGTTGGGTACAAGCTGCAAAGCTTTGTTCTGCAGGTAGGGCTGGGCTTTTGATTGACTATGGGTTCCAATAGTTGTGTGGGCATAGGGTGTTGTCTCAGCCACTATGTTTTCTGCAATTGTGACTAGAGAACACCCTGATAGCTCAGTTGGTAGAGCGGAGGGCTGTAGGATGTTCTCATCTGAAACGCTGTGATCCTGAAGTCGCCGGTTCAACTCCAGCTCCAAGCCTGTGCATGTCAAATTGAAATAAAGCCAAGCCTTGTCTTTATCTGTCAACTCCTCCAATATTTAAAAAACCAACACATAACTTAATTTTCCAACCATCAATTTTTTATTCACCCAGCCTAAAAGTCTTGATTATCAGTTATGGGTCCCTGGCAATGACTGTTGGGTACAAGCTGCAAAGCTTTGTTCTGCAGGTAGGGCTGGGCTTTTGATTGACTATGGGTTCCAATAGTTGTGTGGGCATAGGGTGTTGTCTCAGCCACTATGTTTTCTGCAATTGTGACTAGAGAACACCCTGATAGCTCAGTTGGTACAGCCCAGGGCTGTAGGATGTTCCTCATCTGAAACGCTGTGATCCTGAAGTCGCCGGTTCAACTCCAGCTCCAAGCCTGTGCATGTCAAATTGAAATAAAGCCAAGCCTTGTCTTTATCTGTCAACTCCTCCAATATTTAAAACCACAAACCACATAACTTAATTTTCCAACCATCAGTTTTTTATTCACCCAGCCTAAAAGTCTTGATTATCAGTTCTGGGTCCCTGGCAATGACTGTTGGGTACAAGCTGCAAAGCTTTGTTCTGCAGGTAGGGCTGGGCTTTTGATTGACTATGGGTTCCAATAGTTGTGTGGGCATAGGGTGTTGTCTCAGGCACTATGTTTTCTGCAATTGTGACTAGAGAACACCCTGATAGCTCAGTTGGTAGAGCGGAGGCCTGTAGGATGTTCCTCATCTGAAACGCTGTGATCCTGAAGTCGCCGGTTCAACTCCAGCTCCAAGCCTGTGCATGTCAAATTGAAATAAAGCCAAGCCTTGTCTTTATCTGTCAACTCCTCCAATATTTAAAAACACATAACTTAATTTTCCAACCATCAATTTTTTATTCACCCAGCCTAAAAGTCTTGATTATCAGTTCTGGGTCCCTGGCAATGACTGTTGGGTACAAGCTGCAAAGCTTTGTTCTGCAGGTAGGGCTGGGCTTTTGATTGACTATGGGTTCCAATAAATGTGTGGGCATAGGGTGTTGTCTCAGCCACTATGTTTTCTGCAATTGTGACTAGAGAACACCCTGATAGCTCAGTTGGTAGAGCGGAGGGCTGTAGCATGTTCCTCATCTGAAACGCTGTGATCCTGAAGTCGCTGGTTCAACTCCAGCTCCAAGCCTGTGCATGTTAAAATTGAAATAAAGCCAAGCCTTGTCTTTATCTGTCAACTCCTCCAATATTTAAAAACACAAACAACATAAATTAATTTTCCAACCATCAGTTTTTTATTCACCCAGCCTAAAAGTCTTGATTATCAGTTCTGGGTCCCTGGCAATGTGACTGTTGGGTACAAACTGCAAAGCTTTGTTCTGCAGGTAGGGCTGGGCTTTTGATTGACTATGGGTTCCAATAGTTGTGTGGGCATAGGGTGTTGTCTCAGCCACTATGTTTTCTGCAATTGTGACTAGAGAACACCCTGATAGCTCAGTTGGTAGAGCGGAGGGCTGTAGGATGTTCCTCATCTGAAACGCTGTGATCCTGAAGTCGCCTGTTCAACTCCAGCTCCAAGCCTGTGCATGTCAAATTGAAATAAAGCCAAGCCTTGTCTTTATCTGTCAACTCCTCCAATATTTAAAACCACAAACCACATAACTTAATTTTCCAACCATCAGTTTTTTATTCACCCAGCCTAAAAGTCTTGATTATCAGTTCTGGGTCCCTGGCAATGACTGTTGGGTACAAGCTGCAAAGCTTTGTTCTGCAGGTAGGGCTGGGCTTTTGATTGACTATGGGTTCCAATAGTTGTGTGGGCATAGGGTAGGGTGTTGTCTCAGCCACTATGTTTTCTGCAATTGTGACAAGAGAACACCCTGATAGCTCAGTTGGTAGAGCGGAGGGCTGTAGCATGTTCCTCATCTGAAACGCTGTGATCCTGAAGTCGCTGGTTCAACTCCAGCTCCAAGCCTGTGCATGTTAAAATTGAAATAAAGCCAAGCCTTGTCTTAATCTGTCAACTCCTCCAATATTTAAAAACACAAACAACATAAATTAATTTTCCAACCATCAGTTTTTTATTCACCCAGCCTAAAAGTCTTGATTATCAGTTCTGGGTCCCTGGCAATGACTGTTGGGTACAAACTGCAAAGCTTTGTTCTGCAGGTAGGGCTGGGCTTTTGATTGACTATGGGTTCCAATAGTTGTGTGGGCATAGGGTGTTGTCTCAGCCACTATGTTTTCTGCAATTGTGACTAGAGAACACCCTGATAGCTCAGTTGGTAGAGCGGAGGGCTGTAGGATGTTCCTCATCTGAAACGCTGTCATCCTGAAGTCGCCGGTTCAACTCCAGCTCCAAGCCTGTGCATGTCAAATTGAAATAAAGCCAAGCCTTGTCTTTATCTGTCAACTCCTCCAATATTTAAAACCACAAACCACATAACTTAATTTTCCAACCATCAATTTTTTATTCACCCAGCCTAAAAGTCTTGATTATCAGTTCTGGGTCCCTGGCAATGACTGTTGGGTACAAGCTGCAAAGCTTTGTTCTGCAGGTAGGGCTGGGCTTTTGATTGACTATGGGTTCCAATAGTTGTGTGGGCATAGGGTGTTGTCTCAGCCACTATGTTTTCTGCAATTGTGACTAGAGAACACCCTGATAGCTCAGTTGGTAGAGCGGAGGGCTGTAGGATGTTCCTCATCTGAAACGCTGTGATCCTGAAGTCGCCGGTTCAACTCCAGCTCCAAGCCTGTGCATGTCAAATTGAAATAAAGCCAAGCCTTGTCTTTCTCTGTCAACTCCTCCAATATTTAAAACCACATAACTTAATTTTCCAACCATCAGTTTTTTATTCACCCAGCCTAAAAGTCTTGATTATCAGTTCTGGGTCCCTGGCAATGACTGTTGGGTACAAGCTGCAAAGCTTTGTTCTGCAGGTAGGGCTGGGCTTTTGATTGACTATGGGTTCCAATAAATGTGTGGGCATAGGGTGTTGTCTCAGCCACTATGTTTTCTGCAATTGTGACTAGAGAACACCCTGATAGCTCAGTTGGTAGAGCGGAGGGCTGTAGGATGTTCCTCATCTGAAACGCTGTGATCCTGAAGTCGCTGGTTCAACTCCAGCTCCAAGCCTGTGCATGTAAAATTGAAATAAAGCCAAGCCTTGTCTTTATCTGTCAACTCCTCCAATATTTAAAAACACAAACAACATAAATTAATTTTCCAACCATCAGTTTTTTATTCACCCAGCCTAAAAGTCTTGATTATCAGTTCTGGGTCCCTGGCAATGACTGTTGGGTACAAGCTGCAAAGCTTTGTTCTGCAGGTAGGGCTGGGCTTTTGATTGACTATGGGTTCCAATAGTTGTGTGGGCATAGGGTGTTGTCTCAGCCACTATGTTTTCTGCAATTGTGACTAGAGAACACCCTGATAGCTCAGTTGGTAGAGCGGAGGGCTGTAGGATGTTCCTCATCTGAAACGCTGTGATCCTGAAGTCGCCTGTTCAACTCCAGCTCCAAGCCTGTGCATGTCAAATTGAAATAAAGCCAAGCCTTGTCTTTATCTGTCAACTCCTCCAATATTTAAAACCACAAACCACATAACTTAATTTTCCAACCATCAGTTTTTTATTCACCCAGCCTAAAAGTCTTGATTATCAGTTCTGGGTCCCTGGCAATGACTGTTGGGTACAAGCTGCAAAGCTTTGTTCTGCAGCTAGGGCTGGGCTTTTGATTGACTATGGGTTCCAATAGTTGTGTGGGCATAGGGTGTTGTCTCAGCCACTATGTTTTCTGCAATTGTGACAAGAGAACACCCTGATAGCTCAGTTGGTAGAGCGGAGGGCTGTAGCATGTTCCTCATCTGAAACGCTGTGATCCTGAAGTCGCTGGTTCAACTCCAGCTCCAAGCCTGTGCATGTTAAAATTGAAATAAAGCCAAGCCTTGTCTTAATCTGTCAACTCCTCCAATATTTAAAAACACAAACAACATAAATTAATTTTCCAACCATCAGTTTTTTATTCACCCAGCCTAAAAGTCTTGATTATCAGTTCTGGGTCCCTGGCAATGACTGTTGGGTACAAACTGCAAAGCTTTGTTCTGCAGGTAGGGCTGGGCTTTTGATTGACTATGGGTTCCAATAGTTGTGTGGGCATAGGGTGTTGTCTCAGCCACTATGTTTTCTGCAATTGTGACTAGAGAACACCCTGATAGCTCAGTTGGTAGAGCGGAGGGCTGTAGGATGTTCCTCATCTGAAACGCTGTGATCCTGAAGTCGCCGGTTCAACTCCAGCTCCAAGCCTGTGCATGTCAAATTGAAATAAAGCCAAGCCTTGTCTTTATCTGTCAACTCCTCCAATATTTAAAACCACAAACCACATAACTTAATTTTCCAACCATCAATTTTTTATTCACCCAGCCTAAAAGTCTTGATTATCAGTTCTGGGTCCCTGGCAATGACTGTTGGGTACAAGCTGCAAAGCTTTGTTCTGCAGGTAGGGCTGGGCTTTTGATTGACTATGGGTTCCAATAGTTGTGTGGGCATAGGGTGTTGTCTCAGCCACTATGTTTTCTGCAATTGTGACTAGAGAACACCCTGATAGCTCAGTTGGTAGAGCGGAGGGCTGTAGGATGTTCCTCATCTGAAACGCTGGTTCAACTCCAGCTCCAAGCCTGTGCATGTTAAAATTGAAATAAAGCCAAGCCTTGTCTTTATCTGTTACTCCTCCAATATTTAAAAACACAAACAACATAACTTAATTTTCCAACCATCAGTTTTTTATTCACCCAGCCTAAAAGTCTTGATTATCAGTTCTGGGTCCCTGGCAATGACTGTTGGGTACAAACTGCAAAGCTTTGTTCTGCAGGTAGGGCTGGGCTTTTGATTGACTATGGGTTCCAATAGTTGTGTGGGCATAGGGTGTTGTCTCAGCCACTATGTTTTCTGCAATTGTGACTAGAGAACACCCTGATAGCTCAGTTGGTAGAGCGGAGGGCTCTAGGATGTTCCTCATCTGAAACGCTGTGATCCTGAAGTCGCCGGTTCAACTCCAGCTCCAAGCCTGTGCATGTCAAATTGAAATAAAGCCAAGCCTTGTCTTTATCTGTCAACTCCTCCAATATTTAAAAACACAAACCACATAACTTAATTTTCCAACCATCAATTTTTTATTCACCCAGCCTAAAAGTCTTGATTATCAGTTCTGGGTCCCTGGCAATGACTGTTGGGTACAAACTGCAAAGCTTTGTTCTGCAGGTAGGGCTGGGCTTTTGATTGACTATGGGTTCCAATAGTTGTGTGGGCATAGGGTGTTGTCTCAGCCACTATGTTTTCTGCAATTGTGACTAGAGAACACCCTGATAGCCCAGTTGGTAGAGCGGAGGGCTGTAGGATGTTCCTCATCTGAAACGCTGTGATCCTGAAGTCGCCGGTTCAACTCCAGCTCCAAGCCTGTGCATGTCAAATTGAAATAAAGCCAAGCCTTGTCTTTATCTGTCAACTCCTCCAATATTTAAAACCACATAACTTAATTTTCCAACCATCAATTTTTTATTCAACCAGCCTAAAAGTCTTGATTATCAGTTCTGGGTCCCTGGCAATGACTGTTGGGTACAAACTGCAAAGCTTTGTTCTGCAGGTAGGGCTGGGCTTTTGATTGACTATGGGTTCCAATAGTTGTGTGGGCATAGGGTGTTGTCTCAGCCACTATGTTTTCTGCAATTGTGACTAGAGAACACCCTGATAGCTCAGTTGGTAGAGCGGAGGGCTCTAGGATGTTCCTCATCTGAAACGCTGTGATCCTGAAGTCGCCGGTTCAACTCCAGCTCCAAGCCTGTGCATGTCAAATTGAAATAAAGCCAAGCCTTGTCTTTCTCTGTCAACTCCTCCAATATTTAAAACCACATAACTTAATTTTCCAACCATCAGTTTTTTATTCACCCAGCCTAAAAGTCTTGATTATCAGTTCTGGGTCCCTGGCAATGACTGTTGGGTACAAGCTGCAAAGCTTTGTTCTGCAGGTAGGGCTGGGCTTTTGATTGACTATGGGTTCCAATAAATGTGTGGGCATAGGGTGTTGTCTCAGCCACTATGTTTTCTGCAATTGTGACTAGAGAACACCCTGATAGCTCAGTTGGTAGAGCGGAGGGCTGTAGCATGTTCCTCATCTGAAACGCTGTGATCCTGAAGTCGCTGGTTCAACTCCAGCTCCAAGCCTGTGCATGTTAAAATTGAAATAAAGCCAAGCCTTGTCTTTATCTGTCAACTCCTCCAATATTTAAAAACACAAACAACATAAATTAATTTTCCAACCATCAGTTTTTTATTCACCCAGCCTAAAAGTCTTGATTATCAGTTCTGGGTCCCTGGCAATGACTGTTGGGTACAAGCTGCAAAGCTTTGTTCTGCAGGTAGGGCTGGGCTTTTGATTGACTATGGGTTCCAATAGTTGTGTGGGCATAGGGTGTTGTCTCAGCCACTATGTTTTCTGCAATTGTGACTAGAGAACACCCTGATAGCTCAGTTGGTAGAGCGGAGGGCTGTAGGATGTTCCTCATCTGAAACGCTGTGATCCTGAAGTCGCCTGTTCAACTCCAGCTCCAAGCCTGTGCATGTCAAATTGAAATAAAGCCAAGCCTTGTCTTTATCTGTCAACTCCTCCAATATTTAAAACCACAAACCACATAACTTAATTTTCCAACCATCAGTTTTTTATTCACCCAGCCTAAAAGTCTTGATTATCAGTTCTGGGTCCCTGGCAATGACTGTTGGGTACAAGCTGCAAAGCTTTGTTCTGCAGGTAGGGCTGGGCTTTTGATTGACTATGGGTTCCAATAGTTGTGTGGGCATAGGGTGTTGTCTCAGCCACTATGTTTTCTGCAATTGTGACAAGAGAACACCCTGATAGCTCAGTTGGTAGAGCGGAGGGCTGTAGCATGTTCCTCATCTGAAACGCTGTGATCCTGAAGTCGCTGGTTCAACTCCAGCTCCAAGCCTGTGCATGTTAAAATTGAAATAAAGCCAAGCCTTGTCTTAATCTGTCAACTCCTCCAATATTTAAAAACACAAACAACATAAATTAATTTTCCAACCATCAGTTTTTTATTCACCCAGCCTAAAAGTCTTGATTATCAGTTCTGGGTCCCTGGCAATGACTGTTGGGTACAAACTGCAAAGCTTTGTTCTGCAGGTAGGGCTGGGCTTTTGATTGACTATGGGTTCCAATAGTTGTGTGGGCATAGGGTGTTGTCTCAGCCACTATGTTTTCTGCAATTGTGACTAGAGAACACCCTGATAGCTCAGTTGGTAGAGCGGAGGGCTGTAGGATGTTCCTCATCTGAAACGCTGTCATCCTGAAGTCGCCGGTTCAACTCCAGCTCCAAGCCTGTGCATGTCAAATTGAAATAAAGCCAAGCCTTGTCTTTATCTGTCAACTCCTCCAATATTTAAAACCACAAACCACATAACTTAATTTTCCAACCATCAATTTTTTATTCACCCAGCCTAAAAGTCTTGATTATCAGTTCTGGGTCCCTGGCAATGACTGTTGGGTACAAGCTGCAAAGCTTTGTTCTGCAGGTAGGGCTGGGCTTTTGATTGACTATGGGTTCCAATAGTTGTGTGGGCATAGGGTGTTGTCTCAGCCACTATGTTTTCTGCAATTGTGACTAGAGAACACCCTGATAGCTCAGTTGGTAGAGCGGAGGGCTGTAGGATGTTCCTCATCTGAAACGCTGTGATCCTGAAGTCGCCGGTTCAACTCCAGCTCCAAGCCTGTGCATCTCAAATTGAAATAAAGCCAAGCCTTGTCTTTATCTGTCAACTCCTCCAATATTTAAAACCACAAACCACATAACTTAATTTTCCAACCATCAGTTTTTTATTCACCCAGCCTAAAAGTCTTGATTATCAGTTCTGGGTCCCTGGCAATGACTGTTGGGTACAAGCTGCAAAGCTTTGTTCTGCAGCTAGGGCTGGGCTTTTGATTGACTATGGGTTCCAATAGTTGTGTGGGCATAGGGTGTTGTCTCAGCCACTATGTTTTCTGCAATTGTGACTAGAGAACACCCTGATAGCTCAGTTGGTAGAGCGGAGGGCTGTAGGATGTTTCTCATCTGAAACGCTGTGATCCTGAAGTCGCCGGTTCAACTCCAGCTCCAAGCCTGTGCATGTCAAATTGAAATAAAGCCAAGCCTTGTCTTTATCTGTCAACTCCTCCAATATTTAAAAACACATAACTTAATTTTCCAACCATCAATTTTTTATTCACCCAGCCTAAAAGTCTTGATTATCAGTTCTGGGTCCCTGGCAATGACTGTTGGGTACAAGCTGCAAAGCTTTGTTCTGCAGGTAGGGCTGGGCTTTTGATTGACTATGGGTTACAATAGTTGTGTGGGCATAGGGTGTTGTCTCAGCCACTATGTTTTCTGCAATTGTGACTAGAGAACACCCTGATAGCTCAGTTGGTAGAGCGGACGACTGTAGGATGTTCCTCATCTGAAACGCTGTGATCCTGAAGTCGCCGGTTCAACTCCAGCTCCAAGCCTGTGCATGTCAAATTGAAATAAACCCAAGCCTTGTCTTTATCTGTCAACTCCTCCAATATTTAAAAACACAAACCACATAACTTAATTTTCCAACCATCAATTTTTTATTCACCCAGCCTCAAAGTCTTGATTATCAGTTATGGGTCCCTGGCAATGACTGTTGGGTACAAGCTGCAAAGCTTTGTTCTGCAGGTAGGGCTGGGCTTTTGATTGACTATGGGTTCCAATAGTTGTGTGGGCATAGGGTGTTGTCTCAGCCACTATGTTTTCTGCAATTGTGACTAGAGAACACCCTGATAGCTCAGTTGGTAGAGCGGAGGGCTGTAGGATGTTTCTCATCTGAAACGCTTTGATCCTGAAGTCGCCGGTTCAACTCCAGCTCCAAGCCTGTGCATGTCAAATTGAAATAAAGCCAAGCCTTGTCTTTATCTGTCAACTCCTCCAATATTTAAAAACACATAACTTAATTTTCCAACCATCAATTTTTTATTCACCCAGCCTAAAAGTCTTGATTATCAGTTATGGGTCCCTGGCAATGACTGTTGGGTACAAACTGCAAAGCTTTGTTCTGCAGGTAGGGCTGGGCTTTTGATTGACTATGGGTTCCAATAGTTGTGTGGGCATAGGGTGTTGTCTCAGCCACTATGTTTTCTGCAATTGTGACTAGAGAACACCCTGATAGCTCAGTTGGTACAGCCCAGGGCTGTAGGATGTTCCTCATCTGAAACGCTGTGATCCTGAAGTCGCCGGTTCAACTCCAGCTCCAAGCCTGTGCATGTCAAATTGAAATAAAGCCAAGCCTTGTCTTTATCTGTCAACTCCTCCAATATTTAAAACCACAAACCACATAACTTAATTTTCCAACCATCAGTTTTTTATTCACCCAGCCTAAAAGTCTTGATTATCAGTTCTGGGTCCCTGGCAATGACTGTTGGGTACAAGCTGCAAAGCTTTGTTCTGCAGGTAGGGCTGGGCTTTTGATTGACTATGGGTTCCAATAGTTGTGTGGGCATAGGGTGTTGTCTCAGGCACTATGTTTTCTGCAATTGTGACTAGAGAACACCCTGATAGCTCAGTTGGTAGAGCGGAGGCCTGTAGGATGTTCCTCATCTGAAACGCTGTGATCCTGAAGTCGCCGGTTCAACTCCAGCTCCAAGCCTGTGCATGTCAAATTGAAATAAAGCCAAGCCTTGTCTTTATCTGTCAACTCCTCCAATATTTAAAAACACAAACCACATAACTTAATTTTCCAACCATCAATTTTTTATTCACCCAGCCTAAAAGTCTTGATTATCAGTTCTGGGTCCCTGGCAATGACTGTTGGGTACAAACTGCAAAGCTTTGTTCTGCAGGTAGGGCTGGGCTTTTGATTGACTATGGGTTCCAATAGTTGTGTGGGCATAGGGTGTTGTCTCAGCCACTATGTTTTCTGCAATTGTGACTAGAGAACACCCTGATAGCTCAGTTGGTAGAGCGGAGGGCTGTAGGATGTTTCTCATCTGAAACGCTGTGATCCTGAAGTCGCCGGTTCAACTCCAGCTCCAAGCCTGTACATGTCAAATTGAAATAAAGCCAAGCCTTGTGTTTATCTGTCAACTCCTCCAATATTTAAAAACACATAACTTAATTTTCCAACCATCAATTTTTTATTCACCCAGCCTAAAAGTCTTGATTATCAGTTCTGGGTCCCTGGCAATGACTGTTGGGTACAAACTGCAAAGCTTTGTTCTGCAGGTAGGGCTGGGCTTTTGATTGACTATGGGTTCCAATAGTTGTGTGGGCATAGGGTGTTGTCTCAGCCACTATGTTTTCTGCAATTGTGACTAGAGAACACCCTGATAGCTCAGTTGGTAGAGCGGAGGCCTGTAGGATGTTCCTCATCTGAAACGCTGTGATCCTGAAGTCGCCGGTTCAACTCCAGCTCCAAGCCTGTGCATGTCAAATTGAAATAAAGCCAAGCCTTGTCTTTATCTGTCAACTCCTCCAATATTTAAAACCACAAACCACATAACTTAATTTTCCAACCATCAGTTTTTTATTCACCCAGCCTAAAAGTCTTGATTATCAGTTCTGGGTCCCTGGCAATGACTGTTGGGTACAAGCTGCAAAGCTTTGTTCTGCAGGTAGGGCTGGGCTTTTGATTGACTATGGGTTCCAATAGTTGTGTGGGCATAGGGTGTTGTCTCAGCCACTATGTTTTCTGCAATTGTGACTAGAGAACACCCTGATAGCTCAGTTGGTAGAGCGGAGGGCTGTAGGATGTTCCTCATCTGAAACGCTGTGATCCTGAAGTCGCCGGTTCAACTCCAGCTCCAAGCCTGTGCATGTCAAATTGAAATAAAGCCAAGCCTTGTCTTTATCTGTCAACTCCTCCAATATTTAAAACCACAAACCACATAACTTAATTTTCCAACCATCAGTTTTTTATTCACCCAGCCTAAAAGTCTTGATTATCAGTTCTGGGTCCCTGGCAATGACTGTTGGGTACAAGCTGCAAAGCTTTGTTCTGCAGGTAGGGCTGGGCTTTTGATTGACTATGGGTTCCAATATTTGTGTGGGCATAGGGTGTTGTCTCAGCCACTATGTTTTCTGCAATTGTGACTAGAGAACACCCTGATAGCTCAGTTGGTAGAGCGGAGGGCTGTAGGATGTTCCTCATCTGAAACGCTGTGATCCTGAAGTCGCCGGTTCAACTCCAGCTCCAAGCCTGTGCATGTCAAATTGAAATAAAGCCAAGCCTTGTCTTTATCTGTCAACTCCTCCAATATTTAAAACCACAAACCACATAACTTAATTTTCCAACCATCAGTTTTTTATTCACCCAGCCTAAAAGTCTTGATTATCAGTTCTGGGTCCCTGGCAATGACTGTTGGGTACAAGCTGCAAAGCTTTGTTCTGCAGGTAGGGCTGGGCTTTTGATTGACTATGGGTTCCAATAGTTATGTGGGCATAGGGTGTTGTCTCAGCCACTATGTTTTCTGCAATTGTGACTAGAGAACACCCTGATAGCTCAGTTGGTAGAGCGGAGGGCTGTAGGATGTTCCTCATCTGAAACGCTGGTTCAACTCCAGCTCCAAGCCTGTGCATGTTAAAATTGAAATAAAGCCAAGCCTTGTCTTTATCTGTCAACTCCTCCAATATTTAAAAACACAAACAACATAACTTAATTTTCCAACCATCAGTTTTTTATTCACCCAGCCTAAAAGTCTTGATTATCAGTTCTGGGTCCCTGGCAATGACTGTTGGGTACAAACTGCAAAGCTTTGTTCTGCAGGTAGGGCTGGGCTTTTGATTGACTATGGGTTCCAATAGTTGTGTGGGCATAGGGTGTTGTCTCAGCCACTATGTTTTCTGCAATTGTGACTAGAGAACACCCTGATAGCTCAGTTGGTAGAGCGGAGGGCTGTAGGATGTTCCTCATCTGAAACGCTGTTATCCTGAAGTCGCCGGTTCAACTCCAGCTCCAAGCCTGTGCATGTCAAATTGAAATAAAGCCAAGCCTTGTCTTTATCTGTCAACTCCTCCAATATTTAAAACCACATAACTTAATTTTCCAACCATCAATTTTTTATTCACCCAGCCTAAAAGTCTTGATTATCAGTTCTGGGTCCCTGGCAATGACTGTTGGGTACAAACTGCAAAGCTTTGTTCTGCAGGTAGGGCTGGGCTTTTGATTGACTATGGGTTCCAATAGTTGTGTGGGCATAGGGTGTTGTCTCAGCCACTATGTTTTCTGCAATTGTGACTAGAGAACACCCTGATAGCTCAGTTGGTAGAGCGGAGGGCTGTAGGATGTTCCTCATCTGAAACGCTGTGATCCTGAAGTCGCCGGTTCAACTCCAGCTCCAAGCCTGTGCATGTCAAATTGAAATAAAGCCAAGCCTTGTCTTTATCTGTCAACTCCTCCAATATTTAAAACCACAAACCACATAACTTAATTTTCCAAGCATCAATTTTTTATTCACCCAGCCTAAAAGTCTTGATTATCAGTTCTGGGTCCCTGGCAATGACTGTTGGGTACAAGCTGCAAAGCTTTGTTCTGCAGGTAGGGCTGGGCTTTTGATTGACTATGGGTTCCAATAGTTGTGTGGGCATAGGGTGTTGTCTCAGCCACTATGTTTTCTGCAATTGTGACTAGAGAACACCCTGATAGCTCAGTTGGTAGAGCGGAGGGCTGTAGGATGTTCCTCATCTGAAACGCTGTGTTCCTGAAGTCGCCGGTTCAACTCCAGCTCCAAGCCTGTGCATGTCAAATTGAAATAAAGCCAAGCCTTGTCTTTATCTGTCAACTCCTCCAATATTTAAAACCACAAACCACATAACTTAATTTTCCAACCATCAGTTTTTTATTCACCCAGCCTAAAAGTCTTGATTATCAGTTCTGGGTCCCTGGCAATGACTGTTGGGTACAAGCTGCAAAGCTTTGTTCTGCAGGTAGGGCTGGGCTTTTGATTGACTATGGGTTCCAATATTTGTGTGGGCATAGGGTGTTGTCTCAGCCACTATGTTTTCTGCAATTGTGACTAGAGAACACCCTGATAGCTCAGTTGGTAGAGCGGAGGGCTGTAGGATGTTCCTCATCTGAAACGCTGTGATCCTGAAGTCGCCGGTTCAACTCCAGCTCCAAGCCTGTGCATGTCAAATTGAAATAAAGCCAAGCCTTGTCTTTATCTGTCAACTCCTCCAATATTTAAAACCACAAACCACATAACTTAATTTTCCAACCATCAGTTTTTTATTCACCCAGCCTAAAAGTCTTGATTATCAGTTCTGGGTCCCTGGCAATGACTGTTGGGTACAAGCTGCAAAGCTTTGTTCTGCAGGTAGGGCTGGGCTTTTGATTGACTATGGGTTCCAATAGTTATGTGGGCATAGGGTGTTGTCTCAGCCACTATGTTTTCTGCAATTGTGACTAGAGAACACCCTGATAGCTCAGTTGGTAGAGCGGAGGGCTGTAGGATGTTCCTCATCTGAAACGCTGGTTCAACTCCAGCTCCAAGCCTGTGCATGTTAAAATTGAAATAAAGCCAAGCCTTGTCTTTATCTGTCAACTCCTCCAATATTTAAAAACACAAACAACATAACTTAATTTTCCAACCATCAGTTTTTTATTCACCCAGCCTAAAAGTCTTGATTATCAGTTCTGGGTCCCTGGCAATGACTGTTGGGTACAAACTGCAAAGCTTTGTTCTGCAGGTAGGGCTGGGCTTTTGATTGACTATGGGTTCCAATAGTTGTGTGGGCATAGGGTGTTGTCTCAGCCACTATGTTTTCTGCAATCGTGACTAGAGAACACCCTGATAGCTCAGTTGGTAGAGCGGAGGGCTGTAGGATGTTCCTCATCTGAAACGCTGTGATCCTGAAGTCGCCGGTTCAACTCCAGCTCCAAGCCTGTGCATGTCAAATTGAAATAAAGCCAAGCCTTGTCTTTATCTGTCAACTCCTCCAATATTTAAAAACACAAACCACATAACTTAATTTTCCAACCATCAATTTTTTATTCACCCAGCCTAAAAGTCTTGATTATCAGTTCTGGGTCCCTGGCAATGACTGTTGGGTACAAACTGCAAAGCTTTGTTCTGCAGGTAGGGCTGGGCTTTTGATTGACTATGGGTTCCAATAGTTGTGTGGGCATAGGGTGTTGTCTCAGCCACTATGTTTTCTGCAATTGTGACTAGAGAACACCCTGATAGCTCAGTTGGTAGAGCGGAGGGCTGTAGGATGTTCCTCATCTGAAACGCTGTGATCCTGAAGTCACCGGTTCAACTCCTGCTCCAAGCCTGTTCATGTCAAATTGAAATAAAGCCAAGCCTTGTCTTTATCTGTCAACTCCTCCAATATTTAAAACCACATAACTTAATTTTCCAACCATCAATTTTTTATTCAACCAGCCTAAAAGTCTTGATTATCAGTTCTGGGTCCCTGGCAATGACTGTTGGGTACAAAGTGCAAAGCTTTGTTCTGCAGGTAGGGCTGGGCTTTTGATTGACTATGGGTTCCAATAGTTGTGTGGGCATAGGGTGTTGTCTCAGCCACTATGTTTTCTGCAATTGTGACTAGAGAACACCCTGATAGCTCAGTTGGTAGAGCGGAGGGCTGTAGGATATTCCTCATCTGAAACGCTGTGATCCTGAAGTCGCCGGTTCAACTCCAGCTCCAAGCCTGTGCATGTCAAATTGAAATAAAGCCAAGCCTTGTCTTTATCTGTCAACTCCTCCAATATTTAAAACCACAAACCACATAACTTAATTTTCCAACCATCAGTTTTTTATTCACCCAGCCTAAAAGTCTTGATTATCAGTTCTGGGTCCCTGGCAATGACTGTTGGGTACAAGCTGCAAAGCTTTGTTCTGCAGGTAGGGCTGGGCTTTTGATTGACTATGGGTTCCAATAGTTGTGTGGGCATAGGGTGTTGTCTCAGCCACTATGTTTTCTGCAATTGTGACAAGAGAACACCCTGATAGCTCAGTTGGTAGAGCGGAGGGCTGTAGCATGTTCCTCATCTGAAACGCTGTGATCCTGAAGTCGCTGGTTCAGCTCCAGCTCCAAGCCTGTGCATGTTAAAATTGAAATAAAGCCAAGCCTTGTCTTAATCTGTCAACTCCTCCAATATTTAAAAACACAAACAACATAAATTAATTTTCCAACCATCAGTTTTTTATTCACCCAGCCTAAAAGTCTTGATTATCAGTTCTGGGTCCCTGGCAATGACTGTTGGGTACAAACTGCAAAGCTTTGTTCTGCAGGTAGGGCTGGGCTTTTGATTGACTATGGGTTCCAATAGTTGTGTGGGCATAGGGTGTTGTCTCAGCCACTATGTTTTCTGCAATTGTGACTAGAGAACACCCTGATAGCTCAGTTGGTAGAGCGGAGGGCTGTAGGATGTTCCTCATCTGAAACGCTGTCATCCTGAAGTCGCCGGTTCAACTCCAGCTCCAAGCCTGTGCATGTCAAATTGAAATAAAGCCAAGCCTTGTCTTTATCTGTCAACTCCTCCAATATTTAAAACCACAAACCACATAACTTAATTTTCCAACCATCAATTTTTTATTCACCCAGCCTAAAAGTCTTGATTATCAGTTCTGGGTCCCTGGCAATGACTGTTGGGTACAAGCTGCAAAGCTTTGTTCTGCAGGTAGGGCTGGGCTTTTGATTGACTATGGGTTCCAATAGTTGTGTGGGCATAGGGTGTTGTCTCAGCCACTATGTTTTCTGCAATTGTGACTAGAGAACACCCTGATAGCTCAGTTGGTAGAGCGGAGGGCTGTAGGATGTTCCTCATCTGAAACGCTGTGATCCTGAAGTCGCCGGTTCAACTCCAGCTCCAAGCCTGTGCATGTCAAATTGAAATAAAGCCAAGCCTTGTCTTTATCTGTCAACTCCTCCAATATTTAAAACCACAAACCACATAACTTAATTTTCCAACCATCAGTTTTTTATTCACCCAGCCTAAAAGTCTTGATTATCAGTTCTGGGTCCCTGGCAATGACTGTTGGGTACAAGCTGCAAAGCTTTGTTCTGCAGGTAGGGCTGGGCTTTTGATTGACTATGGGTTCCAATAGTTGTGTGGGCATAGGGTGTTGTCTCAGCCACTATGTTTTCTGCAATTGTGACAAGAGAACACCCTGATAGCTCAGTTGGTAGAGCGGAGGGCTGTAGCATGTTCCTCATCTGAAACGCTGTGATCCTGAAGTCGCTGGTTCAACTCCAGCTCCAAGCCTGTGCATGTTAAAATTGAAATAAAGCCAAGCCTTGTCTTAATCTGTCAACTCCTCCAATATTTAAAAACACAAACAACATAAATTAATTTTCCAACCATCAGTTTTTTATTCACCCAGCCTAAAAGTCTTGATTATCAGTTCTGGGTCCCTGGCAATGACTGTTGGGTACAAACTGCAAAGCTTTGTTCTGCAGGTAGGGCTGGGCTTTTGATTGACTATGGGTTCCAATAGTTGTGTGGGCATAGGGTGTTGTCTCAGCCACTATGTTTTCTGCAATTGTGACTAGAGAACACCCTGATAGCTCAGTTGGTAGAGCGGAGGGCTGTAGGATGTTCCTCATCTGAAACGCTGTCATCCTGAAGTCGCCGGTTCAACTCCAGCTCCAAGCCTGTGCATGTCAAATTGAAATAAAGCCAAGCCTTGTCTTTATCTGTCAACTCCTCCAATATTTAAAACCACAAACCACATAACTTAATTTTCCAACCATCAATTTTTTATTCACCCAGCCTAAAAGTCTTGATTATCAGTTCTGGGTCCCTGGCAATGACTGTTGGGTACAAGCTGCAAAGCTTTGTTCTGCAGGTAGGGCTGGGCTTTTGATTGACTATGGGTTCCAATAGTTGTGTGGGCATAGGGTGTTGTCTCAGCCACTATGTTTTCTGCAATTGTGAATAGAGAACACCCTGATAGCTCAGTTGGTAGAGCGGAGGGCTGTAGGATGTTCCTCATCTGAAACGCTGTGATCCTGAAGTCGCCGGTTCAACTCCAGCTCCAAGCCTGTGCATGTCAAATTGAAATAAAGCCAAGCCATGTCTTTATCTGTCAACTCCTCCAATATTTAAAACCACAAACCACATAACTTAATTTTCCAACCATCAGTTTTTTATTCACCCAGCCTAAAAGTCTTGATTATCAGTTCTGGGTCCCTGGCAATGACTGTTGGGTACAAGCTGCAAAGCTTTGTTCTGCAGGTAGGGCTGGGCTTTTGATTGACTATGGGTTCCAATAGTTGTGTGGGCATAGGGTGTTGTCTCAGCCACTATGTTTTCTGCAATTGTGACTAGAGAACACCCTGATAGCTCAGTTGGTAGAGTGGAGGGCTGTAGGATGTTCCTCATCTGAAACGCTGTGATCCTGAAGTCGCCGGTTCAACTCCAGCTCCAAGCCTGTGCATGTCAAATTGAAATAAAGCCAAGCCTTGTCTTTATCTGTCAACTCCTCCAATATTTAAAACCACAAACCACATAACTTAATTTTCCAAGCATCAATTTTTTATTCACCCAGCCTAAAAGTCTTGATTATCAGTTATGGGTCCTTGGCAATGACTGTTGGGTACAAACTGCAAAGCTTTGTTCTGCAGGTAGGGCTGGGCTTTTGATTGACTATGGGTTCCAATAGTTGTGTGGGCATAGGGTGTTGTCTCAGCCACTATGTTTTCTGCAATTGTGACTAGAGAACACCCTGATAGCTCAGTTGGTAGAGCGGAGGGCTGTAGGATGTTCCTCATCTGAAACGCTGTGATCCTGAAGTCGCCGGTTCAACTCCAGCTCCAAGCCTGTGCATGTCAAATTGAAATAAAGCCAAGCCTTGTCTTTATCTGTCAACTCCTCCAATATTTAAAACCACAAACCACATAACTTAATTTTCCAACCATCAATTTTTTATTAACCCAGCCTAAAAGTCTTGATTATCAGTTCTGGGTCCCTGGCAATGACTGTTGGGTACAAACTGCAAAGCTTTGTTCTGCAGGTAGGGCTGGGCTTTTGATTGACTATGGGTTCCAATAGTTGTGTGGGCATAGGGTGTTGTATCAGCCACTATGTTTTCTGCAATTGTGACTAGAGAACACCCTGATAGCTTAGTTGGTAGAGCGGAGGGCTGTAGGATGTTCCTCATCTGAAACGCTGTGATCCTGAAATCTCCGGTTCAACTCCAGCTCCAAGCCTGTGCATGTCAAATTGAAATAAAGCCAAGCCTTGTCTTTATCTGTCAACTCCTCCAATATTTAAAAACACAAACCACATAACTTAATTTTCCAACCATCAATTTTTTATTAACCCAGCCTAAAAGTCTTGATTATCAGTTCTGGGTCCCTGGCAATGACTGTTGGGTACAAACTGCAAAGCTTTGTTCTGCAGGTAGGGCTGGGCTTTTGATTGACTATGGGTTCCAATAGTTGTGTGGGCATAGGGTGTTGTCTCAGCCACTATGTTTTCTGCAATTGTGATTAGAGAACACCCTGATAGCTCAGTTGGTAGAGCGGAGGGCTGTAGGATGTTCCTCATCTGAAACGCTGTGATCCTGAAGTCGCCGGTTCAACTCCAGCTCCAAGCCTGTGCATGTCAAATTGAAATAAAGCCAAGCCTTGTCTTTATCTGTCAACTCCTCCAATATTTAAAACCACATAACTTAATTTTCCAACCATCAATTTTTTATTCACCCAGCCTAAAAGTCTTGATTATCAGTTCTGGGTCCCTGGCAATGACTGTTGGGTACAAACTGCAAAGCTTTGTTCTGCAGGTAGGGCTGGGCTTTTGATTGACTATGGGTTCCAATAGTTGTGTGGGCATAGGGTGTTGTCTCAGCCACTATGTTTTCTGCAATTGTGACTAGAGAACACCCTGATAGCTCAGTTGGTAGAGCGGAGGGCTGTAGGATGTTCCTCATCTGAAACGCTGTCATCCTGAAATCTCCGGTTCAACTCCAGCTCCAAGCCTGTGCATGTCAAATTGAAATAAAGCCAAGCCTTGTCTTTATCTGTCAACTCCTCCAATATTTAAAACCACATAACTTAATTTTCCAACCATCAATTTTTTATTCACCCAGCCTAAAAGTCTTGATTATCAGTTCTGGGTCCCTGGCAATGACTGTTGGGTACAAACTGCAAAGCTTTGTTCTGCAGGTAGGGCTGGGCTTTTGATTGACTATGGGTTCCAATAGTTGTGTGGGCATAGGGTGTTGTCTCAGCCACTATGTTTTCTGCAATTGTGACTAGAGAACACCCTGATAGCTCAGTTGGTAGAGCGGAGGGCTGTAGGATGTTCCTCATCTGAAACGCTGTCATCCTGAAGTCGCCGGTTCAACTCCAGCTCCAAGCCTGTGCATGTCAAATTGAAATAAAGCCAAGCCTTGTCTTTATCTGTCAACTCCTCCAATATTTAAAACCACAAACCACATAACTTAATTTTCCAACCATCAATTTTTTATTCACCCAGCCTAAAAGTCTTGATTATCAGTTCTGGGTCCCTGACAATGACTGTTGGGTACAAACTGCAAAGCTTTGTTCTGCAGGTAGGGCTGGGCTTTTGATTGACTATGGGTTCCAATAGTTGTGTGGGCATAGGGTGTTGTCTCAGCCACTATGTTTTCTGCAATTGTGACTAGAGAACACCCTGATAGCTCAGTTGGTAGAGCGGAGGGCTGTAGGATGTTCCTCATCTGAAACGCTGTGATCCTGAAGTCGCTGGTTCAACTCCAGCTCCAAGCCTGTGCATGTTAAAATTGAAATAAAGCCAAGCCTTGTCTTTATCTGTCAACTCCTCCAATATTTAAAAACACAAACAACATAACTTAATTTTCCAACCATCAGTTTTTTATTCACCCAGCCTAAAAGTCTTGATTATCAGTTCTGGGTCCCTGGCAATGACTGTTGGGTACAAACTGCAAAGCTTTGTTCTGCAGGTAGGGCTGGGCTTTTGATTGACTATGGGTTCCAATAGTTGTGTGGGCATAGGGTGTTGTCTCAGCCACTATGTTTTCTGCAATTGTGACTAGAGAACACCCTGATAGCTCAGTTGGTAGAGCGGAGGGCTGTAGGATGTTCCTCATCTGAAATGCTGTGATCCTGAAGTCGCCGTTTCAACTCCAGCTCCATGCCTGTGCATGTCAAATTGAAATAAAGCCAAGCCTTGTCTTTATCTGTCAACTCCTCCAATATTTAAAACCACAAACCACATAACTTAATTTTCCAACCATCAGTTTTTTATTCACCCAGCCTAAAAGTCTTGATTATCAGTTCTGGGTCCCTGGCAATGACTGTTGGGTACAAGCTGCAAAGCTTTGTTCTGCAGGTAGGGCTGGGCTTTTGATTGACTATGGGTTCCAATAGTTGTGTGGGCATAGGGTGTTGTCTCAGCCACTATGTTTTCTGCAATTGTGACTAGAGAACACCCTGATAGCTCAGTTGGTAGAGCGGAGGGCTGTAGGATGTTCCTCATCTGAAACGCTGTGATCCTGAAGTCGCCGGTTCAACTCCAGCTCCAAGCCTGTGCATGTCAAATTGAAATAAAGCCAAGCCTTGTCTTTATCTGTCAACTCCTCCAATATTTAAAACCACAAACCACATAACTTAATTTTCCAACCATCAGTTTTTTATTCACCCAGCCTAAAAGTCTTGATTATCAGTTCTGGGTCCCTGGCAATGACTGTTGGGTTCAAGCTGCAAAGCTTTGTTCTGCAGGTAGGGCTGGGCTTTTGATTGACTATGGGTTCCAATAGTTGTGTGGGCATAGGGTGTTGTCTCAGCCACTATGTTTTCTGCAATTGTGACAAGAGAACACCCTGATAGCTCAGTTGGTAGAGCGGAGGGCTGTAGCATGTTCCTCATCTGAAACGCTGTGATCCTGAAGTCGCTGGTTCAACTCCAGCTCCAAGCCTGTGCATGTTAAAATTGAAATAAAGCCAAGCCTTGTCTTTATCTGTCAACTCCTCCAATATTTAAAAACACAAACAACATAACTTAATTTTCCAACCATCAGTTTTTTATTCACCCAGCCTAAAAGTCTTGATTATCAGTTCTGGGTCCCTGGCAATGACTGTTGGGTACAAACTGCAAAGCTTTGTTCTGCAGGTAGGGCTGGGCTTTTGATTGACTATGGGTTCCAATAGTTGTGTGGGCATAGGGTGTTGTCTCAGCCACTATGTTTTCTGCAATTGTGACTAGAGAACACCCTGATAGCTCAGTTGGTAGAGCGGGGGCTGTAGGATGTTTCTCATCTGAAACGCTGTGATCCTGAAGTCGCCGGTTCAACTCCAGCTCCAAGCCTGTGCATGTCAAATTGAAATAAAGCCAAGCCTTGTCTTTATCTGTCAACTCCTCCAATATTTAAAACCACATAACTTAATTTTCCAACCATCAATTTTTTATTCACCCAGCCTAAAAGTCTTGATTATCAGTTCTGGATCCCTGGCAATGACTGTTGGGTACAAGCTGCAAAGCTTTGTTCTGCAGGTAGGGCTGGGCTTTTGATTGACTATGGGTTCCAATAGTTGTGTGGGCATAGGGTGTTGTCTCAGCCACTATGTTTTCTGCAATTGTGACTAGAGAACACCCTGATAGCTCAGTTGGTAGAGCGGAGGGCTGTAGGATGTTCCTCATCTGAAACGCTGTGATCCTGAAGTCGCCGGTTCAACTCCAGCTCCAAGCCTGTGCATGTCAAATTGAAATAAAGCCAAGCCTTGTCTTTATCTGTCAACTCCTCCAATATTTAAAACCACATAACTTAATTTTCCAACCATCAGTTTTTTATTCACCCAGCCTAAAAGTCTTGATTATCAGTTCTGGGTCCCTGGCAATGACTGTTGGGTACAAGCTGCAAAGCTTTGTTCTGCAGGTAGGGCTGGGCTTTTGATTGACTATGGGTTCCAATAGTTGTGTGGGCATAGGGTGTTGTCTCAGCCACTATGTTTTCTGCAATTGTGACAAGAGAACACCCTGATAGCTCAGTTGGTAGAGCGGAGGGCTGTAGGATGTTCCTCATCTGAAACGCTGTGATCCTGAAGTCGCTGGTTCAACTCCAGCTCCAAGCCTGTGCATGTTAAAATTGAAATAAAGCCAAGCCTTGTCTTTATCTGTCAACTCCTCCAATATTTAAAAACACAAACAACATAACTTAATTTTCCAACCATCAGTTTTTTATTCACCCAGCCTAAAAGTCTTGATTATCAGTTCTGGGTCCCTGGCAATGACTGTTGGGTACAAACTGCAAAGCTTTGTTCTGCAGGTAGGGCTGGGCTTTTGATTGACTATGGGTTCCAATAGTTGTGTGGGCATAGGGTGTTGTCTCAGCCACTATGTTTTCTGCAATTGTGACTAGAGAACACCCTGATAGCTCAGTTGGTAGAGCGGAGGGCTGTAGGATGTTTCTCATCTGAAACGCTGTGATCCTGAAGTCGCCGTTTCAACTCCAGCTCCATGCCTGTGCATGTCAAATTGAAATAAAGCCAAGCCTTGTCTTTATCTGTCAACTCCTCCAATATTTAAAACCACAAACCACATAACTTAATTTTCCAACCATCAGTTTTTTATTCACCCAGCCTAAAAGTCTTGATTATCAGTTCTGGGTCCCTGGCAATGACTGTTGGGTACAAGCTGCAAAGCTTTGTTCTGCAGGTAGGGCTGGGCTTTTGATTGACTATGGGTTCCAATAGTTGTGTGGGCATAGGGTGTTGTCTCAGCCACTATGTTTTCTGCAATTGTGACTAGAGAACACCCTGATAGCTCAGTTGGTAGAGCGGAGGGCTGTAGGATGTTCCTCATCTGAAACGCTGTGATCCTGAAGTCGCCGGTTCAACTCCAGCTCCAAGCCTGTGCATGTCAAATTGAAATAAAGCCAAGCCTTGTCTTTATCTGTCAACTCCTCCAATATTTAAAACCACAAACCACATAACTTAATTTTCCAACCATCAGTTTTTTATTCACCCAGCCTAAAAGTCTTGATTATCAGTTCTGGGTCCCTGGCAATGACTGTTGGGTACAAGCTGCAAAGCTTTGTTCTGCAGGTAGGGCTGGGCTTTTGATTGACTATGGGTTCCATTAGTTGTGTGGGCATAGGGTGTTGTCTCAGCCACTATGTTTTCTGCAATTGTGACAAGAGAACACCCTGATAGCTCAGTTGGTAGAGCGGAGGGCTGTAGGATGTTCCTCATCTGAAACGCTGTGATCCTGAAGTCGCCGGTTCAACTCCAGCTCCAAGCCTGTGCATGTCAAATTGAAATAAAGCCAAGCCTTGTCTTTATCTGTCAACTCCTCCAATATTTAAAACCACATAACTTAATTTTCCAACCATCAATTTTTTATTCACCCAGCCTAAAAGTCTTGATTATCAGTTCTGGGTCCCTGGCAATGACTGTTGGGTACAAACTGCAAAGCTTTGTTCTGCAGGTAGGGCTGGGCTTTTGATTGACTATGGGTTCCAATAGTTGTGTGGGCATAGGGTGTTGTCTCAGCCACTATGTTTTCTGCAATTGTGACTAGAGAACACCCTGATAGCTCAGTTGGTAGAGCGGAGGGCTGTAGGATGTTCCTCATCTGAAACGCTGTCATCCTGAAGTCGCCGGTTCAACTCCAGCTCCAAGCCTGTGCATGTCAAATTGAAATAAAGCCAAGCCTTGTCTTTATCTGTCAACTCCTCCAATATTTAAAACCACAAACCACATAACTTAATTTTCCAACCATCAATTTTTTATTCACCCAGCCTAAAAGTCTTGATTATCAGTTCTGGGTCCCTGACAATGACTGTTGGGTACAAACTGCAAAGCTTTGTTCTGCAGGTAGGGCTGGGCTTTTGATTGACTATGGGTTCCAATAGTTGTGTGGGCATAGGGTGTTGTCTCAGCCACTATGTTTTCTGCAATTGTGACTAGAGAACACCCTGATAGCTCAGTTGGTAGAGCGGAGGGCTGTAGGATGTTCCTCATCTGAAACGCTGTGATCCTGAAGTCGCTGGTTCAACTCCAGCTCCAAGCCTGTGCATGTTAAAATTTAAATAAAGCCAAGCCTTGTCTTTATCTGTCAACTCCTCCAATATTTAAAAACACAAACAACATAACTTAATTTTCCAACCATCAGTTTTTTATTCACCCAGCCTAAAAGTCTTGATTATCAGTTCTGGGTCCCTGGCAATGACTGTTGGGTACAAACTGCAAAGCTTTGTTCTGCAGGTAGGGCTGGGCTTTTGATTGACTATGGGTTCCAATAGTTGTGTGGGCATAGGGTGTTGTCTCAGCCACTATGTTTTCTGCAATTGTGACTAGAGAACACCCTGATAGCTCAGTTGGTAGAGCGGAGGGCTGTAGGATGTTCCTCATCTGAAATGCTGTGATCCTGAAGTCGCCGTTTCAACTCCAGCTCCATGCCTGTGTATGTCAAATTGAAATAAAGCCAAGCCTTGTCTTTATCTGTCAACTCCTCCAATATTTAAAACCACAAACCACATAACTTAATTTTCCAACCATCAGTTTTTTATTCACCCAGCCTAAAAGTCTTGATTATCAGTTCTGGGTCCCTGGCAATGACTGTTGGGTACAAGCTGCAAAGCTTTGTTCTGCAGGTAGGGCTGGGCTTTTGATTGACTATGGGTTCCAATAGTTGTGTGGGCATAGGGTGTTGTCTCAGCCACTATGTTTTCTGCAATTGTGACTAGAGAACACCCTGATAGCTCAGTTGGTAGAGCGGAGGGCTGTAGGATGTTCCTCATCTGAAACGCTGTGATCCTGAAGTCGCCGGTTCAACTCCAGCTCCAAGCCTGTGCATGTCAAATTGAAATAAAGCCAAGCCTTGTCTTTATCTGTCAACTCCTCCAATATTTAAAACCACAAACCACATAACTTAATTTTCCAACCATCAGTTTTTTATTCACCCAGCCTAAAAGTCTTGATTATCAGTTCTGGGTCCCTGGCAATGACTGTTGGGTACAAGCTGCAAAGCTTTGTTCTGCAGGTAGGGCTGGGCTTTTGATTGACTATGGGTTCCAATAGTTGTGTGGGCATAGGGTGTTGTCTCAGCCACTATGTTTTCTGCAATTGTGACAAGAGAACACCCTGATAGCTCAGTTGGTAGAGCGGAGGGCTGTAGCATGTTCCTCATCTGAAACGCTGTGATCCTGAAGTCGCTGGTTCAACTCCAGCTCCAAGCCTGTGCATGTTAAAATTGAAATAAAGCCAAGCCTTGTCTTTATCTGTCAACTCCTCCAATATTTAAAAACACAAACAACATAACTTAATTTTCCAACCATCAGTTTTTTATTCACCCAGCCTAAAAGTCTTGATTATCAGTTCTGGGTCCCTGGCAATGACTGTTGGGTACAAACTGCAAAGCTTTGTTCTGCAGGTAGGGCTGGGCTTTTGATTGACTATGGGTTCCAATAGTTGTGTGGGCATAGGGTGTTGTCTCAGCCACTATGTTTTCTGCAATTGTGACTAGAGAACACCCTGATAGCTCAATTGGTAGAGCGGGGGGCTGTAGGATGTTTCTCATCTGAAACGCTGTGATCCTGAAGTCGCCGGTTCAACTCCAGCTCCAAGCCTGTGCATGTCAAATTGAAATAAAGCCAAGCCTTGTCTTTATCTGTCAACTCCTCCAATATTTAAAACCACATAACTTAATTTTCCAACCATCAATTTTTTATTCACCCAGCCTAAAAGTCTTGATTATCAGTTCTGGGTCCCTGGCAATGACTGTTGGGTACAAGCTGCAAAGCTTTGTTCTGCAGGTAGGGCTGGGCTTTTGATTGACTATGGGTTCCAATAGTTGTGTGGGCATAGGGTGTTGTCTCAGCCACTATGTTTTCTGCAATTGTGACTAGAGAACACCCTGATAGCTCAGTTGGTAGAGCGGAGGGCTGTAGGATGTTTCTCATCTGAAACGCTGTGATCCTGAAGTCGCCGGTTCAACTCCAGCTCCAAGCCTGTGCATGTCAAATTGAAATAAAGCCAAGCCTTGTCTTTATCTGTCAACTCCTCCAATATTTAAAACCACATAACTTAATTTTCCAACCATCAGTTTTTTATTCACCCAGCCTAAAAGTCTTGATTATCAGTTCTGGGTCCCTGGCAATGACTGTTGGGTACAAGCTGCAAAGCTTTGTTCTGCAGGTAGGGCTGGGCTTTTGATTGACTATGGGTTCCAATAGTTGTGTGGGCATAGGGTGTTGTCTCAGCCACTATGTTTTCTGCAATTGTGACTAGAGAACACCCTGATAGCTCAGTTGGTAGAGCGGAGGGCTGTAGGATGTTCCTCATCTGAAACGCTGTGATCCTGAAGTCGCTGGTTCAACTCCAGCTCCAAGCCTGTGCATGTTAAAATTGAAATAAAGCCAAGCCTTGTCTTTATCTGTCAACTCCTCCAATATTTAAAAACACAAACAACATAACTTAATTTTCCAACCATCAGTTTTTTATTCACCCAGCCTAAAAGTCTTGATTATCAGTTCTGGGTCCCTGGCAATGACTGTTGGGTACAAACTGCAAAGCTTTGTTCTGCAGGTAGGGCTGGGCTTTTGATTGACTATGGGTTCCAATAGTTGTGTGGGCATAGGGTGTTGTCTCAGCCACTATGTTTTCTGCAATTGTGACTAGAGAACACCCTGATAGCTCAGTTGGTAGAGCGGAGGGCTGTAGGATGTTCCTCATCTGAAATGCTGTGATCCTGAAGTCGCCGTTTCAACTCCAGCTCCATGCCTGTGCATGTCAAATTGAAATAAAGCCAAGCCTTGTCTTTATCTGTCAACTCCTCCAATATTTAAAACCACAAACCACATAACTTAATTTTCCAACCATCAGTTTTTTATTCACCCAGCCTAAAAGTCTTGATTATCAGTTCTGGGTCCCTGGCAATGACTGTTGGGTACAAGCTGCAAAGCTTTGTTCTGCAGGTAGGGCTGGGCTTTTGATTGACTATGGGTTCCAATAGTTGTGTGGGCATAGGGTGTTGTCTCAGCCACTATGTTTTCTGCAATTGTGACTAGAGAACACCCTGATAGCTCAGTTGGTAGAGCGGAGGGCTGTAGGATGTTCCTCATCTGAAACGCTGTGATCCTGAAGTCGCCGGTTCAACTCCAGCTCCAAGCCTGTGCATGTCAAATTGAAATAAAGCCAAGCCTTGTCTTTATCTGTCAACTCCTCCAATATTTAAAACCACAAACCACATAACTTAATTTTCCAACCATCAGTTTTTTATTCACCCAGCCTAAAAGTCTTGATTATCAGTTCTGGGTCCCTGGCAATGACTGTTGGGTACAAGCTGCAAAGCTTTGTTCTGCAGGTAGGGCTGGGCTTTTGATTGACTATGGGTTCCAATAGTTGTGTGGGCATAGGGTGTTGTCTCAGCCACTATGTTTTCTGCAATTGTGACAAGAGAACACCCTGATAGCTCAGTTGGTAGAGCGGAGGGCTGTAGCATGTTCCTCATCTGAAACGCTGTGATCCTGAAGTCGCTGGTTCAACTCCAGCTCCAAGCCTGTGCATGTTAAAATTGAAATAAAGCCAAGCCTTGTCTTTATCTGTCAACTCCTCCAATATTTAAAAACACAAACAACATAACTTAATTTTCCAACCATCAGTTTTTTATTCACCCAGCCTAAAAGTCTTGATTATCAGTTCTGGGTCCCTGGCAATGACTGTTGGGTACAAACTGCAAAGCTTTGTTCTGCAGGTAGGGCTGGGCTTTTGATTGACTATGGGTTCCAATAGTTGTGTGGGCATAGGGTGTTGTCTCAGCCACTATGTTTTCTGCAATTGTGACTAGAGAACACCCTGATAGCTCAGTTGGTAGAGCGGGGGGCTGTAGGATGTTTCTCATCTGAAACGCTGTGATCCTGAAGTCGCCGGTTCAACTCCAGCTCCAAGCCTGTGCATGTCAAATTGAAATAAAGCCAAGCCTTGTCTTTATCTGTCAACTCCTCCAATATTTAAAACCACATAACTTAATTTTCCAACCATCAATTTTTTATTCACCCAGCCTAAAAGTCTTGATTATCAGTTCTGGGTCCCTGGCAATGACTGTTGGGTACAAGCTGCAAAGCTTTGTTCTGCAGGTAGGGCTGGGCTTTTGATTGACTATGGGTTCCAATAGTTGTGTGGGCATAGGGTGTTGTCTCAGCCACTATGTTTTCTGCAATTGTGACTAGAGAACACCCTGATAGCTCAGTTGGTAGAGCCGAGGGCTGTAGGATGTTTCTCATCTGAAACGCTGTGATCCTGAAGTCGCCGGTTCAACTCCAGCTCCAAGCCTGTGCATGTCAAATTGAAATAAAGCCAAGCCTTGTCTTTATCTGTCAACTCCTCCAATATTTAAAACCACATAACTTAATTTTCCAACCATCAGTTTTTTATTCACCCAGCCTAAAAGTCTTGATTATCAGTTCTGGGTCCCTGGCAATGACTGTTGGGTACAAGCTGCAAAGCTTTGTTCTGCAGGTAGGGCTGGGCTTTTGATTGACTATGGGTTCCAATAGTTGTGTGGGCATAGGGTGTTGTCTCAGCCACTATGTTTTCTGCAATTGTGACTAGAGAACACCCTGATAGCTCAGTTGGTAGAGCGGAGGGCTGTAGGATGTTCCTCATCTGAAACGCTGTGATCCTGAAGTCGCCGGTTCAACTCCAGCTCCAAGCCTGTGCATGTCAAATTGAAATAAAGCCAAGCCTTGTCTTTATCTGTCAACTCCTCCAATATTTAAAACCACAAACCACATAACTTAATTTTCCAACCATCAGTTTTTTATTCACCCAGCCTAAAAGTCTTGATTATCAGTTCTGGGTCCCTGGCAATGACTGTTGGGTACAAGCTGCAAAGCTTTGTTCTGCAGGTAGGGCGGGGCTTTTGATTGACTATGGGTTCCAATAGTTGTGTGGGCATAGGGTGTTGTCTCAGCCACTATGTTTTCTGCAATTGTGACAAGAGAACACCCTGATAGCTCAGTTGGTAGAGCGGAGGGCTGTAGCATGTTCCTCATCTGAAACGCTGTGATCCTGAAGTCGCTGGTTCAACTCCAGCTCCAAGCCTGTGCATGTTAAAATTGAAATAAAGCCAAGCCTTGTCTTTATCTGTCAACTCCTCCAATATTTAAAAACACAAACAACATAACTTAATTTTCCAACCATCAGTTTTTTATTCACCCAGCCTAAAAGTCTTGATTATCAGTTCTGGGTCCCTGGCAATGACTGTTGGGTACAAGCTGCAAAGCTTTGTTCTGCAGGTAGGGCTGGGCTTTTGATTGACTATGGGTTCCAATAGTTGTGTGGGCATAGGGTGTTGTCTCAGCCACTATGTTTTCTGCAATTGTGACTAGAGAACACCCTGATAGCTCAGTTGGTAGAGCCGAGGGCTGTAGGATGTTCCTCATCTGAAACGCTGTGATCCTGAAGTCGCCGGTTCAACTCCAGCTCCAAGCCTGTGCATGTCAAATTGAAATAAAGCCAAGCCTTGTCTTTATCTGTCAACTCCTCCAATATTTAAAACCACATAACTTAATTTTCCAACCATCAATTTTTTATTCACCCAGCCTAAAAGTCTTGATTATCAGTTCTGGGTCCCTGGCAATGACTGTTGGGTACAAGCTGCAAAGCTTTGTTCTGCAGGTAGGGCTGGGCTTTTGATTGACTATGGGTTCCATTAGTTGTGTGGGCATAGGGTGTTGTCTCAGCCACTATGTTTTCTGCAATTGTGACAAGAGAACACCCTGATAGCTCAGTTGGTAGAGCGGAGGGCTGTAGGATGTTCCTCATCTGAAACGCTGTGATCCTGAAGTCGCCGGTTCAACTCCAGCTCCAAGCCTGTGCATGTCAAATTGAAATAAAGCCAAGCCTTGTCTTTATCTGTCAACTCCTCCAATATTTAAAACCACAAACCACATAACTTAATTTTCCAACCATCAGTTTTTTATTCACCCAGCCTAAAAGTCTTGATTATCAGTTCTGGGTCCCTGGCAATGACTGTTGGGTACAAGCTGCAAAGCTTTGTTCTGCAGGTAGGGCTGGGCTTTTGATTGACTATGGGTTCCAATAGTTGTGTGGGCATAGGGTGTTGTCTCAGCCACTATGTTTTCTGCAATTGTGACAAGAGAACACCCTGATAGCTCAGTTGGTAGAGCGGAGGGCTGTAGCATGTTCCTCATCTGAAACGCTGTGATCCTGAAGTCGCTGGTTCAACTCCAGCTCCAAGCCTGTGCATGTTAAAATTGAAATAAAGCCAAGCCTTGTCTTTATCTGTCAACTCCTCCAATATTTAAAAACACAAACAACATAACTTAATTTTCCAACCATCAGTTTTTTATTCACCCAGCCTAAAAGTCTTGATTATCAGTTCTGGGTCCCTGGCAATGACTGTTGGGTACAAACTGCAAAGCTTTGTTCTGCAGGTAGGGCTGGGCTTTTGATTGACTATGGGTTCCAATAGTTGTGTGGGCATAGGGTGTTGTCTCAGCCACTATGTTTTCTGCAATTGTGACTAGAGAACACCCTGATAGCTCAGTTGGTAGAGCGGGGGCTGTAGGATGTTTCTCATCTGAAACGCTGTGATCCTGAAGTCGCCGGTTCAACTCCAGCTCCAAGCCTGTGCATGTCAAATTGAAATAAAGCCAAGCCTTGTCTTTATCTGTCAACTCCTCCAATATTTAAAACCACATAACTTAATTTTCCAACCATCAATTTTTTATTCACCCAGCCTAAAAGTCTTGATTATCAGTTCTGGGTCCCTGGCAATGACTGTTGGGTACAAGCTGCAAAGCTTTGTTCTGCAGGTAGGGCTGGGCTTTTGATTGACTATGGGTTCCAATAGTTGTGTGGGCATAGGGTGTTGTCTCAGCCACTATGTTTTCTGCAATTGTGACTAGAGAACACCCTGATAGCTCAGTTGGTAGAGCCGAGTGCTGTAGGATGTTTCTCATCTGAAACGCTGTGATCCTGAAGTCGCCGGTTCAACTCCAGCTCCAAGCCTGTGCATGTCAAATTGAAATAAAGCCAAGCCTTGTCTTTATCTGTCAACTCCTCCAATATTTAAAACCACATAACTTAATTTTCCAACCATCAGTTTTTTATTCACCCAGCCTAAAAGTCTTGATTATCAGTTCTGGGTCCCTGGCAATGACTGTTGGGTACAAGCTGCAAAGCTTTGTTCTGCAGGTAGGGCTGGGCTTTTGATTGACTATGGGTTCCAATAGTTGTGTGGGCATAGGGTGTTGTCTCAGCCACTATGTTTTCTGCAATTGTGACTAGAGAACACCCTGATAGCTCAGTTGGTAGAGCGGAGGGCTGTAGGATGTTCCTCATCTGAAACGCTGTGATCCTGAAGTCGCTGGTTCAACTCCAGCTCCAAGCCTGTGCATGTTAAAATTGAAATAAAGCCAAGCCTTGTCTTTATCTGTCAACTCCTCCAATATTTAAAAACACAAACAACATAACTTAATTTTCCAACCATCAGTTTTTTATTCACCCAGCCTAAAAGTCTTGATTATCAGTTCTGGGTCCCTGGCAATGACTGTTGGGTACAAACTGCAAAGCTTTGTTCTGCAGGTAGGGCTGGGCTTTTGATTGACTATGGGTTCCAATAGTTGTGTGGGCATAGGGTGTTGTCTCAGCCACTATGTTTTCTGCAATTGTGACTAGAGAACACCCTGATAGCTCAGTTGGTAGAGCGGGGGGCTGTAGGATGTTTCTCATCTGAAACGCTGTGATCCTGAAGTCGCCGGTTCAACTCCAGCTCCAAGCCTGTGCATGTCAAATTGAAATAAAGCCAAGCCTTGTCTTTATCTGTCAACTCCTCCAATATTTAAAACCACATAACTTAATTTTCCAACCATCAATTTTTTATTCACCCAGCCTAAAAGTCTTGATTATCAGTTCTGGGTCCCTGGCAATGACTGTTGGGTACAAGCTGCAAAGCTTTGTTCTGCAGGTAGGGCTGGGCTTTTGATTGACTATGGGTTCCAATAGTTGTGTGGGCATAGGGTGTTGTCTCAGCCACTATGTTTTCTGCAATTGTGACTAGAGAACACCCTGATAGCTCAGTTGGTAGAGCCGAGTGCTGTAGGATGTTTCTCATCTGAAACGCTGTGATCCTGAAGTCGCCGGTTCAACTCCAGCTCCAAGCCTGTGCATGTCAAATTGAAATAAAGCCAAGCCTTGTCTTTATCTGTCAACTCCTCCAATATTTAAAACCACATAACTTAATTTTCCAACCATCAGTTTTTTATTCACCCAGCCTAAAAGTCTTGATTATAAGTTCTGGGTCCCTGGCAATGACTGTTGGGTACAAGCTGCAAAGCTTTGTTCTGCAGGTAGGGCTGGGCTTTTGATTGACTATGGGTTCCAATAGTTGTGTGGGCATAGGGTGTTGTCTCAGCCACTATGTTTTCTGCAATTGTGACTAGAGAACACCCTGATAGCTCAGTTGGTAGAGCGGAGGGCTGTAGGATGTTCCTCATCTGAAACGCTGTGATCCTGAAGTCGCTGGTTCAACTCCAGCTCCAAGCCTGTGCATGTTAAAATTGAAATAAAGCCAAGCCTTGTCTTTATCTGTCAACTCCTCCAATATTTAAAAACACAAACAACATAACTTAATTTTCCAACCATCAGTTTTTTATTCACCCAGCCTAAAAGTCTTGATTATCAGTTCTGGGTCCCTGGCAATGACTGTTGGGTACAAACTGCAAAGCTTTGTTCTGCAGGTAGGGCTGGGCTTTTGATTGACTATGGGTTCCAATAGTTGTGTGGGCATAGGGTGTTGTCTCAGCCACTATGTTTTCTGCAATTGTGACTAGAGAACACCCTGATAGCTCAGTTGGTAGAGCGGAGGGCTGTAGGATGTTCCTCATCTGAAATGCTGTGATCCTGAAGTCGCCGTTTCAACTCCAGCTCCATGCCTGTGCATGTCAAATTGAAATAAAGCCAAGCCTTGTCTTTATCTGTCAACTCCTCCAATATTTAAAACCACAAACCACATAACTTAATTTTCCAACCATCAGTTTTTTATTCACCCAGCCTAAAAGTCTTGATTATCAGTTCTGGGTCCCTGGCAATGACTGTTGGGTACAAGCTGCAAAGCTTTGTTCTGCAGGTAGGGCTGGGCTTTTGATTGACTATGGGTTCCAATAGTTGTGTGGGCATAGGGTGTTGTCTCAGCCACTATGTTTTCTGCAATTGTGACTAGAGAACACCCTGATAGCTCAGTTGGTAGAGCGGAGGGCTGTAGGATGTTCCTCATCTGAAATGCTGTGATCCTGAAGTCGCCGTTTCAACTCCAGCTCCATGCCTGTGCATGTCAAATTGAAATAAAGCCAAGCCTTGTCTTTATCTGTCAACTCCTCCAATATTTAAAACCACAAACCACATAACTTAATTTTCCAACCATCAGTTTTTTATTCACCCAGCCTAAAAGTCTTGATTATCAGTTCTGGGTCCCTGGCAATGACTGTTGGGTACAAGCTGCAAAGCTTTGTTCTGCAGGTAGGGCTGGGCTTTTGATTGACTATGGGTTCCAATAGTTGTGTGGGCATAGGGCGTTGTCTCAGCCACTATGTTTTCTGCAATTGTGACTAGAGAACACCCTGATAGCTCAGTTGATAGAGCGGAGGGCTGTAGGATGTTCCTCATCTGAAACGCTGTGATCCTGAAGTCGCCGGTTCAACTCCAGCTCCAAGCCTGTGCATGTCAAATTGAAATAAAGCCAAGCCTTGTCTTTATCTGTCAACTCCTCCAATATTTAAAACCACAAACCACATAACTTAATTTTCCAACCATCAGTTTTTTATTCACCCAGCCTAAAAGTCTTGATTATCAGTTCTGGGTCCCTGGCAATGACTGTTGGGTACAAGCTGCAAAGCTTTGTTCTGCAGGTAGGGCTGGGCTTTTGATTGACTATGGGTTCCATTAGTTGTGTGGGCATAGGGTGTTGTCTCAGCCACTATGTTTTCTGCAATTGTGACAAGAGAACACCCTGATAGCTCAGTTGGTAGAGCGGAGGGCTGTAGCATGTTCCTCATCTGAAACGCTGTGATCCTGAAGTCGCTGGTTCAACTCCAGCTCCAAGCCTGTGCATGTTAAAATTGAAATAAAGCCAAGCCTTGTCTTTATCTGTCAACTCCTCCAATATTTAAAAACACAAACAACATAACTTAATTTTCCAACCATCAGTTTTTTATTCACCCAGCCTAAAAGTCTTGATTATCAGTTCTGGGTCCCTGGCAATGACTGTTGGGTACAAACTGCAAAGCTTTGTTCTGCAGGTAGGGCTGGGCTTTTGATTGACTATGGGTTCCAATAGTTGTGTGGGCATAGGGTGTTGTCTCAGCCACTATGTTTTCTGCAATTGTGACTAGAGAACACCCTGATAGCTCAGTTGGTAGAGCGGGGGGCTGTAGGATGTTTCTCATCTGAAACGCTGTGATCCTGAAGTCGCCGGTTCAACTCCAGCTCCAAGCCTGTGCATGTCAAATTGAAATAAAGCCAAGCCTTGTCTTTATCTGTCAACTCCTCCAATATTTAAAACCACATAACTTAATTTTCCAACCATCAATTTTTTATTCACCCAGCCTAAAAGTCTTGATTATCAGTTCTGGGTCCCTGGCAATGACTGTTGGGTACAAGCTGCAAAGCTTTGTTCTGCAGGTAGGGCTGGGCTTTTGATTGACTATGGGTTCCAATAGTTGTGTGGGCATAGGGTGTTGTCTCAGCCACTATGTTTTCTGCAATTGTGACTAGAGAACACCCTGATAGCTCAGTTGGTAGAGCCGAGGGCTGTAGGATGTTTCTCATCTGAAACGCTGTGATCCTGAAGTCGCCGGTTCAACTCCAGCTCCAAGCCTGTGCATGTCAAATTGAAATAAAGCCAAGCCTTGTCTTTATCTGTCAACTCCTCCAATATTTAAAAACACAAACAACATAACTTAATTTTCCAACCATCAGTTTTTTATTCACCCAGCCTAAAAGTCTTGATTATCAGTTCTGGGTCCCTGGCAATGACTGTTGGGTACAAACTGCAAAGCTTTGTTCTGCAGGTAGGGCTGGGCTTTTGATTGACTATGGGTTCCAATAGTTGTGTGGGCATAGGGTGTTGTCTCAGCCACTATGTTTTCTGCAATTGTGACTAGAGAACACCCTGATAGCTCAGTTGGTAGAGCCGAGGGCTGTAGGATGTTCCTCATCTGAAACGCTGTGATCCTGAAGTCGCCGGTTCAACTCCAGCTCCAAGCCTGTGCATGTCAAATTGAAATAAAGCCAAGCCTTGTCTTTATCTGTCAACTCCTCCAATATTTAAAAACACAAACAACATAACTTAATTTTCCAACCATCAGTTTTTTATTCACCCAGCCTAAAAGTCTTGATTATCAGTTCTGGGTCCCTGGCAATGACTGTTGGGTACAAACTGCAAAGCTTTGTTCTGCAGGTAGGGCTGGGCTTTTGATTGACTATGGGTTCCAATAGTTGTGTGGGCATAGGGTGTTGTCTCAGCCACTATGTTTTCTGCAATTGTGACTAGAGAACACCCTGATAGCTCAGTTGGTAGAGCGGAGGGCTGTAGGATGTTCCTCATCTGAAACTCTCTGATCCTGAAGTCGCCGGTTCAACTCCAGCTCCAAGCTTGTGCATGTCAAATTGAAATAAAGCCAAGCCTTGTCTTTATCTGTCAACTCCTCCAATATTTAAAAACACAAACCACATAACTTAATTTTCCAACCATCAGTTTTTTATTCACCCAGCCTAAAAGTCTTGATTATCAGTTCTGGGTCCCTGGCAATGACTGTTGGGTACAAACTGCAAAGCTTTGTTCTGCAGGTAGGGCTGGGCTTTTGATTGACTATGGGTTCCAATAGTTGTGTGGGCATAGGGTGTTGTCTCAGCCACTATGTTTTCTGCAATTGTGACTAGAGAACACCCTGATAGCTCAGTTGGTAGAGCGGAGGGCTGTAGCATGTTCCTCATCTGAAACGCTGTGATCCTGAAGTCGCTGGTTCAACTCCAGCTCCAAGCCTGTGCATGTTAAAATTGAAATAAAGCCAAGCCTTGTCTTTATCTGTCAACTCCTCCAATATTTAAAAACACAAACAACATAACTTAATTTTCCAACCATCAGTTTTTTATTCACCCAGCCTAAAAGTCTTGATTATCAGTTCTGGGTCCCTGGCAATGACTGTTGGGTACAAACTGCAAAGCTTTGTTCTGCAGGTAGGGCTGGGCTTTTGATTGACTATGGGTTCCAATAGTTGTGTGGGCATAGGGTGTTGTCTCAGCCACTATGTTTTCTGCAATTGTGACTAGAGAACACCCTGATAGCTCAGTTGGTAGAGCGGAGGGCTGTAGGATGTTCCTCATCGGAAACGCTGTGATCCTGAAGTCGCCGGTTCAACTCCAGCTCCAAGCCTGTGCATGTCAAATTTAAATAAAGCCAAGCCTTGTCTTTATCTGTCAACTCCTCCAATATTTAAAAACACAAACCACATAACTTAATTTTCCAACCATCAATTTTTTATTCACCCAGCCTAAAAGTCTTGATTATCAGTTCTGGGTCCCTGGCAATGACTGTTGGGTACAAACTGCAAAGCTTTGTTCTGCAGGTAGGGCTGGGCTTTTGATTGACGATGGGTTCCAATAGTTGTGTGGGCATAGGGTGTTGTCTCAGCCACTATGTTTTCTGCAATTGTGACTAGAGAACACCCTGATAGCTCAGTTGGTAGAGCGGAGGGCTGTAGGATGTTCCTCATCTGAAACGCTGTGATCCTGAAGTCGCCGGTTCAACTCCAGCTCCAAGCCTGTGCATGTCAAATTGAAATAAAGCCAAGCCTTGTCTTTATCTGTCAACTCCTCCAATATTTAAAACCACAAACCACATAACTTAATTTTCCAACCATCAATTTTTTATTCACCCAGCCTAAAAGTCTTGATTATCAGTTCTGGGTCCCTGGCAATGACTGTTGGGTACAAGCTGCAAAGCTTTGTTCTGCAGGTAGGGCTGGGCTTTTGATTGACTATGGGTTCCAATAGTTGTGTGGGCATAGGGTGTTGTCTCAGCCACTATGTTTTCTGCAATTGTGACTAGAGAACACCCTGATAGCTCAGTTGGTAGAGCGGAGGGCTGTAGGATGTTCCTCATCTTAAACGCTGTGATCCTGAAGTCGCCGGTTCAACTCCAGCTCCAAGCCTGTGCATGTCAAATTGAAATAAAGCCAAGCTTTGTCTTTATCTGTCAACTCCTCCAATATTTATAACCACATAACTTAATTTTCCAACCATCAATTTTTTATTCAACCAGCCTAAAAGTCTAGATTATCAGTTCTGGGTCCCTGGCAATGACTGTTGGGTACAAACTGCAAAGCTTTGTTCTGCAGGTAGGGCTGGGCTTTTGATTGACTATGGGTTCCAATAGTTGTGTGGGCATAGGGTGTTGTCTCAGCCACTATGTTTTCTGCAATTGTGACTAGAGAACACCCTGATAGCTCAGTTGGTAGAGCGGAGGGCTGTAGGATGTTCCTCATCTGAAACGCTGTGATCCTGAAGTCGCCGGTTCAACTCCAGCTCCAAGCCTGTGCATGTCAAATTGAAATAAAGCCAAGCCTTGTCTTTATCTGTCAACTCCTCCAACATTTAAAACCACATAACTTAATTTTCCAACCATCAGTTTTTTATTCACCCAGCCTAAAAGTCTTGATTATCAGTTCTGGGTCCCTGGCAATGACTGTTGGGTACAAGCTGCAAAGCTTTGTTCTGCAGGTAGGGCTGGGCTTTTGATTGACTATGGGTTCCAATAGTTGTGTGGGCATAGGGTGTTGTCTCAGCCACTATGTTTTCTGCAATTGTGACTAGAGAACAACCTGATAGCTCAGTTGGTAGAGCGGACGGCTGTAGGATGTTCCTCATCTGAAACGCTGTGATCCTGAAGTCGCCGGTTCAACTCCAGCTCCAAGCCTGTGCATGTCAAATTGAAATAAAGCCAAGCCTTGTCTTTATCTGTCAACTCCTCCAATATTTAAAACCACAAACCACATAACTTAATTTTCCAACCATCAATTTTTTATTCACCCAGCCTAAAAGTCTTGATTATCAGTTATGGGTCCTTGGCAATGACTGTTGGGTACAAACTGCAAAGCTTTGTTCTGCAGGCAGGGCTGGGCTTTTGATTGACTATGGGTTCCAATAGTTGTGTGGGCATAGGGTGTTGTCTCAGCCACTATGTTTTCTGCAATTGTGACTAGAGAACACCCTGATAGCTCAGTTGGTAGAGCGAAGGGCTGTAGGATGTTCCTCATCTGAAACGCTGTGATCCTGAAGTCGCCGGTTCAACTCCAGCTCCAAGCCTGTGCATGTCAAATTGAAATAAAGCCAACCCTTGTCTTTATCTGTCAACTCCTCCAATATTTAAAAACACAAACCACATAACTTAATTTTCCAACCATCAATTTTTTATCCACCCAGCCTAAAAGTCTTGATTATCAGTTCTGGGTCCCTGGCAATGACTGTTGTGTACAAACTGCAAAGCTTTGTTCTGCAGGTAGGGCTGGGCTTTTGATTGACTATGGGTTCCAATAGTTGTGTGGGCATAGGGTGTTGTCTCAGGCACTATGTTTTCTGCAATTGTGACTAGAGAACACCCTGATAGCTCAGTTGGTAGAGCGGAGGGCTGTAGTATGTTCCTCATCTGAAACGCTGTGATCCTGAAGTCGCCGGTTCAACTCCAGCTCCAAGCCTGTGCATGTCAAATTGAAATAAAGCCAAGCCTTGTCTTTATCTGTCAACTCCTCCAATATTTAAAACCACAAACCACATAACTTAATTTTCCAACCATCAATTTTTTATGCACCCAGCCTAAAAGTCTTGATTATCAGTTCTGGGTCCCTGGCAATGACTGTTGGGTACAAGCTGCAAAGCTTTGTTCTGCAGCTAGGGCTGGGCTTTTGATTGACTATGGGTTCCAATAGTTGTGTGGGCATAGGGTGTTGTCTCAGCCACTATGTTTTCTGCAATTGTGACTAGAGAACACCCTGATAGCTCAGTTGGTAGAGCGGAGGGCTGTAGGATGTTTCTCATCTGAAACGCTGTGATCCTGAAGTCGCCGGTTCAACTCCAGCTCCAAGCCTGTGCATGTCAAATTGAAATAAAGCCAAGCCTTGTCTTTATCTGTCAACTCCTCCAATATTTAAAAACACAAACCACATAACTTAATTTTCCAACCATCAATTTTTTATTCAACCAGCCTAAAAGTCTTGATTATCAGTTATGGGTCCTTGGCAATGACTGTTGGGTACAAACTGCAAAGCTTTGTTCTGCAGGCAGGGCTGGGCTTTTGATTGACTATGGGTTCCAATAGTTGTGTGGGCATAGGGTGTTGTCTCAGCCACTATGTTTTCTGCAATTGTGACTAGAGAACACCCTGATAGCTCAGTTGGTAGAGCGAAGGGCTGTAGGATGTTCCTCATCTGAAACGCTGTGATCCTGAAGTCGCCGGTTCAACTCCAGCTCCAAGCCTGTGCATGTCAAATTGAAATAAAGCCAACCCTTGTCTTTATCTGTCAACTCCTCCAATATTTAAAAACACAAACCACATAACTTAATTTTCCAACCATCAATTTTTTATCCACCCAGCCTAAAAGTCTTGATTATCAGTTCTGGGTCCCTGGCAATGACTGTTGTGTACAAACTGCAAAGCTTTGTTCTGCAGGTAGGGCTGGGCTTTTGATTGACTATGGGTTCCAATAGTTGTGTGGGCATAGGGTGTTGTCTCAGGCACTATGTTTTCTGCAATTGTGACTAGAGAACACCCTGATAGCTCAGTTGGTAGAGCGGAGGGCTGTAGTATGTTCCTCATCTGAAACGCTGTGATCCTGAAGTCGCCGGTTCAACTCCAGCTCCAAGCCTGTGCATGTCAAATTGAAATAAAGCCAAGCCTTGTCTTTATCTGTCAACTCCTCCAATATTTAAAACCACAAACCACATAACTTAATTTTCCAACCATCAATTTTTTATGCACCCAGCCTAAAAGTCTTGATTATCAGTTCTGGGTCCCTGGCAATGACTGTTGGGTACAAGCTGCAAAGCTTTGTTCTGCAGCTAGGGCTGGGCTTTTGATTGACTATGGGTTCCAATAGTTGTGTGGGCATAGGGTGTTGTCTCAGCCACTATGTTTTCTGCAATTGTGACTAGAGAACACCCTGATAGCTCAGTTGGTAGAGCGGAGGGCTGTAGGATGTTTCTCATCTGAAACGCTGTGATCCTGAAGTCGCCGGTTCAACTCCAGCTCCAAGCCTGTGCATGTCAAATTGAAATAAAGCCAAGCCTTGTCTTTATCTGTCAACTCCTCCAATATTTAAAAACACAAACCACATAACTTAATTTTCCAACCATCAATTTTTTATTCAACCAGCCTAAAAGTCTTGATTATCAGTTCTGGGTCCCTGGCAATGACTGTTGGGTACAAACTGCAAAGCTTTGTTCTGCAGGTAGGGCTGGGCTTTTGATTGACTATGGGTTCCAATAGTTGTGTGGGCATAGGGTGTTGTCTCAGCCACTATGTTGTCTGCAATTGTGACTAGAGAACACCCTGATAGCTCAGTTGGTAGAGCGGAGGGCTGTAGGATGTTCCTCATCTGAAACGCTGTGATCCTGAAGTCGCCGGTTCAACTCCAGCTCCAAGCCTGTGCATGTCAAATTGAAATAAAGCCAAGCCTTGTCTTTATCTGTCAACTCCTCCAATATTTAAAACCACATAACTTAATTTTCCAACCATCAATTTTTTATTCAACCAGCCTAAAAGTCTTGATTATCAGTTCTGGGTCCCTGGCAATGACTGTTGGGTACAAGCTGCAAAGCTTTGTTCTGCAGGTAGGGCTGGGCTTTTGATTGACTATGGGTTCCAATAGTTGTGTGGGCATAGGGTGTTGTCTCAGCCACTATGTTTTCTGCAATTGTGACTAGAGAACACCCTGATAGCTCAGTTGGTAGAGCGGAGGGCTGTAGGATGTTCCTCATCTGAAACGCTGTGATCCTGAAGTCGCCGGTTCAACTCCAGCTCCAAGCCTGTGCATGTCAAATTGAAATAAAGCCAAGCCTTGTCTTTATCTGTCAACTCCTCCAATATTTAAAACCACAAACCACATAACTTAATTTTCCAACCATCAATTTTTTATGCACCCAGCCTAAAAGTCTTGATTATCAGTTCTGGGTCCCTGGCAATGACTGTTGGGTACAAGCTGCAAAGCTTTGTTCTGCAGGTAGGGCTGGGCTTTTGATTGACTATGGGTTCCAATAGTTGTGTGGGCATAGGGTGTTGTCTCAGCCACTATGTTTTCTGCAATTGTGACTAGAGAACACCCTGATAGCTCAGTTGGTAGAGCGGAGGGCTGTAGGATGTTCCTCATCTGAAACGCTGTGATCCTGAAGTCGCCGGTTCAACTCCAGCTCCAAGCCTGTGCATGTCAAATTGAAATAAAGCCAAGCCTTGTCTTTATCTGTCAACTCCTCCAATATTTAAAACCACAAACCACATAACTTAATTTTCCAACCATCAATTTTTTATTCAACCAGCCTAAAAGTCTTGATTATCAGTTCTGGGTCCCTGGCAATGACTGTTGGGTACAAACTGCAAAGCTTTGTTCTGCAGGTAGGGCTGGGCTTTTGATTGACTATGGGTTCCAATAGTTGTGTGGGCATAGGGTGTTGTCTCAGCCACTATGTTTTCTGCAATTGTGACTAGAGAACACCCTGATAGCTCAGTTGGTAGAGCGGAGGGCAGTAGGATGTTCCTCATCTGAAACGCTGTGATCCTGAAGTCGCCGGTTCAACTCCAGCTCCAAGCCTGTGCATGTCAAATTGAAATAAAGCCAAGCCTTGTCTTTATCTGTCAACTCCTCCAATATTTAAAAACACATAACTTAATTTTCCAACCATCAATTTTTTATTCAACCAGCCTAAAAGTCTTGATTATCAGTTCTGGGTCCCTGGCAATGACTGTTGGGTACAAGCTGCAAAGCTTTGTTCTGCAGGTAGGGCTGGGCTTTTGATTGACTATGGGTTCCAATAGTTGTGTGGGCATAGGGTGTTGTCTCAGCCACTATGTTGTCTGCAATTGTGACTAGAGAACACCCTGATAGCTCAGTTGGTAGAGCGGAGGGCTGTAGGATGCTCCTCATCTGATACGCTGTGATCCTGAAGTCGCCGGTTCAACTCCAGCTCCAAGCCTGTGCATGTCAAATTGAAATAAAGCCAAGCCTTGTCTTTATCTGTCAACTCCTCCAATATTTAAAACCACAAACCACATAACTTAATTTTCCAACCATCAGTTTTTTATTCACCCAGCCTAAAAGTCTTGATTATCAGTTCTGGGTCCCTGGCAATGACTGTTGGGTACAAGCTGCAAAGCTTTGTTCTGCAGGTAGGGCTAGGCTTTTTATTGACTATGGGTTCCAATAGTTGTGTGGGCATAGGGTGTTGTCTCAGCCACTATGTTGTCTGCAATTGTGACTAGAGAACACCCTGATAGCTCAGCTGGTAGAGCGGAGGGCTGTAGGATGTTCCTCATCTGAAACGCTGTGATCCTGAAGTCGCCGGTTCAACTCCAGCTCCAAGCCTGTGCATGTCAAATTGAAATAAAGCCAAGCCTTGTCTTTATCTGTCAACTCCTCCAATATTTAAAACCACAAACCACATAACTTAATTTTCCAACCATCAGTTTTTTATTCACCCAGCCTAAAAGTCTTGATTATCCGTTCTGGGTCCCTGGCAATGACTGTTGGGTACAAGCTGCAAAGCTTTGTTCTGCAGGTAGGGCTAGGCTTTTGATTGACTATGGGTTCCAATAGTTGTGTGGGCATAGGGTGTTGTCTCAGCCACTATGTTGTCTGCAATTGTGACTAGAGAACACCCTGATAGCTCAGTTGGTAGAGCGGAGGGCTGTAGGATGTTCCTCATCTGAAACGCTGTGATCCTGAAGTCGCCGGTTCAACTCCAGCTCCAAGCCTGTGCATGTCAAATTGAAATAAAGCCAAGCCTTGTCTTTATCTGTCAACTCCTCCAATATTTAAAAACACAAACCACATAACTTAATTTTCCAACCATCAGTTTTTTATTCACCCAGCCTAAAAGTCTTGATTATCAGTTCTGGGTCCCTGGCAATGACTGTTGGGTACAAGCTGCAAAGCTTTGTTCTGCAGGTAGGGCTGGGCTTTTGATTGACTATGGGTTCCAATAGTTGTGTGGGCATAGGGTGTTGTCTCAGCCACTATGTTTTCTGCAATTGTGACTAGAGAAAACCCTGATAGCTCAGTTGGTAGAGCGGAGGGCTGTAGGATGTTCCTCATCTGAAACGCTGTGATCCTGAAGTCGCCGGTTCAACTCCAGCTCCAAGCCTGTGCATGTCAAATTGAAATAAAGCCAAGCCTTGTCTTTATCTGTCAACTCCTCCAATATTTAAAACCACAAACCACATAACTTAATTTTCCAACCATCAATTTTTTATGCACCCAGCCTAAAAGTCTTGATTATCAGTTCTGGGTCCCTGGCAATGACTGTTGGGTACAAACTGCAAAGCTTTGTTCTGCAGGTAGGGCTGGGCTTTTGATTGACTATGGGTTCCAATAGTTGTGTGGGCATAGGGTGTTGTCTCAGCCACTATGTTTTCTGCAATTGTGACTAGAGAACACCCTGATAGCTCAGTTGGTAGACCGGAAGGCTGTAGGATGTTCCTCATCTGAAACGCTGTGATCCTGAAGTCGCCGGTTCAACTCCAGCTCCAAGCCTGTGCATGTCAAATTGAAATAAAGCCGAGCCTTGTCTTTATCTGTCAACTCCTCCAATATTTAAAAACACATAACTTAATTTTCCAACCATCAATTTTTTATTCACCCAGCCTAAAAGTCTTGATTATCAGTTCTGGGTCCCTGGCAATGACTGTTGGGTACAAACTGCAAAGCTTTGTTCTGCAGGTAGGGCTGGGCTTTTGATTGACTATGGGTTCCAATAGTTGTGTGGGCATAGGGTGTTGTCTCAGCCACTATGTTTTCTGCAATTGTGACTAGAGAACACCCTGATAGCTCAGTTGGTAGAGCGGAGGGCTGTAGGATGTTCCTCATCTGAAACGCTGTGATCCTGAAGTCGCCGGTTCAACTCCAGCTCCAAGCCTGTCCATGTCAAATTGAAATAAAGCCAAGCCTTGTCTTTATCTGTCAACTCCTCCAATATTTAAAAACACAAACCACATAACTTAATTTTCCAACCATCAATTTTTTATTCAACCAGCCTAAAAGTCTTGATTATCAGTTCTGGGTCCCTGGCAATGACTGTTGGGTACAAACTGCAAAGCTTTGTTCTGCAGGTAGGGCTGGGCTTTTGATTGACTATGGGTTCCAATAGTTGTGTGGGCATAGGGTGTTGTCTCAGCCACTATGTTTTCTGCAATTGTGACTAGAGAACACCCTGATAGCTCAGTTGGTAGAGCGGAGGGCTGTAGGATGTTCCTCATCTGAAACGCTGTGATCCTGAACTCGCCGGTTCAACTCCAGCTCCAAGCCTGTGCATGTCAAATTGAAATAAAGCCAAGCCTTGTCTTTATCTGTCAACTCCTCCAATATTTAAAACCACATAACTTAATTTTCCAACCATCAATTTTTTATTCAACCAGCCTAAAAGTCTTGATTATCAGTTCTGGGTCCCTGGCAATGACTGTTGGGTACAAGCTGCAAAGCTTTGTTCTGCAGGTAGGGCTGGGCTTTTGATTGACTATGGGTTCCAATAGTTGTGTGGGCATAGGGTGTTGTCTCAGCCACTATGTTTTCTGCAATTGTGACTACAGAACACCCTGATAGCTCAGTTGGTAGAGCGGAGGGCTGTAGGATGTTCCTCATCTGAAACGCTGTGATCCTCAAGTCGCCGGTTCACCTCCAGCTCCAAGCCTGTGCATGTCAAATTGAAATAAAGCCAAGCCTTGTCTTTATCTGTCAACTCCTCCAATATTTAAAACCACAAACCACATAACTTAATTTTCCAACCATCAGTTTTTTATTCACCCAGCCTAAAAGTCTTGATTATCAGTTCTGGGTCCCTGGCAATGACTGTTGGGTACAAGCTGCAAAGCTTTGTTCTGCAGGTAGGGCTGGGCTTTTGATTGACTATGGGTTCCAATAGTTGTGTGGGCATAGGGTGTTGTCTCAGCCACTATGTTTTCTGCAATTGTGACTAGAGAACACCCTGATAGCTCAGTTGGTAGAGCGCAGGGCTGTAGGATGTTCCTCATCTGAAACGCTGTAATCCTGAAGTCGCCGGTTCAACTCCAGCTCCAAGCCTGTGCATGTCAAATTGAAATAAAGCCAAGCCTTGTCTTTATCTGTCAACTCCTCCAATATTTAAAAACACAAACCACATAACTTAATTTTCCAACCATCAATTTTTTATTCACCCAGCCTAAAAGTCTTGATTATCAGTTCTGGGTCCCTGGCAATGACTGTTGGGTACAAACTGCAAAGCTTTGTTCTGCAGGTAGGGCTGGGCTTTTGATTGACTATGGGTTCCAATAGTTGTGTGGGCATAGGGTGTTGTCTCAGCCACTATGTTTTCTGCAATTGTGACTAGAGAACACCCTGATAGCTCACTTGGTAGAGCGGAGAGCTGTAGGATGTTCCTCATCTGAAACGCTGTGATCCTGAAGTCGCCGGTTCAACTCCAGCTCCAAGCCTCTGCATGTCAAATTGAAATAAAGCCAAGCCTTGTCTTTATCTGTCAACTCCTCCAATATTTAAAAACACAAACCACATAACTTAATTTTCCAACCATCAATTTTTTTATTCACCCAGCCTAAAAGTCTTGATTATCAGTTCTGGGTCCCTGGCAATGACTGTTGGGTACAAACTGCAAAGCTTTGTTCTGCAGGTAGGGCTGGGCTTTTGATTGACTATGGGTTCCAATAGTTGTGTGGGCATAGGGTGTTGTCTCAGCCACTATGTTTTCTGCAATTGTGACTAGAGAACACCCTAATAGCTCACTTGGTAGAGCGGAGGGCTGTAGGATGTTTCTCATCTGAAACGCTGTGATCCTGAAGTCGCCGGTTCAACTCCAGCTCCAAGCCTCTGCATGTCAAATTGAAATAAAGCCAAGCCTTGTCTTTATCTGTCAACTCCTCCAATATTTAAAACCACAAACCACATAACTTAATTTTCCAACCATCAATTTTTTATTCACCCAGCCTAAAAGTCTTGATTATCAGTTATGGGTCCTTGGCAATGACTGTTGGGTACAAACTGCAAAGCTTTGTTCTGCAGGTAGGGCTGGGCTTTTGATTGACTATGGGTTCCAATAGTTGTGTGGGCATAGGGTGTTGTCTCAGCCACTATGTTTTCTGCAATTGTGACTAGAGAACACCCTGATAGCTCAGTTGGTAGAGCGGAGGGCTGTAGGATGTTCCTCATCTGAAACGCTGTGATCCTGAAGTCGCCGGTTCAACTCCAGCTCCAAGCCTGTGCATGTCAAATTGAAATAAAGCCAAGCCTTGTCTTTATCTGTCAACTCCTCCAATATTTAAAAACACAAACCACATAACTTAATTTTCCAACCATCAATTTTTTATTCAACCAGCCTAAAAGTCTTGATTATCAGTTCTGGGTCCCTGGCAATGACTGTTGGGTACAAACTGCAAAGCTTTGTTCTGCAGGTAGGGCTGGGCTTTTGATTGACTATGGGTTCCAATAGTTGTGTGGGCATAGGGTGTTGTCTCAGCCACTATGTTTTCTGCAATTGTGACAAGAGAACACCCTGATAGCTCAGTTGGTAGAGCGGAGGGCTGTAGGATGTTCCTCATCTGAAACGCTGTGATCCTGAACTCGCCGGTTCAACTCCAGCTCCAAGCCTGTGCATGTCAAATTGAAATAAAGCCAAGCCTTGTCTTTATCTGTCAACTCCTCCAATATTTAAAACCACATAACTTAATTTTCCAACCATCAATTTTTTATTCAACCAGCCTAAAAGTCTTGATTATCAGTTCTGGGTCCCTGGCAATGACTGTTGGGTACAAGCTGCAAAGCTTTGTTCTGCAGGTAGGGCTGGGCTTTTGATTGACTATGGGTTCCAATAGTTGTGTGGGCATAGGGTGTTGTCTCAGCCACTATGTTTTCTGCAATTGTGACTGGAGAACACCCTGATAGCTCAGTTGGTAGAGCGGAGGGCTGTAGGATGTTCCTCATCTGAAACGCTGTGATCCTGAAGTCGCCGGTTCAACTCCAGCTCCAAGCCTGTGCATGTCAAATTGAAATAAAGCCAAGCCTTGTCTTTATCTGTCAACTCCTCCAATATTTAAAACCACAAACCACATAACTTAATTTTCCAACCATCAATTTTTTATTCACCCAGCCTAAAAGTCTTGATTATCAGTTATGGGTCCTTGGCAATGACTGTTGGGTACAAACTGCAAAGCTTTGTTCTGCAGGTAGGGCTGGGCTTTTGATTGACTATGGGTTCCAATAGTTGTGTGGGCATAGGGTGTTGTCTCAGCCACTATGTTTTCTGCAATTGTGACTAGAGAACACCCTGATAGCTCAGTTGGTAGAGCGGAGGGCTGTAGGATGTTCCTCATCTGAAACGCTGTGATCCTGAAGTCGCCGGTTCAACTCCAGCTCCAAGCCTGTGCATGTCAAATTGAAATAAAGCCAAGCCTTGTCTTTATCTGTCAACTCCTCCAATATTTAAAAACACAAACCACATAACTTAATTTTCCAACCATCAATTTTTTATTCACCCAGCCTAAAAGTCTTGATTATCAGTTCTGGGTCCCTGGCAATGACTGTTGGGTACAAACTGCAAAGCTTTGTTCTGCAGGTAGGGCTGGGCTTTTGATTGACTATGGGTTCCAATAGTTGTGTGGGCATAGGGTGTTGTCTCAGCCACTATGTTTTCTGCAATTGTGACTAGAGAACACCCTGATAGCTCAGTTGGTAGAGCGGAGGGCTGTAGGATGTTCCTCATCTGAAACGCTGTGATCCTGAACTCGCCGGTTCAACTCCAGCTCCAAGCCTGTGCATGTCAAATTGAAATAAAGCCAAGCCTTGTCTTTATCTGTCAACTCCTCCAATATTTAAAACCACATAACTTAATTTTCCAACCATCAGTTTTTTATTCACCCAGCCTAAAAGTCTTGATTATCAGTTCTGGGTCCCTGGCAATGACTGTTGGGTACAAACTGCAAAGCTTTGTTCTGCAGGTAGGGCTGGGCTTTTGATTGACTATGGGTTCCAATAGTTGTGTGGGCATAGGGTGTTGTCTCAGCCACTATGTTTTCTGCAATTGTGACTAGAGAACACCCTGATAGCTCAGTTGGTAGAGCAGAGGGCTGTAGGATGTTCCTCATCTGAAACGCTGTGATCCTGAACTCGCCGGTTCAACTCCAGCTCCAAGCCTGTGCATGTCAAATTGAAATAAAGCCAAGCCTTGTCTTTATCTGTCAACTCCTCCAATATTTAAAAACACAAACCACATAACTTAATTTTCCAACCATCAGTTTTTTATTCACCCAGCCTAAAAGTCTTGATTATCAGTTCTGGGTCCCTGGCAATGACTGTTGGGTACAAGCTGCAAAGCTTTGTTCTGCAGGTAGGGCTGGGCTTTTGATTGACTATGGGTTCCAATAGTTGTGTGGGCATAGGGTGTTGTCTCAGCCACTATGTTTTCTGCAATTGTGACTACAGAACACCCTGATAGCTCAGTTGGTAGAGCGGAGGGCTGTAGGATGTTCCTCATCTGAAACGCTGTGATCCTCAAGTCGCCGGTTCAACTCCAGCTCCAAGCCTGTGCATGTCAAATTGAAATAAAGCCAAGCCTTGTCTTTATCTGTCAACTCCTCCAATATTTAAAAACACAAACCACATAACTTAATTTTCCAACCATCAATTTTTTATTCACCCAGCCTAAAAGTCTTGATTATCAGTTCTGGGTCCCTGGCAATGACTGTTGGGTACAAACTGCAAAGCTTTGTTCTGCAGGTAGGGCTGGGCTTTTGATTGACTATGGGTTCCAATAGTTGTGTGGGCATAGGGTGTTGTCTCAGCCACTATGTTTTCTGCAATTGTGACTAGAGAACACCCTGATAGCTCACTTGGTAGAGCGGAGGGCTGTAGGATGTTCCTCATCTGAAACGCTGTGATCCTGAAGTCGCCGGTTCAACTCCAGCTCCAAGCCTCTGCATGTCAAATTGAAATAAAGCCAAGCCTTGTCTTTATCTGTCAACTCCTCCAATATTTAAAAACACAAACCACATAACTTAATTTTCCAACCATCAATTTTTTATTCACCCAGCCTAAAAGTCTTGATTATCAGTTCTGGGTCCCTGGCAATGACTGTTGGGTACAAACTGCAAAGCTTTGTTCTGCAGGTAGGGCTGGGCTTTTGATTGACTATGGGTTCCAATAGTTGTGTGGGCATAGGGTGTTGTCTCAGCCACTATGTTTTCTGCAATTGTGACTAGAGAACACCCTGATAGCTCACTTGGTAGAGCGGAGGGCTGTAGGATGTTTCTCATCTGAAACGCTGTGATCCTGAAGTCGCCGGTTCAACTCCAGCTCCAAGCCTGTGCATGTCAAATTGAAATAAAGCCAAGCCTTGTCTTTATCTGTCAACTCCTCCAATATTTAAAACCACAAACCACATAACTTAATTTTCCAACCATCAATTTTTTATTCACCCAGCCTAAAAGTCTTGATTATCAGTTATGGGTCCTTGGCAATGACTGTTGGGTACAAACTGCAAAGCTTTGTTCTGCAGGTAGGGCTGGGCTTTTGATTGACTATGGGTTCCAATAGTTGTGTGGGCATAGGGTGTTGTCTCAGCCACTATGTTTTCTGCAATTGTGACTAGAGAACACCCTGATAGCTCAGTTGGTAGAGCAGAGGGCTGTAGGATGTTCCTCATCTGAAACGCTGTGATCCTGAAGTCGCCGGTTCAACTCCAGCTCCAAGCCTGTGCATGTCAAATTGAAATAAAGCCAAGCCTTGTCTTTATCTGTCAACTCCTCCAATATTTAAAACCACATAACTTAATTTTCCAACCATCAATTTTTTATTCAACCAGCCTAAAAGTCTTGATTATCAGTTCTGGGTCCCTGGCAATGACTGTTGGGTACAAGCTGCAAAGCTTTGTTCTGCAGGTAGGGCTGGGCTTTTGATTGACTATGGGTTCCAATAGTTGTGTGGGCATAGGGTGTTGTCTCAGCCACTATGTTTTCTGCAATTGTGACTAGAGAACACCCTGATAGCTCAGTTGGTAGAGCGGAGGGCTGTAGGATGTTCCTCATCTGAAACGCTGTGATCCTGAAGTCGCCGGTTCAACTCCAGCTCCAAGCCTGTGCATGTCAAATTGAAATAAAGCCAAGCCTTGTCTTTATCTGTCAACTCCTCCAATATTTAAAAACACAAACCACATAACTTAATTTTCCAACCATCAATTTTTTATTCAACCAGCCTAAAAGTCTTGATTATCAGTTCTGGGTCCCTGGCAATGACTGTTGGGTACAAACTGCAAAGCTTTGTTCTGCAGGTAGGGCTGGGCTTTTGATTGACTATGGGTTCCAATAGTTGTGTGGGCATAGGGTGTTGTCTCAGCCACTATGTTGTCTGCAATTGTGACTAGAGAACACCCTGATAGCTCAGTTGGTAGAGCGGAGGGCTTTAGGATGTTCCTCATCTGAAACGCTGTGATCCTGAAGTCGCCGGTTCAACTCCAGCTCCAAGCCTGTGCATGTCAAATTGAAATAAAGCCAAGCCTTGTCTTTATCTGTCAACTCCTCCAATATTTAAAACCACATAACTTAATTTTCCAACCATCAATTTTTTATTCAACCAGCCTAAAAGTCTTGATTATCAGTTCTGGGTCCCTGGCAATGACTGTTGGGTACAAGCTGCAAAGCTTTGTTCTGCAGGTAGGGCTGGGCTTTTGATTGACTATGGGTTCCAATAGTTGTGTGGGCATAGGGTGTTGTCTCAGCCACTATGTTTTCTGCAATTGTGACTAGAGAACACCCTGATAGCTCAGTTGGTAGAGCGGAGGGCTGTAGGATGTTCCTCATCTGAAACGCTGTGATCCTGAAGTCGCCGGTTCAACTCCAGCTCCAAGCCTGTGCATGTCAAATTGAAATAAAGCCAAGCCTTGTCTTTATCTGTCAACTCCTCCAATATTTAAAACCACAAACCACATAACTTAATTTTCCAACCATCAATTTTTTATGCACCCAGCCTAAAAGTCTTGATTATCAGTTCTGGGTCCCTGGCAATGACTGTTGGGTACAAGCTGCAAAGCTTTGTTCTGCAGGTAGGGCTGGGCTTTTGATTGACTATGGGTTCCAATAGTTGTGTGGGCATAGGGTGTTGTCTCAGCCACTATGTTTTCTGCAATTGTGACTAGAGAACACCCTGATAGCTCAGTTGGTAGAGCGGAGGGCTGTAGGATGTTCCTCATCTGAAACGCTGTGATCCTGAAGTCGCCGGTTCAACTCCAGCTCCAAGCCTGTGCATGTCAAATTGAAATAAAGCCAAGCCTTGTCTTTATCTGTCAACTCCTCCAATATTTAAAAACACATAACTTAATTTTCCAACCATCAATTTTTTATTCAACCAGCCTAAAAGTCTTGATTATCAGTTCTGGGTCCCTGGCAATGACTGTTGGGTACAAGCTGCAAAGCTTTGTTCTGCAGGTAGGGCTGGGCTTTTGATTGACTATGGGTTCCAATAGTTGTGTGGGCATAGGGTGTTGTCTCAGCCACTATGTTGTCTGCAATTGTGACTAGAGAACACCCTGATAGCTCAGTTGGTAGAGCGGAGGGCTGTAGGATGTTCCTCATCTGAAACGCTGTGATCCTGAAGTCGCCGGTTCAACTCCAGCTCCAAGCCTGTGCATGTCAAATTGAAATAAAGCCAAGCCTTGTCTTTATCTGTCAACTCCACCAATATTTAAAACCACAAACCACATAACTTAATTTTCCAACCATCAGTTTTTTATTCACCCAGCCTAAAAGTCTTGATTATCAGTTCTGGGTCCCTGGCAATGACTGTTGGGTACAAGCTGCAAAGCTTTGTTCTGCAGGTAGGGCTGGGCTTTTGATTGACTATGGGTTCCAATAGTTGTGTGGGCATAGGGTGTTGTCTCAGCCACTATGTTGTCTGCAATTGTGACTAGAGAACACCCTGATAGCTCAGTTGGTAGAGCGGAGGGCTGTAGGATGTTCCTCATCTGAAACGCTGTGATCCTGAAGTCGCCGGTTCAACTCCAGCTCCAAGCCTGTGCATGTCAAATTGAAATAAAGCCAAGCCTTGTCTTTATCTGTCAACTCCTCCAATATTTAAAACCACAAACCACATAACTTAATTTTCCAACCATCAGTTTTTTATTCACCCAGCCTAAAAGTCTTGATTATCAGTTCTGGGTCCCTGGCAATGACTGTTGGGTACAAGCTGCAAAGCTTTGTTCTGCAGGTAGGGCTAGGCTTTTGATTGACTATGGGTTCCAATAGTTGCGTGGGCATAGGGTGTTGTCTCAGCCACTATGTTGTCTGCAATTGTGACTAGAGAACACCCTGATAGCTCAGTTGGTAGAGCGGAGGGCTGTAGGATGTTCCTCATCTGAAACGCTGTGATCCTGAAGTCGCCGGTTCAACTCCAGCTCCAAGCCTGTGCATGTCAAATTGAAATAAAGCCAAGCCTTGTCTTTATCTGTCAACTCCTCCAATATTTAAAAACACAAACCACATAACTTAATTTTCCAACCATCAGTTTTTTATTCACCCAGCCTAAAAGTCTTGATTATCAGTTCTGGGTCCCTGGCAATGACTGTTGGGTACAAGCTGCAAAGCTTTGTTCTGCAGGTAGGGCTGGGCTTTTGATTGACTATGGGTTCCAATAGTTGTGTGGGCATAGGGTGTTGTCTCAGCCACTATGTTTTCTGCAATTGTGACTAGAGAACACCCTGATAGCTCACTTGGTAGAGCGGAGGGCTGTAGGATGTTCCTCATCTGAAACGCTGTGATCCTGAAGTCGCCGGTTCAACTCCAGCTCCAAGCCTGTGCATGTCAAATTGAAATAAAGCCAAGCCTTGTCTTTATCTGTCAACTCCTCCAATATTTAAAACCACAAACCACATAACTTAATTTTCCAACCATCAATTTTTTATGCACCCAGCCTAAAAGTCTTGATTATCAGTTCTGGGTCCCTGGCAATGACTGTTGGGTACAAACTGCAAAGCTTTGTTCTGCAGGTAGGGCTGGGCTTTTGATTGACTATGGGTTCCAATAGTTGTGTGGGCATAGGGTGTTGTCTCAGCCACTATGTTTTCTGCAATTGTGACTAGAGAACACCCTGATAGCTCAGTTGGTAGACCGGAAGGCTGTAGGATGTTCCTCATCTGAAACACTGTGATCCTGAAGTCGCCGGTTCAACTCCAGCTCCAAGCCTGTGCATGTCAAATTGAAATAAAGCCGAGCCTTGTCTTTATCTGTCAACTCCTCCAATATTTAAAAACACATAACTTAATTTTCCAACCATCAATTTTTTATTCACCCAGCCTAAAAGTCTTGATTATCAGTTCTGGGTCCCTGGCAATGACTGTTGGGTACAAACTGCAAAGCTTTGTTCTGCAGGTAGGGCTGGGCTTTTGATTGACTATGGGTTCCAATAGTTGTGTGGGCATAGGGTGTTGTCTCAGCCACTATGTTTTCTGCAATTGTGACTAGAGAACACCCTGATAGCTCAGTTGGTAGAGCGGAGTGCTGTAGGATGTTCCTCATCTGAAACGCTGTGATCCTGAAGTCGCCGGTTCAACTCCAGCTCCAAGCCTGTCCATGTCAAATTGAAATAAAGCCAAGCCTTGTCTTTATCTGTCAACTCCTCCAATATTTAAAAACACAAACCACATAACTTAATTTTCCAACCATCAATTTTTTATTCAACCAGCCTAAAAGTCTTGATTATCAGTTCTGGGTCCCTGGCAATGACTGTTGGGTACAAACTGCAAAGCTTTGTTCTGCAGGTAGGGCTGGGCTTTTGATTGACTATGGGTTCCAATAGTTGTGTGGGCATAGGGTGTTGTCTCAGCCACTATGTTTTCTGCAATTGTGACTAGAGAACACCCTGATAGCTCAGTTGGTAGAGCGGAGGGCTGTAGGATGTTCCTCATCTGAAACGCTGTGATCCTGAAGTCGCCGGTTCAACTCCAGCTCCAAGCCTGTGCATGTCAAATTGAAATAAAGCCAAGCCTTGTCTTTATCTGTCAACTCCTCCAATATTTAAAAACACAAACCACATAACTTAATTTTCCAACCATCAATTTTTTATTCAACCAGCCTAAAAGTCTTGATTATCAGTTCTGGGTCCCTGGCAATGACTGTTGGGTACAAGCTGCAAAGCTTTGTTCTGCAGGTAGGGCTGGGCTTTTGATTGACTATGGGTTCCAATAGTTGTGTGGGCATAGGGTGTTGTCTCAGCCACTATGTTTTCTGCAATTGTGACTAGAGAACACCCTGATAGCTCAGTTGGTAGAGCGGAGGGCTGTAGGATGTTCCTCATCTGAAATGCTGTGATCCTGAATTCGCCGGTTCAACTCCAGCTCCAAGCCTGTGCATGTCAAATTGAAATAAAGCCAAGCCTTGTCTTTATCTGTCAACTCCTCCAATATTTAAAACCACAAACCACATAACTTAATTTTCCAACCATCAATTTTTTATTCACCCAGCCTAAAAGTCTTGATTATCAGTTCTGGGTCCTTGGCAATGACTGTTGGGTACAAACTGCAAAGCTTTGTTCTGCAGGTAGGGCTGGGCTTTTGATTGACTATGGGTTCCAATAGTTGTGTGGGCATAGGGTGTTGTCTCAGCCACTATGTTTTCTGCAATTGTGACTATAGAACACCCTGATAGCTCAGTTGGTAGAGCGGAGGGCTGTAGGATGTTCCTCATCTGAAACGCTGTGATCCTGAAGTCGCCGGTTCAACTCCAGCTCCAAGCCTGTGCATGTCAAATTGAAATAAAGCCAAGCCTTGTCTTTATCTGTCAACTCCTCCAATATTTAAAAACACAAACCACATAACTTAATTTTCCAACCATCAGTTTTTTATTCACCCAGCCTAAAAGTCTTGATTATCAGTTCTGGGTCCCTGGCAATGACTGTTGGGTACAAGCTGCAAAGCTTTGTTCTGCAGGTAGGGCTGGGCTTTTGATTGACTATGGGTTCCAATAGTTGTGTGGGCATAGGGTGTTGTCTCAGCCACTATGTTTTCTGCAATTGTGACTAGAGAACACCCTGATAGCTCAGTTGGTAGAGCGGAGGGCTGTAGGATGTTCCTCATCTGAAACGCTGTGATCCTGAAGTCGCCGGTTCAACTCCAGCTCCAAGCCTGTGCATGTCAAATTGAAATAAAGCCAAGCCTTGTCTTTATCTGTCAACTCCTCCAATATTTAAAACACAAACCACATAACTTAATTTTCCAACCATCAATTTTTTATTCACCCAGCCTAAAAGTCTTGATTATCAGTTCTGGGTCCCTGGCAATGACTGTTGGGTACAAACTGCAAAGCTTTGTTCTGCAGGTAGGGCTGGGCTTTTGATTGACTATGGGTTCCAATAGTTGTGTGGGCATAGGGTGTTGTCTCAGCCACTATGTTTTCTGCAATTGTGACTAGAGAACACCCTGATAGCTCAGTTGGTAGAGCGGAGGGCTGTAGGATGTTCCTCATCTGAAACGCTGTGATCCTGAAGTCGCCGGTTCAACTCCAGCTCCAAGCCTCTGCATGTCAAATTGAAATAAAGCCAAGCCTTGTCTTTATCTGTCAACTCCTCCAATATTTAAAAACACAAACCACATAACTTAATTTTCCAACCATCAATTTTTTATTCACCCAGCCTAAAAGTCTTGATTATCAGTTCTGGGTCCCTGGCAATGACTGTTGGGTACAAACTGCAAAGCTTTGTTCTGCAGGTAGGGCTGGGCTTTTGATTGACTATGGGTTCCAATAGTTGTGTGGGCATAGGGTGTTGTCTCAGCCACTATGTTTTCTGCAATTGTGACTAGAGAACACCCTGATAGCTCAGTTGGTAGAGCGGAGGGCTGTAGGATGTTCCTCATCTGAAACGCTGTGATCCTGAAGTCGCCGGTTCAACTCCAGCTCCAAGCCTGTGCATGTCAAATTGAAATAAAGCCAAGCCTTGTCTTTATCTGTCAACTCCTCCAATATTTAAAACACAAACCACATAACTTAATTTTCCAACCATCAATTTTTTATTCAACCAGCCTAAAAGTCTTGATTATCAGTTCTGGGTCCCTGGCAATGACTGTTGGGTACAAACTGCAAAGCTTTGTTCTGCAGGTAGGGCTGGGCTTTTGATTGACTATGGGTTCCAATAGTTGTGTGGGCATAGGGTGTTGTCTCAGCCACTATGTTTTCTGCAATTGTGACTAGAGAACACCCTGATAGCTCAGTTGGTAGAGCGGAGGGCTGTAGGATGTTCCTCATCTGAAACGCTGTGATCCTGAAGTCGCCGGTTCAACTCCAGCTCCAAGCCTGTGCATGTCAAATTGAAATAAAGCCAAGCCTTGTCTTTATCTGTCAACTCCTCCAATATTTAAAACCACATAACTTAATTTTCCAACCATCAATTTTTTATTCAACCAGCCTAAAAGTCTTGATTATCAGTTCTGGGTCCCTGGCAATGACTGTTGGGTACAAGCTGCAAAGCTTTGTTCTGCAGGTAGGGCTGGGCTTTTGATTGACTATGGGTTCCAATAGTTGTGTGGGCATAGGGTGTTGTCTCAGCCACTATGTTTTCTGCAATTGTGACTGGAGAACACCCTGATAGCTCAGTTGGTAGAGCGGAGGGCTGTAGGATGTTCCTCATCTGAAACGCTGTGATCCTGAAGTCGCCGGTTCAACTCCAGCTCCAAGCCTGTGCATGTCAAATTGAAATAAAGCCAAGCCTTGTCTTTATCTGTCAACTCCTCCAATATTTAAAACCACAAACCACATAACTTAATTTTCCAACCATCAATTTTTTATTCACCCAGCCTAAAAGTCTTGATTATCAGTTCTGGGTCCTTGGCAATGACTGTTGGGTACAAACTGCAAAGCTTTGTTCTGCAGGTAGGGCTGGGCTTTTGATTGACTATGGGTTCCAATAGTTGTGTGGGCATAGGGTGTTGTCTCAGCCACTATGTTTTCTGCAATTGTGACTAGAGAACACCCTCATAGCTCAGTTGGTAGAGCGGAGGGCTGTAGGATGTTCCTCATCTGAAACGCTGTGATCCTGAAGTCGCCGGTTCAACTCCAGCTCCAAGCCTGTGCATGTCAAATTGAAATAAAGCCAAGCCTTGTCTTTATCTGTCAACTCCTCCAATATTTAAAAACACAAACCACATAACTTAATTTTCCAAGCATCAGTTTTTTATTCACCCAGCCTAAAAGTCTTGATTATCAGTTCTGGGTCCCTGGCAATGACTGTTGGGTACAAGCTGCAAAGCTTTGTTCTGCAGGTAGGGCTGGGCTTTTGATTGACTATGGATTCCAATAGTTGTGTGGGCATAGGGTGTTGTCTCAGCCACTATGTTTTCTGCAATTTTGACTAGAGAACACCCTGATAGCTCAGTTGGTAGAGCGGAGGCCTGTAGGATGTTCCTCATCTGAAACGCTGTGATCCTGAAGTCGCCGGTTCAACTCCAGCTCCAAACCTGTGCATGTCAAATTGAAATAAAGCCAAGCCTTGTCTTTATCTGTCAACTCCTCCAATATTTAAAACCACATAACTTAATTTTCCAACCATCAGTTTTTTATTCACCCAGCCTAAAAGTCTTGATTATCAGTTCTGGGTCCCTGGCAATGACTGTTGGGTACAAACTGCAAAGCTTTGTTCTGCAGGTAGGGCTGGGCTTTTGATTGACTATGGTTTCCAATAGTTGTGTGGGCATAGGGTGTTGTCTCAGCCACTATGTTTTCTGCAATTGTGACTAGAGAACACCCTGATAGCTCAGTTGGTAGAGCGGAGGGCTGTAGGATGTTCCTCATCTGAAACGCTGTGATCCTGAAGTCGCCGGTTCAACTCCAGCTCCAAGCCTGTGCATGTCAAATTGAAATAAAGCCAAGCCTTGTCTTTATCTGTCAACTCCTCCAATATTTAAAAACACAAACCACATAACTTAATTTTCCAACCATCAATTTTTTATTCACCCAGCCTAAAAGTCTTGATTATCAGTTCTGGGTCCCTGGCAATGACTGTTGGGTACAAGCTGCAAAGCTTTGTTCTGCAGGTAGGGCTGGGCTTTTGATTGACTATGGGTTCCAATAGTTGTGTGGGCATAGGGTGTTGTCTCAGCCACTATGTTTTCTGCAATTGTGACTAGAGAACACCCTGATAGCTCAGTTGGTAGAGCGGAGGGCTGTAGGATGTTCCTCATCTGAAACGCTGTGATCCTGAAGTCGCCGGTTCAACTCCAGCTCCAAGCCTGTGCATGTCAAATTGAAATAAAGCCAAGCCTTGTCTTTATCTGTCAACTCCTCCAATATTTAAAAACACAAACCACATAACTTAATTTTCCAACCATCAATTTTTTATTCACCCAGCCTAAAAGTCTTGATTATCAGTTCTGGGTCCCTGGCAATGACTGTTGGGTACAAACTGCAAAGCTTTGTTCTGCAGGTAGGGCTGGGCTTTTGATTGACTATGGGTTCCAATAGTTGTGTGGGCATAGGGTGTTGTCTCAGCCACTATGTTTTCTGCAATTGTGACTAGAGAACACCCTGATAGCTCAGTTGGTAGAGCGGAGGGCTGTAGGATGTTCCTCATCTGAAACGCTGTGATCCTGAAGTCGCCGGTTCAACTCCAGCTCCAAGCCTGTGCATGTCAAATTGAAATAAAGCCAAGCCTTGTCTTTATCTGTCAACTCCTCCAATATTTAAAACCACAAACCACATAACTTAATTTTCCAACCATCAATTTTTTATTCACCCAGCCTAAAAGTCTTGATTATCAGTTCTGGGTCCCTGGCAATGACTGTTGGGTACAAACTGCAAAGCTTTGTTCTGCAGGTAGGGCTGGGCTTTTGATTGACTATGGGTTCCAATAGTTGTGTGGGCATAGGGTGTTGTCTCAGCCACTATGTTTTCTGCAATTGTGACTAGAGAACACCCTGATAGCTCAGTTGGTAGAGCGGAGGGCTGTAGGATGTTCCTCATCTGAAACGCTGTGATCCTGAAGTCGCCGGTTCAACTCCAGCTCCAAGCCTGTGCATGTCAAATTGAAATAAAGCCAAGCCTTGTCTTTATCTGTCAACTCCTCCAATATTTAAAACACAAACCACATAACTTAATTTTCCAACCATCAATTTTTTATTCACCCAGCCTAAAAGTCTTGATTATCAGTTCTGGGTCCCTGGCAATGACTGTTGGGTACAAACTGCAAAGCTTTGTTCTGCAGGTAGGGCTGGGCTTTTGATTGACTATGGGTTCCAATAGTTGTGTGGGCATAGGGTGTTGTCTCAGCCACTATGTTTTCTGCAATTGTGACTAGAGAACACCCTGATAGCTCAGTTGGTAGAGCGGAGGGCTGTAGGATGTTCCTCATCTGAAACGCTGTGATCCTGAAGTCGCCGGTTCAACTCCAGCTCCAAGCCTGTGCATGTCAAATTGAAATAAAGCCAAGCCTTGTCTTTATCTGTCAACTCCTCCAATATTTCAAACCACATAACTTAATTTTCCAACCATCAATTTTTTATTCACCCAGCCTAAAAGTCTTGATTATCAGTTCTGGGTCCCTGGCAATGACTGTTGGGTACAAACTGCAAAGCTTTGTTCTGCAGGTAGGGCTGGGCTTTTGATTGACTATGGGTTCCAATAGTTGTGTGGGCATAGGGTGTTGTCTCAGCCACTATGTTTTCTGCAATTGTGACTAGAGAACACCCTGATAGCTCAGTTGGTAGAGCGGAGGCTGTAGGATGTTCCTCATCTGAAACGCTGTGATCCTGAAGTCGCCGGTTCAACTCCAGCTCCAAGCCTGTGCATGTCAAATTGAAATAAAGCCAAGCCTTGTCTTTATCTGTCAACTCCTCCAATATTTAAAACCACATAACTTAATTTTCCAACCATCAATTTTTTATTCAACCAGCCTAAAAGTCTTGATTATCAGTTCTGGGTCCCTGGCAATGACTGTTGGGTACAAGCTGCAAAGCTTTGTTCTGCAGGTAGGGCTGGGCTTTTGATTGACTATGGGTTCCAATAGTTGTGTGGGCATAGGGTGTTGTCTCAGCCACTATGTTTTCTGCAATTGTGACTAGAGAACACCCTGATAGCTCAGTTGGTAGAGCGGAGGGCTGTAGGATGTTCCTCATCTGAAACGCTGTGATCCTCAAGTCGCCGGTTCAACTCCAGCTCCAAGCCTGTGCATGTCAAATTGAAATAAAGCCAAGCCTTGTCTTTATCTGTCAACTCCTCCAATATTTAAAAACACAAACCACATAACTTAATTTTCCAACCATCAATTTTTTATTCACCCAGCCTAAAAGTCTTGATTATCAGTTCTGGGTCCCTGGCAATGACTGTTGGGTACAAAGCTGCAAAGCTTTGTTCTGCAGGTAGGGCTGGGCTTTTGATTGACTATGGGTTCCAATAGTTGTGTGGGCATAGGGTGTTGTCTCAGCCACTATGTTTTCTGCAATTGTGACTAGAGAACACCCTGATAGCTCAGTTGGTAGAGCGGAGGGCTGTAGGATGTTCCTCATCTGAAACGCTGTGATCCTGAAGTCGCCGGTTCAACTCCAGCTCCAAGCCTGTGCATGTCAAATTGAAATAAAGCCAAGCCTTGTCTTTATCTGTCAACTCCTCCAATATTTAAAAACACAAACCACATAACTTAATTTTCCAACCATCAATTTTTTATTCACCCAGCCTAAAAGTCTTGATTATCAGTTCTGGGTCCCTGGCAATGACTGTTGGGTACAAACTGCAAAGCTTTGTTCTGCAGGTAGGGCTGGGCTTTTGATTGACTATGGGTTCCAATAGTTGTGTGGGCATAGGGTGTTGTCTCAGCCACTATGTTTTCTGCAATTGTGACTAGAGAACACCCTGATAGCTCAGTTGGTAGAGCGGAGGGCTGTAGGATGTTCCTCATCTGAAACGCTGTGATCCTGAAGTCGCCGGTTCAACTCCAGCTCCAAGCCTGTGCATGTCAAATTGAAATAAAGCCAAGCCTTGTCTTTATCTGTCAACTCCTCCAATATTTAAAAACACAAACCACATAACTTAATTTTCCAACCATCAATTTTTTATTCACCCAGCCTAAAAGTCTTGATTATCAGTTCTGGGTCCCTGGCAATGACTGTTGGGTACAAACTGCAAAGCTTTGTTCTGCAGGTAGGGCTGGGCTTTTGATTGACTATGGGTTCCAATAGTTGTGTGGGCATAGGGTGTTGTCTCAGCCACTATGTTTTCTGCAATTGTGACTAGAGAACACCCTGATAGCTCAGTTGGTAGAGCGGAGGGCTGTAGGATGTTCCTCATCTGAAACGCTGTGATCCTGAAGTCGCCGGTTCAACTCCAGCTCCAAGCCTGTGCATGTCAAATTGAAATAAAGCCAAGCCTTGTCTTTATCTGTCAACTCCTCCAATATTTAAAACCACAAACCCATAACTTAATTTTCCAACCATCAATTTTTTATTCACCCAGCCTAAAAGTCTTGATTATCAGTTCTGGGTCCCTGGCAATGACTGTTGGGTACAAGCTGCAAAGCTTTGTTCTGCAGGTAGGGCTGGGCTTTTGATTGACTATGGGTTCCAATAGTTGTGTGGGCATAGGGTGTTGTCTCAGCCACTATGTTTTCTGCAATTGTGACTAGAGAACACCCTGATAGCTCAGTTGGTAGAGCGGAGGGCTGTAGGATGTTCCTCATCTGAAACGCTGTGATCCTGAAGTCGCCGGTTCAACTCCAGCTCCAAGCCTGTGCATGTCAAATTGAAATAAAGCCAAGCCTTGTCTTTATCTGTCAACTCCTCCAATATTTCAAACCACATAACTTAATTTTCCAACCATCAATTTTTTATTCACCCAGCCTAAAAGTCTTGATTATCAGTTCTGGGTCCCTGGCAATGACTGTTGGGTACAAACTGCAAAGCTTTGTTCTGCAGGTAGGGCTGGGCTTTTGATTGACTATGGGTTCCAATAGTTGTGTGGGCATAGGGTGTTGTCTCAGCCACTATGTTTTCTGCAATTGTGACTAGAGAACACCCTGATAGCTCAGTTGGTAGAGCGGAGGGCTGTAGGATGTTCCTCATCTGAAACGCTGTGATCCTGAAGTCGCCGGTTCAACTCCAGCTCCAAGCCTGTGCATGTCAAATTGAAATAAAGCCAAGCCTTGTCTTTATCTGTCAACTCCTCCAATATTTAAAACCACATAACTTAATTTTCCAACCATCAATTTTTTATTCACCCAGCCTAAAAGTCTTGATTATCAGTTCTGGGTCCCTGGCAATGACTGTTGGGTACAAACTGCAAAGCTTTGTTCTGCAGGTAGGGCTGGGCTTTTGATTGACTATGGGTTCCAATAGTTGTGTGGGCATAGGGTGTTGTCTCAGCCACTATGTTTTCTGCAATTGTGACTAGAGAACACCCTGATAGCTCAGTTGGTAGAGCGGAGGGCTGTAGGATGTTCCTCATCTGAAACGCTGTGATCCTGAAGTCGCCGGTTCAACTCCAGCTCCAAGCCTGTGCATGTCAAATTGAAATAAAGCCAAGCCTTGTCTTTATCTGTCAACTCCTCCAATATTTAAAACCACAAACCACATAACTTAATTTTCCAACCATCAATTTTTTATTCAACCAGCCTAAAAGTCTTGATTATCAGTTCTGGGTCCCTGGCAATGACTGTTGGGTACAAACTGCAAAGCTTTGTTCTGCAGGTAGGGCTGGGCTTTTGATTGACTATGGGTTCCAATAGTTGTGTGGGCATAGGGTGTTGTCTCAGCCACTATGTTTTCTGCAATTGTGACTAGAGAACACCCTGATAGCTCAGTTGGTAGAGCGGAGGGCTGTAGGATGTTCCTCATCTGAAACGCTGTGATCCTGAAGTCGCCGGTTCAACTCCAGCTCCAAGCCTGTGCATGTCAAATTGAAATAAAGCCAAGCCTTGTCTTTATCTGTCAACTCCTCCAATATTTAAAAACACAAACCACATAACTTAATTTTCCAACCATCAGTTTTTATTCACCCAGCCTAAAAGTCTTGATTATCAGTTCTGGGTCCCTGGCAATGACTGTTGGGTACAAGCTGCAAAGCTTTGTTCTGCAGGTAGGGCTGGGCTTTTGATTGACTATGGGTTCCAATAGTTGTGTGGGCATAGGGTGTTGTCTCAGCCACTATGTTTTCTGCAATTGTGACTAGAGAACACCCTGATAGCTCAGTTGGTAGAGCGGAGGGCTGTAGGATGTTCCTCATCTGAAACGCTGTGATCCTGAAGTCGCCGGTTCAACTCCAGCTCCAAGCCTGTGCATGTCAAATTGAAATAAAGCCAAGCCTTGTCTTTATCTGTCAACTCCTCCAATATTTAAAACCACATAACTTAATTTTCCAACCATCAATTTTTTATTCACCCAGCCTAAAAGTCTTGATTATCAGTTCTGGGTCCCTGGCAATGACTGTTGGGTACAAACTGCAAAGCTTTGTTCTGCAGGTAGGGCTGGGCTTTTGATTGACTATGGGTTCCAATAGTTGTGTGGGCATAGGGTGTTGTCTCAGCCACTATGTTTTCTGCAATTGTGACTAGAGAACACCCTGATAGCTCAGTTGGTAGAGCGGAGGGCTGTAGGATGTTCCTCATCTGAAACGCTGTGATCCTGAAGTCGCCGGTTCAACTCCAGCTCCAAGCCTGTGCATGTCAAATTGAAATAAAGCCAAGCCTTGTCTTTATCTGTCAACTCCTCCAATATTTAAAACCACAAACCACATAACTTAATTTTCCAACCATCAATTTTTTATTCACCCAGCCTAAAAGTCTTGATTATCAGTTCTGGGTCCCTGACAATGACTGTTGGGTACAAACTGCAAAGCTTTGTTCTGCAGGTAGGGCTGGGCTTTTGATTGACTATGGGTTCCAATAGTTGTGTGGGCATAGGGTGTTGTCTCAGCCACTATGTTTTCTGCGATTGTGACTAGAGAACACCCTGATAGCTCAGTTGGTAGAGCGGAGGGCTGTAACATGTTCCTCATCTGAAACGCTGTGATCCTGAAGTCGCCGGTTCAACTCCAGCTCCAAGCCTGTGCATGTTAAAATTGAAATAAAGCCAAGCCTTGTCTTTATCTGTCAACTCCTCCAATATTTAAAAACACAAACAACATAAGTTAATTTTCCAACCATCAGTTTTTTATTCACCCAGCCTAAAAGTCTTGATTATCAGTTCTGGGTCCCTGGCAATGACTGTTGGGTACAAACTGCAAAGCTTTGTTCTGCAGGTAGGGCTGGGCTTTTGATTGACTATGGGTTCCAATAGTTGTGTGGGCATAGGGTGTTGTCTCAGCCACTATGTTTTCTGCAATTGTGACTAGAGAACACCCTGATAGCTCAGTTGGTAGAGCGGAGGGCTGTAGGATGTTCCTCATCTGAAACGCTGTGATCCTAAAGTCGCCGGTTCAACTCCAGCTCCAAGCCTGTGCATGTCAAATTGAAATAAAGCCAAGCCTTGTCTTTATCTGTCAACTCCTCCAATATTTAAAACCACATAACTTAATTTTCCAACCATCAATTTTTTATTCACCCAGCCTAAAAGTCTTGATTATCAGTTATGGGTCCTTGGCAATGACTGTTGGGTACAAACTGCAAAGCTTTGTTCTGCAGGTAGGGCTGGGCTTTTGATTGACTATGGGTTCCAATAGTTGTGTGGGCATAGGGTGTTGTCTCAGCCACTATGTTTTCTGCAATTGTGACTAGAGAACACCCTCATAGCTCAGTTGGTAGAGCGGAGGGCTGTAGGATGTTCCTCATCTGAAACGCTGTGATCCTGAAGTCGCCGGTTCAACTCCAGCTCCAAGCCTGTGCATGTCAAATTGAAATAAAGCCAAGCCTTGTCTTTATCTGTCAACTCCTCCAATATTTACCACATAACTTAATTTTCCAAGCATCAGTTTTTTATTCACCCAGCCTAAAAGTCTTGATTATCAGTTCTGGGTCCCTGGCAATGACTGTTGGGTACAAGCTGCAAAGCTTTGTTCTGCAGGTAGGGCTGGGCTTTTGATTGACTATGGATTCCAATAGTTGTGTGGGCATAGGGTGTTGTCTCAGCCACTATGTTTTCTGCAATTTTGACTAGAGAACACCCTGATAGCTCAGTTGGTAGAGCGGAGGCCTGTAGGATGTTCCTCATCTGAAACGCTGTGATCCTGAAGTCGCCGGTTCAACTCCAGCTCCAAGCCTGTTCATGTCAAATTGAAATAAAGCCAAGCCTTGTCTTTATCTGTCAACTCCTCCAATATTTAAAACCACATAACTTAATTTTCCAACCATCAATTTTTTATTCACCCAGCCTAAAAGTCTTGATTATCAGTTCTGGGTCCCTGGCAATGACTGTTGGGTACAAACTGCAAAGCTTTGTTCTGCAGGTAGGGCTGGGCTTTTGATTGACTATGGGTTCCAATAGTTGTGTGGGCATAGGGTGTTGTCTCAGCCACTATGTTTTCTGCAATTGTGACTAGAGAACACCCTGATAGCTCAGTTGGTAGAGCGGAGGGCTGTAGGATGTTCCTCATCTGAAACGCTGTGATCCTGAAGTCGCCGGTTCAACTCCAGCTCCAAGCCTGTGCATGTCAAATTGAAATAAAGCCAAGCCTTGTCTTTATCTGTCAACTCCTCCAATATTTAAAACCACAAACCACATAACTTAATTTTCCAACCATCAATTTTTTATTCACCCAGCCTAAAAGTCTTGATTATCAGTTCTGGGTCCCTGACAATGACTGTTGGGTACAAACTGCAAAGCTTTGTTCTGCAGGTAGGGCTGGGCTTTTGATTGACTATGGGTTCCAATAGTTGTGTGGGCATAGGGTGTTGTCTCAGCCACTATGTTTTCTGCGATTGTGACTAGAGAACACCCTGATAGCTCAGTTGGTAGAGCGGAGGGCTGTAACATGTTCCTCATCTGAAACGCTGTGATCCTGAAGTCGCCGGTTCAACTCCAGCTCCAAGCCTGTGCATGTTAAAATTGAAATAAAGCCAAGCCTTGTCTTTATCTGTCAACTCCTCCAATATTTAAAAACACAAACAACATAAGTTAATTTTCCAACCATCAGTTTTTTATTCACCCAGCCTAAAAGTCTTGATTATCAGTTCTGGGTCCCTGGCAATGACTGTTGGGTACAAACTGCAAAGCTTTGTTCTGCAGGTAGGGCTGGGCTTTTGATTGACTATGGGTTCCAATAGTTGTGTGGGCATAGGGTGTTGTCTCAGCCACTATGTTTTCTGCAATTGTGACTAGAGAACACCCTGATAGCTCAGTTGGTAGAGCGAAGGGCTGTAGGATGTTCCTCATCTGAAAAGCTGTGATCCTGAAGTCGCCGGTTCAACTCCAGCTCCAAGCCTGTGCATGTCAAATTGAAATAAAGCCAAGCCTTGTCTTTATCTGTCAACTCCTCCAATATTTAAAAACACAAACCACATAACTTAATTTTCCAACCATCAGTTTTTTATTCACCCAGCCTAAAAGTCTTGATTATCAGTTCTGGGTCCCTGGCAATGACTGTTGGGTACAAGCTGCAAAGCTTTGTTCTGCAGGTAGGGCTGGGCTTTTGATTGACTATGGATTCCAATAGTTGTGTGGGCATAGGGTGTTGTCTCAGCCACTATGTTTTCTGCAATTTTGACTAGAGAACACCCTGATAGCTCAGTTGGTAGAGCGGAAGGCTGTAGGATGTTCCTCATCTGAAACGCTGTGATCCTGAAGTCGCCCGTTCAACTCCAGCTCCAAACCTGTGCATGTCAAATTGAAATAAAGCCAAGCCTTGTCTTTATCTGTCAACTCCTCCAATATTTAAAACCACATAACTTAATTTTCCAACCATCAATTTTTTATTCAACCAGCCTAAAAGTCTTGATTATCAGTTCTGGGTCCCTGGCAATGACTGTTGGGTACAAGCTGCAAAGCTTTGTTCTGCAGGTAGGGCTGGGCTTTTGATTGACTATGGGTTCCAATAGTTGTGTGGGCATAGGGTGTTGTCTCAGCCACTATGTTTTCTGCAATTGTGACTACAGAACACCCTGATAGCTCAGTTGGTAGAGCGGAGGGCTGTAGGATGTTCCTCATCTGAAACGCTGTGATCCTCAAGTCGCCGGTTCACCTCCAGCTCCAAGCCTGTGCATGTCAAATTGAAATAAAGCCAAGCCTTGTCTTTATCTGTCAACTCCTCCAATATTTAAAACCACAAACCACATAACTTAATTTTCCAACCATCAATTTTTTATTCACCCAGCCTAAAAGTCTTGATTATCAGTTATGGGTCCTTGGCAATGACTGTTGGGTACAAGCTGCAAAGCTTTGTTCTGCAGGTAGGGCTGGGCTTTTGATTTACTATGGGTTCCAATAGTTGTGTGGGCATAGGGTGTTGTCTCAGCCACTATGTTTTCTGCAATTGTGACTAGAGAACACCCTGATAGCTCAGTTGGTAGAGCGGAGGGCTGTAGGATCTTCCTCATCTGAAACGCTGTGATCCTGAAGTCGCCGGTTCAACTCCAGCTCCAAGCCTGTGCATGTCAAATTGAAATAAAGCCAAGCCTTGTCTTTATCTGTCAACTCCTCCAATATTTAAAAACACAAACCACATAACTTAATTTTCCAACCATCAATTTTTTATTCACCCAGCCTAAAAGTCTTGATTATCAGTTCTGGGTCCCTGGCAATGACTGTTGGGTACAAACTGCAAAGCTTTGTTCTGCAGGTAGGGCTGGGCTTTTGATTGACTATGGGTTCCAATAGTTGTGTGGGCATAGGGTGTTGTCTCAGCCACTATGTTTTCTGCAATTGTGACTAGAGAACACCCTGATAGCTCAGTTGGTAGAGCGGAGGGCTGTAGGATGTTCCTCATCTGAAACGCTGTGATCCTGAAGTCGCCGGTTCAACTCCAGCTCCAAGCCTGTGCATGTCAAATTGAAATAAAGCCAAGCCTTGTCTTTATCTGTCAACTCCTCCAATATTTAAAACCACATAACTTAATTTTCCAACCATCAATTTTTTATTCACCCAGCCTAAAAGTCTTGATTATCAGTTCTGGGTCCCTGGCAATGACTGTTGGGTACAAGCTGCAAAGCTTTGTTCTGCAGGTAGGGCTGGGCTTTTGATTGACTATGGGTTCCAATAGTTGTGTGGGCATAGGGTGTTGTCTCAGCCACTATGTTTTCTGAAATTGTGGCTAGAGAACACCCTGATAGCTCAGTTGGTAGAGCGGACGGCTGTAGGATGTTCCTCATCTGAAACGCTCTGATCCTGAAGTCGCCGGTTCAACTCCAGCTCCAAGCCTGTGCATGTCAAATTGAAATAAAGCCAAGCCTTGTCTTTATCTGTCAACTCCTCCAATATTTAAAACCACATAACTTAATTTTCCAACCATCAATTTTTTATTCAACCAGCCTAAAAGTCTTGATTATCAGTTCTGGGTCCCTGGCAATGACTGTTGGGTACAAACTGCAAAGCTTTGTTCTGCAGGAAGGGCTGGGCTTTTGATTGACTATGGGTTCCAATAGTTGTGTGGGCATAGGGTGTTGTCTCAGCCACTATGTTTTCTGCAATTGTGACTAGAGAACACCCTGATAGCTCAGTTGGTAGAGCGGAGGGCTGTAGGATGTTCCTCATCTGAAACGCTGTGATCCTGAAGTCGCCGGTTCAACTCCAGCTCCAAGCCTGTGCATGTCAAATTGAAATAAAGCCAAGCCTTGTCTTTATCTGTCAACTCCTCCAATATTTAAAACCACATAACTTAATTTTCCAACCATCAATTTTTTATTCACCCAGCCTAAAAGTCTTGATTATCAGTTCTGGGTCCCTGGCAATGACTGTTGGGTACAAACTGCAAAGCTTTGTTCTGCAGGTAGGGCTGGGCTTTTGATTGACTATGGGTTCCAATAGTTGTGTGGGCATAGGGTGTTGTCTCAGCCACTATGTTTTCTGCAATTGTGACTAGAGAACACCCTGATAGCTCAGTTGGTAGAGCGGAGGGCTGTAGGATGTTCCTCATCTGAAACGCTGTGATCCTGAAGTCGCCGGTTCAACTCCAGCTCCAAGGCTGTGCATGTCAAATTGAAATAAAGCCAAGCCTTGTCTTTATCTGTCAACTCCTCCAATATTTAAAACCACAAACCACATAACTTAATTTTCCAACCATCAATTTTTTATTCACCCAGCCTAAAAGTCTTGATTATCAGTTATGGGTCCTTGGCAATGACTGTTGGGTACAAACTGCAAAGCTTTGTTCTGCAGGTAGGGCTGGGCTTTTGATTGACTATGGGTTCCAATAGTTGTGTGGGCATAGGGTGTTGTCTCAGCCACTATGTTTTCTGCAATTGTGACTAGAGAACACCCTGATAGCTCAGTTGGTAGAGCGGAGGGCTGTAGGATGTTCCTCATCTGAAACGCTGTGATCCTGAAGTCGCCGGTTCAACTCCAGCTCCAAGCCTGTGCATGTCAAATTGAAATAAAGCCAAGCCTTGTCTTTATCTGTCAACTCCTCCAATATTTAAAACCACATAACTTAATTTTCCAACCATCAATTTTTTATTCACCCAGCCTAAAAGTCTTGATTATCAGTTCTGGTTCCCTGGCAATGACTGTTGGGTACAAACTGCAAAGCTTTGTTCTGCAGGTAGGGCTGGGCTTTTGATTGACTATGGGTTCCAATAGTTGTGTGGGCATAGGGTGTTGTCTCAGCCACTATGTTTTCTGCAATTGTGACTAGAGAACACCCTGATAGCTCAGTTGGTAGAGCGGACGGCTGTAGGATGTTCCTCATCTGAAACGCTGTGATCCTCAAGTCGCCGGTTCAACTCCAGCTCCAAGCCTGTGCATGTCAAATTGAAATAAAGCCAAGCCTTGTCTTTATCTGTCAACTCCTCCAATATTTAAAAACACATAACTTAATTTTCCAACCATCAATTTTTTATTCACCCAGCCTAAAAGTCTTGATTATCAGTTCTGGGTCCCTGGCAATGACTGTTGGGTACAAACTGCAAAGCTTTGTTCTGCAGCTAGGGCTGGGCTTTTGATTGACTATGGGTTCCAATAGTTGTGTGGGCATAGGGTGTTGTCTCAGCCACTATGTTTTCTGCAATTGTGACTAGAGAACACCCTGATAGCTCAGTTGGTAGAGCGGAGGGCTGTAGGATGTTCCTCATCTGAAACGCTGTGATCCTGAAGTCGCCGGTTCAACTCCAGCTCCAAGCCTGTGCATGTCAAATTGAAATAAAGCCAAGCCTTGTCTTTATCTGTCAACTCCTCCAATATTTAAAACCACATAACTTAATTTTCCAACCATCAATTTTTTATTCACCCAGCCTAAAAGTCTTGATTATCAGTTCTGGGTCCCTGGCAATGACTGTTGGGTACAAGCTGCAAAGCTTTGTTCTGCAGGTAGGGCTGGGCTTTTGATTGACTATGGGTTCCAATAGTTGTGTGGGCATAGGGTGTTGTCTCAGCCACTATGTTTTCTGCAATTGTGACTAGAGAACACCCTGATAGCTCAGTTGGTAGAGCGGACGGCTGTAGGATGTTCCTCATCTGAAACGCTGTGATCCTGAAGTCGCCGGTTCAACTCCAGCTCCAAGCCTGTGCATGTCAAATTGAAATAAAGCCAAGCCTTGTCTTTATCTGTCAACTCCTCCAATATTTAAAACCACAAACCACATAACTTAATTTTCCAACCATCAATTTTTTATTCACCCAGCCTAAAAGTCTTGATTATCAGTTATGGGTCCTTGGCAATGACTGTTGGGTACAAACTGCAAAGCTTTGTTCTGCAGGTAGGGCTGGGCTTTTGATTGACTATGGGTTCCAATAGTTGTGTGGGCATAGGGTGTTGTCTCAGCCACTATGTTTTCTGCAATTGTGACTAGAGAACACCCTGATAGCTCAGTTGGTAGAGCGGAGGGCTGTAGGATGTTCCTCATCTGAAACGCTGTGATCCTCAAGTCGCCGGTTCAACTCCAGCTCCAAGCCTGTGCATGTCAAATTGAAATAAAGCCAAGCCTTGTCTTTATCTGTCAACTCCTCCAATATTTAAAAACACATAACTTAATTTTCCAACCATCAATTTTTTATTCACCCAGCCTAAAAGTCTTGATTATCAGTTCTGGGTCCCTGGCAATGACTGTTGGGTACAAACTGCAAAGCTTTGTTCTGCAGGTAGGGCTGGGCTTTTGATTGACTATGGGTTCCAATAGTTGTGTGGGCATAGGGTGTTGTCTCAGCCACTATGTTTTCTGCAATTGTGACTAGAGAACACCCTGATAGCTCAGTTGGTAGAGCGGAGGGCTGTAGGATGTTCCTCATCTGAAACGCTGTGATCCTGAAGTCGCCGGTTCAACTCCAGCTCCAAGCCTGTGCATGTCAAATTGAAATAAAGCCAAGCCTTGTCTTTATCTGTCAACTCCTCCAATATTTAAAAACACATAACTTAATTTTCCAACCATCAATTTTTTTATTCACCCAGCCTAAAAGTCTTGATTATCAGTTCTGGGTCCCTGGCAATGACTGTTGGGTACAAACTGCAAAGCTTTGTTCTGCAGGTAGGGCTGGGCTTTTGATTGACTATGGGTTCCAATAGTTGTGTGGGCATAGGGTGTTGTCTCAGCCACTATGTTTTCTGCAATTGTGACTAGATAACACCCTGATAGCTCAGTTGGTAGAGCGGAGGGCTGTAGGATGTTCCTCATCTGAAACGCTGTGATCCTGAAGTCGCCGGTTCAACTCCAGCTCCAAGCCTGTGCATGCCAAATTGAAATAAAGCCAAGCCTTGTCTTTATCTGTCAACTCCTCCAATATTTAAAACCACAAACCACATAACTTAATTTTCCAACCATCAATTTTTTATTCACCCAGCCTAAAAGTCTTGATTATCAGTTCTGGGTCCCTGGCAATGACTGTTGGGTACAAGCTGCAAAGCTTTGTTCTGCAGGTAGGGCTGGGCTTTTGATTGACTATGGGTTCCAATAGTTGTGTGGGCATAGGGTGTTGTCTCAGCCACTATGTTTTCTGCAATTGTGACTAGAGAACACCCTGATAGCTCAGTTGGTAGAGCGGAGGGCTGTAGGATGTTTCTCATCTGAAACGCTGTGATCCTGAAGTCGCCGTTTCAACTCCAGCTCCAAGCCTGTGCATGTCAAATTGAAATAAAGCCAAGCCTTGTCTTTATCTGTCAACTCCTCCAATATTTAAAACCACATAACTTAATTTTCCAACCATCAATTTTTTATTCACCCAGCCTAAAAGTCTTGATTATCAGTTCTGGGTCCCTGGCAATGACTGTTGGGTACAAACTGCAAAGCTTTGTTCTGCAGGTAGGGCTGGGCTTTTGATTGACTATGGGTTCCAATAGTTGTGTGGGCATAGGGTGTTGTCTCAGCCACTATGTTTTCTGCAATTGTGACTAGAGAACACCCTGATAGCTCAGTTGGTAGAGCGGAGGGCTGTAGGATGTTCCTCATCTGAAACGCTGTGATCCTGAAGTCGCCGGTTCAACTCCAGCTCCAAGCCTGTGCATGTCAAATTGAAATAAAGCCAAGCCTTGTCTTTATCTGTCAACTCCTCCAATATTTAAAAACACAAACCACATAACTTAATTTTCCAACCATCAGTTTTTTATTCACCCAGCCTAAAAGTCTTGATTATCAGTTCTGGGTCCCTGGCAATGACTGTTGGGTACAAGCTGCAAAGCTTTGTTCTGCAGGTAGGGCTGGGCTTTTGATTGACTATGGGTTCCAATAGTTGTGTGGGCATAGGGTGTTGTCTCAGCCACTATGTTTTCTGCAATTGTGACTAGATAACACCCTGATAGCTCAGTTGGTAGAGCGGAGGGCTGTAGGATGTTCCTCATCTGAAACGCTGTGATCCTGAAGTCGCCGGTTCAACTCCAGCTCCAAGCCTGTGCATGTCAAATTGAAATAAAGCCAAGCCTTGTCTTTATCTGTCAACTCCTCCAATATTTAAAACCACATAACTTAATTTTCCAACCATCAATTTTTTATTCACCCAGCCTAAAAGTCTTGATTATCAGTTCTGGGTCCCTGGCAATGACTGTTGGGTACAAGCTGCAAAGCTTTGTTCTGCAGGTAGGGCTGGGCTTTTGATTGACTATGGGTTCCAATAGTTGTGTGGGCATAGGGTGTTGTCTCAGCCACTATGTTTTCTGCAATTGTGGCTAGAGAACACCCTGATAGCTCAGTTGGTAGAGCGGACGGCTGTAGGATGTTCCTCATCTGAAACGCTCTGATCCTGAAGTCGCCGGTTCAACTCCAGCTCCAAGCCTGTGCATGTCAAATTGAAATAAAGCCAAGCCTTGTCTTTATCTGTCAACTCCTCCAATATTTCAAACCACATAACTTAATTTTCCAACCATCAATTTTTTATTCACCCAGCCTAAAAGTCTTGATTATCAGTTATGGGTCCTTGGCAATGACTGTTGGGTACAAACTGCAAAGCTTTGTTCTGCAGGTAGGGCTGGGCTTTTGATTGACTATGGGTTCCAATAGTTGTGTGGGCATAGGGTGTTGTCTCAGCCACTATGTTTTCTGCAATTGTGACTAGAGAATACCCTGATAGCTCAGTTGGTAGAGCGGACGGCTGTAGGATGTTCCTCATCTGAAACGCTGTGATCCTGAAGTCGCCGGTTCAACTCCAGCTCCAAGCCTGTGCATGTCAAATTGAAATAAAGCCAAGCCTTGTCTTTATCTGTCAACTCCTCCAATATTTAAAACCACATAACTTAATTTTCCAACCATCAATTTTTTATTCACCCAGCCTAAAAGTCTTGATTATCAGTTCTGGGTCCCTGGCAATGACTGTTGGGTACAAACTGCAAAGCTTTGTTCTGCAGGTAGGGCTGGGCTTTTGATTGACTATGGGTTCCAATAGTTGTGTGGGCATAGGGTGTTGTCTCAGCCACTATGTTTTCTGCAATTGTGACTAGAGAACACCCTGATAGCTCAGTTGGTAGAGCGGAGGGCTGTAGGATGTTCCTCATCTGAAACGCTGTGATCCTGAAGTCGCCGGTTCAACTCCAGCTCCAAGCCTGTGCATGTCAAATTGAAATAAAGCCAAGCCTTGTCTTTATCTGTCAACTCCTCCAATATTTAAAACCACATAACTTAATTTTCCAACCATCAATTTTTTATTCAACCAGCCTAAAAGTCTTGATTATCAGTTCTGGGTCCCTGGCAATGACTGTTGGGTACAAACTGCAAAGCTTTGTTCTGCAGGTAGGGCTGGGCTTTTGATTGACTATGGGTTCCAATAGTTGTGTGGGCATAGGGTGTTGTCTCAGCCACTATGTTTTCTGCAATTGTGACTAGAGAACACCCTGATAGCTCAGTTGGTAGAGCGGAGGGCTGTAGGATGTTCCTCATCTGAAACGCTGTGATCCTGAAGTCGCCGGTTCAACTCCAGCTCCAAGCCTGTGCATGTCAAATTGAAATAAAGCCAAGCCTTGTCTTTATCTGTCAACTCCTCCAATATTTAAAACCACATAACTTAATTTTCCAACCATCAATTTTTTATTCAACCAGCCTAAAAGTCTTGATTATCAGTTCTGGGTCCCTGGCAATGACTGTTGGGTACAAACTGCAAAGCTTTGTTCTGCAGGTAGGGCTGGGCTTTTGATTGACTATGGGTTCCAATAGTTGTGTGGGCATAGGGTGTTGTCTCAGCCACTATGTTTTCTGCAATTGTGACTAGAGAACACCCTGATAGCTCAGTTGGTAGAGCGGAGGGCTGTAGGATGTTCCTCATCTGAAACGCTGTGATCCTGAAGTCGCCGGTTCAACTCCAGCTCCAAGGCTGTGCATGTCAAATTGAAATAAAGCCAAGCCTTGTCTTTATCTGTCAACTCCTCCAATATTTAAAACCACAAACCACATAACTTAATTTTCCAACCATCAATTTTTTATTCACCCAGCCTAAAAGTCTTGATTATCAGTTATGGGTCCTTGGCAATGACTGTTGGGTACAAACTGCAAAGCTTTGTTCTGCAGGTAGGGCTGGGTTTTTGATTGACTATGGGTTCCAATAGTTGTGTGGGCATAGGGTGTTGTCTCAGCCACTATGTTTTCTTCAATTGTGACTAGAGAACACCCTGATAGCTCAGTTGGTAGAGCGGAGGGCTGTAGGATGTTCCTCATCTGAAATGCTGTGATCCTGAAGTCGCCGGTTCAACTCCAGCTCCAAGCCTGTGCATGTCAAATTGAAATAAAGCCAAGCCTTGTCTTTATCTGTCAACTCCTCCAATATTTAAAACCACATAACTTAATTTTCCAACCATCAATTTTTTATTCACCCAGCCTAAAAGTCTTGATTATCAGTTCTGGTTCCCTGGCAATGACTGTTGGGTACAAACTGCAAAGCTTTGTTCTGCAGGTAGGGCTGGGCTTTTGATTGACTATGGGTTCCAATAGTTGTGTGGGCATAGGGTGTTGTCTCAGCCACTATGTTTTCTGCAATTGTGACTAGAGAACACCCTGATAGCTCAGTTGGTAGAGCGGACGGCTGTAGGATGTTCCTCATCTGAAACGCTGTGATCCTGAAGTCGCCGGTTCAACTCCAGCTCCAAGCCTGTGCATGTCAAATTGAAATAAAGCCAAGCCTTGTCTTTATCTGTCAACTCCTCCAATATTTAAAAACACATAACTTAATTTTCCAACCATCAATTTTTTATTCACCCAGCCTAAAAGTCTTGATTATCAGTTCTGGGTCCCTGGCAATGACTGTTGGGTACAAACTGCAAAGCTTTGTTCTGCAGCTAGGGCTGGGCTTTTGATTGACTATGGGTTCCAATAGTTGTGTGGGCATAGGGTGTTGTCTCAGCCACTATGTTTTCTGCAATTGTGACTAGAGAACACCCTGATAGCTCAGTTGGTAGAGCGGAGGGCTGTAGGATGTTCCTCATCTGAAACGCTGTGATCCTGAAGTCGCCGGTTCAACTCCAACTCCAAGCCTGTGCATGTCAAATTGAAATAAAGCCAAGCCTTGTCTTTATCTGTCAACTCCTCCAATATTTAAAACCACATAACTTAATTTTCCAAGCATCAATTTTTTATTCACCCAGCCTAAAAGTCTTGATTATCAGTTCTGGGTCCCTGGCAATGACTGTTGGGTACAAGCTGCAAAGCTTTGTTCTGCAGGTAGGGCTGGGCTTTTGATTGACTATGGGTTCCAATAGTTGTGTGGGCATAGGGTGTTGTCTCAGCCACTATGTTTTCTGCAATTGTGACTAGAGAACACCCTGATAGCTCAGTTGGTAGAGCGGACGGCTGTAGGATGTTCCTCATCTGAAACGCTGTGATCCTGAAGTCGCCGGTTCAACTCCAGCTCCAAGCCTGTGCATGTCAAATTGAAATAAAGCCAAGCCTTGTCTTTATCTGTCAACTCCTCCAATATTAAAAACCACAAACCACATAACTTAATTTTCCAACCATCAATTTTTTATTCACCCAGCCTAAAAGTCTTGATTATCAGTTATGGGTCCTTGGCAATGACTGTTGGGTACAAACTGCAAAGCTTTGTTCTGCAGGTAGGGCTGGGCTTTTAATTGACTATGGGTTCCAATAGTTGTGTGGGCATAGGGTGTTGTCTCAGCCACTATGTTTTCTGCAATTGTGACTAGAGAACACCCTGATAGCTCAGTTGGTAGAGCGGAGGGCTGTAGGATGTTCCTCATCTGAAACGCTGTGATCCTCAAGTCGCCGGTTCAACTACAGCTCCAAGCCTGTGCATGTCAAATTGAAATAAAGCCAAGCCTTGTCTTTATCTGTCAACTCCTCCAATATTTAAAAACACATAACTTAATTTTCCAACCATCAATTTTTTATTCACCCAGCCTAAAAGTCTTGATTATCAGTTCTGGGTCCCTGGCAATGACTGTTGGGTACAAACTGCAAAGCTTTGTTCTGCAGGTAGGGCTGGGCTTTTGATTGACTATGGGTTCCAATAGTTGTGTGGGCATAGGGTGTTGTCTCAGCCACTATGTTTTCTGCAATTGTGACTAGATAACACCCTGATAGCTCAGTTGGTAGAGCGGAGGGCTGTAGGATGTTCCTCATCTGAAACGCTGTGATCCTGAAGTCGCCGGTTCAACTCCAGCTCCAAGCCTGTGCATGCCAAATTGAAATAAAGCCAAGCCTTGTCTTTATTTGTCAACTCCTCCAATATTACAAACCACATAACTTAATTTTCCAACCATCAGTTTTTTATTCACCCAGCCTAAAAGTCTTGATTATCAGTTCTGGGTCCCTGGCAATGACTGTTGGGTACAAACTGCAAAGCTTTGTTCTGCAGGTAGGGCTGGGCTTTTGATTGACTATGGGTTCCAATAGTTGTGTGGGCATAGGGTGTTGTCTCAGCCACTATGTTTTCTGCAATTGTGACTAGAGAACACCCTGATAGCTCAGTTGGTAGAGCGGAGGGCTGTAGGATGTTCCTCATCTGAAACGCTGTGATCCTGAAGTCGCCGGTTCAACTCCAGCTCCAAGCCTGTGCATGTCAAATTGAAATAAAGCCAAGCCTTGTCTTTATCTGTCAACTCCTCCAATATTTAAAACCACATAACTTAATTTTCCAACCATCAATTTTTTATTCAACCAGCCTAAAAGTCTTGATTATCAGTTCTGGGTCCCTGGCAATGACTGTTGGGTACAAACTGCAAAGCTTTGTTCTGCAGGTAGGGCTGGGCTTTTGATTGACTATGGGTTCCAATAGTTGTGTGGGCATAGGGTGTTGTCTCAGCCACTATGTTTTCTGCAATTGTGACTAGAGAACACCCTGATAGCTCAGTTGGTAGAGCGGAGGGCTGTAGGATGTTCCTCATCTGAAACGCTGTGATCCTGAAGTCGCCGGTTCAACTCCAGCTCCAAGCCTGTGCATGTCAAATTGAAATAAAGCCAAGCCTTGTCTTTATCTGTCAACTCCTCCAATATTTAAAACCACATAACTTAATTTTCCAACCATCAATTTTTTATTCAACCAGCCTAAAAGTCTTGATTATCAGTTCTGGGTCCCTGGCAATGACTGTTGGGTACAAACTGCAAAGCTTTGTTCTGCAGGTAGGGCTGGGCTTTTGATTGACTATGGGTTCCAATAGTTGTGTGGGCATAGGGTGTTGTCTCAGCCACTATGTTTTCTGCAATTGTGACTAGAGAACACCCTGATAGCTCAGTTGGTAGAGCGGAGGGCTGTAGGATGTTCCTCATCTGAAACGCTGTGATCCTGAAGTCGCCGGTTCAACTCCAGCTCCAAGGCTGTGCATGTCAAATTGAAATAAAGCCAAGCCTTGTCTTTATCTGTCAACTCCTCCAATATTTAAAACCACAAACCACATAACTTAATTTTCCAACCATCAATTTTTTATTCACCCAGCCTAAAAGTCTTGATTATCAGTTATGGGTCCTTGGCAATGACTGTTGGGTACAAACTGCAAAGCTTTGTTCTGCAGGTAGGGCTGGGTTTTTGATTGACTATGGGTTCCAATAGTTGTGTGGGCATAGGGTGTTGTCTCAGCCACTATGTTTTCTTCAATTGTGACTAGAGAACACCCTGATAGCTCAGTTGGTACAGCGGAGGGCTGTAGGATGTTCCTCATCTGAAATGCTGTGATCCTGAAGTCGCCGGTTCAACTCCAGCTCCAAGCCTGTGCATGTCAAATTGAAATAAAGCCAAGCCTTGTCTTTATCTGTCAACTCCTCCAATATTTAAAACCACATAACTTAATTTTCCAACCATCAATTTTTTATTCACCCAGCCTAAAAGTCTTGATTATCAGTTCTGGTTCCCTGGCAATGACTGTTGGGTACAAACTGCAAAGCTTTGTTCTGCAGGTAGGGCTGGGCTTTTGATTGACTATGGGTTCCAATAGTTGTGTGGGCATAGGGTGTTGTCTCAGCCACTATGTTTTCTGCAATTGTGACTAGAGAACACCCTGATAGCTCAGTTGGTAGAGCGGACGGCTGTAGGATGTTCCTCATCTGAAACGCTGTGATCCTGAAGTCGCCGGTTCAACTCCAGCTCCAAGCCTGTGCATGTCAAATTGAAATAAAGCCAAGCCTTGTCTTTATCTGTCAACTCCTCCAATATTTAAAAACACATAACTTAATTTTCCAACCATCAATTTTTTATTCACCCAGCCTAAAAGTCTTGATTATCAGTTCTGGGTCCCTGGCAATGACTGTTGGGTACAAACTGCAAAGCTTTGTTCTGCAGCTAGGGCTGGGCTTTTGATTGACTATGGGTTCCAATAGTTGTGTGGGCATAGGGTGTTGTCTCAGCCACTATGTTTTCTGCAATTGTGACTAGAGAACACCCTGATAGCTCAGTTGGTAGAGCGGAGGGCTGTAGGATGTTCCTCATCTGAAACGCTGTGATCCTGAAGTCGCCGGTTCAACTCCAACTCCAAGCCTGTGCATGTCAAATTGAAATAAAGCCAAGCCTTGTCTTTATCTGTCAACTCCTCCAATATTTAAAACCACATAACTTAATTTTCCAACCATCAATTTTTTATTCACCCAGCCTAAAAGTCTTGATTATCAGTTCTGGGTCCCTGGCAATGACTGTTGGGTACAAGCTGCAAAGCTTTGTTCTGCAGGTAGGGCTGGGCTTTTGATTGACTATGGGTTCCAATAGTTGTGTGGGCATAGGGTGTTGTCTCAGCCACTATGTTTTCTGCAATTGTGACTAGAGAACACCCTGATAGCTCAGTTGGTAGAGCGGACGGCTGTAGGATGTTCCTCATCTGAAACGCTGTGATCCTGAAGTCGCCGGTTCAACTCCAGCTCCAAGCCTGTGCATGTCAAATTGAAATAAAGCCAAGCCTTGTCTTTATCTGTCAACTCCTCCAATATTAAAAACCACAAACCACATAACTTAATTTTCCAACCATCAATTTTTTATTCACCCAGCCTAAAAGTCTTGATTATCAGTTATGGGTCCTTGGCAATGACTGTTGGGTACAAACTGCAAAGCTTTGTTCTGCAGGTAGGGCTGGGCTTTTGATTGACTATGGGTTCCAATAGTTGTGTGGGCATAGGGTGTTGTCTCAGCCACTATGTTTTCTGCAATTGTGACTAGAGAACACCCTGATAGCTCAGTTGGTAGAGCGGAGGGCTGTAGGATGTTCCTCATCTGAAACGCTGTGATCCTCAAGTCGCCGGTTCAACTACAGCTCCAAGCCTGTGCATGTCAAATTGAAATAAAGCCAAGCCTTGTCTTTATCTGTCAACTCCTCCAATATTTAAAAACACATAACTTAATTTTCCAACCATCAATTTTTTATTCACCCAGCCTAAAAGTCTTGATTATCAGTTCTGGGTCCCTGGCAATGACTGTTGGGTACAAACTGCAAAGCTTTGTTCTGCAGGTAGGGCTGGGCTTTTGATTGACTATGGGTTCCAATAGTTGTGTGGGCATAGGGTGTTGTCTCAGCCACTATGTTTTCTGCAATTGTGACTAGATAACACCCTGATAGCTCAGTTGGTAGAGCGGAGGGCTGTAGGATGTTCCTCATCTGAAACGCTGTGATCCTGAAGTCGCCGGTTCAACTCCAGCTCCAAGCCTGTGCATGCCAAATTGAAATAAAGCCAAGCCTTGTCTTTATCTGTCAACTCCTCCAATATTTCAAACCACATAACTTAATTTTCCAACCATCAATTTTTTATTCACCCAGCCTAAAAGTCTTGATTATCAGTTCTGGGTCCCTGGCAATGACTGTTGGGTACAAACTGCAAAGCTTTGTTCTGCAGGTAGGGCTGGGCTTTTGATTGACTATGGGTTCCAATAGTTGTGTGGGCATAGGGTGTTGTCTCAGCCACTATGTTTTCTGCAATTGTGACTAGAGAACACCCTGATAGCTCAGTTGGTAGAGCGGAGGGCTGTAGGATGTTCCTCATCTGAAACGCTGTGATCCTGAAGTCGCCGGTTCAACTCCAGCTCCAAGCCTGTGCATGTCAAATTGAAATAAAGCCAAGCCTTGTCTTTATCTGTCAACTCCTCCAATATTTAAAAACACATAACTTAATTTTCCAACCATCAATTTTTTTATTCACCCAGCCTAAAAGTCTTGATTATCAGTTCTGGGTCCCTGGCAATGACTGTTGGGTACAAACTGCAAAGCTTTGTTCTGCAGGTAGGGCTGGGCTTTTGATTGACTATGGGTTCCAATAGTTGTGTGGGCATAGGGTGTTGTCTCAGCCACTATGTTTTCTGCAATTGTGACTAGATAACACCCTGATAGCTCAGTTGGTAGAGCGGAGGGCTGTAGGATGTTCCTCATCTGAAACGCTGTGATCCTGAAGTCGCCGGTTCAACTCCAGCTCCAAGCCTGTGCATGCCAAATTGAAATAAAGCCAAGCCTTGTCTTTATCTGTCAACTCCTCCAATATTTAAAACCACAAACCACATAACTTAATTTTCCAACCATCAATTTTTTATTCACCCAGCCTAAAAGTCTTGATTATCAGTTCTGGGTCCCTGGCAATGACTGTTGGGTACAAGCTGCAAAGCTTTGTTCTGCAGGTAGGGCTGGGCTTTTGATTGACTATGGGTTCCAATAGTTGTGTGGGCATAGGGTGTTGTCTCAGCCACTATGTTTTCTGCAATTGTGACTAGAGAACACCCTGATAGCTCAGTTGGTAGAGCGGAGGGCTGTAGGATGTTCCTCATCTGAAACGCTGTGATCCTGAAGTCGCCGGTTCAACTCCAGCTCCAAGCCTGTGCATGTCAAATTGAAATAAAGCCAAGCCTTGTCTTTATCTGTCAACTCCTCCAATATTTAAAACCACATAACTTAATTTTCCAACCATCAATTTTTTATTCACCCAGCCTAAAAGTCTTGATTATCAGTTCTGGGTCCCTGGCAATGACTGTTGGGTACAAACTGCAAAGCTTTGTTCTGCAGGTAGGGCTGGGCTTTTGATTGACTATGGGTTCCAATAGTTGTGTGGGCATAGGGTGTTGTCTCAGCCACTATGTTTTCTGCAATTGTGACTAGAGAACACCCTGATAGCTCAGTTGGTAGAGCGGAGGGCTGTAGGATGTTCCTCATCTGAAACGCTGTGATCCTGAAGTCGCCGGTTCAACTCCAGCTCCAACCCTGTGCATGTCAAATTGAAATAAAGCCAAGCCTTGTCTTTATCTGTCAACTCCTCCAATATTTAAAAACACAAACCACATAACTTAATTTTCCAACCATCAATTTTTTATTCAACCAGCCTAAAAGTCTTGATTATCAGTTCTGGGTCCCTGGCAATGACTGTTGGGTACAAACTGCAAAGCTTTGTTCTGCAGGTAGGGCTGGGCTTTTGATTGACTATGGGTTCCAATAGTTGTGTGGGCATAGGGTGTTGTCTCAGCCACTATGTTTTCTGCAATTGTGACTAGAGAACACCCTTATAGCTCAGTTGGTAGAGCGGAGAGCTGTAGGATGTTCCTCATCTGAAACGCTGTGATCCTGAAGTCTCCGGTTCAACTCCAGCTCCAAGCCTGTGCATGCCAAATTGAAATAAAGCCAAGCCTTGTCTTTATCTGTCAACTCCTCCAATATTTAAAAACACAAACCACATAACTTAATTTTCCAACCATCAATTTTTTATTCACCCAGCCTAAAAGTCTTGATTATCAGTTCTGGGTCCCTGGCAATGACTGTTGGGTACAAGCTGCAAAGCTTTGTTCTGCGGGTAGGGCTGGGCTTTTGATTGACTATGGGTTCCAATAGTTGTGTGGGCATAGGGTGTTGTCTCAGCCACTATGTTTTCTGCAATTGTGACTAGAGAACACCCTGATAGCTCAGTTGGTAGAGCGGAGGGCTGTAGGATGTTTCTCATCTGAAACGCTGTGATCCTGAAGTCGCCGTTTCAACTCCAGCTCCAAGCCTGTGCATGTCAAATTGAAATAAAGCCAAGCCTTGTCTTTATCTGTCAACTCCTCCAATATTTAAAACCACATAACTTAATTTTCCAACCATCAATTTTTTATTCACCCAGCCTAAAAGTCTTGATTATCAGTTCTGGGTCCCTGGCAATGACTGTTGGTTACAAACTGCAAAGCTTTGTTCTGCAGGTAGGGCTGGGCTTTTGATTGACTATGGGTTCCAATAGTTGTGTGGGCATAGGGTGTTGTCTCAGCCACTATGTTTTCTGCAATTGTGACTAGAGAACACCCTGATAGCTCAGTTGGTAGAGCGGAGGGCTGTAGGATGTTCCTCATCTGAAACGCTGTGATCCTGAAGTCGCCGGTTCAACTCCAGCTCCAAGCCTTTGCATGTTAAAATTGAAATAAAGCCAAGCCTTGTCTTTATCTGTCTACTCCTCCAATATTTAAAACCACAAACCAAATAACTTAATTTTCCAACCATCAGTTTTTTATTCACCCAGCCTAAAAGTCTTGATTATCAGTTCTGGGTCCCTGGCAATGACTGTTGGGTACAAACTGCAAAGCTTTGTTCTGCAGGTAGGGCTGGGCTTTTGATTGACTATGGGTTCCAATAGTTGTGTGGGCATAGGGTGTTGTCTCAGCCACTATGTTTTCTGCAATTGTGACTAGAGAACACCCTGATAGCTCAGTTGGTAGAGCGGAGGGCTGTAGGATGTTCCTCATCTGAAACGCTGCGATCCTGAAGTCGCCGGTTCAACTCCAGCTCCAAGCCTGTGCATGTCAAATTGAAATAAAGCCAAGCCTTGTCTTTATCTGTCAACTCCTCCAATATTTAAAACCACATAACTTAATTTTCCAACCATCAATTTTTTATTCACCCAGCCTAAAAGTCTTGATTATCAGTTCTGGGTCCCTGGCAATGACTGTTGGGTACAAACTGCAAAGCTTTGTTCTGCAGGTAGGGCTGGGCTTTTGATTGACTATGGGTTCCAATAGTTGTGTGGGCATAGGGTGTTGTCTCAGCCACTATGTTTTCTGCGATTGTGACTAGAGAACACCCTGATAGCTCAGTTGGTAGAGCGGAGGGCTGTAGGATGTTCCTCATCTGAAACGCTGTGATCCTGAAGTCGCCGTTTCAACTCCAGCTCCAAGCCTGTGCATGTCAAATTGAAATAAAGCCAAGCCTTGTCTTTATCTGTCAACTCCTCCAATATTTAAAACCACATAACTTAATTTTCCAACCATCAATTTTTTATTCACCCAGCCTAAAAGTCTTGATTATCAGTTCTGGGTCCCTGGCAATGACTGTTGGTTACAAACTGCAAAGCTTTGTTCTGCAGGTAGGGCTGGGCTTTTGATTGACTATGGGTTCCAATAGTTGTGTGGGCATAGGGTGTTGTCTCAGCCACTATGTTTTCTGCAATTGTGACTAGAGAACACCCTGATAGCTCAGTTGGTAGAGCGGAGGGCTGTAGGATGTTCCTCATCTGAAACGCTGTGATCCTGAAGTCGCCGGTTCAACTCCAGCTCCAAGCCTTTGCATGTTAAAATTGAAATAAAGCCAAGCCTTGTCTTTATCTGTCTACTCCTCCAATATTTAAAACCACAAACCAAATAACTTAATTTTCCAACCATCAGTTTTTTATTCACCCAGCCTAAAAGTCTTGATTATCAGTTCTGGGTCCCTGGCAATGACTGTTGGGTACAAACTGCAAAGCTTTGTTCTGCAGGTAGGGCTGGGCTTTTGATTGACTATGGGTTCCAATAGTTGTGTGGGCATAGGGTGTTGTCTCAGCCACTATGTTTTCTGCAATTGTGACTAGAGAACACCCTGATAGCTCAGTTGGTAGAGCGGAGGGCTGTAGGATGTTCCTCATCTGAAACGCTGCGATCCTGAAGTCGCCGGTTCAACTCCAGCTCCAAGCCTGTGCATGTCAAATTGAAATAAAGCCAAGCCTTGTCTTTATCTGTCAACTCCTCCAATATTTAAAACCACATAACTTAATTTTCCAACCATCAATTTTTTATTCACCCAGCCTAAAAGTCTTGATTATCAGTTCTGGGTCCCTGGCAATGACTGTTGGGTACAAACTGCAAAGCTTTGTTCTGCAGGTAGGGCTGGGCTTTTGATTGACTATGGGTTCCAATAGTTGTGTGGGCATAGGGTGTTGTCTCAGCCACTATGTTTTCTGCGATTGTGACTAGAGAACACCCTGATAGCTCAGTTGGTAGAGCGGAGGGCTGTAGGATGTTCCTCATCTGAAACGCTGTGATCCTGAAGTCGCCGGTTCAACTCCAGCTCCAAGCCTTTGCATGTTAAAATTGAAATAAAGCCAAGCCTTGTCTTTATCTGTCTACTCCTCCAATATTTAAAACCACAAACCAAATAACTTAATTTTCCAACCATCAGTTTTTTATTCACCCAGCCTAAAAGTCTTGATTATCAGTTCTGGGTCCCTGGCAATGACTGTTGGGTACAAACTGCAAAGCTTTGTTCTGCAGGTAGGGCTGGGCTTTTGATTGACTATGGGTTCCAATAGTTGTGTGGGCATAGGGTGTTGTCTCAGCCACTATTTTTTCTGCAATTGTGACTAGAGAACACCCTGATAGCTCAGTTGGTAGAGCGGAGGGCTGTAGGATGTTCCTCATCTGAAACGCTGCGATCCTGAAGTCGCCGGTTCAACTCCAGCTCCAAGCCTGTGCATGTCAAATTGAAATAAAGCCAAGCCTTGTCTTTATCTGTCAACTCCTCCAATATTTTAAACCACATAACTTAATTTTCCAACCATCAATTTTTTATTCACCCAGCCTAAAAGTCTTGATTATCAGTTCTGGGTCCCTGGCAATGACTGTTGGGTACAAACTGCAAAGCTTTGTTCTGCAGGTAGGGCTGGGCTTTTGATTGACTATGGGTTCCAATAGTTGTGTGGGCATAGGGTGTTGTCTCAGCCACTATGTTTTCTGCAATTGTGACAAGAGAACACCCTGATAGCTCAGTTGGTAGAGCGGAGGGCTGTAGGATGTTCCTCATCTGAAACGCTGTGATCCTGAAGTCGCCGGTTCAACTCCAGCTCCAAGCCTGTGCATGTCAAATTGAAATAAAGCCAAGCCTTGTCTTTATCTGTCAACTCCTCCAATATTTAAAACCACAAACCACATAACTTAATTTTCCAACCATCAGTTTTTTATTCACCCAGCCTAAAAGTCTTGATTATCAGTTCTGGGTCCCTGGCAATGACTGTTGGGTACAAGCTGCAAAGCTTTGTTCTGCAGGTAGGGCTGGGCTTTTGATTGACTATGGGTTCCAATAGTTGTGTGGGCATAGGGTGTTGTCTCAGCCACTATGTTTTCTGCAATTGTGGCTAGAGAACACCCTGATAGCTCAGTTGGTAGAGCGGAGGGCTGTAGGATGTTCCTCATCTGAAACGCTGTGATCCTGAAGTCGCCGGTTCAACTCCAGCTCCAAGCCTGTGCATGTCAAATTGAAATAAAGCCAAGCTTTGTCTTTATCTGTCAACTCCTCCAATATTTAAAAACACAAACCACATAACTTAATTTTCCAACAGTCAATTTTTTATTCACCCAGCCTGAAAGTCTTGATTATCAGTTATGGGTCCTTGGCAATGACTGTTGGGTACAAACTGCAAAGCTTTGTTCTGCAGGTAGGGCTGGGCTTTTGATTGACTATGGGTTCCAATAGTTGTGTGGGCATAGGGTGTTGTCTCAGCCACTATGTTTTCTGCAATTGTGACTAGAGAACACCCTGATAGCTCAGTTGGTAGAGCGGAGGGCTGTAGGATGTTCCTCATCTGAAACGATGTGATCCTGAAGTCGCCGGTTCAACTCCAGCTCCAAGCCTGTGCATGTCAAATTGAAATAAAGCCAAGCCTTGTCTTTATCTGTCAACTCCTCCAATATTTAAAAACACAAACCACATAACTTAATTTTCCAACCATCAATTTTTTATTCACCCAGCCTAAAAGTCTTGATTATCAGTTCTGGGTCCCTGGCAATGACTGTTGGGTACAAACTGCAAAGCTTTGTTCTGCAGGTAGGGCTGGGCTTTTGATTGACTATGGGTTCCAATAGTTGTGTGGGCATAGGGTGTTGTCTCAGCCACTATGTTTTCTGCAATTGTGACCAGAGAACACCCTGATAGCTCAGTTGGTAGAGCGGAGGGCTGTAGGATGTTCCTCATCTGAAACGCTGTGATCCTGAAGTCGCCGGTTCAACTCCAGCTCCAACCCTCTGCATGTCAAATTGAAATAAAGCCAAGCCTTGTCTTTATCTGTCAACTCCTCCAATATTTAAAAACACAAACCACATAACTTAATTTTCCAACCATCAATTTTTTATTCAACCAGCCTAAAAGTCTTGATTATCAGTTCTGGGTCCCTGGCAATGACTGTTGGGTACAAACTGCAAAGCTTTGTTCTGCAGGTAGGGCTGGGCTTTTGATTGACTATGGGTTCCAATAGTTGTGTGGGCATAGGGTGTTGTCTCAGCCACTATGTTTTCTGCAATTGTGACTAGAGAACACCCTGATAGCTCAGTTGGTAGAGCGGAGAGCTGTAGGATGTTCCTCATCTGAAACGCTGTGATCCTGAAGTCGCCGGTTCAACTCCAGCTCCAAGCCTGTGCATGTCAAATTGAAATAAAGCCAAGCCTTCTCTTTATCTGTCAACTCCTCCAATATTTAAAACCACAAACCACATAACTTAATTTTCCAACCATCAGTTTTTTATTCACCCAGCCTAAAAGTCTTGATTATCAGTTCTGGGTCCCTGGCAATGACTGTTGGGTACAAGCTGCAAAGCTTTGTTCTGCAGGTAGGGCTGGGCTTTTGATTGACTATGGGTTCCAATAGTTGTGTGGGCATAGGGTGTTGTCTCAGCCACTATGTTTTCTGCAATTGTGGCTAGAGAACACCCTGATAGCTCAGTTGGTAGAGCTGAGGGCTGTAGGATGTTCCTCATCTGAAACGCTGTGATCCTGAAGTCGCCGGTTCAACTCCAGCTCCAAGCCTGTGCATGTCAAATTGAAATAAAGCCAACCCTTGTCTTTATCTGTCAACTCCTCCAATATTTAAAAACACAAACCACATAACTTAATTTTCCAACCATCAATTTTTTATTCACCCAGCCTAAAAGTCTTGATTATCAGTTCTGGGTCCCTGGCAATGACTGTTGGGTACAAACTGCAAAGCTTTGTTCTGCAGGTAGGGCTGGGCTTTTGATTGACTATGGGTTCCAATAGTTGTGTGGGCATAGGGTGTTGTCTCAGCCACTATGTTTTCTGCAATTGTGACTAGAGAACACCCTGATAGCTCAGTTGGTAGAGCGGAGGGCTGTAGGATGTTCCTCATCTGAAACGCTGTGATCCTGAAGTCGCCGGTTCAACTCCAGCTCCAAGCCTGTGCATGTCAAATTGAAATAAAGCCAAGCCTTGTCTTTATCTGTCAACTCCTCCAATATTTAAAACCACAAACCACATAACTTAATTTTCCAACCATCAGTTTTTTATTCACCCAGCCTAAAAGTCTTGATTATCAGTTCTGGGTCCCTGGCAATGACTGTTGGGTACAAGCTGCAAAGCTTTGTTCTGCAGGTAGGGCTGGGCTTTTGATTGACTATGGGTTCCAATAGTTGTGTGGGCATAGGGTGTTGTCTCAGCCACTATGTTTTCTGCAATTGTGGCTAGAGAACACCCTCATAGCTCAGTTGGTAGAGCTGAGGGCTGTAGGATGTTCCTCATCTGAAACGCTGTGATCCTGAAGTCGCCGGTTCAACTCCAGCTCCAAGCCTGTGCATGTCAAATTGAAATAAAGCCAAGCCTTGTCTTTATCTGTCAACTCCTCCAATATTTAAAAACACAAACCACATAACTTAATTTTCCAACCATCAATTTTTTATTCACCCAGCCTAAAAGTCTTGATTATCAGTTCTGGGTCCCTGGCAATGACTGTTGGGTACAAACTGCAAAGCTTTGTTCTGCAGGTAGGGCTGGGCTTTTGATTGACTATGGGTTCCAATAGTTGTGTGGGCATAGGGTGTTGTCTCAGCCACTATGTTTTCTGCAATTGTGACTAGAGAACACCCTGATAGCTCAGTTGGTAGAGCGGAGGGCTGTAGGATGTTCCTCATCTGAAACGCTGTGATCCTGAAGTCGCCGGTTCAACTCCAGCTCCAAGCCTGTGCATGTCAAATTGAAATAAAGCCAAGCCTTGTCTTTATCTGTCAACTCCTCCAATATTTAAAACCACAAACCACATAACTTAATTTTCCAACCATCAGTTTTTTATTCACCCAGCCTAAAAGTCTTGATTATCAGTTCTGGGTCCCTGGCAATGACTGTTGGGTACAAACTGCAAAGCTTTGTTCTGCAGGTAGGGCTGGGCTTTTGATTGACTATGGGTTCCAATAGTTGTGTGGGCATAGGGTGTTGTCTCAGCCACTATGTTTTCTGCAATTGTGACTAGAGAACACCCTGATAGCTCAGTTGGTAGAGCGGAGGGCTGTAGGATGTTCCTCATCTGAAACGCTGTGATCCTGAAGTCGCCGGTTCAACTCCAGCTCCAAGCCTGTGCATGTCAAATTGAAATAAAGCCAAGCCTTGTCTTTATCTGTCAACTCCTCCAATATTTAAAACCACATAACTTAATTTTCCAACCATCAATTTTTTATTCACCCAGCCTAAAAGTCTTGATTATCAGTTCTGGGTCCCTGGCAATGACTGTTGGGTACAAGCTGCAAAGCTTTGTTCTGCAGGTAGGGCTGGGCTTTTGATTGACTATGGGTTCCAATAGTTGTGTGGGCATAGGGTGTTGTCTCAGCCACTATGTTTTCTGCGATTGTGACTAGAGAACACCCTGATAGCTCAGTTGGTAGAGCGGAGGGCTGTAGCATGTTCCTCATCTGAAACGCTGTGATCCTGAAGTCGCTGGTTCAACTCCAGCTCCAAGCCTGTGCATGTTAAAATTGAAATAAAGCCAAGCCTTGTCTTTATCTGTCAACTCCTCCAATGTTTAAAAACACAAACAACATAACTTAATTTTCCAACCATCAGTTTTTTATTCACCCAGCCTAAAAGTCTTGATAATCAGTTCTGGGTCCCTGGCAATGACTGTTGGGTACAAACTGCAAAGCTTTGTTCTGCAGGTAGGGCTGGGCTTTTGATTGACTATGGGTTCCAATAGTTGTGTGGGCATAGGGTGTTGTCTCAGCCACTATGTTTTCTCAATTGTCACTAGAGAACACCCTGATAGCTCAGTTGGTAGAGCGGAGGGCTGTAGGATGTTCCTCATCTGAAACGCTGTGATCCTGAAGTCGCCGGTTCAACTCCAGCTCCAAGCCTGTGCATGTCAAATTGAAATAAAGCCAAGCCTTGTCTTTATCTGTCAACTCCTCCAATATTTAAAACCACATAACTTAATTTTCCAACCATCAATTTTTTATTCAACCAGCCTAAAAGTCTTGATTATCAGTTCTGGGTCCCTGGCAATGACTGTTGGGTACAAACTGCAAAGCTTTGTTCTGCAGGTAGGGCTGGGCTTTTGATTGACTATGGGTTCCAATAGTTGTGTGGGCATAGGGTGTTGTCTCAGCCACTATGTTTTCTGCAATTGTGACTAGAGAACACCCTGATAGCTCAGTTGGTAGAGCGGAGGGCTGTAGGATGTTCCTTATCTGAAACGCTGTGATCCTGAAGTCGCCGGTTCAACTCCAGCTCCAAGCCTGTGCATGTCAAATTGAAATAAAGCCAAGCCTTGTCTTTATCTGTCAACTCCTCCAATATTTAAAAACACAAACCACATAACTTAATTTTCCAACCATCAATTTTTTATTCAACCAGCCTAAAAGTCTTGATTATCAGTTCTGGGTCCCTGGCAATGACTGTTGGGTACAAACTGCAAAGCTTTGTTCTGCAGGTAGGGCTGGGCTTTTGATTGACTATGGGTTCCAATAGTTGTGTGGGCATAGGGTGTTGTCTCAGCCACTATGTTTTCTGCAATTGTGACTAGAGAACACCCTGATAGCTCAGTTGGTAGAGCGGAGAGCTGTAGGATGTTCCTCATCTGAAACGCTGTGATCCTGAAGTCGCCGGTTCAACTCCAGCTCCAAGCCTGTGCATGTCAAATTGAAATAAAGCCAAGCCTTGTCTTTATCTGTCAACTCCTCCAATATTTAAAACCACAAACCACATAACTTAATTTTCCAACCATCAGTTTTTTATTCACCCAGCCTAAAAGTCTTGATTATCAGTTCTGGGTCCCTGGCAATGACTGTTGGGTACAAGCTGCAAAGCTTTGTTCTGCAGGTAGGGCTGGGCTTTTGATTGACTATGGGTTCCAATAGTTGTGTGGGCATAGGGTGTTGTCTCAGCCACTATGTTTTCTGCAATTGTGGCTAGAGAACACCCTGATAGCTCAGTTGGTAGAGCTGAGGCCTGTAGGATGTTCCTCATCTGAAACGCTGTGATCCTGAAGTCGCCGGTTCAACTCCAGCTCCAAGCCTGTGCATGTCAAATTGAAATAAAGCCAAGCCTTGTCTTTATCTGTCAACTCCTCCAATATTTAAAAACACAAACCACATAACTTAATTTTCCAACCATCAATTTTTTATTCACCCAGCCTAAAAGTCTTGATTATCAGTTCTGGGTCCCTGGCAATGACTGTTGGGTACAAACTGCAAAGCTTTGTTCTGCAGGTAGGGCTGGGCTTTTGATTGACTATGGGTTCCAATAGTTGTGTGGGCATAGGGTGTTGTCTCAGCCACTATGTTTTCTGCAATTGTGACTAGAGAACACCCTGATAGCTCACTTGGTAGAGCGGAGGGCTGTAGGATGTTCCTCATCTGAAACGCTGTGATCCTGAAGTCGCTGGTTCAACTCCAGCTCCAAGCCTGTGCATGTCAAATTGAAATAAAGCCAAGCCTTGTCTTTATCTGTCAACTCCTCCAATATTTAAAAACACAAACCACATAACTTAATTTTCCAACCATCAATTTTTTATTCACCCAGCCTAAAAGTCTTGATTATCAGTTCTGGGTCCCTGGCAATGACTGTTGGGTACAAACTGCAAAGCTTTGTTCTGCAGGTAGGGCTGGGCTTTTGATTGACTATGGGTTCCAATAGTTGTGTGGGCATAGGGTGTTGTCTCAGCCACTATGTTTTCTGCAATTGTGACTAGAGAACACCCTGATAGCTCAGTTGGTAGAGCGGAGGGCTGTAGGATGTTCCTCATCTGAAACGCTGTGATCCTGAAGTCGCCGGTTCAACTCCAGCTCCAAGCCTGTGCATGTCAAATTGAAATAAAGCCAAGCCTTGTCTTTATCTGTCAACTCCTCCAATATTTAAAACCACAAACCACATAACTTAATTTTCCAACCATCAGTTTTTTATTCACCCAGCCTAAAAGTCTTGATTATCAGTTCTGAGTCCCTGGCAATGACTGTTGGGTACAAGCTGCAAAGCTTTGTTCTGCAGGTAGGGCTGGGCTTTTGATTGACTATGGGTTCCAATAGTTGTGTGGGCATAGGGTGTTGTCTCAGCCACTATGTTTTCTGCAATTGTGGCTAGAGAACACCCTGATAGCTCAGTTGGTAGAGCTGAGGGCTGTAGGATGTTCCTCATCTGAAACGCTGTGATCCTGAAGTTGCCGGTTCAACTCCAGCTCCAAGCCTGTGCATGTCAAATTGAAATAAAGCCAAGCCTTGTCTTTATCTGTCAACTCCTCCAATATTTAAAAACACAAACCACATAACTTAATTTTCCAACCATCAATTTTTTATTCACCCAGCCTAAAAGTCTTGATTATCAGTTCTGGGTCCCTGGCAATGACTGTTGGGTACAAACTGCAAAGCTTTGTTCTGCAGGTAGGGCTGGGCTTTTGATTGACTATGGGTTCCAATAGTTGTGTGGGCATAGGGTGTTGTCTCAGCCACTATGTTTTCTGCAATTGTGACTAGAGAACACCCTGATAGCTCACTTGGTAGAGCGGAGGGCTGTAGGATGTTCCTCATCTGAAACGCTGTGATCCTGAAGTCGCCGGTTCAACTCCAGCTCCAAGCCTGTGCATGTCAAATTGAAATAAAGCCAAGCCTTGTCTTTATCTGTCAACTCCTCCAATATTTAAAACCACATAACTTAATTTTCCAACCATCAATTTTTTATTCACCCAGCCTAAAAGTCTTGATTATCAGTTCTGGGTCTCTGGCAATGACTGTTGGGTACAAACTGCAAAGCTTTGTTCTGCAGGTAGGGCTGGGCTTTTGATTGACTATGGGTTCCAATAGTTGTGTGGGCATAGGGTGTTGTCTCAGCCACTATGTTTTCTGCAATTGTGACTAGAGAACACCCTGATAGCTCAGTTGGTAGAGCGGAGGGCTGTAGGATGTTCCTCATCTGAAACGCTGTGATCCTGAAGTCGCCGGTTCAACTCCAGCTCCAAGCCTGTGCATGTCAAATTGAAATAAAGCCAAGCCTTGTCTTTATCTGTCAACTCCTCCAATATGTCAAACCACATAACTTAATTTTCCAACCATCAGTTTTTTATTCACCCAGCCTAAAAGTCTTGATTATCAGTTCTGGGTCCCTGGCAATGACTGTTGGGTACAAGCTGCAAAGCTTTGTTCTGCAGGTAGGGCTGGGCTTTTGATTGACTATGGGTTCCAATAGTTGTGTGGGCATAGGGTGTTGTCTCAGCCACTATGTTTTCTGCAATTGTGGCTAGAGAACACCCTGATAGCTCAGTTGGTAGAGCTGAGGGCTGTAGGATGTTCCTCATCTGAAACGCTGTGATCCTGAAGTCGCCGGTTCAACTCCAGCTCCAAGCCTGTGCATGTCAAATTGAAATAAAGCCAAGCCTTGTCTTTATCTGTCAACTCCTCCAATATTTAAAACCACAAACCACATAACTTAATTTTCCAACCATCAATTTTTTTATTCACCCAGCCTAAAAGTCTTGATTATCAGTTCTGGGTCCCTGGCAATGACTGTTGGGTACAAGCTGCAAAGCTTTGTTCTGCAGGTAGGGCTGGGCTTTTGATTGACTATGGGTTCCAATAGTTGTGTGGGCATAGGGTGTTGTCTCAGCCACTATGTTTTCTGCAATTGTGACTAGAGAACACCCTGATAGCTCAGTTGGTAGAGCGGAGAGCTGTAGGATGTTCCTCATCTGAAACGCTGTGATCCTGAAGTCGCCGGTTCAACTCCAGCTCCAAGCCTGTGCATGTCAAATTGAAATAAAGCCAAGCCTTGTCTTTATCTGTCAACTCCTCCAATATTTAAAAACACATAACTTAATTTTCCAACCATCAATTTTTTATTCACCCAGCCTAAAAGTCTTGATTATCAGTTCTGGGTCCCTGGCAATGACTGTTGGGTACAAACTGCAAAGCTTTGTTCTGCAGGTAGGGCTGGGCTTTTGATTGACTATGGGTTCCAATAGTTGTGTGGGCATAGGGTGTTGTCTCAGCCACTATGTTTTCTGCAATTGTGACTAGAGAACACCCTGATAGCTCAGTTGGTAGAGCGGAGGGCTGTAGGATGTTCCTAATCTGAAACGCTGTGATCCTGAAGTCGCCGGTTCAACTCCAGCTCCAAGCCTGTGCATGTCAAATTGAAATAAAGCCAAGCCTTGTCTTTATCTGTCAACTCCTCCAATATTTAAAACCACAAACCACATAACTTAATTTTCCAACCATCAGTTTTTTATTCACCCAGCCTAAAAGTCTTGATTATCAGTTCTGGGTCCCTGGCAATGACTGTTGGGTACAAACTGCAAAGCTTTGTTCTGCAGGTAGGGCTGGGCTTTTGATTGACTATGGGTTCCAATAGTTGTGTGGGCATAGGGTGTTGTCTCAGCCACTATGTTTTCTGCAATTGTGACTAGAGAACACCCTGATAGCTCAGTTGGTAGAGCGGAGGGCTGTAGGATGTTCCTCATCTGAAACGCTGTGATCCTGAAGTCGCCAGTTCAACTCCAGCTCCAAGCCTGTGCATGTCAAATTGAAATAAAGCCAAGCCTTCTCTTTATCTGTCAACTCCTCCAATATTTAAAAACACAAACCACATAACTTAATTTTCCAACCATCAGTTTTTTATTCACCCAGCCTAAAAGTCTTGATTATCAGTTCTGGGTCCCTGGCAATGACTGTTGGGTACAAGCTGCAAAGCTTTGTTCTGCAGGTAGGGCTGGGCTTTTGATTGACTATGGGTTCCAATAGTTGTGTGGGCATAGGGTGTTGTCTCAGCCACTATGTTTTCTGCAATTGTGACTACAGAACACCCTGATAGCTCAGTTGGTAAAGCGGAGGGCTGTAGGATGTTCCTCATCTGAAACGCTGTGATCCTGAAGTCGCCGGTTCAACTCCAGCTCCAAGCCTGTGCATGTCAAATTGAAATAAAGCCAAGCCTTGTCTTTATCTGTCAACTCCTCCAATATTTAAAACCACAAACCACATAACTTAATTTTCCAACCATCAATTTTTTATTCACCCAGCCTAAAAGTCTTGATTATCAGTTCTGGGTCCCTGGCAATGACTGTTGGGTACAAGCTGCAAAGCTTTGTTCTGCAGCTAGGGCTGGGCTTTTGATTGACTATGGGTTCCAATAGTTGTGTGGGCATAGGGTGTTGTCTCAGCCACTATGTTTTCTGCAATTGTGACTAGAGAACACCCTGATAGCTCAGTTGGTAGAGCGGACGGCTGTAGGATGTTCCTCATCTGAAACGCTGTGATCCTGAAGTCGCCGGTTCAACTCCAGCTCCAAGCCTGTGCATGTCAAATTGAAATAAAGCCAAGCCTTGTCTTTATCTGTCAACTCCTCCAATATTTAAAAACACAAACCACATAACTTAATTTTCCAACCATCAGTTTTTTATTCACCCAGCCTAAAAGTCTTGATTATCAGTTCTGGGTCCCTGGCAATGACTGTTGGGTACAAGCTGCAAAGCTTTGTTCTGCAGGTAGGGCTGGGCTTTTGATTGACTATGGGTTCCAATAGTTGTGTGGGCATAGGGTGTTGTCTCAGCCACTATGTTTTCTGCAATTGTGACTAGAGAACACCCTGATAGCGCCGTTGGTAGAGCGGAGGGCTGTAGGATGTTTCTCATCTGAAACGCTGTGATCCTGAAGTCGCCGGTTCAACTCCAGCTCCAAGCCTGTGCATGTCAAATTGAAATAAAGCCAAGCCTTGTCTTTATCTGTCAACTCCTCCAATATTTAAAAACACATAACTTAATTTTCCAACCATCAATTTTTTATTCACCCAGCCTAAAAGTCTTGATTATCAGTTCTGGGTCCCTGGCAATGACTGTTGGGTACAAACTGCAAAGCTTTGTTCTGCAGGTAGGGCTGGGCTTTTGATTGACTATGGGTTCCAATAGTTGTGTGGGCATAGGGTGTTGTCCCAGCCACTATGTTTTCTGCGATTGTGACTAGAGAACACCCTGATAGCTCAGTTGGTAGAGCGGAGCGCTGTAGCATGTTCCTCATCTGAAACGCTGTGATCCTGAAGTCGCTCGTTCAACTCCAGCTCCAAGCCTGTGCATGTTAAAATTGAAATAAAGCCAAGCCTTGTCTTTATCTGTCAACTCCTCCAATACTTAAAAACACAAACAACATAACTTAATTTTCCAACCATCAGTTTTTTATTCACCCAGCCTAAAAGTCTTGATTATCAGTTCTGGGTCCCTGGCAATGACTGTTGGGTACAAACTGCAAAGCTTTGTTCTGCAGGTAGGGCTGGGCTTTTGATTGACTATGGGTTCCAATAGTTGTGTGGGCATAGGGTGTTGTCTCAGCCACTATGTTTTCTGCAATTGTGACTAGAGAACACCCTGATAGCTCAGTTGGTAGAGCGGAGTGCTGTAGGATGTTCCTCATCTGAAACGCTGTGATCCTGAAGTCGCCGGTTCAACTCCAGCTCCAAGCCTGTGCATGTCAAATTGAAATAAAGCCAAGCCTTGTCTTTATCTGTCAACTCCTCCAATATTTAAAAACACAAACCACATAACTTAATTTTCCAACCATCAATTTTTTATTCACCCAGCCTAAAAGTCTTGATTATCAGTTCTGGGTCCCTTGCAATGACTGTTGGGTACAAACTGCAAAGCTTTGTTCTGCAGGTAGGGCTGGGCTTTTGATTGACTATGGGTTCCAATAGTTGTGTGGGCATAGGGTGTTGTCTCAGCCACTATGTTTTCTGCAATTGTGACTAGAGAACACCCTGATAGCTCAGTTGGTAGAGCGGAGGGCTGTAGGATGTTCCTCATCTGAAACGCTGTGATCCTGAAGTCGCCGGTTCAACTCCAGCTCCAAGCCTGTGCATGTCAAATTGAAATAAAGCCAAGCCTTGTCTTTATCTGTCAACTCCTCAAATATTTAAAACCACAAACCACATAACTTAATTTTCCAACCATCAGTTTTTTATTCACCCAGCCTAAAAGTCATGATTATCAGTTCTGGGTCCCTGGCAATGACTGTTGGGTACAAACTGCAAAGCTTTGTTCTGCAGGTAGGGCTGGGCTTTTGATTGACTATGGGTTCCAATAGTTGTGTGGGCATAGGGTGTTGTCTCAGCCACTATGTTTTCTGCAATTGTGACTAGAGAACACCCTGATAGCTCAGTTGGTAGAGCGGAGGGCTGTAGGATGTTCCTCATCTGAAACGCTGTGATCCTGAAGTCGCCGGTTCAACTCCAGCTCCAAGCCTGTGCATGTCAAATTGAAATAAAGCCAAGCCTTGTCTTTATCTGTCAACTCCTCCAATATTTAAAACCACATAACTTAATTTTCCAACCATCAATTTTTTATTCACCCAGCCTAAAAGTCTTGATTATCAGTTCTGGGTCTCTGGCAATGACTGTTGGGTACAAACTGCAAAGCTTTGTTCTGCAGGTAGGGCTGGGCTTTTGATTGACTATGGGTTCCAATAGTTGTGTGGGCATAGGGTGTTGTCTCAGCCACTATGTTTTCTGCAATTGTGACTAGAGAACACCCTGATAGCTCAGTTGTTAGAGCGGAGGGCTGTAGGATGTTCCTCATCTGAAACGCTGTGATCCTGAAGTCGCCGGTTCAACTCCAGCTCCAAGCCTGTGCATGTCAAATTGAAATAAAGCCAAGCCTTGTCTTTATCTGTCAACTCCTCCAATATGTCAAACCACATAACTTAATTTTCCAACCATCAGTTTTTTATTCACCCAGCCTAAAAGTCTTGATTATCAGTTCTGGGTCCCTGGCAATGACTGTTGGGTACAAGCTGCAAAGCTTTGTTCTGCAGGTAGGGCTGGGCTTTTGATTGACTATGGGTTCCAATAGTTGTGTGGGCATAGGGTGTTGTCTCAGCCACTATGTTTTCTGCAATTGTGTCTAGAGAACACCCTCATAGCTCAGTTGGTAGAGCTGAGGGCTGTAGGATGTTCCTCATCTGAAACGCTGTGATCCTGAAGTCGCCGGTTCAACTCCAGCTCCAAGCCTGTGCATGTCAAATTGAAATAAAGCCAAGCCTTGTCTTTATCTGTCAACTCCTCCAATATTTAAAACCACAAACCACATAACTTAATTTTCCAACCATCAATTTTTTTATTCACCCAGCCTAAAAGTCTTGATTATCAGTTCTGGGTCCCTGGCAATGACTGTTGGGTACAAGCTGCAAAGCTTTGTTCTGCAGGTAGGGCTGGGCTTTTGATTGACTATGGGTTCCAATAGTTGTGTGGGCATAGGGTGTTGTCTCAGCCACTATGTTTTCTGCAATTGTGACTAGAGAACACCCTGATAGCTCAGTTGGTAGAGCGGAGAGCTGTAGGATGTTCCTCATCTGAAACGCTGTGATCCTGAAGTCGCCGGCTCAACTCCAGCTCCAAGCCTGTGCATGTCAAATTGAAATAAAGCCAAGCCTTGTCTTTATCTGTCAACTCCTCCAATATTTAAAAACACATAACTTAATTTTCCAACCATCAATTTTTTATTCACCCAGCCTAAAAGTCTTGATTATCAGTTCTGGGTCCCTGGCAATGACTGTTGGGTACAAACTGCAAAGCTTTGTTCTGCAGGTAGGGCTGGGCTTTTGATTGACTATGGGTTCCAATAGTTGTGTGGGCATAGGGTGTTGTCTCAGCCACTATGTTTTCTGCAATTGTGACTAGAGAACACCCTGATAGCTCAGTTGGTAGAGCGGAGGGCTGTAGGATGTTCCTAATCTGAAACGCTGTGATCCTGAAGTCGCCGGTTCAACTCCAGCTCCAAGCCTGTGCATGTCAAATTGAAATAAAGCCAAGCCTTGTCTTTATCTGTCAACTCCTCCAATATTTAAAACCACAAACCACATAACTTAATTTTCCAACCATCAGTTTTTTATTCACCCAGCCTAAAAGTCTTGATTATCAGTTCTGGGTCCCTGGCAATGACTGTTGGGTACAAACTGCAAAGCTTTGTTCTGCAGGTAGGGCTGGGCTTTTGATTGACTATGGGTTCCAATAGTTGTGTGGGCATAGGGTGTTGTCTCAGCCACTATGTTTTCTGCAATTGTGACTAGAGAACACCCTGATAGCTCAGTTGGTAGAGCGGAGTGCTGTAGGATGTTCCTCATCTGAAACGCTGTGATCCTGAAGTCGCCGGTTCAACTCCAGCTCCAAGCCTGTGCATGTCAAATTGAAATAAAGCCAAGCCTTGTCTTTATCTGTCAACTCCTCCAATATTTAAAAACACAAACCACATAACTTAATTTTCCAACCATCAGTTTTTTATTCACCCAGCCTAAAAGTCTTGATTATCAGTTCTGGGTCCCTGGCAATGACTGTTGGGTACAAGCTGCAAAGCTTTGTTCTGCAGGTAGGGCTGGGCTTTTGATTGACTATGGGTTCCAATAGTTGTGTGGGCATAGGGTGTTGTCTCAGCCACTATGTTTTCTGCAATTGTGACTAGAGAACACCCTGATAGCGCCGTTGGTAGAGCGGAGGGCTGTAGGATGTTTCTCATCTGAAACGCTGTGATCCTGAAGTCGCCGGTTCAACTCCAGCTCCAAGCCTGTGCATGTCAAATTGAAATAAAGCCAAGCCTTGTCTTTATCTGTCAACTCCTCCAATATTTAAAAACACATAACTTAATTTTCCAACCATCAATTTTTTATTCACCCAGCCTAAAAGTCTTGATTATCAGTTCTGGGTCCCTGGCAATGACTGTTGGGTACAAACTGCAAAGCTTTGTTCTGCAGGTAGGGCTGGGCTTTTGATTGACTATGGGTTCCAATAGTTGTGTGGGCATAGGGTGTTGTCCCAGCCACTATGTTTTCTGCGATTGTGACTAGAGAACACCCTGATAGCTCAGTTGGTAGAGCGGAGCGCTGTAGCATGTTCCTCATCTGAAACGCTGTGATCCTGAAGTCGCTCGTTCAACTCCAGCTCCAAGCCTGTGCATGTTAAAATTGAAATAAAGCCAAGCCTTGTCTTTATCTGTCAACTCCTCCAATATTTAAAAACACAAACAACATAACTTAATTTTCCAACCATCAGTTTTTTATTCACCCAGCCTAAAAGTCTTGATTATCAGTTCTGGGTCCCTGGCAATGACTGTTGGGTACAAACTGCAAAGCTTTGTTCTGCAGGTAGGGCTGGGCTTTTGATTGACTATGGGTTCCAATAGTTGTGTGGGCATAGGGTGTTGTCTCAGCCACTATGTTTTCTGCAATTGTGACTAGAGAACACCCTGATAGCTCAGTTGGTAGAGCGGAGTGCTGTAGGATGTTCCTCATCTGAAACGCTGTGATCCTGAAGTCGCCGGTTCAACTCCAGCTCCAAGCCTGTGCATGTCAAATTGAAATAAAGCCAAGCCTTGTCTTTATCTGTCAACTCCTCCAATATTTAAAAACACATAACTTAATTTTCCAACAGTCAATTTTTTATTCACCCAGCCTAAAAGTCTTGATTATCAGTTCTGGGTCCCTGGCAATGACTGTTGGGTACAAACTGCAAAGCTTTGTTCTGCAGGTAGGGCTGGGCTTTTGATTGACTATGGGTTCCAATAGTTGTGTGGGCATAGGGTGTTGTCTCAGCCACTGTTTTCTGCGATTGTGACTAGAGAACACCCTGATAGCTCAGTTGGTAGAGCGGAGGGCTGTAGGATGTTCCTCATCTGAAACGCTGTGATCCTGAAGTCGCTGGTTCAACTCCAGCTCCAAGCCTGTGCATGTCAAATTGAAATAAAGCCAAGCCTTGTCTTTATCTGTCAACTCCTCCAATATTTAAAACCACATAACTTAATTTTCCAACCATCAATTTTTTATTCACCCAGCCTAAAAGTCTTGGTTATCAGTTCTGGGTCCCTGGCAATGACTGTTGGGTACAAGCTGCAAAGCTTTGTTCTGCAGGTAGGGCTGGGCTTTTGATTGACTATGGGTTCCAATAGTTGTGTGGGCATAGGGTGTTGTCTCAGCCACTATGTTTTCTGCAATTGTGACTAGAGAACACCCTGATAGCTCAGTTGGTAGAGCGGAGGGCTGTAGGATGTTCCTCATCTGAAACGCTGTGATCCTGAAGTCGCCGGTCCAACTCCAGCTCCAAGCCTGTGCATGTCAAATTGAAATAAAGCCAAGCCTTGTCTTTATCTGTCAACTCCTCCAATATTTAAAAACACATAACTTAATTTTCCAACAGTCAATTTTTTATTTACCCAGCCTAAAAGTCTTGATTATCAGTTCTGGGTCCCTGGCAATGACTGTTGGGTACAAACTGCAAAGCTTTGTTCTGCAGGAAGGGCTGGGCTTTTGATTGACTATGGGTTCCAATAGTTGTGTGGGCATAGGGTGTTGTCTCAGCCACTATGTTTTCTGCGATTGTGACTAGAGAACACCCTGATAGCTCAGTTGGTAGAGCGGAGGGCTGTAGCATATTCCTCATCTGAAACGCTGTCATCCTGAAGTCGCTGGTTCAACTCCAGCTCCAAGCCTGTGCATGTTAAAATTGAAATAAAGCCAAGCCTTGTCTTTATCTGTCAACTCCTCCAATATTTAAAAACACAAACAACATAACTTAATTTTCCAACCATCAGTTTTTTATTCACCCAACCTAAAAGTCTTGATTATCAGTTCTGGGTCCCTGGCAATGACTGTTGGGTACAAGCTGCAAAGCTTTGTTCTGCAGGTAGGGCTGGGCTTTTGATTGACTATGGGTTCCAATAGTTGTGTGGGCATAGGGTGTTGTCTCAATCACTATGTTTTCTGCAATTGTGGCTAGAGAACACCCTGATAGCTCAGTTGGTAGAGCGGACGGCTGTAGGATGTTCCTCATCTGAAACGCTGTGATCCTGAAGTCGCCGGTTCAACTCCAGCTCCAAGCCTGTGCATGTCAAATTGAAATAAAGCCAAGCCTTGCCTTTATCTGTCAACTCCTCCAATATTTAAAAACACAAACCACATAACTTAATTTTCCAACCATCAATTTTTTATTCACCCAGCCTGAAAGTCTTGATTATCAGTTATGGGTCCTTGGCAATGACTGTTGGGTACAAACTGCAAAGCTTTGTTCTGCAGGTAGGGCTGGGCTTTTGATTGACTATGGGTTCCAATAGTTGTGTGGGCATAGGGTGTTGTCTCAGCCACTATGTTTTCTGCAATTGTGACTAGAGAACACCCTGATAGCTCAGTTGGTAGAGCGGAGGGCTGTAGGATGTTCCTCATCTGAAACGCTGTGATCCTGAAGTCGCCGGTTCAACTCCAGCTCCAAGCCTGTGCATGTCAAATTGAAATAAAGCCAAGCCTTGTCTTTATCTGTCAACTCCTCCAATATTTAAAACCACAAACATAACTTAATTTTCCAACCATCAATTTTTTATTCACCCAGCCTAAAAGTCTTGATTATCAGTTCTGGGTCCCTGGCAATGACTGTTGGGTACAAGCTGCAAAGCTTTGTTCTGCAGCTAGGGCTGGGCTTTTGATTGACTATGGGTTCCAATAGTTGTGTGGGCATAGGGTGTTGTCTCAGCCACTATGTTTTCTGCAATTGTGACTAGAGAACACCCTGATAGCTCAGTTGGTAGAGCGGAGGGCTGTAGGATGTTTCTCATCTGAAACGCTGTGATCCTGAAGTCGCCGGTTCAACTCCAGCTCCAAGCCTGTGCATGTCAAATTGAAATAAGGCCAAGCCTTGTCTTTATCTGTCAACTCCTCCAATATTTTAAAACACATAACTTAATTTTCCAACCATCAATTTTTTATTCACCCAGCCTAAAAGTCTTGATTATCAGTTCTGGGTCCCTGGCAATGACTGTTGGGTACAAACTGCAAAGCTTTGTTCTGCAGGTAGGGCTGGGCTTTTGATTGACTATGGGTTCCAATAGTTGTGTGATCATAGGGTGTTGTCTCAGCCACTATGTTTTCTGCAATTGTGACTAGAGAACACCCTGATAGCTCAGTTGGTAGAGTGGAGAGCTCTAGGATGTTCCTCATCTGAAACGCTGTGATCCTGAAGTCGCCGGTTCAACTCCAGCTCCAAGCCTGTGCATGTCAAATTGAAATAAAGCCAAGCCTTGTCTTTATCTGTCAACTCCTCCAATATTTAAAAACACATAACTTAATTTTCCAACAGTCAATTTTTTATTCACCCAGCCTAAAAGTCTTGATTATCAGTTCTGGGTCCCTGGCAATGACTGTTGGGTACAAACTGAAAAGCTTTGTTCTGCAGGTAGGGCTGGGCTTTTGATTGACTATGGGTTCCAATAGTTGTGTGGGCATAGGGTGTTGTCTCAGCCACTATGTTTTCTGCAATTGTGACTAGAGAACACCCTGATAGCTCAGTTGGTAGAGCGGAGGGCTGTAGGATGTTCCTCATCTGAAACGCTGTGATCCTGAAGTCGCCGGTTCAACTCCAGCTCCAAGCCTGTGCATGTCAAATTGAAATAAAGCCAAGCCTTGTCTTTATCTGTCAACTCCTCCAATATTTAAAAACACAAACCACATAACTTAATTTTCCAACAGTCAATTTTTTATTCACCCAGCCTAAAAGTCTTGATTATCAGTTCTGGGTCCCTGGCAATGACTGTTGGGTACAAACTGCAAAGCTTTGTTCTGCAGGTAGGGCTGGGCTTTTGATTGACTATGGGTTCCAATAGTTGCGTGTGCATAGGGTGTTGTCTCAGCCACTATGTTTTCTGCAATTGTGACTAGAGAACACCCTGATAGCTCAGTTGGTAGAGCGGAGGGCTGTAGGATGTTCCTCATCTGAAATGCTGTGATCCTGAAGTCGCCGGTTCAACTCCAGCTCCAAACCTGTCCATGTCAAATTGAAATAAAGCCAAGCCTTGTCTTTATCTGTCAACTCCTCCAATATTTAAAAACACAAACCACATAACTTAATTTTCCAACCATCAGTTTTTTATTCACCCAGCCTAAAAGTCTTGATTATCAGTTCTGGGTCCCTGGCAATGACTGTTGGGTACAAGCTGCAAAGCTTTGTTCTGCAGGTAGGACTGGGCTTTTGATTGACTATGGGTTCCAATAGTTGTGTGGGCATAGGGTGTTGTCTCAGCCACTATGTTTTCTGCAATTGTGACTAGAGAACACCCTGATAGCTCAGTTGGTAGAGCGGAGGGCTGTAGCATGTTCCTCATCTGAAACGCTGTGATCCTGAAGTCGCCGGTTCAACTCCAGCTCCAAGCCTGTGCATGTTAAAATTGAAATAAAGCCAAGCCTTGTCTTTATCTGTCAACTCCTCCAATATTTAAAAACACAAACAACATAACTTAATTTTCCAACCATCAGTTTTTTATTCACCCAGCCTAAAAGTCTTGATTATCAGTTCTGGGTCCCTGGCAATGACTGTTGGGTACAAACTGCAAAGCTTTGTTCTGCAGGTAGGGCTGGGCTTTTGATTGACTATGGGTTCCAATAGTTGTGTGGGCATAGGTTGTTGTCTCAGCCACTATGTTTTCTGCAATTGTGACTAGAGAACACCCTGATAGCTCAGTTGGTAGAGCGGAGGGCTGTAGGATGTTACTCATCTGAAACGCTGTGATCCTGAAGTCGCCGGTTCAACTCCAGCTCCAAGCCTGTGCATGTCAAATTGAAATAAAGCCAAGCCTTGTCTTTATCTGTCAACTCCTCCAATATTTAAAACCACATAACTTAATTTTCCAACCATCAATTTTTTATTCACCCAGCCTAAAAGTCTTGATTATCAGTTCTGGGTCCCTGGCAATGACTGTTGGGTACAAACTGCAAAGCTTTGTTCTGCAGGTAGGGCTGGGCTTTTGATTGACTATGGGTTCCAATAGTTGTGTGGGCATAGGGTGTTGTCTCAGCCACTATGTTTTCTGCGATTGTGACTAGAGAACACCCTGATAGCTCAGTTGGTAGAGCGGAGGGCTGTAGCATGTTCCTCATCTGAAACGCTGTGATCCTGAAGTTGCCGGTTCAACTCCAGCTCCAAGCCTCTGCATGTTAAAATTGAAATAAAGCCAAGCCTTGTCTTTATCTGTCAACTCCTCCAATATTTAAAAACACAAACAACATAACTTAATTTTCCAACCATCAGTTTTTTATTCACCCAGCCTAAAAGTCTTGATTATCAGTTCTGGGTCCCTGGCAATGACTGTTGGGTACAAACTGCAAAGCTTTGTTCTGCAGGTAGGGCTGGGCTTTTGATTGACTATGGGTTCCAATAGTTGTGTGGGCATAGGGTGTTGTCTCAGCCACTATGTTTTCTGCAATTGTGACTAGAGAACACCCTGATAGCTCAGTTGGTAGAGCGGAGGGCTGTAGGATGTTCCTCATCTGAAACGCTGTGATCCTGAAGTCGCCGGTTCAACTCCAGCTCCAAGCCTGTGCATGTCAAATTGAAATAAAGCCAAGCCTTGTCTTTATCTGTCAACTCCTCCAATATTTCAAACCACATAACTTAATTTTCCAACCATCAATTTTTTATTCACCCAGCCTAAAAGTCTTGATTATCAGTTCTGGGTCCCTGGCAATGACTGTTGGGTACAAGCTGCAAAGCTTTGTTCTGCAGGTAGGGCTGGGCTTTTGATTGACTATGGGTTCCAATAGTTGTGTGGGCATAGGGTGTTGTCTCAGCCACTATGTTTTCTGCAATTGTGACTAGAGAACATCCTGATAGCTCAGTTGGTAGAGTGGAGGGCTGTAGGATGTCTCTCATCTGAAATGCTGTGATCCTGAAGTCGCTGGTTCAACTCCAGCTCCAAGCCTGTGCATGTCAAATTGAAATAAAGCCAAGCCTTGTCTTTATCTGTCAACTCCTCCAATATTTAAAAACACATAACTTAATTTTCCAACCATCAATTTTTTATTCACCCAGCCTAAAAGTCTTGATTATCAGTTCTGGGTCCCTGGCAATGACTGTTGGGTACAAACTGCAAAGCTTTGTTCTGCAGGTAAGGCTGGGCTTTTGATTGACTATGGGTTCCAATAGTTGTGTGGGCATAGGGTGTTGTCTCAGCCACTATGTTTTCTGCAATTGTGACTAGAGAACACCCTGATAGCTCAGTTGGTAGAGCGGAGGGCTGTAGCATGTTCCTCATCTGAAACGCTGTGATCCTGAAGTCGCCGGTTCAACTCCAGCTCCAAGCCTGTGCATGTCAAATTGAAATAAAGCCAAGCCTTGTCTTTATCTGTCAACTCCTCCAATATTTAAAACCACATAACTTAATTTTCCAACCATCAATTTTTTATTCAACCAGCCTAAAAGTCTTGATTATCAGTTCTGGGTCCCTGGCAATGACTGTTGGGTACAAACTGCAAAGCTTTGTTCTGCAGGTAGGGCTGGGCTTTTGATTGACTATGGGTTCCAATAGTTGTGTGGGCATAGGGTGTTGTCTCAGCCACTATGTTTTCTGCAATTGTGACTAGAGAACACCCTGATAGCTCAGTTGGTAGAGCGGAGGGCTGTAGGATGTTCCTCATCTGAAACGCTGTGATCCTGAAGTCGCCGGTTCAACTCCAGCTCCAAGCCTGTGCATGTCAAATTGAAATAAAGCCAAGCCTTGTCTTTATCTGTCAACTCCTCCAATATTTAAAAACACAAACCACATAACTTAATTTTCCAACCATCAATTTTTTATTCACCCAGCCTAAAAGCCTTGATTATCAGTTCTGGGTCCCTGGCAATGACTGTTGGGTACAAACTGCAAAGCTTTGTTCTGCAGGTAGGGCTGGGCTTTTGATTGACTATGGGTTCCAATAGTTGTGTGGGCATAGGGTGTTGTCTCAGCCACTATGTTTTCTGTGATTGCGCCTAGAGAACACCCTGATAGCTCAGTTGGTAGAGCGGAGGGCTGTAGCATGTTCCTCATCTGAAACGCTGTGATCCTGAAGTCGCCGGTTCAACTCCAGCTCCAAGCCTGTGCATGTCAAATTGAAATAAAGCCAAGCCTTGTCTTTATCTGTCAACTCCTCCAATATTTCAAACCACATAACTTAATTTTCCAACCATCAATTTTTTATTCACCCAGCCTAAAAGTCTTGATTATCAGTTCTGGGTCCCTGGCAATGACTGTTGGGTACAAGCTGCAAAGCTTTGTTCTGCAGGTAGGGCTGGGCTTTTGATTGACTATGGGTTCCAATAGTTGTGTGGGCATAGGGTGTTGTCTCAGCCACTATGTTTTCTGCAATTGTGACTAGAGAACACCCTGATAGCTCAGTTGGTAGAGTGGAGGGCTGTAGGATGTTTCTCATCTGAAATGCTGTGATCCTGAAGTCGCTGGTTCAACTCCAGCTCCAAGCCTGTGCATGTCAAATTGAAATAAAGCCAAGCCTTGTCTTTATCTGTCAACTCCTCCAATATTTAAAAACACATAACTTAATTTTCCAACCATCAATTTTTTATTCACCCAGCCTAAAAGTCTTGATTATCAGTTCTGGGTCCCTGGCAATGACTGTTGGGTACAAACTGCAAAGCTTTGTTCTGCAGGTAAGGCTGGGCTTTTGATTGACTATGGGTTCCAATAGTTGTGTGGGCATAGGGTGTTGTCTCAGCCACTATGTTTTCTGCAGTTGTGACTAGAGAACACCCTGATAGCTCAGTTGGTAGAGCGGAGGGTTGTAGGAATTTCCCGATAGAAATTGCTGTATTCCTTAGGTTGCTGGTTCAACTCCAGCTCGAAGGATGTTCTCTTCATCGGTGTGAGCAATGTTCTGAGTCTAATCACATCGAAATAATACTTTGCCTTGTCTTTATCTATCAACTCTGTCACTTAAAATGTACAAACACAAATAAGATAATTCCTTCACACATTTGGGTCTCAGATCAAGATGTAAACGTTATTTAAGATCACAAGAAAAAATCCACATTAACAGATGGAAAAAGGGCAAAACCATCTTTCAGACCCTCTTATTGTGGTCAAAAACAATAAAAACACAATCATCAAATCTTTTGTAGTAATTCATGGGTAGGTAGCCTAGTATTCAACACTCACAGACCAGTATAACTTTAAGTTTGTCCTGACATTTACTCTGGAAGACTTAAACAACTGTTATGAATAGATGGACCTTCTCATCCTTTTTGTTTCCAGTTTCATTAAATTTGCCCTTTTTTTGTCTTTCTGCATTTACACCAACTTAAAAAATACTCCACACGTTGATACACTATTGAAAAACCTTTAATGTACTTTCACACAAAAGGGTGTTTTTGTATTGGATTGGTGCATTTCTTCGCTTTGCATCACAACCAAAACACAATCCCATGATGTTGAAATGTTTAAGTGAAAGATTATTTTTCATTGTTTGATAAAAAAGATTAAAATATTTAGAAAAGTGTTATATAATCAATTAAAATAGTTTTTATGGATAAAGTCATAAAGTTAAGAAAATCAGAGATTTCCACACACCAAAAGGCTGATTTAATCAAACATTTGTTGCCTTAGATTCATGTTTAATATGAGATTGGGGGTATCACTTGGCATCACATGGCATCTCAGGATCCTCAGCCTTGGTATGAGTGCTGTCTAACATGTCGGCTGTTGCTGCTGAGCAGTTTGGGATAAGCTGTCCCAAGTGAGCGTCCATGTCTGATGACCACCAGCTCCATCTGACACTGGTCAATGTTGACCAGCACTGTGGTGCTCTTCTCTGTGTTCATGAGGAAGACGATGGTGAAGAGTGCCATCTCAAACTCAGGACTGGTCCCGATGAAGGCGCTGCCAACTGGCTTTACCAAACCGTGCCAGCTGAACTGGAGGTTCAGGACGTGGTCGTCTTGATCAGGCTGCAGACAGAAATACATCAAACATGATTTAGAAGAATCAAGTCAGATACAAGAAATTTATCTCTTTCTGTGTGAACTGGTCGACATACCAAGTCATGATCTCTGGCCTTGTATCCCTTATAGTCGAGGTGATTGTTTTTTTCTTGCAGATAAAACTGGACCCAGTTGTGAAAACCAACAATTTCTGTTTGAGATTTTGTCTCCCCAACAAAGACGTGTTCAAATCCACTGGAGTCCAGGCTGGTGAGTGATTGAATTTGGAAATACATTAAAAAAAAATACATATATATATATATATATATATATGTATATATATCCTTTCAAATGATCACACAACCTTTTTAAACAATCTCACCCTGTGTTTCTTTGTCTGTGGTAGAGCTGGAACCAGATCAGGTGCAGCTGACTCCTGAAAGTCCTCAGATTAGAGCTGGACTGTCCTTTGCTCACCAGATACCTATGAGCCCGCTGTGGAGAAAACAACACATTTATGAGCTTACACATATCATCTACTGTTATAAAAAATACAAACCAGACTCTGGTGTGAGAGTTACTCTAAACATATAAAAAAATCTAGAATGCAGATGTGCATTTTTGACTCTTTTAAACCTAATAAAACACATTTCTAACTTTACAGTTTTAACCAACAGAGTAACCGCTTCATGTTTCCAGACACCTCCAAACATTTTTCTTTATACTTTAGACATTTTAATGTTTTAAAGTTCAATGAGCTATTCTGGTGAGACTAAAATGATGAAACTGTTGGGATCTAAGAGCAGCTGAAAATGCATTTTAAGACTTTTACTTTGAAAAATCAGCAGTCTCATCTTATCTAAAATCAGACTTTTAGATTATAATGCAGTATAACACATGACTTTACATTTTCAGACATCAGTACCAGTTTCGGAAGTTTTGAAACTGAAACGTCCCATCTTTGCCTAATACAGGATTTCAGCAGCTCAACAGTTTAAAGTCTCTTTTGTCATATTTCTGGGTTAAAATCCACCTAATCTTTCCAGCTGGTGCTGCCGACCAGTATAGGTCTTTGGGACTCTTCTACTATAGTGCCACACTGTTGTTATGTGCTCATAACATGGTTTAGCATGGTCTTGCTGTAATGTAAAAGGGGCTTCCCTAAAAAAAATATCATCAATGGTATATATATTTAACTAAGACTGCAACACGTGAATGAGTACTGATTGGATAAAAAGTCACAATGACTATTTCTGTAGTCAAAAAGTTGGTGTAAAACATTTTACTCTTCAGACAAGCTTGAAAAATGAATCTTGACCCTGAGAGTGAAGCTTAAAACTTTGGTCTTGGTGTAAATTGCAGTCATCTGGACCATCAGACAAACATGCCTGATTCAAAAAGTACTCCCGTTCACATTTCTCCACGAATCCTCCTAGGGGATATCACTGAAGCCAACACTGCATTCCTCAGCTGCATGCAGCTGTTTCCAGACTGTTTTTTTCTCATCGTATCATCATGAAGTAATGTGTTGATCAAGCAGTGAAACAGGAAGAGACTTTCAGCTGCAGCCAAAGACCTGAGATTTGCATGAAAAACAACCAAAGAGGAGGAAAACACCTCTAACAGGAGATTGCTTTTTAATGTGCATCATCTCCTTACTGATAAGCAGGAGGAAGACATGAGGTGTACAAAAGTGTGCATGGTGTAATCTGGACACACCTTCATGACTTCTGTCTCCAGCACAGCATCGAGGAAGAGATTAATCTCTGTCCGCTCCTCTGCTGTGACACGCTCTGCCACGCCGGTAGACCGCTCATAGTTGTCCAGGAGTTTTGTGAGCCCTGCAGAAGCATAAATGTGATCTGAGTTAGTTCTCAAGCAGAAGAGAAGGACTATGATAAAGAGGCGTGTTTGCTGCAGAGACACTCACTGGAGAAGGTAGTGATGTTGTTCAGTTTGCTCTCACTGACATTGGAGAACAGAGGCAGAGAGGCGTGGTCCTGTACAACATGGCTGCCCTGATTTACAAAGTTGGCTCTACCCTGTATGGTTGAAACAGATAAAACAGAGAGTGTGTGATTATGAAAGCAGAGGATGAGTGCTGTCTGAATGAGAGCAGACTCCTTACCTGAACAGAGACTGTGTAGTCCTCACCAGGAGTCAGGCGGTTCACATCCAGCCTCCACAGCTCATTGAAGATATCGGACAGCTCCTGGTTGATGGCTGGTCTGTAAAACACAGTTAGGCAGAAGAATTACACAAAAAGAACAGAGAACTAGAGATAGACGAGGTCAAATCAGGACAAAAGCCTCTATAGGATACAGTACCTTGAAGCATTCAGTCCAGTGAGAAGCACTGAGAGAAGGACAAAGACCCCGGTGAAGCTGAAATTCAGATGAAAACATGAAAAAAAAAACTCTTTTCTAACTTCATACAATGTAAACTGAACTTGACTTTAAGTATGGCATCATTTCCTTTAAGTTTTTGACCAGTAATATAAATAACTCACCTTGCAGCCATGTTTCCTCTCACAAGTTTTCACACTGTCAGCTTAACTCACGGTGAAGTACTCTGTAGTATCCCTGCACGTCAAGTCTCCACCCGTATGTCCTGCAGGCGCTATTCGAGGATTTTTACTCGACTGCGCATGCCTGAAAATTTTCTCTACGTAGCCACCAGGGGGCACTTTGACTTTATGATGGCGGCGAGGACACGTTCAGATAAAATGTGATCAAATACAAATGCCAGATTTATATCCACGAAGTTTTCTTTTATAGATAATTAGGAGTTAAAGGTCACTATATCTTTGGTGGTGGTAAATCAACGTTTGTTTTCAGTGTTTTACAACACATCAACCTAATCTGCAAAACTTTAATGCACACATGTTGCAGACTTTTCCTGAAATTCAAATATTTCAATCACAGCTCCAGCTAAATTATTGTTCTAAGTACAGCCAGACATCAATTGTGAAATGTGCACTTGGTAAAGTAAAAGTAGGATCTTATCTCTTCTAACAAAAATGACCTCAGGAATGGGGGGATTAGAAATCCTGTGTACAATACAGTAATACAGTCTGGATCTTATTCTCATATACAGCTTAAGTTTACACTCACCACCATCTCCCACCTTCCTTCACAGTAGCACAGCTCTTTATTGCAACTTTGGTAACAGTCTGTTGGTTTATACAGACAGTATATTTTACACGTGCACACACACACAGTTAATTTTTTTCACTAGAACATTAGATGGCCATTTCCTGTCATGTTCAAAGGTGTAATCTTCCAGTTTCGGAGGCTGTCTTGTAATTCAGAAACTAAGAATACACCACTGTTTAGAGGTTTACAGGGTTAACATGTAGCTTTGAAACCTGATATCTTACCTGCACTGAGTTGTTTGCATGTGATGCTTCATTTCCTGTCCTCCCTGTTCTTTATAATGTAGGGCAGGTCTGACTTCAGCAAACACAATCAAAGCTGAACTCAGTTATAAATACAAAAACTGATTCACATTTAGATACATCGCTGAACCATGTTTTTATTATCCTTTTGTTGATCGTCCCATTTGTCTCTGTTTGTTAGAAACTTCACAACAACTACAGAAAAATACAGACTTATTTACATAACTTTATTGGTCTTGGAAATGGGTAAATGTAAAAAAAAAAAACAGGGTTCTTTCAGGTATTGTAGAGGGTTGAATTAAAACATTATTTAAAAAAAATCCTGACAAATCTGAAGACATCAGCTCTTTCCAAAAATCACTTTCTATCAGCCAACAAGGTTCAATTCACAATAAATGCATAGTATTGATAAAATAAAGAAGCTCTTCCATAAATGTGTTGAAATTCAAAACCATGCAATGATATTTATTAGGCTTTGTTCTGTATGATATGTACTTGTGCAAATGCAAATATTACTTCTGAGTGAAATATGGAAAAAAAAAATTAAATAAGATGATTTTCATGTAATTAGCAAGGTTAAGTTATGTAAAAAATAGCAGCCATTTCAAAGTTATTACTTAAGACTAACCTTTAAAACTGGGGTGTCCATATTTTTTTCTATTTCTACAGTAAAAAGGCCATTTTAAAAAAGACATATATTAAAATCTATCTACAGTAAATTGTAGATATCTTAATTCCGCTGTTACACTCCCTGTCCAGAAATGGATCGCTTGATCATTTTAGATCAGAAATGAAAAAAAGCTCTTGCACAGCTGAGTGAAAAATATCTCCAGAAACCAGCTGGCACACAGGCAAAGAGTGGTGTCGCTTTAAGGGATCCCTCTGTCATCAAACAACCGAAACTAAGTTCAAGATTGACAGCGACTTCATGACTGAATGTTCTCACAGCACCGTGGTTTGAATATGAAATAACAAATTAGACACTGTAATACTTTAGGCTCATCTTTGACTGTTCCTCTCAGCAGAAACCTGGCGCTGCTTTCTCTGGGTTCGAAGAGAAAAGTCTCTGTGCGAGGGGAGAGTGTTGGCACAGATCTTCAGTCACAGCAGAAGCGGGTCTCACGGTGCTCTCCACGCTCACAGTCTCATGCAGTGGACTCTTCATCTGTTACACTGGGGTTTGGTGAATTTGAGACCTCTTTGAAGAGTTCATCATCTTTCAGCATACTCTGTAAAGAAACACAGGAGACGTTAAAGTCGTGACACCACTTAACCCATGAGCAGGATGTTAAAGGTTAATCAGCCTTCAGGTTCTCACCGTCAGGTTTTGAATCCCTTCAGAGAATGCTCCGATCTGTCGCACAGTTCCCTCAGAGTCGTCCATCTGTGATACAAGGCAGCACTGAAATTCAGTACACAGTCACAACTTCTATCAACACACAACTGCTCCCAATGAAAACAGTCGCCTTCTAAGCAGCTGGTGCAGTATGCACAAGCGACAAACCATTTAACTGCATTTAATTCTCAATAAATGAAACCAAAAAGTAAACTTTAGATATTACCTTCTTATCACACACAGTCAAGCAGACATAAAGTAGATTAGATACAATAAACACCCCTCAAACCGGCTGTTTCTTTCTAAACATGTTATCAATTCATCATAAATGGCAGGAGTCAGACTTCATTCATCACGCTGAAAGCGAGCTGACCCAGAGCTGGATTAACAGACAGCTGATGATAAGATGGTTACGAGGATTAAGTGTGAAAGGTTGTAAACACGCTGCTTCGTCACTAATTCATCCGGACAGATATCACCTCACAGGAATAAAAATAGACAAGCTGGACTGAGCATAATAATCTTAAAGAAAATGTATGATCTTCCTGTAGTCCAGATGGCTGTGCTTCTTCCTTTCATGAACCTTTGTGACGTTTATTTATAAATTCTGCTGCTGACAACTGTGTTTCTGCTGTTGTTTATCTCTTCTGCTCTACTTATATCTGGTGTGCTTTTGCGGTCTTCCTGCCCTCATGTGAATGCAGCTTCATGAGCTCTAAAGAGAAATCCATCACACATTTGGTCCTGTAAAAGGTCCACAGTAACTCGAAGAGGATGACCACATCACTGCTCTCATATCGCTGCTTCTGCGTGTCGGCACAAGTTCATCAGCTGATATGATTTTTCTCACCGCTATTTTTAGCAATCCCTGTTTTTCTTGTGTCATGTGTTTATAACCATCATTCAGCACATTTTTAAAAGAACCAGCTTACCTGCTCTAGTCTGTCGAGGTCATCTTCATAGATTTGGAGCTCGAAGCCTTTCTGAAAACTTCGCCCCTTTGGCATCTCCACATCCATTGGACACACGTACTCCTCATTGTCATCCTGCTTCTTCTTCCTCAGGCTGCCGAAGTTACCGAATGACAGCTTCCTCGGCTGGTATGAAGGAACACACAGACAAACTTACATTTTTTTATTTCAAAAGCATGAATGCACAAGTACGTCAAGGTCAGGGTTTACCTTGACTTTTGTGGTGGCGGTGAGCAGAGTGTAATCTGGGTTTTCAAGACACTCCTGTTTGAGCTGCTGGGCCTCTGAACCTATAAGCAAATTGAAATGTGTAGCCAGGTGGCGACGTAGCAGCGTCTTGTTTGGGGGGATGTTGAGTAGCAGCGCCATTGTCTCCACGTTGAACCGAGGCTCCAGAACCTGAAGAGAGCAGAAAAAATGCATTTGAACTCAGCAGGGAATTTTTGGAGAGTTTGCCAGACACACTGAAAGCCAGACTTCTCTACATACCATCAGGCCTCCGTGCACGCCGCTGCCTCTCAGGTTGGGAGCGTATTCAGCGAGATCCACAGAACGCAGCCACTCCATCACCCTGTGATTAGTCCACTGGGAGATCTCTGCTGGGGAAATATTGTTCTGTGGACACATTGAGAGATGTTCAGAAAAAGGATCTGTTTGCATGTCTGTTAACGGAGCAGGCTGCCATAACAACTGACTGTGGACGTGAACACACCTCATCAGACGGCCTACGACGTAAGCAGTTTGGCTCGTAGTTGTTGAGGCGGAGCACCTGGATGGCTCTCTTAATACTGAGGTGATGCAGGACGCTCCCCACTTTCAGAGACAGCAGGTCATCCTGACAGAGACAAACACTATTTACTGATCAGAAACAACAAGCAATTATAATGTCTGCTTCCTACTTGTATGTCAAGCTGCAGTTTGATGTAAAGCTGAATTAAGTGACGGTCAAAGATGTTTCCTCATGAATTTTTTAAAGTAAAAAGTTCCCCCAAAACACGTCAAACTTTTGCCAATTATCACAACTCACTCCCAAGACATTTATTCACTCTAAGGGCTAATTTGTCACTTTCACTCATCCACGGGGTCTGATGAGGAAGCGCATGCGTCACATCCAAACTCACCACTGTCATGTAATGCAGCATGCGACCGTCCACCCTCCCCTCATCAAACTGGGTCTTATACTGCGGCAGACCGATGTCATCCAGCCATCCTGAGAGGAATGAAAGATAACGAAGCGTTTTGAGGAGAAAGCAGAGCTGAAAGTTGAGTGTTCAAAGTAAAAGTTAATTAAAGTGTGTCTTATACACCCAAGTTTATGGTAGTTAGCCTCAGACTTTGTTCAAACAGCCCAGCACTTATCTTTAGCTTCATGTCCTGGTACTCACTTGTAACCCAGTTATAGTCCAGCTTTCCCTTATTGTCTTCCTCCTCTGAGCCGAGGGCCTGCAGAGCCAGCTGCAGCTTCTTTCTGTGCAGCGGGTGTTTGATTCCCAGCTCCTAGACATCAACAAGGAGACATGTAAGGCTTACAAACACACAAAATAAATCCCCGCAGTTCAAAAAACAAGAACATTTTGTCCGTCTGGCAGCTCCAGAAAAAACTTGTTAAATTCTTCCACTTCATATCACCCTCTCTAGGTCCTGTTGTGAGGCCTGCAGAAGCGTCTGACCAGAGGAGATCCATACGCGAGCCATGTTCACGTAGAGGCCGAGACCCTGCTCCTGCAGCCAGTCACACACTTGATCCTTAGACCAGCGTGCAAAAGGAGCATCAACATCACTACAAAGAAAGAGAAGAGGGAGAGAAGCCAAACTTTCAGAAAGGTATGCACAACAAAAAAACACATTGAAATACATGCTATGTGAAATTGTGAATATATATATATATATATAAAAAAAAGTCACATCCCTTTAATGCCTTTTGTATCATATTTGATACACTTTTATGTTACTTCTATTAAATCAACATGATCAACAAGTTACTAAAAAAACCTGAATATAGTCCAATAAATGATAAAAATGTTCTCTTATGGTTTATCAGTTTCCAACGAGATAAATTAATATATTTGGTAAATTTTAAGGACATTTTGATTTTTTTGGTTTTCAGTAGTAAATGAAATAAACATTTCAGCTCCATAGAAATTTGAATTTTCTGGCCATAATTTTTGGTTTCAGGCATTAAAGGGTTAAATAACGAACTTTTATGTCATCATCATTCCCTCATAGACTGTTTGTAAAAAGAAAGAAATCACTGAATGATCCCTGAGTTTCACTGCACACCTGACTTTAGGAACAGAAACCATGAACACAAACCACATCCTGTCATTATTCAGGCTGAATGCACAAACTTACTTGTTGTTTCGTTGGAGGTCACGGGACCAACCCAGTCTGGGACCAGCTGTGGCTCGTACTCCACCCCTCTTGAACTCGCCCTCTGTTATGTTGTCGTCCAGGTTAAATGTTGTCGACTGACTCCTTTTAAGCCTGAAAGGATATGATGTTCGACTTTATTTCCAAAAATAATGAAAATCTTAGAACCCTTTAAATATTCTGCCAAGTTATTTGAAACGGTTGGGAAAGCTGATTTCATTTGAGGCTCAAGAATCTCCTGTTGTTATATCACTCACTTTCCAAAGAGTTTTTTTATTCCTTTGGATTTTTTCCTGCTCTCTGGGGTTGTGGGGAGTGTGTGTGTGCTGTCGCTGTTCGTAGACCTCTGAGGAAGCCCGGCAAGATCCAGATGATCAGTGCCCTGTCGCTCTGTTTCAGCTATGCAGAAATGAAAAAGTCCCACAGAAAATCGTAAGCATCATTATCGCCCATTTGTACTGATTGGAGAAAACAGAACTTCTGCACAGGATCAGAGTAGTAACCAGGAGACAGACTGAAAGGTCATGGTGTGCACTGAAGGCAGCACCCTCTCTAGTATGCATGCAGCAGGCGCAGCTGAAGTCTGAGGCTGGAATAAAAAGTTCCTTTAGTAGATAAAAAGAAAATCAATTAGATGTTTCTATATTTTAGTAGAACGCTCTCCAGATCCAGATGATGATGGTGTCATCCGATAATCTAGATCTTGATGCAGATTCAGTGAAGTGAAAACAAACACATGCAGGCACGCAGACAAAATAACACACACACACACACACAGCAGACGGGCTGCACTGTATGTTGCATTTGAGAAACACTGAGTAGTGACGAGGGTGTGGTTGTTCAAGCACTGCAGCTACAAAATAAGGTGTTATAAAAAGGTGTAAGCTGATTGGATGAGTTCAGAAAGTCAAAGGTGGAAAGTGGCAGATACGCTGAGCAGCGTCCTTTGTGTTCTCCTGCAGCGACCTGCAGTGAGTCTATACTGTACCTAGCATAGGCGCACTCGCACTCCTGCTGCGATCTTCATGTGTTACAAAACACACACAACACACGACAGGGTCCAACAGAAAAAAAATGAAACACAAAACAAAGGAAAGGAATTAAGATTTAAAAAATACCAACAGGATTGGAGAGGCGGAACAAACACACACAAAAACACACACACAAATGTGAACAATACACACAAAAAAAGCACGTACACAAACTGAAGGGCAAAGAACAGAAATCCATAATTAAACAGGGACAGACGTTTATGTGGGCTGTAAATTAAGGTCTTGGTCCATGTTGTATATTTCACGGGTGTGGCATTGGGAAGAGAAACCAAGGCTGGAGGAAACTCAAGGAAAATCTCCCTCTCCAGTAAACAGGCAAACACTTTCACGGCTCGCTGAATGTATCGCATCATCTACTGTTTTCAGCATCTCGCAGACTGCTCCTCATCCGGCTGCTGAACTGCGTGGTTTGCTCTTACCGAGGTTTGGGGTGCTGGTTGTCTTTTTTCCCCCGCGGATTTTGAAAAAGCCCTTTCCAAAGGAGGAACGAGCCTTTCTGGAGCCGAAGCTGTCATCCTGTGAGTTGGCAGGCAAGGTCGCAGAGGGACCCATGGGAGGCTTTTCACTGATCTTACTGATTTCTTCAACTGTACTCTGAGAAAAAAAATAAAAGAAAACAGCTCATAACTACATCACTTTGTGGCTATCGTGGGAAAACATTAGATTAAACTTACTGTTATTGCATTGTGCCAATACTGAGAACAAAAGATGTAGTAAAACATGAATTAAAGCAGATAACTGCATGTCTTATGAGCTCAACTTGCAGCTGTTCATTATTATTGGAAACCAAAATTATCTAAAAAATACACACAACAGGAAATATGTGTCACATTTACCTTGTCAGTGCTGTTCCTATCCACCTGGTCTTGGCTGTCAATCTTTGTGGTGTCATGACTGCTGGAATGACAAACCATGACAATGCACTTTTCACTCATGACACAGCGCTTAGCGTAGAGAACTTGACTCACATGATGAAACACATAGCTGAACCACTATGTTTGGAAATATTTTATATTTATGATTGTAAAAAAAACCTCAGAGAATAATGACATTAACTCAGCTGTAGATCAAACTGTATTTGCAATATTTGTATTTTCATTTTAACCTTTCTGAATCCACAGGTGCAGGTTCTGATACTCGCTCTGGATCTGATGGGCTGGGTGAGGGTGAGGGCTCCACATTCATCCTATTGAGGAGCTCCAACTAAACACAGAGAGAGAAAGGATCATGCTTAAAAATAAAAGAACAATTGGTCTTCAAATGCTCACTTGTCTCCTCTCCAGAGGACATGAGACCGTGAAAGTCTAAGACTGCGTTTACACGTGCCCGGCTATTTTCATAAACGGACATTTCACCCTCCCCGTACAGGTTTAAATGCAAATGTGCAAACAGAATTTTCCAAAATCTCCACTCTGCTTGAGTTTTTAAAAAGCATTGTTTTCAGGGGCGAATTCTCCGTTTGCGTCGAAACGAAGGGTGCAAACGATGCTTAATGTCTCCGTTTCTTAAAATAACCGGGTATGTATAAATGTGGCCCAAATCTTCATGTGTTTCTGTAAAAGTTGGATGTTTAGGTTTTTAACACTTAATTACATGGTGACATTTCAGAAGCATATCATTAAAGATGCAGAATCTACTGTACATAATCTGTTTATACTTTTACTTAAAGTTCCTCCACAAGCTATGCGGTTTTACGAGCCATCATGACACATGGTCCTAATTTCACTAACCTCATCTGGACTCTTCCTCTTCAGAGGTTCAGGATCTGTCACTGCCGATTTTTCCAACTCCATGGACACAGAGTTGGTTGACATTAATGTGACAGGTCCATCGTTGTAACTCTCGACGTGATCGCAGTCTTTGGTTCTCTCTAAAAACAAATCAACACATAACTCACAAAAAGAACAAATATTTTCACATGTACAGTTTTAAAGATTCACTGTCGGATTTTGCTCCTTTTTTTTCCTATGTGAGTCTGAGACTAGATTAGATATTCTTTTATTCAGCCCTCAGTGGGGAAATTAAAAATGTTGACAGCAGCAGTACACAAAACATACACATTCACACATACCAGGTACAAGAAAAAACACAGAGATATGATAAAAGAACTAGTGCAAAATAGAAAGAGCAGTGCAAGAAAAGAACAGAATGAAAGACTTGTTTAAAAAAATACAAAAAGATCAGTGCCAACAAAAACAGGTATGGATGGGGGTTAACTGACCTTTCTTCCCTTGAACTGACATCACCATGTCTTGAACCTTCTTGTACCGAAGCAGCGATTGCTTCAGCTCCTCAATCTTACGATCCTGCCGGGAAAATAAATAAACCACGGTAAGAGATTTTTCTCGATGGAGGGTGGGATCACTTAGTTTTGACACAAATCAATCGAACATGTACCTTTTCCTCATTGGCTGCCATTAAGGACTCTACCGCCTTTTTCATTCTCTGCACTTCCACATCTGAAGAGAAGAGGAAATTATTACAAACTACTACAAACTATTACAAATAAAAGCATAGAGGTCCAGTTTGTCTGGATAATAAGCTCTTCAAAGTTAAATGCCAATTCCTTGAGTGAGCTGGTGTTACACAACATTTTAGTAGAATACTTTCACCTTTCAGAGCACAGCCAACCACAAAACTCAACAGCAGCTTTCACAGGATCTTACTGAGGCCTTTTGTACTGGTGTTTTATTATCTCTATAAACCGAACAATAACAGAAAATCAGTGGTCAAACTGCTTAAAAACAGGGCATTCAGTAAAAACTCTGTGGTTGTCAGAACTCAGGTCGTACAGAGGGAGTCTGAAAGTGTGAAAGTGTTCTACATCAGTAAAAAAAATCTGTGACAAAAGAAAGGCAGAGACATAAACACAGAGCCGACGACAAAGATGTCGTCACACAACACGACTAGAACATGACAAGTGAACAGCGCACACTGGATGTTGGTGTGAGCGGGGAGGGTCAGAGGAATAGAGGGACTTATTATTTCTGGATGACATGAGGCAGAAGGATGAGCGAGCAGGTTGAATGGTTATTACAAACAACAGTTCATTCCTCATTCCTGTCCAGAACACAGAGCAGACATTCCTCACTGAGACGTGAGAGACACAGTGACACAGCTTTGGGATGACCTTGGCTTTCGCTCAGTCTCAAGTGTTCTGGGGTTAAAGAGACTGCTGATGTGATGCTCCAGGGTCAAGTATTAAGACTCCAATGGGTTATGATGGACAAGCAGAGTTCACATGGCTCATGCTCGTACATGCAGACAGGGGTTGGGATGGGTGCAGTAATTAGGTGCAGTATAAAAAAACACAAGCATAGACACCCCGCTTACGTTTTTCTTTCAGCCTCTTTCTAAGAGTTTCGTCTGGATGAGAGACTAAATAGGACAAAGAATTATGGGGAAAAAGTGGTTGTTTACAGATTATACATTTTAAAGGATTAAACCAGGTACTTTTTTGAGAATACACAGATATCAGCACTTTATCACGGGTGAACCTGAAGTCACTGTGTGCACAAGTTTGGTGATGTGGGAAGAGTCGGCAATCCATTTTCCGGTGTACCTTCACATAACGGCAAAACATTTCATACTTGAAAATAAATGCCAACGATGCACACTGCAAGAGGGAACACAAGCCAAGAAGTTTCCTGGATATTTGTGTGTGTAAAATGAGTGACAGGAGCCGTAACTGCAAAGTCCACAATGGAAACAATGCTAAGATTCCATTTTCATGTAAGTTTTTGGTAACACTTCATTTGACGCCTCTCTCTATAACCCATTATAAATATATGTATGATGCGTTATAATCACTTTATAGTGCTGTATAACTATAGTTATAAACACTCATAAATGATCATAATGCTTTATAGCAATAATCATAACACATTATAAAACATGTTACCATATTATAATGTGTTATAACTGTTAACAACTCACTGACAATGCCCACATAGATAATGCAATGCAACTGTTAACAGTTATAACACATTATAATACTTGACCTTGTAAGTCATGATAAAATGCTTTATAATGTGTTATGATTATTGCTATAAAGCATTATGATCATTTATGAGTGTTTATAACTATAGTTATACAGTGCTATAACAGGATTATAATGCATTATAAATATATTTATTTGCATAGAGATAGGCGTCAAATAAAATGTTACAGAGTTTTTCAAGTGTACGAAAGAGTTTGCCTCCTTTCACCTGAACACGGACCGTACGCTATCATAATCCAGATTGCAGACCATTGGCTTAACTCGAAGTTCCTCACCACACTTGTGCACATAGTGAATTTATTATCAAGCATATTCATCCTCAATGAGACTTCATCTTTGATGGGCTCTCCCACCTCTCTCTGTAGGATCTGCGCTGCCCGAGGCGCTGACTTTGAAGCCTGACTCATCCTGTAGTCGCCTCATCTCTCCATCTTTGCCCTCCAGCTGCCTCCTCAGAATGGTGAGCTCCTCCTGTCCGACAGAGGAAGACAGTGAGGACAATTCCTCCACAGAGACACCTCCTCCTGCACCCTGACTCCAAACATCAAACAAACCACAACACAAGGGTTCACAGACTGCTGACGTGGCGTACACCTGCTCTGAAGGGTAATAAGGGCAGAACATGTGTGAGGTGGACGGTGAGCTCAGAGCTGAGGTAATAACAAACACACAAGACTTTACACCAAACAAATTAAATGCTTGAATAAGCGCAGTAAGGGTCAGGCAAAGGGACAGAGAGATTATAGAGGTATTATTCAAGAACGGGACCAGTGCAAAAAGAAAACACAGCAAAGAAAAAGAGGAGAAGTCTTGGCAAAGGGAAAAAAAAAACAACAAATTATAGCATTCCTGTGGTTCCACTTGAGGAAATGGTATATTTGACTACAGCTGACTTTTTACATCTTATTTTCCAACACAGTAGATGATATTAAACCATTTCAATGTTTGTAAAAATGAAAAAACAAAGAAGAAACAACCCTGCCAAAAAGTCAATTTACAAAACAACAACAGAATCCTAGAAACCAGATTTGAGGGTTTTCCACACCAAAATAAATAAAAGGAGAAAAGGAGCCAAAGGGTGAGGTCAGAAACCATAATCATACAGCAAGCAAAACAATCATCCTGAGAAGAGCAGACCTTCATAGCCACCAGTTTGTGCTCCTTCCTCTGTTTCTCAAACTGCAACTGGCCCATTTTGATTTTCAGGCTAGAAAGCTTGGCCATTAGAGACTAGCGGTGGAGACAAACCGAGGAAGAGAGAGGAAATAGAGACGCAGGGGGTAAAAGATCAAAGAGGTCAAGAGTTCATGACCCAAGACTACGACCAAGAATTTGAAATTACAAAGCACATAAAAGTTTTGACACTGATGATGCAAAGTGAGAAGCAAAAGAAAAGGTGCTTTCCTTTCTTATGGTTGAAAAGGAGATAACAGTTGAATAAGCCAACATAAACTACTTATTAACAAACACTTCGATCTACTCAAGGAGCAGAGAGAGCCATGAACGACTACAATGTTTGGGTGGTGAAATTAGAACAAAAGTGGAAGAGATGATTCAGGCAGACAGCTTAAAAGAAATTAATTATAAAGGTTGTAGTTATTTAAAAGACACAGAGAACCTCCCTGTGAAAACTCACCTTTGTGGATTTCATTTTCTTTTCATACTGAAGCTTTTCACTCTCCAGCTCTGTCATTCTGTACCGCAGTTCGTTTATTTCAAGTATTAAATCCTGAAAAAACAGAGTTCATGTCAGAATGGTAGCAGAAAACAAACCATCTTCTCTAAAAGCGCTACTTAAACACTTAATCTCTTTTTTATAATGGCTGCCGAGGTCGGATTTCATTCAGGAGGCTCTCGCTTTATATAATTTCAGTTAAAAGAGCAGCATAAACACGAGCTGCACAGTAACTCCAAAAAATGTCTGATTAAACACTTAAAAGCAGCAGCGATAAAAGAAGAGGAGGATGCAAGTTGAAGGGGAGTGATTTATGTGCTCTGAGGCGAAACATGGAGAGCAGCTTTTTGTTGCACTGAGGTGGAAGAGACGACCATGCAGCTCCAACAATAACATGATGGGTTTGAAAGCTTTCCAGATATTTTGCACGGTTCATCTGAGAGCAGAAATCTCCGCATATCCGCAGCTGTAGCGAACGACTGACTGATATCTTCAGGGCTGTGAGGCCTCCGAGCAGAGGGGAGAAACCTAACATCAAATTAAAAATAAAAGATGATCCACTCAGCACAGTCAGGTTTTTCATGTGTTATCACCACAAACACAGCAGGACAGTGTTTCTGTGGATACTTCAGCTAATGTTGACATTTTTCTGAGGTGCAAAAACAGCTGCTCTCAGACTGTCAATAAAATTAAAGGCCCTCTCCCACACACAGGTGTCAGACAACATGAATGAGGGTTTGTTTAGTGTGTGTGTGTGTGTGTGTGTGTGTGTGTGTGTGTGTGTGTGTGTGTGTGTGTGTTGGTGGTGAGGTGAGGGAGAAAGGACAAAGAGGATCCCTGTCTTAAGAGCTAGCTCACATACCTCACTGTCCCTGAATCGGTCAAAGTTGAATCCGTCCTTCTCCATGGTATTCAGGGTCATCTTCAGGTTGGACACTTCAGAAATCAGCTCCAGTTTCTGGGTCTCCAGGGCTGTCCTGCACAGAATCTCCTACACAAACGAATAAAGACTGTTAGAAAGAAATGATGTGGTTGTTTGTGGTCACTACTGCTTGTCCAACAGGAACAGTAGGCCTCATGTGCCTCGACTCCACCAGCGCTATTATCTAAGCACCCATCCAGGCGGTATTATGGCTTTAGGTACATTGTTTACGTGAATATACAATCCATAATAAACAAACAAAAACCTGTTGCAGCATCTCCTCAGTTGCGTTGAGTTTCTCCCTGTGGTCCTCCAAACACATGTCCAAGTCTCGAATCTTTTCTCCCTGAGCCTCCACCTGGTCTGTCAGCACACTCACCTGTATAAAACCAAAACCATCATTCCAGTAAAGACTGTGTTTCTATTCACAACTCATTTCTAATAGAGGGATCAGTTCAATGATCCTGGTGTTGCTGGATGGGTACCTGAAGAACCAGAGACTCCTTATCGCTCTCCAGTCGGGATAGCCTTTCCTGGTAGTGGTCACTCCCACTTAGAGAGATGTGCCCATTGGACTGTGGAGAAAGACGATGTGAGTTATTAAAGGAAGAGGATCCTTGAATTTATGAGAACAGGCCCAGTTAAGTGGTAATCAAGCTGATTTGTATGACATTGAGTGTTCCAGTAAAATGATAATACTGAGGATTTATTGCTTCCCAATTAAGTGTGACTGGCTTCAGTCTTCTGCCCTGCTCAAATAAAACCTTACATGGTTGAGCAAGCTGACTTTCATACTGCTGAGTTACAACATTACACAAAAACTCTGGCATTTCTCTGGCCTAGAGCCCATCACTCTCCCCAACATAACTCTGCTTCCCAAGAATTCCATGTGTTTCTCTCAGCAGACAGGCTGAGACACTGACAACAACAGCATTTCATTTTGCATTCCCAGGGAGCTCAGCAGAACGGGACAGTCATTGTTTTGCTGAGCAAATAAGTCAGTCCTCTGCTGTTTGCCCACGCTGGTCTGCATTCATAGAGTTTAATGCAGCACACAGAGCGAGCACCATCAAAAGAAAAACAGATGTGCTAAAGCTTGTACGCGGCACATTCTGTCCCAACACTACAGGAAAAACCTTCTCCAAGATAACACAACATGAACTGACTCAGACGTGAGAAGAGCTCGGTCCTTCAGTGTTAATTCAAGAGGAAATGGACAGAAAATCTCTAAAGAGCCTCAGTGTAAATAGCAGATGTGACATCGCCTTCATGCAGAAAAAAGCAACATGAGTTCTTTATTAATTATCTTGTATGTCTGGATAAACCAGTTGTGCAGCATTGGCAGTCTAACTGATCAGACCTGAGGCTACGCTATTCAGATGAATACAGGAAAGATGCATCTGACTTCATTTTATCCAACTGCTTCAACATAAAGGTGGACGTAACATATTTGTGACAGATGACATAAACATTCACAGATAATCGTGAGGATACATGTGTCTGTCGTATCATGTGAGCCTCTTACCAGGTGACCATGAAGCCACTCCATTAAACTGTCAGCTGTGGAGTCAGGAATCTGGCAGCGAAGACTCTCCCTCTCCTCCGTATCCATCAACTCCAAGACGCTCCTCAGGTCCTCTAAGAGGTGAAGAGCCCGTAAGCTGCCCATGAAAGGAGAGGTGGGCGACTGGCAGTCAAACAGCCCGTTGGAGTAGTCCAGGGTCTTGGAGCCTGAGAGAAAGAAACACGGATAGATATGGGTTAGATATTTGCAAAAACAACGAAGTTCTTTGGAGAAAACCACTCATGGCACTGGTGTGACAAAAGAGTCTCCTTAAGTGTGTCCATTCAGTTAAATACGAAAATGGTATTTACTCAAATTTAAAAACACACAACACTAGTGAATGTGTTACTAGCTTCAAAGCCTAAACAAGCAAAAACACTAAACCCTCTCTAAGGTCAAGAAGGTCAAGGCATAAAGCTGTCTGGAGCCTCTTTCAAACATACACTCCTAGAAATTTTCAGGAGCTTTGCCCCCAAAGTTTTCAACAGTCACTCGGTCGCTCATATCCCTCACGATGTGAAGTCATCCTGGGGGAAGGGTTGAGCACAGAGCTGAGGGTGACGGCGTGAAAATCACAGCGTGACGTTAACAACATGATGGTTTACAAAGCAACAGAGATCCTCGCTGTGATGACAGGTTTGGCATTTCTATCACGTCTAGAAAATGATTCACTGACTTCAGCCTGAGATCTTTTCCTTCACTGTGTTTTGTGTAGCTCTGTTAAGTTTGCACCTGTCTTGTACACATCATCATAAATATTATCTAACTCTCTGCTTGCTACTAAAGTTCCTGTCTGTGCTCTCCCTCCACCTCTTTTGGAGATACTCTTTGTGTTAGCAGAGAACACCACACAAAGTCAGGGTGGTTACTTTGACTGTATGTGTGCACATGTGAAGCACACCCCAAAAAATTAAGGAGTTTTGTGAAAATGTGGATATTAGTTTCAGATGGCAGGGCTGGGGGAAACTTTTGTTTCTTTCTGTTAAAAAAACACTGGGAAAAGGTAAAATATGAGATTTCTGCTGAACTACTTTAAGTTATGAAAGGAGGTGAACTTTACCTGCTATTATGCCGTCCATCTGCTCCAGCGCAGCTGCCAACATGTCGCTGGCGTCAGACATCATCTTCAGTCACTGATAAAACCTAGAAAGAAAAATAAGCCATCTGATCAAAGAAACACTCTTAAGACCATATTATCTAAATTATATTGTATTAATATTATGTTTTAATATTCTGCAAGTCTGGTCTCTCTGCGTTGTGCCAGTACCAAAAACAAAATATCCAGCCGGACTAAATGACTACAGACCAGTGACCCTCACTTCACACATCATGAAAACCCTGGAGCGGCTGATTCTACACCTTCTGAGGTCTGAGGTCAAAGACAAACTGGACTCCCTGCAGTTTGCATACAAAGAACACACTGGAGTGGATGATGCTGTCCTCTACATGCTTCACCGTGCCTTGTCTCATCTGGAGGAACCTGGGGGTTTATGTGAGGATCATGTTCTTCGACTTTTCAAGTGCATTCAACACCATCCAACCCACCACACTCAAAGACAAGCTCACAGAGATGGGGGTGGATCCTTCCTGTGTTTCCTGGATCACGGATTACCTGACAGGAAGGCCACAGTTTGTCAGGCTGGGAAACTGTGTTTCTGGGACATTAATAAGCAGTACAGGCCAGGGGCTCCATAGGGGACAGTGCTGGCGCCATTCCTGTTCACACTGTATACATCAGACTTCAAATACAGCACTGAATACTCAGATGACACTGCTTTTGTTGCATGTATCAGAAATGAACAAGAAGCTGAATACAGAGATCTGATAAGAGCCTTCAGAGACTGGAGTCACAAAAACTGCCTCCTCCTCAACACCTCAAAGACAAAGGACATGGTCATAGACTTCTGTAGATCCAAAGCCCTCCTCACCAAGTGAACACCTTTGGCATGGACATCTAAGTGGTAACACCGTAGAAATATTTAGGTGTACACCTAGAGCTGCCTCTTTTGTCTGAGAAGACTCTGATCAATAGACATCTGTAGTAAGATGCTGCAGATGTTTTATCAGTCTGTGGTGTAGATCAACAGTGTGCTGTTCTACGCTGCAGTCTGCTGGGGAGGAAGCATCAAACACAAAGATGCAAAACATCTGAACAAACTGGTGAAAAAGGCTGGCTCTGTGGTTGGATTCAAGTTGACACCCTGGAGGATTTAGTGAAGAGATGTACACTGAGGAAGGTGGAGTCTATGCTAAAGAACATGGATCACCCACTTCACAACAACTTGATGGACCAAAGGGCCGATGGTGGTGGACGGCTCCTCTCTATTCGCTGCAGGACAGAAAGATTGAGAAGATCTTTTGTACCAATAGCCATCAGACTTTTGAATTCTTCTATAAATAGTAGATGAGTTTTTGAGACATGACAAATGAGACTAAAGACAATTTAATTTCCTTTCGGGGAAAAATAAAGTTCTTCTTCTTCTATGACTATTATGAATGCTAACCCGGCAGCATGGTGCACCATGTTGCAGGACAAGAACAAATTCAGCAGGAACTGCGGTGTTTGGCTTTCTGTGCTTAAAAAAGTGCAGTGATGTTTTAGTAAGGCATGTGATTACTAAAAGGTTCCACCCAGGAAGTGGACCATAGCTGCAACACATCCTAAACAACCCCAGTATGGCTAAATAGGGATAGTGCATGCTTTGTTAAATAGCATGTTTGCAAGACAGAGGGGTAAGCGAGAAGTAAAGAATGATGACTCGGGTTCAGTGACGCCCCCTGCTGAGTTGCTCCTTCCAGCAGAATGTGAGACTATCAGAATATCAATCAGGCCATTACCTAAAATATTTTCACAGTGGTGGATCCAGCCACTGGGACAGTAGACACTCTGTTTGGAGCAGAGCATCCAGTGAAGATTCATCACAGTGTGCCAGTGTTGTACAAGTGCCAGATCAGCACAACAGAGCCCTTATCTCCGAGCATTTCATCCAAAGGCTCTGCTGTAGATTCATGCATGCTTAAACATGTAAGCACAGGCACTCATCTAGACACGCGCAGTGCCGGGCTTACGCTCTCCTTCCTTTAATCGGCTGTCTCACATCCTGGGAGTGGCCCACTCTGGGACACAGCACCGTTTTCAAACTTTATGGAAACCACCGCAGACCTCGCACTGTTATTTCAGGATTCCTGTGGCCACACTTTCCATTATGTGTAAAATAAGAGCGCTCTAAAACATGAAAACAGTCACAATACACAGAGGGGTTGAGGGCAGATGAGAGGAAGCAGCATGGCATTAGTCAGCTCTGTAGAGGTGTTTCCATGGATTAAAAACACTGATTTAGCCTGCATGTCCAATCTCAGATTGGGACAGGCTTATAACAAGAACTTATAATATTGTCAATATAACAAATCAGCTGCATAGATTTCTTAATTTAAATAAACCAAAATAATCAGAGCTGTCCACTGATTTAAGTTATTAATCACAACTAACTAAGTGTATCCACACTGCATTACAGGTAGACACACTGAATGGCTGTTTTAAGACGGTATAACAAACTTTTTCCAGCTTGTAAATGTTATGTCTTGTAATTACCTCGGCTCTCTGCAAACAGCTGCTGGCCTTGCCTCTCTCTCTATCTTTCTCTCTGTTTATTCTTTCTCTTCACCAGCAGATTGTCTTAAGCATCACAAAAACTCTCTCTCTATTGTCACAGCACCTGGAGTGTTGGGATTTTACAGCAGCTAAAGCTTGTGTGGAGGAGGTTTGTTGGGAATGTCGTAGCTTTTCTAAAGGACATCAGAACTTTGAACAAACAGAAACTGGAGCCGATTTACATTAAATGAGAAAGACTGCAACCCTTTAGTGCAGGTAGAGCCTGGATGAGAGCATGTGTGTAGATCAAGGTGAGACATAGGCTTGATTGATTGTGGATGGTTGTTGTTAATTAGACTGATTTGAGACATGTTGAAGACTAAACCATCATATAAATAACCTGGTTTATCCTCGTATTTACAAAAACTATTTACCTTATTTGCACTTTTTAATTTAAATAAAAATATAATTATAAAAAAGATATAAAATTTCAAGTCAAAAAAATGCTCATAGGAGCTTTAAGACATTATTTTCAAAGTTTAACTTTAAACAAATTTAGAAGCATAGGTGATTATTATGAACCATATCATTAATGTATAGTCACAATGACCCTATTTGAGTTTCCTAGTTTTTAAGCCTACATAATACTACAATTCTGATCTAATTTATTTTTTTATTAATTCTTCAGGTCAGGGAAAGAAGTGACAAAATCATTTGGATAATTCAAGGAAATTTAAGTGGGTCGTTTTTCAGGAAAGTTAAAGTTACTGAATTTGTAACTCAAGTTCCACATCACAGACATAGTGAAAGAAAAGAAGAGATCAAGGTTAAGCAGTCTAACCAAAATCTGTGACAGCCATATTTTCCCTAGACTTACGTGACTTATTTCAACTACAAGAAATTTGATTTAGAGGAAACCTTCATTTGTGACGTCATGCTGCAGGGATCAACATTTAGCCTACAACTGACACCACAACAGAAATCCAGTCTTTGAAAGCAGGTAGCACAGAGTTTTTATCATGATGACTAACTCTGGACTGAAGGCCTGCAGGGCATCCTTCTTTAAAAAACCTGAGTCAGCTTTTCTCCCACAGCAGAAAGGGCAAACATGGGGAAGTTTAACACATGGCTTTCGGCTACACACCCCGCCAAGACCAGACACGCCGCTCAGGAACCTGCTGTCCACGTGTCAGTCTGTGCCAAGCAAGTGTAAAGACCCCATGAGAGCACATCCGAGGCTTAATCCTGGATTCAGAGGACATACAAGTCCAGAAAGATCTGAGCACAAAGAATGCCTAATTACAGACAAGTGTGCTTTGTCCACAAGTCCTGGGATGCCTCAATGGTATGTCAGTCAAATGTAAACACAGGGGGGTGGTCTGGGAAGCAGAGTAACTTTGACTTTGTTGTCCCAACTACACAAACACTGGGGTCAGATAGTTTCCAAAATGTTACCATTAGTTATCATCTCTCAATTAATGGGATCATTTCCAAGACTCCCGAATCCCCCCAGACTCGGCTGACTGGTACAATGGGGAACAATGTGAAATCCTGACAGAGAGCGGGTGAGTGAGTGTCTGGTGTTTTTGCTTCTAACTCCTATTGTCTGACTCATTTACTGTCAAACCATGACTTGTTCAAGCTCTCTTGTGTTTTCATTTTTGCCCGTTTTAACTCCTATCACAATGAACACATCTGTACCTGTGATGAGCTTGAGGTTTAGATTCAATCTGAGCAGGCTTGTTTATCAAAAGAGACATCTCAAAAAACCCCAACAAGCAGCATCACTCTCAAAAACAAAAGTCTCTCTGTCTGCTCTTCTATAAGCACCACTTACACCAACTATAAGACACAGAGGGGGCTATTGTTTGTGACAGGGGGGTATTTTGACTGAGAGGCATAAGAAGACAAAGAAAAACTGCAGTGCAACGCTACAGTACACATGCCATTTACAACAACACCTGCCTGAAAGCCTCCAAACCAAACAAAAAGAGCGCTCAAAGAGCAATCTTGCCCTTCGGAAAAGAAACAGCCGTATAATTCATAGAGACAGGCAGAGAATAATGGACACAAGAGGGAGAGTGAACCAATATAATGGCTTTGTAAAATCCTTCAGGCAAGAAGAAGCATCAAACCTTTCTCTCACTGGACACAGAGAGTAGAGTTTAAAAATAAGATGTTGTAACTCCCTATTCTCTTCTGCACACAGGAAGCAGAAAAAAAAAGCACTGGAGCCTCGGGCCACTTGTTTCTCAGGGGGGAAAGTGTTTACAGCAGCCATGCAACTGACTTTTACAGCTTGTGCTGAGACATGATGCACTGGTGGTAAAAAGGCCCGGGAAGAGAGGAATTTACAATGCAAGCATAAATCATACAGCTGTTAGCTTTGCTTGTTCTTTTTCCAAATCCGGGCTGATGTCTAAGAACTTTAAGGGATGGATCGAAGCCTTGCCACATAATGACACTTTCCTTGTTTTGAGTCATGACTCAGTCTCTACTTTCACAGTGTTTCCATGAGAAAAGCCTCATTCTGTCAGGCATATATCACCCTGTTATACCTCAATCCTTAAATACTCTATTCAAAGACGAGCCAGGTAATTTTTCCTTATGGCATCATCATAGGCTTTCTCGGCTCTAAAGATCAGCTGTGTGCCTAACAAGAAGTAATGGGGATGCTGTTTGCTGTGATTTGATTTCTCTACCGAGCTGGTGTTATTGTCTCTTAACTTATGAGTGTTAGGAATCTGAGTTAGAAGGCTGTGGGTCCTCTGATTCACTGGGTGTAGACTCACGGTCATTGCATACACCCGCAGCCTGCGGGGCGCTGCTCAGGAATAACCTGCAGCTATTTCCAACCTGAGTGAGCAGGCAGGATACATCACCACTAATTTTATACCACCAAACAACTAGGCCTGTACGATGATGAGATATGGGAGCTAGGCTAAAGGAGACTTCCTAATCTTTCAATCAGCTGGAACTAAAAACAAGAAGCCCACAAGGCATCCATACATTAGGTAATGTAAGATAAACACATTTAACAAAAGATGGAAACTGGGTTTATGAATTAAAGAGATCCCATGTGATAAAATCTACAAGATTCCTGTAGCATGTAGGTATGCCAAAGATCATATCAGTATTTTATTTATGTTGGACTGCAACATACATTCTTTTCATATCACTCACAGCTGCAGCTTTACTCATTGGAGTTACTTGCCATAGACATTTATGCAAAAAAGTACATATGTGGCACATGTAAATCACACACACACACACACACACATCATTGTTGTTGCTGGCCAACTTTCACATTTTCTAGTGTTCTTCCTGAAGAAATTCCTTGCATTTCTGGCTGCAATAAAGAGCAGTATAAGGGAAATGAAGGACCTTTAGGGTATCCAAAAAATCTGAGCACTAGTAAAAGGACTTTTATCACACACAAACACCTTGCCTATTACTTTTGCATCAGCGTGTCTGACTAATCAGAGGTACAGGTAACACAAGCTCAAAACAGTTGGGTCACCTTAAAAACATCTGGTTTATGTTGTAGGGACAATCTTATTATTTGGGGAAACATTTGAGAAGAAAAGGCAAACAGCTAAAGGCTGGAGGCTTATACAACTTCTGATCAAATTTCATGGCTTTAAAAAAAATCCCAGATAGTAAACTGTGGCCAGCCTCGCTTGGGTTGCAGTTTTTATCACAGTCTTGGATGCCACAATCACGCTGGGAATCCGTAAAAACTCACCTGTCAGTAATACAAACACGCAGCAGCACCACTTTGAGATAAAAACCAACTCTGGTGAAGAAGTAAAGGGAAAAAGACGTGGCCTCAGGCAGTGGGAGTCTCTACCCACGATGTCTCACCGCAAAGTCTAGGGCTATAGTTGGGCTAACTTTATTACCGACTATTACGAACTTCAACGAAACTCCTGATAACGTCTCAACTGCTGTTTCGGATTAAACGGTGACCCCGTTAACTGGCGACTTTCCGTCGATGGTTGTCGTAGTTACGGGCGCGTGGGGTTGCTTTTTCTACCGTTGCAATTGGCTGTGAGACACCAGATAACATGGTCACACGATAAATCAAAACACCAAAGTGCGGAAAGTATTTGTTTTTCTCTTTGTTGAATGCTTTTTCTCCATATAGACGGAGCTGCTAATGCTATGACACTGAGCACTAACACTGAGTACTAACAGTGAAAGAAAAAATAGTTTGTTCGACAAAACTTGACGCTGCTAATGTGCAACAAGTGAAATTGGTTTGATTTTAACTAGCTCCAGGGTATGTCCACGGCTCCTGAAGTTACCCACAGACTTTAAGATCACGACGTTTATCCGTGAAGCAGCAACAGTCGGTCGTTTCCACTAAAAGTGAACTAGTCCAGAATCAATCCAAGCCAGTGGAGAAACTGAATCACAGGCTGACCCCACCGACTTACCGTACCCTCCTCCTCGATTAGACGTCCACTTTGAAGTCGGTTTCTTCTCGCGCTTGTAAACCCCACAGTGTTAGTTTTTTAACTTCTCAGTGGCCACCAATGCTTCCCCCGTCTGTCCGTCCACCTTTCTACGCCATGATGTCGGAGTGACAAGATTGTTGGAAAAGTTGGGACGTCATGGCTGGAAAATCCCGCCCTGCTGCCGGCTGGATTGGCCCGGGCACCGGAGTCACGACGTATTCACGTACCATGGGAAGGAAAAGCGTTCAGACTTTCAAAATGATTTACGGTTTGAATTAGGAGTGGGTAAAACAACAGGTAGGGGTGTTATTAATGAGTCTATCTATGAAAAGGTTTGGCAGAAATCACCAAAAATGTACAAGTAACGGCCCAAAACCTAGTAAGTTTAAGACGCACGAGACTTTTCCTATTTTTGCTGACACTTGAAGGCAGCAGATTCCTTGAAGGTGTTTTGTACAAAAGCGCAGGCGACATCAAGTGGTCCTCTAGTGTTAGTGATGCTAGTTGGATAATACCACAGAACAATTGTGGTTCATTTCCTCATCAAGTATTTTAAATCAACAATGATATTTGCCAAAAACTGCTGTGAGGAGGTTTTATTTAATAATGAAAACAAGGATGCTTCTGTGGGGTCGGTCCATGCAATAGAATGCTACTGACCAAAAAGTAATCTGTTTTACATATGTACTGGATGCAAATATCTATATTTTTTTGATGGTAGGGGAAGGCCCCGCCCAGAACTTTGCCTCTGAATGGCTAGAAGTGCTGGGCTCCGATTGGTTATTCCTTAAACCTGTGAAAGGTCATCGTCTTTCGGGTTAGGGTTAGGGTAAGGGTTAGGAGATTCAGAAGTGCGATAATGTTCTCTAATGTTCTGTTCGACAGCCTGCGTTTGGCTTGAGCTTGTGATGACTTTTCTAGCTTTTCTAACCAATCAGAGGCAAAGGAGGCGGGACTTTCCCCTACCATCCTACAAAGCCACCACAAACCAAAAGTTACTCACAGGAGCTTTAGATATTCCAGAGACTTTTTCAGACAGCTGTGTTGCACATTGTACTTTTAGATTATAACTTCTGAAAGTCTATAATCTAGGTGCAAGTTAGTGCATTTCACTTGCTATCACATCACATTATACTGGTACATTAAAAAATATACGGACTATATACCAAACAATACTTCAAATCAAAGTTTGGTTTGATATATAGTTCACCCTGCCTGCTCTGTATGCATCTATTTATTCATTGCTTACTTACTCAGTCAGTTATCTATTAGGTAACTAAGTATTATTCTAGAAATTCACAAGATAAACAAGTATAATTTGACACTTATTAATGATTTATTCTCTAAGGAAATGCAATCGAAAACAGTAATACATTTCTTTGACAGTATATGTTAAATGATGCAATGAAAGTACCAACAAAATAACAAAACAGAACAGAATATCACATAATATATTAAAGTTGTTGATTTTACAAATGCTCTCCAAAGTTTAGTTTAAAGTCTGTCGGCTGCTGGGACAGGATATGTCTCAGTGAATGAAAGCTGTGCTGCTGCAACTATTCCTGGAAATATCAGTCCAAACATTGTCTGGTTCATTCCTTGGCTCCCCGTGAATAGAATACCCCACTTTAGGTCAACCATGGGTCCCCAGAGTTGTGTCCCTCCTCAGGGGCCTCTCCACCTTCACAGTGCTGGGGTCACATTCCAGCATGTCTCTGATCCAATCATCATCCAGCGCTCCCTCGATGAACTCGTCCAGACTGATGACAGCTACAGACACAACAAGAACAGACAGTGATTCGAGACAAAGAGCAGAGGATCTTTCAGAACTGTTTCCTCTATAATCCTAGCCTGTGAATGTTGACATTGGTCTGACAGTGTTTTCAGGTTTATCAGTGTAAGATAACTACCCCAAATCAACTTACCTTCTCAGATACAGTTCATGCTAGATAACATAGACCTAAAGCTGAGGCCCTCACAAAACTTCAGCATATCCTTCCCAAACTAACTTTAAGAGATGATCTGGTTCTTTATTCAGAGTTTTCTTCAACACTGACCCACAGTGATACGAAGCCCAATTTCTTCTATAGCCATGGAGGACAACACATCCATGATTTCCAAACCATCTGAAATGTGGACTCGTCAGATCACAGCACACTTTTCCACATCAGACCATCTCAGGCCCAGAGAAGCTGGAGGCATTTTTTGGTGTTGTTGATATCTGGCTCTGACTATGGTAGAGTTTGAACTTGCACTTGTTGATATGGAGACGAACTGTATTAACTGAAAACAGTTTCCTGAAGTGTCCCTGAGTCCATGTGGTGATATCCTTTACAGAACGATTGGGGGTTTTGAATGCAGCGCCGCCAGAGGGGTTGAAAGTCGTAGGCTGGGTATTAATTGTTTGTTTTAGGCATTGCTGCTCACATGCACAGATTTCTCTGGAGTCTCTGAATCTTTTGATGATATCATATTCTGTAGATAATAAAATCCATACATTCCTGCAATTGCACATCCAGAAGCATTGCTCTAAAACAGCTGAACTATTTGCTCATACAGTTGTTCACAAAGTGGTGAATCTGGTCTAATCCTTGCTTTAATACCCAATCATGACACTCACCTGTTTCCAACAAATGTGTTCACCTGTGGAAGAATCCAAACAGGTTTTTTTGGGGCAGTCCTCAATTTTCCCAGACTTTTGTGGGCACAGTTTCAACTTTTTTGGAATTTGTTACAGGCACCAAACTCAAAAATTAGAGAATATTTAGGAAAAAAATCATTAAATCTATAGTTTGAACATTAAAAATCCCATTTTGTGGTATATTCAGTTGAACAGAGGTGGGAAAAGATTTGCTGATTCTGTTTTTATTCACGTTTTAGAAAAACACATTGTGCTCTATTAATATTGCAGTGATTCAAACATCTGGAATAAGAGTGATCCTGATTTCATCTTCTCACCGTTTTTGTCTTTATCTAATCGCACAAATATCCTTTTGGTACATTCTTCAGCTGTCAGTGGGTTGGGTTCAGTTAAACCTGCTGCAACGCTCATTTTATAAGCAGCCTGTGAAAGAAAGGAAACACTAATTAGATAGAATTGTAGGTTTGCAATGACATTAATAATTGGAGAGGGAAAGAAAATACACCTGTATGATGTCCAGCATTTCCTCCCTTGTAATGGCCCCATCTCCATCTTTGTCATAGAGCTTAAAAGACCACTGCAGCTTCTCCACAGCTGAGCCATGGATCAGCATGCTGATGGCCATAACATACTCTCTGAAATCAACCACCCCATCCTGGAGAAAAGAATCCTCATCAACACTTCGCTGACAAGCATTGAGAGGATTTACTAACTGCTACGGTATACTGTTGAATAGGGAAACTCTACAGACTCATCATAAATACAATGTGGAGTCCTTGTCTCACCCGGTTACTGTCCAACGTGCGAAATAGCTGCTGTGCGTACTCAGCTGACTCACTGCCCACTGTGCCATTGCAGAAATGCCGTTGAAACTCATGAAGAGTGATCAGCCCGCTTGGACACTCAGTAATAAACTTTCTGTCACAAAAAATAGAGATGAGGAATCGATATTTTTTCAGTCCAGAGGAGGTTTGAATGAAGAGCTAGATTTACAGCAGGAAATACATGCATTTTAAATTTAGAATGAGGAGAATTAAGGTCAACCCCATCTACAGCCAGTGGAGATTACATGTGTTTGAAAGCTTGTTTACACCCTGGGATACAGGCACTAGGATAATTAGGTCAAATAATTCTGGACCACTTTACTAAAGCGTGGACAAGTGAGGCTTGTCAGAAGCATGCCATTATAGAAATAGATGAAAAACTAGTCCTTGTTTATAACACATTTGACAGGAAAAAATAAAGAAGTAAAGATATTTAAATTGAGACACCCCTTTAGATTATTTTTATGACGTACTTCACATTAAGCTAACAAACTCATTGGATTTCTTTAATGCTGCAACGCTAATTTAATGCTGCACTTTTATTATGCCATGTCTGTGTATACCATCAACACTTGGCTAAAATTTCAAACAAATACACCCAAAAAAAGAAAAGAAAGAAATGGTAATCTGGATGATTTGAGGAGCAAAAATCTGAAATCCTACCTGAACCATTCATAAAGCTCTGTAACATAAGGCTCTCCTTTCCTACAGGGTAAGGTAGCAGCTTGGCCCATCCTGTAGAGCAGTGGTAGCGGGTTTGCATTCACCGCTCACTTTATATACACACCAAATCCCAGCTTATGTCATACTTTCTTAATTGCATCAACCACTACCTTAACACTTCTGACAAATTGCTTGTGGCTAATCTGCTTAGAGAAAAGGGGGAGACAAAAAGAAAGGCTGTAAGTAAGGCGAGTGCAATCACACAAAAAGCATACTGCTGCTTCTCAATCTGGCTCTCTGAGGACAAAACTGCAGATTTACTCCAAAGAAAAAGCCAAAGCCCTGGATTTGTTTAGTAAACTAATATTTATTGACATGACAACCTGGGAAGACAACCCAGACATGCTGATAGTAGCAGCAATAACACAGATACAGTAAGTGCTTCCTCAGGAGCCCCAAAAAAATCAAACGTCATCAAAGAATTGAACCTGTGCAGTGGCAGGAAGTGGTACCATTGAGGCAGTAACAAGCTCCCACAGTCCAATATGAACCCAAGGTTAAGGTCCTTCCACCAGTGTCAGTGCACAAACTAACACACCACTCTGTTATAACTTCCCAAACCTGATGACGTGACAACTTTCAACAATAAATGATCAAAAATAAAAGTGGCATGCAAGTCGACACAAAGCAGGGGGCATGAAACCATAATAATAATGTTCTCTAGCTGATTAAATTTACTATTTTTAGTCTGCTGAGTACAGTGTGCATCTCTGCCACAATGATAAGAGTGAAACTGAGAGCAGTTTAGCTTTCCGGGGAGAATACAGCTACAGAAGTGCAATGGTTAAACACAAAGAATACAATGAGCAAGAATGGGTGACTCGACTGTAAGGACTACCCAGTGCCATTGCTCTGCATGTTTGGTTAGGTAGTAAGTGCAGAGGCCAACATATGGAGCTCCAGGGTCCTCTATAAAAAAGCCTCATGATGTGCACCACAGGGTGCCATGTTGTGTCAAGTTGATCCATTAATACATTTTAGCCCTCCTTTCAGTCTGAGGAGTTGCCAGGGGAGGCGGTCTCAGTATGTCACACAGGTTTGTTGTGTGTGTCCGAGCAGACATGTCCAAAGGCACTTCGGACTTGTGAGTTCACTGCTCCACCCACTGGCTCCTCATAATTCAAGCATTAGAGAAAAAGACAGTATTTGTCATGATTCACAACAACCATTTTTATCACAGAAACAAGACTTCTTATTGGGAAGTCCTTAACAGTCCACAGTGAACAATAGAGGCAGTCCATCAAATCTACATTTTTGCGGCAAAACAAACATGAAGATTTTTCTGTTTCAGTTCAATAAAGGGATCTCTAAAACAATCAAGATTAATGCAGGAGTTCAGTTTATGACAGACGACACAAATTCAGATGTAACAGTATAATTTTTGTCATTTTTAGCGTGAACAAGGTTGTCAACTTTAAATCTCCAATTCTTCATGATTGTGTTTTTTTCTCTCAACACAAATCAAAGACTTTTACATTTTATCTGAAGATATCTGACTGCTTTCTAATAAATTTACCACATAAATCTCTCAAAATTATGACTTCATTCCCAGTTATGATCTCTTATAAGTTTGGCTCTTCTCACAATTTTGGCCATTTCTGATTTTTTTTTTAATAACACCCTTTTGACCTTTGATATTATTACAGTTTTTTCCTCCTACGATCATAATCCTCTCCTTGTAAACATTACATTTAATCACATAAGAGACTTTTTGCATTACTCAGAGTTTTATAACATTATATATTTTTCTGCTTTTTTCTACTTAATTGAGAACTTTTTACTTACTGTATGACTTTTTATGTCGTATTTTCAACTTTTTGTACAATTTCCTAACTTCAATTGTCATAGTATTTTCATCAAGACCAAGTATCAGGTTACTTTTAATGATTTCGATTGGCAGAAAAGGCCGACCACACCAGCAACACAACACTGACATAAATACTCTAAATTTTTAGAACATAAATTCTGTATTCAGGGTTTTCATCATGTTTCTAAACTTGAGCACAGACAGAGTCACACATACTCTACTAAAATGACAGTGATTTAAAAAACATTAAAAACTTCCTCCCCTCATTGTTGTCATTATTGTAGGTCTCTCTTGTCACTGTTAAAACACAAGTTTGGTAAATTTGGGCTGAGCAATGCTGCCAGTCTTTTTTTTTAAAACCACCATGTGACAATAATTTGATGTGCTTTGGTTTTTCTTGACTTCACACATTGTTCTCATCTGGCTGACAAATGACTGGCTGGCATTTTCAGGTCATGACACAAAGAGGGAAACCTTCAGTTAATAAAATCAAAGATGTGTGGAAAATTCTACATGAGGTAACAATGAAAAGTGATCGACGCAGTTCAGTCAATTATTCAAGTTCTCACTGATATCAGTTAACCAGTTAGTATTTTGTCTTTTACCTACTTTATATAAAACATGATTGGGGATAGACAGTTATACTGTTAGAGACAGGGTCAAATTTAGCATTCATGGAATGATAATTCTGCATAGCATAGTCCTTTCACATACGTCTGCATGACTACGTTCTGCTCCACTAACTGTTGTTGCACACAAAGACGGTCAATGCATGGAAAAATAAAACAGCTACAGCTATGGCTTATAGGAGAGATACGACAGCTGACAGGAAGTGTACACAGAGACACTGTAAGACGAGTAAAAGGATGGCTCACAACGATGCGCTGTATGCAGGGAAGTGTCTGAAACTTTAAACTGAGAGGAATGAACTGTAAAACTGTGTTACTGTACGGGAGCTCTGTTACCATCACTCCCCGAGTTACCGTTGGACCTCAGAGATCAACCTCAGATGTGCACTCAAATGTCACGGATGTGAAATGGGTTTCCTGCTCAGTTGTTGCCACCAGACCACTACCTGGGCAACCTTGAAGAGCAGTTTTTTCTTCGCACTGTAGTCCTTGTACATTTATAAGAGTTCTTAAATGCTTAAAATACAAAGCTGACGGCTCTCCAGATAATCTATAAAGGTGGACAGTTTCTACATAAACATGCTAAATGACAAAAGCAAGGGCAAATGAAGTCAAGGACACCCAACACCAAGGAAAAGGTCTAAAAAACACACACACAAAAAAATAATGGATTCTTCCTATGCAAACCATCCCTTCAAGACAGATATGGCCTAATGACATGGTGTGTGTGCAATCATACCAAACCCACACATTTACAGTATTTTCAAGTCAGTGTACAAGAGAAAAGGTTCCATGGAAAATGTTCAGATACTGACAAGTTAAGAGAAATCTCTGAGCGGCACATTATGAGGTGACTCTCAAAGTTCAGAGGTTATGGAAGTGTGGTCTGCCGTGGTAGACTGCCTACCCGCGGCGTGTATCCTGAGGGGTCGCAGAGATGGGCCAGGTTGTCGAGGTGTTTCCTTGCATTTCATTTAAAAGTACAGAACCTAACCAAAGTACGACCATATAGAAAAACAAGGAATCATTTCAGTGCATTTTTTTGCATCATCATCACTCCCAACTTTTTTTTCTTTTTCAAATGCAAGTAGGAGCGAAAACAAGGATATTTCATATCCTATCTTTCTTTCTTTGTTCTGTTCATAAGTAATTGGACCAAGCGAGGCCTCATTGGGTGAACAGAGGATGACAGTAGATATAAGGAAAGCAGTGAGGAACAGGCAGTCGCTGTAAGGCTTTAGAGGCGGGTCCTCATCCTGGAGAGGGAAAGCAGGAGTCCCTTATTGTTGTCGATCCCACTACAGTTGGAGCAGCCACACGAAGAATACACAGCTTATGTGGAAAAGATCACTAATAAATAAACAGTTCCAAAAAAGGAATGCTGCGTCTCAGTAAGATTTCAGGAGAACACGTCATCCTCAGAAGCTGATGGTCCGAGAGTCGATCAGTGTGCTTCGCACTGTGAGAGCAGGTTCTATAGAGACCAGTGCATCTCCTCAAAGTCAACAGCCTCGCCCAAGTTTGTGTCCGTCTCCAGGAGGCTCATGATCACCGCCATGGCTGCTTCATCATTGCTAAGACTACTAAGGCCCGGTCCAACCACGCTGTCCAAATCCAGCTGGGAATTCTCCCCTGAGGCAAAACAGGATGACAGGGCAGAGTTACAAACACACCAAAAACACAAACAAGACTAGGATCTAAAACAGTCCAGAGCAGCTGATTCTCTGTCTGCATGTCAATAACTGTATTCAAGATAAGAAGTATGATCAGGGATGTGAAAAAAACACTTCTTATATACAGTTTGGGTGTATTGAGAGTACCCATGAGTGTGTCTCCGCCTGAAAATGCAGCTCCCTGTGGCTCATCCTCTGAGCTGGACTTCCCTGGCACCTCCATGTCTACTGCCTCTCCATTTGGCACCTTAGGAACAAAGACCAAAAACACAGATGAGCTTCCAAGCACTCCAATATGATCACCTCCATTCCCACTGCACTGATTCAGACATTCATGGCAAAGGGGCACCAACCCAACTGTTCAGTCATGAGCGGCTAAAACAGCTGTGTTTATAGTAAACAAATCTTCCTGAACAAAAACTTACATTGTTGCTGTTTTGATTTGGAGTTTGTAGACATTTATCCGGTGGTAAACTGAACGGGCTGACATTACCACTGGATGGCGAAGAGTTCATCCTAAAGGGACACAGACATGACTGTGTTACAGCTGTTCATCAGAGTTACAGAGGTGTCAAAACTGGATTTTTCCTCTGTAGGGGTCATACCTGTTAAAATCCAGAAGCTCATTTGCAATCTGGGTCCCTATGCTTCCAGCATATATCATGGTTCCAGGCCCGGTGGAGACACCTGGTATAATTGGAAAGGACTTCTTTCCGTCTTCAAATGGTAAAAGAGTTACAGTACACATTTTTAAGTACCACAGTGCATCAGAGATAACAGGAGGGTGATATCTTTGTCAACTTTTTAACTAATATAGCTAATACACAGAACTAATATCTTCATAGATTTTTTCTTTTAACTGACCTTCAAGTGTTTTGGAATTGCTCAACTGCTCAGACTTTCCTGATCGACTGGCTCGACTGAGATCATGTCTTGATGAAGGGGATGAGAAAAGACTTTGTTCTCAGATGCAAAGATATGCAGGTAAAGCAAAATAAGAGAAGAAAGCTCATACTCACGATATGACTGTGTTTGTTGACACTATGTATTCTACTTCTTTGGTCCAGGGATTGACAAAACTAAACCACTGACTTTGCAGAGTGACAAAAGATCCGTGTTTTGTTTTGAACTTGTAGCAGTTTGTCTTGATTTTCTCTTTACTTCGCAGCACTGTTAAAAAAAAAAAAAAAAAAAAAAAACAGCGAGGGGGCGTGACCAAAAGGGAAAGACATCAAGAAGCCAGCAGTGCTTCAAACAGGATACAGATTTGCTGCACCATCTTAGCAGACACTAGCTGAGTCTACCTGGACCCTAATATTCAAATTATTCATAAAGGATCATTATTTTCAGCTGAAATAGAAGGAGGATTATGGTTTTCTTATTCTGCAGTCCAAGACAGACCATGTTAAAGATCAGCTATCAGTGACGGCTATGGCTCCTTGTGCAGACAAACATCTCTTTTGTGTACATCACACAGCTGTTCTGGTTAAATCTATAGGTGCATGTAAACACAAGACCCGATTGAATAACATGTTGTTCAAACACTGACCCAGTATCTTCAACAAGAATGAAGATATTGGTGAATGAAGAAATATTGTCCATGTATCACAGACTGAATAAGCTCATAAGGACATGAGACAATATGAGAATAATAAAGATAGATATTTGCCTTTTCTATGACTTTCAGCTAAATGCGGTAGATCATCTTGATGGAAGTATTCATAGCATGATGTCCCAAGTAACTCTTGAGGCAGAAAACCAAGAATGGTTGTTGCTCTGTGGGAGAAGGGAAACAGTTTGGTTTTGAGTGTGAAAGTTCATCATATAATAATAGATGTCCTGTATCAGTAAAATAATATATATGTACTATACTGCATCTCTACCTTTGATCAACAAAAGTGAATTTTCCATCCATGGCGTAACGTGTGGTGAATTCTGTGGGTTTAACACGGACTTCTCCGTTAACCTGGGGAGATGAGTGGGAGTGGACGCGCCCCACCGCCACCAGGCAGCTGAAGTGGGAGCTGTCCTGCTTGTCTGCTTCCCCCTCCCCCTCTGCTCCCAGCTGACTGGTGGGCCAGCTGCGCATGTAGCCTGTGCAGTGAACGGTGCAGTACTTCTGCACTTCTGTAAGTACACAAAAACAAACCAAAAATATATACCGTATTTTTAAAAGTTCGACTGTTAGTGTAGAGGGAATTACTAACATTATCTCCAAAAAGCCAATTAGAGCCTTCCACAGTATGAGGAGTTTAGAGAGTCATCCCATGTAAGCTATTTTCGTGGATCCAGTCAGTTATATGCTGACAAAACATAATCTCATAATTATTTTTAGTTGTTCAGGTATTGGTTTCCTCTGAACAGAACTTCCAAACTCTAGATGACTATGACGTCTCAGATGACCTCTGAAGTGGAAGCCCTTCTATCAGACTTCCAGGCAGGACATATCTACAGATAACCCTTTGGATAATTCCCCTACCTTTCTTTTTGGACGAGCTGGACTGGAATTCTTTGTCTTCAACTTTGACTGAAATCTTGTTGTACTTCATACGGCAGAAGAACGAGCGCCGTGTGCCTGAACACAGCCGTGCTGCTCCGACAGGGAGATCAGCCTGGACCTGCAGACCGGCTAGACACATGACAGGGCGATTAAACTTCCTCTCTCCCACCACACCCCATATCACACACAGAGAAAATTGTTTTACTTTTAGCATCTATCAGCCGTTCACGGGGGTATAACTCAGAAGCCGACAGCTGCTCCTTCACTTTCCCCATGTCCTTTTGGTGTATGTAGTCAAACAGGCTTTGTCCAATCAGCTCCGCCTAGAAGAAAAACAAACAGCCCGTCAAACTGACCTGCTCTTGGCTCTAATTTACTTCAGAATTAGTCAAAATGGAAATACTGTATGAACTTCAGTAAAATCTGTGCACATAGTTGAACACCTGAATCCATGCTGGTGTGTTTTAATCAGAAAATACTGCTGCTGAGACAACGCAACCAATCTGCAGTGTCAAGAGTGACATGAATAAAAGATGCTTCAGATATAGAAGCAAAGATAAAAGAGTTACCCGACTATAATTTAATATCTTGGTGACGGACTCTGAGACAAAAACTATTTTCCCACGATCACAGCCCACGACAAACAGGAACCCGTCTGCAGCCTGTACCAAAGACAAAAAAGGGAAAAACAAGAGGAGCCAATGTGAAGATGAAGTAAGAGGTTATTGGGTAGATGTGTTTACTTTAATTGATGTAAAGATTCTGTGTTCAACAGATCTTTGAGCTAAATAGACCATTTCTAATCATCGATTAAATTTATTTTCTTGCATTCAGACAGAAAAACAGCCAACTCCCTGTCTTCAAATCAGTGGGTCCCATTTATGAAACTTTGTGTGTAAGCTGTTCCCAGTGATCTGACATTCTTCAATGTTTCCGTAGCTCGAATCCTTTTAGATCAGGGGTGGGGAACCATGTGCCATGGAGAGCCGAGAGGCTGCAGGTTTTCTTTCCAACCCAAACCTCCACCAGGTGATTTCACTGATTAGTCCCTGCTCTCTGCTTGGAAGTAAGGTAATCAGTGAAATCTCCTGGTGGAGTTTTGGGTTGGAAAGAAAACCTGCAGCCTCTCGGCTCTCCATGGCACATGGTTCCCCACCCCTGTTTTAGATGATCCACTTTTAAAGGGTCAAAGTACTGTGTGGTTCAAAGGGAGCCCATACAGGAACAGCCTACCACTCTCTCATGGTATGCTCCAGCTCTGCAACTTTCAAGGGTCAAATAAAGGCGTGGCTCAGGACAAACCAGAACTGTGACCATGTCGGACCATTCGATCAGTAGCTTTACACGTACATCTATGTGTGCAACTTGAGTGCAATATCACATACATAGGAATGTCTGCTCTTTCCCTGTGCAACACTGCGTACATAAACATGTCAGTAACACTTTATTTGACGTCTATCTCTATAACGCATTATAAATATATGAATAATGCGTTATAATCACATTATAGCACTGTATAACTATAGTTATAAACACTCAAATGATCATAATGCTTTATAGCAATAATCATAACACATTATAAAGCATTTTATCATGACTTACAAGGTCAGGTATTATAATGTGTTATAACTGTTAACAACTCACTGACAATGCCTACATAGATAATGCAATGCAACTGCTGTTAACAGTTACAACACATTATAATACCTGACCTTGTAAGTCATGATAAAATACTTTATAATGTGTAATGATTATTGCTATAAAGCATTCTGATCATTTATGAGTGTTTATAACTATAGTCATACAGTGCTTTATTGTGATTATAACACATCATACTTATATTTATAATGTGTGATAGAGATAGGTGTCAAATAAAGTGTTACCAACATGTCTGTTTATGCAAATTTTGTGCAATAGGACTACACAGAGTCACACAAGTACTTCTACTTAACAGGTCTGGTGGGGCATCTTTACCACCATGAGTGATACATTGCCCATATCAGGGGTCAAATCAGCGTTTTCTGCCATGAATCTGCAATGGGCTTTAGGTTCCAAGGATTTTGTATTTGTACTTCTGCACAAAGATGTTTCATGAATGAGACCCATCTTCTTTAATTTCAGATTAACACGATTTTGCATGTAGTTTCTGCCCAATTCCAGATACATTCATACAAAGCTTTACCTTGAGGACAAGGTGTTTGAGCTCCTCCTCAGGAAGGAATGATGGCTTGTAGTTAGCTTCAGATAAAGATGTTCCTGAACCTACAAAGACAGACAGAAAAGTTACATACGTTTTATCATCAGACTTCTGATAGTTTGAACTGCTCGAGCCTGATGAATGCAACACTGATGTTGTCCTTGAGCGACAACATCACAGTTGTGTGACAGGCAGGCGGCAACAGTAGTTATCTTGGCCACAGAAGAATGTTGCTACAGGAAGGTGAAGGGCGTTAAACTGACACCTCCAAGTCTCCTAACTTGTTTGGCTCCATGCTGTCAGAAAGTAGAACTCTGAGGCATACCACAAACTCAAGTTCTCTTTATTACCATGTGTAGATGAACCCTAGGGCGAGATAAGAACTGTCGTGTTTTCTTATCTTTCATTTCCTTGTGTTGAAGTCTAGTTGAGACTCTGCAGTCTTCTGTTTAACTGGCAGTTCCATCATACAATTGGCCACGCTTTGCAAACAGTGTAGAAATGTTCATGAAACCTCAGGGCCAGTTACAAGATAACATTAAAGTCATACCAGCCCTTAATGAGCAAGCAAAAGTTGTTAATGTCTGAGGCCTCTGCTGTAGCTCTGATGGCAGATTGATATCTCGAGCTACAGAGCGCTCCTTAACAGTGTCTGCCCATCACATCACTCACAAGTGGACACAGTGAACCATGTCCTGCAAACTCGTCCAATTCATGAACAACACAAGCACAAATTTGGCAAAGGTACTTGAGGAGACAGTGTTAGAGTGGAACGTCAACAGGCTAAGGGTTACAATCAAACAGGTTATCAATAAAAATGGTTCCCAAAGCTTAAAAACTGAAGTTCAATTTATGATAAACTGGATAATTCCTCAATTTACTGAGTAGCCGGTTTCTCGTTCCTTGACTTGGTACCTTTAAGAGATTTGAGGTGCTGCACAGCCATCCTGAGCACAGTGAGTTTGTCCAGCTTTCTTGACATGGGATTACATGTGGGGATCATGGCTGAAAGTTTGTCTATGAGATGGTTCATTTTGTCCCGTCTTCTCTTCTCAATTTGGCTGTGAGGTTCCCTGCAGAGGCATTAAACAATGACGTGTTATCTTTGTTGACATTTTGAGGCATCTTATGTTATGAATGGGGGATACCAAATCCAGCCAACCTGAAACATTTGATTTTGACGTGTTGGTCTTCCTCGTCTGATCTGTAGAGCAGAAAGAACACATTTAAAACCTCTACCAATACAAAACATTAAGCAAAAACCAGACAGGTCAGCAAATATTACCCATTTTGGTCATCTTCCATATCTGCATCAAGGATGGAAACAGATTTGGAATCCCTAGAAAGAAAGAAACTGGTCAAAATCATTCAGAATAGGGCAGAAACAAAGTCACTAAACCTATCTTTAGAGACTAAACTAAGTAAAAGCTAAGAGATGTTAAGCCACTCACTGGTTGTCCATGCTGCCCTTGCGCTTCCGGGGCATTTCCATGTTCAGGGACATGCTGACTGAGGACGGGGTCATCAGGCTAGCCAGTGACATAGAACTGGATTGGCTTTCCTCAACCAGTACATCTTCTGGAAAACACAAGACACAAAAAGCTGTAAGATTTTTCCTCCAAAAATCACCAAGTTCCTGCAGTTTAAGGATCCTGCTCTGAAACTGCAGAACCACTTGCACCCGTGTTCTTGAACTGACGTTCCTCTATGTTCTCTGGGGATTTAAAGGCGATGTTGGCTATTCCATATGAGCAGATGAAAACGTTGGTGGTGCTCAAAATCTTCTGGAAACCAATTTAAGTTGGTTTGAAGAAGAAAATTCTTCCTGAGAACTGTTGCTGAATGAGGCAGACACAATCTCTGCTCAGCCAATGCACCACTTATAAAACTTTTACACTGTACAGATGCATCTTGAAAGATAAGCTCTGCCATGCATCGTATCCACTACAGTTCACTGAATGTTATTGAAGTACACTCCTTTACCCATCAAACTACAACTGCATGTTTAAATGACCCGATACAGCTCAGACTAGATTATGGTCACTGAACATAAATGCATGTTTGGTTTCTTTGGGATGCTCAGAGGGAGTAAACACCTCTCTTGTCTCTCTGAAATAACTATGCTACTGTCCATATTACATCTACCTAGCTAGCACACAGCCTTGCACCAGTTCATACTGTTTGAGTCCTAAAGAGTTGTACTTTGCTTTATCACTGACTCACCTGTTGGAGACCTGCCTGACATTTGGCAGCATCTCCTGTAAAGGACTGTTGTTCTGTTTCTCTCCCTCCCTGCTCCACTCTTCCTTATCTTTTGACCTCTGCTACTATCTCTGTCTCTATCATTACTACTGGAGTGAACGTAACGTGGTACTCAGTCGATGATGTGCAGGCACATCAATTGTGCTCTTGCTCCTTCAAAGTAAAAGCTCTCAGCTGAACAAAAATGACTCCCAACTGTACCAGCTTGTCATTGGTACCAGAAGTTGCAACAAAGAGTGAGAAAAAAAAGCTGTGAGCTTGATGCAGAAGTAGATAATAGTAGAATAATCAAATTTGACAGCAGGAAACTAATGTAAGATGTTCAAAGTTCCCAAGGGAGAACCCCCAACCATATGATCTGTTTGTTTTTCCTGTGGAGAGACTGCCCTTGTTTTTACGCAGTGTCAAGGAAGTTATTTGGTATAAGATTGACTTGCACAGGATAGAAAGTTGGCACAAATCAAGCTGGCTGCAGGTACAGCTATGTTAGGCCTATTTAAACTAGGTTCAAGAAAAATATATCCTTTGCTCTGTCCCTCTCTCTGGTCAGCTGGTCTCTGTAGCCTCTTTCGTATAAACACAAAGTGCCAGAAAATTACTCATCATTACCCGGATGAGCTGTACGCGTGAATACCAACATACCAAGTGAACACCACGTTTTTTACTCTGACATCACCTGAATTTTACTACTTGTCCCCTTGTATTATTTTGGGTTAAAGTCTGAGTGAACTCATGAGAGGAGCAGCAGCAAATCTTAAGGATAATTCCTGAAATAGGATCAACCCCTCATACTGCATCTCATGCCACCAGTATTTCAAATGTTTTGCAAAGAAACATTTTTATGTAAAGAGAAAAACTTTACCACCAAACTCACTCCTAAATATTTATGACAAATGACCTGTTAAATGAAGGGTGATTGTGTGTTTATTTTATCTACTTCGAAAGTTATAACTCACAGCAGATCACACACCTCTTTGCACTGTCTTCAGGGGAAGAAATTCTTTTACTGACTTTTATTAAGCCAAGACATTTAAAAGTGGGAGTCAAATTTGTCTATATAAAACCTGAGGGCGAGTATCACCTGTAGGGCAGGGACAGCGCTCTGTTTCTATCCAGAACATGCTTCAGGTTGAGTTGAGCTCTTAAATTAATCCAATAAAAAAAGGCTCAGTGGAAAAAACAAAACCTGAAAATCAGCTAACTGTAGCAGTACTGTTCACTCTTGTATTAATCTATCTCAGGTTGACACACATTCATCAATCACCCTCTAACCAAGTCTTCCTGTTATTTTTCTGTTTGCATGACTTTGAATAGGCTGACTTCACAGACTTACATCTGCTCAATTTTGGGTGTAAAGTTTACATCCAGGTCCAACATAAACACGACTGAAGTGGAAAGTTAGTGGAAAGGTTATACTCAGCACTTGGTCTTGGGTTATCTATTGCCCAGGTTGCCTATCTATTTTTATTTTTTGACAGGCTACAACTGATCCTGTTGTGTAACTAACTAGTGATTACAAAATGCTAAAGAGAAACCGAAAAAAGGGAAGAACTAAAACAGCATTGTTCGCCTTGTAGCTATAGGACTCAAATAACAAAACATGCCAATTTCAGCAGCAGCTCTTCAGCATGGAGGACACTTTACTGTTGAGCCAGATAAAACATTACCGGTTAGTACGGCTCACCCGTTATCGGCCTAAATAACAGTGAGTGTTAATGCTGCACTAATAAAACAAAAAACCCCGCTCTGTGATGAAGAACTGACTGTCACAATGATCCACACTGACAAAAAAGCAGGGGTGAAAATATACCAGCAGAGTCGGCACACTTGTACGAGCAAACAGGCCGAGCTACCAATGCTAAGCTAACCCTGGCTTGGTTTGGTCATATCGGTAAACATATGCAGACACTGATATCCAGTTTAAGCTACAATGCCATACTACGAGTAGACGAAAACACCGTTTCTTTATCCATTTTACTTATCATTATGATTGAAAACGTCGTGTAAAGTGAACGTTACATAAATGGTGTGAAAAAGGCCAGTTTGCTCTACTGATCTACTGACCTAGTTTCTGAATAGCGCAAAGTTTCGGTCAACCGGTGACAATAATCGAAAACACTCCACCGGGCTTCTCTATTTCCGACCCAATCTCAGTTATCTCCACTTATATTGATACATACTGCGTTTTAACACATATGAGTAAAAAACGTTTGTCGTTATTTCAATCACCTATCGGTTCTTCAACCGCTCGGTCACCGTCGCCAGCCGCTGCCTTCCTCGCCGACATGGCTGGAGCCGGAGCCGGTGCACCCAGGCCTGGAACCCCAATGCATGGATAAAAAAGGTCGATAACTCAGAGCTATCGCTGTTGTGAAAGCTCGGGTTGTGAAGGCTCCAAATCAGGAGTAAATGCTGTGAAATTATCAGTTATATGCCAAAAAAGGGAGAAAGGACAGGAGGAGGGGGCACAGATCTACATGGCGGTGACTGTTTGTGGTGCAATCAGGAAAGTGTAGATAGCAGTGACAGGACTATACACAGTCTCCCCCTATCGGCGCACTCAAGGTACCGTCAGTGATGGTGAGAAAAATCCCTTCTCTTTTACGATCTTAGATGGTAAAGCTATGGAAGTAAATGTGTGCCATCTGACTTTGAATTTCTAAAGCTGAATTTTTTTTTGCATCAAAATCAGACCTTGAATTTCAAAACCATCGAATTTCAAGCGCACATTTTTATTTCTAAAGGTCCTTACACACAGGGAGCGTTTTTTTTGTGCGGTTATTTTGGACGGCAATGTTTTTTCGAACCTGTATCCTGTCAATACAAGTGTTCACATAAGCAACGTTTTCCCGTCCTGTGATATTGCTGCTTTTTTTCATATCACAGTCGAATTTTCTAAAGTTTCGCATACTGTGTGTCCACTTCTGACCAATCAGATTTCATGTTGTTGCCACATCAGATTCACCGGTATATCCAACATGGCCGACCAGCTGATTGTTTACATGTCAGAGAACAGAGTGCTTTTTGATAAAACACAAATATTACAAAGATAACAACCTGAAGGACAACCTTTGGAGAGTCAAAGCGTCGGATTTCTCTTGTGACGATGGTTTGTGTGCTTTAACAGTTTGCTAAACATCTTTGTTTCAACTTTCGTCTGTGCTAAATAACTTTAGCTCGTAAGCTAACCTGTTCAGATACAACATACCATATGTATTTTCACTGTCTCAAACTCACTTGCGTTGCTGTCACAGCACCATTAGGTCTGTGTTGTTACATTACGTTTGTGGATTATAGTTTAATGTGCTTATCTGGTACTGGCCCAACTCAGTACATGCTATCACGACAGACAGCCATCTCAACACTAGTGTCTAATCAGAACTGAAAACAGTCAGTCTGCTGTTGTGTCAGTCTTCTTGCTTCCACCCGGGATGCATCTTTTTTCCCCCTGGAAAGTTGCAAAATCACATCGGGCTTGATGTGTATAGTCAGGCGCTTCAAAACTCTCCTCCGAATATTTCATAATTTTGCATTGGCCATGGTGTGTAAGGACCCTAACACTTTTTTTTTCACAATGATGAAATAAATTTTTGTGTAAAAAAAATCGGTCTCTCAAAATATTCATGTAGTAAAAATTTGACTGAAAAAAACAATGTAAAAAAAAAAATTAACATAAAAAAAATTAAGTGTAAAAAAATGAAGTGTAAAACAGACCGACACAACATCCAGGTAATCAGGGAGAAACAATCGATTCCTCAATCTTCCACTCGGGTTGGTGCCACACGACCAGTCTAGCATTATTGGCTGGATGATGGATGATTGAGCCAGGAATCGACTGCTTCTCCCTGGTTGAGTCGATCTGTTTTACACTGAATTTTTGACACTAGTGGTCTGTGTCACCGCAGCTGGTGTGGTGGTTGAGGAAAGCTCTGAAGATGGTCTTTACATCCTGTCTGGATACGCTTGTTTCCAAATCTTTGATAAAAGACAAACTCAGTTCAGTTTGTCCCTGAAATAGATATTGTTTGCTCTCCAATAAAGCCCTTCTGCAAGTACACGTACATACGTCCACCTCCCTTTAAAAATTGCAGTAGTCTTCTGTATGTTTTCCCTGTGTTGTGCGGGTTTTGTCCGGGTGCTTTGGTTTTTCCCAACAATCAGATGAATGAAAGAAAAAATATTAATACATAAATAAATGTATAAATCAAGGAACCTAAATCAATCAATATATTCATTATAGAAATGCGCAAATGAATGGATGGGGGGGGGGGGGGGGGTATCAATTCAGCAAATAAAACCAAGTATCGCCATCATAAAAATTATAGTTCATGGTGCAAAGCTTATTAGTCCCTGCATCTAGTGCCATTTTTTTTATAACTATACTTAGTTCTAATAAAACATTGTGAGTTTCTTGAACAAGTTGTATCAAGTTCCCCTGAAAATGGTGTTTTAATGACTAATATTGTATTTTCTATCTAACAACTATCAAAACAACAATGTTAATTAGGGATTAACATTATCTTATCTTATCTTATCGTTTGTGGAATTGGGAGGATTATTTGCACACTACTCCATACTGCCTTTTAAAACTTTACCTTTTATGTGCCTTGGAACCATAGACTGTATATAGATATATATTGACTGCCTCTGGCTTAGCCTGCGATACGTCTATCGTCATATGCAACCAGCTCATATTGCCATGGCAACCTGTGAGCCTCAGGGCAGGCCCACACCTGAGACAAATTCACCAATCAGGGACTGCTCTGACATTTCTGCATCATTGAATCATATTACAGCAATTTGATAATATGCTGACTCTTCATTAAAATCCCTATTAGGGTCATGTGCTTTAAAGCATTTCTGGTGTTAGAATATGCCCCTCATTTGTGTGTATTAGCTGAGCATTAGTATGTGTTTTTTTCCAGAGAGATGAATATTTTTCACAAACTGCACCACTAAATGCAACATGCATATTGTCTTAAATAGTTTGTCCAGTTTGTGGTGCAGAAGTATGTTGCAGCAAGGTTTTTTTTTTATGTGTTTAACAAAAACAGACATTTCTATTCTAAATTTTGTTAATCATGCACTAATTTTTGAAATATTCATATTTACATTTCCAATAGGTCAGACATGCTTAAAACCTAATATTACATACTGAACCTTTAATTGCGTGCTAAGAATGTCATAAAGAATACTCACAAAAGCTTTCTGAAGTATCCAAAAAAAAAACAGATTTACAACCCACTAAACCCACATCAACAAAGAGGTCCAGCCAGATCTTTTATTTGGGGATAAATGTAAACTCATTTCTCATTGTTAATATGTCAGAATTTATGGTTGGCACTTCTAGTCTCTTGTTTCCTGACAGCTTTCCATTTCAAACACTGGGTGGCAGGCTTGTCTAACTTGAAAATGCAAGTGAAGAGAGACTGTTAAAGGAGGCTTTTGTGGTTAAAAATGTCCTTCATGTAAGCCGCTGAAATAATGTTGCTTTTCAGTCTCATGGACAACAGGCATATGTATATATAAATATATATATGCATATATATGTATATAGCTGCTATTTGCTAGGTCAATCTAAAGTTAGGCTGACTCAGCATTTCAGTATAGCAGGCATTATTAATGGGTATTCTGCTTCAGATCATCAATGGGTGATGTGTCTAAGAAATTAAGCCATTTTTATACAGTAGAATAGATGATTACCACCTAAGTGCCAACAACATTTTAGCGACAGTGCATTTAAGCAGATTTGGATTTGGACTGTGCGGTCATTCATGTCAATGCTGTCATGCTTACTGGGGTTATCCAGTCACAAGGGGACAGCTCTGAGCATGAGGATTCACTCTTTGCATTATCATGTGTCTCCAAATGCATCTCCAGTCGTGATCTGATCTCATCTACATGCTTTGTATGCAAATACATGGAGAGCTCCATTCACCTTCATTAGACTTTAAACACATCAAATTCCAAGAAACTGTGATGCGGGGAGTGAGAGATTGTTTATTTATATGGAGCAGGAGGGACAGAGGAGCAGATGATCACAGGGTATAAATCTTTGTTGGATGTGGACCAGGGGACTTGATAAGTTTCTCTTTGAGTCTTTGGAGATATAACTTGTAATAATCATCTTCATCCACTTCTTCTCTTTCTCATTAAATGGATGTGTTAAACTTACAAATAGAGGTCTTTCTAGACTCATATCTGTTTAAAACAGCAATCAAGCCCATCTTAGGAATGATATGCAGCAACAGGGACCTCCAAACAGTTTTATCAAGAGATGCAACTTCACTACTTAACAAGATGCCTTTCTCTTATGTAAGTGTTTTTCCACAGGCCCTGAAAACTGCTGAAAAAATATTACATTTACAATCCTCAATTAACAGTTTTTCAACAATTAAATAACTTTCAGACACTGAAGAACTCCCTGAGTGTCATCCTGTAATGTATTCAACCCATCACAGTACTGAGACTGCTCTTTCTAAGGTATTAAATGACATCTTTTTAAACACTAAGAGCAGAATTTCAGGACCAGCATGACTACACCTCAATGCTGTATTTGACAGTAGTTTACAATATAAAACTTGACTTACTGGACAACTTGGTGGGACCCTAATACTCAACTGGTGTCAATCTTACTTAGAGGACAGACCAAATTTCAAATTTCCACATGGAGTTCCCCACAGCTCCAAGCAGTATCTTTACAGGTCTATCTTAACAGTATCTTTACAGGTCTTTTTAAAAATGAGTCAGACAACTGCAGCAGGTTGAGAGACTTGTGGCTTGTACCGACTAAAACCAAGAAATGGGATCACATCACTCCAGGTCTTATTGTCAGAGAATATATTTTATATGTAATTTAAATTATTTTACACTTGATGGTAAAGAACTGAGAGGTTTAGGTCAAAAATATACTGATTATGTCTTCATACAGAACAAACCACCTAGACCACTCAGGTCAACAGGGACCACCTGGTATCTGTATCCAGAGCTTTTGTAAGCTCCAAATATCTGTAACAAATTTCCAGAAAAGACCAGGCTTATCAAAACTCTCAGTTCTTATAAATTCAAGCTGAAGAGTTTTAGCTGCCTTTTGTTGATACATTTTAGGAAAGTATTTTAGAATCTGTGTAAATCATACAAGACTGCACTATAACCTTGATGCTTTAATTTGAAAACACTCATCACCCTGGTTTCAATCATGTGTAACGTGTTTTGAATTGCCTTCTAAAAATAAAGTGGCCTAGCCATGCTATGAACTTTAAGGTTCTATAACAGCAATTATAATTTCTGCCATTTTATAGAAAATGCAAAAACTGTAAATGGCCATCATGAATTTAAACCTTGAACATAATGGCGTAGTATCAGGTTTCAGCTGCTTCATTTTTACTCCACAGCAGCCAAGCTCCCCCAGTCTCTCCTCAATGCAACTTGTCAAGCTCATGCATATTTTAATTGTTGGTCCTCTGGGCCGCTATCAGATGGACCTTGCTAACCGAAGGGGTGGTGCTGCAGAGATGATGATGATGATGGTGATGATGATGTGTGCATGTAGGGGCTGGGTTTTGGAAAACCAGCTACACCTGCCCCCTCCTCGCCAGGAATGGACGAGTTATGAGATGAGGAGGAGATCTAAGCCGTTCATTCAGTTCAGCTGCAGACAAAAGCAGACTCACAATGCCTGACTGAAACCTGGATTCTACACTTTAATTTGCTCTTGTGTTTATTCATCAGTGTTTGTCCAGACTGTTTTTTTTTCCTTTTGTATCTGGAGATGATCCCAGATCCACAGGCTCTGGCTGCATGGTGCTTTGAACATTAAGGAATACTTCAACATCATCCTCTTGTCTACTTCTCCACTGAGTCCTCCTTGATAGTGGAGAAAAGTGATAAGTAAAGATCTGTCTTTCCTCTGAGGGACCCTGTGGCACCACTGGCTGACCTGCGGTGCCACAAACACAGGAAGGATGAGGAACCGTTCCTAGTGGATTTTGAATTTCGCCTATCCCCCCAACAAAGTGTGTTAGTGAGGCATCAAGACACATTCTTGGGATAAAACAAAAGAGGAAGCAGAGACACAGTCAGGAAAATGCCTTTTGGGTTATCAGGTTTGAAAGAACAGGTGCTGAAGCCTGGGAAGGAGGAAGTGAAGAACACAGTGGGGGACTCTTTAGGAAAACTGCAAAGGTGAGAGGGGCTGAACACAGAGTGCTTCTGGGCAGCTATTTGATCAGCACCTCACAGCTTTTTACGTGTTCATTGCATGAAAACAGCTTTTCACTCATTTTTAATACGCTGAACTGTGTTTCTGCATTATTATGAAGGCTGAGACGGGGGAGAGCAAGCACATTAAGCCCAGTGTGTTCCCAGAGATCCCCACCATAAATAAATATTTGATTTCAGTGCTAGTTAGGCAATGCAAGTGATGTAATCACAGGTTTTATTTTAAGACATTGATGCATATTTCATATCCGATACATATTTCACGCTGGGAGTTGTGCCTGAGATGTGGGGGTTCAAGTTGTCATTTCTAGAGATAAAACACCAAGTAGGCAATTTCCTGGAAAAAAGAATCAATATGTTTGCACTTTGTCATGAATAATAAGATTTACACATGAATATATGTATTCTCTTTTCATTTTAAACTGTCACTTAACATAAAATGTGAAAAAACACTGATCTGAGCCCCCCAACCCCCTTAAAAAATAAACTTTTCAAAATATGCGCTTAAAAAAAATTGACTTATAAACATATTTTGCATCTTGACGCTGGCATTAGCTCTGATTTGTTGTTTTTGAAAACTATCATCTTGTTTCTGAACCTTTGAAAGTGACTGATTATAAATCTACAAAAGGCAAGTAATAAAAGACAAGACAGGGGTTAACTTAAGTAATGTAGATGTATGAAGGAGGATTTATGGGACTAACTACTGATCAAAGAGTCTCAAGTCAGAGCCATGAAAGATTTTTTATTATTTTGAAAATTTTGGATGGAAAAAAAAACCTTTCTTTTTCTAGCGTGAGATTCATGTGACACTTCTAACAAATCTGTTGAATTAGTGGTGATTCATCGAAAGTGAACTCAAAATCACATAAACTAGGGTGCTGTGTGTTTGCTGGAAAAGAAATGAAGCACTGATTACGCTGGTTTTGTTCATTCATTTATGAGGGATCTCCATTCGTTGTGAGGGCTCATCCAAAATATCAAGTTGTAGAACAGGTGTGCAGAGTGATGCACCTGCAAGCAACCTGATAACAGCGGTGCAGTGACCTCTTTGGTCCAAGCTTCACCTCCTGCCCTCTGTGAGAGCACAGACAGACTCGTGTTACTGTACTGCCTTTGTTTTCAGTGGATCCTAAAATGATGATTAAGTGAATTTTATATTTAGGATTCATTTCATTGCTGTTTTCATTTGTATCTTCATTTAAAAGCAAAAAAACAATAATGCTGTTTTGAAAGCTGACAGCAGTGCAAATAATACATACTACAGCCATCAAAAACAAGCCACTAAAATAACCCAAATAACTCAAAAGCATACACTCAAGTAACTTTTTGTGCAAGGTGCAAATGAAATTTCTTTCTGTATGTGATGTTTGACTCACACCTAATGCTGTTTTCTCATAGGACAGTTCTTTTAATAGAAAATAAAAGAAAAAAGTTTCATATTTAACGCCCCCTTTTGTTTGCTGCATAGGAAAATAGATGGAAGCAATGTAGAAGAGCAGGACAACATCGAACTGACAGAGGATGGCCGCCCTGTGGCATCAACTCCGCGTGCTGCCCCGCTGTTTGACTGCAGCTGTGGCGGTCTCCCAAAGCGCTACATCATCGCCATTCTCAGCGGCCTGGGCTTTTGCATCTCCTTTGGCATTCGCTGTAACCTTGGCGTGGCCATTGTGGAGATGGTGAACAACAACACAGTCTACATCAATGGAACTCCTGTGCTTCAGGTATTTGTGAATCTCTTTAAGGTTACCTGTCCTCAGAAGAAACTCCAACTTTATTGATGAGATGATTAGTTAGAGATCATGCACACGTACTGCAGCACACAGTGGCTCACCTGGCTGCCAAGTGAGGACATAGACATGCTGACACAAAATACTGATCTTAAAATGATTTCACTGACTTTAAAATAAGTTTACAACATATACCTCCTGTAATTTCACAGGTGGTTATGCTGTCATGGCAACTGATTCTGATCAGCATCCTTGTGGGTCAAATTAACGTCAAACTGATCAGTTTGATTCATGGTCAAAGACAAACATTAACCTGTTTATATTAAACATAAAATGTCTCATCAATCACTTTTATCACCACCGCTTATGGTTTGAAATTACTTAGTAGAGACTGACAGCTATTCTTCTGGTCATTCAGCCCACTGATTTACAATACTCATGTTTTTGCGACATTGTCAACAGGCAGAGGTGAAATATCCTGGGACTTCTCTCTGCCCATCCTTAGTGTCTTTGCTATTGTGAAATAATAACTATTGACGTTGGATTCAGGCCAATCAGAATCAAGTATTCTAGACGACAGATTGCTTTTCCAGAAATGTATCTGCAGTCAGATTTTAACATGCTTTCTTTTATTCCTTCAAAGAAAGCTCAGTTTAACTGGGACCCAGAGACGGTGGGGCTGATACACGGCTCCTTCTTCTGGGGCTACATTGTCACTCAAATCCCCGGGGGTTTCATCTCTAACAAGCTGTCTGCCAACAGGTGACACTGCTCGCACTGAGCACTATAATCTCCTCTTTGTTTAATTATTAGTTTGTTTTGGGGCACTTTTGCCATACTTAAGATAGGATAGAAAACACGGGGGTGTACAGGACTACTCTCTGTTCATGGTGTGGGAACCCTCTCTGGGATGGTGTGTCCTCTGATTTCTGGAGCTGCCCCATGATCTCTGTTTTGTGTCGATATTAACAGGATATTTTGCTGTTTAACATCATCTGTTAAAAGAGCAAAATCAGGGTGGTGCTTTGGTCTGTGTTGCACAGACATATCTTGATTTAGGGTCTCATCAAAATTGTAAAACAGTTCTTGTATTTCACTTCCACAGTGCTAACTCAGCGGATACTGTCGCCTTAGAAGAGACAGTTTAATCACAGAGTGAGGTGTTCAATTTTTTACTTTTTAAATCTTTTGCTGATATTTTTAGTGAGTTACGGATATTATTCTTGACCACATACGCAAGAAAAATTTAAAAGGCAAAGATTTTTGATGTTTCGGTGCCCCTCATCTGGTGTGCATAAAGGGTTAAAGCAGTACTGTGTGCCGAGCGCTGCTGATGGAGCAGATAGCAGTCCTGTAATAAAAGCCTCACAGGAAAAGAGGACACGCCACTGACAGAGTTAATAATGAAAGATCCTGCCTCTGATTTCTTTCTGAAACACCAGCCACTGGAATATTACAAGTGTCACTTACACACTGTTTTGGAAAAAGAGGGGGGTGGGGGGTGGTGAAGTGATGGAGGGAAAAAAAATTGAGGGAGCTAAGCGTCAGTGTGATGATGAAGGAGAAAGTTGTGGATTGAATGGGATGTCTTTGTCACGGTGTATGAAAGGTGGAGGCGTGAGAGCTGTCTCACTATAGGGCTGACTGAGATGCTTCGGAGATAATCTGCCTGCTAATATTAGACATCTACACCAGCTTTTACACACAGAGGAGCATCCTTTTGTGTTGTGCTGTACCTGTTTCTGAAAAATAAACCAAGGCTTCAACTTTTCTCATGACTAGAAACAGCACTTTCCATGTCAAACTGTATCCCTGCCGAAATCAAACTTACTGTACTTCTGTAGGGTGTTTGGATTGGCCATTTTCCTGACATCGGTGCTCAACATGTTCATCCCATCAGCAGCCAGGGTGCACTACGGCTGTGTGATGTTTGTCCGCATCCTGCAGGGCCTTGTGGAGGTAAGAGCAAAGGGTGTTAGCAGTAAGAAGGATAGAGAGAACAGTGAGTCATTGGTATAGAGCAGTGGTTCTCAAGTCCAGTCCTCGAGGCCCACTGTCCTGCATGTTTCAAAGTTTCCCTGCTCCAACACATCAAGCTCTGTAATGGCTTAATAACGAGCTTATCATTTGAATCAGGTGTGAAACACCCAAAACATGCAGGACAGTGGGCCTCGAGGACTGGACTTGAGAACCACTGGTATAGAGTAATACTCTGACATTCTAGTCGATGAGGCTCATTTCTGTCTGAGATACCACCTGCAGCATGTGGGCCTATCTTGGCATGTGGACTGAAATGAATGGAAAACAGTTAGTCTTGCTCTGGTTTTATTTCATAGAGGCCTCACATATATAAACAGAGTCATAGCAGGTATTAATGCTCATGGATAACTCCCAGCAAGCAACACAGATGTTCAGCACTTCCTTTGAAGCGACTCCCATTTTTGACTCTTTATTGTCTCTCACTGCTCACATTTTTTACTGCATGTCTTTACCAGGGTGTCACCTACCCAGCATGCCACGGGATGTGGTCAAAATGGGCGCCGCCTCTTGAACGAAGTCGACTGGCAACAACTTCATTCTGCGGTGAGACTAAACTTTCACACAACAGTTAGATTTCCTCTCATACCCTCCTCGTGAGTCACGTTGGGACTGGTCCGTTAATGGACCCGAGAGAGCTTATTTTGCTTTGCAGATTGAGTCCACTGCTGCCTCTGCTGAAATTAAAACAACCATGTTGCACTTTAAACAGGTGCCATGACAACCCAGGCATCAAAACCCTCTTGACATTGTCTGTAAATGAACGGGGCTCACCTGCGTACTCTAAAGGAGCTCCTGTCTCTATTCACCTAAATGAAGTGTAACAATGCTTACTGTGTGATAGCACCCTAATGCTCCCTGCTCTATTCAAAGCAACAGTGTTTATAGATCTGTGCCTTTATAGAAAACACATTCAAACACCCTCTCTACTGCAGAGTTTATTCAGTGATACTAATGTGTTTCCAGGATGTGTTTTGTTTTTATAAGGACATGTTTGCACTAAATAGAGTTGTATTTTCTGCTATGAAAGCCTTAAAAAGTTGACAACTATTTAAAATTGTGATGGAAACAGGCATATTTTGACATTGATCTGAATATTTGATCAATTCTTTATAAGGTTTTACAGATACAGTGCCTTGAAAAAGTATTCATACCCCTTGAACTTTTTCACATTTTGTCACTCTACAACCACAAACTTAAACGCATTTTATTGATATTTTTTGTCATAGATCAACACAAAGTCGCACATAATTGTGAAGTGGAACGAAAATGATACATGGTTTTCAAAAATTTAGACAAATAAAAATCTGAAAAGTGTGGTGTGCATTTGTATTCAGCCCCCTGTACTCTGATACCCCTGAATAAAATGCCAATATAATTGCCAATATTTTTTCAAAGCACTGTATCTAATGTTACTTCCTACACTGAAATCTAAAAACATTTATTCCCAGGATCGTACGCAGGAGCAGTGATTGCCATGCCGCTAGCAGGGGTGCTGGTTCAGTACGTCGGGTGGTCTTCCGTTTTCTACATCTATGGTAACAAAGATGTTTCGATGACTGTCACTTATTTCATATCACAACACTGCAGAGCCGACTGACATAAAACAATAGAAACATTGAATGTACTGAGATTCATAAAACATGAACTTTTTTATAAAACCAGTGGGAAAAAAACTTAAGATTTTACCCAAATTTCAATGAAATTACTCATAATTCATTAATAATTGCAGTTCATACAGTATGAAGTCTGTTGCATGTGGCAGACTGATTACCCAGAGTAGCACATCGGTAACACTTAATGTTAGTTTGTGTAAAAGGCTGAATGCATAAACCTTGCTGCTCTGTTGCATTTGTATGCTTTTCACAGTGTTATCTGAACTGCTTCAGACTTTGATTAAAATGATTAACAGTGACATAAAATTCATTCTTTACCAAGTGTGCTTTAATAAAAATCTACTCTGCTTCTGCTGTGATATGATCTCATGATTTATTGATGTAAATTAGCATTTTCCTGTCTGGGCTCCCTGCCTCACACCTGCTTCATTTCATTTTAATAATGAAAACTCTCGTGGTCCAGAGAAGGTCAGCTTTGCTTTATTTCGCCTTTCCTGCCCTCAGGCTGCTCTTTTAAGTCTTACAGAGCCTTGATGACTCATAAAACATCTCAGAGTTTCTTTGTTTGTTTGTGTCTAAGGTGTTTTTGGGATCATATGGTACATCATGTGGCTCCTCCTGGCCTATGGGAGTCCTGCAGTACATCCCACCATCACTGACGAGGAGAGGATATACATAGAGACCACTATTGGTGAAACAATGCGCCAGCTGAGTGTGACTGAGGTATGTGAGCGTTACTCCCAACCAGTTTAAAGGTCCTACAGTTGCCTACGACACACAGACACACTGTAAACAGCAGTTTCTGTCTCATAACTGCAGAAATTCAAGACTCCATGGCGTCGTTTCTTTACCTCCATGCCCGTCTATGCCATCATCGTGGCCAACTTCTGCCGCAGCTGGACCTTCTACCTGCTCCTCATCAGCCAGCCAGCATATTTTGAGGAAGTCTTTGGCTTCCCTATCAGCAAGGTAGTTCCTGAAGCTACACAGTGGCAATCACAATGGATGATATTCATGAACAGTCTTAGTCACGAAGCCATCTGAATGACCAATCTGATGGTTTCCTGTGTGTGTGTGTGTGTGTGTGTGTGTGTGTGTGTGTGTGTGTGTGTGTGTGTGTGTGTGTGTGTGTGTGTGTGTGTGTCACCTCCCAACAGGTGGGGATCCTGTCCGCTGTGCCCCATATGGTGATGACAATAGTGGTCCCTATTGGGGGACAGTTAGCTGACTTCTTGCGCAGTAACAAAATCATGTCTACAACAAATGTGAGGAAACTTATGAACTGTGGAGGTAGGTCACGTAAAAGGGAAACAGGTTGGTTGTCTTTTAAAGGTCCAGTACGCGGTTTTATTGCTTGTATAGTAAATACATACTTTTGTTATCCTTTAGTCTAGCAATGCTAAAAACATGCATGCTAGCTGCTTTGGTTTAAGTTACAAACACCATCATGAATATCTTAAAATAGAAACAGTGACTGGTTTTGATTTTTAACAAAAATGTGCTTTTACGGGTTCTTCTGGAGAACTCGCCATCTTTGTGTTACCCACTTCCTCTGCACTTCCACTAGCTGGCACTACCTCTCTGTGCTCCCCCAAGACTCTGCCTTGTGTTTTGATGTTATAGTTTTAGTATCTATGGGGGATGGTATGAGAAGAGGAGGAGAGGATTGCAGTATAGACCTGGACAAGATTTATTTACTAGCGGGTTCTTGCATATCACACTTCTTCAACTTAAAGCTCCTGTGAGGAACAGTCAGTCTGTGTCCATTTTGGCGGCCCCTGTGGCGAGCAGTCTTTGCTCATCTTGTTCTATGACAGATGTTTCTTATCTTGCTGACTTTTGACAGTCAAGTTTATCATTTCCGGTAAAGTTTTTATGCGGGAAATGTAATAACAGGCTGTTTCAGTGCTCTGCTGACACCTACCCCCCTCACACAGGTTTCAGGCATTAAAAATGATAGGAAGATAACAGTCAGTCTTGTCACTGATGGTCTAGTTTGACTTTATATGTCATGAGATAAAAGCAAAAGCATGATAATTATTTTTTTTCCATTGTTTTGATTGTTCTTATACCAAATGGATGCAGGACTGCTCCTGTTATTTTCACAGGGTTTGGGATGGAGGCCACCTTGCTGCTCGTGGTTGGGTTTTCTCACACCCGCGGTGTCGCCATTTCCTTCCTCGTCCTGGCTGTTGGATTCAGCGGCTTTGCCATCTCGGGTAAAAGGACACATTTAAAGATATTTGTGTTTCCCCCTGCAGTTACTGACTCAAGTTTGACCCACTGGCTGTGTATGGATCAAAAAATGTGCCTTCATTTCTGCCCATTGTGAGACTACCTTGATGGGTGCTGACATATTGCAGTGGTGGAGTCAGAGCATGCGCAGAAGCAACCTGACCAAACTCATCAAAAGTATGAACACTTGGACATGTCAGCATGTTAAAACTAAATGAAATGGCAGAAACCAAGTTTGAAAAGATTATCTTACATTTTATTGGATTTTAAAGTGTCACCCATGTTCCATCTGTTAACATGTACAAGCAGGTTTTGGCTCTATATTGCAGCCAGTCAACAGGGGGAGCTTTGAATCTTTGGGCTTCACAGTCCACTTATTACATCTGTTTGAACATACTGTCTTTGTCTTGACTGTACATGAAACCTTAAACAGCTCAAACAGACCTTTCTCTTTTTCTCTTTCCCTTTGTTCTCTGTGTTTTGTGGTATAAAAAGTTGTTAAATCTGAAAAGCTGCACTGTTTCTCCTTCGGGTGAGATAAAGTGTTGCCAGGCTTGCACACAGACAACCCTCCTGAATATTTCATAGACTGTTGTCAAGGAAACAATGAAAAGAAAACAGCCAAAACTTGTTTGTGTGATATAATTCATGTTCACATTAATGAAATATTCAAATATGACAAGAATTATCGTTTTATGTTTCTCATGCTGTGGTTTGGTTCTCTCTTTCCCTTCAGGTTTTAATGTCAATCATCTGGATATCGCTCCTCGTTATGCCAGCATCCTGATGGGTATCTCAAATGGGGTGGGAACGCTATCTGGGATGGTGTGTCCTCTGATCGTTGGAGCCCTGACGAAACACAAGGTAAAGCTAGAAGACTGTAACACGACGGAAACTGTAAAAGTTGATAAGTTATTCAAACACTTTTGCATTTTAAAGATTTGGCACCTGACTATCAATTCTGAGGTCCTTCAATCATCTGATATCCCACTGACTTTTTCTTCTTTTTAGTGTTAATCATTGGTGCACTGAACATTATAGGATACTCAGAAACACTGCCTCATGCTGATCTCTGTTAATAATGGATAGCCCTTTAAAATCTATAATGCACTTTAAAATCATAGCCTTTTGTTGCCATGAATGAGGCAGTGAATTTACTGCAATACGTCACAAGTGAGTTAGATTTAAGCAGGAAATTCACTGGCTTTATTCATCCCCCTCAGACTCGCCTGGAGTGGCAGAACGTCTTTGTTATTGCGTCTATGGTGCATTACACCGGGGTCATCTTTTACGCTATCTTTGCTTCTGGAGAGCAGCAGGAGTGGGCCAACCCTGAGACCACCAGTGAGGATAAATGTGGTATTATTGATGAGGACGAGCTGGCTGAGGAGTCAGAGCTGAACACTGAGAACGTGATGGCTCCCAAAAAGAGCTATGGGACTGCAGACAGTTCAGCTGGACGGAAACAGGGCTGGACAAAGAAGAGAGGGGTGACCATGCAAGAGGAGGAGGAACATTTTAGGAATGGGGACTATCAGGAGGGGTACCAGTGAGATGCCTGTGGGCCAAAAGACTCTCCAAACACTCAAATCATGGGAAGGCTGAGGGTTCATTTTCACATGTGGGAATGTGGAAAACATTGGAGAAGAGAAGAGCAGCTGCATCATATGTACCTCATAATGGCCTTTTTTGTTGTTGTTGTTTTTGGCTAATTCTGCAGTTTAACTGTGAAGTACTGTCATGTCCACCAGAAAGTGGGAACACAACATGGAAAAAGTTGTATTTTAAACCATTTTTATTATAATTGAAGTGACATAGTAAAAATAAAAAAAAGATTAATCTGAAAAGTTAGTACAAATTTCAACTTCGCTGACACAAACTGTAGACCAGCATTTCTTTCATTGTAGAAACTGAACACACCAACATTTATGAACAAACTTTTGCAAGCAAAATGTCCACTGGACTTTATGTCGCTTTCTTTGCACCTTGTGAACAGTTTTTGATATGTTTAGTGTCAGCTATGCAACAAGAAGAGACATACACCTGGAATGTACTAACAAAACTGACAGCAGACCACGGTGTTAATGTAATGTGCTGTATATCATTTGAAAGCTTGTTGTATGTATTTGCTGTTCTAAAAAGATTGCACTCTTTCACTTTTTGGCTTGCTCCACTTGTCTAAGTTGGTTTCTGCTCAGCATTCTTTGGCATCTCCTTCCAGTTTCGTAATGGAATGAAATGGATGGTGAGTTCAGAGCTGACATCATTCCGGCAAGCATTTAGTGTAACTCTGCTCTTTTGTTGTTTTGTCTTTTTTTGCAAATATCTGAACGTTTGTGACATGGAGACTGAATTTGTTTCTGGAAAGACATTATGTACTGTAATATTTCACTTAAATCATAAATGCCTATGGGAAAAAGTTTACTCAGTGTTCATCATTAGTAGCTAAAGAGGACAAAATGCACTTCCATATCAAATCACCATGGTTTGTTTTGAAGCATTGATTTGATTCGCACTTTACAAAACGCACAAAAATGTAATAACACACTTTTCTTTGTAGAGATTAATCAGAGACTTTACATCTTTTCCGAGCTTGAAGTTTTAAATTACTGAGGCATGCATTGGGTAATTCTTCATTCCATGCGAATAAGTGTTTAAGGTAAGAGGAAGCGAGCGCACGTTTTGCAAGATGTGGCTCAGAAGTAGAGTGGGTTGCCCTTCAATGAGGGGTTGGTCGTTCACTCCCCAGCACTGTCTGAACCCACTAAGTGTTGGCTGTAATTTCAACTTTGAAATATGGTTGAAAACAAGGTTGAAATCAACCAATTCCACCAACTTCCAACCATTTTTCAACCAGTTAATATACGGCTATAATAACAATATGTCAAAAAACACAATTAGGTCTTTACATTTTTATAACCTACTTCATTTTTTGTCTTTCAGACAAATTATTTGGTGGCCACTGTGACAATTTGCTCACTTGATGATTTGTTTGCTATGTAATCTATTTTAAAATTTGGCCAGAAATTATCATAAATATGCGTAAAGGTGTAGTGAATCTTGTGACCAACATGCATTTTTGGTGTGAAAAATATGCTAAAAAAATCTTAATTTTTGAGTGATTTAGGAAAGCCTAGGACATATTTTAAATGTTAAACAATAAAATGTTTACCAGGTAAATGCAGCCGATTTGCCGTGTTCATTAAGTCTGGTGTATTATGATGCCAAGGCTGATCGGAAAAACAATAGTTCAGCATGAAGTCATTAATCAAGAAACCTATAACCAAGGCTTTGGATAGATTTAAATGTACTTTGGAAAGATACAGCACCAGTTCACAGCAAGTGTTATCCCCAGATGCTCAACAAAAAAGCTGGTCTAGACTCTACCAGACTTTATTTACAAAGACTCAGTGCTAATATGGGATTCATCTCAAGAGATTAGACCCACTCCCCTCCCATCTTCAACCACATGAGTGAAGCACTTTGCAGCATTTAGCAAGTTACAGTGGAGAGGACAAAGTCCCTTTCACAGGCAGAAACCTCAAGCAGAACCAGACTCATATAAGACAGTCATCTGCCTTGTCTTTGTCAACCACTGTTCCTCTTTCACAAAGGTGTTACGAAGTCCAGATGTGGCGGTCACCATATTGTTAAGGCTGACAAACTAACTAAGCTTTTAACTAAGCTAGAAAACAGCAACAAAACAGAGTCGAGGCCACGTTTAAGTCTGCTGCAAAAATCTGCATTTCAATAAGGACAGCTTGGTGATGACGTCAAAGCCAGGGAGCTCCCCAAGTCCCAGAGGATTCATCCTCAGGGGAACTGTGCAGGTCTCATATCAACTTTATGGTTATAGATCTTGTTGTTAATAAAGCTACTTCTAGATTAACATAGCAGCTCATGGGCCTCATGAGACAGGCTAGTTAAATGGTTTAAACTAAATGAGTTGCTTTAAACCTGAAACAAAGTATTTCTGATATCTTTCACCACCTCTGATGTTTATTTTCAATCACCAACATGAAGCCTTGATGGACACAAACATACACACCATTTAGAGTCTTCTGTCATGACTTGTCAGACTCAGCATGTCCCTCGTGCTTCTGTTTATGTTAGCGGGCTCAAATTAGATGCTTGGCTCTGTTTCCTATCACACTGTGGTAAACATCCTCTGTCTTATCTGTCTTTAAGCTAAGCCTGCTTCATTTTCACTGAGGGAGATAATTACAGGACATGATATTCCTCACCAGTGAAAAGATGATGGTTAAAACAAATTCATTTATTTTGAAACACGCCAAACACTATAGATTGATGCTTTATTAGCATCTTTGTGAGGTTAAAAATTTCTGGTATGAACTTTTGTGCATGTGGACATGTATTTAGCTCTATGATCTGGAGTAAGCAACAAAGTGAAAGACAATATTTGAGGTTCAAATCAACCTCAATCATATTCACGAGAGACTTATCAGCCCTACATGTGAATATGCTGAGAGGAGTTGTCTTCCCAGAGGCCTTTGCTGTTAGCTTGTTCCTCACATGGTCTTCAACACAGACCAGATAGTCCACAAACAGCCAGCAGCCAATGGCAAAGGTTCTGTTTATTCCAGAGAGACTGAGTCTGTTGACTCAGGAGGGCCTCTTCGGATGGAGCAACAGCCCATTAATGATTAAACTATCAATAGTGTTTTTGAACAAATTAAGGATTTTAAAGTCTGGAGGAATTCGATATTCGGCGTGTGTGTCCTTCTTCAAGCATACAGGTACGCTGAGTTACAGATGTGCCAAAATAAATAAATCTCTTGTTGACTGACGCTGCACACTGCAGTGACATGATAAAGGGTTCGATCGGTTCAAGGACCAACAGCAATGATTTTCACTGCCTGATTTGGGAGGATTTTGAGACTAACTCGTCATTGTTTTCAGCACTTCATGAAAAAGAAATAAATATGGTTCAACTAATACACGGAAAAGAAAATACAAGACACAAATCATGATGTAAGAAAGTGTATTAAACTGATAGCATCACTTCTGCTCATATTGCTTATACTATTTCACACTAAGTGAGTTAATAGTGGGGTGTATGTTTCATGTGTTTGTATGTGGGTGGGATTTTTGCTCTGCTGGAAATTATGAGGCAGCCTCTTCGTGAGATAAAGGGGGGATTTTTTAGGAGGGAGGGGGGATGACACGGACAGGAATGGACAGTTTAATTAATAACCACCATCCATTTCTCCCTGACCTCAACTGGTCACACATGCTGTAACTGGAACGCAGACACAAGCAGTTTAATGTTCATTACATTGATTAACTGTAGCTGCAGCTCCCAGTGTGGATATCAGAGAGAAAGCTGAAAAAGAGTTTCTTCTCTTGAGTTCAACATCAGCCGTCCAGTAAAAGGTAAGAGAGTTTTATTCTTCAGTAGAAAACCAGGGATTTCCATGAGCCCGCTGTGTGTCACCATGTCTGAGGTTTGATCTGAGGTATGGTTGTGTGGGTTGTTGGAGTGGACTACTGGTTTTATGAGTCCGTGTGGGTTGCTTTTGGATCTCTGGGGAAATTACACTGAGTTAATTAAAAAAGTGTGGCACAGACAAGGTCTATAAAAGTCCTGTTTCACATGTGATCATGTTGTGGCCTTGAAACAAGTGAGGCCATTACCAATGTAAAGACGTGCTGTCTGTAAGAGAACTCTGATCTTGCAACACATCCAAGTATGAAGCAAACTTTAACATTTATCTGACTGACTGTTGAAAACTACAAATTTAGGACTCACTCTGTGGGAATCATTGTTCAACCTTCACTTTCATCCACCTCCCTCTTGCAGGCAGCTACCACACATCTCACCTGTGTGGGAGAGAAAACCTGTCACACGTGTCAAAGCAGAGACTCTCCAAATGATGTTAAACTACATCCTGGAGCAGCCCTCTGTGAGGTTGTTGAAAAATACCTTCACCATGCTTCACATGTCACTTTTTTGTGCTTGTAGCAGAAGTAAACAGAGACCGAATACTAACCCGGGTCCAGTCCAACCTTTGTCTCCTGAGGTGTGCCTGACGACCCTCCTGAATGAATGAGTGGGTGGGCCCCGACATTAGTGTGGTGGGACAGCTGGAAATCCCACCCAGCGATGAATTCTCCATCCCAGAGAGCTCCCACCTGTTTGGTAAGTTTACTGAAGACAAAGCAAGAGAGTGTAACAGCATGCTAACCTGCATGTGTGGTAACAACGTTTCAGTGTTTGGGAGGTTGAATCCAGCATTCCAAAACCCAGCATTCTGGAAGCCTCCTTCACTGTTGCCACGCAATATTTCTGTCCTTACAATGACAACTTTGCCCTTTTAAGAACTGTCTGGTGATGTCACGATTTGAGCAAATCTCGTCTTGATCTCACTGAATTCTCGCATGACTTTTTGAACAAGCCATTCAGAGCACCTTGTACTCCCATCTGGGAATAACTTTAACACACATTAACCTCACAAGCTGAACTTTTGCTCATGTATAGTACTGTTGTCCAACATTTTAACTTAAAATTTGTTTTTAAAAGCATGATACTACCTCATTAAGAGGAAGGTAACTTCTGGGTGACTAGGATAGCATATGTTATTGCAGATGTATAGTAAAAATATAGTTTTTTGCACAATAAAACCCACCCACCTGTTTCACTCTGCAATAAGATAGAAAAGTAAATTGAGATCATCAAAGCTACACTGTTACACTTGGTGAGTTTTGTATACCAAATTAAAATGGGTTAGCTCGGATTTTGCTAACTGTTATTGCGAGGTAGCAATAGGAATAAAAACTAAGCTGTATTGTATGATTGTTGTTGATTGGACACATCAAGGTGTTTTGACTTACAATTAACAAACACAAAACAACAAAATACCCAATCTGTTGAATACAAAGACAAGGTCATGTAAAAATTTCCACTAAAAATAATTAATCTATCATACTCTGTCATAGATTTATGTCATTTAGCTTAAACTGATCCATCAAAAGCAAACATGCAAAAAAGGCGCAACATGCCACACAGTGAGAGACATAATGATCATTTTAAAACGCACAGATTGCAGCCTGTATTGACTATTTTCTAGAGGAATTATTTATACATATAACATGGTGTGATTCATATCTGATTATTTACTGTCACAACAACCAATCAACAACTCACCATTTTTCTTCTGGCTTCACAAGACACACCTCTGGCAAATATATGAACACTATTGCACCATAGGCAACACTCAAAAGGGAGTAAAAAGTACCAGCAAAGCAAACAGAAAAGTGAAATGGAAAGCTGTAATGCCAAGGACGTGTTTCTCAGGATTGAGCCCTTTTTGAACTGTTATGATATCAACAATCAGTATATCACCGAACATACAGAAACATGGCTCCTGTGAACAGTAAAAGTTGTTTCCTTTGAGTGAATTTTTACAAGTGCGGCCAAAGCACACAGTGTCATTCAGTCAGTAGCATTGCCCAAACTGGGAAATGACTTAACACATGGGCTAGCTACTTGTAATGATGTCAAGAAATGTGACTGTGTGGTTAATGAGTAGCTGTGGCAACCTTTGTTCCTCCTGGGATTTCTTAAGCTGAAGCCATAGCTCTTCTGGACTTCATCTGACGATCTCAGGACTTTAGAGGAAAGTTTATCCTCAAGATGAATACATGGACAAAGATTCGCAAGTTAGATTTAAAGAAAGGAGTGATCTACAAAACTCAGCTGGATTAAGAGAGTCAAGGGTCAAAAGAGTTTGTATGAGAAGTAACACGGACATGGCCATGGTCCAGACTAAATCGTCAAGAGGTCAGTGTTACATATTCTTTTGAGAAATTGTCATGTTTTGTGTCAGACAGACCTGACAGTATCTCGTTTGTCAGCTGGGGGATTATTTGTGTGGACTTCTCATTGTTCAGCTACTCCACCCTCGGCTGTTCCTAAATCAGATGTCAGACACTATAAACCAAAATACCAACTTGTCTGACGCAGAGTTACATGCCACTCTGAGAGGCACAGTGTGCTCTGAGCAAGCCAGTTGTTAATCATTTATGGGTTTATAGTATGTGCTGTGTGTGTGTGACTGACTACTGCAGAGCTAGTTTCTGTTCGAACAAGCTTCTGCCGAACATACTTGAAACAGTTTTCTTATCAGAAGAAAGGCTTTAATGACACGACTATCATGTTACAAAGACTATAAAAGTTAAGACAATGCACGGTTGTGCAAATAGGAATAAAAACGTCTTTGTAGGACATTTGTTAATCAAAATGGACTTCATTTAGGATTTGACTTCTTTAAACACTCAATATGTCCATATACTGCTCGAAGAATCTTCTTCTAAATGTTTCTTGTTACGCCCCACACAAGGGTGGCCCTATGGAGCTAACAACAATCCACACATTCACACAATAAAAGTAACATAAAACACCTTCAAGTTTACCAAGGATTTATTTCAACCAAAGATAACACAAATTAACTAAACACAAAGAACCCACAACACAAATGAGAGACAAAAAGGGAAACACACACACACACATACATAGACATTTCTTTAATCTAATAGTCACAGTACTGTGAAAAGGGCTCATTATAAATGATAATTTTACGTTCAGTCCAGATTCAGTATTATGGTCTCTATAGGTTAATTTAGCACTTTGTTTAGCCACGCTGTTGTGACACATGCAGAATGTGCCTTTGCTTTGTCTTTCTGAAATAAGCTTGGATGTCCCTGAAAAAGATGTGGCTTGAATGGCTGCTTACTCACAAATCTGTATGTACCTTTAGGCATTAATGGAGCCTTTACAGTGGTGACAGATACCCATGCAATGGGCACAAACACACCTCCATACCATCACAGATGCTGTTTTTTGAACTTTGACCTGATAACAAGCCGGAATGTTTTTTAAGTTGCATGTTCATCTTCTTACTTTCTCTTAGATATCCTGGCAGATCAAAACAGTCCTCTCCTGCAGGAGCCCGACATCTTACCCTTTTCCGTCTATCCCAGCATGCAGTACCCTTCCATGGAGCCGGCCATGTCTTCAACAACATACTACTCCAGTCAGAACTACTACCCTCAGTACAATGGAGATGAATGGTACGCACAAACAGGGATATATGAACTAAGGAAAGGACCCCTGGAGGTTAGCTATGATGCTGAGATGGAGGAAACGTCTGTCGTGGTGCCTGCTGTGTGCAAGAGGACCCGGCACATGTCACAGGCAGGACGAGTCAAAGGGGAGGAACTATGTGTGGTGTGTGGAGATAAGGCCTCTGGGTACCACTATAATGCTCTTACCTGTGAAGGGTGTAAAGGTAAGGCACTCTTGTCTTCTACTCAGTATCTAACAACCCCCCCAGATGGGCTCTGAGTTTGTATCTATATAAACTGCTGAATTAAGCTATCCCACATTTATACATTTGTTAATATAGGTATAAAGAATAACCAAACAGAGGGGCAATATTAACACTTTTAATGCATCATCCTTTAAAGCTCCAATGAGGAATATTTAGCTTGTACAATTTTTTTGCACCCTTGTGAACAAAGCAGATGTTGCTTAGCTTGTCCTGTGCTTGTTAAAGAAGTTTCATCTCACAAAAAATTGACTTTTCACAGTCAAATGTACGAGTTATTGTGAATATTTAATGTTTACAAATCTTAAAACAGCTGCATACCTGACCCCTAACTCCTTTAAAGCACTTAAGGCATAACAGTCATTAATCTTGTTGCTGATGTCTTGTTTGCTTTTGTATATCATAAAAAGGTATCAGTATGAATTTCAGTCTGTTTCATAAAGATAAAAAAACACATAAGCTTTAAGGACTCAAAATCTCCAAAAGTACTACTAACGAAAACAGACTGCATCAATTCACTGAGAGAGCAGCCTGTTACAAGCGAGCACCAGGAGGTGATCAGAACTTCCTGTATTTGATGTCAGATATCCAGTCAAAGAGTTTTATGGTGGCTGATCAGATTTCAGATGAACTGAGTGAGGTGATGGTGTTTTTTCATTATGCCACACATTGTTGTACTTTTTATTATGTAAAAGATTGTCTTTAGGCACAGATGATGGCAGCTGTTGTTAGGAGAGTAAAATAAAGCATTTTCACTATTTTAGCATATACGCATGCTGAGGTAGGTATATTTGTCTAAGAGGCAGATGATTAACCTGAAGCAATATTTATGGTAAAACCAGGTTGAGCACTGTTCAGTCCCTCCTCAGTTATCTCTCATAAACATGCTGGTAAAGGCAAGCATATCTGTGTTATTCTGGCTCATGTAGAAAAGTCCATGTCTAGGTCTTTAGAAGCTCCACCCATGTTGATATGACATGGAGGAAATGCTGTGAGCCCTGCCAAACAAATGAATTGGTATTAGTGTAATTCCACACTGTGAGGCTTGTCAATGCCAGCAGTGCGGCATTTGGCCCGTTCTGCCTTTCGACTGAGAATAGGTTCAGGTCTACCCAGTACTGTTGCCAGATTGGGTTCCCTCTCAGCTTTCCGCTGCACAATGCAGGAGGCAACCTGAGCTCAGTTACACTAATGCATGTCATTCTGCTTAATGTTCTCTGTCAGAATGTCTAAGAACTGCTCCAAAGTTATTCCGTGTGTGTGCGTGTGCGTGTGTGTGTGTGTGTGTGTGTGTGTGTGTGTGTGTGTGTGTGTGTGTGTGTGTGTGTGTGTGTGTGTGTGTGTGTGTGTGTGTGTGTGTGTTATGCTCTGTCGCTCTCTCTGTCCTGATCATCGCCAACAGCCTTCACAGGGTTCTCTCTGTGACATGATATGAACCATGTATTTCATCAAGGCTTTATCGCCCTTGTTATTTATCCTTTCTGTTTGAAAAAGCTGTCATTCATGATCAGTATTCTAATTATCATAATTGATATAACAATTGATATAATGGACAATGTTTGTGGAAGTGCTGCATGAACCAGGGAAGAATTTTCTCCTTGAAAAAGAAATACAAAACAGGCCCCTTGTACAACCACCTGATGAATATGCACTATATATATATGTGTGAAAGGTTAAATCTATATACAAATGTTTTATTCATGGTTTGTTTCTACTGCTGCCCAGTGGCTGAAACATCAATACAGACTGAAGTATCAGGGTATAATAGGCAGAGTAAGATTTTTCAGTGTGTTTATTATGATACTATTGTTGCACTATTGTGAGAAGAGCCATCTACTGTCATTGTAAAGCCAGACAGATCATTTAGAATACTGTATAATACTGTATACTGTATAGATGTTGAGATATAATAAAGTAGACAAAGATGATAAAGGCGGATTTTCCAAGTTCTCAGTAAACGTGTGGCACTTGATGTATCATATAGTTTGTGGATTAGCATAGACGTTTTATACATAGATTTAGTTTGAATGAATTCCCAGTGAGGTTTTCAGTATGGGTTTATATGGGAATGATTTGCTAAGCTAGATACTGAGATATTTTTATGTTTGGACTATTTCAATATTAGTGTGGATAGTTGCAGACAGCTCAAAACATTACCTCTAGTCCTGGAGAAAAGCATCAAATAGTTTTGCTTGGGTTAAGACTAATAAGTATGTTCTATATGTCGATAACACAAAGCTTCTACTTCTCAATGGCAGGCTGTAAAGAGTTAACAGAATAATACAGAACAGTGTCATCTGCATAAACAACATAGCCATCATTAACTACAATGAGAAAGCTCTGGGAGTATCATCTCCATTTTGTTGTACTGTTGTCTTTATAAACAGTATAATGACCATTACATCTTTGTTTCTTGTGAAAATGAGTACAACAGCAGTATCGTAGATTCATAAAGTAGATTCAAGAGACAATAAAGTACAAATACTTTGAAAATAACCAGTAATATAGTCCCAATAATACAATGTATACTGTGTGCCCCATTAGAAAATACAGACTTTATAACACCCTGCTTTTGATCATGTTAATGTTGTCCGTTGTCTCTCACTTTCAGGTTTCTTCAGACGCAGCATAACAAAGAACGCAGTGTACAAATGCAAGAATGGTGGAAACTGTGAGATGGACATGTACATGCGCAGAAAATGCCAGGAGTGTCGCCTCAGAAAGTGCAAAGAGATGGGCATGTTGGCTGAATGTGAGTACCTCTGATAGTTAATGCTGAATAAATGTTCATTAGCACAATTGTTTCAATAAATACTCATGCACTGTTTTAGATTGATCTGTCCACACACTGTACAGGTATTGCACTGAGTATTTTCCCCTGAGTGGCTCTCAAAGGCTGTTGTGGGGAGCCCTCATTTTCCATTCTGACACAGGCTGTTAAATTTTACTGAGGGATTGAGTGTCACAAGTCACACAATAGAAAGGTGCAGCTTTTGTTACTCTTACAGGAACAGAAGCAGGTAAACCGAGTCTTTAAGCTCCGTTTAGGAAGAATCAACACCTTTAATGTGTCCGCAGACTTTACATTGAGGCGCTGTTTTCCTTAAAAGATATCATAACACTTTTGGCTGTGCTGGAATGTGTTTTTTTTATACAAACTGAGCAAAATGCAGTATGAAAACTGAGCTGTCTGTAATGAACACAGACTTTTATAGTCCTTGGAGGATTGTTAGTTTTCTGAGTCTATTACAAGCTGTCAGCTGAAAAGAGCAGCGGGATGGACTGGACTCGTGTTGCTCATAAATAGTGCAGGGAAGTTGCGATGAATATTGCAGGGCAGCAGCCAGGCATTCATGACTCTACCCACCAGTGCAACAAGAGCTTAACGAATGAGACTTCATTGGTCTTAGCATGAAAAGACAGACACCAATTTTAGTAAAGATACCCCCCTCTCTTTAATTCCAGTCACGTTGCCAAGATAAAATGAAAAGGTTTTATAATCTTATGCATTATTTGTTGAACAAGTCACTGTTAGCTGTAGTTATCAGGATGGATGGTGCTGGAGTGAGAATCAAAAAAGACAGACACATAACATTACATTACAAAGGCTATGATGAATGGTTTTAAAATTTTAATCTCTTATTAAGCTCCTCGCCCCATGAGTCAGTCTTATTCCATTTAAATGATAGATGAAAGTGAAAATGTGCAAATGCTGGTGAGGAAAGAGCTGTGAGGTATTTAACACACAAAGTGAAGCCTTCATCACTGCTGGCAGGTCTGCTGACAGAGATCCAGTGTAAGTCGAAAAGGCTGCGAAAGAACACCAAAGCCTCTCCAGGACCGTCCACAGGGGACGAGACGGAGGGGGCGGAGAACACGGACAGCAAACAGGTCACCTCAACCACCAAACTGCCAAAGGTAGCCTCTATAGTGTTTTTACATTTCTTTCTATATACGTGTTCACATGGGATTTTATTTAAAATCCCCTGATTCTGTTTTATAATTTTTGTTTGTTTGTTGTTTTTGTATCAAGAAGAAAGTTGAAATCACCAAAGAACAGCAGACGCTCATGAAGATCATCGTAGACGCTTACAACAGGCATCAAATTCCTCAAGATGTGGCCAAAAAACTGGTATGCTAACATCAATATCACCTCAAACTTCTATTATAAGTATTTAGGGCTCCAGAGAAGAAATTTGGTGTCACCTATACTTAGACAAGAACCTTAGATGATCTCACCTAGTTCAAATTGTGTTTTTCAGACGGTTGATAAAAAATCCTTGTCAAAGGTAAACATATCGCTCACCATGAGTATTTGCATCAGAAATTAAAAATGGAGGCTGTTTTAGCTGCTTTTGATTGCCTTGGAGCTAATATTCACACACCAGCAGTTTAGGCATCAAGGATCACTACAAAGACGTAGCTATACCCAGTGCATGTCTGGCTTATTTTGTAGCTTGATGAAGCGTCATGTCCAATTTTTTTATTGTTACTCCTGTTTTTCCTCCAGCTACAAGACCAGTACAGTGCAGAGGAAAACTTCCTCCTGTTGACAGAGATGGCAACAAGTCAAGTTCAAGTTCTGGTGGAGTTCACAAAAAATATTCCAGGTACTGTTTCCCAGTTTTGGATCTTTAAGAATAAAGAAATCTTAGCATTATATACTAACACTGTGATATCAGTCCAAATACATCTGAATAGTGGTTGTAATGCCTCTGTCAGGCTTTCTCTCTCTGGATCGAGAGGATCAGATCGCCTTGCTGAAAGGTTCGGCTGTGGAGGCCATGTTTCTACGCTCAGCTCAAGTTTTCAGCAGAAAGATGCCCAGCGGACACACAGAAGTGTTGGAGGAGAGGATACGCAAGAGTGGTGAGTCAGTTGGACTGCTGCAACTCACACACTCTTGGTGCAGAAGCCTGAAGAGTTCCGTCAAAACTCAGAGAGTGAAACTTTGCAGCTCCTTGAGCTTTTACTCAAGGCCTTCTCAAAGAAGTTCATGTCAGTGTGCAATCACTGCATCTTTACTCCTGACTGACCAGGGATCAGACCTTTGAATCTCTTCACTCCACGTGTCTGGCATCAAGTAAATTCATGACCTTTAAGATTCCAGGCACAGCAGGGAGTTTGTGCGGCATCACGACATTCGTGTTTCCACCTGCGGCCCAGCAGTCAGATCCTCCTTTAATTATTGATCCGACTGATCTGTGTGATGCAGCTGGGAGATGTGTGCTGACCTGTTGATCCTGGCTGGGTGTCAGTTACACTTACACACACACCCTTACTGGGTATAGTTTTACTTTTGGCATGCACACTGGTAAGAGAGAGCATGCAAGGCAAATTAAGGTCTTAACTGGATTTCTTTTACTAATTGAAACAATCATAGAAGCGGTTGGTCCATGGCAAAGTTTTCCTTAGATTCAGTGTTTTTGTAGTTTCAACATTAAGTGTATCCCATGTCAAATAGTATTCTGCCCAGTGGTTTCAAAGTCATTGATATTAATGTGAGTTGTCATTATGTCAACCAGGCTGGACAGTTAGACGGACAGCAGCAGTCCCTCGGTGCAGCTTGTGTGTGAATGGTTGCGATATTCCCGCTAAAGGCCAGTCTGGGAGAATAAGGGAGCAGAGCTGTCTGAAGGCTCCATTGTTTGTTATCTAAACATCAAGAGTGCTTTTGTCCACTTTTCTCCCTCTGAGCCCCTCTGGCATTTCTGAATGCTTGATGATGTGTCTGAGCAGACAGAAACCCTCAGCCAGTTTGGACAGTAACAAAATTATGAACTGCTGCCAGTGTGTGAGAGAGGAAACTCAGCATAAAGGTTTACAGTTATTAGGCAAAAAGCTTGAAACAATTCTACCAATTCATTAAAAAAAGACAAATGCAGCTCACAGTAAGAGGGTTCAGGGTTCAAAGTTGCCAACTTCTGTTTTAAGAGCAGCTTCAAATGCTTGTTTTTTAACAGAGAGATTTATTTCTGATGAAGCTTCCCAGGATGTCAGGAAATTGTTCCAGTGATGTTATACGATGTAATTTCAAGCAGGTTTGTTGCACAAAATAAAATAATCATCCAGAACTGGTTATCACGTGCACTATAACTACATCAATGCAAGATTACCTTGGATTATGATCCACCTGCTTTTGCTCTCCATACATTCTGTATTTCCAACATATACCAAAACCTGCTGATACATGATTTGTCAATACTACCCAGACAATGAATATATAGGAATAGTAACCAGAACACTGCCTCTGCTAAAAGTTTTTTTTTCTCTCTCTGTCTGAAGTAAAAGCTGCACTTTTTGAATCACAACAATACGACTGACAGTATCTTAAGTACACCCCTAAGAGTGTGGTGGGCAACACAGCTGTCCCACAGCAATGGATCAGCGAAGAGCTGGTACTTTTTGTTTCATCCCACTGCAGAGTAGACCATGCTTTTGCATTAAAGCAATGTGAATAGATAAAGACTCATCAGTGCAGTGGTTGGTACTGATCCTCACACTTACAGCCAAGGGCATGTACGGGAAGGTGATGCTGCCTACCCTTCAATTCCTGTTTGGCCACTCCAAGTGCTGCCCCAAAATATCAAACTATGATTGGCTATTTGCCTTGTAAGAAGCAGGAGTTATATTACTAGGGCTGTTTAGAAGTGGTTTTCTTTGTACCTCAATCGTAACTTTGGACAAACCATTTGTTTTCTGAGAATTAAGCAAAGAAGATTTATATGTATAAGATGGCCAATACCAGCAAACATATAAAGTCCTTAACTTTACCTGATACATCAGTAAAGACGTTTGCTCATCCCTATTTACCATAACTCTGTCTGAAAACTGAATTTATGTTTTGATCTGCAGGCATATCAGAGGAATTCATCACACCAATGTTCAACTTTTACAAAAGCATTGGTGAACTTCAAATGGTGCAGGAAGAACAGGCTCTTCTCACCACCATCACCATCCTGACACCAGGTAAGCCACTTCACCACCTTTTGTTTTGATATGACATGTGTGTGCTGTTTTTTTTCCTTAACAACATCTTTATCACGAATGTCCTGATATGTAATGTATCATCACTCTGTTAATCCCCAGACCGGCCTTATGTGAAAGATCAGCAGGCTGTGGAGAGGCTTCAAGAATCCATGCTGGACTTGCTGGGGAAGCTGTGTGTGCTGCAGCACCCACAGGAGCCACAGTATTTTGCTCGTCTCCTGGGCCGCTTGACAGAGCTGAGAACTCTTAACCACTACCACGCAGAGATGCTAACATCCTGGAGAACAAACGATCACAAGTTTACCCCACTGCTCTGTGAGATTTGGGACGTGCAGTGATTCAGAGAAGTTTAGACACATGGAAGAAGACATAAAGACTTGAACCAATGAGACAAAGCCATAAATCAAACAAAATGCAGATTTATTCTGGATAGTGTGGAGATGTGTGAATTGAATCTCTGCATAACCTCTTTGCATCAGTGATGAGTTGACTCAATGAACAGTTGAGTTTATCCTATATGTTTGCTCTACTTGTGGATTTTGTATTTACTGAGTGATTCCTCAGACTGGTCTCGTTATGGAGACGTGCAAAATCCTCTGTCTCGCATATAGAAAAATTCTGAATACCCAGCATGATTGGTATGAAACACTGGAACTTTTTCAAAGCAAAGATGGCACTTGTAGAAAGTGTCAGGGTTAGATTATATGGAGAATAATAATTTGTTCATTTATTTTGTATTGTAAAACCCATAGCACTTCACTGAAGCGCTTGCTGTAAATATGCAAAAGCTGTATGTTTTGTCTAAATAAATAAGATGGATGGAGAAAAGGTTTTTGTTGGAGCATTCATAACCTTTTTTCAGCACGTGCTGCCAAATACGGAAATCAAAAGACAATCAAATACCGGAGGATACCAATGCAGATAAAAGATATATGATAACTGTAATCATTTTAACACTTTATTCCATTAAGATAATTCAAATAATGCTAAAATTGCTGGAAATAATCACCAATGTATCAAAAAATCAGAGTCTACCTCACCTGAATCTGTTGTTTTTCTTACATGAGGTCTAATGGAGTGGGTGAGTGGCCCAAGACGAGGAGAAACACTGTTTGTCAGATGCTCTAGACCTAAAACAAGCACTTTGTTTTAGCTGAAGATAATTTGCATCTTTCGATAATTTTATATCTTGATGGCAGTTATTGAGGTCATTTAGTTTTTTTAGGGGGGGGTAAATTTGCATATCATCTGCATAACAGTAAATAGACATGCTGTGTTTTATTTTTTTTTTTTTTAAATAATGTGGCCTTGTAGAAGCAAACACAAACACATACAAAAAGAGGATTGGACCAAATATGGAACCCTGAGGGACACCACAGGGAATGTCGGCAGATGAAGAGGTTGAGTTGCCCATAGAGACACTGAAAGATCTGTCGCATAGATAGGAAAAAAAAACTATTTAAAACAGGACCAGAGCAAACGTGGGTGTTGAATTAGGCATGGCTGTACCTCATCAAACCATTTTATTGTTGAAGACTTTTATGACTGGATGAAACTGATGTTTTAAAGCATCGTCACACCTGAGGTCAAGCTGCTGTACAAATTACAGTAGAGCTCTTATCATCTTCAACGGTCAGCCTGTGGCCTTGTGCTGACGACTGATATAATTTGTGATTTAGCTTAAGGGAAATTGTACTTTGCAAACAGTGCCATTTGTTGTTTGATTTATAACAGACTCACATTAAACAGAGTTTTAAAGTTCACTACAGTGTATAAATTCATTTATTACCTTCCTAAAATGACAATTAAGATACAAAAATATGTTGTGGATAAAGATAACTTTATCCACAACATTCAAGTTTAATACAACAAGATGTTAAGCTCTGACATGACTATGCTGCATCTCTAAATCTTATTTTTACAGTAAGTTCATGTTAATAAACTATACATCATTTACATCGTTATCCTTATAAGCACTGGTATTTAGTGGTTAAAATGTCAGTATTTTAAACTTGTATACAAAAATTATGAAAAGTCAATTAAAGACCAACACTCACTTAATTACTAAATCAATAAGTTGCTTGCAATGTCTTGCGGCTAAATGCATTTACAGAACAATAACCTCGTTGTATTTTGTGAAGCATTTAAATGGTGATCTAGCACCACCTTGTGGATAAACATGGTGGCAGATGTTTTCTTTACTGTTATTTTAAAGAAACAGATAAAAAAGTACAGGACATTTTCTGCTGCACTACGAAGACAAAACCTACAGAAACTCTACAAAAACACAGTCTTATCTTTCTCAACTACTTTGTAAGAAAAAAAAGAAAAAAAGAGGACACCATGGACTGAAGGGTGAAAGGTTTAGTAGTGAGTTCTGTACTGCGGGGTGGGAGGTGTGACGGTCTCCATTTCTGGGTAAACCAGAAACCCAGAGAAGGTTGTGTACCTGCCCTGGTTGCTGTAAACAGCATAGCGCTCATCCTGCTGACTGTATAGCCACACACTCTCGCCTTTGCGGAGAGACAGCAATAGGCTCTGACTCTGCATCTCCCGTCTCTTTGAAGTGTCCTCATCGAACACCATGGCCTGCACCTCGCCTTTCCCGGTCATCAGCTTCACAGACACAGCCTTGCGAGGGTGTTTCCCCACTGTGAAGGCGAAGAAGTATGTGCCTGGGATGTAGCAGGTGAACAAGCCTGAGGTTTTGTTAAAATGTCCCCCAATGTTGACATATTCCACATCAAAGCTTAGTGGTGGCTTGTCCTGATGCCGGCTGCTCTGACCCATGAGAGTGGATGTCCGTGCAACAGAGAAGGCAGACCGTGGCTGGTCCGAACTTTGACCTTTGGCCCATGGATCAGCCTGAGGTGGGCAGTTTGGGTAGGAGAACCCTGGTGAGGACAGATGGTTGCTGATGTAGCTGGAGGTGACATCTGGGTAGACAAGGTAACCAGAGAAGGTGATGTACGGGCCAGCATTGCTGTACAAAGCATACTGCGGATTCTGCTGTAAGAGCAGCCACACTGTGTCCATTTGCTTCAAACTGATCATGACGCTCTGACTCTGAACTTTCCTCCCTTTCTTTCGGTAGTCATCATATGCTATGGCCTGCACTTCCTCTCCGTTCTTCACCAGAATCACAGAGAGCATTTTCTTCGGAAATTTCCCCACAGAGAAAGAAAAGTAATAAGCCCCTGGGATGCGACATCGGAAGTGGCCAGTGTCTGGATTGAAGTCCCCGCCGATATTGACTGTTTGCCTGTTAAAGGTGACTGCCTTCTGCTTTCCTCCAACCATGCTGTTGGTCCGTGTAGCAGAGAAAGCAGAGCGGTAACCTGCTGGCCCTGGAGGGGTGTGGATAGGGGCCACTGGTTGGCAGCTGGAGATCATGATGAACACACAGACCAGGCAGCAGCTTGTGCTCCACTGAGCTACAAGAAGAAACCAAAGGAAAAGCATCATTTACACACACCGATTACATGCTTGAGCAAAGATACAGTCCAGACTTGTATGACCCAACTATTCAACAAACGGACCACACAACGGCTACCCAAAGTGAAACCAAAACTTTTAGAGTGCCCCATTGACCTTGTTACCTATAAACATGCTGTGAAGGAGAAGTTAATTTTTGCGTGTGTAATCCACAAAAGTTCAGTTTTTGAGGAGTTGAGTTTTAATTTGATCTCAAAATGATGACTGAAGGACTGCCCTGTTGACAAATATACCTCTTGTCTGGATTAACAGAGATGAGGGGAGAATAAATGTGACAAACACTGATGCAGAAATCAGTCTTGGCTCCTTCTGCTCCATCTACTTTGGCTTTATCTCATGCTGCAGTAAATAGAGGCTTACTGTCCATCTTAGTATACAGTCAGTGTTTCCAATATTGTGTTTTGATCCCTCAAATGTTAGCACTATTAAAAAAGTCATCCCTCAAACACTCTGATTTTCTTCTAAGGTAATGTAGTATCTTAATGTTTATTTACACAGAAGTGAAGACAGTTCACAAATTGATCTCTAGCAAGTAAAAGGAAAGTGGGTGTTTCTGGAGATGAGGAACTTTTGCTTTCAATCAATAAGTTTATAAAACTGTATGAAAGTAAACTTTTTGCGACAATACCTCAAATTTGAGTTCTCTACAAAACATTCAATCCACAAGTTTAAAAAAGGATTCAGTGTTCAGCTACACAACTCAGAACTCACACCCTGTGACGCATCATAAAGTAGAGAAAACTTGTTTCTAGTTGTGTCTTTAGAACCAGACTAGGTTCATCCCTTAAACCTTGTTTATAAAATAAGGAAGTATGGCCAAGGCCTGTCCAGAGCGATCTTGCTACTCAAATCAAGCACTCTAATGTGGCTGATATTGTCTGTTCTCTGTGTGCATTGAGAGAGGAGGCTGGATTAGCTGCTGGTTCATCTGCTCTTGTGTGTGTGGAACAATAGAAATTTTTAGAGAGCCGGTGAGGTGGTGCAGAGCTGAATGATTGCAGACTTTTTGCCCAAAGTATTTCAATATTACTGGTATAATGCAGGAAATATTGAAGGTATTATTATTAGAAACATTTTCATGACAAATTTGTCATTACCTGTTTCTGTATTCCTGAAAAAATCCTCTATTTACTTAAATATGTGTAAAAAAGCTTACATCTCATAAGGCCACATGCATTGAGAGAGTTCTTTCATTTTCCACTAATGGGTGGAAAGTATGCACATGGACAGACACACACACTAGTATTAAGGGCTTACATTTTACACCTGTTATATACAAACTTCACACAACACTAGTAATAGATATTAGGGCCCACAGTGTGGTGAAAAAGCCAATATCAGTGTCAGGAATTTAGTACTGAGAAAGAAAAGCTCTATTGTGATCACAGCCCCTCAAATTAGTTTAGAATAAACTTTTCAAGGAGCATTTCTGAACAATTAACAAAGGATTCCTATTATCACTATATTCAGGTACAATTTCAATTTTCATGAAAAATATGAACTCAACGGAGACGGATGAGCCCAAACAGAGAATTATTCATAATTATCAACACACATCAATCTCCATATGCTTTGGAGACACATAAAACATGGTGCACTCATGCCAGAAGAAATAAAAACTGATTGAGCCTGTGTTACTTATTCCACGGCTTTTTTCGAGGCTCTGAATTTAGTCTAAAATGGAAGTCAACAACAGAAAAATGCACACCGACCTGTTAAACCATGCTGGGACAGAAGACGCATGCTGGACTTCTTCTTAGTCAGTTTTTAAACACAGCTGCCCTTGGTCTGTTAATCTGCTGATGTCTATGTTACATGTCTGACATCCAAAGGGGCAACACTTTTGACCATGCAGATATGTCAGGAGGAGGAGCACCAGACCTTGTCCAATCTGTGGCCTCCATTCAGCCTGGGTAGAGAAAAGAAGAAAAAGAGAAAGAAATAAAGAAGGCGAACGCAGCTTTATTGGTCAGACAGTGTGTTCAGTCTATTCTATTCTTTGTTTTGTCTATAATTGTTCAAGTGGTTGTAGGAAACAGAGTTAGTGTCTTTAACCTTGGAAAGACTTTTTTTTAAATCAAGTTGTTGTTTCTCTTAATCTGTTCCTGGTAAACAGCTCATGATATTACAGTTTGATGCATTACGCTTTGAAATTAATTTGCTTATTACCCACTGAGTAATAGATGACTATCAGATTTTTTTTAGACCTAATTCAACCGTTTAGATTCTGTATATTTTTAGACAGAATTTAGACGTTGTACACTAACCCATTATTCAAAAACTATTTATTTCACAAAGCAACTGTGAGTTGCATATCTGATCTCCACGTACCGAACCAAAATAATTATGATAGCTGTTGAGCAATATACAGTGTAGACTTCTGTTAGCTGGCTAGTCTAAACTTTGTCTAATTTAGATGTCTAAAAAACTTTAACTTTTAGACCTGTGGTAGCCTGATTTCAGACTAGTCATCTAGGCTACATTTAGACGTCTATTGGACCTCTTTTAGACCAAAAAAAATGCACAGTGCGTAAGGAGTTTTGCTTGCCAGAGGCAACTTTTTAAGTGAAATTGTAGAATATAGATAATAATAAAGTTTTTGGCGTTTAACTCACCAGGTGCATTAAAATTGTAACTTTGAAGATTATATAATTAACAGGAAAATGTTTAAATATGACATTGATGACAATTATAACATAGAAGCAATAAATCAACAAATACTGAAATACAGAAACAAGTGAAGGGAACAAACTTTTTTAGCCTCATTTGCATGAACGTTTCATGAGCCTTTACATCGTCTTTGTCTGGGGATTAAAATTTAAGGATGTAAAACAAAACATATAATGATAACAAGACTGGTTGTGCTCAAATAAACTGTGTTCTGTGCTTGAATCGTCTTTGTATGCTATTCAAAGGGATGTTCAAACTTAATTCATATCACAGCAATGTAAGAATAGATGTTTCGCCATGATAATAGACTACATTTCCATATGACTCCTTAAATATGCACCACATAGGCCTTCTCTTACAGACTTTCATTTAAAGCTTGACTTTCACTTGATATTGCAAATAATTTATGGTGCATTCACTTTGCCTTTGACATAGCTTTTCTAGAGCTTTCTCTTTTTTGCCTTTAACTGGAAAAACTGGAAAAACAGCGTTTGTCTTCAGCTGCATTCCAGTCTTTCGCTCCTCTCGTGACGAAAACAACCCGGAAGTCGTGTGCTTGCTGTCAATGCCAACGGTAGAGAGGAGGCACTGAAAGCTAAAATCCCGCATTTAAGACAAGATGGCAGGACTGCCCCGCAGGATCATTAAGGTATTTGTCCAACACTCTTAATGGCACAATATGTAAATGTTTTGAATCGGCTATAACGCCACACGCCCGATTAAAAACTACAAATGCTTCGCCCGGTCATCAGCTCTGTGTGCTAGCTAGCGCTAGCATGTAGCCAGCTAACGGTACTTTGATAAAGTAACTTCCGTTAATTGAGGCACAGTGGATTAGAAATAGGCCGCTGCCTCGTGAAAACTGCGAATAAATGTACCAGCTGCCGGTATCACATATTTTATTGTAGAACAGTGGCCTCAGGTAGTTTCTTAAGAGAGGTTTTTTGTGAAGCCTTGCTGCGCTATCACGGGCTAGTTTGTAAGCTTTGAAGCTCTCGCTAGCCCGTTAGCCTGATGCTGTCCGCATCAAACGTTCACACCATACTTAACTTAAAGACGATTTATCCTGCTGTAGTGCTTGACTTTTACACTATTACATATTCATTTGGCTTCTATGTTATAGGTAGTACCTTACACTAGTCATAAATATACTAGCAAAGTTAGAATATAACGTAAATACGGTTTAATGCTTGAGAGTTAAAGCTGAAATCACTCCTAACGGCTCTGTAGGAAAGCATTAGTAAGTAATTTTAGTGATCTGATGAAAGAGGCTTTGGTCAGTCAAGACATCCCCTGTCTTGTATAATAAGATTAAGTGTTGTAAGGAGTCTTTTGCGACACCCCAATTGCAGAACTTTTTATTTAAACACCTGAGGATTAATTCAGGATTCAAAGGTACCTATAATGGAGGCTGAAACCGAGGTCATCATATATATTTACAGGTCATGAGAAAAGTCTTTTTATTTCAGCTTATCTGGAGCTTCTATCTTCTGATGAATTATTTTCAGTTTACTCACTTTTTTGCTACAAAAGCCCTGAGCAGACATGTAGTGACACATTTTATGTTCTCATTTTCTTTCCGTATATCAGTTGTTTTCTTGGGAACTTTTTTTTTTAAATCTTGTAATCATGGTAGTAACAATGCTGGCTTCCTCATCAAAAAGGATTTATTCATCCCATTATTTCAAGACAATTAATTGGCACTCTAGCAAACACAAACAATGCACTAGTCTCTATGATGGGCCAGACCCTGTATATTCCATACTTCCATTTCCCCATAATGAGCTAGAATAAATTTATGACTGTCTGTTTTCTGCAGCTTTATGCTTTTGTAACTATAGGGATAAAGGCTATGATCATCCAGTGTCAGGTTAGAATCTTGAGAATTCAATTGAAATTAACTGGTAATCTATTGAATACCTATTTTTTATCTTGTTATGCCACCAAATCATTAGTTAATTAGTTATTTTAAATAAAAACTGTATTTTTTCCTTAACTCATCTGTGGCCACAAATCACAGTAATTGTTAACTTTTCTTTCACGCAAACCCACACTGCACCTACAGCTTTCCTCTTTTGATAAACACTAACATATTTTATTGCTTGTATGTCTAATTTTTTGACAAGATTCATCAACAGCATGCTTTAAAAGGTTGAACAAATAACACAATTTGCATTAGGAAACGTTCTGTCCAACATCCTGCCTTCATAAAAAGTGATGTGGATGTGGAAAAGGCTTGTTAAAGATGCAAAACAAAGGTAGTGCAGAAAGGCACACGCAGAAACCAGCTGCATTTGATTTAAGATTTTTTTTAAATTTGTCCTGTAAGGAGATTTGTCTTCACTGACAATATGTTACACATCTTGGATGACAACAGACACAACATACACATTAACAATGACAACTTATATGACAGCACAATAGGGGACAGACAGATCAGCAGGGCTATGGTGTTTGCTAGGGGAGTGATGGACTTTTTATTTGGTTCTGTGAGGTTAGGTGTGGGGAGACCAATGAGTGGAGAGACGGATGACTCTTAAACTCTTGAAACAGTGTTATAGAGGCTTGTTTTTAACCTGACATGTGGATGTTCTATCAGTGCATCAACAGGGGGGTTGTTTCAAAGCTCAACCTGAACATTTGCAGTGCATGTGTCATGCCTGCCAGTTATCAGACCCAGGAGGTCAGTTACAGCATGTTTGTGAGTATAAAAAGCCCTGACACGCTCGTGTAGTGAAGAAATATTGATAATAAAGGAGTAGAACAAAGTGAAAAGAAATGATTGCCGTAAATATGAGGCAGAGGGAGACAGAGGTAAGAGCACTGGTAGGCTAATAGGCTACAGTCAGGTCATGCAAAAAGCTCAGAGTTAACGTATCAATAACTTAACTCAGCCCTGGGAATGATCTTGAAAAAGCCATTTTTCTACAAAGCATCAACAAGTTAAACATCATCTACTCTTTTCAAACTTATTAAAAATATGGAGAGTGAACCCTGTTATGTACAAATCTCATAGTTTTATGACAGATTTGTGCATAAAAATACACCAAAATGCAATCAATTATTGTTGATGCTCAAAGTTCCCTGGAGGTGGCCAGAGTAAAAACTGAAACTGGTCCATGGGAGGACCTAAAATATTAATTCAGCACTTCAAAGAATTGATAAGGTATCACGTTATGAAATATTACGATATTGCAGTGTATTGGTATTGTCTTAAAGGCCTAGTACTGATAAATACACCTTTTCTTTTCATTGTAAGACACCAAACTCCCCTTGTTGTTAGTCTCATTGTGACTGACAAACAGAATTCAAGTCTACTGTAAATGATAAATGAGCTATTTTTTTAAATATCAATATTCAGTATTGAGTATTTCATGCACATGGTTAGCAAAGTGTATTTTAAACAGTACAATTAAACTGGTCTTTGAAGCTACAAATAAGAAAACCCGATAGGACACCTGGAGCACCTACTAGAGGGTTTTACAGGTGTATGACTGTGGAGACCACAAACCAGCATTGGTGGGAAAAGGTAGAAGGGATGGGAACGGTGCTTAGTGGTTCGAGCCCTTGAGCCCTCAGAGCGTGTGACTAGGAATGGGAGCCCCTATCCCGTCTGTGTTTTCACTGCATGGTTTTGTCTGTGGGTTATCTGAAACATTTTAGGAATCCCACTCCCAGTTACATTCGGGGAAAGACCATTCAAAACAAGAGTGCCGCTGTCTCTGCCAACCTTCATTTGATGCTACCTTGCACATCATTTCATATTGCACCACTTGTTTCCATTTGATTTTAATATGATTCTAGAAAACTTGATTTAATTCCTAATTGGTTCACAGTTTTCTTGTCACGCTTATTTTAAAATTCATTTCAATCTGCTGTGATTAATTAATTTAATGGTGTTTCAGGAAAATGTGTTTGAGTTACTGCAGCTTCTTTATTTGAAAAGTTTTTCACGTGATTGCAATATAAATATCCAGAGGCAAAACCAGGACAAAAGGTGACTTAAAGAAGTGAAATGTAAGATATCTACTGAATTAAATCATAAAATGACCTTTATATATCATTACACCTTAAGGAAACATTCTTTATTGAAATTCTGGCGTCTCTAATAACAATGCAGCAGCCAGCATGCCCGCCTTTAAAGTTTTGATTCTGGTCTGTCTTTGTTTTGACCTAAGAAGATAGACGGTTTTAAAGCACTTACTCGCTTCCATTTTTGACGCCCCTCAGATTGCCAGATATGAAACCAGATATAGGCAAGTGAAGAGGTCAAGATATACTGGTAACTTACACCCAACCTGCAAAGCCCCAGTCTTTACAGAGAGCACTTAATTTGAATTGTAGGATCCCTCAAACCAGTGGTTCTCAAGTCCAGTCCTCGAGGTCCACTGTCCTGCATGTTTTGGATGTTTCCCTGCTCCAACACACCTGATTCAAATGATCAGCTCGTTATCAAGCTCTGTAATGGCTTCATAACGAGCTAATCATTTGAATCAGGTGTGTTGGAGCAGGGAAACATCAACAGGGCAGTGGGCCTCGAGGACTGGACTTGAGAACCACTGCCTTAAATTATCCATCTGAGTGGACTGTAAAAGGAACAGCTGATGTGGTATAATCTCTGTTGAGTGTGGTCATTGTTCTTAATCAAGTTTATCCTGATTTTGATACAGTATTCTGTATTAGAATACATGTCATATCATGAGGCTGTAGGAGATGCCCTAATGGCAGGGGATGACTAGTAGTACTGGGGTAACAATGGAAATAAGGAACTCCTAGTGTCAGAAATAAAAATAATTCACCAAGAGTTCTAAGGCAACATTTGTAAGGCCACATCGAGTCAGTGACTATACTCTCTAGACAAAGTTATACAATATTTATCTTGCTCTTAAATTAGTGATGAATCTATTTTGACAACAGCCACAAGATTCTATGAAAAATCTCTGGATGTCAAATAATAAAAAGCTTGCAGTGCATCATAGAAAGGAGGTTTCACATCTTATTCCTGTAAACTTCTCCATGAGGGCGAATAATTTACCACCATATGCATCCAAGAAATCTGGCAAACCAGACTTGGCATGCACAATTTAACGACAGTAGGAGCCTTTCATAAATGTCATTCTTGTATCAGCGTTAAATAATTGAATCTGAATCTCTTTATTGTCCCAAAAGGGAAATCAGCGTTGCAGCAGGAGCACACAAAGTTAGGGTACACAGTGACAATATAGTAAGAGTAGTCTAAAAGTCAAACATGATAAAAAAAACAACACAATAAAGGAAACAGCATACATGAAAGATAAAAAATAATCATTCCAGAGCCAATACCCAAACTGAAAATAACTGCCTTGATGAGTGCAAAAATGTGCTAAAAATGCAATAAATAGTGCAAAGAAAAACATGGGTAACCTATGGCCTAATCGATATTTAGTAAATAAATTGCACTGGAGATAAATGAGATCTGAAATCTCTTAGTCCTCCTTGTAGGAGCCCTAAAACGACGGTCCGAGGGTAAAAGCGCGAATTTGTAGTGCAGTTGGTGGTTAGGACAACCCAGAATAGCATTAGCCTTCCTCCTGTCTGTTATAGATAAACATAACCCCGGCCTGCTGACTTCCTGGGATTTTTTCTGCCGTTTGAACAAGGCTCCCAAGATGATTCTTGCTGGACCAGTTCAGGTTCCCAAACCATGCAGCTATACAAAGGGTTAAAACAGATTCAATAAAACTTCTATAAAAGAGTCATCATCTCAGAAGAAACATGAAAGGTTCTCATCTCCTCAAAAAGGACAACCTTTGCAGAACCTCTTTGGAGGTAACATCAGTGTGAGGTTCGAAATGTAGTTTATTATCTAGGACCACACCCAGATATTTATAGCTCTCCACCATCTTAACATCAGCACCCTTGATAACAGTGGGGGGTGGAAAAGAGGTAGCATTCCTAAAATCAATAATCACGTCTTTGGTTTTCAACACATTCAATTCAAGAGAAGCCTCATCACACCAAGCTATAAAATCATCTGCTGCAGACGCATGGTCCTGCTTATCCCCCTGGAGAACACTAACAATAACCGGATCATCAGCAAACTTTAATATGTGTCTGTTAGTGAAGCTGCTACAGCACTTATTAGTGGACAGAATAAAGAGGAAGGACAACAAGCAGCAACCCTGAGGAGAGCTAGAGGAAGAGGAGAGCACAATAGAAAAGACACCGTTAATTCTTACACACTATATAGTTGGGGAAAATATATTGTAGCATAATCTTGGCTAAAACAACCAGATTTAATGCAAGTACGCTCCTCAATCAAAAAGACATTTGAGCCCACAGACTACTCAGCTCAACTCAACTTTATTTGTAAAGCACTTTAAAACAACCACAGCTGAACAAACATAAATACATAAATAGACAAAACAACACAGGCATAAAAACAATCAAAAAACAATTATAACAATGGATAAAAGAAAAGCAGATATTGAAAAGTAAAATATAGTTTCAATGTTTTTGAAAACTAATTTAGAAACATAGAAACAAATAACTAAAAACAAACCATGAAACACTAAAACAGGAGCCGACTCTCATGCAGGGTTGAAAGCCAATGAAAAAAAATGGGTTTTAAGACGAGTTTTAAAACATGGACAGTGTGGGGGCTTGTCTGATTTGGAGGGGTAGCTCGTTCCATAATTTTTACTATAGACAGTCAAGTAAGTTTTGATAGTATTATGGGGTAAATATATTTGTTCTTTAATAGTATTAATATTGAACTTGCAAAAGGTTGCCAAATGTAAGCTATTTTTCCTTTCATTGACCATTTAAGGGGCTTGCTTATTCTGCCGGTGGTGGCGACCTCAAATGTGATGCTGTTTCTTCTGACTCCTGCAAGACGGTTTTCTGTAACCATGCAATAATTTATACATCAATTGTCCAATATTTTGATGACCATTCCAGTTGTTTAGCCAACTATATTTCTGTTCATGCCATTGCATTAGTGTTTTTACAAGCTTTTTTGTTATCTTATTCTACATTTTCCAATTTGGAATATTTCCAAAATTCCCTAGCTTAACTTCCCATGGAAAGTCAACAGGATATGATTTTAGAGATAATGTTTGGCTACAAAAAGGTTAAAGAAGCTGTATTGATCATTTCTGTTGCTTGTGTATTTCTAAACTTCCAGTCTTCTTGACTTTAGATTGGTTCGCAGCTCTGAACGGTAACAACAGTGTCTGCAGTCAGTAAATAGAATGAGCATTATCATATTTTTCTCCAATAAAAATGTCTTCATGCATTTGTCATTTACAAATAATGATAAAGAAAGAGTTCACAGGAATGTAGATTGGTTCCTGTCTCTGTTCTCCGACTCATCAGGTGAATTGAGGCTATACTCTGAGCTGCACCTCATTTCAAAGTTAAACTTTTTCACTTTCTTTTAGCTCCTGCCTCAGATCAGTGCAGTTTTTCAAGCCTATGGCCTATTTTCAGCTACAAAGGGTTGCATCCTCCCCATCCTCAAAACTGAGTTCATACGTGTTCAACTCAGCAGGGGGTGGTAACTTTGGCGCTGAGGGTGTTAATAAAATTGCTAACCCCACAAGTAAACTTTTATTTCTGTTTATTTTTCAAACAGGAGACTCAGCGTTTGCTGCAGGAGCCTGTCCCAGGCATCAAGGCTGAGCCGGATGAAAGCAACGCTCGTTACTTTCATGTAGTCATTGCCGGACCTCAGGACTCGCCTTTTGAGGGGGGCACATTTAAACTTGAACTCTTTCTACCAGAGGAATATCCAATGGCAGCTCCTAAAGTACGCTTCATGACCAAAATATATCATCCCAATGTAGACAAGTTGGGAAGGATATGTCTAGACATTTTGAAAGGTAGGTCCTTCACCCATCACGATTCTGTCCTGTAATAAAGTACATGATGTCACCTGTGTTGTGGTCCTGTGAGTGAAGTGAGGGATTTGTCCATTTCATTCTGCTTTATAAAAATCAAGGGCCTCACATTGTGCAACTACCTCCCCACATCACCTCTGACTGCACCTCTTCTTCCTTTGACTCATTCACTTTTATTCATCTCTTATCTTCCCAGATAAATGGTCACCAGCTCTGCAGATTCGTACGGTGCTGCTGTCAATCCAAGCATTACTAAGTGCGCCCAACCCAGATGATCCGCTAGCAAATGACGTGGCAGAGCAATGGAAGTCTGATGAAGTCCAAGCCATAGAAACAGGTGAGAGCAAAGTCTAAACCTTTGTGTTTAGACTTTGAGTGAATGGATACACTGGTATGGACGCCTTTGTTGCTGTCGACGTTATATTGCACTTTTGCTGCAGCGCTTTCTCACTCAGTCCACTCATTGGTGCATGACAGGGTGGATTGATTTAGTGCGAAAAAAACTGAATCCCTTTAATGTCGTACAAATCGACATGTTGAATGTAATCCAAATGTAGGCTACTTACCTGTATATAGTGTTGGTGCATTTATTTAGTCTAAATTCCTGTATTTTATCACGTTATAATAATATACAGTAAATCACAAAAAGGAAAGATATTACAAAATTAGTTTTCCAATGTTCAACCTGAAGGCTTTGATTACGCCATATCATAATATTGCTTTTAGGTTGCAGAAATTCTTCCCAAGTGTATTTAACTCTTTGTCCCTTTGCATCAACACACCTCAGCACTGTGGTCACCTGCTTGACCTCGACAGTTGTTTGTGATGTGAACCATGCTCATTTTCTGTCTGTTTCTGTGAACTTTACAGCCAGGACATGGACCAGGCTTTATGCTGGACACAAAAATGAAGTGTAGAACAGCCCAACAAGCGGAGATACAAGTGGAAGTGAAGTGTGAAAACAACTCCTCATGTTCTGCCAAGACCTCTTCTGACTTTATTTGCATTTAAAGGACACAGTCTTAAATACATAAATACATATATATTATGAAATAAACATGAATATATTGTAAAGGAAAAAAAAAACAACTGCTGACAATTGGTGATTTAAATGCTCACTAGTAATGAAATGATTCGTCGTTGTCCTAACTCACTACTGTTGAAATGCATGGGCAGAGGTTTTAGATTTTCTCACCTGGCTTTCTTTGTCTATTAATTTTTAAAGGCTTTTGCCAACTGCTACCTTCACAAGCACGTTCAGGGGGTGTGTGGGGGTGTGTGTCCTATGTCCCACAGTACTGTTGGAAATGTGGGCATTGAAGCAGTAGAATGGGATGGGGTGTTGGCTACGTGTGGTCAAAATTGTATACTTTTCTTTTAACTTTGTTTTCTTGTGTCGCTGTATGTTTATTAAGTAGCTAACTACTACTAGCCCACTGTACTTAGTCACTTAACCAGGAGGCGGACCATAATTTCGTTCTGTGTAGTTGGCCGAGATGGATGCAGATACAACATAAAGCCTATTTCCTCTTATAATTACACCAGGCTGCATCAAATATAAATTATATGACTGAAAACCAAACTGAGCCTGCCATTATCACATTGACTTGTTCAACCACTCAGTGTAAACTGTAGGCTTGTGGATGGCGTGAAAGAGTGTTTAGCAGAGGGTGAACATTGAGGACCTTTTTTTTGTTTAGTTTAGCACATCTGTTTTATCACCATATCCGGTCTTTTGTATGTGTATCTTTCGTGCTGTCGCCATACTAACTTCTCTGCTTTTTCTGGATTACTTCTTCCCATGGCGTTAATTTCATAAAGCAGTGGTTCGGTGTGAGCTGTGAGAAGGAGGAGAGTTGAGGGGCCTATCTCTGAGATAGGAGATGCTAGGATGCTGAGGAATAAAACTCCAAATGTTTAATGAAGGCTTTGACTCACTTGTGATTGGTCTTTGACTGAAACGTCTGTATTCAATTCACTGTTGTAAAATTCATTCATTATTTTCAATCTGAGGAGGAAAGGTTTCCTATTCTCAGAATGTTATAAAACAGTCCACCTGCATACTTTTTATGTTCTGTAAATAAAATCTGTTGATTAATAAAGAGCTGCCTGGGTTTACTTCTTGAGAAACGTGTGCTGCTGATGATTTATGTGATATGATTTAAAGGGGGTTGGTTGACTGGTCTGTCATGTCCCTGTAGTAGAACAAAAATAAAGATCCTTAAAATTTGAGGGAGAAGGAATGTATATACTTAACCCTCTGTTGGGATCAGCCACTTCTGGGAGCTATGAATTCAATTAAAATGAGCACCCTGTGATTGTGAGGAAAGGGATGTGCACAAAAAGATGGAGAACTAAAATCAAGCTGGAAAAAGATTTTGATGGTTAGTGAATCATTGAAGCTCCATGTTTAATTTAGATTAGAGCTAAAACGTCCAATGTTAAAGATGACAAAGATTTATTATATATGAAATATCTGCTCAGAAGTGTAACATTGGCATTCATTTTGGAAATCATGGGCAGTGTTTTCTGACACATTGAGGAGGCACCATTGATGCTTAAAAACACAATATACAGGTTTTGAGTTAAAAACGTTTAAAACACAAGATCTGTTCAGGTAAGAAGATCTGCTGAGCAGCTGAAGATTTATCAAACAGAAATGGGATGATTTAAGTTTCCTCTGCAGAGCTCCACAAAATGTATTTTTACTTTTTTGAGTGAGCTTTACCACTAATATTGAAAATGAATCCATTTTAAAAATCCAATACATTTTTTCTAAGGTCTGGTGACAGCCTGTGATGTCTGCACATGGAAGATAATACTCCCACTGAATCGAACCTGCAAACTGCTTTACCATTTAACATCCTGTGACTCAGTTACACTTCACCACTAGAGGGGGATCCTGAGCTTCATAACTGTTATACTCAGCACATACCTTCACAAGTGAGTCAAATGCAGTCTGCCAAAACACCATGGTGACACTCATCTTACCTTGGATAGTATGGCTCACTAAAAATAGCTCCAGTTTTGATTCACTTTTTTTCAATTACAACTACAGTCTGGGACTAGTGGGTCTATTTTGGAATCAGTATAAGAAAGCAGGTTATCATTAAGCTTAAAAAATTATCATTTGCTGAATTCACCCCTGAAGTCTAGTGGACTCTCCCTATTTTTAAACATGGATGTATGTTCATATATATGAAGGAAAGTGTTCCAGCCATTCAGTCAGTAAACGCCTCTCACTGGTGCTTGTTGACTCCAGAGGGTCAGTGTACCTGCTGTTAAGTAACACCACTGAAGGTATTAGCAGAGGACCACTGTGAAATGTTTGCTAATGAAAAAAGAAAGAGCGTTATTAATGATTAAATTCTTTCCCCTGGTAAGACCCCATGTTTTTGGCCCCCCTCCCCTGTTTTCTCCCTTCACTCCCCTCTAACATCTCTCCCTCCTCTTACTCCCATCTGGCCTGTGTTTCTATTCCACAAAACCTCTCTATCTCACTGCCTTCTCCCCTCCAACTACTGTCAAACTCCCCTCTTAACCCTCTTACCCCTCGGTAACTGCCTTGTATCTTCTCTCTACTCCCCCCATAAGTTTCATTTCCCCTCCTCTAGCTTCCTTCAAATGACCGAGGTATTATGTCCACCTTGTTGTTGTTGTTGATGTTATTCCCATCCGCCACCCTCATGTGCATCCTTGCTGTGCTTACTAGTTCGGTTTCTACTTTCAAGTACATTTTGGTAATTTAAAAATATGCTTTATATTAACTTTATATTAAAGCATTACCCCTGTTGTGAGACTGTGTATACCAGTGGTTCTCAACTGGTCTCACTCTGGGACCCACATTTTTCCATGGTCCTTAAGTTGCAACCCACTTTTATTGAATTCAAACCAAGCAATTAAAAAAAAAAAACTTTTAAAGACTCTAATCTTTAACATAAATCTACTTGTTTTATTGAGTAAAGTGCATTTCAGAGCACATGAAGGGGACTACATGAAGACAACTACTGAATTTGCATATACAGAAAATATCTAATAAATATCGCATTAAATATTTACTTTTTTTTTACCAAAGTTCATGACGCATCCAGAACGTGTCCGCGACCCACTTTTGGGTCGGGACCCACCAGTTGAGAACCACTGATGTATACAATGCTACTTTGATCCAGTCCAGGTTACTGGCTGACTACCCTAAACAAAATTTCTGGAACACCAGGTTTCACTTTATAAATTCATATGATGGTACAACCTAGACACACTGTCAGTGATCAGGTGTTTTCAAGTCTTATCTGAGGGTTTAACTCAGGGGTGTCAAACTCAAGCACAGCAAGGGCCATAATGTGGATTTAGGTCTAACCTGAGGGCCAAACAGGGTCGACATTTCACCAAAACTGTCAACCTCCTTTTCAAGAAATATGCAACACAAAAACAGCAATGACTATAAATCATTCGGAAATTCAAAAAAGAAAAAAAAAAAGTTTGAAGGCAGTCTGAGATAGAAAATTTTATTCAATTTTCATTTATCAGTTCAAAAGATCAGTGCATGATATTAAAAATAGAAAAAAATGCTTTTAAAGAGCAAATACACGAGGAGAATGTTGAAATCGGGTATAAAAGGTCAAAATATGACTTAAAATTGGAACCTAAGGTATAAAAATGACACAAGTTCAAATACTGAGTTGAACCAAATCAAAGCATGAAATGTAATTGTAATGTGGAAATGCAAAAATGAAAACATGAAATAAAACACCAAACATTTTTTCCCCACATTCTTGACTATTTATCAAATCTTCCTTACTCTTTAATTTCCCAGATTTTCATGGTTTGTTAAGGACATTTTAAATAATGGTGCTAAAGTTTACATTATTACACTGGAGGAAATCTGCAAACTTCATACTGGTGGGCCAATAATAAGACAAATATGACATGATCTTGTGGGCCAGATATAATTGTTCCATGGGCCAGATTTGGACCCCGGGCCTTGAGTTTGACACCTGTGGTTTAACTGAAATAAAGACCAAAATTGGATAACCAAATTTAATCTGTTTTGATCTTAAACAAATTTATGACAAGATTCAAGATTTGATTCGGTTTTGATTTATCTTCTGGGCCCACTGAAACTTTTGGGGTGACCATCCAAGTCAATGAAGACCATGGCCAAAGTTTTCAGGTTTAAAAGGAGTAAAATAACAATGTGGTCAAGAGTTTATCAGGCTGACTTCTGTTATAGAAGATGCCTGACTGGCTGCTTGCTCTAAATTGTGACTAAAGGGGTGGCCTTGGCCCAGACTAAGTTTAAAAGTCTGGACACGCCCTTGTTCAATGAGCGCCTTAAAAACCGTCGTTCACAACTGCTTGAAAACTACACAGTACAAAAATCGTCAAGGGCTCCAAGGACGAACTAGGTGAACATAAACATATTTTGACTTGTACAAAGAGGCATCCACGAGGACAGCTTTCTCCTCTCTTCCTGTTTTCGACGGCTGTTGTAACTACGACAACCACAGACGCAGACCGACGAAGCTCGCGCGCTCTACAGCTACAGCTGCTTTCAACGTCTGCCGAGTCCACGTTTCCACTTTCCCCCCCGACTGACACAGTTTCCCCAACTAATCTGCGAGAGGGCGAATATAAATGATGAAGTATAAGCCAAACCAGACCAGGACGTACGACGGCGAAGGGTTCAAGAGAAGAGCAGCGTGTTTGTGCTTTAAAAGCGAGAAGGAAGACGAGGTAAGATGTGTCCGTGGAAATGTTTGCTGTGTTTCAAATTAAAAAAAAGGTTGGCAACAGACGGACACTTTAGTATTGTTCTTACTGAACTTGTGCACTGAAACTTGTTAAAAAATAAGTGTTTTGCAGAGGTAAGCATGCATGGTTTTGTGACTAACCAGCTCTTTTACTTAAAAATATCACCGTCCCACAAGCTGGAACCCACCACAACACGAGGCCATCGAAAACCCAGAGAGAAAATCCAGTTTTAAAGTGTCCCCTCTGTGTCCTTACTCGTTGCATTGGGTTGGGACCATCACTGACGGCCCTTTAACACATTGGCATATATTAAAACTTGGACAACTCTTTTTGATATACAGCCATTCAATGCCACCCTTTATCATAGAAACATTGCAGACATTCACTCAGTTGGATGATGTTTGTTTTCTCTCTTACAATGGCTACAGCTGATGGGTTTTGTGTAGGGTGATTCCATACTAATACATGTCATTGTGATCACCAATCCCTGCAACTTTGGCGTCTGCTGCTGCAGTCCTGTTTACTGCTTGCTCTAAACATTGATCAGGATGATTGCAATGGGGTTCGGCAGCATTTGTCTTAATGTTCATATGTACTCTGTACAGCATAAGGATTTTTGTCCTGAACTTACTAAAATGATCAGCATAATAAAACAGTTTCTGTGATTGTGTCAGATGTAAAAATCTCTAGTACAATAAGTTTGCTGCTGTGTTAGGGCTGTTAGTCTGATTTAACATAGAAAAGTTATTGATATGGGACAGTGGCTGCCTTAGATCACAAAGTGTCTGCCTGGTGACGGCTGCCCTTCTCAGGACCACATGTGATATGAGGAGTGGGGTCATAGGGGCCTGCATGGGGGTGTGTTACACTGTGTGCTAGTGACCTATCGCCTGCAATTTATAGCCACAAGGTGCGGGCACTTGCTGTGCCCTGACAGATTTGCTTTCTTCATGCTGTCACCCCCTCCTTCACCCATCACACTCTCTTTTTCTCTGTCCTGATTCTTTTTCTGCTTCCTCTGCTCTATCCCATTTGTCTGAAGAAATGGTCTTCCCTCATTCCTTTTGATTGCGTGTGTTACACTCAATGTGGTAAACCATCCATGTAGTCTGCATAGATTTACAGTCACTTCCTGTATTTCTCATTTGGAGTCCAGAGACACAGGTGAAAGTCTGCTGACATCACAGTGGTTGTGCTCAAAAATTATTAAACTTGTCTTTTTATATCTTTTATACAGTGGAACAAACACTTAAATTTCTATTTAGATTAAAATAAATACTTAAATAAGTATAAACTAATGCCCCCCTGAAATGAAAAGATATTTTTCCATACCAAATGAAAGCATATTAAATCTAAATCAGTTATTGGTTAGTTCATGTAAATTCTGGTCAGATGTGTAGACAACTCAGTTTAAACTTCCTCTGGCATTAATGTAAAAAAAACAGTCATGTTCTTCAATATATAACATAACCCGGTGTATTTCTGATGTTTTTAATCGAATGCAGATAGATACAAAAACAACATTGTGATATTGGCTTTGTTATATTCACCACTGACCAACCTGTCCATTATCCACATCAGCTGTTGAAAAAAACAGTATTGGTCTGTCACCAATGGAAAAATATAAAAATAGTGATCAACATAGGTATATTTTTAATTTTTTTGCATATCACACTGTCTATTTATGATGTAGAAGAAGCCGAACCACTAGGTATAAGTTGCACTTAAGTCTTGCAGTTACCATCTGTAAAGGTGTTAATTGTCATAAAGATGCAGCAGACGTGCGCCCTCAGAACTCTTCTTCCCTCTACACTCTCACAGCGGTGTGTGATTGTGTACTAAAGCCTGTCGGCCCATTAACCTCCTCTGCTAAGCTCTTTTGTTGTCATACAGAAAGGCAACTGCTGATCTAGGAGTTTAGAGTGCCTGTGCGTTTCGTGCAATGTTTGTGTGAAATTGTGCATGCATTTGTGTGAGTGCGTTTATGTGTTTACTTCTACCACTGAGACAGCTTCAGCACTTTTGCTGCCCAAGTAGCCAATTAATGACACTTAACAGGCCCACATCTTTTCTTTAATCACTACAAATTTGAGCTCTCATCACTATACACAGAATCCCCCCTGTAGTATGGCATACCTTTATGACATATATTAATTAATGGATTGCATATTTCTCCTTTTACATTCACCACCATATGGAGGTTCTTTTCCCTATGACCTTTAATGGGGGTAATAATGTTTTTTATAGTCATCGTGTCAAAGAAGATATAACCCATGTTGAGTTCTGTGGTTTGAGTTTTTTAAACCAAGTTGTCAAAATAAGAAGGTCAGGATTGCGCAACTGAATTCATCATAGTTTGTTTGTTTTTTTGTCCTTTGGTGACGTTATTTGCAAAATTATTGTAAACTTCAAGTGAATAGGGCACTTAATTTGTCATTCCTCTAATTCAGTATGGCACAGTTGGTTTTGAGAGCATTGATCCACATCGCTCTGCTGGTTTTAGCCTCTTCAGATTTAGTTCACTGAATGTGATGGCCTGTTATCCAAACGTAAATATTGACAGAGTTGCCCAAGCCCAGAACAAGTCCCCAAAAGAGTTTGCTAATGCAAGGACACAGACAGAGACAGTTTTGTCACACCCACACGCATCTCAGTAATAAGTGTTTACTTCAGTGATCTGGAGCATGAAAACGGTAAACAAGAGCTCAGGGTAAACTTCATGATGTTATTTTACTGATTACAATTTCATGTTAACAGGTAGACTTAAAGCGAAATGTTGAAATGAAGCTCTTTTTGAGTTTAGATATTTTTGCTGGGGTTATTTTACTAATGACCTGCTTAGAATCTGCAGTGGGTCACACATCCTGGAGTTTCACTCATCGCAGCCATTTCTGTGCAAGGGAGAGCAGCTTTGACAGCAGTGAAGATGTTGTCACTGGTGGTTTTACAAACCCGCCATGCCTCCCCTATCAGGTCTCAGCAGGAATGTACACACATCTTAGGGTTGGGAAACTTCAGATGGGACAGTTATGTTTGCGGTTTGCGTTAAAATATACAAATGGATTGATCTGCTGTGCTGGTTTTGAACCAATCTTTGCACAGCCAGCATTATTAAGAGGTGACACAGTTGTAAAACTGTTCTGGCTGCACGCTCAGCAGATTTGAGGAAATATTTACTTGTGAAATTAAAGTGAGTGCCAGATAGTGTTGAGGGTCAAATGACCAGATCCTCAGGGGGGGCACTGTGCTGAAAAAAGACCAAACTGCATATGTTTGAGGTCAGTTACACATAGTGAGTGGCTTTAGACATTCTTATTGTTTCACTGGTGGTTTTATTTTAATTTAATATAAACAACATTTAACTTTGAGGTTATCTCCATTGAAACATATAACTGTTTTAGAAGATCATATATTCATGCAGGTGTTTTGTGTGTGTGTGTGTGTGTGTGTGTGTGTGTGTGTGTGTGTGTGTGTGTGTGTGTGTGTGTGTGTGTGTGTGTGTGTGTGTGTGTGTGTGTGTGTGTGTGTGTGTGTGTGTGTGTGTGTGTGCTCTTATTTCAAATCTGGACATTTGAATCAGCCGAATTGTAACCTGGGTAGAAAAATACGAGTTGCTGTATTGCTTCAAAACTACAGAAATAGTGAAGCTCAAGATGGTTGTTTGGTTTTCATGTGTTTGCTGTTGGATGAAAATCACATTTGTACATATTTAGATAATGAAGTAAAAAGCACAACATTTTCTGCAGCCTTGTTCACACTGCGCTCATATTGCGTGAAGTGACTGAAGTGGTAAGCATGGCATGTTAAATGTTTGATACATGTTCTACTGAATGAGTAGCACTACGTTTAGCTGCCACCAGACACTAAATTATGGTATGGGGGTCTAATCTTGGACATGCTGTAATCATGTTTTTGACAACCTTCACTCAGCAGCCAGACACCTGATGAAGGTCTTTCTTTTTGGAAGGTGCTACTGGTGAGCAGCAGCCGGCATCCTGACCAATGGATTGTGCCAGGAGGAGGTATGGAGCCTGAGGAGGAACCCTGCAAGGCTGCCATCAGGGAAACTTATGAAGAGGTATGTTTAAAGACATGCACATGCAGAGTTATAAACATCATTTTCTGTACATCCATCGACAATATGTGGTCAGTTTCTGCTGAAATAAGAAGACTTGACACTTGTACAAACTTCGAATTTGCTTGAAATGACTCACTTTTTAGTAAGAGTAAATTTCTTGCCATGGTGGCATGGGAGTGCAAGTGAAATTTATGCTCCCCAACATTTGAAAGGGAATTTCCAAAAAAGTAGTCGTGAGAATCAGTTGACCAACAACATAGCACTCACATGCTCTCTCATGTGCTTTCATTGGAGAACAAGTAAACATGAATGATGTGAACAAAGGGAAATCGGTTATTTAATGTAGGTGAACCTTAGAAGTGTATAAAATGCCCATGAAAGTCAATATCCTATCTGGATTGAAATGTTTTGTAGACGGCCTGTCAATTATTCTGTGGTTTGGTGAAGGGACTGCTGGTAGTTTGCCAGTGTTTTTGGATTAGAGTGAGCTATGAGCCTCTGCACTGGATAGCCAAGTGCTGACAGGTTTAAAGTATTGCAGTGACATTTAGAAAGGGTTTCCATTTACCTGCATCCTGTGCCTCTCAGTGCCTGAATATGGATGAGCTGCAGAACAACTACTGGGCCAAGCTAAGAGCTCATAATGTCATGGTTGATCAAGTGCTCACAAGTTCAACAAATCAAACTCATGGTTCCACGTGTTTAAATTTGATGAAATATGTGGGAAAAATCTGCTTTAAAATTTGATAAATTTTCTTTGATTATCTTTCTTTTTCTTACAAGCACCACAGCAGTAAAAGCAAATGATTTTATAAGGTGCTGGAAAGTTTCTACCCAAATTCAGCTAAGATAGTGATAAGTTTCTGTGATATGATATGAGTCGATTCTAAACAATAAATACACCTATTGCTCCTTTGAGGATATTTGCCTTGGGCTCAAGTGCTGTACATGCTCAGCCGCCACCAGAATAGTACCATAAGTAATAAATGTTAAAAACTGACATGAACCTATACAAACAGAGAACCATACCAAAGACACCACAATAATGTATATTTCACACTGTTTTTACAATGTTACATGCAGAAGAGAGGGGCTGCTTGGAAACCCATAACATCAGGATAAATTAAAAACTTGTGAAAAATATTTTGTTTCTGTTAAAGAAGATCAGAAATTTTGACTAGTTTTTTTATTTTTTTTATCTTTTTATCATAATTTAAGCATTATCACTGCAGAAGTACTTGTAATAAACATACGGCAAAAGTCTAAATGTATCTTATTACGAATGAAAAACTATTTTATGCCTCGAAGCAAAGCCGCACTTTCATTTTAGCTGCCAGATGGAGGTTAGGGTGTAGTGCTCATGCCTTGATATAACTTTGATGCAGTCGGAGAAGGCTGAAGCACAGGAGATTAACTGGTGCCAATAGAGCGTTAAAACGACAATTCTGCATGCAGCAAAAACATGATACAAGCACAGATACTGTATAAAACACTTAGAAGAGCAGATAGACAGAATGTATTCTTTCAGATAAAATGGGTGAAGAAAAGCTCAAACAAAGTTTTATTGTTGGGTTAAATTTTTTCATTTATTAGCATTTCAAATCAGTGTTACATTGTTGTTCAATGAAATTGCACTTTGCATTTTTTCTGTTGCGCAGGCTTAGTTTAAAATTTACAAATGGCATCAGTATAGTGTGGACATGGGAGACAGAATGATCTCTGTCTGGCTCTCAATGTGCTCACTCTACCCTCTAACCCAATTGCAAACAGTGCCCTCAGAAGTCTCTCTGCCTCCTGGCCATTTTTACTTTTCAACTCATATCAACTTGTGGACACACACTTCAGGATAAACTGCAATAATTCGATCCTTTGAGTGTATCAGAGAAAAAAAAAAAATCCAATAATTTAAATTCAAGGCCTCAAAATGTCCCTTAAAACCTTAAAAATAAAATGTCTAAAATACAATTTTGAAAGGTCTTAAAAATGTATCAATGTTACTTACAAATAAATAACGTGCCATATGTATAAAGATTGATTAGAAGTAATGTAAAATGTTCCGATTTCCCTTCATGTCTTTGTACTTTTTTGCCAGTATGGATGTAAAACGAGTCTTAAATTGTATTTGTGGACTTAAAAAGTCTTAAATTTGACTTGTTGAAACCTGCAGGCACCCTGGATCTTAGAGTCAAACATGTTCTTTTTAATAATTTTATCATTTCATCACTCCACTCTCTCATTGTTACCGCATCATTTTAAAACTGTCTGTGGGGTCCAATCTTCATGTCGGTAATTACTGATCTAGTACATATGCGAATTAAGGATGTGTATGTAGCTAAATCCGGCGTCGAAAGTCACAAACTGTGCACAAGCAGAAATGGATCTAGATCTGTGTAGCATATATGTTGAGCTCCTCTGTCTTGTCATCCTGTCACTCAGACTATGTTTAGTCCCCCCTATGTTGTCTCATAGGAACATGTTGACACTAAACGTGTACCACGTCACAGTCTTCAGTTCTGGCTCAAAAGTTCAACCTAAAACTTGAATACTCATTAAAACAGATGTGCCTCTCCTTATACCAGCTCATACATGTTCTTGCTTTATGATAATATTGCACAGATAACTGTCAGATTCAGATGGATGATTCATTGTGAAGGTTAAGTCCTAAGTGTGTCATGACTGTGTTATACTGTGACCTTTCACAAATTAATCTATTGAATGTCTCTTGATTAGTTTTCTGTATTTGCAGGCTGGTGTCAAAGGAAAGCTTGGTCGACTACTCGGGATCTTTGAGGTAAGCTTTCATAACTGTCAGGGAAAGTTGTAATAAATTCTCACTTGGCATATAATACATTATACAAACCTGTTTAAAGCCCTGTATCGACTTAACTGGTAACCCAACTAACATGCCAAAGATGTCTGTGTAGGCAGCTTCATGCCTGTGTGTCTGAGTCAGCCAGTGTATCCGTCTGATTTATTTATGTGGGCTCTATAAATAGCTTAATGTTTTCACAGTATATGAAATATTTGCATGCATTGTACTGACACGTGATTTGTACCTTAATCAAGGAGTGTCTTTTCTTTGCAGCACAATCAAGACAGAAAACACAGGACATACGTTTACACCCTTGTAGTAACAGAGACTCTTGAAGACTGGGAGGACTCTGTCAACATTGGTAAGTCTCTATGTTTACTAAACTTTGGGGACCAACTCACCTTTTCGATCAGTAGTTTCCTTTTCAATAAAACTTTTTTCTGATCCCTTATTTGTGGGTGACTATGGGCAAATTCAAAGAATGGGATTGAACAGATCTTCAAGTTTCTTTCCAAAACAAAATACTGTTTTGCATTCAATTAATCAATCTTTATTGGTAAAGTGGCAAGTGTTATCCTAAGATCCGTAGCAGAAAATAAATAGGTAAATAAATGCTGGTCTAGACCAGACTATATTTGCGAAGACCAAATATAAAAACAGGATTAGATTGAGCCCCATCTGCCAAGATCAGACTCACTCCCATCCCACCTTCAATCACATGAATGCAACACTTTGCAGCATTTAGCAAGTTACATTGGAGAGGACAAAGTTCCTTTAACAGGCAGAAAAATCGAGCAGAACCAGACTCATGTAAGACAGTCATCTGCCACTACTGCATTGGGTTTAGAGAGGGATACAGAGGGAGATGCAAAGAGAGAGAGAGATGGACAAAGGTGAGACTGATACAACAGGTGAACTATACATTTATAGTTGAAGCAGCTGGAAAGCAAGAAAGGTCCACAGCAGCAAAACATCTGCAGCAGCAATGTAGTGGAACCGTCGGCATGATGGCGCTCAGGGATAGCCTGGCCGGGCCATCCTGTTGCGTGAATCACTTGATGTTCTTTCCCACAACAGTCTGGACTTCGGCCCATAGAGAGTGTGTATTCCCGATCAGAAAATAACCGGGCCAATCAGAGACCGTGTTTCCACTGTTACCCGGACAACAGGGAAATGCAGCCCCTGATTGGTCCATGTGTAGTGGTGACGTCTAACACATGCTGCGGGACTTTTCAAAGCCCCGTTCATTCAGAACGCCATTAATTCTGCAGTTGACTCTGCAAAGTCGGCAGAAATCGTTTATATACTTCAAGATACTGACTGGTTGCACCAAATGAGACATTTTAATGAGTCACCCTAGAGTCTCGTGATCAACTTTTTAATGTATTTTATAGATCATGCATAATTAATAATGACAGTGAATGTGGGAATACATCTACTTATGGGAATGAGTAGAGGTACATGAATTATTTTCAGTTAGTCAGGAAAAGAAAGTTGTATTTACCCAATCCATGTAAGTATAAAAATAGAGTTCCTCCTGTTCATGAGGGGAAGAATATTTGCTGTGCCCAACTGTTTTCTAGCCATCATCACTTCCCCTCCCCACCTCGTCCTCCTTTGCCCCGTGACTGAGCGGGAAGAGCTGGCCACCCCTGCTGTTACTCTCCCCCTTCTGCTGAAAGGCCCATGGTGGTGTGCTTCAGGGTGTAAACATAAAATCTCACACCCTCTCGGGTGAAGGAATTCGGTTTTCAATCATAAACAACTCCCAGCTGACGGTTTACTGGTTAGATCATTTCTATTTCTGCAGAAGGTTTGGTAACACAAGGGATTCACAACCATAGACTGGGGTCGGTCATAAATGTCACTTTCCACTTCAACTTAAGAGCTGCAATCTTCACAGAAGCATTTCTAGCATATTAAAATTTATATAAGATATATTTTTGTCAAGTTATATTTCCACTGCCTTGAGCATGGGCTAATGCTGTTTGGGCTTTTAAGATAAATGTCAAGCGCTAATTTTATCATTGATGTGTATCAGTATTATCACAAGACAAATCTTTCACTACCAGAGCACAACAACCCCCCTCCCATACAAAAAACAAGTTCTAGGTGAAGCTGAATATGCAATGAGTTGAAGTGAGAGACAGAGAAGAATGACCCCACAAACATAGAAGACCAAAATGAGAACAACAAAGGGGGTCAAAACATTTGTGTGGATCTGCATCTTACAGAGATTTTCTCTGTTTGGTTTAAAGAAACATCAAACAGCAAAAACTATGAGGCAACGATATCTCTCCTGACGCATCTTTCAGATATTCAGCAACATCCTGTCTAATGTTTAAATTTCTGCAGAAACCTTGAAAACCACAAGATCACTTGGCCTACATATTTCATAAATATCGCTGAAAAGTGAATACTGAATGGTGGTGAACTCAAAGAGCTTTTGCATTACATCTTTTCACCTGTTCACACCATATTTACACACTGATGGCAAGGGGGCTGCTATGGAAAGCACTCATCAGTATTAACTCCTCTCATTCTCAGGTTGGGGTCAAGTGTCTCGCCCAGTTGAACTGACCTTTTTATTGATTGTTTTACAGGTCGGAAGAGACAGTGGTTCAAAGTGGACGAAGCCATTAGGGTGCTGCAGAGCCACAAGCCTGACCACGCTGAGTACCTACGCACACTCTCAAACACCTGCAATCCCAACTGCAGTCCTCTGTTTGTCCCGACTAATGGTAACACCCCCAGCTCCCATATGACAGACAACAACACACCTCTGTACGTGGTTTGCTCTCCACAGAGCTCAGATCTGGTCAACAGATAGGACCATCACCAGCAGAGGACATGGACAATAAAAGACTTTTGCATTACTGACGCAGCCTCTTAACATAGACAGTGTGGACCTCCTTGAAGTTGACTTGTAACAGGTTTTTGTGTTGACTTAAAGAGTGCTGAAATGTTTTCTGGATTTATTTGAATTCTTTCAAACAAATATCACCGGCTGGGCAGTAAATTGTGAACCAGTTTTAAACATAAAAAGGATTTTCTCAGTGTGCTGCTCATGCAATGCGGAGACCCTTTTGTTCAAATATCAGAGCACCATGTGTTTGGGTGGTTTACTGGACGCCAGGGCTGGGAAGAGTTTGCCTCAGGAGGAAGTTATTTCCTAATTATGAGTCAGTGCCAAATAATGCCTGTGTGTGCCAATTTTAAAAGGAGTAGCAGCGTTTGTATATTGTAGCAACACTTTTTGGGAGTAAATCTAATGTCACCTCACAGGTTTTGCCAAACAAGATCTGACGACAAAGTCTACTTTGATGCATTATAAGCTAACAACATTTCTCCACCTGTAATAAACGCCTTTAAAGTACATAGAGTCATTGCTCATCAGAAGTGAAAGTGCAACACAACCAAGACAAGCAAATAACAGCAAATCAGCCAACATAATAAAATGAAGACTTACTTTCTCCTTTGTCAAACATCCTTTTATTTGTGTGTATGAATATATTATGAACAAAATGACAAGTTAAGATGTGAAGCAGTTTTAGTACTGGTAAAAAAATCTGCCTTTGTGCCAGAGATAGGCACCACATGACACTGCAAATATGCAAACTGTATCATTCAAGGAATATTGATTAATCTTCTGGAAAGTAGTCAAGTGGATTTGAACAATGAAGACTTGCCAGTAACGATAAGAGAACAATAATACGGCCTTTGTTTGGAAGACAGATACTACGTGCCTAAGTCTGATTTCTTTAAGTGCCTTACAAACACAGTGCTCAAATGTGTGGTCTATTTTGTATGTATCATTTTTGATACATGTGAATGTCTCCAAAGGTTCTCTAATCCGTTTACACATACTATGAAATAAGACCCTTTTATTTCTCTGCTGTGGTGAAATAAGTCAACAGGGTTTTGACAGAAACTTAAAAATGTCAGAAATGAATGTACAGTATTTATTATGCATTATCTGAATTTATTTATTAGTGTTACTATGGGGAAATAGTCCTAAACATTATGTGCAGGAAACCATGACAGGAAGTTATGGTCAGTGTGTCATGGAGGCCCGAGTTTATTTTCAACAATGAGGAAAGGAAGCCAAATTCAGGGATCAGATCGATCAGGAGATCGTTGTGGCTTTAGTAAACTCTTGTGTTAAGAGCATGTGAATGATCAATGGTTAATCCATTATTTTCTATTGATGCGAGTGTGACTGGAATATTCTGCTGCTCACATCATGCTGTAAATTAAACATTGCAATAAAAAAATAAACCACAATCCCATTGGTTTGTTTTTTTGAAATATGTTCTATTTTTTTTTACAGCATAATATGTGGGATATATTTTTTAATGATCTTGACTGTAGCCACGCTGTCTACCCAGCTTTCACCGTCCCCTTCATGACCCGCCCATCCGCCGCCGCTGCCCGTGCCTACTCAGGTGGTCATTGTACAGCGACGTAAACTTTGCCTGATCGGATTTATTGACCGGACAACTCCAGTCGAGGCCATGCTCAGACGGATACTCCAAATGGTAAGCCCATGGTGCCGAAAAGTCAACTATGTCGGTGTATTGTGGTTGTAAACGAGTGGTTTTGTTTTGGAATCGCAGGCCTGTGCCCGTTTGGCTTGACTGCGGGGACGCACCTTTTAAAGTACAACGCGCCGCGACCGGGTGGGCTTCTTGTTTGTATCAGGATCCCGTCGCTTCGGGATAAACCCCGCCGCCCTGTCCTGTCCAAGTGACCATTTCAAACGTTCAAGCGCCCACTGTTGTGTTGACTTGGCTAGCTCTAAATGCTAACTCGGTTCAGTTGATTGATGCTAAGGATGACAGGGATGTAACGAGCTAACACAGCGCTTGTCTGTTAAAATGTAGTAGCAAACTTAAGTGGCTAACACGTCCATCAACAGTTCCAGGGTTAGTCGCTGAATCATTCCCAAGTCCCGTTCGTGGTCAGCTAGCTCAGATATAGCAGCACATTAATTCATCGTGCTAACGCTAACGTTAGCCACAGGTTGACCGCTGTGGACTTTTGTGTCAGCTACCTGACAGCTACGTCGTTTGAATCTTTGAGCTCATATTTACATGTTTGGTAGTACTTTTGTTTGGATAAATCAATTACGCGTAGTTAAAGCTTAAATGGAAGCAAAGGTTAGCCATCTGATTAGCTTAACTGGGACTACAGTTCCCAGAGGGCATTGCGAGCGATAGCTGCATTTTGAAGTCCCTGATCCAAGAGGGTCGAATTTTTTAAAGTTAAGATTTATTTAAAGGGATAGTCCGGGGTAAATTTAGGGTCAAATTCATTGTAACATCGAGTTAGACACCCTCTCGAGAGATGAATGTTGCCGACCGCTTGCTTCTCTAGTTAAACCAACTTTAGTAATGACCGCACGATAGCAATACACAGAGGTTCCAGGAGTCACGCGCTCAACCAAAACGCCACTCTATAACCACAAATAATGCTCAGAACTGCACCTAACTTCATCAACAGTACATATAGGGTCTCAGCCACAGCACAAGCCACCAAACATCCTTTTAACTTTGCCTAATTGCTTTAGCAAAGAGACTAAACACAACTCACCTACTCTCTTCCAGCAGCCGCTTGTTTGTACGGAGACCTTCAGGCGAGTCCATCGACAACAGCGGGTGACGCAGCTCAAGGAAGAACATTTATTATCGTTTCTTTACAATTTCCTTGAAGTAATAATCATCATATTAATAATTTTGCTCTGCAGATGCGATAGTTCCTCTGCCTTAGCGTCTCGGTCTGATTGCATTTCCATGAGGAAATGATCATAAATGTTCTTCCTTGAGCTGCGTCGCCCCGCTGTTGTCGATGGACTCGCCTGGAGGTCTCTGTACAAAAAAGGGGCTGTTGTGTTTAGTCTCTTTGCTAAAGAAATCAGGCAAAGTTAAAAAGATATTTGGTGGCTAGAGCTATGGCTAGCACCCTATATGTACTGTTGATGAAGTTAGGTGCTGTTGTGAGATTATTTGTGGCTGTAGAGTGGCGTTTTGGTTGAGGTTTGTTTATGACTCCTCAGACCGCTGTGTATTGCTATTGTGCAGTCATTACTAAAGTTTGTATAACTAGAGAAGCAAGCAGTTGGCAACATTCATCTATCGGGGGGGTCTAACTCAGTGTTACAGTGTGTTTGACCCTAACTTAACTTTACGCCGGAATATCCCTTTAAGGGGTTTTCAGCCCAAATTTTTTACTGTAAACTGGTTAAAAAGTAAATATAAAATGTTCCGTTGTTGTTTGCCCTGTCACACTTTAACTGCAGTGGGTCAGGACCGCACACAGTGTAGATAATAACAGAGGCGCTGTAACAGATTAAGAGGTTTGCAGCGACTCATTGATAAAAATGACCCTCTTGATAAAACACAATAGTCTTTCAGATGAGAGGGTTTTGTAACCACATGGGTTAGTAGGTACACCCCGGCAGTCTAATACAACAGCTCTGACCCATTCTGCTGTTGCTCCACCACCAACAGCCGACATGTCCACAATAATAAATGAAGACTCACTGTACTCACCAAGGACAACAATAACCTGTCACCTGTTGCACTGGACTGCCCAGGTGTTCAACTGCTGGTTGATAAAGTTCAACACTCCTTAAAATGTGGGCCACATTACCATGATACTGAATGAATTAAAGAGCTGCTTTTTTTAACATTGATTGGGATTTGATGTTTTGTTATCGTACATGAAGGAGGTTTTGATTGAAACTCTAGTTTTACAGGTGAGGTACAGTATGCAGAATTAGTTTAATTTAAATAGACTATGATCAAATTTTGATTATAAAAAGTAAAGTCCACATTTGTATACAGCCACGGTTCTGAATTAACGGTTTTCCTCCCCAGCCATACAGAATGTCAGAGTTTAATCAAATCTGCTAAATAATTATTTTATTTTAATGTATTGAGTCTGTGTGAGAATGTACTATTTGTTAACTGGGTCAGAGATTGTTCCATGATGCAATACACAGCCTGCCTTTTACGTGGTGTTTGTCAGCCCTCAAAACAACTCTGAGATGAGTCAGTTCAAAGTCCCTCTCAACCAGGAGACCCACGTGTTCACCTGTTTATTTGCCAGTGCTGCTCCTTATTTTGTGAATGGACCACTAGTTGTATGTCCATCGAATATGTTTGTGCTGATCTGATTTTGTTGTGACCATATTTTTCCCTGAGATTTTTTATTTGTATTTTCATCAGTCCTAACCCCACACCTCGTCACTCTCCATGGGCAATATCCCTAATGGCAGGGTGTGTTGGTTTATGTAAATGGTCCATTTGCTTGTAACCTGACCAGCCGATATTTTGAGTGGTGTGACAATGCATACACAACCGCTTAAAAGCAAAAGCAGCATACCAGTGTTCACAGCTAGTCTAAAGCTGAAGTTAATCCAGAGCTGGGTGTTTGTAGTCAGACTGTGAAGACAAAGGAACTTTCAAAACAAGTATGCGACAATTTAGAGGAGCACTACACCAGTTATTAAATGGCCTTTCCAACACTAGACACATTCTTCAGCGTCTAGAAAAGACTTATCTAGTTTAATGTTTACAGGAGGATTAACTCTCACAGAGTTAACCGAGGTATGATGGCCTTAAACGATCTAAGAGGAGGAGCCAGAATTCAGATTGTTGGGTGTAAACAAAACACTGCACATCTCCAGACCCACAGCATGGCCACCAAAAGAATGGGTTTCTGCGTAATGCAGTGGGGAAGCTGCTCTACAAAGAGGCAGATTTGTATAGAGGAAAACAAACAAATAGAAGGAAACAAGTACAGCAGCAGTTATTACCACACTGCACAATACTTGTTTGAACATCATTATAAGCTGATATCAGCCCTTTTGGCAAACATCAACCATAGGCAAATATGAGCCATGAGCTGATATTAATAGCTTGTATCTGTTGTGTTGCATCTTTCTAATGCTGGCATGCTATCTAACTGGTTTTATAGGATGGGGCCACTATCAACAATTTTAATACATCAAATCACAGAATTATGTCGAGAGGGTCACAAAAACATTGGTGTCTTTGCTTATCAGCTAAATAGTTATTTTAAATATCCCCATTAGCATGAGTCTCAGCCCATTATTTCACAGCTTTTGAGTTCTTGAAGTTAACAAACTGTTGTTAAGAAGATTCAAGCTCATTAATAGTGTTTCCTCCTTTCCAGACCCCTGGGAAGGGAGGCTCCCAGAATGCAGAGTCAGAGCAGCCCAGCACAGACCTAAATCACGACCAGACGTCAGAGGTAATTTTTCAGCTTGGTTTTCCTTTGTGATTACTTCTATCATATTTTGCTACCCTCCAAAGGAAACCACAGAACAGAAGCCATCTGATCAATAATCGTCCGAGGATCTGTTCTGACGGTGCGTCTCTGTTTTCAGGGCTTCATCTGTCCTCAGTGCATGAAATCTCACAACTCTGCAGAGGAGCTCTTCCATCATTATGAGCTGTTCCACGACATCGGGGACCTCCCCGCTCATGTGGCCCCGACTCGGTGAGGTGCAGGGATGTTTATGTCATTCAAAGTCCTTCTGCTGACTGTTTTTTAAACTCTTTTATTCTTCTAGGGAGGATCTCACAATGCTTCGACAAGAGGTTCAAGACCTGCACGCTTCTCTCAAGGTATAAATCACATTTCCTACTCCACAGTGGTGTGTCTCCTCTGAGTTAGGTCTTATTCCTAGATCTGATTATTTTTCACGTCTGTAAGTGTGTTTGTGTTTATTTACCTAATTAGGAGGAAAGGTGGTTCTCTGGCGAGCTCAAGAAGGAGTTAGATAAAGTCCAAGGACATCTGAAGCAAGTAATTCACTCAGAATATTTTTTTAAAATTAACACAACAACACGTTTGTCTGGATGTAAAACTGCTTCATAAAACATGACGGCTCACGCTCACTGTACATGCCTCTCTCTTTCCCATAGAACGACGGGCAGGTGGGCTCGGATGATTCAGGTGGGGAACCTTAACTTTAAAATGACTGTGAAAAGATAGCGAAAACTAAATGACTGAAAGTGGGTCTCTGCTCTTTTTCTTAGTCCTCGAGAGGAAGTTAAATGAAGCAGAGACAGAGAAGTTCAACATCAAGCAGATGAAAGACCTGTTTGAGCAGAAAGCTGCCCAGCTGGCCACAGAGATAGTAGGTTAGTGTTGGGAAGGCCATCTAATAACACTGAAGTCGTCTTGTACTCCAACACTGTTCATCTCAATCAATCCATTGTCTTACTTGCTGCTACATTGTGCATTCTTTAGTCCTACAGGCGGAGATTGATGCATTTTTACAGCATGCAGTCATGTAATCCTTAAACTTTGTCTCTTTGAAATGATGTAACCTTTGTTGTGAATGTTTGAAACAGATTTAAAGTCTCGCTATGATGAGGAGAAGAGTCTGAGGGAGGCTGCTGACCAGAGGCTGGCAAAACTGAACGAACAGCTACAGAAAGAGAAGCAGGAGAATGAGAGACTCCAAACAGAACTGGTACAACACACACATATGAATCTACACCTTCTGATGGGATTTCTTCTCATCTCACTTTCCTTTACCTGACTTGTTTGATGTTATAGACTCTCCTTTTACTGTTGAATTGACACTATGAAATCTGTTTTGGCTCTGAGCTGTTTGGTGAGAGAGAATCAAAGCAGATCTCACCCAGACAGTCTCCTCATTCAACACAGCACTTCATTCAGAGACTGAAGTATATCAGAAGAGTCTCAGGCTGCCTAAAACTAGATGTGTAGTATTACGCAGTGCATTGCCACCAAATATTACACCTCTTTCGACATGTATGGCTGCATACAGTATGACAACTTTGACTCAGGACATACATGTAGATCTACGTGACCTGTCCTCACGTAGTCCAGTCAGGTTCCGTTTGCTCTGAACATAACACCCTCCACTCTGCCCTCTAGCTGCAGCGACCAGGAGTGGAGGATGTGGAGGTGCTGCAGAAGGAGCTGGTGCAGGTCCAGACACTAATGGACAGCATGACCCGTGAGAGGGAGGAGGAATCCGAACGGCTCAGAAATCACTACGAGCAGCTGCAGGCTAATTACACTACCTCAGAGGTGAGTGTTTTCTGGTCACGGAAAGGTCCGTTGGTTCTTGGACTGTTTTTGCTGACAGGTTTTCACTTGGCTGCTACTCTTCCTCCCTTAATGGTCTTGTTACAAACACCTGAACACGCCCACTCATTCAGCTAGCAGCTGTGTGTGAAGGGCTTTTCTTTGCCTTACTATCATTAACTAACGCTTGGAGAATAATTCAGCCTTACTTCCTGTTTCTTATTTCTGCTTTTTCTTCCACAAGTTTCGATTCGTTTTGTCGTACGTTTAGGAAGCACTTTCCAAATTAAAACTCCACTCCATTTTTTTGACAGCTCTCTCTCATCAAGTAGTCTGACATAGAAGCTTTCATTCCCTGTGGTTTATTTCCCAAAGTGTGTACCTGTTGGTTGTTTTGCAATTGAGATGAAACCTGAGAGTAAGAAACTGTAAACAGGGTTTCTAAGGTGTGATTTATGTCATAGTGCTGCAGCGTATTCTCTCATCCCAGCAGCATCTTGCTCTGAGTCGTAGATTTGTCTGTTTGGATTGTATCGTGACTTACCTGTGTGTGTATCTCTGTGTCTCTTTCCCCCTTGTCTACTTCACATTCTGTATCCGTCTCCACTCTTTCTTCAAGATTCGTAAACTGGAGGTAAAAAATGTTGCTTGGCCCCCAAGTTTTTAAGTTTTTTTATTTTGTATTTTTTTTTTTTTTTGTTTAAAAATTCTCTGAGTTCTTTATTTCTGTTACACCGTCATGTTTTTGTGGGACTGAAGTCTTGTGACTCAAGCCATGTTGCTCTGGTTTCCTTTTTTTTTATGTTTGTCCTTCACAGTGGTGCCTCAGCTCTTTATATGTATTGGAGACTGCTTTGCAAAAAAAGATTGTGAGACTAAAGTTGCTCTCTCATTTGGCAGAAAACCATATCCCAACTAAAAGCCGAGTTGGAGAAGGGCCCGCAAGAGGCAGCTGTCTACACACAACAGATCCATCAGCTTCAGAGCGATCTGAATAACCTACAGCAGCAGCACCAGGTAACGAAGGAGGAAGTAGAGTCTTTAAACTCCCCTGTCATTTATTGTTTTCATTATAGAGACTCTTAAAGTTGGAACGTTAGAAAAAAAAAAACATTATCGTTAACTTTTTTTATACAGTCTATAATCTGTATTTTCTTGCACACCTGGTTCTGATGCATGAACTACGTCTCTACATGTTGGAATTTAATCATAGAAATGAGACGAAGCTGAGACACAATAAATCAGTTTGATATGAGAGGCGGAGCAGCTTTTCCTCCACGTGATCATAGTCAAGGAAACCGAAGTGCACATTGGCCTGATCTAGAAAGAGGTACAGAGGATCAGGACTTGGTACAGAGAGGGGAACAGCAGTAGAGGTTTTATTCATCTGTGGTTCCAGGAATAGAGCGGAGAGACTCAGAAAACACGAGGAGAACAGAAACAAGGCCATGAGAAGATGGCAAGGTGAACAAAAGAGGAGTGGAAAACACAGAAAAATGTCTCCATAAGGCTGTTAACATTGGCCAGCTGCTGTGTCGACCTGCAGAGATGTATTGAATGTCTGTGAAGTCCAGGTGCCCTGCCACACTCTCCAGTTAGCAGCACACTCCCCTATTAACAACATTTTATTCTTTATCACCCTGTTGCCAAGTGCTGCACGCACGCCACGTTATTCCAAGTCCTTTGTAGTTAACCTTCTCCTGGAAATGCCAAACCTCGCCTCCTTTCCTCTCCTCTCAGAATGGCAGACTGTTCTTTTCCATAGCTCATATCACAGGAGGTGTAGGTGTTTGTGCAACATTACAGATCCCGCTATGCTTTCTGTTTGAGTTTAGAAAAGAAAAACGGTTTGCTAAAAGAGCAGCTTAAATATTTCAACATTTTCTAGTTAACCTTTTAAAACTGTCCATTTCAATCCTTTCTCATAACAGCCGACTATTTTAAGATCTTTCAGGAACAAGATTTATTTACTGGCATCTGCTCCGTGGCTATCAATCCTACGTGAGGACAGCTTTCAGCCCTGTTCTCTGCCTAATCTTGTCTTCACGTCCTCTCACAGAGCCTGTCTGAAAAGCTTGCACAGAAGGATAAAGGATATCAGGAACTGGAAGAGCGTCTGGGAGCCGAGAAAGCAGCTAAGAAGGGAGCTCAAGGCAGCTTGAGGGAGAAGGAGCTGGAGGTTCAAGAGCTCCAGGCTCGGGCCTCAGGGGCTGAGGCCTCCTTGCAGAAGGCCCAGGCCGAGCTCGGAGAGAGGGCAGAGGAGGTGGTCAAGCTCAAGAGTGAGATTACAGAGCTGGAGGTGAAGCACGCAGAGCTGAAGGTGGAGAGGAAACAGCTGGAGCACCAAAGAGAGGAAAAGGAGAGCCAAGGTGCTCAGCAGCAGACTGAGATCGGACAGGTGAGTAGAGAGGTCACAAATCACACACAAACAAACACATTCATGAGACAGCAAAGAAAACCACTGATCTTCCCAAGAAAACTTAACTTCACTGGAGGTGAGAGAGAACGAGATCATCAACAGTTGATGCTAAAATGTCAAGCTCAAATCTGTGGATCCTCCACATGTTCCCTGTATTTCTCCCTCTTTGCTTTGTAAACTTTAGCTTTCCGTCTCTTTCTCCTCTCCTCTTTTACTCTTCCTAGCTGCACGCTAAGCTGCTGGAGGCCGAGAGGCAGCTGGGCGAGGTGCAGGGTCGACTTAAAGAACAGAGACAGCTTTCTGGGGAGAAACTAAAAGACCGTGAGCAGCAAGCAGCAGACCTGCAGCTCAAACTCTCCCGAGCAGAGGAACAGGTAGGCATCAGATCAAAGATTGACCACGTAGCACAGACACAGCACCTCTCTGTACATGTGTCTGAGGTTGAAGCCTGCAGGATACCCTGTAGGTGAAAGATCCGTTAGTATTCTCATAGTGAGGATCTATTGGCCTGAAAGAGAAGAAGAGCAAGCTGAGGGCGACAGTTCATTTGTGAACAGGAAGATGTACAGTAAATCATGGGATGAACTGATACACAATAAAGGGAGCGATCTTAAGTCTTTTCTGTGTTTTCTGCTTTTGAAGATGAAGGAGAGTGCCAGTAAGAATACAGACCTACAGCACCAGCTGGAGAAAGCTAAACAGCAGCACCAGGAGCTGCAGGCGCTTCAACAAAACACCAACGGCAAACTCCGAGAGGCACAGGTACTGATGGGATAACAGTTTTTTTTTAAAACAGAAACTCTTAACAATCTAAACTCTGAAGTATACTGTACTCTACAGTAAGTTATAAAATCACAGACACTTGACTGTGACACAATCTGACTTAAATAGGTCATCTAATCGACAAATATGAAGTGATGATACTGAGGGATCATTTAGATTTTCTTAGTTTGGGCTTACCCACTGAAGGGTTATATGATAAAAAATGTTGTGATTCAGGTTATACAAGTTTAAGATCTCCACCGGTGAAACTCTGCATGTCAAGACAGTATGACTAAAAATGTAAATGAAGAGATCCAGGCCCTAAAAGAGAGGATATCTGTAAAGGATAGAAATCCTTGGTGGCCTTATGCTTCATGAAAATTCTTCACCAGAACATTTTATCACTCAAAATCAAAACTCCCACTGCAAAAAAAAAAAGGTGGGGGGGGGGGGGGGGGGTCTAAAAACAAGATAAAAACACTAAATCTGAGAGAAAGGGTACAAAAAAAAGTGAAATAATCTGTCCATGCAGCAAGATAATTTCACTTTACAAGATTTCTATATAGATTTCTAATAAAGATTGTTAAATCTAGAAAAAAGCATGTCTACAAATGTATTTGGAAGGCCAAAAATGCTGGTTTTAAGATCATATTACTTGATATTTAACTTTTACAGCCTCAAAATAAGTGATAAGTAATGTACTAAATATAACGTAAGGAGAAAATGCTGGTTTTAAGATGAGATACCTTAAGAAGTAACTTTTCTACAGCCTCAAAAAAAGTGAAATATACTAAATATAACCAATTACATATTTTGTTTTCTTACTTTTAGCAAATTAAGCTGAAGATTAGAGAGAAAATACCCAGTATTAGTGAAGAGTGAAGAAACAAGTATGTATGGGTGTGTTGTGTATCATGTATTGTGTGACTGAGTTTGCCTGTTTCCTGTTGAGTATTCCCTGTGCTAGTTTTACAAACATTGGTCATCAAATGCTTGAAATCAGAGAAATAAACTCTTTTTCTAGATGCTTTTTGTGTGACTCCTGAATCAAGCAACTTGATTTTGTTACTGAATATTAAAACAAGATTCCTTTTGATGAGACTTTGGGAGAAAGATGGAATATAACTTATTTAAACAGTTATTTTCCCCATTTTAAGATTTCCTGCCTATTTGAGACAACAAAGCTAAGGTTGTGCTTGATATAAGATTATAGTGTAAAGTGAAACACTTAAAATAAGACATTAGCAAACACTTCTAAATCTAAGTAAGAACCAAGTAATTTGCATCACCTGCTTGCATGAATGTAGGTATGTCAAATGAAGCTAAATTAAATACATAGTGACAAATGTGTCTGTCAAAAAACATGGAGTTTAATGTGTTTGTTTTTCTGGCTTTCCCTCATGCTGCAGAACGACCTGGAGCAGGTGCTGCGTCAGATCGGAGACAAAGACCAGAAGATCCAAAATCTAGAGGCTCTGCTGCAGAAGAGTAAGGACATCGTAAGTCAGCTGGAGACCGAGAGAGATGATCTGTGTGCCAAGATCCAAGCCGGGGAGGGAGAGACGGCCCTGCTCAACCAGCTGAAAGAGAAGAACCATGCGCTACAAGAGCAGGTCAGTGCACACAAACAGAAACACAAACACACAGACTCACAATCTGTTCATAACATCTACAGCCAGTAGAGTGTATATAGAGGTATACTCAAAAATACTTTCTTGTATAAACATGGAACTTGGATTATATACTGAAAATGTGCCAATCTTAAAGGTCACACAGTTGACGGACAAGCTGAAGAACCAATCAGAGAGCAACAAGCAGGCCCAGGATAACCTACATGAGCAGGTCCAGGAGCAGAAGACTCTGGTGCGTTCTGCCCAGGACCGAGCTACCACGCTTGAGACATCAGTTGGTGAACTCACCACCCAGCTGGCGGACAGCAAGGAGAAAGTAGCCCAGCTGGACGCTCAGGTAAGAGTCGACATAAGGACACCAGCGAGTATGAGAGCAGATCATTTTCTGTCGCAGTGACTCTAACCGGTGCTGTTTCTGTGCAGCTGAAGGCAAAGACAGAGATGCTGCTGTCTGCAGAGGCAGCCAAGACAGCTCTGAAGGCTAACCTGGAAAACAACCTGGAAACGGCTCAGCATGCACTGCAGGACAAGCAGCAGGTTAGTCCCTTCTTGGGGCCAGTGGTTCATATTTTGGCTTAAATTCAGAGCAGAAATCCTCATGATGCTCTGTATGTCAAATGTACGTGTGTCGTTTTCTTTCTTACCCGCAGGAGCTGAATAAAACTCAAAAGAAGGTAGAGGAGCAGGCCCAAAGGCTGAAGGAGAGGCAGGAGGTGTGCACGCAGCTGGAGAGCAGTCTGAAGGAGTGCAAAGACAAACTAATGGCTTCAGAGCAGCGTGTAGAGCAGCTGGAGGGGCTCAATAAGGTTTGTGTGGACTCTTCATTCTGGCATTCGACAGATACAGGGTTCAGCAACACACTCTTAAGTGAATTTTGTTTTTGAACAGAAACTGGAGACACAGGTTGTGGAGTTGCAGGCGACTCGTGACCAGGTGCAGCAGGAAGTGCAGAAGCTGCAGAAAGAGGGGTCAGAGGTGAAACGGAAAGCCAAGGAGCTGCAGCGTTCCCTGGAATCAGAGAAAGCAGGGTGAGATGAAGTAAACCAACACATTTTTATTGATGCAGCAGCATTGTGTGAGTTTTCACATTGGTTCGCTCCTCCATATTTAAACTCGGTACCAATGGCTTTCTGTCTGTTAAGGGCTACAACGCTGCAGGAGGAGTTAAAGGCAAAGTCAGCCACTCTTGGTAACATTCAGCAGCAGCTGGAGTCAAGTGAGAAGGACAAAGCTGCTCTGAAGGTAAATCTGGATAAGGTGACTCAGGAAGGAAAGACCAAGCACGCAGAGCTGGAGAAGAAAGCTCAGAGCCTGGGGGCGGAGTTACAAAAGGCACAGCAGGAGAAGGAGGCTCGGAAGAAGGAGCTCGCCTCGGTGCAGGAGAACCTCTCGAAGGCGAACAAGGCACTGAAAGAGAGTCAGATTCAACTGGAGACAGAGAAGAAGAACCATAAGTCAGCCACAGAGGAAAAGGTAGGAGTAAGGAGATACAATCAGAAAACAAAACATAGAGGATTCTGTGAAGGAGTGACAGGATTCCACCAGGACACGTCTGACATGAACCTGTTTCAATCGTTAGGAAAAGTCCAACGAGAAGGCCCGGCAGGAGCTCCTGAAGAGCAATGAGGTCATCACGAAGGCAATGAAGGAATCTAAGGAGCAGCTGGAGAAGATGAAAGAGGTAAAATTCAGGCCACCAGAGACAAAACAACAAGATTAAAGGATGAAAGTATTGTTTGAACATGTCATCAAATTGGCCCGTTTTATGTCCCCAAATATCAGGCAGAGAAAAAGTTAAAAGTGCAGCTGACCACAGTGGAGCAGCAGCACTCAAAGACTCAGGAGGTGCTGAAAGAGAAGGAGGCTGAAGCGGAGAAGCTCCGGACGCAACTTAAGACTGCCCAGGCGTCCTTTGAGGAGGAGGCGAAGAAACTGAAGAGCAAAGTGGGAGAGTTACAGCAAGTCAATGTCAAGAAGGCAAGTAGCATTTACAGACACTGAACTTAAACACACAATAACATCTATGAATTAGCGAGTTAATCAAATGTTTTATAATTGACTGACACCTCCAGGCAGAAGAGGAAAGTAAGCTGAGGGAGCAGGTGTCACAGAGCCAGGAAAGCCTCACCAAGCTCCAGTCTGACTTTTACGGCAAAGAGTCTGAAGTCTCAGCCCTGCGTCAGGACTTAAAGGTAATCTTATGCGGGACCGTGTGATCGCTTAACTCAGGAAGATGGTGTCCTCAGTGACTGAGCTGTGATTTTTGTCCGTCTGCAGACATCAGAGGAGAAACTGAAGTTGTCACAGGAGGAACTTGCAGCAAACCGGACCCATCAGACCGGTTTGGAGGCTCAGATTCAAGAGCTGCAGACGGGCCGGGGATCGTTGGAGCAAGAGCTGACCAAGCGGGACCAGAAGCTTCAGCAGCAGGAGCAAACGCTAAAGGAAGTGCAGAAGCAACAGGTCAGACAGTTTATCACACATAGACAAAAACACCGGCGTCCTGATGTGACCGAGTCCATTTTTAAAATTGTACTTTCTTCATCAGGGTCAATCAAAGGAGGCTTTGGAGAAGGAGAGAAGTAAAGTGGAGGAGCTAAACAAAGCCAAGAGTGACCTGGAAAAGAGTACCATCAAACTGACTTCAGACTTAAAAGCACTGACAGAGAAGAGTGAGAAGGTCAGTCACATTGAAGAGGGACCTAAAGCTAACAATGTATTTAAGTTGATTTAAAGGGGATCAGACAGGCTGGATTAGACCTGAGGAGTGTTAGAGCTCCAGCTAATGGCCCCCATTTTCATGTCCTTTACTGGCTTAAATGACCCGCTTCCCATGCTTGTGTCTTATGTAAACAGCTTAAGTCAGAGAATGTGTAGGTCACATTCCTCAGTTATGGATGGACATTTGATGTAAGCCTGCTTTACCAAACCTTTTAAAGCATCTTAAAATGGATTTGCAGCTGTGCTCTAAGCAGGAACAACAAGCTCAGACTTGCTGAACTCCTCACCTGATTCTGTGTGATCCTGTATCGATTGCTATTTTAGGAGCTGGGTGAGCTGCAAGAAGCCAAACAGCTGTTGATCCAGCAGAAGCTGGAGCTGCAGGGTCAAGTGGAGGCAGCACAGAAGAGCATCGAACAGGAAAAGAAGGAGCATCAGGCCACCAGGGACAGCATCAGCCAGAGAGAGGAGCAGCTCGTCGCCAAAACAAAGCATGTAGAAGATCAGTTGGTAAGCCCACATGCAACTTCCAGCTGTGTTACCCCTGTAAACTGCACCCCCTCCCCTTTTCAGAGTCTCTTCTGACGTAACGAATGCTTCCTTCCAAAGTTGGCAGAGAAGCGAGCCAAAGAGGAGCAGGTGAGGCGCGGGGAGGAGGTGGAGGCGAAGCTGGGTGTGCAGGTGACAGCTCTAAATGAGAACGTGGCCACGCTGAAGAGAGAGTGGCAGGGCAGCCAGCGGAGAGTGGGCGAGCTGGAGAAACAGACGGACGAGCTGAGAGGAGAGATCGCTGTGCTGGAGGCCACGGTGCAGAACAACCAGGACGAGAGGCGGGCTCTTCTGGAAAGGTGGGATGAGACTACTTCCTGAAATGAATGTTATTTTGTACAAACATCATCATACATCCATCTAGGGCTGGGCGATGTGGCCTCAAATCAATATCACGATATATTGAGCAGTTCACTTCAATAACGATAAATGGACGATAACTACACCACAAGCTGCTCACCCCCTCCCACATTAACTTTGTCTACTTCAGCTGCTACAACTTTTAAACCATCCTCCATATCCTCATCTGTCTTTCCCTCTTTGTTATGGACTGGATGGGGTGGAGTCACATCTCTGACGTAGAACAGCGTCTTAAAGGGACATGAGATCATAGCCTACCTACACACATCCAAAACTAACTTTTATTCATTTATTTTTTGTGACACCAAATATATTGACATGGGCAAAATTATGTTGGTTATTGCCGTAAATTTTGGTATTGGTAAATTTTCGGTTTATCGCCCAGCCCTACATCCATCTAACCAAAATTCATCCATATCTTTCCTATAACTTTAAATTCACTCATTTGCTGTGTAAATTTTTTAAAGAGCCTAATCTCCTTCAGCATCATTCTAATTTAACTATCATGCTGATTAATTACAAATTAGACTTTTATGATGGCTCCTGCGTGAGTCAGTGCAGCTCTCACAAAAAGGAGAGAGGAGATTTCAGAATCACTAAACAAGAACAAATCCATCCGAAGAAGCAGAGAAGTTTAATTTCACCAAGCAAATCCATATCCTCCTCAGTACTATTTCTGGGCTTTTTTGCCTTTTATTAGATCAAACTGCTGCAGAGAGAGAGAGAATTGAGTGTGATGACTGCAGCGTGAACTAAAGCCTCTACACCTTAGACTAGTCAGTTCCCAGTCTTTGAAAACCACCAAACTCTGATTTCAGCAACATTTTAGGGTCCTGATCTTTATGGAGTCTTGGCTGTACGACCATTAGCTGATTGCAGACGTGTTCATGTTTGTGATTTATGAAAAACTTAAGATATTATTAATGTTATTTACAGAGATTCCAACCGGCAGAAACTTTAAACAAAACCAGACATGTTTGTCAGCTATGTGCATCAATGCATTACTTCAAAAATTCAATGCTTTTCATGTATTTTAGCCGCATCTGAGGCTGTTTGCATGTCAAACTGAAACGAAAGGTTATTTGAAAGGCTTGAAAGTGTCCGAGTGCTCCCTCAGTGCTCTTGTGAATGGGTTCAGCATAATCAAATTAACTTTGAATTAGGTAAACACTTGAGTTAATAACAGAGCCCTGTGCTCAGTAAGAGTACCCCAGAAGATCTCATTATACTGCCCCCGATCAGTGTGTATTAAAAGTATTAATTAACAGATGTATTACACAGCCAGCCGAGTGGCTTAAAGGGTTAGAGAGGTTTCCCAAGCTGCGAACAAACGTGCACAAAAGTCACGATCTGTGCTCTGTGGGTGTGTTTCAGGTGTGTGAAGGGTGAAGGTGAGATCGAAAAACTGCAGGCGAAGGTGGTGGAGCTGAGGAGGAAACTGGACGACACCACAGCAGCCATGCAGGAGCTGGGCCGAGAGAACCAGTCGCTCCAGGTCAGTAGAGAGTTAGAGAGTGGACGAGTTTGAACAGTTGAAGCTTTGATTTTAACTCCTACTGTTTGGTGCTTTTAGATCAAACAGTCCCAGTCCCTGACCAGGAAGTGGGCCGAGGATCATGAAGTGCAGAACTGCATGGCCTGTGGGAAAGGCTTTTCTGTCACAGTCAGGAAGGTATGTTGTCTGAAGACTGATTCTGACAGGCAGAGAACTCGGGATTCCCTGTCTAACGCTGCATCCTCTCTCTCCTCTTCTCTCTCCAGCACCACTGCAGACATTGTGGAAACATTTTCTGTGCCGAGTGTTCGGCCAAAAATGCCCTCACACCGTCCTCTAAAAAGCCGGTCCGTGTCTGTGAGACATGCTTCGAGGAGCTCCAAGGCTGATCTCACATCTGTCATCCCTTAATCTCCCTCCAAACACCCCCTTTTCTCCTCTTCCTCTTCCTCCTCCAGCGGGCAGAAGGTGACATCTTCGTCTTATTAAATGTGCACTATAAAGGACAGAACCCGAGGAAAGGCTCCCACCTGCATCATGTGACGTCTGGTTCACGTTCGGAGAGGTATAACTGCGTCATGGGAATATGGTGGGATTAACCGGGATTTGTCTGTATCTGTTTTTGTGCCTTTGCTACTCCTGTGGACTGCCAGAGAGCGGAGATAGCGAGAACTCAAACACCACCCATCGCTTTTTAAGTTCACATTTACAACTCCATCGTTGTTTTGGCAAGGTTTCTGCGTTGTAAATACTCAGCATCGTTGAGAGGAGATAAAGGTTCAGTGTGTGTCTAGGAGAGAAATTATTGTAATAGTCATGTGTAAAATCACTGTCCCCCAACAAAGGTACATTAACTATTTTGTCAAAAAAAAACCTTCAGTCAGATCGAACCAGATCATTAAAATGTACATTTTTGAAGCAACAGAGTTTGATTCAGTCAAAAACTAAATCTTTTTGTTTAGTGTATCTACAGACTGTATTTTAGTCCGTGTAAAGCAGAGGTGTTAGAAAACAGCCGCTGACCATCTCTTAGCTGTATTTATGTATCTGGTCAGGATTTCATGGGAAAATGAAGATTCGAAATTTTAGATTATCCTTCAAGAAGGAGCACTAATTTCTTTTTTTTTTTTTTTAGCATCATGTTTCGCTTACTGTAATTCAGCAAAAGATAACAAGGATCAACAGCTGGAGGCTAATTAACATTTTTTTGTATTAAAAATCTCAAACTTTGTGAGAAAAGAAAGCGCTCTAACCAAGTACAAACCAGCAGGTTCATGCACAGAAACCTGACATCGTGAGTTTCTACGTGTTTTCTTTGTGCGGCAGCGTGTTCGTCAAAATGACTGTTTTCATCCTATTTCATGACCAAAGAATGTCTGCTGCAGGAGTCCAGTCCCGAGGAAACCCTGAGTTTGATTCATATTTCAGTATTTTTCTTGAAGCCTCTCTGTGAAACAGTAGATGTTTGATCTTGAGCGCAGCATGTGTGATGATCCGAGGCTTCAGTGTACAGTTGTTTGTTTTGTTTTTGTTGCTGATTTTTTCATTTTTTTCATTTTTTGCTGTGCCATGTCTCTATTTTTGTGTTACTGTTTTTATAATAACTTGTGGTGCTTTCAGAACAGTCGTGCAGTCATTTAAGGTGCCTGCATGTGAATTTAAATTTTTTTTTTCCTGCTGCTTTTTTTCCCGATCAACCGCACTGAATATGGCTGGATCTCTGTGTTTGTGTGTGTGTGAGAGAGAGAGAGAAAGAGAGAGAGAGAGAGTGCAGAGCTTAAAGCAATAACTGTGGCTGTGTGTGTGTGTGTAATGGTGCAGTAACAGATTGTGTGTCTTAGTGTTAAAGCCTGCTGTGTTTGGCTGCTGTGTGAATGGCAGCTGCTCCGATCCCTCAGCGTCTCTGCATGTCGATTTGTGCAGAACTCAGCTCTGTCTGCAGAGGGCGCTGTGAGAGTAAACTCTGTCTTTGTATAATTTATAAATGATGTCAGATATTGGTCAGATCTTTTTGTGCAGATGAAGACTGAAGGAGCAGGCAGAAAAAAAACAAAAAAAACACTGTTGGCCAGATGACAGCGCTGGCTTTTTGCAACACTCAGCCAAATCAGCTCTTTCTGCTCATTTACGGCCCATCTCAAGAACACCTGTCTCTCCTTTTTTATGTTGCAATGCTTTTGTTACGTCTACCTCAGATTGGCACAGGAAAAGCACTATTTCTAAATCTTCAATCACAGATCTTGTCATTGCCTGCATTTACCTGAGGGGGGTTGTAAAATGAATCTTTCAAACTGTACAGTCCCTTTTGATCTAGAGGGAGATGATCTGCACTTTATTGTATTCTGGTCTCATCCCAGCCACTAAAATAGGACCACCAACTTTATACAGGCTTTAGCATTTCTCGCTCTGATGTACGTACATGCTCATTAATACTAAGGCACCACAATTATCTTTGTAAATGTCTGTAATTTAAAAAGGAAAAGGAATTATCTAACACTCGTGGATGTAAAAACTCATCAGTGTCTTATTTTTTTAACAAATCGGCGGCACAGACGTGTACACACACTGAATCGTGGCTTGCTTTGTGTTGCTGTCAGTTATCATGCATGATGACTTAACTGGCATGTGGCTCATACACGCGTTTTCTTCATGTTTAGAGTCGTTGTACGTGATGGTGGTGAAGGCGTGCCTTAGGCAAACGTCTTGTGTTATCAGTCAGGGTGACCTGAGAGAGACATGATGTATTTTACGTTCACATGCACCTGTTGATTTTTTTTAATTCATCATCAGGACAAACCTGAATAAAATCTATTCTCTTGTGTGTGTTTGTTTTTGGTCCGTAAGAAGAAACTACTGAATGTTTCATTAAAAAATCCTTTAAAAATGAATAAATTGACTTTTATATTTGAATATATTTGACAAACTGGTTTATGTCAGACTTATCTGGAGTTCAAAAATGGCATCAGACCTTTCAAGTCAAGATTCAAGGTAAATCTCTGGTTAATTACCAAAATTTTTTTGGGCATACTGAGGAATTTTTAATCAAACCTATATATCTCATCCCACAGTTTATATTGCTCTTTAAAATAGTGACTTCTGGTAAATTCCAGCTGCTCAAAAGGATATTCTGGTGTAAGATTAAGGTCAAACATACCATAACACTTAGACAAGTTAGACAGCCCCTTGAGAGATGAATGTTTCCGACCACTTGCTTCTCTAGTTATACCAACTTTAGTAAAGACTGCATGATAGCAATACACAGCAGTCAAACCTCAACCAAAAAGCCACTCTATAGCCACAAATAATCTCAGAACAGCACCTAACTTCATCAACAGTACATATAGGGTCCTAGCCACCAAACATCTTTTTAGCTTTGCCTGATTTCTTTAGCAAAGAGACTAAACACAACTCACCTACTCTCTTCCAGCAGCTGCTTGTTTGTAGCGAGACCTCAGGCTAGTCCATTAGGGACTGCTGCGGGGTGACGCAGCTCAAGAAAGAACATTTGTGATAATTTCTTCATGGAAATGCAATCAGACCAAGACGCTAAGGCAGAAGAACTACTGCGTCTCTGCAGTGGAAAATTATTAATATGATGATTATTACCTCAAGGAAATGATAAAGAAATAATAAACATTTTTCTTTGAGCTGCGTCACTCCGCTGCAGTTGGTGATGGACTCATCCGGGGTCTGCCTACAAACAAACAGCTGCTGAAAGAGAGTAGGTGAGTTGTGTTTAATCTCTTTACCAATTAGGCAAAGTTAAAAAGATGTTTGGTGGCTAGTGCGACCGCTGTGTATTGCTATCGTGTGGCCGTTACTAAAGTTGGTATAACTAGAGAAGCAAGCGGTCGGCAACATTCATCTATCGAGGGAATGTCTAACTTAGTGTTACGGTGTGTTTGACCCCAAATTAATTTTACGCCGGAAGATCCCTTTAAGAAGAGCATGTGATCTGAGAAGCTGATGAACTACCTGTTACAGGGAAGGCTGATTTTTCTTAGTTGTCTTTGACTCTAAATAATCTGAATGTGATGACTGACCGCACAGAGAAAGCAAGGTTAGAGCCTCAGTAAGAAAAGAGGAAAACTTCTTTATATATATATAATGACACATTTATTTTACACTACTGCAGCAGTTGCCTTTAAAAGGCAAATATCAAGTTTACAAAAGAGATCTAGTGCTAGTACTTTAATTTACAGGACGTAAGGAGACAGTGAAGTGCACATCCCCAGCAGAGAGGTTTCAAATGGCTTCTGGTGCTCCGGTTGATTATGGCTCTCAGATCTGAGAAGACTCCAGCCACAGGGAGGAGCTCTTGACTCGCGGCTGCTCAGAGTCCAGCTTCAGCAGTGCCGTCACAGCGCCCTCTATCTTTGACATCCACGCTCTCTGGAAAAAGGGAACAGGAAGAAGTTAGTGGGAGGGAGATGGTCGACTCAGATGATGGGTTGGTGCAGGTTATCAAACTGTGAAAAACTTGGAATATCATTACTGAAATATGATTAATAAAGTGTGCCCCTTTAAAAGTAAACTCTGCCTAATCCTGAAAACTAATTCGACCTTAAACTTGTCAGGTTAAGTCTTTACACATTTTAAAACTTTGTAGGAATCAGTGGTCAAGGAGAAGTACCTTTGCTGCCTCTGAAGCAGCTTGCAGTATAAAAGCTCCTATACACTGCTGGTAGCGGTTCTGGTGCATAATGATGAACGAATGAGGAAGCCCTGAAGCTGAAAACAAAGCATAACATTAAAACTCTGCTGTAAACATCAAGAAAAGAGAGAAACGGACTGAAGGATTTTGCTTTTTTAACCCAATAAACTCCAAAAATGAAAGTCTTAAATGCTGTTTTTACTTGATGCATTTAGCTGGTCGATGTTCTTGAGCTGAAGTCGGTCCAGAGACACAGGCTGGTCCAGGACTGTGAAGGTGGAGCCCTCCTTGAGCAGCTGGTCCAGCTCCAGGTTCTGTGGAGGCCTGAGTGGACTCTGCTCTGGACCGATAGAGCGCTACAGAGGGAGACATGAAACAGAGTGAAGTATCTGTGGCGTACAGAGCCAGATTGCACATGTCCAGGGGCTGCAGCAAGTACCTTCTTGTTCCTCTTTATCTTGGTGATCAGCAGGAATTCGTCAAACAGGAACATGTAAACGTCGACCAGCTTTGTGTTTTCTACCAGCACCAGCTTCCCTTCATGCAGCAGGCTTCGGTGCGAGATGAGATTCTCCAGAGTGACTGCTTTTAACAGATGTTTCAGATTCTGCAAGAGGACCAGACCAGTCAATCACATCAGCGTGTTTTAACTCTTGACTTGTAAACTGAAACGTAAAAATTCCAGCTTCCGATACCCAAGTAGCAGCTAAAGATATGCTGCACTGAAAATATGCGAACACTCGTCATTTGCTTTGCCTTTCAGGAGATCTGATTTCACGTCCAGATAAACGATTGCATCTTCTTATCTGCACGCTGAAGGTACCAGAGGGTGACGGTTTTTCAGAGACACATAAACACACACTAAGATTATTTGAACACAGGGACAAAGAAGCGGACTGACCTCAGGTACGAAAGCACGCTTGTCTCTCTCCCACACAGGCAGCCACACCAGGGCGTCCCTCAGCTGTTTCACCTTCTGGTAGTTGTCGAGCCACTTTACCTTTCCTTCCAAATCACCTGAAAACAGAGAGTCATCAAGCTAACATAAAACTGCCTGTAATGGCCGACTAAAAATACATCAAACTAACTCTATGAATCATATATTTAAGCCCTGTTAAAAACACCTTTTATACTTAATGACAGGGCTGCAACTCTTCTTTATTATCTGCTTGTGTTTTGTTGTTCAGTGATGGTTGCTGCCAAACGTGGGTGTGACCGTATCGTGACAGATTGCAGCACACTAAATTTCCCCCACACCCAGAGGACATTAGCCTCTACATCTCAGACGTGTTACAGTCACCTGTGCAGCTCTGCCACACCTTTTTAATGGTTATGGGAAAGTGTGTGGTTAAAGATTTGTGAGCCTACGTTCTTTGGATTTGTGTGTTCAGTACAACAGAGTGACATTGAAGCGCAATGCTGCGGCACAATTCCCACAGCCTTTTCCTCTGGTTACAGAGTAAACCCACACAACAGGTCTGCAGGCAGAGGCATGCGGTGCAGAATAAACTGTCACCGCTGCTGGCGGCCGTCCAAGACGAGCAGCATGTTTGCGCATAAGGACACATACTGGCCTGTTAATGTTGACAGATATCACATTACTTACACCTGCTTACCATGCTTTTTGTGTTTTAGTAGGTTTGTAAAACACCTGCTAATAAACACCTGAAGCTATGCCCCAGTAACGGTCTGCAGAATGAGCCGAAAATATCGTCCGCAAGAGTTCAAAGTCAATGATGGTATTTTCATACATACTGTGAACATTTTTTAGTAACAGTCACTCACATATCGAGGTGTCCACCTGCTCGGCTATAACCTGCAGGCCTCTGGTTTCATCCTCCGCCTGGCATCTCTTTGCAATGTTCCTCAACAACAGCGGGTAACGAGTCAACCTCTGAAGCGGCGCCACCAACAGGTCACGCAGTTGCAGCCTCTTGCACTGTTCGTTCCTCTCGCACCACTGGGAAGAGAAAAGGGGGGGGGAGAAAAAGAGGGGACAGGGTGTGAGAAGAAAAAAGAAAGAGGTCAAAGGGGTGAAAATGCTTGTCATGGGGATTGTTAAGAGCAAAGGGGGGATGGGCGGTGAGGAGCGAGCGCAGAGAAATGAAAACACAGTAAAAGTTCAGCATGTACATGACAGGGAAGGTTACACTACAGACACACAACCCACTTCCTCTATATGTGACATTAAAGTGTGAAATTAAGGATAAATATATGAACTTGGCTCTCTCTGTCTACTGCATGGTAAAGGTACACAGCGTTCCTGCCACCACTCTGATTTCCCTTAGTGAGCTCCCCCCTGTACCTTCACGTAGGATCCAAAGTCCTCTCGTGGTTTCAGGCTGTCCAGATAAAGCAGAGCCGCCGAGTAGTTGAGGCAGTACTTCTGCAGGCAGTGGCATACGCTCTCCTGAAAAGCCTGCCAACAGTCAGTGTTACATCAGTGTTAAACAAACACAGGGCAGTAGACTGACAGGTCACAGCTGCAGATTAATCACTCATAAACAAAGACGAGAGGATGATGCAAATTTTGATTTAAGCACAAGACACTGAAAAAAGTCTGTCATGTAAGTCGGCGTATATTGTTCCCTCTTTACTGCTTCTTTTAAAGCACAATTTGATATCAAAAAAGTAAAACGGAGCAATGTGGTATGGTGATTTTGTTACTGGAAACGATGAGAAACTCAAAAGATTTATCCTGAATTGCTCTGTAGAAGATGACGTGCAAAATTCAGACACACACGTTCCTTTTAGTAATCCTCAGATATCTTTGTCTTAGCTGACTTATTTTCCTCCTTTCCTCTTGTGCTCATACATCTAACTCCTGGAGATTTCATTTTGCACTCGCAGTCTCTGTCAAAAACTCTAATTTAAATACCACCATCAGAGTCTGTTTACCTGATGTAATTTACTCAGTTCTCTTTACCCACAAAACACCAACTGAATGTGTAATTTGTTGGCGTGTGTTAACTAAACTCTAATGTCTAACCTACAAATAGGTATCTGTTTGTGAAATAAATACATTATAGTGTGAATAGATCCAGTTAAGAGCTCTAATACTGTGCACTCACAGATTGCCTTTAAGTGTGGTATTTGTCTTATCTGCCAAGTTTTACAACAAGCTAATAACTGAGCAGAGGCTCTGTGTGTGTGTGTGTTGGTGTGTGTCCACGTGTGTGTCCCTTGCTTGCCTTGCTCAGCAGCTCCAGCAGGGTGGGCCCGCCACCCTCACTTATCTCCAACATGTCCTTGATGACACGCAGGAGGTTGGTCAGGAAACCAAAGCTCACCTGTGGCAGAAAAAAAAAAAGTAGTGTCAAGTGACCAAGCGACACTCGCTTCATTCAGCCTCAGTGAACAAAAGAAGACATGATGTAAGGTGAACAATGAGGCGTTCACTTAATACCTAGAGCTGCATTAGGAAACATCAACACTTTTTTTTTCTTGAATTCATTTCCTGTTCTTTTGAATTACTTTGTGTCCTGGACATTCAAGTTAGAACATAAACTAAGAGAAATATCACCAATTATTTCCTCATTTAAGATGTGGTCCCTCACTGTAATAAGCCCTTAAATATCCACTAGTGTAATAGTAGAATAGACAGCTCACACATGTTGAGGTTTGGCCGAAAAAAAAAGTAAGAAAAGTGACATTAATGAGCTCATCATGACCCCTGCATGGGGTGTCCTTTAAAACACGATAAGTGATAGAGTGATTCATGAATGAATAGATAAGACACTGAGCCACACCCTGTACTCTGAATTCATATAAGTTTTATTTTGGCAGTTTCAAACAGCCTTCAGGTTTTTATTTTTCTACATTTCTACATTTTTTACTTTTAATTGTGTGTAATTCTGATCATGTGACCCTCTATAGCATTTTTAATTGAACCTGTTCGTCTTCGCTTATTGCTGATCTTTTACTGCTGCATCTTAAAGCTCCTGTGAGGAGTTTCTGATGGGTTGTGATATGGGCTGGCATGAACAGTGATGAATCTCTATGATATACAGACACAGACCTTTGTGTGTAAAGCACTTTGTGTTGTATGTCCATGCAGGAAAAGTACTCTATAAATAAAGTTTTGATTGATTGATTGATTGATTGATTGAGGGTAAGGTTAATATTTTATACAGTGTGATTGAATTTGCCTTCGGGGATCAAGAAAGTTCTTATCTCATTTTGAATGCCTGTAACTGCTGAGAGGGGGTAGGTATACTGGAGAAACAGCTTTAGTTACTCATCCTGGGGCAAATACTCTTGGTGAGTGATAGATTTCACCTCAAAAAGACAAACACCACTTTCAAAAATGACATGAAATCAGTCAAGGGGGACACCAAGGTCAACACAGATCCTCACAGCAGCTTCAACAGTGTAATGAAACACCACTGTGTGCGGTCTGTGATTATTTACATAAACATCTCAAAATAGTGGACCTCAGGCGACAAATTTACATTGACGCTTACCAAGCAAAGCTCATTGAGGTTTGCAAACAGCCTCCATGAGTCGATGTCTGTCAGGCAGTTCCTCACCTGCAGGTTCGTGAGCGTAGCCAGAAACACCTGAAATTCACCAGAAAGAAGAAGAGGAAGAAGAAGTGAGAAAGAGAATGAGCTCAGCCTTCTGCTATTGTCGCATTGAATTTCTAATTCCTGCCTGTAAACAATGGAAAACCCAAAGAGACTCTTATACAGAGATTCAGGGACAGGACTGAAAAGGAAAAACACAATGCTGCAGGTGTGGAGTTTCATTAGGGTTTGGTCTGTTTATTTGCGGTCCTGTGTGTGTTTGTGTATACCTGATCATTATGAGGCTTTGGACACTCACCTCTTTGAGCACCATGAGCTGATCCAGGAAGTAGACACACTCGCTAGTGAAAAGCTCCCAGATGGCTCCCTGTCTCTTGAAGCCCTGAGGGTCAGAGCTAGCGCTCACCTGGGAGGACTGGTCCCGCAGGAACTCCGACAGAGAGAAGTCCTGAACATAGACGTGGACAAAGGTGATCAGATAAAGAGGAAAATCTTTCAAATTAGAGATATTATATTTCATTTATGGCTGAGAATGTGTGTTTCACATGCAGACTGTTTGCTGCTGCACAATTCCTACCACTATCCTGACACACTCTGAACACATCAGTGTTTGTTTATATGTCTGTGGTTTGACCTGACTGGTTTCTGCCTCGAATTTCTGGTTGTTTCATAACAGTGTCATAGAAGCTTCCCTCTGACTGCCATCCTGTTATTCCTGAGCCACTTGTTAAACACTGATCTATTTGGTTAGGAAATCTGGATCTCTTGGTTATTTGAACTCTGACTTTGCGAGGATCAGAAGCCGCTGCTGAACCAACAAAGCGATTTACAAAACAAACAGCGGGGTTTGCTGCTGACCACGTTCGTCACTCACCTTATACCTCTGAAGGTCTGGGTTTCTCCAGTCTTGAATCTGAGACGTTGAGAGGTATTTTTCAACATCTGACGCTGTGCACATCTGCACCTTCCCTTTAGTCTGTCAGAAAGAGAGGCACACGCTTTCTTCATGCAAATCGTGAAAAAAGACTCAGTGATGGATGACTCTTGAGTACGGATGAGGAGGAATTCAACTCCTGACATAAGATATAACCAACCCAACGAGTTTAGCTCAGGCTCTCAGTGTTGACAAGTTAGAAAAAATGTGGACCAAGAGGCAAAAGAGGGACCACTTTCAGGTGCTTTAGGGGTCAGAGAACAATGTCTAAACTAATGCCCATCACTTAAGAAAAGGACATCAAAGCAGAAGACAAGCAGACTGTCAGCACCAACAACAGACACTGACACAGACACAGACAAACACACCTACCGTGCCTCGCCTTGAAAAGGGCCACTTTGACTTCTTTGTATCTATAAAAGTCACAGGGAAGAATGTTAAATCCTGAACTGCAAGATTTAGAAAAAATCCTGTTACAAAAACAAAAGAATCTCTTCTGTCCACAGAGGCGCACAAACGGTGAGTTTAGTCTTTTATCTTTTGTGCATTATTTGTGCTTTTGTGCCTCAAGCAAACACACATGAGATGTGTGTCCTTTAAAGAAGAAAGACACAACGGATAACTGGATACTGGGAAACTTTTCCAACCTGAGGCCAAAACTGTGTTACAGTGCTGCCTCCTTTAATCTGCGTCCCAGAGCCTGCAATTAACTTCAAAAAGGCTGTGGAGCACATAGTGTCTTTTCAGAATGACCAGGACTGTTAGGTCAAGAAAACGTCTGCTGTAAATAAACACAACTGGACCTAAAGGGGAGTTTAAGTGAAAATGATGTTTACAGATTTTGTTCATTTTTTTAAAAACTGTTTTTCACAACCAATAAATCTACAACCCACATATCCTTTTGACGTCAAAGGGGACAAAGGTATCTGAACCAGTCTAACATCATCCTATATAGCTTCAGTATTAGGAGGACCACTGTATTAGGGGGTCAATTTAGCAAGAAGTGATGGTTATGAAAAATTTTACCAGAGAAGTTCGATCCATTTAAAATGTCAGCTACTCCGTTGGATACGAAAAGGTCTCCTGGTGAAACGTCCAACCCCGGCAGGCTGACCACCACTGAGCTCCGCCTCCTCTCCTGGAGTCTGTGGGGGACAGTAAACACGTGAACGTCTGCAGATGGTGTCACACCTTTTGTGACATTTTAATTAAAAAAAAGTCTCACTAGACATCTGAAACTCTCTGCCATGACTGTTGGGGATCAACTCCAGCACAAAGAGAATAGACTTACAGGAAATAAGTGAATTCCTTTTGTCATTTACGTGTTTGAGATGCCACTGAAATACCATCTGCATTGTGCAGCAGATTGAGATTAACATGAGCATCAGAAATTAAAAGGGCTAAATCTTCTGTGCCTGGATTATGCAAGAATAGATGCTTATTAATGGATCACCCGATGAGTGTGTGAGCAGGGGACTTTGTGTGTGTGTCAGTCATAATCCTCTTGGTCTCCTTTGCACAGTTACTAACTGAGGCTTTGCAGCGGCTGGAAAAACACAGGCCTGCCTTTTAGCCTCGAGGGAAGCTCAAACAGCCACTGTGCTCAAGTGTTTTGACTTATCTTTTGCTGGCGTACTCAGGGATTACTGCTGGGACTACAAATTCACATTTATGAGTTCATGTTAAAGCTAAAAGTCCCAATGAGTACCATTCCCACTGAACCTCCTGAGGAGCGCGGTCTCTTTAATGTTTCCTTTGTCATTAAAAGAATAAAAAGACTCTAAACATTGCAAAACTTGATTGGTGACTTTCTGACTCAAACAGTCGCAATCCAACAATAACATGCGGCTCCTAGTCATTTGAAACAACTGCAAAAGTCAGCAGAAAAAAGCGGCACGGCAACCAGACAGGCCGGTTTTGCTGAAGGTTTACTTTTGGCTGGCTGACATTGATGGACAGCAGGTCATTGACCAGCTTTGATGTGTTATGGTATTATTCACTCAATATTTCATAATCTAGTTAAAGAGAAAACAATCAGGACTGCGGTTTGTAGAAAAGAAAAATATCAGACCTGGATTTAGGATCAGTTCACAACATCTGATCAGGAAAGCTCAAACACTGTCTGCTTTATAAAGGTCATTAGATATGATCAAAATACAAGGAAGCCAGCTTAGTTAGATCAGCCCGTTTATGATGATCAAACATTTCAAGTGGGACAAAGTACAATCAAGAGGAACAATGCTACTCTGTCCTCTACTAAACATATATTCTAATGTGTTCGAATTAACTTTCCTCCTCTTACAGCTTGTGATTTTCCCCCCTAAGAATAGCTGCATTGCTGCCGCTGAGATTTGCACCGTTGCACAAGCGAACAAGACTAACTCGAATGCACATGTAGGCCACATGGCTCCAGGAACAACCTGTACAGTATAAGTTGGCCTACAATGCTTTGGTCTCTGCTTTTGTTTCCTACGGGGGACTTTCGTGAGACTGTGAAAGCACTAACTGTTCATCCCTCTCTCTCTAGCTGGGGCTGTTTCTCCCGGTAAACCTGATACAGCCCCCCTTCAATTTCCCCGATCAATGTATAGCCAGTCAGTGCTGAATCGACAGTAAAACAGATAATGGTCAGCTGCAGCACCTGAGTACTGCACAGGATCGGTTGGCTAATGGGACTGTAAGAAAGGCCCGTTTACTCTGCTAAACCAGGTCAGTGCCTCCTCGCAGCTCATTCCACAGCATCCTCACAAAAGCATCCTGTTGCTTTGTGAGTGCTCAGAAAGCTTCCTCTGTGTCTGCCTCTCTGCCACCAAGAGCACTTGTAAAAATGGGTGTTTTGTTCCCGCACAAGAGAAATAATGATGCCCCCAAAAACAAAACTGTCCTAACCAATGGCTCACGGGGCCTGGTCACTGTAAGAGGCACAGTGCCAGGGTGTAATTACAAGGACAATAGCTGCCTAATTATCCAGTGAGGGGAAGAGCTCCACAGCCCATTAGGAGGGGTGTGTGAGGCAGTAAGAGAAAGCCTTAATGAGGGTTTGTCTAGCCCATACATAACCATGGGGCTCTCAAAACTTAACTCGCCAAGCTGATGCTCGGCTAACAAAGACATGAATGACAATGAATGCACAATGGGGCTCCTTAAAGCAAACATCCAATCATGCTTCCCGATGGCATGGCACTCGTGACGATGAGGTGACATGCTATAAGCTCTGATGTTTCTGTTGCGATAACATGATTGGATGTGGATATTTTGAAAACAGGAACGGTGGTTCTCTGTAAACTCAGAGGCTAATCCATTTCCTCTCATTGTCGTCTAGTTTGATGGTGACAGGAAAGGTTTGACTTCATTCCTGATATGCAAACATGTTCTGATAAAGTTGAAAGTAAAAGTCCTCGGCACAGGGCCTGCAGACGGCATGCAAAACAGTCCAAAGTCCGCTTACCTGTTGCGCTCCTTCTCCTGCAAAAAGAAAAAGCACTGCATTAGTCAACACAAAATGGAAAATCGTAAACTTTCTGCACGAAGTTTAAACCTGGTGCATGCCTAAATCAGGATAGTGGATAACTATTTACTCATCGTCCCAATGCTGTCATCATTTTCATGCTATGTAATCCATGTGTTGCTGTACAGTGAGCTCTGAACAGACAAAGTGAAGACCTCCTGCCGCTAACATCACCACTATATCACTTTCAAAGACACTCAAATCTGAATCAGTGTTTTAAGTGGCCGCTTGGGCTCAAAAGCCTCTGATATCTGAGGAGAATGTCAGGACTCTATTGAGAATGTGCTCGCTTGAATACCATGAGCTGATGAATAGATCTCCCCATTATCTTTCTCCATCGCTCACTGACCCCTCCATTATTGGGTGACTGCTGACTGTGGTGAGTGGGGGCCCGAGGAAAGCACTTCCCAGGGCTCTGCGGGCAGTGGGCTTGGTCGGAGCTGTCAGTGCATGTAACTGCTGATTCATTTGCTGTCAAAAGCTTGCATTGTGAGTGACCACCGCAGGAGGCAAGGCCGAATGAGGGAGCGAAGGTTTCGGCAAGGAAGGAATGTGTAACCTTTTCATTCATAGATTAGAAAAATGCTCACCAGACTACACTAAATGATTTGCTGTGATGGTTGGAAGGAGTTGGCAGGATTGAGGAAATCTAATGATTTCTGTCTGATTGGGTCTGCAAAATCATACTTGTAAGAAGCTCACCTTCACTTCAAAGTCAGTAAATCCAAATTCTTTAATGCCAGCGGGATGAGCACTGATGCATTGTGGTCTCTCAGAAGTGACACAGTTGTCAAAGGTCTTTGATCTATACGATCTGGTTCTCTGCCGGCCGGATGATGACTTGGTCTGACAGATTTCTCCGTCAGAAAGGGGGCTCGCTGGAAGAGGGGACCTGACTTTGTGTAATGGCGACAGGAGGCCCCTGAGGGTAGGTGAGCTCCCGGATGAGGGCTCCTCCTGAGTGCTCCCCATCCTAACAGTGTCCCAGGCATCTGTGAGGGGACGCCTGGTGCTCCGCATCCTCCTCAGGGTCGGCGACGTAGAGATGCGCCCTGGAGCCTGCCTGTCAAACTGGAACAAAGGTGCAACCAAGCTATCAGGGTCCACCAGGGACAAGTGTCTGAGCTTGGAGTGTGTCCGTGTCAGATCTATGTGCATTATGACTGGGTTACTCGTCTGACTTTCTTTGTCCTCAAAAGTCTGCTCCCACTCTGTTTGTGTTTGTGCGTTCGCCACACCTGTTGTGACAACTTCATTTTCAGCCCACTCAATGTAACTCCAGTCGAGCTTCTTTTCCACGTCCTGGTCTTTGTCTTGAAGAATAACGTGCTTTAGCGCAGACATTATAACCCCAAAGGCATTGTAGTGCAGCGAAGATCAGAAAACGTGTGATTGAATGGTCTAGTTGCTTCGTCTTCTCCGGGTTAAGGTCAGATGATAATCCCTTTGCATTCCCACACTGTTCACACTGTTCACCTCTTAGGCTTCTGGGGGGAAAGGAGAAAATGTGTCAATACTCACAAAGAAAATGAGTGAACCTCTTAATCTCCTGAGGGGATTTGAACTGGGTATAGCTGCGGCAAAGTACCCTTAGAATAATAAGTATTGGAGTAATTAAGAGTCTAATAACACATCTGTGTGTCTTTGAAGGTGAGCAAACAAGGCACTGAAGTACAGGGGGGAACAAGTGCACAGGATACAGTCGCTGCATACTTTTTCATTGTAAGTCTGGAGCTACATGGAGTGAGACACAACGAACCACAGGGAGAGATGCACCTTTCTCCAGCCCTCCTGTCTGTCTGTGTCTGCTCCTGTGGTTCACTAATGTAGATGATACTTTTCTAAGAAGCAGCAGCAGTTGGCGTGTTTTTACCGTACGAGCGTAATCATTCAAAGTCGCACGAGCAGTTAACTCGGCACGTCCACGAGGAAACAAAGAAGAGCCAGTGTTTGGGAGTTTACAATTACAATTATAACTGAGAGGAAAAAAGGCTGAGACATAACCTGCGTGAGAAAGAAAGTCATTAAAGTGTAATACGTCTGGTTAACTTACGGTCAACGCTGCTGTCTCGCGACGACTTGGACGGATGGCGGCGGCGGAGTGGAGGGTGACACCAGGAGAGTCCCGCTGCTGCTGGTGGCGGTGAGAGAGGAGCTCAAAGCGAGGGTTCAGAAGGAGAGAGTCTCCGGCCGAAAGACGGTGCTCAGTTTTCTGTCAAAACACGACAGAGTGGAGAAGGGAGGGGACTGAGACTGAGCCGAGCTCGTGGAAAGGTGCGACTCACTCACTGCCTCTGCCTGAATGGGAACATCACCTCTCTCTCTCTCTCTCTCTCTCTCTCTCTCTCTCTCTCTCTCTCTCTCTCTCTCACAGACTCTCTCTCTCTCTCTCTCTCTCTCTCTCTCTCTCTCTCTCTCTCTCACACACACACACACACACACACACACACACACACACACGAACGAACAAACGCACACACAACAACAACAACAACAACTAAGCTACATGGTTTAATTTAGTCATTTTTTGCATGAATAGCTGTAACTACACGAACATTTTATACTAAAACTTCCATTTTATATTCGACGACTTCCTGTAACTTTTCTCTGACACACTATGAAGGCTATGACATAAAGTGTAGCAGGACATAATTGAATAAATATCAAACAGTATCGCTAAAACAACCCCACCCTTTGTAAAATATTACTAAGAAGTAAAAATAAAATGCAGACAAATATATTTTAGAGTTAGTGATAGTTCATTTACGAAATTATTACGTAGAATCGCCTCTTATATCACCCTTAAGATCATTTAAACTTCGTACAGTTCAAGATATTTATCTGTCAATAAAGCTGTAAAATAAATGTAAAGAAGTAAAATAATATGATGGGCCCATATCCTTTTAAAAACCTGCTGAACCCGAAACACAGTTCATGGAAATACTCTCGAGAAGTAAAGCAATAAAAGTAGGGGGGACCGGGGCTTGTTGTCACATGGGTAAGTTGTCATATTGCAATTATCTTTTCCACCAGAGGGTGCAACTAAAAAGTAGAATACTAGTTTTCTTCCTTTACATTTGGTTTTTATCTGGTACACATTTTGTTTATATATGATGTATTGATTCCAAGAAATATGAGTGTAAAAAGTGTGACAACAAGCCCTGGTCCCCTACTCTTGGATAGATGTAGCCTACTTAAGTGTCTAATTTATATTATTTTAAAGGCTTTTGCTCACTGTGTGTATACAACTACATTCATATTTCAGGGTTAGCCTATATGTCTGGGCCCTGCCAGAAAGAAAAAAGAAAAAGTTTTGATTTTAATTTTTCTAACACCTCTTAAAATAAGACAAATGTAAACTTTGAGGAGCTTCTGTAGCCCTCTTTCTCTATCTTAAAAGTGATAAACTCATACTAAATCTTAGCTCACCTCTTCAGGGAGGCCATGAACCAGTTTGTGTGTCAACGTAAAATAATTTTACAGCATGTAAAGGTCAGCACCACTCAGTGTAAAAGCGATAACACTTCTTCCAGAAACTTCCGGGTTTTTTCTGACCTGTGAACCTTTACTCTTCAGCTCTGTTGTAGTGCGCATGAGTCATTGTAGTCATAGTAATTTTGAGGGGTTAATTCATTTTTAGGGCTTTCACTGCCGTATTACTATTACTGAATCTTTAAATGTGTGTCACTGTGTATAACCTGCAGATCACGTTCATGCCTGTGTTGTCGACACCTGCATGCAAAGGCCTTTTCAGGTCTATTTGTTTGTATTAAACACAAAGTCAGGAGAATTACAGTAAACTCACCTGTTAGTTTAGGAGGGTAGACACTGGAGGGCGTTAAAGCACAGAAAATAGTCATTACAGTTTGGTCAATTCAACTCTGTAAAGCTTATTCTCTGGCGGCCCCTGGTGGATTTTAAACGATATTGCATCAAAATATCCACAACCCCACTTTTCATCTGTGCTCCAGTACCAGTGCAGGTCATTTATGGTGTCCTCTGCCATCTGATGTCTTTCAGCGAAACATTCATCCTTGTTTCAAGCACTTTGTCAATGTGTTGTTCTCTTTATTTTGAGGAACTTAAAAGTGAAGTTGAATTGAATGATTAAAGGTAATTTAATTGAGATGAATCAAATATTAAAACTAAACATTTATTACTGGAGAAAACTTTATCTGGTGTTTGGGTTTCATAGCATTATTACTTTGTGTAAGCATTATTTCACTGTAACTTTTTAAGGTGGAGATTAAGTTTATGCATTTTAGTTTAAATGGTCACCAGGTGGATCTGTGGGTAAGGCGGTCATGAATGGGTGGAGGACTAATAAAAAGAAGATTAGAGATTTTTACACACATTAGAAACCACAAGGAATGTACAAAGCATTTAATGTCCATAATATTTTTTATAAATTAAGACTACCAGAGACACTGGCACATTGAGCACCTTTCTCTATTGTCTGTCTGTCTGTGTCATTAAAGTTGAATCATTCTGGGAGTCCCTGAGCTCCATCATGCTGTAGGTTCCTCTGGATCACCGCCTCAGATGTTTTGCTGTTGAGGACCTGCTTATTTTCCAATTGCTCCAACTAACATACATCAATCTCTTTCCATCTCCCTCTATCCCCTCTCTGAACCCAGTGTAATCTCAGCAGATTCTCTTACACGAGTCGGGTTCTGCTCAAGTTTCTACCTGTTAAAAGGACCTTTTTCCTCTCCACTGTAACTTGTTAAATGCTGCAAAGTGCTATACTCATGTGGTTAGAGATGGGATAGGCTTTTACAAGATGGGGCTTAATGTAATTCAATTTTCACACTGGGTCTTCGTAAATTGAGTCTGGTCCAGACCAGCTTTTTTGCTTTGCATCTTGGGATAACACTTGATGTGCTTTGGTACGATATAAATAATGATTGACTGACTCATTGAAGTCAAATTCTGCAGCTGATTATGTGTTATGATGTAAATGTACAACAAAAAGTTATGATGTAAATGCAGAGGTGGAAGGTTACATTTACTTGTTACTGTGATGGAGTAGTTTTTTGTGCATGTGTACATTTTGGAGTAGTTTTCATAATCAGCAGTTCTACTCCTTCCTGTGAGAGGTATTGACTCTGCTGAATTTTACATGACTGCATGACAGCCAGCTGATTAGAGGATGTTTATGCTGCAAAGCACCCTTAAATCTGGATTTGCCTCAGTTTTAATCTCAATATGTCATCAACTTATTTGGTTTTATCTTAAACTATGAATCTGTTTATATTTCAGGCCAAAATATACTTTATGAGTTCCTATCCCTAACCCTAAACCTTAAAACAAGTATGGTATCTCATTTATGGGGCAGCAGTAGCTCAAGAGGTAGAGCAGTCATCCAATAACCAGAAGGTTGGCGGTTCAATTCCTCCCTATCCCTACAGTGAAGTTATCAGACTTATTGCTGATGGTCTTGTTTGGTTTTAAAAGGTGTGACTGTGTGAGCGAATGAATGATGTATCTAATGTAAGGCATTTTGAGGGTCTCTGATAAAGTGCTATATGAAATCTGATGCATTATTATCATTATTAAAAGCGATAAAGAAGCATCAGAATCAGTTTTAGTCTGTTTTAAAACAAGAAAAAACTCCTTATGGTGGAAACTTTTCAAGATTTTTCCCTAGTTGCACATCCAGTCCAAGGATCATGTGCAAAGTGTAATCCAGACAAATGATGCTGCAAAAGTATATCTTTACCATAGAGCAGGAGGTGCAGGGTCCGAGTCACAGCACATACAAATGCTGTTGGTTATATTACATTAATTAGTTTTGGTAAATATGCTTTATATAACTGAACTCTTCATTTCCATTGATTTGGGCTAAAAGCAGGCCTCAGTCCTTAAGGCTTAAAGCACATTTCAGAGAAAGAACTTTTTACTTGAGTAGATTAACAGCCTGGAAGTTTGACTCCTGAAGTCACTGTGCAGTAACTGAGGTGAAATATCTTGGGGCTCTTTCTATCCCTGTGTGTAAATGCTTTATCTTGTGTCGGGCCTGCAGCTCGTGAATAAAAACAAAAACAGGTCACTGACGGAATTGGCTCTCGGCCCTGACAGCAGCAGTCTCCTCCCCCTGAAGGGGATGTGAAGAAGAGCACCCTCTGGTCCGTCTGGCATACAGGAAGAAGTTGAATAAGTCTGAAAAACTGTGCGCTTTCTTGAAAACTCGTCGCCGCTTTTGCACCTTTTTTGCTTCTTTTGCGGCATCGACTTTAAGAAACGCGGGGCCGGAAGAATGAACCTGAGGAGGACTGCTGCTGCTGAAGTGGATCCGCAGTGTTAACGAGTGGATCACTTCATAAGTAGAGGAGTAGAAGCCTGTCAGGTCGTTCATAAATGGAAAAGCAGGAGTAACCCACGAACAGGGTGAAAATGTCTGAGCACAGGTCGAGTTTTCTTCACATTGGAGACATCGTGTCTCTGTACGCGGAAGGCTCGGTGAATGGCTTCATCAGTACTTTGGGGTAAGTTCCTCCTGCCTGCCTGCCTCTCACTTTCCACCCACCGGGAACCTCACATGAAGTGGGCTAATCGTCATAAAATACCGCTTTCACTTTGCATCTGGCTCCACTTTGCCCTCTCTTCGTCTGCTCGTGTGCACTTTAAAACGCTATACTCACAGGTTTAAGTGCTGCTTGTGGTCAGGGCCTGTCAGCGCGCAAAAGCTGCCTCTCAGGAAACTTCTTCACGTTTACGCAAATGTTACAGGAATGCAAAGCAGCGTGCTCAGCCAGGTACACAAGCGCTCGTGCTGGAGATTTGTTTTCTCTATGACCCTCAAGGTAGGGTCAGGGGACCCAGGAGGTGACACCAAAGGGGGTCAGCACCACTTTCATAGGTAAAGTCTGAGAGGAGTGTTTCCATTCATTTGGAGAAGGTGTGATCAATGACCACAGAGCATGTTTGATATTAAAAGGGCACACTCCACATTCAGTCCCCAGCTGTCATTTCAAGGAAGGACCACTCAGATGAGTCACAAGATGCATCAGACTGATCATAAGATACTTATAATAGGATGGGAGAGACTAAAAGTCAGGTTTGTCTTTTGTGGATAGTAGGGCTGGGACGATATGCTTTTCTCCCGATTCGATTCTTCTACGTTTTTTTGGATGCCGATTCGATTTAAACTGCGATTCTACGATATTGTTGATTTTCTCGATATGTAGTCTGCATTTTTAACACCAGTGAAACAGTTGAATGATTATGATTGTCTACTGACTACTCCAGGAACTATATTTCCCCAAAAAATACACATCACATTTAAGTCAATTTTTTAAGATTTATTTTTAATTTGAAGAAAAAAAAATGATTTTTGAACATAAAAATAAAAAATAATTAAAAATTGTAAAACAAAAATTCGCAATACTCATGTGGATTGATTTTTTTCTCCCACCCCGATTGGATACTGTGTAGAGGTAAGGGGAGAGTCATGTTCCTTTGAAGCTGAGACTTTTAAACATGACTTAAGTTTAAGTATTATTATACGTCACTCTTAATTCATGTTTAAGTCTGTGCAGGTACAATTTCAAGATTAAATTTTGATACACCATCGTTCCCCACTCAGGAGTGCAAATAAATCCACGAGCACCTTGTTTGGCTGTAAGCTGAAGGCTTCATTGTCAGGTGAAATGTCTCCCTGGTTCCGGGTGCACTCTGGCCTCTGAGCTTGCAGAACAAGCGTAGAAAGATCAACTGGCCCTGAGGAATGAGACTGCCCCACCCACCTTCTCTCCCTTTTTCTTTACCCTCTCTCATTCCTTCAGCCCACAAGCAGATAGCAGTTTCAGAACAAGCTCTAATCCCCTGTGCTGTGGATCAAAACTAAACATGCTCATACCTTGACTTAGATGCATGCATCAGTGTGACCTGGCTCTCTTTTTGCAGTAGTACACAAAGCAAATCCACTTTATTACACTGAAAAGCTCCCTGCATTGTAAAGGCCTGCAGCTTCAGGACAACACACTGAAAAGTTTTAAATACCAATCAACCATTTACCCAGCTCCTGTTGTTATGAGGCAGAGCAATTAAACTTATCAGAAATGTAATAACTTCATTTTAGCATTTTAACATAGGACTGGATTGTGCCAGAGCCTACCGAGGCCCTAGGAGAGCCAAGCAAAGACCCTGCAGGCACTTCTCTGAACTGTCAGCTAAGTGTTAGCTTGACTATACGAGGCTACTCCTGCTTGTGTTTGCAGTTGATAACATATCTCTGCATGCTTTACAATGCAGACATTCAAAAACCTGAATGGGCTTCAGCTTTCTTACGAGCCCAAAAGTGAAATGTACCTCTGAGGTTGTGGAATGACCTTGATGGTGGATTATAGACATGTTTTAAATTCATGTTTCTCACAGCAGTCATGCTGGTTACCTCTTCCTGGATCTGCAATGCACAGATAAGAGATTTGTAACACTAACTCAAACCCTTTATAATAACTCCATCCATTTTTAAAGTGTTTTTAAGAGTTTTCCAGTTGAAATAATGACAGTGTACATTCACAGGGTAAGTGTATGACTCAGTGAGATTACACTGCTGCTGCTTTTCCAGCAGGTTCAAACATGAAATTCCAGGGAGTTGTAGTAAAACTCTCTCACTTGTCCACTTTTCTTACAGATGAGTCACCCTCTTTAATTTTGCTTAAAAAGCTCTTAACAGAAGAAACGTACCTGACTCCCTGCTCTGCTTTTATTGTGTCTCGTTTTGTGTTGTTTTCTCAGTTTACTCAACACAAGCTAAAATTAGCTTTCCTGGGACTGACCTGGCAGAATTATCATTGGTTCATGTTTAACTCTGTCACAGAGCTAACTCCTGCTCTGGCTGTAAGTGCCGGCCTCTATTTGAACTGCAGCCCAGCTCTCCGAGGGCTCTAAGGTTACTTATTTATTGTTGAGTGTGAGGCTCTGTTCTAGAGCGCCTTCCTGTTTAGCCATTTAGCACTTTTTCTGCTTCCTGCTGGCCTCTATTGTTTCTCATTTAGATGTAATCCTGAAAGAGAGTTGGGGGGAATAATACGCAGGCTGTGGATTGACAGTGATCAGCTACTGGGACATTAATAGGAAGCGGCTGAGCTCAGTTCAGCTGGGCTGCCAGCTTTGTATGAATTGGAGGAATTGTGCTTTGCATTATGTTTCTCTTCGGTGGCCGGGATGAATGGATGTGCTTGTCCACCTCGGCCTTCTTCGCAAATAGGATAAAGGGAAAAGGATGATATGGAGACTTGCATGTGGACACTTGCAGCTGGTTTAGCAGAGGGTTTTTAGCAGGTTAAAACTGAAGCATTTCACATGTTCAAGCCATCTCTGAATCAAGAACTGCACACAAAGCATAAAAATAACTGTCACAGAAAACACCCCAAACCTGACTTCGACCAGTGTGATCTTTGCTCTCAGAGAAATGGTCTTAATGCATGAGTTAAAACTGTTTCCTGACCTGTGAGTACTTTTACATCAGGTTATCCTAACAGAGTTTCTGGTGCGGTCAGCTTAAACCTTGTCTCAACTCAACTAAACCAACTTCCTGAAGGAGGATTAGAGTTGTCCAGGACTAAATAGAGTCCCACATAAAACCTTCAGAGTGAGTGTGATTGAAGATTAATGGATTAATTGGTGTGTTTACAGCAACACGGCCAGAATAAATAAGGATATGTAACCAGGATAAGACGTGTTTATTGCCAATAAATCATTTTGCTGTACATTTATTGCAGAAAGCTTCTCTAAAACTGTAGCCCAGAGTCCCCAACCCACCACAACAACAACAAAAAAAGAGCTCATGTATTCTGGTCACTTATTGGTTATTTCACTGGTTTAGTCTAGTTTGTTTCACAGAGTCCCCCAGATAATAAGCTCCTACCCAGTGAAGTTTTTGTGAGCACCTTCACTGTTTTGCTTCACGGTGTTGACTGCTAACAAGGGTGCCTTTAATGGGATCTTGTTTGACGTGTTTCCTTTTCAAACAAAGGTAACTCACTCTAGATAAAGACCTCATTCTAGTTTCATTAAGGAAACAGTCCAACGGGGAAAACTTTAACATCCCTAACTACTGGATATACGATGGGATGAGACGGAAGAATAGATTCACGTGTATTCATACCAGACATTTACTTACATACACTTATTCATCACTCCTTTGTGGCGTTATTCCAGACCTTTCACCTTTTGTAAGCTGTAACATTTACTCTTCGGTGACCTTGCATAATAGCAGCTGTTAGTAAATGTGTGAATGTCATTGAACTGCTGTGCATCACTTTGCATCTGGTATGTAAAACAGTCAAATAAAGGCTTGGATGAGTGAAACAAGACAGTTATTAACAGAATGACGCCCTTTGAATGCCCCCTAATCAACCCTGCACAGAAACCACACAGTTTCCCGTGGTAACAGCAGCCTGTGCATGCCTCAGTAACCTACAGAGGACTTTGTCGTGAAGCACATCTGTCAGTGACCCACATACGGGGCCTCATAAACTACCGTCCTTCTAGGTTTATTCTTGATTTTAGCTGAAGTCTAAGAAAAGACTGAGTCTGATTTAAATAGTTTGCACTTGTGTTTGAAAAAATCGACTAATACCATGCCCTTACATGCAGGAAGATTGTGCCAGTGTACTGTAGACCAACACCCCTTCATGTAAATCATGTATTTGTATGTATACGGTCAAGATGGTGACTCACTAATTGAGCACACTCAGTGACAGCTTAAGCCCCTGTTACAGGCTTCAACATGTCGGATGTATGGCAGTATTATGACATATGGGAAACAGACGGCAGATACATTAATTACTGTCTGTATTTACAAAGGAACATATTTATCATTCACAGTAGAATTAAGTGTTGTTTGACTAGTTTTATGTCTGTTTCTAAAACAAATAGACTGTCAAGATAAAAGTAAAAGAGAGATCTGATGTTCTTTACAATGAAAGAAGTGTCAGAATATATGTTTCAGTATTGGTTTTGGTCCAAATTAATCTAACGATATTAGCACATTAGATATCTGCATTAATTTTATATTGTGCTTGTATATTGTTTTTGTGGAAATTAGAAACCGGCTGATGTTGAACATTTGCTTAAAAGCGGTACCTTAAAGATTATTTTGTGGGCTTTATCGAGAGAGGGGATCATGGATGAAGAAAAAGGAGGGGGAGGAATGACATGCTGGAAAAAGCAGAGACAAATTAAAACCTTGGCTGCCTGATGTGAAGAATAAACCCTCTTTTATTTATTCATTTGTTTTAACAGCCTTTTAGCAGCACCAGAGTTTAGCTTTGAGCTGATGCACACCTGTAGTCCCTTGGCAGGAGACAACGCCTCTGTCTAAACAAGCAGTTTACATGGTGTTGTGGGATTTGAGACCTGTAGGTTCAGTGTGTTTTGAGGTGGAAAAGAAACAAAGAAATCACGTCTAATTGCAGTTGTTATAATATATAGTGTATGCCAACTAATGCTTCTGTGTGCCATTGTCTGTTCAGCTGTTTCGCTCTGCTGCAGACAGTGCTGTAAGCACACACTGGTGGACAAATTTAATGACACCATTCCTAAAAAACCTCTTGACTTGCTGTCTTCATTAAACAAATGTTTAATAGATTCCTGTTGGACCATTATCCAAATTTTGCCAGAGTATTTTTTCCTCGCTCTTTGAAAAAACCACAAAATTTGTTTCAAGCTAATTTAACCTTGTTTTAATTATCCCAGCGAATCATGCTTGGCTGTGGAGCAGAAATCAAAGAGGTGTTCAATCAGATGATCTCCGACCAGAATATCTCAAACTCAGGGGATATGATGGAGGAGAGAGCGCTCACTCCTTCATGTGAGACCAATTTAGCTGGAGATCAAATGCTGATTTGAAGTGTGGCCAACAATATGAGGAGTTGAATGAAACCATAGCAGAAGTGTATTAAATGAAAGTTTCTTCTCTGCAGCCTCGTGGATGACCGGTGTGTGGTCCAGCCTGATGCAGGAGACCTGGCAAACCCACCCAAAAAGTTCAGAGGTATGTAGTAGTACACGAATCACACTTGCTCAAGGTAACAAACACGAATACATAGGAACACAAACCCACATTTCCAGCTTTCAAGGCTGACCGGACCTTCAGCAGTGAATGTTTTCTGACACAACATTGAGGTTTTAGAAAAGCATTTCTGTTCTGAAGTGGCTCCACAAGCGTCTATGCACTTAAAAATCTAGTTTCACCACGTTATAACGCTTGAGTGGCACTTAACCTGCTCAGAAATGACTCCTGTGTGCCTACATGCTTCTCGGCCTCTCCTCCAGACTGCCTCTTCAAGGTGTGTCCCATGAACAGATACTCGGCCCAGAAGCAGTTCTGGAAAGCAAAACAGGGTAAACAGGGAAACAACAACACACAGGGGGACCTGTTTAAGAAGTTACAGGTAGGAAACTTATTTAAGCTGTAATCTATCGCCGCTTATACTTGCATTTTGATGAAATGCTCAATCTTGTATAAATCTGTGTTTTATTACTCAGCATGCAGCAGAGCTGGAGCAGAAGCAGAATGAGTCAGAGAACAAGAAGCTCCTCGGAGAAGTTGTCAAATACAGTAATGTCATCCAGGTACAGCCCATCTCTTCTGCAAACACAAGCGGCGGCAGATTGTCTAAAGCTTTTGTTTTTGTTTCCTTGTTTACTAGGGTTTTATCAGTGTCACCCGATCCCTAATGACTCTGGCAAATTTCAAAATTGTCCACCATTTTTTTATGTGTTTCCATTGATCACTTCTGTCTTAATTTTGTTCTTGTATTAAAAAAACAAACTACTACAGAACTATCTGATTTTACAAACTGCCTTTAGAGCACGCTGCCTTTTCCCGCTGTACCAAACAGACTTATCATTGAGATTTTTTGGGTATGCTTTCAAAAGCCCTTAAAAATAATTGATTTTAAACTTTTTTTTTAAAAACTTTTTCCACAACTTTTTTGATGAGGTGATTTTGGATTTGAGACGTAAATTAATATTCTGGATCACAATCTTTTATTCCCCCTAAAAAAGGATCTAACTACATAACCTGGAAAAATATGGTGTACGTGATTATTTTCTTGTACTGTGCTGTGGTTTACAGAGGAAATGATTCATGTATTTTGATGCTTTGTAATGCCAAACAATGACTAGTATCTACAAATTGATCAGAAACAACAAGTTATGTAAAAAAGTTAAAAGAAATAATTTTGTAAATGTGTAATTTATTGAAATTTATCATCTGATACAACATTCATAAAATAAGCGCCACCAAAAGTAAAAAAAAAAATCAGGCATTAATGCTTTAACAGTGATAATAAGAATCAGACCAGTCAGTTGGTCAGGCTGATTAATTAACCTATTTATGATTTTATGAAATAACCGGCTAATATCAGGATTCATGAGTCCAATTAAAACAATTAGCGAATTACATCTGCAGACACTGAACTCAGCTCATCAGTGTAACTGCAGTCGAGCAGCATCATCGTCCCCTTAAATCATAAATGATCAATTATTCAGACACATGCTTGTTATTTATTCTGTTATAATATTTAGAATTATGGAGTTTAATATTGTCGTGTTAGGACATCTGACGCACAATGTATATTTTTCCTTTTCTTTGTTTAATTCACACTTTGAATAAGACATTTGTCCTGCAGCTCTTCTTGTATCTAAACTCACTCATTCCTCTGTCTCAGCTCCTGCACATTAAGAGCAATAAGTATTTGACGGTGAACAAGCGTCTCCCCGCCTTGCTGGAGAAGAATGCCATGCGGGTTTCTCTGGACCCGGCAGGGAACGAGGGCTCCTGGTTCTACATCCAGCCTTTCTGGAAGCTCCGCAGCGAAGGAGATAATGTAGGTTTCAAAAGTACAGCGAACAAAGTGAATTTTCTTTCCTAATACAACTGCAGCAGATGTCATTTGGCGTGCAAGTTAACTTTTCCATCCTGTCAGTTCATTGTTTGTCCTGTTCCAGTAACATTTCTGATTTTGTCCTTTCCCTCTGGCTTTAGCATCCTATGATTAAAGGTATTGCTCTTGATTGTGCATGGTGTTTGTGCATTATCAGTCAGACACCAAGTATCAGTATAAAGCATGGAGGCACCAGCCCTTGACTGCATGTGGACTCTTAGATCGACCTTTGATGAAGCATCTGAATAGTTGTGACTTCCTTTCTCCTCTATGTTTGTAAATATTTTTTTATTGCATTGGAAGAAATGCAATTGTGTGTGAGATACATTCAAGTCTGTAGCCTGCAGAAGGTAACATACTGTTCAGTCACCATATCTCTGCTCCTGCATCCATATCCACCTTTGATACTCATACAAGAATCTGCTTTTGTGAATAACTCAACCCTTCACTCAGGAGAGACTCAGCATGCTGCTGCTGCTGCACAGGTCACTCTCCTCTTTTTTTAGATAAGAGGATGTTTGCAGACTTCAGACAAACCCCATGCATGGTTACATTCTCACTTTCTGTTTGATCCTTTTTAATCACCCCTGGAAGTTTTTGTTGTTTTTATCTCCTGCTGGGATATGACTGTCTCTCACTGGGTTCAAGGTGGTGGTTGGAGACAAGGTGGTCCTGATGCCAGTGAATGCAGGGCAGCCTCTTCACGCCAGTAACATCGAGCTGCTGGACAACCCTGGCTGCAAAGAGGTGGGAATATGTGTTTCAACATAAAAAAAAGAACAGAAAGGCAGTGAATTATGACCTGTGTGTGATAAAAATCATCTTTTTCCTTCCCTTTACTCTCTCCAGGTTAACGCTGTTAACTGTAACACCAGCTGGAAAGTGACCCTGTTCATGAAGTTTAGTGACTACAGGGAAGATGTGCTAAAAGGGGTATGGTTACACCTTTAAATCTCTTCCCTCAGAGTGTGTTTCAGCAGGATAGTTTGTTGCTCTTGCCTCCTCAGAGCTAACCGCATGCAGTTGTCATGCAGCAGTCTCATGTTTTTTTTTTTTTTGGGTGTCCTCTGTCAGGGAGATGTTGTGAGGCTATTTCACGCAGAGCAGGAGAAGTTTCTGACCTGTGACGAGTACAAAAAGCAGCAGCATGTCTTTCTCAGGACCACGCTGAGGCAGTCTGCCACCTCTGCTACCAGCTCCAAGGCCCTGTGGGAGATCGAGGTAAAACACGAAGCTCTGAACTACATCTCTCTAAAAGGGGTGAACAAGATTAAGTATTTGAATACCTTTATTTTGCTGTTTGCAGGTGCAGATTCTGTTACATTATATTTTCTACTATATGCAGAGACCTTCCTGTCCTTTGAGAAGTAGAATTAGTGCGTTATAAATGACTGAAGCACTGTTATTTTATGTATTATTTAAAAAAAGAAGTCAAACAACACACTAAATCGTGCACACAGTCCAGCATACAGTTTTAATCCAAGAAGATTAATAACTTCTTAAAAACTAGGCTTAAAAATCTGCACCACTTTAACCAAGATCACTGGAGTTAAAGTTCCAGTGGATCCTAAATTGTTCCTACTGGACAAGTATTTGTGGCTCGCTGAACAAAACACAACTCAAACTCATGGAAATGGTCTGTGTGTAGCCAAGAATTACATCGCGGTGTCAAACCTGACTCCCCTCTTCTTATTGACAGTTAGTCGTTTGAAATGAATAGTTGTGTACCCCTGGAAAAAATGACATACTGCCTAAGTAAACAGTACCACACCTATCTGAATATATGGCAGCCATATCTAGACCATCATACTCGCTTGTCTCTTACACCAAGTATCTAAGTCAGTAACCTGTTATGATTTTATACACTGACCTGGGGTTTTTTCTCTTTTTTTGGGTCAGTATACTGTTGGTATATTGACTCCTTTTTTGTACATTTTGCATATTTTTTTTATGAAACTGAAAATAAAGAAACTAGGCCAAAACTTTCCCCTTGATTATACTAGTTGTGCAATATCTGGCAGTCTGCAGATCTATCTTTTACTTCTCGCTCTGTTTGACTGCTTGTTCCTCTTATCAGCCTGCACTATATTGAAGTTCCTGTTCTCTCTTGGCTGTTTTGGCTGAATGCACTTAAGTTGCCCTATCAGCTGTTGACATGTTGTTGTGCCAGGGTGACAAAGAAGAATTACTGCTGTTCTTGGCACACTGGATCACTCTCATTCTGACGTTTTCAGACGCTGCGGTGACGATGGGCTGGACTAATGGCACACCCTTGTTTTTTTTGGATTGTTATCATTGTAAGGTTATAGCTATTAAACCAGAGCCAAGCCGTCTACCTAACAAAACCTTAGAAGAGCAGTGTTGTATTACTGAAATAAAACAAAACACCGATTGATGCTGATCAAGTTTCTCCACATGAGGCGAAAAACAGACTGACGATGGATTAAACAATGATAAGCGGATGAAATCTGAGTGTTCTTGGTGCATAACTCCCTGTATTTTGTGTCCGTAGGTTGTGCATTATGACCCCTGTAGAGGCGGAGCCGGCCAGTGGAACAGCCTCTTCAGATTCAAACATTTGGCAACAGGAAATTACCTCGCAGCTGAGGTCGGTTTTACCTACGTCAAGCCTGTTCAGTGTTTCTTTTTCATCACTTGACACCTGAAGCTTCTTTTCATTGTTTCTGTCCACTCTATACTCAACAGAGGACAACTTGTACTTGTAGCTGTGTTCTCTTTTCAGTGTGTGAGTGAGCTCAGATGAGAAGGGTTTTAGCTGATGTGCTGTAGGTGGCAGTGTTCTCATTGATATGACTGCTATCAACCATCTTTAGCTCATGAATAGTTTGGATTTGGGCGATGGGGGTGATAATGATGTGATTATCGTCAGAGCTTTTTGAATATGAGTCCACTGACCGCTCTGTTTGTCTGCAGGTGAACCCTGAATTCAAAGATAACAGTGTGGAGCCTAAAGGAGAGGTGAGTCAGCTGAACAACCACATTTAGACGCAAAACCAGGTTCACACATCCCCCCAGATCAGCAACTACTCCTGGATGTTTTCCTTTTTTTTTTTGACTTATTAAAGAGATTAAATATGATTCAAGACATCAGCAATGCAAATAGCTCTTCATTTTAAAACTAAGTGGAATAAGATTGCACTTTACTGAAAACCAGACTGAGTTATTTGAAAGGAGAGAAGGTTAAGCGAGTGTTTCAGTGGAAGGAATGATTATCTCAGCACTTAAATATTGTCTGTCTAACTTCAGGCCCCTCTCCATCTCCTCAGTCTTTGGTTATGCAACACCACCAGTTCCCTCGCTCTCACAAAGTTATGTGTGCACACTCACAAACTCTGAATCTATATCCAGACACTTCTTTCGGCTCTGAGCTACCTTGCACATTTGTATTCTGGCGATGGAGAGGAACACGAACACAAACTCTCTCAGCCTCACACTTTCTCATGCACACGCTGAATTTCAGACACACAGGGGGCTCCTTACATAACGTCTGGGTGTGGGGGTGCCCTGCGAGAGAGGAGATGGAGGGGAGGCAGACGTGCTGTCTGCTCCGCTCTGCTTGCCTGTGCTAAGCTGGTGGGGTGAGTCACCAGCAGGGGAGGGGGTTGCAGGGGGGAGGGGAGGAGAAGAAGGGATAGGAGTGGGAAGATAGAGAAGCTGAGGCGTGGAGGGAGCTCTGGGGAGCTTCCCATTGACATGCAGAGAACAGCGGGCGAAATTAACCCTTGGTATCATCTGCTGCATCTGCATCAGTTCAGGCTGTACCAGCACGTATACTGCAGAGTTCAGCACAACACAGTGAAGAAGAGTCACGGCTCTTTGGCTGCATTTCTGTGTAATTTGATATCTCATTACTGTAAGAAGCTGTGACAATGTAGTTTGGCTCACATCCGCCTGTCCTCAATTATAGACCTTATCTACAGCCTGGTTCATTCATCAGTATTTACATGATTATATATGGAAAGATATGACAGCTTGACACAGAACTCGTCTATACTAAGTTTTCTTTACTCAGCATACACATTATAGTTCCAGCAGATGTGCTTAAATATTTAAAATACAGCCTCCAATAGTGGATTTATAAAAACTTTGTCAAGTGTGGGTGCAGTTGTACATTTTGTCCTCATGGTGTCATCCCGCTGACTGCCCTGACCTTAAAAGTTAAAATATTTACTACCTAATTGAGGAGTGGGCAGTAAACTGGTTCACAAAGTCGATGCTTATGAGTAATGTTGCGGTCGGAATATAATCCCACAGAAACGTGTGACAGATTTTTGCCTTAATTAAATATGATTGAATCACCTTGACTAACTTAAGTCTTATGTTGTCCAGATGAATCTGTCGGTCATTTCCCAAAAAAACAGATACAGATGTTTCAGTCAATTTCTGCCCAGGAAAGGTTCATAGGCCTGTTACAGAGTATTTTTTCATTTCACTTGAATATGGTCTGAATAAACAAACCGTCCACAGAAGGAAATGTTCTGTTTACTAGTGAATGCCTGACGATTGCTGGGACAGAATCAAACCCTCTGTGTAAGTGTTAAAAGAAATAAAGTAGTAGAAGTCGGTGATATATAAGCTTACAGACTGCTGACATTCATCTCTACTTTGTTTGTGTGCATGTTTGTGTGTTTCTGTGTGTGCTGCAGAGTGAGTCAGATATTGTGTTCTCCAAGAGGAAGCATCAAGCAGCACAGAAGATTGCTTTCACTCTGGTCTCTGTTCCCCATGGGAATGACATTGCTTCTCTGTTTGAGCTCGATGCCACCACTCTGCAACGGGCTGACTGCCTGGTGCCCAGGTCAGTCGCTCACTGGGGGGGCAACGGGAACAATAAAAAGAAACATTTGCTGCGGTTGTTTCCGCTGAGGCATTTCTAACCAGAGTCACAGTGCACAGCAGAGCTGATTTTGTCAGAAAATAAGCCACCAGGGTGAGATTATGTCACAAATTTGGATGCTGAACCATCTGCTTGTGTGAATAATCATCAGCTAAGTGTCGTTTTGCTCCTCTAAGATGAACAATCTGAAATACACTCTGACGCTGGTTACTGAATGATTTGGCTCCACAGGAGTGCAACCATAAATTATGACAACCACCAAAGTTAGTAGCTTTAATTTTTATGAACAGTTTGTCGACAGTCTTCTACCAGTATATAATTGTGAAATATCAGTGAAATCAAGGTTTAGGATTGCCATCGCTGTTTTAAGATTTGAGTTTGGCTGATTGAGCCTCCTCTTCCTATTCAGGAACTCTTACGTGAGACTGAGGCACCTCTGCACCAACACCTGGGTGACCAGCACCAATGTCCCCATCGATGCAGAGGAGGAGCGTCCGGTCATGCTCAAGGTCTTCACACTCACATAAAAACACACACAGATGAAAGCATTGCATAAGAAAGTTAAACAGGCACGGATGCATCAACTAAAGTTCTTCTTTGGGCTGTCACTCTAGATCGGCACTTGTCCCACTAAAGAGGATAAAGAGGCCTTTGCCATCGTATCTGTTCCTCTGTCGGAGGTCAGAGACTTGGACTTTGCCAACGATGCCAGCAAGGTCCTGGAGTCGACTGTGAAGAAGCTGCAGTACGGCAACATCGCTCAGAATGAGAGGAGGTACGGATACAAAAAACACAACAGGATAAGTCACACAAGATGGTTTAGATTTTTGAAGGTTTTATGTGTGAATTGTTTATTGTTATTTCTCGTTTCAGGTTTGTAACTAAGCTCCTGGAGGACCTGGTTTTCTTTGTTTGTGTGGTACCAAACAACGGCCAGGATGTGCTGTCTGTCGTTACCTCTTCACCGAACAGAGAGAGGCAGAAACTCATGAGGGAACAGAACATCCTCGCACAGGTCCGCTTAAGTTACTTCTACTGGACTATAGTGACTGTTTGACTGTGGTCTCAGGTTTGTGGTCTATTGTTGTCCCTGTCCCTGCAGATCTTTGGAATCCTGAAAGCTCCGTTCACGGATCAGGGTGATGGTCCAATGCTGAAGTTGGAGGATCTGGGTGACCAGCGCTACGCTCACTTTAAGTACATGTTGAGACTCTGCTACAGGGTGCTGCGTCACTCCCAACAGGACTACCGCAAAAACCAGGCATGTGTCCTTCCTCTGCACAGTTCTGCGTGGTCATTATGTTCATGAAAAGACACAATTATGATTCATAATTCTCTCATTCATCGTAGCTCTGTTAGTTCTGTCTGATGTGGAATAAATGCAAATAAGACTTTTTTAAAAACTACATTTCTGCACAAACTCTCCTGATATGTGTATAACAACATCATTTGCACTGATCTATCACACTTCCATGGTCTAAAGTGCCTTTCAAACCTTTTTTGTCCCCTCCATAATCGCTTGCATTGTATCAACATGCCTAACATTTCACTCTTTCTCGTGCACTGCAGGAGTATATAGCCAAGAAGTTCTCTATCATGCAATCTCAGATTGGGTATGAGATCCTGGCTGAGGACACAATCACTGCACTGCTGCACAACAACCGCAAGCTGCTGGAGAAACACATCACAGCCAGAGAGATTGAGACTTTTGTGAGCCTGCTGAGACGCAACAGAGAGCCAAGGTCAGGCTGGGACACCTAGCAAAGTCTTAGAAGGCCCAAGAAAACTATATAAACAAAAGAAAATGTACAAAAAGGTTTCATCTTATGCATAAGAATCATTTGTAATGCATAAGACTTGTCCTGGAAAGAGTTGTTTTCAAACACAGGGCTCAGCAAATATCACAGAAACACACAATAATGCATCAAGTCGAGAGTTTGAACTCGCTGTCTCTGCACTGAAAATCTGGTGGATCAATACAGGCTCCTGCTCTCATGTATCAGTGAGATGCTGAACAAACAAGTGATGTGCAAGTGCCTCTGGTCAGAAGGACTAGAAATCCGCTTTATAAGTTTAAGTCCATTTTATGAGTTCCCCTGCAATCCGTGTCAAAGCAAAACACAAAATATATGAAATACACTGAGGGAGGCAGAGAGGCTACTTGACAGATTGGAGATATTTCCCAAACTTGATAAAAAGGGCAGATAGGATGTGAAGTACAGTCAGGTGCATAGAAATTCAAGAAGTTCATGTGCAGAGACTTTGTGAGTATAAAACCTTTTGTTTAACGTGGTGATTCATGCTTGGTCTACTTTTCCAGATTCCTGGACTATCTCTCTGATCTCTGCGTGTCCAACAAGACCGCCATTCCCGTCACACAGGAGCTTATCTGTAAATTTATGCTGAACCCCACCAACGCCGACATTCTCATCCAGACTAAGTGAGTCACACCCAGTGAATCTATATTTAAACCTCTGAGCCAGACCTGTCAGATTTCAGCCGTTCATTTAAAACATACCTCAACTTGAGGGGCGGCTGTGGCTCAGTGGCAGACTTGATTGTTTCTCAATCTGATGGTTGGGGGATCGATACCAGGTCCTGCTGTCCTTGAGTTAGACACTTAACCCCAGACTGGAGGATGCTTTATGTAGTAGCCTCTGCCATCAGTGTGTGAATGTGACATGTACATGCACATAAAGCGCTCTCCTCACGTCTCCTTCACTGTGTCCTGTTTCAACTGTTTTATATTAACCCCCCTCCTCAGACTCATCCCTAACACCGAGACCACCCTGGAGTCCTCTTTGCTGCAGGAGGAGGTAGAGGAGGAGGAGGTTTGGCTCTACTGGATCGACAGTCACAAGGAGCCTCACGGCAAATCTATACGCCACCTGGCCCAAGATGCTAAAGGCAACCACAAGATGGATGTCGACATTATCACGTACTACAGGTGATGGTTGTGATCCTGACTTTGTTCTGATACACCCCACCTCCAAACAACAATTCTGATACCTGGATAAGTACTTTTAAAACAGAAGTACTTTACTTCTGAGAGGCTGAAGCTAAATTTATGTGGGTTTATATTGTATGTAGACATTCTATTGAATGGAATAGTTGAAGAGAACTCACCTCCTAACTGACCTTCATCTTCAGCTTCCTGTCCTCACTCTGACCGTGTCTTCCTGTGCAGGTACCAGCTCAACCTGTTCGCCAAAATGTGTCTGGACCGTCAGTACCTTGCCATCAACCAGATCTCCTGTCAGCTCCCTGTGGATCTGATCCTGCGCTGTATGTTTGATGACTGCCTGCCCTACAACCTCAGAGCGTCTTTCTGCCGCCTCATGCTGCACATGCATGTGGACCGGGACCCTCAGGAGGCTGTGGTGCCCGTCCGCTACGCCCGCCTCTGGACAGAGATCCCCTCTAAGATCACCATCCATGAGTGAGCGTCCGAACTTTGCCATTTTGTGTAGGGGTGTCCCGATACAAAGTTTTTTTTACCTCCGATACAATACCGATATTGTAGCCTTCAGTATCAGCCAATACTGATATTGATCCGGTATTGGAACAAACTTGTGCATGACAACTTTTGAACTCAGCTGCAATGTCTTTTTCAGGCTGTAATGAAAAATACTGCCACAGGGCCGACATCACTCTTACTCTTTGGTACTTTGTTGTACCTTAGTACACACTGTTATTGTGATCACGTGGCTCCGGGTGCTGCTAGATAGAGGTGCTGGAGCGGAGTCTGGAATGGACTGCTTGTAGCGGAGGGCTGATATCGAAGATGTTGGATGCAGACCGATATAATCAGATTTTCAATTTTTTGCTGATATCAGACCGATATCCGATATTAATATCATAGCGGGACACCCTTAATTTTGTGTGCTATGTTCAGATATATTTTTCTGGCCTCCATATTTAGGTGGTAATTGTCATATTCTGCAGGTTTGAGTATGAGTCAACTGACACCTCAAGAGATGAGATGAAGAGGAAGTTTGCTCCCACCATGGAGTTTGTGGAGGAGTACCTTAAAGATGTGGTCAGCCAGCCTTATCCTTTTGGGGAGAAAGACAAGAACGAGCTCACACTGGAGGTAAAATACTACAAATTGAAAAGAGAAGGATAGAGGAATCGTTTGTTTTCATACCACTCGCTATCTTCTCATTTCTCCCCTCGTCCTAGGTGGTGAATCTGGCTCGTAACCTGGTGTACTTTGGTTTCTACAGTTTTAGTGAGCTGCTGCGTCTCACACGCACCCTGTTGGCCATCTTGGATATTGTACAGCACCCGCTCACCTTCATGAACAAGCTCAACAAGAGCCCGGAGGCTGGTCAGTGCTATTAAAAAGTGATTTATTTAATGCAGCAGCGAGAGAAGCAGGAACAATGTTTCAAGGCTGTGAGTTAATCAGTTCTTCCCGTCTGCAGTTTAGGAGACTTGGATAATTAAAGGAGTAGGTGGCAGGTCCACAATGGAAAAAAAAGAACTTACAAAAGACAACGTATGATTGAGTTTGAAGTGTTTAGCAGATACTGACACATCAGAGTGAAGGACAGACAAGAAACCAGCATAAACAGTGCCCTTGTTTCTAGACAGTAGAGCTGCAGCCATTAAAAGTGAACGGATTCAAGGCTCAACTTTGCATAAGAGCAAAAGATTCAACTTTGAAAGTATCAGGTAGCCTGAAGAGTGAGGAAGAATTTTCATTAATCATCTTTGATTTATTTATTGTATGAAAAGACTTTTTAGTTTTTTAGTCCATATAAAGAAGCCCACTGTCTTATTAGAACCATTTATGAGGCTACATTAACAGAGAAAACAAGGATTATTGATTGTCACGTCATGAAGACAGTAGAATTGAAGATGGGTGATTTTGGAGAGGTTAAAATCCTCATTTTAGGGTTAAAGTAGCAAATAAAAAAATTCTTGTTTTAGGTTTTTATGGACCTAAATCTGTTTCTCCAGATTCATTTCAGCTGGACACTGATTCTCTTTGATCAGGCTTTTATGATGCTCCATTTCAGTCTTTTATAGGCTTGAACTAAAACGCTTAACCACCACCATGTGAAACAACAAGCTTTAGATACGCACAGGAACGTTTCTAAATGTGTGAGGTTAACTGTTCCCTCAAGGCAACAATGTCCTGCGTACCATCCACGGTGTCGGGGAAATGATGACTCAGATGGTGATGAGCCGAGGCGTCCCTCACAGCCTCCCTGACACCCCGCCCTCCCAGCGCTACGGGAAAGGACACTTCCTGCCGGACAATGAGGACGTCATGGTGATGGACACCAAGCTGAAGATCATTGAGATCCTGCAAGTTAGTGCCCCCTACTGGATACATGTTTAGTGTATTCTTCTTGGCATTATTCAGCTATTTGATTCTGTTATGGTCTGCTTCTTGTCTCCCTTTTAGTTCATCCTGAGTGTGAGGCTGGATTACAGGATCACATACTTGTTGTCCATCTACAAGAAAGAGTTTGGTGGGAAGAGCATCACTGAAGGCTCCTCCTCTGTGTCTGAAATGCCCCCATTCATACGTGAGATTTTATTCTCCTTCAAAAGTTTATAATCATACTCTGCTGTATATATCGACCTTTGACCTGCTTTGCTTTACTCCAGCGCCTGAACCCGACATCGATGAGATTGCAACCAAAGCAGAGAGCATGTTTGCAGGGAGGTAGGTCAAACAGAGAAATGACATCAAGAGCTAAGCTGCTTGTTATTGAATGATCTGGTTCATTTGTCATGTTGGGAGATCTTATTAAAGGCTTCTGTTTGAGCTTTATTGTGGATTGACTGCACGCTCATGTCTGGTTGCAGTTCGGAGTTGAGCGCGGTGGAGCTGGACGACGAGGGTGGACGGACGTTTTTGAGGGTTCTGATCCACCTTATCATGCAAGATTATCCTCCGCTGGTGTCTGGCTCATTGCAGCTCATCTTCAAACACTTCAGTCAGAGAGCTGAAGTGCTACAGGCCTTCAAACAGGTAGAAACACAGCAGTGACACTTGTGCATTTGATAGTTGATACCCTGACAGAGTGTGGCATTAAGCACTACCTGAGTTAAGTGAGTTTTGTCAGTTTGTGTTAGAAAGATCCTCCAAACAGAACAACTGTTCTAACCAGCCTCACAAAGAGCTTCCTCAGCTGGAATCTAAAGCTGCACACTTGTCCATTTCAACAACACTATGAGAGAGCAGAAATATGCTTTTACTCACATTATCTCTCTTGATATCATCCTGTCTGGTTTATTTCTCATCCGGCGTATGTGTTTTTATGTTTTTTTAAGGTCCAGCTGCTGGTGTCGGAGCAGGATGTAGAGAACTATAAACAGATCAAAACAGACCTGGACCAGCTGCGTCTGACTGTGGAGAAATCAGAGCTGTGGGTGGAGAAGAGCGGAGTGTACAACGGTGAAGACCTCGGGGTCAGACAGGGCAAAGAGCAGAACATCGAGGTGGTGTACCAACATTTCATGGTATCCAGCATCTAAAAGCAAAATTTCACATTTCTGTTTTGAGTGTCACATTTACTTCTCCACGAAAATATTTGTCCTCGACACCCCTTCATTCACTCAGCTGCACTGTGAATAGCTTTGTTTGTTATTACTGCTCTCCATGCACAGCTGATGGAAAGATGTTTCGTTAGCTCTGTGATTGAAGAGTAACACATAGAGATAAGTAGCAGAACAGGAACCACTGTTAATACGTTCATATCAGTCAGGCCACATGTAACATGTTTGATGCTTTTTAAACATTATTATAACGATGATGCAATAAGAGTGACGATAAAGACTTGCACGGAGACTGTTTTCCATTACACTGTGAAAAATGCTGCGATTTCAACACCAGATATGACGGTTGTTGCGTGCCAAAGAAAGACCCATTAGAGGGTTCACGGAAGAGCTGCTGACCCTGTTATCACAACAATCGAAACACAAGTAAACTGTTGAATTTATCAGTGAAATGAAACCTGACATGACATTACTCACAGCTTGTTTTTTCAACGTCTTTGTGTCCTTCTAGGAGGTTGTCCTAAGCCCTGTGCAGGATGGAGACATCAAACCCCAAATAGACAGCAACAAAGCAAACAATTACAACATAGTCAAAGAGGTGAGCTCCCAGTATATACTGTGTACTTCGAGGTTTGACAGTTTGTTAACAATTTGATCTTTGTGTTCAGATTCTGCTGCGGCTCAGTAAACTGTGCTACCCCAGTAAAAAGAGCCGAGTGCAGCAGCAGAGGCTGCTGAAGAACATGGGGGCGCACACCGTGGTGCTGGACCTGCTGCAGATCCCCTACGAGCAGGTGACTCTCTGAAAGACTTGCACAAAGTTGTTGTAACATCCACTTGAATGGTAATCTATTAAACACGTTTTCTTTCTGATTAACAGAGTGATGAGAAAATGAATGAGATCATGACACTGGCGCACACGTTCCTGCAGAATTTCTGCAGAGGAAACCCTCAAAATCAAGTTCTCCTGCATAAAAACCTGAACCTCTTCCTCACTCCAGGGGTAAATTGATGAGACCACCCCATGCTCCTGTTTCTCAATAAAATCCTTTTTCTCTAGCAAGGCATGAAGTAGCACTAAGAAAGAAGTTTTACAGCTCCTGTGGGGAGTTTTTAACACTTGTGAAATGGGCTAAAATTCATCTTAATGCTTTTTAATAACTTATAAAAGCAAATCGGGCTATGACAACGATAAGACTTAAATTTTTAATGCCTCAGATCAGTGTGAGTGGGTAGGTGTCAGCCAAGCAGAAACAACTCTGTTTTTACAATTTTCACATAAAATATTCATAATAAATGATAGACTTCATTCATAGGGGGAGATAAAATTGACAGACACTGAAAGTTCCTCCCAGGAGCTCTAAAGAAGTGAAAACTTACAGCAGGAAATTGATATGTCATATATTTTTGTGCTGCTGTTTCTTTACCAGTTGCTGGAAGCGGAGACGATGCGCCACATCTTCATGAATAACTACCAGCTGTGCAATGAGATCAGCGACCGTGTGGTTCATCATTTTGTCCACTGCATCGAAACACACGGACGACACGTTCAGTACCTCAAGTTCCTGCAGACCATTGTGAAAGCTGACGGGAAGTATGTGAAGAAATGTCAGGATAAAGTCATGACAGAGGTGAGAAATACTTTTTCTACGCACGTGATGGTCGCCTTAAAGCGGCAGTATTATTTTAAACTACCTTAAATCTGTGGCAAATTGTAATAACTGTGTTTGCAGCCCATTAAGGGAGTATAAGATGAGATAAGAAGACTAGAGAATCTACTTTCTGTCTTATTTCCAGTCTAGCACCCTCATGTAGACTTCACATAGGCTTCACATATCTTTTCTGTTTAAATGTCTAGCTGGTGAACAGTGGCGAGGATGTGCTGGTGTTCTACAACGACCGCTCCTCGTTCCCGGTGCTGCTGCAGATGATGGGCTCTGAAAGAGAGCGGACAGATGAAGACGGAGCTCTGGCCTATCACAACACGCTGGTGGAGCTGCTGGCTGCCTGTACGGAGGGCAAGAACGTCTACACGGAGCTGAAATGCAACTCCCTGCTGCCCCTGGATGACATCGTCAAAGTTGTCAATGACATCCACTGTGTACCAGAGGTAGAGGCTGGATAATTTAGAAGAAAAAGACATGAATGCAGAGGATTTAGTAGATAAACTATAATTGTCTTGTCAAATTTTCTAACATTTTTGTGTAAACTTGTCATCTTATCTCTGGTTTCTTTACCCCCTCAGGTGAAAACAGCCTATGTAAACTTTGTGAATCATTGCTACGTGGACACAGAGGTTGAAATGAAGGAGATCTACACCTCCAACCATATCTGGAAACTCTTTGACAACTTCCTGGTGGACATGTCCAGTGTAAGGCTCTGTCAGATTTAAAGGTCACACTTGTCTGACTGATACTTTTCTAATGAGGCTCTGTATGTGTCAGGACACTCTGAGGCTAAATCTTGCAGAGAAAACGGAGATTCACAAAGAAAGCAGCAAAAATGTGATATGGGTGTCTGTTTGTTCAAATTTTGTCCTCTCTTGTGTTTGTATTTTTAGGTGTGCAACACTACTACAGATCGTAACCACGCTGATCTGGCCCTGGAGAAGTATGTGACAGAGACAGTGATGGCCATAGTCAAAGGTTTCTTCAGCTCGCCTTTCTCCGTCAACCACTCCAACCTGCAGGTATCGTTTTTTCACCTCCGACAGGCAGGTGAAATGAGAGGCTCACACTTGGCACATCCAAATCCTCTGCCAACTCTTAGCTACTCCACAGTAAAATATTTAAGAGCAGACAGCCTCCTTCTTCACCTGGGACCATTTTTATTGTTTTATTGCAGAAATTTGAAGCTAAAGCAGCTGCTTCAAGTGTTTTATGGCGCACTTCACACCAATACCTCCTATCACATTATAGAGGTGTTCCCATCAGGGTGATCTCTCTTTTCTGCACATTTGCTTTTAAAATGTAAATCCCCTGGTCTCTGCCTTTTTTTCCACAGACTAATCAGTCCATCTTCATCAAGATGCTCCAGTCCTCTTTCAGGATCTACAACTGCACCTGGATCACTTCAGCTCAGAAAGCCAACATTGAGAGCTGTATCAAAACACTGGCTGATGTTGGTGAGTGTGGAAATATGAGATCATTGTGCTGTTTTAGCGTTTTCTATTCATGTCACATTGAAAGTATTAGCTGGACCCATGACCTCAGAGAAACTTCAGCACATCAAGATGGACTCCAAACAATTAAACATACATTTACCTGTTCCTTTATGTTTCTGTCAGCCAAGGCACGGGCCATAGCCATCCCAGTGGACCTGGATAGCCAGGTCAACACCTTGTCTCTCAAGGTCCACAGCAACATGGTGCAGCGAGCAGCCAAGGACTGGAGGATCTCTGCACGCTCGCGGCCCCGCAAAGAGCCCCTGGGTGGGCCGGACTACAAGAACATCATCGAGAAGCTGCAGGTGCACATTTTGTTGTACAGTCTAAAGCCGTGCTAGCAGCACAGAGAGTGGACATAGCTGTTGCCGCGCTTTGAGCTTAATGCTGATGTGTTTGCAGATCTTGGATTTAGGTTGTTTTTTCATTTCAAACTGAAGCGTTTGATAGAGTAAAAATCATAGCTGATGATCAATCATGCAGTCTTCATTCATAGATGCCAATTCACAACAGGTGTTATCCCAAGATGCTTAACAATAACGCTGGTCTAGACCAGACTCTATTTACATGATGGGGTCAAACTGAGCCCCACCTTGTTAGATCAGACCCACTCCCATCCCCAGTGTCGCTCATTGCATCATTCAGCAAGTTACAGTGGAGAGGACAAATGTTGAGTTCGAGTTACCTTGGAAATCAGATGTCTGAGCTCTGGTGTGACGTCATTCCCAGCTCGGACATCTGACTTCCAAGGTAACTCGAACGCAGAAAAAGTTCCTTTAACAAGCAGAAACCTTGAGCAGGACCAGACTCATGTAAGACAGTCACCTCCTGAGACAGTGCTGGTTTTAGAGAGGGGGTAAAGGGAGATGCAGCAAGAGCCCCTGACCCTCACCCTATATACATGTTGACTCACGTTACATCAAAACAAAACTAGCATTCTCACAATGGTGCAGAAGGAAAAGTGAACACTTATAACAATATTTCACTGTCTCTTCAGCTGTGCTGCTGATAAAGCCAAAAGACTAAACATTATTATAAACAGCTGAGCTCAAGTTTAAACCTTGTTTTTGTTTCTCTGCCTGTTATCTACAGGGGGTCGTGTCCCTCCTGGAGGAGCAGTTCAGTCCAAAGGTTCAAGCAGAGTTTTCTGTGCTGGTGGATGTTCTCCACAGCCCTGAGCTGCTGTTCCCAGAAGCTGCTCGCTTACGCTGTGAGAGCGGAGCCTTTATGTCCAAGTATGTTTCTGTCAACAAACTGTACATGGCTCTGAGAAGATCCTCTTAAGCATTCACAGTGTGGCCCCCAGAATGTCTAAACCTGCTACAGGGAGAGTACTTTGAATGAAATGTGGAAGGATTTCTAAAGTTGCTGATTATTGAATTTTTTGTTTTTATTTTCAGTATGAGCTCACTTAAAAAACTGCTAAGTCAAAAAGGAGCTTACCGATAGGAAAGTGTTGTTTTGTGTTTGGAGAGTTCGATGTGAAAAAACAAAGTTCAGAAAATATTAAAAGTCAAAGTGCAACATCCAGCTCATTTCATATCAAACCTTCGGGGGTATTTTTGTTTCACACCCGCAGCTTTCTGACCTCCTCCCTGACAGCAAAGAAGTAGATTTCTGCTGTAGTGGTCAATCTTTAATTTCACTTGAAAGCTACTGACCGACTGCATAAGCAGGATATATGTAAATGACACAGCACTCCTCTTTCCTTCCTGCCAGACTGATCAAACACACCAAGAAACTGATGGACAAAGAGGAGAAGCTGTGTATCAAGATCCTGCAGACGCTACGAGAGATGCTGGACAAGAAGGAGTGCTTCCAGGAGTCTGTGAGTACTCAACCCTGTCACTAAAACATGGTGTACTTGACATTTTAGTCATTTTTGTCAGTAAATCACAGGGGCTTTGTTAACTTTGACTTTGACTTTACATTAAAAGCTCATTAATAAGCTTTACTTTGGTGAGGATTTGGTCCTGTCTCCTAGTAGCAGCAGAGCTGCTGTTCAGCCCTTGTTTTCTCCCAGGTCTGTCGGCCCAGAGCCCAGACTCCCCTTCATCAGTATGCTGTAGGCCTTTCTGTGTTACATAAGGTAGGGAGGGAGGCACTTGAGGACACACTCTCGCTGAGAGGGAGAATAGGAGGGAGGAAGTGAGGAATAGGAGGAGAAGAAGGAGGAGGGGGGCAAGCACCGAACAAACAAATCAATACTGCAGCGAGTGTGTGTGGGGGGGAGTGCTGGAAAGTGAACGGCAGGAGTTGGTAGAGGAGACCTCAGGAAGAGGCTACAGGTCCGTATGTTTGTGTGCACTGAGGGGCTGCAGGATAAGGGCAAAAGTACAAAAGAGTCAAGTCTGCAATCACAGTCAAAAGGTTTTGGAGAATCTGTTCCAGCCTCACGATAAGATGAGGTGATGCTGAGGAGACACAAAAAGAAACACACCACTGAAAACTCTCCTAGCAGAGATATGAAAACTCTGAAATCTTGTTTTGGTAGGACTTTTGGGTTTTAGTCAACTGCACTAGACTTAATTCTGGAGTAAATTGAAGGACAGTCCCCCTTATTATGAGGAACTTGATATGGAAATGAAAATGTATGGCTGACAGGGCTGTTAATATTTGTTGCACCAAAACATCACCATAATAGCCTGATAATATATATGCCCTTACGCCGTCTCTCAGTATAATTGCATTAGTGAAACTGTCAAGTCTGACATGTCTCAGTATAGTCCATGTCAACAAGTGTCACTCACAGCTGCTTGAAGAGTCAGTTTTGTTTCCTCATATTTGTGTTTGCGCCTGGTGTCAGTCAGCCGAGCCGTTTCCACGAGAGACAAATTATTCAACGGTAGTGTGGAACAAGATCGGAGCGATTCAAAGCAGGGAGGAAAAAAAAAACAGCCAATTTTTTTCCTTTAGTAAAAGCAGCTCAGCGCGTTTGAGAAGCCAGACAGTGCGGTAACGATATGTGAAATGTCAGTTTGTGTAGGTGTGCGTGAGTGTGCTCAAGCGTATATTTGTGGCCTCTCTTTGTCATATCCCTGTAGCCCTGAGCGTGGAGCTGCAGCCTCACCTCACAGAAGAGAGAGACGAAGAGAGAGGGAGGACGAGGAAAGAGAGAGAAAGAGAGAGAGAGAACAGTTGATGGAAATAATGAGAGAGGGAGAGGCAGACAGACGAAAATCAGAAGGAGAGAGAGAGAGCGAGAGAGAGAGAGAGAGAGAGACGGAGTGACAGCATAGGCAGCAGAGGTTGGTGGCTCCCCTGGGGTGCAATGAGTGGGTGGAGGAGAGTGAGAGAAAGGGATGGAGGGAGAGTGATCGAGGAAGGGAGGGAGGGAGGGAGTCAGCCATGTGAGGAGCCATGTGAGTGGAAGAGAAAAAAAAAGTGGGCAGCGGCTGCAGGGTGAGGGATTGGAGAGAAGCAGAGTCTGCTCAGTCCATGAGGAGACAGGGCAGGGGGTGCGCTTACGTAACAGCCTGCAGTGGCTGAGCCAGTGTCACGTGGACCATCACGTTCTCCTTCCCTCCCTCCCTCCCTCCCTCCCTTCTTACTCTCACTTTCTGTCCACTCGTCGTCTCTCTCTTCCTTCTCTGCCCCCTCCGTGCTTTGTCTCAGTCTATCGCATTCTGTCTGCCCGCCTGTGTTATTTTGTCTCCCTATTTCTCCCCCCTCGAGGCCCACCCAGGCCAGGCTCAGCGTTTGGCCCGGGTCATGCCAGGAGCTCTGGCTGGGCACTGAGTCACTGTGTGGATGAGTTAGATCCTACTGTTGAACTTCACTTGTTCAGATAAACATAAAGTTTGTGCCATGAAGGAGGACAAAGGAACATTTATGATGCATATCGATGAAAGGAAATCGGGTAAATCACCAAATACAGCCTGTAATATTACATGTATTCTCATGTCTTACACTTTTTTCGCTTAGAGGACAAGCCACATGTTATTCTACTGTAAATTTCTCATGGTAAAATCAAGTCATCAGCGTGTGAGTCGGTCTAATACAGTCCAACATTCCTCACCGGTCTGTGATACTCATCTTGAAGCTCATTCGTTCCTCCTGAAGATGTAAATCTTCAAAAGTGGGTCACAAATACACAGTTCCATTAAAAGGAAAGGGGAAGTACTCTCTCAAGTCTTTGGGGAGCTGTAGTTTCAAGAAACATTACTCCAACAGGATTGAATAATGCATATGTTGGCAACTGCTTGATATTGTTGATTATTGGACATTTGGGGCACTATTGAGCATTTAAAGCAGCTGGACAATACTGGATTCAAAATAATGACTCCACAATAAAACGCAGTTGCACAGTCCTTCGTTAAATTCCGAGATGTGTTGCATGAATTTTCCTGCCACCACCTCACCTTTAGATAAAGTCAGAAATTCCAAGAAATGTTTATTATGATGCCACCAGGGTGTTCCATCACAACATATGTCTTCTTTTGGAGTCAACAAACAACTAAACTGTTTATCTGAGTTGGTTTTGGCACAACAATGAAGGTCTACAGCACACAGGAATATGTCGTACTAGGCTCTAAATACACAGGCTGAACTAAAAAGCAGGATTTAGTCGTTGTTGGTATTATTCTTTATAATAGGTTGAAAAGATGAAAACTCTGGCGTATTTTAACTGTTATTAGATGTTTTCTGTCACAGCATGTACTTATATGCACATAATGTGGTGTCATGTGTTCATGCAAGCATGTCTCCTTGTTTATGGAGGATTGAAAAAGCCGGTTATGTAATATAAACCACTCTCACACTCTCTTTCACACTCATCCCTGTCATTCACACACTGCCTGCCTGTCTGTCTGTCATTCTGTCTCTTTTCCTCTCCCTGCCCCCCTCTCTCTTTCTCTCTCTCTCTCTCCCTTTCTTTCTTGGGAGCCAAGTTTCACACCACCTGCCCAAGGCAAAGCAGATTTACAGATTACCACCCTCTTCATGCTAAGCCCATCACACAGACGCATGTAGACGGAGACGCACACACACACCCGTAATGTCCAAAGCGTGCAATGCCATGCTAGTTGTCCTGGTGTGAGCTCATCCTGCAGGGTCTCCCTGTTTGTCAGTCTGCTCAGGGGAGTGGAGGAGCATGAGTAAGGGAGCAGGTCACACAGGCAGGCAGAGAGTGGGGCGAGTTTTTACTGTGTGACCTGAGGATGGATTCTAGCTGACGCAGCATGATGAGTCATCTCAAAAAGTTGTCTTAAAGAAATATCGAACCAAAATGACTCCTTGAATGCAGTTTTGTTGATTTTGAAACAATAATAATGTGTGTGGAAACCTATTTGTCATGAATATATGTTACTGTCTGAGTTTGTGCTTTCCTCCCACATTCTACTTCCCACGATCCATCAGTCAGGTGTCTATTAGTGAAGTATTATGTTTCGGTTTCCATGGTAATGAGGGATTAGCACATGTTGTTTGTCTGCCTGATCTGGCTGCGTCTGGGCAAGGGAAGTCTGTGTGCCTTGTGTAGAAATGTCGTCAGAGCAGGAGCTCCCTGAACTCTTTCAGCGCCATGCTGCAGAGACGGAGGCATCCTGTTAAAACTCCAGTAAAATGGCGAATAAGGCCTCGCCGTCATGCATCTTTGGGCCTCTGTGAAAGATATGATTGTCACTGTGAACAATGATTCGACACGGTTCACAGTGTATTTTCTGGATCCGATTGCATATGAGTTAGCTCACTTGTGCTCAGTAAGGCACATGACCGGCGATGGGCTGCATTACATATGAGTGCTTGTGGGTGCTCTGATTGATTCTAGCTGTCAGTTTGTCTCATGTGAATAGCCCGTGGAAAGAAAGGCTGGGAGTAATATACATTAGGCCCTCTGTGGGGGATAAAGTGAAGCACTGCTTTTTTTCAAATCGTCCCACAAATTGTCAGCAGTGTTTGCAAAGTTGACCAGTAGACAAACCTTGAAGGTTGAAGTTTGAAGAACAGCAATGGCTTCCTCTAAGTTAACTTGTCTTACTGTCAGACCTTTAATCTGGGTCCTCTTTGCATTGTTTGGCACATTCACTCTTACCAGATACTGTAACTCCATGAATCTGGCATGTACACCCCACTTGAAGTACCTTTATGTTGCCATGGTAAGACATTAATGAAAAAAAACTGTCACAAAAAAAGCTTTAACTCTGGATTTAAGTTAACTTTATTTTATTGACTAATTAAAGCTCCTGTACATTTGTGTCATTTTTGGCACCCCCTGCGAACAAAGCTGTCCTTGCTTCTCTTTTCCTCGACATGCTAAAGTGATGATTTTTGAAAAGAAGAAAAAGTCATCCTGGTGACTTTTGACTGTCAATAGTATCACTTATTGGGAATAATTGCAAACATAGGGCCAACATCTACCCTTTCACACCAGTTTCAGGCATTAAAATCATGATATAAAAACTATTAGTCTTGTTGTTGATGGTCTTAATTGCTTTTGAATGTCATCAAAATGCGGTTTCAGTCTCCTTCATAAACATGAAAAAAAAAAAAACATACTGGAGCTATAACGTGATCATCTTTATAGTTGTTGCATTTCCTGAAAACATTGGGAAATGGTACAAAGAAAAAAAATGAGCACTTTACACAGGACTGCAACCATGCTAGCCCTGTTTTCTTCAATTTGGTCAAAGTCTCTTTCCCTCAGCTCCTTGTGTGTATAAACACGTCCTGCTCGGGTTAATTGGTGACTCTTCATTGCTTATAGGCGAGAGTGTGTGTGCGTCAGTGGTTGTTTGTCTACACATTAGCCCTGATATAGACTGGTGACCTTTCTACGGGGGACCCCACCTCTCTCCCAATGATGGCTGGGAGAGACTCTGGCCTCCTTAGTTGGATAAATCAGAGAGATAATGGGTGAGAATAGTGGGTCGGTTTCTCCTGTTTTGCCTCGTGGCACCATACCTGCAGATTTAATCTTCGTTAAATGTTGGAGAATCACATGTATCAATCTCACCATAAACCTGCCTGCTACCACTCGGCCTGTTTCTGAACGCTTGTTTATGCCGCTGTCTCTATTTCCCTGACCAGTTTTGCCAATTGCTCTCACATGGGGGCTTAATTTGTTTTGGTGATGTGCTTGTTTGTTGGGTAAAAGCAGTTAATGTGCTGCGGAGCTGCAGCATTTTGCAAATGGCAGCACATGATACCCCTCTCAGCACGGACATATTTTAGGAAGATTTTATCGGATATGTATGGAGGACCTCTAGCTTTGTGTGCGGAGCGGCAGAGCTTCTTGTGAAGCAGGACACTCTCCACCACATTAGAAAAGTGACAAACTAAGGAGCAGCAGGAGTGTAATAGAGATGTTTTCTGTTTGTGTGAATCTGCTTACTGTAACTTAGCACACAGCAGGACCAAGGTGCATTCATACAAGATCATCATACATCATAGCAAAAAAAAAAGGGGTTGAATCTTACCGCCCGTTGTGGCGGCTGAAGTCTTCTTTGTGTCCTAACATAATTTTTCCACTTTGTTACTAAAGTGCCTGCACTTGGTGAGGTGATGTGACCTCGTGGCTTTATGTAACCATCCTCTTGATTTAAAAAAATAAATCGCCCTCTGTGAAAAGTGTTCATGTGGAAGTTTGTAATACTCCCATTTTTATCACGAGGATCTCACTTGCTTCGTGAAAACGGCAGAAACCTGTGAAATTATTTGCATTGCATCATTTTAATGAGAGTTAGCATACCAGTGTCAACTATCTCTCTTATTTATTGTATTTTATTTATATATAAAGCTGAGAGACAGGCAAGAATACAAAAATGACAGAGTTAAAGTAAAAGAATAAAATCAGACATAAAATAAACCCGATTTTTAAGGCCAGACGCTGAGGGAGACAGGTCAGTGTCTCACCTTAAGGGTGAGATGAAACTCACATTTTTAATGCAGTCTCACAGGCAATCATGCAGGTTGGGAGGTTTTTTTCTTGTAATTCAAGGTTACCATATCTTATTAAGTGCTCAACCTGTTTTCCTCGCTCATTAGATTATTTGCTCCTTACACAGTTATTGCATTCAGGCAGCTGCAGCCCATCAGATTTACACACAAATACTGTATTTGAGTTATATTTGAAATAGCAGGACTTTTTCTAAGGTTAGAATTTGCAAAGCTGCTCAGCAGACAAATTTCAGGTGCCTTTTTGGAGACAACCTTATACTTTATACCAGAGATGGTGTCATACACCACCCTGGCATTTAGAGCGCTGCCAGGTGCTGAGCCACATTTAAACAGAGACACTTTGTTAAATGATATCACATATTTAAGATGTATGTGTGGGTACATAAAGAGCTGATGCAGGGAGTTAAACCATACAAATCTGTATGGAGAGTAAAGTAGAGGATCCAGTCCCAGATTTATCCCTGTTTCTCCTCTGGAAGTGTGGACTTGTTCAGGCGAGGCTGTAATAAATCTGACATGAGAGCTACTGACGCATAAAGACACCTTTAAACAATGGGTGCTCATCATCAGTAACAGCCCTGCAGGTGTCATGTTGACAAAGATAAGGGGGACTTTTTAGTAGACTCTAATAAAATCACAAATCTGGAAAAGGCTGAAGAAGTTTTTATTTTTTAGATGGTTTGTCTAAAACTGTTCCAGACTCCTCTCTCAGAGCAGTGCTGCAGGAGGCGAATACCCTTTTCTGACCTGGCCTTGAAATTACTCCCCTGAAAGACCATCGGCAGTCGTCTTTTTCTCCATAAAGGCGTTTTAATAGAGAAGAGTCCTTCTTGTTTTGATAGCTCAGACTGTTTCTACTGAATTAATGTATCTGAGGATAACCTGCTGTAGTTTGAACCGACTTTTTGTAGCAGACAAAGTCAACGCCTTTTCATTCCTCTCTGTCCTTTCGGTGTTGATCCATCTGTGCCAAAAACCGAGACTGGGCATTAAAGTATAGGTTTTGATATTCACTCCTCATAGTTAATTGAAAAACTGGACTGGTTTTGTGTCTCTGGTTCTTGATCAGCGTCCCCCACTGTTTACAGAGGAAACACACACCTAGAGTCTTTTCATGTTTCTGTTGACAACACAGTAAAGGGAAGTGTTCGAGCTCTTGATCTGAACCACGTTTGGATAACTTTCCCCTCCTTTGTGGCCTCAGTTTCCTCTGTAACTGACCTTGTCTGACCTGAGCAGCTCCAGCACCTCCACCCCCTCTCCCCTCCTCCCCGCCTTTTCTTGGCTCTGTCTGTTTCGGTTCACAGCTGGTGCTGCCCTCCGCTGCCTGTGTGAGTTTTCAGACCACCTAAAGAAGCAGAGAGCAGGCAGTGTCTTTGTCTTTTTCTCCATGTGTCTCCCTGGAGTTGCAGCAGACAGAAGGGCTGTGAGGGTGGCTGAAAGAAGGGAGGGAGGGGAGAGAAAGGGGATGCAGGAGGCTGAGAATCAGCAGCTCAGCCCGGCTTGGACACCAGAGCCGCAGTGTGGCGTGCCGGTGCACATTTTAAAACCCCCACGACTGTCTGCTTCTCGCTGGGTTTTGTTTGTTCCTCCTCCTCGTCCCCCCCCCCCCCCTCCAAACTTCTGTCAGTTCTTCTACCTCTATTTCCATCTCGCTTTCTTTCTCATGGCTCTTACATCACCTGACGGGAGTTTTTTCTCGTCAATGCAGCAGCGAGCAGATGAGTCAGGCTGGGCTGAATCTCCTCCAGCGCCATGATCCTGCCTCTCCTCCCCTCTCCTCTCCTCTCCTCTCCTCTCTTCTCCTCTCCCTCTCCCTGCAGATATAACCAGCGGGAAAGAGGTGAACCAGTGCAAACCCTCCAACCTCCTTTTGTTTCCCATCCCAGAGTGACTATTTAGCGCTAGTTTGGATCAGTGTTGTAGGAAAGGGGAAATGTCAAGTCAAAACTGTTCAGTTCTGTAATCTGCTCCGACCAGAGCCAGTGTTTTAATTTGCTGCCTCGTAAACTGTGGTGCTGACTGTGTGTGTCTGTGTGGAAATTACAGCGGCTACCTCAAAGGATCCTCACCTTCAGTACTAGAAGTGTTTGCAGCTTTGTGTGTGTGTGTGTGAGTGTGAGTGTGTGTTTGTGAGACAGTCAGCCAGACAGCGCAGGCAGACATGTGTCTGTGCTGACTGCAGATGAGATGAAGTGTTTACTGACACAGGGAGCATCTGCCACACGTGCTCCTCCATATCCTCACTCTGCGGTGCTCTTATTTTGATAGGATCTTCAGTTAGGCTGTACCTGGGCAGCCTTCGAAGCGAGGCATGTCTGATCTCTCTCTGCCAACATATCGATCCAGCCTTTTTTTCACTTTGACGAGTGCCGACTTGAGTGCTGTTAAAAATATACCCTTAAAAGTGACCAGTGCTTCTCTGTAAACGTTGAGTTTCTGTCTTTTTCAGAGACTTTTTTTTTTTTTTGTTTGTTTCTTTTGCAGTGTTTGAAATGCTCCAGCAATTGAATGTAAGCAGTAGCAGCAGCAGCAACTATGTAAACAACTTTTACAAAGGCGGCTACACAAATGAGTCATAGAAAGCTGAATACAAATTAGCAGTATGTGTCAGTTTTAAAGGAGGTGTGATGATCACAATAAGAGAACTGGCTGACAGATAAAGAGCCCAGACGCGATGAAAACGTGTGATAGGATTAAAAAACAGATTTAAAACTTATAACCCTGGTTAGAAAGCACAACGCAGATGCTAATAGTTTAGTAAGCGATGATTTGAATGAGCTTAATGAGAACAGCACAGCTTCTGTTTGTGGACTGAATCGTCTGCGAGACTGTTATTTTCAGGTGTCTCTATTACTTTGGTCACCCTATGTTATATTGCTAAGCTCCCCACTAATATGTTACCATGGTAACCATAGGTGGCTGGTATACAATCCACTCATCTTTCAGCTCCATCCCTCAGTCCATGCAGTCACCTGTTTGTCCTCTGTGCGGATCAATAAAAAACAACAGTGAGGGCAAATTTGGTGTGTATTGAGGTTGCCATGGAAACAATTACAGGCCCCTCCGTGTGTCCATACATTCCTTATATGCATATGTCATCTATCCATCCATTCACCCACTGCTGCGTCCTTCTGCACAATAAATAAGTACAGGTATAAATAGCACATCTCAAGTGCTCCACCTGTCAATCACTCTAACCCTGGATTATACAACACATTATGGAGATTATATCCACGAGTTCTTTAATCGTTTCAGTTTGTCAAATGTCAAAAGAGGCGCTCTGAGATTTTTTGAGAGATGCAGACAGTAAATAGTATTTTTATACATGTAGAGATCGGGGCGAAGATGTGTGGACTGAAATCTTTCAGATAAAACATCCTGAATAACAAATGAGCCCAGAGGTCAGCCTGCGTTTAGATTTCTGCTCTACTTTTCTGTGCTTAAAACTTCTTTATTATTTTTACTTTGAATCACTTGTGCAGAAATTTCTTAAGTCCGTCTTTTGCCCTCTGTGCGAATACTGACTGCACTTTCTGCGATCACAGAAATCCGTTCACTGGAGTTGGAAAAAAGCTGACGTCATGCATTCACAGTTTTATTTTGTTGAAGATGGAATAAAAGATTTGTTTTTATTCAAAGTGCTTCAGAAAAGACTGCCTCTAACACCAAACCAAGGATCAGCTGATATATACATGAATAATGTGATGGCAGTGAATTCCAATAAGGTGTTAGGTGAAAGCTCTCTTGTTTGGATAACTGTGCGGTGATGTCTTCGCAGTGAATAAATGTCACATTATTCTCTTGGATGGCACTTTCCAGAACATGTCCTCCATTTTGAGGTTATTTTTATGGTTAAGGCTAACAAAATACTTCTTTTTATAAAAGGTGAATCTCCCTGTTTAAGGCTCGTTCTCCCTCAGTCTCTGATATGGATTTAACATCTCGATTTCCCTCTCCACAGGGAAACGACTTGAGAAAGATTCTCCTCACACGCTACATTGGAAATCAAAAGCTTCTCTCCAAGTCAGAGCTGGGGAGTGGAAACAGCTCATCTGGCGGCTTTGTCAAGCCGTCATCCGGAGGTACTGAGAACCCCAAATAAACCTGGTTAGACACCACAATAACCGCACACAACAGCAGATGACATGACAGCATTCTTCTTCTTTGGAGAAGAGCGACTTGACAAATGCAGGCAGACTTTGGATCTGGCTTGAGCGATTCCTAAAGCAACGCATAAACAATACTTTTGTGGAAACAGATCAAAAGATGGTAAAAGTGTGTAGAGAGGGAACTTCTCAGAGCAGAAGGTGTTAAATACCAATATTTAATCTTTGCAGGAGGTTCTGCTATGCTGGACTCTGACAAGCCCTGCAGCAGTATGGTGGAGATCCAGTGTCTCTTGGACAACGTCGGCACGTCAGAGCTGGTGATCGACCTCATTGTCAACACCAAGAATGACAGAGTGTTTGAGGAGAGCATCCTGCTGGGAATCGCTCTTCTGCAGGGTGGAAACACGCAGATACAGGTGAGGGGTGCGTTCAGGTGCAGACTCTTAAAGATTCAGATTTAGATGCATGTTTATAACCACTCTTCTTTGCACACAGAACTCCTTCTATAGTCAGCTCTACAAGCAGAAGAAGTCAGAGAGGTTCTTCAAGGTTTTCTACGACCGCATGCGTCTGGCACAGCAGGAGATCCGATCCACCGTGTCCGTCAACATGTTTGAGCTCAGCTGCAGGAAAAGAGATGATGACTGTGACATTGGTGGCATCAGGCTCAAAAAAGGTCAGTTTGGTGATCATGAATGAACATCTTATAGCCACATAATGAGCAGCAGGGATATTTCTTAGCAGCACAGTGAGCTTTTTCACAGACACAGGCCTGAAGTGAATGAAAAACCACAAAAAGCCCCAAATAAAAGCTCATAAAAAAGGTTTTTTCCTTCCCTCTGAGTTAAAACAATAGTGTGGGATAAATCCAGAAAGATCTTTGTTGCTCTGCTGACCTCTGTGCAGACTGTTGTTCTCCGTTCCTGCAGTCACATGTCCTCTGACATGTGAGGGCCGGAATCACAAGCTTATCAAAAGACTATTGTATCATGGTTGAGTGCGTTTATGCAACAGAACCCCACTCAGTATTTGCCCAATCATAGGGTAGGAGGGTCTGTGAATTTGGTTTTAACATATCTAGATGTTTATGTAAAGTTATATCAATAAACTGCAACCTGTCACAAATTTGGAGCAAACCTGTTCTCCTCATGCACTCACAAATATCCATCTTCTACAGTAACTCATGTCTATTCTACGTCTACATCCAGGAAAGGACTCAGGCCTTCACATGAGGGAGGACATGCGAGGGCAGCTGAAAGAGGCGTCCTCCGTGACCTCAAAGGCCTTCTGTGCCTTCAGAAAAGAGCTTGATCCTGACCTGGAAGGCCTCGGCCAAAACAGCGAGATAATCGGTGCAGAGGAGGCTTTAGAGGAAACTCAGATGAGCCCAGCCATCACCATCATGAAACCCATCCTGCGTTACCTGCAGCTGCTCTGTGAGAACCACAATTCAGACCTGCAGGTACCTGAAACTTTCTGCGATCAAGATCACGATTATTGAAATTTCCCCACACGCAAAGTGAATATTATTTTTCTGCTCTGAATCCAGAACTTTCTGCGCAACCAAAACAACAAGACAAACTACAACCTGGTGTGTGAGACTCTTCAGTTCCTGGATTGTATCTGTGGAAGTACCACGGGAGGTCTGGGGCTGCTTGGCCTTTACATCAACGAGAATAACGTAGATCTGGTTCGCCAAACCTTGGAGACCATCACGGAGTACTGCCAGGGGCCCTGCCATGAAAACCAGGTGGTTCAGTTATGAGGTTTTCTGTTAGTTATATAGCTTTAATAAAGATTTTGGTCACAGTCGCATTTTGTCAGTGCAGTAAAGCTCCCTATTTCATGTTTTTGGAAAGAAGTCTGATTTTTTAACTCCAGTATCTCAGCCAGTTTTCCTGATCTTGGCATGGTCAAATACGAATCTGGCACCACTCTTTGCTCAGCGTCTTTTCCATCATCTTCTTCTGCTAAATTTTGCTGTTGTCCTTTATTTGTGCAGACCTGTATAGCCAAGCACGAGTCAAACGGCATTGACATTATTATAGCGCTGATTGTCAACTCCATCAACCCCCTGGAGAAACATCGGCTGGACTTGGTGCTGCAGCTCAAGGTGAGCAGCAGGTGTCTCTATGTTACTGTGGCAAAACCAATATTTGTTTTACAGCAGCAATTACCTGAGAATATTAGAATATAATTGAACCATAGGGTTGACCTTGTTTATTTGCTACAGCTGAACGAACCATCTCTGCTCTTTCTCTATGTTGTAGAACAATGCCTCAAAGCTCCTTTTGGCTATAATGGAGAGCCGCCATGACAGCGAGAATGCAGAGAAGATACTCTACAAGATGAGACCGACTGAACTGGTAAATATCAGTCAGGATACACGCACACAAACATGCACACACTCTGAAAATGTGTATTCAAAGGAGCAGACTGAAGGCAGCTGTAACTTTTGGTATTTTTGTGTGACAGGTGGATGTGATGAAGGAAGCCTATGCTCAGGGCCTGGAGAGCGAAGAAGAAGAGGACAGTGCAGGAGACCAGATCAAACCCAGAGACGTCGGACACAACATTTACATCCTGGCCCATCAGGTAAACTGAACGCCTGGACTTGGTTTTGTCTGTGACTGAGGCGTTGGTGCATTTCCTTCCCTCTGTCTGTCTGACCTTTCAATGACCTCAGAGCCCTGCACTGCTGTAGTTTTTATGTGTGTTGCTGCATGCCTGCTCCTTTTGTGTGTCCCCCTCTGAGATAAACGTACCGCTCTGCCAGGTTGATAAAATTAACTTTCAGGACGTGACACCAGCTCAGCAGACGTGTGCTCTCTACAGCAGGCGTTAGTTACTGTATCAGTTGTGGTTTGTTATGTCCAGGCTGTTAAAAGTAAAGAAATGAGGGTGTCATTGAGGAAGTGGTCGTGTTTTTCATGTGCCTTCCTCTGTAGTTTTTGTCGATTTAGAGGTCAGACGACGTCTGACAAGTTTTCACTTCTGCATCTTAAAACCTTGTGTCAAACGGGGTATTTTTATCAAACAGACGGCTAGTTTCACTATTTCATGGGAGGTCTTTTTTTAACCTGTTTATCTGACTCATGTTTCTACTTATGACACACAAACCTGAATGTGAGCTCATCAGATATCTTTTGAAGACTTTATCTTGACGTTGTCCCTGAATATAGCTGCCGGTCAATGTTGTCCCTAAGCTAGTGATGAGGAAGAAATTACCAGCTGTTGAAAGGTGGAAAGTCGACCTTTACATCCGTCTTAAATGGCAGTGATGCTATTTACAGGAAAAAAAAATCTATTTTTAAAATTTCTAATACGTACTCCTCGATAAATGATATGTTTAGAGAAATTAGCCCTGAAACAAAAGGAAAAAGGGAAGAAAGCCAAAGGCGTCCAACATTACAGGAAACTGTTCACTCTTAACCCACTGTTACACAACTGTTCCTCTGTTTACACTATTTTCTTTTTATAAAGTCCCTCTATGGCCCAGTAGCACATACTTCAGCTGAACTTTTATTACCAGCGTCGAAAAGCAGGAAGGAAGAAGAAAACAAGGCAGTAAGTTTTAGCCAAGAAAGCTTCAAAGTCCCGACTGTACACGGGCTGCTCAGCAGCGGAGGGCAGACAGACTCTTTCAGGGGACAATCTGTAGATAAAGAGCAACATTTAGACACCAAAGAGACAGATACACTTCAAATACAGAGTTTAGTCTTTGTTCTTGTTTTTTTGAAGTAGCCAAAGTTAAATATTCCCCTAAATGCATGAGATTTTTTTTGTTTTGTTTTATAACTATAATAGTAATTTTTGATTGTAGTCCAACTACCTAAAAGTTGATGTCTTTTAGTTTATTCATTGTTTATTCTGGTAGATTAACAGTGTATCTTTCATTTGAGCTCACAATGGATTACAGTGTTGGTAAGGAATCTTTCTGGGTTTTTCCTGAAGAACTCTGTGACCCAGACATAGTTTATATCATAACAAGTTCTTAAAAATAGGATTACTGGCTTCAGGCATTTTTGCGTACCACTGAACCATGACAATAAACCCAAACTCAGTAGGGGAGAGTGGGGTAAGTTGAGCCACCCCCTGTTGCTTGGAAATGGTAAAAGAAATTGATCATGTGACCTAATATTAAGGAGATGGACATCAATTCATGGAGTCTGTGAAGGTTAGAAGCACATGGATGAAGGAGTTAGACATTTTTCACTCTTGAAAGTGAATTTAGTCTGTCATAAGTTTTATTAGAATTGTGTTCAGACCAAAAAAAGATCATTTTAAATTTGTTTTACACATCAATTGTGGTATCTATGAGCTACAACATGAGGTCAAAAACCTGGCATAAAAGTCCACCATTTTAGCTTAGAGGACTAATAAAGTCATAATAGTAGTTCTGGGGTAACTAAGAAAGTAAAGGAGTCTGATGAGAGGATCAGAGTTTCAGGTCCAATTAATGAAATGTTTTACTTTTTCTTTTCAAAATTACAGCTTTGAATGTTCTGAATCACTTAAAGGCATTCTCATGTTAAAATGACTTTTTACAAAACAGCTTTTTAGCAACTATATGCAAAAATAATAGAAAAAGAGTTATTGTACCAGTTGAATAGTGTATAATAGATAAAAATACACATGAATGTGAAGAAGTGACTGTTATTGAGGGAGCAAGAAGGTGAGGGAGGGCTGGGGTGTGTGTGTGTGTGTGTGTGGGGGGGGGGGGGGGGTTGTAGAGATACGGCTCAACTTACTTTTTTGGCATGCTATATTGTCAAGACAGTTATGTTTACAGTCATTCTGTTGGTTTGCAGGGATGAACAACATCTTAAAATATATGCAGATACACTAGTTAGAGACAAAACTATGATTGTCCTGATGTAGTGATCTGAAATATGAAAAATAGCTCATCTTATCCCACTCTCCCCTACAATGCTGAAAAAGGTCCAAGTCTGTTTGATGAAAAAAAAACAGGTAAACTCAACAGGAAGGCAGAAGATGATAAATAAATATGAGTCAAAAAATAATGAGTAATCTCTTCCTTTGGATTCTAGCTGGCACGGCACAGCAAGATCCTGCAGCAGAGCCTGAAACCAGGGTCAGTGTTGGGATCAGTATCAGTGGTTGACCCCGACAATGAGAAGGATGACGCCCTTCATTATTACGCCAATCACACTGCTCAGATCGAGGTACACCCGCGTCTCATCGCCTCTCCCTCTCAGCACTTTATTAAACAAGCAAATCCCACCGAACAAAACTCAAAGTATTTTCTGTGCAATTGTTCCTCAGATTGTGCGTCATGACCGCACCATGGAGCAGATTGTGTTCCCAGTCCCTAACATCTGTGAGTACCTCACTGAGGAGTCTAAGATGCGAGTGTTCACCACCACCGAGAGAGATGACCAGGGCAGCAAGGTTAATGACTTCTTCCAGCAGTTTGACAACCTCTACAACGAGATGAGGTGGCAGAAGAAGATCCGCAGTAAGTCTTTAGATTTTGAATCCAGTGCTTGGAAAATAATAATGATGGCGGAGGAAGCATGCTGCAGAATGGTAAATCGTGACTATTATCCATTGTGTATAGTTATTGTTAGTCTAGAATAAATTGAAGTGCCTCTAGCAAAGTTCAGTGTGTGTGTCACTGAACTCATGGTTTGTGTGTGCAGAGAACAAGGCTCTGTTCTGGTTCTCGAGACACATCTCTTTGTGGGGGAGCATCTCCTTCTACCTGGCCTGTCTGGTCAACATTGCAGTGGCTGTATTCTACCCCTTTGGTGACGATGGAGATGAAGGTGAGAAGTTTTAAGTCATTTTGCTGATCTGTTTGTTTTGACTGAATCCACGATGCTGGACAGACGGTGTTGAGTCAAGTTTTAGGCAGGGGTGTGTCCAGAGGAGTGGCCAGGGGGTGGGATGCCTACCCACCCCCCCCGGTGTCACCAAAAATAAAAAACCTAAGTAACAAAAATAAATAAATAGATCCAGTAGATGCTATCCATCTGTGCATGAAAGGGATTCCTGAGCCTAAGCTTGAACTGGGCCACTTAACTTAAAATAGTCTGGACACGCTCCTGCGTTGAGGAAGATTGTTCACTGTTGTCAGTGTGACAGATGAACCTCTATTGAATTACTAGACCTCCAAATAGGAGGTTTATCTGTATTGATGGTAACAGCCTTCTTTAAAAAAACAGAATATTGAATTTGTGCTAAAAATAAGTGTACAGAAGCTCCAATAGCAGTTTAGGCATGCCCTACATACGCAGGTGGCCTGGGTTCACTTCCAAACTTTGGCCTTTTTTTCTGCATGTCGTTCCCCCGTTTCCGGCTCTATCCACTGTCCTCTGTCTGCCAATGAAGGCCAATTTTATTTATTCAAACACTAACACACTTGTTGTATTATTCAGCCGAAGATTATTTCAGTTTAATGAACAAAAATGATGAGGAAGACACTTAAAATGACAACATTTGAAAATAAACTGATGATTGAAAAAATGATTGTTTCAGTGTTTATTCTCTTTGTAATTTTTATCTCTTGTCGGAACCATCTGTCAATCTATTAGTCTGCGAACATTTGCTTTGCTCTTTATGAACAAATAATTACAAACTAAGATGAATATTTTCTATTTCCTTGGACTTCTTGTGCCTTTATTCAGGCGATTGAAGAGTGGGTAGAGGACGAAACTGGAACGAGAACGACACAAAGTCTGATTTGAACCCAGGCCATCTGTTTCCGACTCTGAAGCCTGCTAATGGGGCGGGTTGAACCACTGAATTTAACAACATTATAAGTTATGAACTGAAGGGGGAATTTCACTGAGCAGTTTCAGTTTGAGTGTCCTGGTCTTTTGGGTGCTGACTTGCACGCACCCTTGCTCAGATATTCAAATAAAACAGAGTCATTGTTAATGTCATTAGTAACAGCGCGTCCCCAGCTGTCACCGTTCAAAATACCAGCTGTGAAAAGATGGATACTATGCTCCTTTAATTGTATCCTGTTCCTGCATGACATTAACTCTCCTGTGTCACCTAAAGTCTCTCATTTCAGAGCTCAGAACACCCACACAGCTGTTTTTACGTCTCACTTGTCTGAAAAGGCCACTGGATGGAGTATGTTGTAAAAAAACATGCTACGTGAAATCCCCCTCAAGTTTTACTCGCCTATGACGTATAAACTTCGACTTTCATCATAAACTTTATTGCCGTGTTCAGACTGTTGACGTCAGTCAGGTCACTGAAACATCTGCACTCTGACATATTAGAGTTGTTTATTACTTTTTCTAATTTTATGTTTCGTCTCTTTACATGACATTCTGTGTTGCAAGATAACGTTAAGGTTTTGTTTTACAGGCAGTTGCATCATGTCAGGGGGATTTAACGACTATCTGCAGATATAAAGAGTTTGTTTTAACTGTGCATGTTTTTTTTCTCACTTAAACATGAGAAATATCTCCCCTTTGTCTCTGATACGTGTTCAAATGTTTTCCTTTCATCAAAAAATCATCTATAAGTTACAATTTCCAAACTGGTGGTTTGCTCAAAAAGAGACGGCTGTTTTGAGTTGGCGGTCCCTGCAGACCACTGTTTGACATTTGAAAGTGTTGCCTCTGACTGTGTTGTGCTAAGTTAAGCTCTTAGATCTGTTGAATTATTCATTAAAGAAATGCCACAGCGTTTTAGGGCGTTGATGTGTAGTTTCTTGATTGATGCTTCGTTCCCCTGCCCAGGCACCTTGTCCCCGTTCTGGAATATCTTACTGTGGGTGGCACTGGGGGTGTTTACGGCGTTACTGCCCGTCTTACCCAAGCCCTGGGGCATCCTGTTCTTCCTGGTGTCCCTTATTCTACGTGCCATCTACACCATGGGCCTCGCTCCTGCCCTGCTGTTGCTGGGTACCATCAATGTAAGTAATGGGGAAACTGGACAAAGAGTTGTCAGTCGATGATGATTATCTTCTCTTGAGTGTATTCTTTCTTTTTCAGTTGTTCAACAAGTTAGTCTTTCTAGTAAGTTTTGTGGGCAACCAAGGAACGTTTACTCGTGGCTACAAAGCAGTTGTCATGGACATGCTCTTCATCTACCATTTGGGCTATGCCATCATCTGCGTCCTGGGGCTCTTTGTGCACGAGTTCTTCTACAGCTTTTTGGTAAGAAACCTCTCTCACGTTGTGTTGTGACTGAATGATCAGTGAGGAACTTCAGAGACAAACATCCTGCTGAAGAAGGATGGTTCCTCTCAATCAATATGCAGACGACTCACTGATGTATATTTCCTCCCACAGCTGTTCGACCTGGTGATCCGAGAAGAGACGCTGCTCAACGTCATCAAGAGTGTGACTAGAAACGGGCGCTCTATTATTCTGACAGCTGTTCTGGCCATTTTCTTGGTGTACTTCTTCTCTATCATCGGCTTCCTATTCTTTAAGAGCGACTTCCGCATGGAAGTGGACCGCCTTTCTGCTCCAGGTCAGAACTTCTTCAGTCGTCACAACACTGTTTATCATTGTGTTACTATTCCATGCACAGTTTACACACCAGTGTTTCCAAATTAGGTCTATTACTCAGCAGGTACTCCTCACTCAGCTCATGCACAGAAATCCCAATACCTGCGGTTTGTTGAGTCATCGTTGCACGCAATACCCCAAATATTTCCAATGAAAATACAGTCTTTTTTTTTTTTTACTCTATACAAATCACCAGATTTTCTGCATATTACACTCTTCTCCTGAGTTTAACCTCAGCTTATTCAGTCCTTTATCTCATGCTCGTAAACATCTGTGTCCTAAAGGTGCACTTTGTTACAGTGTGCTCATAAACATCTGTAGATGGTACACAGATTGTTTTTTTATTTTCTCTCTCTTGTCCTCAAAATACTTAAAGTGCATTTACCTCCTTGTTTTGATTTTCAGCCCTAACTTATGTGACTTGAATAACTCATAAACCTTAAATAACTCATAGACCTTCATCCTTGGTGTTAATTATTATCCAAAATAAAATATAACTAGATAGGACCTTTTTGGGGGGGATGAAAATGTTTCTATATAACCAGTCTTCGGATAAGAAAGGCTGAATATGCACACTCGAGGGAATGTACACATCCAGACACATGTTTTGAAAACACACTGCAGAGAGTGGGCGTGTTAATGAGCTCCGGCGGAGTGCTCTGATGGTCAGGAAGACAACCTGCTAGCACATGTGCACCTGTTGCATAACCTGGTGGCCGTGCCATTCTGTGTTTTGCTGAATAGAGCGCAGCAGACACAGCGAAGCAGTGGTGGGTTATGTAATCAGCCCAGATCACGCCCGTCTATCTGTTAGCTGCGGGGTGAGCTGAGGTGCAACCCTGAGCTCCATCAATTCTTGGGAGCACCCTGTCCACGCCGCTGCTGCCCAGAGGCTGTGACCCCTGCACCCTCCCTCAGCACCCCCCTCTACTCCCCCTCTTACTCCCTCCTTTCTCTCTTGTGCCTCAGCTCTGTCCTCTGTGCTCCAGCCTGTCAGTGTAAAAGCACTTTTGGTGACTCTCTGACCCAGGTGTACAGTTCTCCTTCTGCCTGTCTGCCTCAGACAATCACATTCAAGAAGAGCTCCTCTGCTGCTCAGGGCCTTGCCGATGTGCAAATGATTTGTTCAGGATTTTTCAGCACTTCACCGCCCACCAAGCAGCTGCTGCCTCACTTTACATAATGTCTGACTATACCCCTCTCGCTGATTTTACTGGAGCGAATGAGAATTAGCAGGGAGTAGTTTTAGTGCCAGTTGTACCAACTTTTTTCATTTGTGAATTTTCAGTGCCGGTTTTATTCATAAAACACTGAATGTTTGTTGTTTTTTGTTTGTTTTTAAGGAAAAGGGGAATTACTGAGTGGCAAGGGACTTTCTGAGTCATGTATGAAAGACAGCTGTTCTGTGACAGCGCCTGGTGAGTTTCACAGATGCATTAACATGTTGGTTTAGTTCAATCAAACTTTAGTGTAGTTTACCCTGTGTTTTTACTCATTTTACCTCCCAGTCTTTGCAATTATGAAAGCCACTCCTGTGAAGTCTCTTTGTTGGGAATTGCCCCCTCATATTTGAAGATTTTTTAAATGAATGGACAAATTTAAAGATTTTGTGGTCCCACCAGGGTGTGGGTGTGTTTGTGACCTTTGCAGCGGTAGTCAGTCCATGAAAGGTTACTCACACACACACACACACACACACACACACACACACACACACACACACACACACACACACACACACACACACACACACACACACACAGGCGTCCACACAAAGAAACTTGCTGTGGCAGAGGGGGTGACTCACACTCCTGTTTGTTCTGCTGTGTCTCCATGGATCACCTGCACCATAGGGGCTCACACGTGATTACCTCCACATCCTTCACCTCCACTTTCTCCTCAGCAGTCATGCTTTCATGCATTTCTTATTCATACTACAGGCTCATGTCATATGGGATATTAATAATTGATCACACTTCTCCATAGATTATTGAGTTTTTTACTCTCATTTTGATCCGTTTTATTCTCCTTTATGAGGAGTCCAAGATGCCATTTGCTGCAACTTTAGTTTCTATATTAACAGACGTCCTTCAAGTTGTCTGTTCAGTGAAGTTGATAGAGGTGATAGTTGTTAATTTTGTGCAAATTTTTGATCATCAAATGTGAAATAAAAGGTGTGAGGGTGGTGATTAACTTCATTCATGTTGTGTGCTCAATCTTTGACTCTTTTTTACTTCATTTGCTGTAAATAAGAGGACAATACTACAAACTGTCTCCTTTTTGACAACAGTTTCTATGTACTCTGTCAAAAATACATCTTTTACTGTCTAACCTCTTCTCTATCTCTTCTTGGCCCTTCCATGTGTGTTGTTTGTCTGGTTGTAGATGAAGATGATGAAATTGAGCGTGTGTGCGACACTCTGCTCATGTGTATAATTACGGTGTTGAACCAGGGTCTTCGTAATGGCGGAGGTGTTGGGGACATTCTTAGAAGACCCTCCAAGCAGGTGAGACGACCTCTAGATAAATAAGCGTAAGAGTTTCTTAACCCTGAGATACTCGTGATTCATGTAATGTGCTCACCCGTGTTTCACACCTTTCAGGAGCCTCTGTTCGCAGCCCGAGTGGTTTACGACCTCCTGTTCTTCTTTGTTGTCATCATCATTGTTCTCAACCTCATCTTTGGCGTCATCATCGACACTTTTGCTGACTTGAGGAGCGAGAAGCAGAGAAAGGAGGAGATCCTGAAAACCTCCTGTTTTATCTGCGGTATGTACAGCCGCTAGTGTGTGTTACACAGCGCTGTCTTAAAAGTGAACTTATTTTAATGGAGGTCATGTCTCGCAGGGTTGGAGAGGGACAAATTTGACAACAAGACCGTGTCCTTCGAGGAGCATTTTAAATCTGAACACAACATGTGGCACTACCTTTACTTCTTGGTTCTGGTGAGGGTGAAGGATCCAACTGAGTACACGGGTCCGGAGAGCTACGTGGCACAGATGATTGCGGTAAGTTGACGTAAAATTTATGCAGCAAACACAGAAAAACTATTACACTCTGTCTCTGTTATTGAAAACTAAATCTCGGATGTCCTTCAAAGTAGAAATCTGCTCCAGCATTAAACACCGCAGCTTAGGTTACACTGCATCTGTAAAAGTGAAGGATTTGGAGACTGCATTGCACTATTACATTAAGATGGCAGACAAGGGCATAAACACACCCAATCTTTACTATTCTGCAAACAAGCACAGTTATCTCACCGCCTAATTCATATTTTTGCTTGTGAGCTTTACCAATCAGCATACAGATGTGTCGGTGTTAAAGTTGTGCAGCCCTCCTCGCTTCTCACTTTTCAGACTTGCAGAGTGTGCTAGAGGAGCGTGAGCCTCCACAGCAGACAAGCGATCGAAAAATGAGCCTGAGCCTCTAGGCCTGTGCCAAGCATCCCAATTTATTCTCCTCTCCTCTCCCCTCCCTGCTGGAGAGACATGGCTCTGTGTGTTCAGGTAGTCTTCACTGTGCTGAGCTCCTAACCTGCTGGGACGCAGAGTGGTTAAATGGTAATTAAACTCAGTCTGGCTCTATTATCATCAATGCACCAACTTGCTGCACTGACACACAGACAAGAAGTTGAAGGATGTAAGGGCGACTAAAGGTGTTGCTGTGAGGTTAATGGATTCAAATGAAGCCGAGCGGCACAATGGCACATTTAGTGATTAACATTTGGCCATGACAGGCATAAGAATGGTGGCATTATAATGAACAATTTGCATAACAAACAGGTGACAGACATTGGATTAATATGCATCAGCAGGTCCTCTAATAGGTCGACTCTGTGATACCAGGCCAAAGTATCTCTGTGTGATGAGGTAATGATGAGTCAGGAATTTGTACTAACGCCTCCTTGTGTGGCTTCGAGCAGAAATAGCAGAACAGGGATGAAGTTGGACAATACAACTTTGTTTGAACTTGTTTTGTACATTGTTGAACTTATTTGAAGCTTTTATGAAACTCCATAAACCAGCTATTCAGATTTTTATTCTCAGCGACGAGGAACATGAATTGTTTACTTTGGAGCAGTTTCAGTTCAAGTGATGTTATTTTTAACTAAGATGTATTTCTTTATAAATAACTTGAAAAAGAGCTGAAACTTGAATGTTGTGATTAGAGACAACCAACTGTTCACCAGTAAGGATACTGCTTTTCAAACACACATGGCTTCACTTGTGCATCCAGCCTTTTCTTCCAACTTTATTATCATATCAGTCTTTATTAACAGATGCAAAATGACATATATCCTCCTTATGCATGAAGAAATATTTGAAGAAAGAACACTGAAGTAATTTTATGGAAGTTTAATGTCCCCGTCCTTAAAGAAAGACCTCAAACTAACAATGAAATACTTTGAGAGGGTTGCTATAGAGCACAATAGATGTTTATCAGGGGAAACAAAGCTCAGAATGGGGTCACGCATTATGTTTTATGAAGGGGAACAAATGTGTGTTTGAGGCAGGTGGGAGCCAGTTTGCTGTCAAGTGGTACAGATGCAGATCACGGATCGGGCATGTGATCTGCTGTTCAACAGGAAATTTGAATTGAGGGTGTATAATAGCAGTATTAATAAGACGACTGTCATTTTGTGTCCCGCATGTTCTGACTGTGTGAGTGATGGGCGGCAGACGCCAAGCTCTTCAGTGTTTTCTTACGAGTGGGGTTTAGCCTATGAGACAGGTGACTGTCATTACAGGCTCCTTCAGAACCCGCCTGGAAAATACCAGTGACAGCAACATGATGGCTTAAATATCCCAGAAGTATATCTACACCATGAGTTCCCAATACACAGAGCAGACATTAATGGATGAAGGAGGCTAATGACCTGGACGGCTTTGCTATTTATTTACTTATTTAAACACAAGTTGCACCATGTTGGTCCTCCCCTCCTCTGAGCTGCTGTCAGAGACAAAACATCTGACACAAACACTAAGAGGGCCAGGGCAATAGATTCGGGGACATTTAAAGCTCCTGTAAGGAACTTTTGGCTTGTGTGGATTTTGGCGCCCCCTGTGGACAAACCAGTCTTTGGTTAACTTCTCCAACAAGATTTTTTGTACAGTTAAAGGAGTAGAAAATGTATGTTACAGGGGTACAGATAGTCTAGTGGGTTAGTGTGATCCACGTATAGGGACCATGGTTCCAGCAGTGGATGTGGGTTCAGGTCCAGCCCTGACCATGGGCTGCATGTCCTCCCCTCTCTCTTTCTCCCACATTTTACACACACATAAAAAAGAAAATCTATCATACAAATATCTTGATTTTCAGTTCCTAAAAGTGATTTTAACTGTGACCTTTAGTCCCTGAACCTCACCATGAGATTTGCGATCCTTTGCACCCCTACTCAACATGTTAAGCTCTGACTTTATTCTGTTCTCAGGCTCTATGGCAGTAAAGTTTTCCAACAAAGTGTCAACACAAAGCTGCTGTGAATAAAAACACTGCCCTTTCCTCTCTTTGTTGGTAAAGAGCTAAAACCTGATGACCTCAACACACACACACACACACACACACACACACACACACACACACACACACACACACACACACACACACACACACACACACTCACTCAATAACTCTCTCTCTCTTTCTCTCTTCTCTCTCTCTCTCTTTCTCTGTCTCTTTCTCTCTCACACACACACTCTGACTCTCTCAGTGAGTGCATGAGGTTGCATAGAACACACTGATTTGGCTCATGTTACACTGGCTGTCTGTCTTATGGGCGTGTTGTGCATCAGTGATCGGTGTGCGGGTGTTTGTGTGTAAAATTATGACAGCGACTACAGGCAGAGCAGGTACTGCAGCAGCCACAACGCTGTTATATAACCCATCTCAAGTGGCCTGCTAATAGCTCAGCCCTGCCTGGCACGTGCTCTCCTGTCCTTCTCTCTCTCTCTCTCTCTTTCTCTCTCTCCCTCTCTCTTTATGACACATAGACACTAACGCAAAAACACGCACGCATGCACACACATCACATCACATGACAAATGAGACAGGACACAGAGTAACTGCCACATCATGAACCTGTTATTTACTTTACAGCACATGTGACACATTGCTTGTGACAAAAGCAGCACAAATGTGTGAGTGTAAGGAATGAGCCTAAACCTGATTAAAGGGAGAGGACTGCTTAGATTCATATTTATTTGTTTTGTTAATTGTACAGTGGCTCTTTCAAATTGCTGTCAGTGAGTGTCTGTCTGTGTCTGGTCACTGTAGTAAGTTAAAACGCATGCACTCTTGGCTTGTATTCTGTGTAGTGTGTCGATATATATCTTCACACCAGTCTGTATCTCTGTGTTCTTTGATAACTTAAGTTGTACAAAACCCAATTCCATTGAAGTTGGGAAATTGCGATAAACATAAATAAAGACAGAATACAATGATTTGCAAATCCTTTTCAACCTATATTTAATTGAATACACTACAAAGACAAGATATTTAATGCTCAAACTCATAAACCTAATTTTTTTTTTTTTTTGCAAATAATAATTAACTCAGAATTTCATGGCTGCAGCACGTGCCAAAGAAGTTGGGACAGGGGCATGTTTACCACTGTGTTACATCACCTTTCCTTTTAACAACACTCAGTAAACGTTTGGGAACTGAGGAGACTAATTGTTGAAGCTTTGAAGGTGGAATTCTTTCCCATTCTTGCTTGATGTACAGCTTCAGTTGTTCAACAGCCCGGGGTCTCCGTTGTCGTATTTTACGCTTCATAATGCGCCACACATTTTCAAGGGGAGACAGGTCTAGACTGCAGGCAGGCCAGTCGAGTACCCGCACTCTTTTACTACGAAGCCACGCTGTTGTAACACGTGCAGAATATGGCTTGGCATTGTCTTGCTGAAATAAGCAGGAGCGTCCATGAAAAAGACGTTGCTAGGATGGCAGCATATGTTGCTCCAAAACCTTTATGTACCTTTCAGCATTAATGTTGCCTTCACAGATGTGTAAGTTACCCATGCCTTGGGCACTAATGCACCCCCATACCATCACAGATGCTGGCTTTTGAACTTTGCGTTGATAACAGTCTGGATGGTTCTTTTCCTCTATGGCCCGGAGGACACGATGTCCACTAGTTCCAAAAACAATTTGAAATGTGGACTCGTCAGACCACAAAACACTTTTCCACTTTGCATCAGTCCATCTTAGATGAGCTCGGGCCCAGAGAAGCCAGCGGCGTTTCTGGATGTTGTTGATAAATGGCTTTGGCTTTGCATAGTAGAGTTTTAACTGTATTCACTGACAGTGGTTTTCTGAAGTGTTCCTGAGCCCATGTGGTGATATCCTTTACATATTGATGTCAGTTTTTGATACAGTGCCGCCTGAGCGATTGAAGGTCATGGGCGTTCGATGTTGGTTTCCGGCCGTGCCTCTTAAGTGCAGTGATTTCTCCAGATTCTCTGAACCTTTTGATGATATTATGGACAGTAGATGTTGAAATCCCTAAATTCATTGGAATTGTACTTGTTGAAAAGTTGTTCTTAAACTGTTTGACTATTTGCTCACTCAGTTGTTCACAAAGTGGTGAACCTCACCCCATCCTTGCTTGTGAATGACTGAGAAATTTTGGGGAAAGCTGCTTTCATACCCAACCATAGAACCCACCTGTTCCCAATTAGCCTGCTCACCTGTGGGATGTTCCAAATAGGTGTTTGATGAGCATTCCTCAAGTTCCGCAGTATTTTTTTGCCACATTTCCCAAACTTCTTTGTCACGTGTTGCTGCCATCAAATTCTAAAGTTAATGATTATTTGCAGAAAAACAATAAAGTTTATCAGTTTGAAGATTAAATATGTTGTCTTTGTAGTATATTCAATTGAATATAGGTTAAAAGGATTTGCAAATCATTGTATTCCGTTTTTATTTACGATTTACACATCTTCCCAACTTCATTGGAATTGGGTTTTGTACATCAGTGTCACTCATCATTCGAAGCCCTCTATTTTGCTTTTTTAAGATTAAAATGTAAATTACTGTATATTAGGTATACAACTCTGAATTTGTTTGTAAGGCACCCAAAGTTAGAGCTGCAGCTATGTTAATGTTATTTTAATTTATAACTCAGCATGACATTGATGGTACTGTAGCAATGGGTTATTTCATGGTAAGTTGGTTTTATTACTTAAATTTTTTTTTGAGAGACATTATTTCTGAGCATTTTACTATTTTCTGCTTTACCCAGTATTCTAAGAAATACCTCTGAAGCACTTAAATCATAAAGTGTCAAATCATATCTAAAAACGTAGCTGAAATGTTCTGCCTTACTTCCAACTTTTCTGTGTTGATAGGCTTATGGATTATCTCTTATTGGTTTGTTATTATTGAAATAAATCACAAAATAGCAAATCATTAATTGTAAATAAACTTTACAAAACTTGATGTTTGGAAGAAGTATAATAAAACTTTGCGCTACCTTTTAACCAAACCAACTAATCTAAACATACTGCAAAGCATTAAACATTAGAGTATATTGACTTGGAGTTCAAATGCAAATTAATTGCTGCGTATAAAACATATGGGACATTGTCAGTATTTGATGACTTGGTAAATTTACAATAATGTCTGATATTGGTGACATTTAATGTGGTTGTCACAGAACATTTTGGGCACTTTTTTACTGTGTGTGTGTGTGTGTGTGTGTGTGTGTATGTGTGTGTGTGTTTGCTGTGGCTCTCTACACAGCGACAGAGCATGATGTATGCTGGGAAACACTGGAGGTGTATGGTGAAGGTGTCACAGTGAGTAGCACATGCTCACTGAAGTGTTCAAATGATCAGTCAAGCAAACTTAAAGCCTCGCCTCATTCAGACAAAGCGGCACAGCACACAGTGGACAATCCCACAGTGAGATTATGGTCAGAAGACAGGAGTGGGATCATTTAGAGTCTGTGCAATCGTTTTTCAACCCTATCTCATTAATGTGAGGATGACGTTTCCTCTGATATGTATGCTTAAGTGGGATGCTGTAGTCACCTTTGAATAATAAAGGGCTCTTAAACGAAACTCTGTGGTTTCTTAATCCATCAGTTGTGGATGACTTGATAAAAGAATAATCAGACAGTCCTCAGTTTCAACGATCTTGAAGCTCACAGAGGCATCATTGTGGCTGTAAAGCTGCAAGGCAGGAAACTTTTCTTTTTATTCTACCAGCCCCTTGATGCCAGAGGCCCAAATTAGCCCAAGATTTACATGCAGTAGAAGGACTGGATTCATACTGTGACGCTCAGCGGTCATACTTAATCGGACTGACTGCTTGCTCTGTGTGCAGCTGTAGAAAAAGTTTTCTGTTCGAATATACAAATTAGCCAAAGTTCAAAGTTATAAACGTAGAAGAACCAAAACCTGAAAAAGAGGAGTGAGAACATATGAGAAAGCTTTCAACTTGTGTCAGCAAATGATTTTGTTATCTGTTATCACTTGTTTTTTTTTTCTACCCTAAGAAAGAGTGAGAACACTCTCGACTCTGTCTCAAACAAGACTGATAAAAGTGGCACATGGAGTTACGACTGAAAGGCTGCTAAATGTCCCTCAGAGTAAAAGTATAAGTACTCCTGAGGGAAAACAATGTACTATTTCCAAGCTGACTGACCCTTGTGTCTTGTTTGGACTTTGGGACTCTCCTTTACTCTCAGTTTGATCTCAGTTAGCTCAGACCTGATGTAGACTTATTTATTTTTAGATTATATTTTTGCATCACAGGTGCTTGCACTCACAGGTGCAGTCTTGCTACTGTATTGAGGCACAGTCCAACCTCTGTGTGACCTCTTTGCCTTGTTTGCACCATAAATATGTGTTCATTCCTGTGAAGTTTCACTCTTTCACTGCTGTGAGATTCCTAGATGACTCTCTTAAGACCACCAAGTGCCTGTTGTTGCAGGAACCTGGGCACATGCAGTGGGAGCACAGTTAGTTCTTGTAACAGTGAACTCTGTCACAGTTTCACAGTTTCAGGACCTCCTGAAAACACCATTTTCCTTGGAAAACTCTTATTGAAGGATTGAATATTGAAATGGTTTAGCATTTTTGGGTGACTGTAAGAAATGTCATTAAATTTTAGACTAAATTCTGAAATTCTGAGTTTATTATTTGCAAAAAAAAAAAAAGTTTATGAGTTTGAACATTAAATATATGTCTTTGTTGTGTATTCAATTGAATATAGGTTGAAAAGGATTTAAAATCATTGTATTCTGTTCTTATTTACATTTATCACAACTTCCCAACTTCAATGGAATTGGGTTTTGTGGTTGAAAATGGGATGGGTCTGATCTTATAAGATGGGGCTTATCTCATCTTTACACTGGGTCTTTGTAAACAGAGTCTAGTCCAGCTTTATTGTTGAGCATCTTGGGATTGCACTTGATGTGAATCGGCGCTACATAAATAATGATTGATTGATTGACATATAATCACTGAATTAAAAACTGGGATAAGCTGATCAGGACCGCAAAGACTGCAGGAAGTATAGAAAACACGAGAATAATCAGTTAGATGACTTCTAATGTAAGATTGTATGCTGTAGTTATCTGTTCACCATCGGTGATAAACACAAGATCAGGCGGGCCTTTGGAAGTTCTCTAATCTCAAGTGTAACCAATGTGGTCATAAAAATACAATCAGTTTCAATATGAGTGTGTAAACTATGTAATATGAACATTAAAGCATTCACTGTTTTACTGCTAGACACTAAGGTGAAATATATGTGGACATGTTTGTGTTGATGTTTTTCATGGTTAGACCATAGGCATTCATCTCATCTATATATGATGATTATCTTAAAGCCAGTGGTTTTGCCAGCTTTGAAAACGTCCACAGTATTCTGACTGGCTCTGTCTCAATTTAAAGAAAGACTTTGTCAGTGCTAGTCCTGATTGTTTACTTGTGTCTGTTTTAAGGAGTTATTCATATGCCACTGGGAAAAGTGTGTTAACTAACCAACAAAGGAAACAAAAACAAATACCCACACGCTGTTCATCCCTCTCAACCCTCTGATTCTCCTCGTCTTCAGTGGCGTCTAACACTTAGATTTTTCTCTCCCTAGTCTATTCTTATATAAGAGGAGGTGGGAGAATTCCTCAATCCTCCTACTGGACTGACTGTGGTGCCTGTCAAATCCCACTCTGAGCACCTTTAAAGTCCTTTTTATCTGAAGAGGTGGCACAGGAAGATTACATAAGATCAGCTGATGGCGGTCTGTCTGTGTGACACCTATCTCGCTGAACGCACGTTGAGCACGCATGTTGTAAAACACACACCCCTGCGCACAGTCTGCTGTGTACATATCCATGCAGATGCACGCCAACAGTACACACGCCCACACATGTACAAACACAGACGCACTTAAGGCTATTACATAATGCTATAGGTCGGTTTGGCTCGCTGATTTCTCATGGCATCATTGCAGACAGTTTCCTCCGTCCGCTACAACGTCTGAAAAGCAGGTATTAAAACACGTTTCTCAGATTTGGCATGACTCACACATATGGATATCACTAAACTCCCAGTTGTTTTCCATAGATGACAGTGAGTCATTTCCCGTGTGTTTTGGGAGTGGGTGAGAATTGAAAAGCCAGTTACTGATTATTAAGTGTGCAATTGCTACCTGCAGTCCTCAAGAGACAGAAAAAATCAGTCAGAGTGAAAGAGCTGTTTTTGGTGGATTGATAAATGTTAAACCTCCACTCTTGTCTACAACCTCTTCTCTGCTTCTTCTCCTCATGTAGCCCCACTTTGACACCCCAACACACCCCTCGTTTCTATGTAAATCCCTATCCTGGCTGTATGTCTGTCTGTCTCTCTGTGCCAACATTCTCCTGCCTTGACCCACTGAGTCAGCTCTATTTCCGCCTTTCTCATTCCCCTCACCGTTCACGCTGCTCCTCTTACACCATGTCCCATCTTCCTCTCCTCTCTCCTCCCAGGAGAAGAACTTGGAATGGTTCCCCCGAATGAGTGCCATGTCTCTGGTGAGCAGCGAGGGAGACAACGAGCAGAATGAGATGCGCTCTCTGCAGGAGAAGCTGGACAGCACCATCACTCTGGTGGCACAGCTGTCGGGCCAGCTGGCTGAGCTTAAGGAACAGGTAGGGTTCATCTCAGTGAAGATATTTTTGTTGGTATAAAACACGAGGAATAAAACAAGACATCTGAGGGAACAAATAAACATGTTTATGGGGCGCCTTAGTCTGGGAAAATCCTTTTCTATGATGTCAAAGTCTGCTACTGTCTGAAAATGTCTCAAGAAAATAGCATCCTCCCCCTCTTCTGCAATAAAGACAGTCCATTTAACAGGAAGACCGCATCCCTTTCGGGTTTTTTTCTGTTCATTTGATAAAGTTTTTGAATTTTCACTCAGTATAGGTCCTTTTTCATCCTCTTTTTTTTTTACTCCAAGATACAAGACCTACACATTACCACGGAAGCACAACAGGATATTAGTGTGTGTAAAACATGCTGAACAGCAATGATTGATCAATACTTTCTCCTGTTTTTGAACAAAAAACAACGGGGGCTGCAAATTACATACTATTTCATCTACACTACAGTAGAAGTGCAAAAAGATTCAGAAGAAGATCAAGAACAATGTAAACAATGAGGACCTTGAGGTGAAAAAAAACTCTTCTTCTGCTTTTTTTGCACTATTTTAACCACGGCAGCACAACAGGATATTAGTGTGTGTAAAACATGCTGAACAGCAACATGACATCACAATCAAACCACTGTGCTCCATACCGTCACCATATCTCACGCCATGTCTTAAACATGAGTGAACATTGCAGAGTTTCCTGATCTCCTGCAGGCCTGTAAACAAGATCTTGTCAAGATGATATCTGCTCAGCTAATTTTAGCACATTCTCCGTGAACTTCACATGCTGCCTGACCTCAGACTCCCTCCACCTAAACGTGCCTGCAGGGCAGGAGGTCCCATGGCAGGGCTGGTGTCTCGAAATTTAGATGGATCCATTCAGACCTGCCTTGATATTTGTGAATGCAGCATGACAGGTGACTATCACATTAACAACTGACACCACTGAGAGCTGCCAGTGAGCCTCTGGCTGTTTATATGACTCGCTCTGCTGCTGCTGCTGCGGTGTGACTGATCACTCTCATCACCTGCCTCCCCTGCATGTGATTCCAGTCACAGGCCCATCCTTGTTCCTCTTCTGCCAGCTGTTGGAAAACAGCCCAAACAAACAAAACAACAACCTCTGTCGACCTCTATAAACTGTTGGTCTGGTATGTCTCCCTGCTGGCGGGGCTTTCTCATGTAGCCCCTGAAAACAACAAGTCAGTGTGCAGTTGAAGACATCTAAGCTTAACCTCTGACCTGCAAGATGGCTCAACTGCAGGGCGTTTATCCCTCTAATGTTGCCTCTCAGCAGTTTAAAATGACTAATTTGTAGTCATGGGTTTAGAGAGGGTGTCACTCCTCCTTTCTGATAAACAGAGGTTGAGGTGAGAGTGTTTATCCTGGCTGAACCACAGCACAGTCACAAGCCTGCTCAGCGCACTAGCTCTGAACTTCAGCTCCCTCTGACAGGGAGGAAAGTGCTCCTGCAGCTCCTCCCTTGTTACGGCCTCTGCTGATCTCATCAGAGGAAAACACAACATGTTTACCAGCTTTTAGAAATTTAGAGTATGATCTTCTTCACTCAAAGTTCAAATAGACATAACCACCTGAGAAACATGGAAACTTTGTCATGTTCATAACAGCAAAAACACAAGTTTGTTGTCCTTTGTATGCCACATGGAAAATTAAAAGCTGCTCCAGGTTGATGTATTTTTGTTTCTGTCTTGTCCACAGATGACAGAACAGAGGAAGAACAAGCAGAGGCTTGGATTCCTGGGTCCTCCTCAACCTAACCATCATATGCCAACCCACTGAGGGACTCCAGGTTCAAACCAAGCACAAAGATCGGACCTCTGACTGCAAGACTGGGGTTGGAACCAGATGGAAAATGCAGACACACACATAAACTTTAGCCTTAAGAACAATACATGTACTATAAGTGCATTTAATATACTGCAAGAGGACAGCCAGTACAGACACATGCTTCTGACACGGTGCCTTTTTCTGTGATCCTGCCTTATGGTATACTAACTGTTCCTTATTCACCGCTGGGGGCACTTCACTGGCCGTCCACACACCCTGGTGCAGGAACACTGAGTGACTGACCTAGCACAGCATGGCACACATCAGCCAGTGTAGTGTTGGAGTGCTGGGCAGAGGTCAAGGGTTGTTAAGGAAAGGTTAATGGTTAAGTGCTGTCAAGCCAGTGGATGTCTGTGATTCAGCCGTCTCTCCTCTGCCGTCTCTCTTCAGCTGTTTCAGAGCTGATGTGTCAGAGAGGGAGAGAGAGCCGACTGGCTGCACAGCCGGTGATTGGCGCTCAGCAGTGAAGTTTGGGGTTTCTTGCATGACTGATTGGCCTTCAGGGGGAAGTGAGTGAGTGAGAACATCAAGTTCCCCCCCCTTACGAATCTCTGACTGTATTTCTGAGAAAATGTGCAGTTCATAACTGGAGTATTATTTTTGTATATTAAAGAAGTCATGCTGCCTACTCATTAACTTTTATAAACAGTACAATCACTAAATGTGCACTTTTTAAAAAAGGGTGGAAATAAAAACCTGTAACTGGACACAGAGGTTAGATTTGGGTGTTAACTTTTCATGCTTCATGTTGTGTCTATAAATACATCATTTCAGTTGTCTTTTTACAGATTTCTATAAAGTATATAAGTAACATAAATGTGACTAAAGTCATGAAAACCTGTGCGAAACTTACTTGAAATGTATTTTTAAAATTGAATTTTACATTGGTACGTATGTAGTACTGAAGAGAGATGGTAAGCCTACAGCTCTGTGTTACAAAGCAGCATACACTGTAAAACATACTGTATCTACCACCACCTTCTTTGTCTGTGATGTCTTTTATATGTAAATCCTTCTCACTCATGTCTTTTTGACTGTGATTGATTGTTAAGTCCAATTTTTTAACTTGCACAAACTAATGGCAGATGATGAGTGCATGCATTTGATGCTAACTCTCCTGTGTCACGCTTGCAAACAAACTGTAAAAAAAAAAAAAAAGTGTTTTATGTGGTCAGGTGTTGTAATAAATTCATAACAAGAGTCAGTGACATGCTTTGAGTCAAAAGTTTGCTCTTAGTCCTTGTTGTTGTTGTTTGAGATGGATGACCCCCTCTGAACCTGACTACCCAGCAACACCCTCTCTGTTTACTCACACTTACACTTGTCCCTGAAGGGAGCCTGGGACCTGAAAAGACCCACTTCCTGCAGACAGGATGATATTCCAGCACATGCAAGAGGGTTAGCCATCTAGTATTCAAAGGGAAATCAACAGATCTCCCATATGTGCTTTAGTGTACTGCTTTAGGCTGTATGACTCCTCTTGATATTATATTAAAGGGGCCATGGCATGAAAAACTGACTTTGTTAACGGGAGGGGGTGCATATCAGGGATAGAAAACCGCTACAATCCCCAAAGTTCGAAAATATTCCATCCAGTAGTTTTTAGTTATCTCCGTATTCAGGAACTGTGCGCTCAGAGCCGGTGTTGTGCCAACAGCTGTTGTGCCGTAGAATGCACCCCCTGCATTCCATCTACTCGTTAGCTTCTTAAAGTGGAAGAAAATGATCTCATATTTTAAAAACTACGAGTATTTGATCTTGACAACTTTTTATTCTGTTTTTATGTGTCTCAAAAATGCACATACGGAGGTGTGCTTGGGTATATAAATTGTACAGTAAGCTGTCAAGCTAGCGAACATTATATTTTCAGGACAGCAAATATTCCGAATCAGAGGACTATTTTTTCGGCTTATCTGAATAGCCTGAATGAAATGATTAAAGGCACACGCTTATGAATTCATCCAATAGTAAGGAAAACTTGGATTATCTTCGCCTTGTTAAGTAATTTCAACCGCGCTCCCGTCGAGGGTGCATTCTACGGCACGACACCGGCCGTTCTGAAAACTCTACTGACATGACGTCATGTCAGTGCTGGCGGGTTGATGGTCCTGCCCATGGAGCCGCCCACTGACCTGCCCACTAAATTATCTAAACAGCGCCATTTTTCCCGGCTGCTCGCTCGCAAAGCTCCGGTTAGAACCGTGGCGAAAGTACGATCTGAAAAAGAGGCAGCGTTTGCTCTGTTGTTGGCTGCACAAACGAGCACAAAACTCTTTTGAAAACTCCCTCGTCGGAGGATTTGAGGACTCAATGGGTGGATTTTTATTTATAATGGGAACGTACCCGCGGCACTTCCGAAATATCTGTACGTTTGTGCGCACCATTTCACTTCGGACTGTTTTATCAACGAGGGACAGTTCAACGCTGGATTTGCTAGATGTCTGAAGATAAAGAATGGATCCGTACCAACTATCCGTGATCCTACTACAAACGTGGCATCTGTAAGTGTGAACGTTTAATTTTGATTTACTGTTTAGCCTAAATTCCCCCCGGTGCCTCAGCACGGCCACCACGCTTTGATAAACACACCGGATCCGCGCAAGTTTACCGGATCCTGTCGTATTTTTAGCCGCTCGCTTCTTCCCCGACAACTCCGCCGGCGGGGGACAAAATCCCCCTCCGGAGCAGCATGTAGCTTTAGCATTTACCCGTGCGGCGACGCGCCTCTTTTGGCTCAAATACGGGAGGTCCCGTATCTGAACGCGGCTAAGAGTTTCTTCCGGAGCCTCTCCCTCTGGGTCAGACTCTGGCTCAAACTGGTAGGGTTGTACGAGCGATCTTCTTGCAGCCATGACCGAGCCAGTGTAAACATTAGCACATGGCTATCGTAGCACAGCCACAGCCCCTTCCAGAGAGATGGGTGTAGCTTTTTTTAGCTGATAAAAAAGCACTAAAATAATTGATCCAAATCGAATTTTGACCGAAGGACGTCACAGACATGCTTTTAACATACCAGGGGACTATTTTAAGTTGTGTGAAATTGGTATGCCATGGGACCTTTAAAGCTAATTTACCATTAATTTAAAAGAAAGAAGGGGGTGGACTATCACCATGATGGACCAATGTGTAGAATAGATAAGAGGAGTTTTTTGACATTAATAGAATAGGCTTGATTTCATGTTGATGCTTTTTTATGGTTTTTAGAAGCAAACAAGACCAGATCAACCATTTTTATATCGTAATCTTGATCGCCTCAAACTGGCGTGAGGGGGTAGGTGTCAGCCAAGCATCTGAAGAGAAAGCCTTGGTTTTTTTTACAATGTCCGCATCAGATATTAACAGTAAATTAAACATTTGATTGTCAATAGCCAGCAGGATGAGAATTTTTTATCAGAGGACACTCCTTAAGCTTACAAAGGACAAGAAAAGCAAAGACTGCTTTGTCCACAGGGGGCGCCAAAGTTGACACAGCTCAAAAGTTCCTCACAGGAGCTGTAAGTAAAGCATGTAGATAAAAACTTGGCTCAATTGAACACTCTTGAGACATGATGGGTGGTTTTCGTGGACGGATGTCAAGTCCTTCCAGCTTAGAGTACTGAAAGCAAGATTTGAGGAGACTTCACTCGGAGATGCTCAGGAGAGAGCATTTTAAGTGACCATCGCTAATTGCCTCAGCATTTTTTTTAATGTAATGTCTATTCATAAAGACATCAAAGTCTTCTATAATTATGAAATGAATATCAGTGATAGATTGAGCTGTCATCCACACATCCTGTTAGTAACTTAGCACTCAGTACTTATGATAATTTCAAAACCATGGCTGGTTGATTGTGTGTTTGTGCTTGTGCAACATATTTGAGTTGATAAGCGAATCACAGAAAGGCCTGCTGCTCTTGTATCCTGTCCTGTCATTTACCCTCCACAGAGAGGCCCATCCTTCTTGGCTTCGGTTGGCTGTTTACGCTGGCAGGCCTGCATTTTCTCCTGCTGCCTGTGACAGCCATTAAAATTAGCTCACGCAGTGCCATAATGGTGAGCAGCTGTCACTGTGCAGACAAGAAGGCTAAAGTGCAGCATTACTGGAATGTATTGGACTCAGAGAGGGGAGGGGGGGATAATAGCAGGACCATCATTATCGTCTGGCAAAAGTCTTGCAGCCATAGAGTGATACCAAACAAACATGCAATGCTCTTCAGAGGGCTGCATTTCCTAGACAGAACATCTTATCAGTGGAGATGTAGCTGTTTGGTTTTTCACATGGAGGAAAAACAGCCATTTTAAAAAGAGACTTTAATACAACCATGGGGATCCTCTTAGTAAATAGAGGGTCAAACAGAGTGTATGAATTACCACATAGTTCAGGATATTTTCAACACAATCCAAAAATATCATGGTATTGTATGAATCATACCCGGCCTTAAGTATTGTACCATACCATATTTATTACATCATATCCTGCCAATCGTGTTGTTTCATATTGTTTTGAACTGTACCATATCGTAACCTATCTTAGTATACTGTACCATAGTGTACTGTATTGTGTACCATATTATATTGTTTTGTATTGTACTCAAATGTACTTTATAGTATTGCATCTTAGTGTAGTGTGTCATATCTTCTCTTAATGTAGTGTATTCAATTGTAGACTGAACCGGTTGTCCATTCAACCTGGTCAGTCTATTTCATATCACAGCTTGACATACTCTAACATATTGAATCATTTTACTGATTCTATCATTATGTAGTGTATTTTATCATATTGAAAGTACGTATCGTGTTGTACTGATTGTATAATAACTTACAGTATCATCGTATCATACCAGTTCGTAACGTATCAAATTGTATCGCATCATATCAAATATCATATCGTATAAAATCGTATTGTATTGAATCTTATTGTATCATATTAAATCCTATCGTAATCAGTAGTATCATATCGAATTCTATCATATAGAATCTTATTGTATCAAATCAAATCAAATCCACACTTTGATTGTCATGCGCTGATATAGTCTTATTGATTTTAACTAAATTTTAGTGAATATTAGGTGTATCACTAAGTACACAGCACTCTACTGTGGTTAATTATTTAATAAAATTATAAGTAGCCTCATTAAAAATACTGTTTTTGAGCTCATGTTGGTTGTTTCATGTACCTTTGAAAGGTACATCTTCTTTGGTACATCTTTGAAAGGTCTTCTTCAGACTCATAGCAGGGTCTGTGGCTGCCAGAGTCTGATATCATCCAGTGTTTTCTGCCTTGAAAGATCAATTGACCTCATAGAAAGTTCTTGAAGAGTGGGAAGGTCCCGCCTCACTGTCATTCTTAAAAATAAACATGCCCCCGTGATGTATGGCATGTGACTTCCTGTGTCTGGCAGCAAAATTTGAGCCTTTGTAGTCACATGAGAAACATCATAACAGTGAGCGGGCATGTGGAAAAACACTGCAAACCAGGCCTGTTGCCTGTCACACGATGCTGTATCGACAGTGTGCTAAATACACCATTTAATACAATTAATAAATCACGCCCTAAATTATGTGCTCTCTTTTTAGAAACTGAGGTGATTTGCCAGTAAATCAAACATGATTGTGACTCTGCTTCTGAAGCATTGAAAAAACTAATGATAAATGTGGAGATGAATCCCAGAGGATACTGATCAGGTTTTCCCCAGAAGCCATCACAGTTAACAAGGTCAGATACAACAGAATCAATCAAAGTAAATCACGAGCCGGCTCAGACAGAGAAGACTTGGACTCCAGCTGATATCACAAACTATGTCTTAACAAGAACTTACTGCATACTTATTACTTTAGATGACAGATTCAGATTTAATGTGTATTTCTCTGCCAGATTTTAATGATACACTGAAATCGTGTTTAAGCAAGCAGCAATTTGTGCAGTAATTGCTTAATGGATGAAAAGCTTTGTTTGTTTCAGTAGAAGTCTGTACACTAATATTATCTTACCAAATGTAAAATGTACAATACATTTGGGCTGACTGGATTCTTTTCAAGGCCATAAACAAACTTAGTTTTGACACAGGAGGCCAGTTTCAGTCTTCTTTTAGACAAATCAAACACTCCCCTCTCCAACACAACAGTGAAGACTTCCGTGAAGCACAGATAATGTTGTTCCATAACTCTTACTCAGTTTTCTTTTTTTTTTCTTTTGATACACAAAAGTGTAACGTTTCCCCCACTTTCTTTTTGAACAAATGTTTTATCTCATCCCTTGCACCTGACATGAGAGTAAGATTTAAGTAAACTGAACTGCCTTATAGAACAAAAAAAACCAAATTTGTGCTTTTTTCTAACCATTTTCCTCTGGTCTGAGTATAAACCAAAACACTGTTAACCCATATGGTTCCGTTTCCTCAGTCTAGTAGCCTGTCTGAGTCCCCCTTGCCTCACCCCGGCCCCCTCCCTCCTCCCTTTGTGGCTGCAGGAGTTTTGACTCCTACAGGCTGTTTGAGTCACACCGGCTACTGGCCTGGCACCCTCCCTCACACCAGCCACATCCCAGTTCAGCCCAGCCCAAGAGCTCTCCAACCAAGTAGTGCGTCACTGCTGTCTGAATACTTTTATGAGTGTACAAAACTGGAGAATTAGTGGCAACTTTGACAGCCGAGAAGGACTTTGCAGTTGTTTTTTTATCAGTTATGCAATACATACAGAGCTGCAGAAGTTCGCTGCATATATTAAGAGAGGAACAAAGAAGTTATTCATAAATCAGCTCACTTTTTTTTATATAAATCTTTAAAGAAACAAGTCAGGGAGTTTTTTTTTCTCCCCATTTTTCATTATATTAGGATTGAAAGGATGTATACCTGCATTCTGTTGTATAGACACTAACAAAGCTTTTTCTAGTGTAAAACCCAGAACAATCATCATTTCATATTTAAAAACCCTATTTCCAAAACACACAGATTTAGTTAGCCACAAAAATATTTGTTTTTCTTTAAATATTTGCATTTTTCAGCAATTATAGCATCTAGAAATCATGAGTAGTTATCTCTGAATATAAAGGATATCTTTAGATTTTTGGAAACACACTCAATGTTTTTATACTTTTCAATTTTTTCAAGTCATCCAGAGAACATCTGCATCCAGCAGACCAAAGTTACTCCTACTTTTTTGTTTTGTATAAAACTTGTGCAAAAAAGCCTCAGGAGTAGAACTACTGCAAAGGTTACTATAAAGTGGTATAAAAGAGAACACACGTAAGGCACACACAGAAAAAAGCAAGAGTCCCTGTCCTTCAGAGTGTAATCACATCGTTGGCATCCTGATCTGTCTGATCAGTCATCCCATCAGCTCTGTCATCATCACATTAAACCTTCTGCCACTGCTGGGAGGAGGGAGAGCCGATCTGCAGACCAGCGAAGAAGACCTGGTAACGGTCCTTCCACATGATGAAGGCTCCCACAGCACAAACAATGGCTTGGGCCAGATTCAGCACAATCTGGATCAAGAAGTAGAGCGTTAACGTGTCAGTGATCTCCCCACAGTCGCTCACTCCCTCGTAGGTAAAGGTGCGTGCAATGGGGTCGTCTTCATCCAGTTTGCAGACGCAGTCTTCTCCCTGCAGCTCACACAGGAAGCTGCTGGTCTGATTGTAGTGATGTCCCGCAAACGCCACGACCAGCACTGAGATGACCAGGCCGATAGTACACAGGATGAAGTACAGGAGCTGCAGAGGAAAGGTCGCAGGTCATGGATTTGGATCAGACTGGGAACCTCTTATCACCAACACTGTTTGTTTGATTCTAGGAATCTGGCTCCGTCTTCATTTTATTATCTCATGAGTAACCAAGAAGGCCAACTGTAGCTTAGAAACAGACGTATTGGCTCAGCGCCTATAGCAACTTAAAAAGATTACCCACAATACTAACAGGCAAAGTCTGGCCCAGCTCTCGGCACAGACGAAACACAACACACAAACACAGTACATGTCTGCCCTGCAGCTACAACTGTTTACCACCTTTAGTGCACGTCCTGTGTGAGTTTTCAGGAAAACAGAGGCTCTAAATACAGTTTTGAAATGTGACAGAAGCTTTGTGGTGTTTATGCAACGGCACAATTTCAATAACACTAAACCTTCATCTTAATCCATCACTTATATAACAGGAGAGCTCGTTCCCTGGCGTATTTCGCTCTCAGCTACATGCTGCTTATGGAATTATGCAAGTGAGGAGAAGGGCTTGATTTGAAAAGCATTGATGTTAATTTTGGAACAGCTGTGAAATCAGGAGTACGGATGGTGACAGAAAAACATAAAAACACCAACAGGTACTTCAATAAACATGGTGTAGGGTACTGTACAGAGAAGAGATGATCTACAACTCAAAACAGGCAGAAACTGAAGAGTATAAACTTAAGTTACTGCTGCTCAGTGAGAGAGAGGTCCTTGGACACCTGTGAGTATGCACTTACAGACTCATCGAGCCATTTCTTTAAACAAGCACGTTGATATAATAATCGCTAATATGAAAGAGTTATCAGGAATCCACTTACAGAAATCACTTCAGTTGCATTTAACTTTTAAAGATGTCCATTACTTTCTACTCACTTGAAGTGTTGCGCCAAGGTTAATTTAAATTGATACACGAACCGCAGGGATGTTATTCGAAATTGAAGACAGAGAAGCCATGATACTATTTTACCATTTGATCTGATAGCACTGATCAACTAGAATGTGTTTGTTTTGAAAGCCAGGAATAGAGACACTACAGGGGAATTACAGTTTTTGGCAAACTAACGAGCTGTCAAAGATTACAAAACCTGCAAAACAGCAAACTCAAGAGTCTGGAGATTGTTCTGTAGAACCTAAGGCTCTTGTACATGTACTGACACTGCTATATTCAAACAAGAAATATGTATAATTTCGATGCATATTTCTTGTCTTGCAAAGACCTTTTAATATTTGCTGCTTTGTAAACATTGCTCATATAAAAGTACAACCTGTAATTTTGTTGATTCAGGTAGTCTGATGGGACTTTAAATTACAAAATACAGACACATCTGGAAATGGCTTTTCATCGAGTGTTTCTGCAAAGATTATTTTGCATATGATCAACTCTTCTGTGTACATTTGAACCCGAATACACACGTCAGCGCAGAGACAACACCAATCGAAGGACTTGCTTCTTGGTAATAAACAATGGTGGGGGGTTTAATTGCCTTGAAACTCCAACTGTGTGTACTGTACAGCTAATTAAGCTATAAAATCCAGCCACACTAATAGATGTGCTCATCCATTCATAGGAACCCCTGCAGGGGTTTCTTAAACAGGAACGCAACTTAATGCATCGGTACATTACAGATCCTAGAAAACAATTATAACAGCGCATGCAGCATTGTTTTTTGCAGAGACCTTCACTGTGTGGAAAATACATCTGTTCATACACTACAACGACTATTCTATCATGTCCTTTTACCTCCACACCTGTATGTCAGCGTGTGTGCAGACTCACCTTGCCAATAAACTGCATGGATGTTCTCTCATCAGGGAGGTAGGTGACACAGTACAGGATGAAGCCCACGATGGAAACTATACACAGCTGCAGAATTATAAAACAATCCTATTAATGCATTACCTCCACTTGAACCAGGGCAATAGTTTTGCAAAGCATGCAACCCATGCTTCTAAGGTATTGTGTGATTGCACGTAATCTACAGTTTGTTGCTATTTGTATAGGCATGTGTTCAGTTCGTTCATTTGCATCTAAATAAGATTTTGCTTTTAAAAGTATGTTGTACACAGGTTTTCAGGGCTGCTCCCACATGTTGCATGATTGCATGATTCAGCACTAAGCTGCCATCTGATTACATTACCCTCTCTCTCTTCAGCACAGACACGCTCACACTCTATCTCTTCAGTGCAATTGGAGTCTTGTGACTAACGTGCGGCATCTTATTTAAATGTTTTCCCGAGGTTCTTAAGCAGTCTCTGGAAAGTTCTCGATGACCTCAGTGTTTTTCACTTGGCTGAATCTCGTGAGGATCTAACTCGGGATGTTCTTGTCCAAGGATGTTTTTCAAGAGAAGATAAGGTCTGCGATAGGACACAAACGGCAAAAACATGTTTTCCCTCCATCACCAAAATGTGACCTGGAAATGTTACTTCAAATCAGATCTTGCTGTTATTTGATTTTGTACATTACAGAGACAGAGGGCTCTTAATGAGTAATAAAAACAGATACATTGAACACTCTCTTTAACTTCTATTCTTTTTTAATCACTGACAATTAAGCTGTTAACTTTCTTTAAGGTGCTCCATCGGATGTGTGTTAAAGAAATCCAGCAGTTCAAATGACCTTACTCTTTACGCTTCATCAGATACTTCAATACTTGCTGAGCCAACTTCTCATCTTACATTTCCTTTCTTTTTTGACACAGACATTATCTGACACTGCAGCTTCTTTTCTCTTTACCACTTCAGATGACAATTAAGTTTCACTCTTTCTCCTCAGATTTTGGTTAAAGCACTCAAACTGCTTACAACCAAGCTGTCACTTTCAGATGCTTTTAGTGCTGATACATCAAGTGACATTTCGGTGGCTTATTACATTTACCTCCCACTTCTCAAAACACACAGTTACCGTACAGATAATACAGTGAAGACCCCTCAGATGGGAATAGTCAACAGCAGAACACATTAGGCCCTGACAGACTGATAGTTTTTAGGAGGTAAATTTACTCCTGGGTTACTCCCTGTCTGCAATGTGTAACGCACCCTCCATCACAGGATTTAACAGTGGTGGAAGTAGGATAAGATGGTGAAAATGTGCCGGAGCAGGCAGGGTGGGACAGCACAGTGTGTGTGCATGTCTGAGTGTGTATTCAAGCTGTTTAACTACATGCCAATCTTATTGCTCTTCTGCAATGGCATGATATGAAGTTAAATCCCATGCTGGGACACAGATATTACATTTTTTGGATGCGTTTGGGATGTGTGAGTACAAAGGTGCACTGATGGCAGAACTTTGTTCCAGCACTGTTGGGGGATTGTTGTGTTTTAGAGGCTACTCTTGCATTGATACAAGTAGACACTTAAAGTTGTGTGACCTTTATGTCAGTGTTGGTTATTTTTTCTCTGCCATTCCTCCTTTACACTGCAAGAGCCCACATTTGTCCAGCAGTACATCTACATGTTTTTTTTTTCTTTTTTAAATGCTGTATCACCTTAGTTTGACTGAACCTGGACTTTTTAAAAGCATGTTAACATATTAGTCTGACTAAATCCAACTTTGCAAAGTCAGACGAACATACTTGTATAATGTAGTTGGGGATCAATTTTCTGTGTCATCAGTGTTTGCACACTGGGCTTTATGGATATATATTTAGAAAGCCGGGTAGTAGGCCTGTCACGATAACAAATTTTGCTGGACGATAATTGTGCTACAAATTATCGCCGATAAACGATATTATTGACACCATTTTTAAAATTATAGATAATGATATTATATGGCATAATAATGCGAGTACACCATGTCAAAAGATCACATTCCCACACGAGAACAACACTGGTTGTTTTCGTTGACTAAAATATTTCCCTTTTCTCCCACAACGAAGACGTAACGTTGACGAGCTAAACATAAGTCGGAGATGACTAAAATGTGACGAGACGAAAGTGCGTTTACGTTGATGGGACGAGACGAAAATGACGAACAGAGTTGCAAAACTCAGTCAGTTAAACGCTAAACTTATAGGAGCAGCTTCAGTCCGCTCTGACAGCTCTCATCAGCCTGCTGTGCTCCTCCAACACACAGACACACACGCACGCGCGCGCGCACACGTGGAGTTTTGTGGTTGACGAAAACAAAACTGGTTTAAAGCCGAAATATTCCCACACTTGGGCTGTTGCATTCGGTTTAGACACCAAAGCTGTCGTGTTCATTCTGTTAGCTTGCTTTTCACTCACGACGCTCACTTGCAGCACTGTATCCAGAAGTCTGTGTCTGTGTGCCTGTGCGCGCCAGCCCCCTCGTGACAAAGACACTGAATGACTGACAGGAGGGTTCACTAACTCCGTTCATTCCTCTATAGAGCCAACGCCCCCAGGTGCCGAGAACAATGCGCAGAGTGAGACCTCTTCTCTCATCCAGCGTGTTTGCTAGCGAGAGAGGAGGAAAACAAACGCACGTCAATTATCGAGGCTGGCAAAGTTATCGACCTCGTTTTTATTTATCGAGCGATAAGGCGATTTATTGATTATCGCGACAGGCCTACCGGGTAGTAAACAAAACCTTGATAGACTAATAATCGATGCAAACAGATGGAACTTTCATATCATACAAACAATTGATAAAGTGCAGTAAAAGTGATGTGTTTTATCATTCAGTGTACATCCCATAAGCCTCTTGCGAACCAGCTTTGTCTGTGGTTTTGATATGTAACAGGGCAACTCAGAGACAACCTGCCACCTACAGTAGTGGAGGTGGACATGCCTTCGTTAATAATTATAGTAATAATAGTGATTGTAAACTGCGACAAGAACAGTAGTCCAATTAAAACTTTGACTGTACGTGACTATCGGTACATACAAATATTCTGAACGACACATCAGCTACAGTGATCATCAAACACCTCAACTGCAAAAACACCGGATTTGCGTTCCTGTAAACACCACAATTTTGTCCTGTTGGTTTTGATGTAACACAGACACTATCTATGTAATCTACGCCTCTGTTTCTGTCTCTGTCGCAGCTTGGTTGTGAAATAACTTCACTTCCTGCACTTCTACTTCTCTCACACTGTTGGCCAGGTACAACAGGCGCCTCACAGTCCCACCTTGAATTGGTGGTGTAAAAGGGTCTTATAACTCCTCAGCTTTCTTTGTGGTGCTTAAACTTGTGACTCAACTTTAAACCAGACTTAAACTGTCTACAGTTCACATATCTCTGCATCTTTTGTCACCTATTTTACATCTGCTTTGAGCTGTTACATCCGTCGACAGACATTACATTATAAAAAGGATTACATGTAGAATTTAAGACATTTTCTAACTTGTACCAATCATTTCACACCCTGATTTAAGCTGGCGGTTTATGTTAAACTCTCCATAAAGTTATTGAACTGTTTAAGGACTTAGATATTTGGGTCCAAGCACAATATGCACATCATATTTACAAAAACAATCAGGTTCTATTAGTTGTTAAGGAGTTTAAATTGGCATGTGCTGTGTTGGGGTTGGCTGGCTTGTCTCATCAGTCAAATTTTTAGCTATTGTTGGACTTACTAAAAAGACAGCACTTGATGCATACAGGCCTGTGTGACTGAGACAGACCAGAAATTGAATGCACTCGGTTAAGTAGAGGAGATGGAGCTTTGTTAGAGCAAGGTCAACTTTGTGCAACAGGAGAGTAAGGGCCAATGCCATGCAGTGTTGACAATGGGCAACACAATGAGGATTATATCAAAGGATCATGCAGAAGTTTCAGTGTTAAGCTCCATGCAAACATGCGGGTGTAACCGCTGTTTTCATAGTGTAAGGACCGAGCTTACAATGATCCCAGCCCAGTGTGGCGTCTCCCTGGCCATGAGTGAGGGGCTGATGGCCAACATGAGGAAGGCCACGACTGCAACGGACACCCCCAACAGCAGCTGGAACAGGGCGACGAGCAGAGGGAAGCGACAAACCCTGCACTTTTTGCCATCCTCAGGCGCTGGGCTTTCATCTCTCCTCTTCTTGTCCTCCTTCTTATCTTTCTTCCCCATTTCTCCTCCTCTTTGAACACTCTTTTCCCTCTTTGTATGCTAAACTTTCACTGTTACAGTGTTTGGGGTGGACCAGTCTGTGTGCCGTCTGCCTCTCTCCCTGTCCTTTCCCCTCCCTGCCAAGGCCTTCCCCCTCTCCATAAGCCCTGCTCGGCTGCTATTTGGAAACAGAGACGCCTCTGAACTAATATGGAAAACATTTGGACCGGATTCCTAAAGCAGCTCCAGTGCCACATATAGAGCAGGCAGCATAGTGTGGAGGGAAAAGAAGAGGAGGGAAAGGGGGCAGGCAGACACAAAGGGGGACTCCAACGTACGACTGTGACATGATTTCACTTTTTGCCATTTTAGGGACAAAAAAAAGGAAAATGCCGGGCTAAATAAGCAGGTATGAGTTAATGAGAAGCCAGAACAGAGGAGGTCACACTTCATTTGAGAGCCAGATTGATTGGATCGTTCTTTGTCAGCACTGTTACACAAGAGAGCATATGCGGCCAGCCAGAGACAGTCACATGACTTACAGGAAGAAGTAATGTGATCATAAGGCATGTGAGGGCATTACAGGGACTCAGGTTTTACTGTTTCTGAGTGATTTAGTGTTCACAAGACAGGAGCAGGTGTCAGTGAGACGCACATCAACCTCCTGGAGTCATTTGAAAACTTCTACTTTTTAATAATAATCCCTTTTTATGGGAAGTTTTGCTATTCCTCCTCTCTGTAAACAAACCAGTCCCATAAAAATGAAAGACTTTTAGTTTATTTGATCCCTTGGTCACAGTGGAGTTAAAACAGAAGTTCAAGTCAGCACTTTTTGGGCAAATATTCATCCAGTCTTTGTCAGTATGTTATCATCAAAGACAGAGGCTGAGATGAAGGTGGGGGAGCAGCACCCATGCTGAGGTTAATAAAGAAACGCCACGCACGTGTCTGAGCACACAGCTGGGCCGGTGCCATGGTTACTGACAACGCAGCTCTAGCGGCTGGTGATGTGTGAATAGGTAACCCTGCCCTGCTCAGGGCAACAACACTGAGGTCTAGAGGCGCACGATCACGCGCCGCATGCACACGCGCACACCTTGAATGTTTAAACGGATTTCCACAGAAACCTGCGCGGTTCATCTCAGATTTAAGGCTCTGACTTCATGGAAGTGTGCTGTTATATTTAGATGAGCACAAAAATACTATAATATTCAATTTGTAAAAGTATAATTAAAAAATAAAGTTTACAGGAGCTCTGGGTTCCCTCCAAAGTGTCACTGGGGTGATTTCTGCTCGACTTTAAAAACCTTGTGACGCGTATTGTCCGGACAATAACAAGAGGAGGCTCAGATTGCAAAGTTTTAGAGCCAAAATAGAAATGTATGCAGGATAAGAATGCGTATGTGTATCTCTCTCTCTCTCTCCTCGCGTCTGCGCGCCTTTCCCTCCGCTACATTTTGCGCATGAATCACGTTTCAGCAACCAGGTCGAAAATGTTTGGACTACATCTCTATAGGAACAGCGGCAGAAGCTGCTATTACACACAGAAGGTCTAATTACCGGACTTTGTGCTGGTGCAGCCTACACGTGAGTCGGAAGCTGTTCCCTACCGGAGGCGCGCGTGCGCTCTCACCACAGCACCGACGGCTTTGCGAAGTGGCAGCTCAGGGAACTCTAGACATCAGTGTGAATCGAAGCTCCACCGGAGGACACGCACTGTGCATCATCTCCCCGAGCCGTCCGTCCGTCCGTGGGTCGTGGAATAACAAACATTCCCTAAAGAGACTGACGAGCTGATAGAAGGAGAGGAGTGATGGATGAAAGAATACCGCATTTACAGGACAGACAGTTCATGGAGCACCCAGACTTCTTGGGGTGAGTGTCGCTTTCTGCAAACTGTATCAAACTATCTGTAATACACTTTAAATGTTAATAACCGTGCGCTTTTCTCTTCCGTTTAGGGTGGATTATCCCTCTCTGTACATGTGCAAATCCAAAAGAGGAATAAAACGAGAAGATGGTGGCAAGGTGCGCGTGCTGTCTTTTTCTTAAAAAATCTAAAATCTTTCTTTTTGTCCATTTAAGAGCGTTTGACGTTCAATGGACTCAAAATACTGAATACATACAAAACGGCAACTTTCCTACTCACATTTACACTTGTGTTTGTGCCAGCAGGACGCATACAAGTTACCCCACCGGTTGATAGAAAAGAAGAGGAGAGACAGAATCAATGAATGTATCGGCCAGCTGAAGGATTTATTACCCGAACATCTGAAGCTTTCGGTACGTTCATGATCCCACAAAAAGTTTTTATCTACCCAAGAAAGCTGGTTGTAGATGACAGAGACTTTATAAACTTCTGTGTTTTCTCTATAGACGCTCGGGCATTTGGAGAAAGCAGTTGTTCTGGAGTTAACGCTGAAACATCTGAACGCACTGACTGCTGTCACCGAGCAGCAGCACCAGAAGATCGTCGCTCTGCAGAATGGTAAGATGAACAAACGCGATCGAAAGTTTACTGAGAAGCTGCACTCTTCTTTGGTTGTTTTATTTGAGATTATGGTGCAGTTTTTTTCTTGGAGAGCGCAACATTGCGCATTTTGCCAAAACCACAACCAAGTTTAAGAACTGTTATTGTACTATGACTGATGGAGTGTGACACCTAACAGAGTATTCATCTGTTGATCTTTGCACTTCGTCTTTTCACAGGGGATCGGTCGATGAAACCTTCCATTCATGCAGATCTGGACGCGTTTCACTCCGGGTTCCAGGCCTGTGCCAAAGAGGTCCTGCAGTACCTCAGTCAGTTTGAGAACTGGACGACCAGAGAGCAGAGGTGCGCGCAACTCATCGGCCACCTTCACAAGGTGCTGGCGCAGTTCCAGTCTGGCGCGTCACCGCTCCAGCACCAGCTCCCCTCCGGAGACTCACAGGACGGACAGAAAGCCGACAGTCAAGCGAACTGCGTCCCGGTCATCCAGAGGACCCAGGGCGGGGAGCTTAACGAGAATGACACGGACACGGACAGTGGATACGGAGGGGAGGCGGACAAGAGTGAGGCGAAGGACAAAGAATGTGAGCGCAACAAAGCGCAGCAGGGACACAGAGCGGTTAAGGTCAAGCAGGAGTTTGGAGATGAGCGCACTGCCAAGAAACCAAAGATGAACTGGCCCGGGAGTGGGTTGAGCGGCACAGACCCTAACCGACCCGACTTGGCATTTATGAACTCACTGATGGGAATAAGCAGTGTGGGACAGCAGACACCAATTTGCATGCCTTTCTACTTCATCAACCCATCGGCTGCGGCGTCTTATATGCCTTTTTTCGACAAAAACAACATTGAGAAGTACATGTACCCCGCGGCTGCCGCTCTCGCGTCCCCTTTCCCGTGGCTTTATCCCGCACACGCGTCAGCCGCGGCTGCTGCCGCTGCCGCTGCCGCGTTCCCCAGTCTGTCTGCGCACTTTGGAGCTTCCTCTCAGTCCAAGGACTCCCATACTCCAGACAGCGAGGAGTCACGCGAGGCTGAGACAGGCTCACCCGTGGAGCGCGAAGATAGTCCCGCGAGCGGCAACAGGGAGGATGAGGAAGCTGATTCGTCTCGGGAGAGCGACAGCAGCCCGCATGATCAGCTTTCTGCTTCTTCTTCTTGTTCGACGAGCTAATCAGTCTGTGTCACCTTTCCGTGCATTCTGCTGAGGAGTTTGTTTTACTTTTGAGATTAGGCTTAAACGAGGTCTCACTGAGGAGTTTCTCATGTACAAAAATGTTGGCGAATAAAGGGGACAGTTGTGACGGCGCGTGCCTTTTGCACTTACGCTCGCTTAATGATTATCGACAGTGATTGACATCAACACCGGAGCTAGTTTTTTAACCTCTTTGATAAGAAAAAAAAATATTTTGAAATGGCAGCATTGGTGCCAAAACTTTGAGAACTATTCCAGTTACCCAATCAGCGAGCCTCTTTGGATGTATGGCGTTGCAACTGACCTCAGCCAATGTTGTTAAAAGCCTGGCAAACTGTAAATATTCAGGCTGGTTCATGAACATGTAAATGTGCACTAAGTGGGCCTTTAAAAGAAGTGCAACGCCCACGGTACCTCATCCCCTTTAGGGGGCATATTACTGTCCCTCCTGTGAAGAAATGAAGTTAACCTCCAGCCCCCAAAATACACACACACACAAACATTAAACACACACATTTGAAAAGAAAGACAAAATTCAGACACCTCAATCATTACGCATTTATGACGAAGAAAGTATGAAAGAGGTACTTTCCTGTTGCCTGAGTTAACTCTTGTTCCCTTTACTAGTTCAGTCAATCTCTTAAGTCATTGGAGTGATAGAAAGTTAAAGCCCTGCTCTGAAAAAGAGGGCTGCTTGACCAGCACATTGTACACCTTCTGAATGCAGCATTTCAGCACAGAGGTGAAGTGACCTGAGACTCTTGTACCTCCAGGAAAAAGCATTGTAGGATAGCACCTTAAAGATCTTTGATATTGAATGTACCTGTATTTTCCCAGTTGTTAAAGTTTGTATGTAGAATGATCTTTACTCTTTGAGACGTAAAGTGCACTTTTTTCTGCTTCTTCTTTCTCCCCTACTGTCACTTTGTCCTTTAAAGAAGTCAATCACTGTAGTTCTCTCTGCACCTTTACTTTGTGTTCAGTTAAAGTAAGAATTTGATTTAATTTCAACAGAGAAAGCTGAGATACCATATGTATTGTGAGTAAAGCAATACTTGGCCAAATGCCCTTTTTAACAAGAACAAGCTATTTAAACGCAAAATGTTTCAGATCTGACAGCAGATCGGACTATTCCTCATTCTGTGTTCTGTAAACCTCACTTTTAACTTTGACAAAGGTGGGAAAAAAGCTGTGGTCACATGACTGTCAGACTATTAGCATTGCTGTTTTAAGACCTTCAACTTTATCTCAGCCTGTCTTCTGAGAGATTAATTACTGCAAGTGTTGTGTTGTTCAGCTTTCACATGTGACTGACTAAACAGATGGTTTTCATTGTATTTTGCATACATGACATTGCTTTTGTAGATTTCTTCTGCTCTTTTTTCTGCCTCAAATTCATTTTTTCAACTGTGCTATGAAGTGGCATGTGCGTCTGTATATACTGGTAGGGTTTTTTTTTTCCTGTGAATATACCATAAAGAGTACATGTCTGTGTCAATGTTGTAGAAGTCTATGGATTTTTTTTTTTAAGATTTAACTGAGCAACTGTTGCACATTTCGTTAATGCTTTACACATATGCTGTTATAAATTATTGCTGATGAGTTGTAAAATAAATATCAAAACTAAACTTTGCACTTTTCTTCTTCTGTTCAGTGGGACGGTTTATATGAGTCCTTGTGACTCTCTTACATCATACTGCCTGCATGTGTGTGTTTTTATGTAATTGAAATACACACAGTAACACACTGAATTATGCATGCACAGGACAAAAAGATCAGAGTTCAGTTTAGTTAATACCCTCTTCTCATATAGGAAACTGGAGGTCCTGCAGATGAAACATATTGTTACAAAGACTGTAATCAGCTCACAGGCCACAGTAGAGGAATGTACAGTAAGCTCAGGCTTTAAACAAATGTCATGTGATAAAAGGATGATGAAGTGAGATTACCCTCGGTCTGTACAGGCGAATGAAAAACAAGGGGGCCTCCTTCCAACTTGTCAAAAGCTTTAAGCAGGCTCAAATCCAGCCTTTGTTGTTGCCACTAACTGCTTTACTCCAATATTCTCTTTTAATCTGTATGAATAATTTCAAGTGCCTGACTTGGTGCTTTCCAGTAAACACTGGCAACAATGAGTCTTACATAAAGCCAACTTCTGCTTTCCAAGAAAGGGAAAGCTGCCTTAAATTTACAGTGTAAAAAAAAAAACAAGGTCCTTCATGTTCACGAAAATCTACTTTTTTATTTCTAAACTCAGATTATAAAATCTCTTAGTGTCTTTAACCAGCAGTCAAAGCATCTCCAAATGCATCTTCACCTGTATTCTTGTTACCTGACATCCTCCTCTTATGATTAACTTTGCTTCCATTTCATCCTTCTGTCTACACTAAATAAGTTTGGCCTTGAAACTTTCCAGTAGTATTGTGTCCATGTTTACCATAGCTAAGTCAAGGTCTCCCCCTACTGGTGAAAAACTTTAAAACAGCTCAAGCACAAAGCAAACATCATGGCACAAATTCCCTCTAATTAACGTCCGCGAGTCAATAGTAAAATTTCCCCAGAACAACAGATGTGACAAATTTCATTAAGTTAGATGGTTTATTGAATCATGCAATCAAAGTCATACCAGCAGCCAGTTACAGCCATACATCAGTCAACGATTTGCAGTATTTTAAGGCAGGAAACAATAAAAACAGATTATGTACAGTCGACATCTTAAAGTTCTACAGAACATATATGGTTGTAAACAGTGACCACAGCTACCTCTCATCCCAAGGTGGATAATGCACACAAGTGGTGTCTTAAAGGGAAATTACACCCAAATACACAGACTTAAAAAGTGAAAAAAAAAACCCACATAATTCTGAATCAGGGTCTCCTTTAACTGAACAGCAGAGTGACTCACCGTGCTGCTTAAGTAGACGCTGAGTGTCACAGAGTGAACTACCCTTCACTACCTATTTCTAACCATGAATCCTCTGGGGACAGTACATTGTGACTGAAGGATACAGTAAATGTCGCATGATGGAATAAATCAGATTACACATGAATGTATTTTACAGCACATTTTACTATGGCTACAGTAACACAGTAGCAAAGTGGAAAGCACTATACATGATGCACTTTCCACTGACATTTCTACAAAATACTGACAGGTAAAACATCATTACATGTGTCTTTTTTCGCTGCTGTGCTATTTCTACTTCTCTGTGTTTATGACATTTGATCTAACCTGACTACAATCATTGCTTCAATGTCTCTACTAAAGCTTTACTGTACATTATTTGATTACAAGGACTGTGGAATGAGTATAAGGCACTTTGATTTGATTAGCAGCTGAACAACTACCGATGAGGGGCCCCACACTGAGGCTACTCTAACTCTGCAAACTCCCACGTACTAACACACTCACACATACACATCCTTTCAATCACACCCACTCTATAGCTGTAGCTATCCATTGGATCATGCCACCATTTTCACCATAAAGGAATAGATTTACTGTACTGTGGTCGCCCTGCACATCCAGATATGGCTATATAAATGACACAATCATGCAACAAGACCTGCTTATCTTTGGCCTTCAATCCTTTAGGGAAACAAGCAAAACAGATTTGGCAAAAATATACTGTAGTGTCATCTTAACAACAACAACAACAACAAAAGGAGAAAAAAAAAACAGCTTAAGAGGATAATTAACACTGTTTCATTATGCAGATATGACTGCAGGAATGAGGGCACTAGCTATGAATGCACACCCCTGTAATAAAATAGAATAGTTCACTGAATACAGCTGGAAAGTAAGAAATCATATTTACAGTAAGCCATCATTTTGGTATACGTACAGACAGTAACATTCTTCAGTAAAAATACAAAACAATTACCATTTGTGCATAGTTTTAACATGAACAAAGCCAGAGCTACAGGTTTACATTCGGAAATGCAGAACGAATGATTCGAGACTGAATAACCACAAACACAACTTGCCGTGTGAAATGTTTACGTTGCAGATATTACGTGTTTGTCTTTTTAAGGATATATTCACATACTTAGATTCTCAATAACGCTGTTGGAAAGGCAATCATTTAAAATCATAAAGCTAGAAAGAAAACAAATATTATTCAGCAGGTGGTAAAGTGAGAGTTAAAGTACACTGAGTGGATATGTTTATAAAGGAGGTCTAAAAGAGCTTAAGATACGAAAGTCCTAACACGTTCAGAGAGTTTCTTCTCAGAGTTTCAAACACCTTTCATTCCCATCAAGTGCTCCATGACTCCCATTCAAAGACATCATCATTCCTTCACTATTTGAGTCCTTACACTCAAGGCTGCCTTCATCTTACAGAGACAACAGTGCATAGGAGTGTGCTACTGAGGTATCCAGTACAGAGATATCCACTAACAGTAGAACTGTTCACACATAGATCCCCTCTGGGTTCAGGCCTGAACTGAGAGGATTGTGAAGCACCCGAAGATGATTGGAGATCTGGTGCGATGGCACAGGACGCTTCAGGGAGCCAGTCAGGGGAACTAAATCTGTGGGGAAATGCATGAAAAAAAGGAAGAAAATAAGAGAAAATGTCTAAATTAAGTATATTGTTCCAAAGATACCATCTGTCTCTCACACTTTTTCTTAACACTTTTATTTAAAAAACATTACAGAAGAAGTTCCCTTCAAAAACATGTTTTTAGCCCGAAAGATGACTCTGGTTTGGTGCCACCAGGGGGCGGCACAGAGCTGTGCAGAGCTTCAGCTGATGCAGCAAATTCATGGTATGGCACAAAAGCTCTTAGATTTTTTTCACACGAACTGGAAGGTTACCAGAAGGACATGGACACACAGTTCAACATTTCTCAGTGTTGAAATCGCTCAAATTTAAAAACAAGACCTGCAGCTCTTAGAGAGACATTGATGAACAACATGAAGCAGATAGAAAACAAACCAAGCTCTTTATGAAAGGGAAGATATTAAAGTTAACGTTAATGTGAACCATAGTGTCAAAGCTCCTATGGGTTAAAATTCACCTTTAAAACCTCTATATTTCTAGTGTTTTAAGTTAGTTGGGGGTAATGGAGGTTAAATCACTCAGAAACAGTGTCAAAAATCTGCCAAAAATAGCGATGCATAAAAGTTTAGATTTGGATTTATATGTGAACATGCTGGAAAAGCTTCAATATGCTTGTTAAGGTTCCAGCCCTGATCTTCAATTCTCTCAACTTAGCGCTCTGAGGAAGAGGTGCCGTCCCATATTAAGAAGCACATAAAGAGGCAAAACACAACTCCTGAAGATCTGATTCAAACTTTATGCTCATAATTAAAAGGTGCTCACATGCAATTATTAAGTTTTAATGAGCAGCTGTTCTGTGGTTGATTTGGATAGCATCTTTTGCTCCATGGCAGCTCTCCCATGATTCAGAACTCTCTGTGTATGTGTCAGCTCCCTTGTAGGGGGAGAAAGAGCTTTGGTCCATTGAGCCCATCATAGAAACTGCTGAGCATGAGATAGAGGGGCAGAGTGATAGAGGGAGCAAGGGGGGAAACACAGAGAGTCAGACGAATGAATGATGCGGGGTCTGCTTGTATCCAGGCAGCTGTTGGCATGGTGACTATAATTGCGGCAAAAGTCAGTCAAAGCTGATTCTGTACCTTCAAATACCCTAATTTTCTCCATCATGGTCTCTTCGATGCTTACGTGTGTTTGTGCTCCATTAGCTGTGAAGACACTTGTGGACATAATGACATAGTGATGGCAGCCCTTCACTCACACTTCAACCTGAACTAATTCAAACTTGAACGTTAGAAGGAAGTCTGAACCCTTAGGATGGCTTTTTAGACAGTTATGTCCTCACTTGACTTTTCCTTTCTCACTCCCAGAATCTTAATCTAATGTTGGTTCTCAGAAAGATAGCTGTACAAGAACACTCTCTTACACACACAATCAAAACTGAGTCATAAGAAACAGAATAACCAGAAGTGTCCTGATGAAACACAATTATTACAGTTTTTTATTCATTTAAAACACTTCAGTATGTCATAAACCATTTCCACCGGTCTATTTCCCAATCTACTAAATGCCACTTTATTTTACACACTAGTCTTAATGGACTAGAAACAAGAGTCCCTATACTCACCTATACCATGACTGTTTGGAGTGTTTTCGTCCTCAGTGGGTTCAGCGGGCAACACGGTGACCTTGGTGCCAGTCTGCTTGATGAACTGCTGCAGGTTAACCTGCCTCAGCTCCTTGGTCAGCTGCTCCAGCTCGTGCTGCATGTCCTTCAAAGAAACAGCACAAGAGAGTGATTCTTCAGCAACCATGAGGTATTGGCAGCAACTCAAAACTGACATCCACAGCTACAGATGATAAAAGACTGTGTTTGTTCACCCTGACGTTCACACACACGCACACACACACACATTGGTGATACCACTTCGAAGCTGGCGTCTTGCAATGGTAAAGCTAACACTCACAGTCCAACCTTGAACACTAAGTACTAAGTCATGCCATGAAATCCATCATTAAGCCATTCTCCACATTCAGTCTTAAGACAGAGGTGTTTTAATTCTTGAGTAAATGGAAGAAAACTTTGAGACATTACTTTGTGCACAAGAAAGATATATAAACATAGTTCTCTGCATAAGGTTTATTTTCTAAATTCTGTGTTTTTTTAGATTAAATGTACAAATATCTTGACAGTCATTGCCTTTGTATTGCACAGGCTTTCTGTCTTTGCACAACCCTGGTATTTTTATTCCCTACAATGCAATACAAGAGGTACAACATGAAGTGTTAAGATTTAGATGCATGGTAGTGTCTCACCAGCAGCTTCTTGCTGCTTTGTCCAAGTGATCTGTCGACCGCTCTGCAGCTGCTTTCCAACTGGACAGCTTGTCTTTCTTGAGCCTTCAGTTCTGCTTTGACCCTGAGGACCTGAGCCCGGGCCTCTGCCTCGGTCACCCACTGGGTCTCCTGTCGCTCCCTCTGCAGCCGCTCCTCTTCCAGGCCAGCCTCTACGCCCTGATAATCAAATAAGATAGACATGATGAGAAAAAACTGGTAAAAGCTGGATATCCACAAATCATAATCTTTTACTATAACTTCCTTTCAAAATATTTGAGAACTCAACATCAGAACAATCTCCCACACACAGCACACCTGTACTATTGCCAGCTTTTCTTCAATCTCCAGCTCACAGCCCTGCAGACGCCCTCGCAGCTCCTGCAGTCTCTCCTCCAGCTGTCTTTCACTCTCCAGCTCAATCTGCAGTTCCGTAGCCCAAAACTCTTCCTCCTCCATTTCCACCTCGTTCTTCCTCAGATGTTTCTCCAGCCTTAAGATTTCCTCTATCAGCCCTCCTCCTCCTACGCCTAGGTCCCCAATGCATCCTCCACCTCGCCCCCCTCCAGCCCACACCTGGAGCTCTGCCTCATAGGCCTCCAGCTTCTTCTCCAGCACACCGAGAGTCTCTCTCTGTATACCCACCAGTCTGACCAGATCTTCCATGCGACAAGCCCACAGGCCTGGAGATGTAGTCCCCATGGGGGGTCCTGCATGATGGTGGTTTCCACCATTTCCCAGGAAAATCCTTCTTTTTGCCTCTGCCTCAACAATCCTGCCACCACTCAGTATCTCCCTGAGGCCTCTAGGAGCACCAGTAAACGTGAGCGACTTGCGGCGTGGTTCACGACGCCTGAGGGAGCGATCGTTAGGATGACGAAGCTTTGCAAGCGGAGGGAGGCTCTGCCGGTGTAGCCCTCGTTCAGGCCCCCTGAGAGGGGGACCTTCTGAGGGAGGTCGTTCGGTCAGGGAGGGGCCTGTGCGGAGCAGGATCAGTTGGACGTCACCTGCATACTGACCCCAGGTGTTCAGAGAGGCCACAGGGCTCTCATGAGGAGCAAGATGACGCTCTGTGTCCCGCCATTTTTCCACCAGAGTGTATCTTCCAGTGCGACCTATAAACAGCACAAATGACAAAAACCAGGCTTATCATGCTAGTTAATATCCGTGCCAGTTTTTAAGGATGCTTCAAGAGATTAAGAAATTAAAACATACGTATGAAATGATACAACAACACTTCATGACTACATGAAACTATGAAGAAAACTGTTTCCTACATTTAGAAAAACTCTCAATATCAACCCAACACTTGAACAATTTCAACAACCTTTTCTGAGTGTGGTAAATGAACACAGCTCATAGTAGTTTAGTGAAATAAGAGCCTCTTGTTTGAACCACACTACTCAAAGTGTGGAGTGGGAAATAGAACAATTGGCTGACAGAGGCTGAAGGCTGCACAGATTTGAAGAGAAGAGTGTCCTCCAGTGGATTAACCCTTCCAGATGACACTCCATTATTCTGCATAAGAAAGGCATGTATTAATGTGTTTCAAAGAAAACCCTAACACTGCTATATGTGTGTAGACAGAAACACACGGTCAAATGCCAAAGCACTAAATCAATACTGATGTCTGATTATTTAAAGTGGTGTATATGATTTCAACAGAAAAAGGCAGAGGAGGGGATTCAGACGCCAGGCTTTCTCAGTTTGGCAGGAGATCGAGGAATGAGTCAGACTTTCCCTCCTCCTACTTTGTGCTTTGTGGGAAGTGATGTCAATACAGCCTGTTCGAGTGCCCCCGCTCCTAAAGGAGCCATATGGCAAAGGGGGGATTGCTGAGATCTAAGAACCTACCAACACATCCTCTGATTAGTACCCACTGGATCTTTGCAGGAGCAGCATGTAGGCAGGGGGGCCTGAAAGACGACTACTTTCTAGGTTACAAGAGGCAGTGTGAATTTGGAGAGCTCACTGCCGCTTCAGTTGTTGCTTGGCACATGATTTGAAAATTTGGAGTACAACACAGATGTAGCTTTCCAGAAAGTGTATTTTAAAGTGTTAAAAAATTGTAAATTCACATGAAAAGGGACCTTTATTTATCACACTGGAGGAAGCAAATTATTTTTTACTCCACACGAGAAGTCAAACATGAAAAAGCACACAAGAACTACACTCTAAGTTTTCATTTCAAAAATGTTCACCGCCTTGACTTTCATCAACCTTCCTGCTTCAGTGTCATCTAATGTCCAGTGTAACAACAGCACTCTCCGGTGTTTTCTAATATAAACGGTGTGGTCTAAACTGAAACATGTCCCCACACTGTTTGTCATCAGGAAACAATGTGACGCATCAGTGTTTCTAAAAGCAGCCCACGGATGTAGAAAAACATGGTAAACACGAGATACTCAAGCTTTGCTATGACAAGGTCTTCTTCTGTGTGTAAGTGTGTGTGTTTGAAAATGATCTACCTATGGCCTGAGCCAAAGCAATCACCACTTCCTGGCAGGTGGTTGCCTCTGTGACCCCGCAGACGACCCTCTGGACTCCATCTACCCAGACCTTTAGCTCCATGTTAGGTCAGAAGCGAGGGGGCCGGTTGTGGTGTGTTGGCCCCGACATTATTGAAGGCTCCAGTGGTGCAAGGCAGCTGAAGCCCCTCCGGCTGCTTCACTGGGGAGGAAACAAGAGGGAAAACAGGAAACAGTTAGTCAGGATGTACTCAAGGACACGGCGGTAACACGCTCTGTGTGTCCCAAATGACAGACAGACTGCAAACAGTTTCACCTGTGATGTGATCCGCTGAGAGAGGCAGTGAAATAAGCAGAAAATACAGTCCAGCTTTGTTGGCGATCGCTCTTGAATGAAGGATGGTCCAGTTAAGATGGACTCTTACTGCCAGGCTGCCAGGACCAGCTGGCCGTAGCGCAGTTGTTTTGTTCTTCTCTATGAATAGGTATGTGTCTGTTGGGGGTGCAGGAAGGGTCTACCAGCAGACATTCCCAAGTGCAGTTCCTGCTTTTGTGCAGAGATTTACCCAGAAGCAGCGAAGAAAGAGCAGGAAGATTAAGTCAGCGACAGATCGAGGATGGGAACAGAAAGGGAAACAAGACAGCATGAAAATGTTATTAAAAAATGAAAAGGGAGAGCTGAGGAATTGTTACATAAGAAAGCGGAGCAGATCTCACTGTTTTTATTACGATTGTGCAACACAGGAAATATACGATAGTACGCAATTTATCCTTTCAGGAGAAGAGTATAAATATAAACACAAAAAGGCAATAAAAGGGCTCGTGTGAAAGTTTCTTGATCCGACTGACAGATGGCTGAGGCAAACCAAAAGGCTAAAAAAAAACATTATTTAAATGTGAACTGGTGTCTGATTATTAAGTTCCTTGTTAAAGCTGAGAGTAATAATTACTGACTCAGTCTATGAAACACCCATCCACAGAGAGAAACCCTTCAAAGCGTCCTTCAAGGACAGTGTGCTGGCAGAGAATGAATGGCATCTCTCCTGATCTCTATCACTCTCTCCACAGATCTACCCTTCACTGCAACTACACCACCCAGTCAAAAGGTCCTTTTGTTTGCCAACCCCCACCAATTACAGCTCCCCCACCTCCCCCACCCCTGGTTTTCCCTCTTCAGCCTCACAAAGTCACCCACACGAGCCTGTCACCCCCTCCACTGACCGCTTCTATAAATATGGTGAAGACATTAGGGAGCGCTGTGAGTTTGGCAAAACGACAACAAATGATCATCTGCATCATTGATTAATACATCAGTGTTCTGCTGATTGATTTGTTGTTGTTGACCTTAAAATAAAGGTCAACGGTGCTTGTCATAAGTTCCCAAAGCCCAGGATGACATTTTGAATCAAAGTGAGAGGAGTTTATGCAATGCAAGTAAAAATATGTTTCAAGATCAGCAGAGTATTACTTTGTTTTTTCACCTGGGTTTTTGGATTAATGTTGAAGATTTAATGGACTCATAGCGATAGCTCTCAATAGAAACTAAAGGAAAGTGTTAGCAGTCATCAGAGATTTAGAGACTCTAGAGTTTCTGTTAAAAACTCAGAGTTTCAAGAGAAACTACATGCAGCTTTTGCATTTGCATACATGCTGAGGACTAACTTTTATCTGTGGCCTTGCTCTCTATCTCTCTGTTCTTGGCCTGGTCACAGCTGCTCAGATAGTGCTTTTGTCCTCGATTCACACTGTCCTTAGATAACATTAAGGGCTAAAAGTATAGGAGACCTTCACATAAGCAGACTGCAAAATTTTTCTGCACTGACCCAAAACCCAGGGACGGGTTTGGAAACAGAAATAGTAGGAGAGTGAGACTTGATGCAGAGCAGACATGATGGATTAGCCAAGGAAGGGGGACTATGAGGAAGAGTCAGGAGGCTTAAAAAGGACCACTGTGTCCAAAACTGTATACTCAAATAGAAAAAAAAAGACTAAGACTCAAAAAAAAGGTAAGAAGATGAAAAAATCCAAATTAAAGTGAGCTCCTTCTGATCCGTCTTAAAGCCCAACAAGGCTCAGCAGGCGTTTGTAAATGCCACTTGCTCCAGTCCAGTCTTTAAGCATTTATATTCATTAACATGGGCCCAGAAAACCATACTGGTGATACAAGCACAGCAGTGTGGGGCAGCCTGCCATCCTGAGCTGCAGGCTCCATTCCTTCAGCCTGTCAAAGCCCCAGCCTGGGGAGATGCCCACTCCCTGATTTGCTCTGCTCCTCATCTGCCAGGAGGAAGGGCTTTGATATCTTGAATTCTACTTAAGCACAGTTAAAAGATGATCAGCTGCAGGCAAACTCAAACCCCCCCATGACTCCAGAGGACATTTGTTTCAGCTTCATATTAGTTTAGCGGTGTTGACTCAAGATGCATTCTTCTGAGAGCAGTGAGGTGTGTGAGCAGCGCTGAGCAGCCTGGACTGCCGGCTGCTGCTGCTGACTCTTCTCCAGGCCTACAGAGCACACCGAGCTGGCAGGGAAGCAGCTTCAATGGGTTGCTGGAGTAAACAACCTACCATATGCTCCTGTGGGTGTTCCAGCACTCTCCTGTAATGTACACCATGATGACATATACTGTAGCAGTTTCTGCTGTAGGACTTTAAATATAGCACTGCTTTTGTTTTGGGTTTTACACTTGGTTGGGCATCTCAAACTGGTCTGAGAGTCGTGCAGTTAAAACAGCAGGAGAAGGGAGTGCTAGTGGAAAATAAAATGGGTATTCATTGCATCAAACAGAGCAAAGACTGAGCTTAAATCAGGAGAAAGCCTGCAGGGAAGTGACCAAAACAAGCCGGGAAAAAGGATCCTCTAGGAAATGTAGTGCCTCAAAACATGGACTCTGTTACACCCTGGTTCCTTTCCAAACTTACAGACCATTGTTCTGTGAGGAAAAAACACAGAAGTCGAGGCATTGCAGTTCGAGGAATCAAATTAAACAAGAAGCTAATATGTAATAGAAGGTTTCTGACATGCTCAAACTCTCCCAAGCTGCTTTTAATTAAAGACAATGGGAGACTGCTTATAGTGACAGCAGTCTGTTAGAGTACTTAAACCTCTTTGCCTCTCGCTAACCAAACTTTAATTCAAATTGCGCTCCCCTTAGTGCAACATGTAATTACCAGCAATTTATACCCTGCTTTAATTGTTCACAGATCTGTTGTGAAATGGATTTCTGAGCAGCAAGACGCTGGTTTAATTTTGTGGCACAGGTTGGAACTAACCGGAGAAATCTTTTTCTTGCTTTCAATTCTTGGAGATTGTCATCAAATTGTACAGCCAAGTTTAATCCCGAGGCCCAAAACACACCAGGATGGCAAAAGTTAAGGATTAGTGCTACACAAGCTCAGAAAAGAGCCCCCAGTGGTTAAAAATTAAGGGTCTTTCCGTGGGAACCAGATAAAGAAGTTCCTTATCATTAGCTTGCCAGCCCGCCTTGTATGCAACACCCTCTACAAATGTAAACGTTCCAGAGCAGGGCAGAGACTGTGGCCTGATACAGGCCTTGATCCTGTAGAGAGGAATCTGATAACGTCGTTGGTATGCATTCCTGTGCTGTGAGAATGCAATGGGCCATGACTTGGAGACAAGAGAGCTGCTCTGTGATCTTTCAACAGAAGAATTACTGGCAGATCAGCCAGCATGCCTTTGGAAGTTTAATGTGCTAAACTCAAATTGAAAAATCTGATGAACAGTCTGATACGACTCCTATTCTTTCATGAATTTACACCACACTTCTTCTACTGTGCACGTTGCCAGCACCCTCTTTAGCGTCTCATTTGCATACCCTCCAGGACCTAATGCCTCCAGTAAAGATGAGTGTCAATTAATGAGCAATTAAAGGCGACACTGTGCCACTGCTTAATCAAAAGCTAAAAGCCAGTGTCAGTAATTCCAATCAGAGGTACTTGATTCAACCTTCATGAGGTCTGTTGTGACCCAGACGATTAAGGTATCAGAGAAATCCAAGATACACACAGAGGAGGACTGAAAAATCCCTCAGGGCATCTTCAGAACTTCAACTCTAAATCTGAAGCTCCAGTCTTTATATTGTGGTGTTTAGGATTAAACTCAGATCTTGTCACGCTACAGACTGCACCCTCAGGTCCTGGGAGCTCTCCAAGGGCTCTGCCCCGCAGCCAGCCTTCCTCCTCCTTCTCTCTGGCTGATATTAAACTATTAGGCGCTGGAGCAGACTCCCCCCCCATTTGGGAGGTCAGTTCTGGCAGGGGCTTGAACATCTGGACGGCACGTTTAGCCAGCAATAATGCCGCCTTTGTTCGCTTGCCATGTTCACTGCTCACTGGCCAGCTTTGAAGAGGCAGCAGGACCAGGCAGCATGCTCCTGCAGCAGGGCAGCAGGGCAGCAGCACAGCAGGGAAACTGGAGGCCTCTGGACGATAGGTTTACATCTTACAGCTGTTTGCAAAACATCATCTGGTGCTGAATCACAGTCTACCAAGGTAGCATTTAGAGAGCTGAAATGGTTTTGCAGGAGCAGCTGGATACAGCCAAATACAAAGAAGTGGCAAAACGTATTTTTCCAGTCTGGAGGTAGTTCTCTGCAGCCTGGTCTTCATGAAGCTGAACCACTGAACACCAGGATCCTCTTTTCACACAGCTTGAGAGTGAAATACATGAATCTTTGCTGAATGTAGCCACTCCACAGGTTGGTGCTTCACCTGGAGTGGGTTGTAGACTTAGTATAGTACAGCACTGGAGCTTTGTTAGGAATGACTGTGAGGGGCTTTATACATAACGTTCACAATATTAGCTCTGTGTAAAGATATTTGAAGCTACAGAGTTATTGTTGGAGATAAGTTGCTGAACCTTGAGACAGACAGTAGGCTTCAAAATGTGAGTAAAAATGAATCCCAGACTTGAGTAAATGAACTGATAATAGTCTAAAAACGCTTCAAATGGGACCTTTTTCTCAAACTAAATCAGAATTAAAAGCATGTAGTCTATTTTCTTCATCCTGCAGAGATGCTACATACATGTCTCTCAGCTTTAAACTGTACCTTAAGCACACACTGTTGGGTTGGGAGTGGGACGAGGCAGTAGAAATGGCGATAATGGTCTGTAGTGGGCTGAGAGAGTAGCCCAACTCTTCTACTACAGAAATGTTTCCGTTATCTCAGCCTTACAACTACGCCGGACTGAGCCGCAGCACAGTCTGCTATTATTAGGTCCGTCTAATGCTCTTACCTCTCTGGTGCAAATAGGATTCCGCTTAGTGTTTCCCCTCCGAAGTGAAGTTTCGGCTGAAAACACAGGTAAAGGCGAGAAATCCGCAAAATTTGTTCCTCTTCACCATTGCCCAGTAAATCACTTCCCATGAACTGCGACAAAGTAACGTTAGGCTATTGGGGGGAAAACAGAACAAAGGGCGACAAAAAACACGACTCCAACACCCCTGATATTTGACGTTTCGGATCTGAGTCCGAAAGTTTGTGTCCCCTCTTTGCGCTAGTCTTTAGCGGTCTCTCCGGTAGGCTGCGGAAAAAGCCCCTCTCCCCCGTTTCATTACTCCTGCTGGTAAATACACGGCACTGGAACTGGGACACCGCAAGGCATTGTGGACTGTTTAAAGCTGCAAAACCCTGAGAGGGGGGAAGCTATACCTACAGCCAACTTTTACACATCCAGGACACTTACAGCACCATAGTGAGACGTAGTAGACTTATCACTTACATAAGTCCTCCTGAATTATTTATAAAACTGGCTCCAGTGTTTCTGCTTGAACAAGAAGTACAGAGATTATAATGATAGTATGTTCTCATCAGGTGATGCTTTCTCTCTGTAAAAGCACAAATATATACAAGTGAATCCTCAATTTAATGACTTAAAGTGATGACATTTACATTACAGGATCTCAAAAGTTCACGATTACAGCTCTGGCTGCACCAGATTATCCATTTGTTCAATGTTGCAGCAGGGTTTCTTCATGACTTTTCTTCTGATCAAAAAGGCATAATTCAGATTAGATTAGATTAGATTTACCTTTATTCATCCCTCAGTGGGGAAATGAGGTTGTGAACAGAAGTGGTACACACAACATACACATTCATACTGGGTACAAAAAACAAATAAATAAGATAGAGAAGTACAATAAAAAAAGGAAAGAGAAGTGCAAGGGAAGAACAGTATTAAAAACAAGTATAAGAAAAATATAAAAGAGAAGAAAAAAAAAAGATCAGCGCCAACAGAAGAAAAACAGGTATGGATGTGATGATGATGATGATACTGATAATGCACACTTAAGTAAAAGATAGTCTAGTTATGGACTGCATGCTCCAGATCTAGATTTGCAAATACTGGAGCTATCAGATGATTGTAGAGGTATAAAAATGATATTCAGGAGTGTCTGAAATGTAGTGATGCAAGCAGTAGAAAACACCCAAGTAACTATTCTGTACTGTCAGCAATGTACTGCAGTCAAAATGTATCGTTATTTTCCACTAGCATGAATTTGAAGCTGTTAAAGTACACTTTATTTGCTCTTTGATGCTTGGTTGATCAACATACGCAGCAGAGTCCTGCAGGTTTTTGCAGATAAGCAAGAGTGTAATGTTTTCTGTTTGGTTGTAAAGGAAGTTATTTTGATGATCATAGATGCTGCAGGAGGACTCTGAAAATAAAGAGCTGAACTGGTTTAGTAACATACAAAATAGCACAGAAAGATCCCATACAGTAGACAACATGGGTAAATAAATCCCCTCATAAATGAACAGTGATGCATTAATGATACAATGTGAAAAGATTTTTTATTTGTACTCTTAAAATAAGCCACAATGAAAATGAAAAATCACTAGATGAAGTCCACCTGTGGTTATCTATAAATTTAGTTTCTGTATGTGTGCATATTTTTCATTAAAAACTCATGTACACATGCACGCACATACGTATTTACATGTATGTGTTTTTGTGGAACAACGTGACAACTTTGCTGAGTTTAATCCATGTGCCAAAAACATGAAAAGAAAAGAAAATCATATTAAAGGAAGCCCACACGTGATGAATCAAAACAAAAGTCACATTTAACTAAAGCAGCTGATCAGCCTTTGGTCATGGGACCTTATTTACATGGAGGCCTACTGCCCTCTTGTGACTGAAAATACATTTGCTCTGATGTGACAAAATGTCATCTGATGCCATCATGAGCATGAGTGACATGAGTAGTTTATCGTCTCCCTGATACAGAGGAAGTGAGTTCAGCAAATTTGACCTCTGAGACATCAGGATGTTCTAATGACTTAAAGTTGAGTCACTTTTTCCGCTTTTTAAACATATAACTTACCAAACTTATCGTCATTGTATTTAAAACTGAGGGTCTATCAGGAACTCATTAGTTTATGCTACAGCTCCAATAGATTACTGATGGAATCTGTCATTTTAAATCAAAAATGAATTTTGATTTAGCATCATAAAATACAGCTGTTTTACTATCTGGCATTGCTTTGTAGTGTTATACATAATTCATCATTCACCGGCTAAGATTGAGTTTATCTCTTAAATTTATACATATCTATGAATAATTCTCAAGAGGGTAGAGGGGTTTTACTGTGAAAAAAAAAGACAGTCCCATTATAATTGTTTTCACATTCGAAGTGGCAATACCTTCATTTCATTTTCATTCTTTATTTCATTCAATTAATATTTAAAACATTCAATAAAAACAAGGAAAAATCTCAAACATGTGAATGAAAAGGAGCAGAAAGAAGAAAAGCCTTATAGAGTCTGTCCCTCTTTCATAAGATATACATCAACTAAATACAATAAAAATAAACCAGAGCTGCAGGCCAACATGCATTTTTACAGTTTATTATTTCTTATTTTTGAAAACAAACAGATAAGACCATGTTAATTCACATTTTTCAACAAAACAAACATGCCAAGACTTAGATTAACACATTTCCCTGTATTTGTTCAACATACTGGCTTTGACATGCTTTTTGAAGATAAAATTTGACACAGCTTCTTTGGATTTTTTTGTTTAGATTGTTCCACAAATTTATTCCTCTCACTGTAACACAACGCACTGTAACAATACCTTAAAACTGTAACAGATTTCAAAAACAAAAACAAACAGTGATAAAATTCTCTATTCAGTTTTTGCACTCTTTTGACAGTCTTTTACTGTCCAAAATTTGTTTTCTTGTTGCTTTGTTTTTAGCAATTCAATACAGTTTGAAGCATTTTTTTTTTAGAAATATGTTTATTAATTTTTAATGAACAATAAAATTAAAAGAAAAAAATATTTATATATACATACATATATATATAAAATGGAAAAAAAGGAGTACAAAACGCAGCACATCAAGAATTACAACTATATTACATTGTTTACAGAATATAAATGTAAAAGCAGACATAAAATTATAGTTTGAAGCATTTTTTTAAAAAGAGGGAAGGGAGTCAATTTATTGCTGTTTTTCTTGATGTTATCATTTTATTTTGTATTTGTTTGTCTGTTTGCTTTTTATTTTCCCCCTCCTTTCAACTCTTTAGGTTTGAAATGACCCATTACCTCTCCTTTATCATCCACTCACTAAACTCAGGTCTAACTCCTTTGAGGCTTGGTGAGCTCCCAAACACTAAGCCAACAGTGACCTCTAGCGTGTCTGCTGCATGAAATAAAAAAAGTGCTTTTACTATTGAGTAAATCTCTTGTCTTCTTGTGTTTTTAACCCTGTTTTTATATATTGTTACTTTCAGCTTTTAGATTTCATGGACTGGCTCACTTTAACATCAGGTGTGGGATTATTGCCTCTCTTATTAGAAAAAACCTGGAGAGCACAAATCTTTGTCCCGAAATACCCTCGTCGTAAAATACTTCTAAATCGACTCGATGAAGACTATTTATATATTTTTGATCACGCCCTCGTCTTCCTTAACAGACCTAGATTGTGTTTTAGTGCTGGTGCGGTTTTTTTTAGTGACTATCCTAAGTATGCACAAACCGTGCGCAGGAGCTATCCCAGGGAAGGCTTTGGAAAACTGACAAGGGATTGCCAAATCATTTCCTTGCCTGGGAATGACGTCCCTGCAGCGCAGCTCGGTTATATTTAGAGCCTATATATAGTGGAGTCGCCCCCTAGGCTTTGTTGACTCTGCAGCAGGCAACAGCAGGAGCCCACTACACAGAAAGGAAACGTCCTGAACCTGACACCATGTGACCTACATACTTACTGAGATGTTTTTGATCAAATAATAAATATGAATTTACACAATGGATAATCAATAAACTTTAATTTAAAATGTGATCATGTTTGCACACACGCGTCTTGTTGAGAGCCCAATGCGCATAGGGTGATCCTGGAGAAATCCTGATGTACTCACAATAATAAATCAAAACCTTAATAGCACATATAGACAGGACTAAGTGAAGTATGTTGTATGTCCGTGTTGTGTTAATGAGTCGACAAAAAATGCCCCAAATCGGTTGAAATCCCCTGCTATGCTTTCTGGGTAAAGTGCGCCCCGGTATCCGCCCATATTCGCGTAAAGGAGGCCAACCTGAGCAGCTAGGCCGGACGCTGGATCAAATGGAAAGTTCAATCGATTAATTTCCCCCACTAATTCGTCTGTTCCCGCTTGCTTCTGAGACGAAGTAGACCGACTTACATGCGGGCGTTTTCGGTGTGAAGTAGGAAATGCAGAGATCGTGTGAAAGCAGAGGATTATCAGCTTGACTTCTTTGGTCGCTACTTCGGACGCGGAACTCCACACTTGCTAAAGGTAAAACAAATGGATAAGATTTACACATGTGAGCCGCTTTGGGCTTTTTATTCAACATTGTGTGGCTGATTCATGAGATAAGTCAGTGTGACAGCTGTGTTCCCACGGAATAATACTGTTAAAGGGGAAATATTCATTCTCGGGGTAAGTGCAAACTACGCCCAATTGTTAACCTTATGTGTGGCCCTGCAATGCAGACCTTTGGGCTAGCCTGTCAATGGCGGCTCCAAAAATCTGCACCCTTTTCCTCTTTTGAATGAATGATACCATCTTTTTCACAAACACCACGCAGGCAGAGCTGCATTCGCGAGCTTTTTATGTGAATTGTCAAGTATTAGCACAGGCGGGCTAGTTAGCTTTCGTGGAAGTCTGTGGGCGACCTCCAGAGCTAACTGTGAGCTAGCTAACAGCAGCAGCAGCCCGGCTATTTAAACACAAGAGGGGTTCACACACAGCCGACCTGGCAACCCCTCGGGCACACAGCGCTGGATTTACATCAAATTCCTCCACATTTTGAAGCTTTAGGTGTGTTTCCCTGTTTAGACACTGCAGTAGAAAAACCTTGGTTATCCACAGCTAACTCTCACACATCTTGTTAGTAAATGCTGGTGTCATAATAGCTGGAAAATGTCGATTTTAACTCGTTTTTTTATTGTGATACGGTCAATTAACTTAAGTTGTTGTCATCCAAGTGGTGTGAATAAAAGCTTGTAATAATCATGACCGTCATACTTACAGTCTCACATATTTATGTCCATGTAAATACAACTTCATCACAACCTTTCCACACTAAGTGATGTTACATGACACTAATAGTGTTGCTCATTGTTGTTTATTCACAACAAAATACAGAGTTTGGGAGATATCATTATATATATTCTGTAAACATGTAAATTTGACTCTTTAATCTTTTTTTTAACTGAACTCTAAGTTGCTTTATACTTAAATTTCTCTTGTATGACTGTATGCTGCTGTAAATTTGGAATTCCCCCCTGTAAGACTCTTAAAGAAACATCTTATCTTGTCTTACCAACTCACTTTACTTGCTTTAAATATATCTGCATTAAGTCACACCAATGTAATTTCCCTGTCACATAAGCATGTACCAGACAGCAGAAGTGTGGTCATGCTTTCTGTAACATTGTGAGCACTCTTAATCTGCACACAGATAAGATTTGTCTCCCACTGTACGACTGCAGCCTCTCTGTAATACGTGTAAATCACAGACTGCTGGGTGTGACGTACAACATGATGATTTCAGGGAGTAATGAACCAGTGTTGAGTTCTCAAACAAGTGTTGTAAAAGTATACCTTTGTCAGCCAAATACCTATCAAACCACATTCTGGTTTTTCTGTTTGTCTAGAAAAGGCAATGATAGTCAGTCAAACTCCTCCCTGACTGCAGGCTGTGTGAAGCTGTGAGCAGTATGTACTGTAACTTCTGAAAAGGCCAGCTGCCACTATTGATGGGTGCCTCTCTACAAAGCAGTCAGACAGCACAGAGCCTCCCAGTCGCCTGTCAATTCTGGAGCCTTAATGTAATGTCAAAGATTTCTGCCTGGGGATTTTTTTTTCTGTTGTGTAGCTGCTACTCTGAAAATACCACTGAGTGTGCTGCTCCACAGGGTATTTATGACTCTCTCCTCCTCTTGTACTCAAGTCTGCTTCCATTTAAGATAAAAAAATCCACCTAGGTATGAATAAGGTTTAATTTCATCCCAGCTCAATTAACCTGTTTCTGTTTTAACTCAGCAACAAGTATAAACTAGAAAAGCACTCGGAGAGTGCAGACCTCCGCCAAGCAGCTCATGTCCCCCCTTATATTGTGATTCACACCAAAACTTTTACTGTTTCGTGTCTTTTATTAACTTTTATTTGTGTTTAAACTGGTATGTTCACTGTTCATATTGTTCCTAAAACAACAAAGCTCATATTAGATACATAAATGCATGATTTGTTATGCAATATTTGTAAGCGTACACTTCCTTGTATCTTCATTGGTTATCTGTCAGCATTGAAAATTCCAACGACACCCTTATTTTTGTGTGTTCTGGATCACAGTATCTGGAATTTTGACTGGATCAGGATCAACCTTTGACACCTCATGAAACTCATTGAGATCCTTTTGTGTAATTTTTTACTAAAGACTGGCCATTTTTATAGAGTTAAATGCAAAAATTCCAAAATTTGCCCTCTCTCACAATGATAAAGAATCCTTCAAAAAATTTCTGGATCCAGAAGGCGATCCGGATCACCACCAAAATGTAATGGGATCCTCCTGGGGCTGAGATGCACCTCTGGTGAAAATTTCAGGTCAATCCGTCTGTTACTTTCTCTGTAAAGTTGCAAACAGACAAACAAACAAACCAACGCTACCGAAAACATAACCTCCTTGGCGGAGGTAATAAATGCTGTCCAACTGTATACATCTTAAAAATGCTAACAGTCTTTTAGGTTATAAATTCCACCCAATTTGCACTTGAATTCTTGCAAATGAATCATCATATAATGTGTAAGCAAGTGTGTTGTATCAAAATGGGCCATTCAAAAATTAACAATTGCCATCAGATCTCATGTTTCAGTCAGTTTTTAAATGAAAAGTCAGGGTCTTTTTATTCCAGGAGCACCAATCACAGTTTTCTGTCTGCCAGTCTGCCAGGAAAAAATCTGTGAATGATGCCAGTGGATAAAATTGGAGTATTATGTCATTGGATGTATTAAATGAGACCTCTGTAAATGTTTAGTGGTGTTGATGCCTCAGATGACTCCGTTTCAGTGAAAATATCTGTGTTAAATGTGCTTGTTTTTGGTCCTGCAGGTGAATCATGACAGAATATAAGCTGGTAGTGGTGGGGGCTGGAGGCGTTGGCAAGAGTGCTCTTACGATTCAGCTCATCCAGAATCACTTTGTGGATGAATATGACCCCACCATTGAGGTAAAGAAACTTACAGTGTGTGTGTGTGTGTCTCTGTCCTCAAGTCCGTGACTGTATCCATGATTTTTGTGCGTTTAAGCACAAGACGAAACTCCTCCTAAAGAGGAGTTTCAGCAGGTTCTTCTGGTTTAAGTCTTAAAAAGAAACCAAACAGGTTTTTAAGAACTTTCCATGTGTGTCTGCCGGCCTGCTTTCTCAGGGGTATAACCTACAGTGAGAGAGCACAGCAGCCTCTCTGTGATCAGTTATTGTGGTGCTGTCGCAGATTCAGGATCCTCAAAAATCATTCAAATCCACAGAATCGGACTCTTGTATGCTTTTTCGATCAGACTGAATGTGGCAATCAGTTTGAGTAGAAATTGGGACCTCATTGTAATTGAGGCCCAATCATGTAACTGCTACTTCAGAAAGAGTAGGCTAGTGATTACAATCAGACCTGTGACGTCTTTCAGCTTGAATAAAATGTAAACTACATTACCCATCACCACAACAACAGGAGTCATCATTTTTAGTAGCCATGTTTAATTTGAATGTTATAAAGAGAAAAGCTTTTCCTCCTGATTGTTGCAAAATAAGTCATCACCAAGCTATCAACACTCATTAGTGTAATCCTGTATGCCATAAAATGTCTATAATACACTTTTCATGACAGAGTATAAAGAAAATGATGAATAATTTGATAACTTTGTCCATAATAAGCTCTCATTGTTGCATAATAGCTGATCTGTCAACTTAATCCCAGAGTTTTGACGCCCTTTGACCTCCTTTGCCTCCAGGACTCTTATAGAAAACAGGTAGTGATCGACGGGGAGACGTGTCTGCTGGACATCCTGGACACTGCAGGTCAGGAGGAGTACAGCGCCATGAGGGATCAGTACATGAGAACAGGGGAGGGCTTCCTCTGTGTCTTTGCCATCAACAATACCAAGTCCTTCGAGGACATCCATCATTATAGGTGAGCTCAGGGTCTGCAGGTCCATGTTGCTGACAGTGCAACACGGCATGTGCAGGTCCATGTTGCCGTGAACCGTTTGTTTACATGTATTCCTCGCCCTTAAATGCTGAGTCAGCTTTTTACAGGCTAATGTTGTAAAGGTCATGACTTTATTCTCCATAAGTATGACCAGATGATGTGCTGTGATTTATTTTTCACAGTCTTTGTTGCTTCACTGATATGCACCTTGTTGCTCAAGTCTGAATTTCGACAATCAGAGGAACATGCTTTAAAAATATAAATGTCATTATCATTAATGTTAGGGGTGGGAACCGCAAGATAACTCATTGTGTGATACCAGATACAAGGCCTATTGTTACCCTCATATTGTGATACAACAATTCTGATAAATCACAATACAATTGTATTATAATGGTACATAATAATTGGGGATGGGAGAAAAAAATCAATTCACAACAGTGTCACGATTTTTTGTTTTACAATTTTTAAATCCATTTATTTTAAAAAATCGTTTTTTTTTTTTTTGTTTGTTTCAAATTTAAGAATAAATCTTAAAAACTGACTTACATGTGATGTGTAATTTTTGGGGAAATATGGTTCCTGGAATAGTCAGTAGACAATCAATCATTCAACTGTTTCACAGATGTTAAAAATGCAGACTAAAGATAAAGAAAATCAACAATATCGTAAAATCACAATTTAAATCGAATCGGCATCCAAAAAAATCATAGAAGAATCGGGAGACAAGCATATCATCCCAGCCCCAATATTAATATCTGATTCACTTTAATTACCAAAATCTTGTAAAACTCTCATCACTGGCGCCCCCTTAAGTAATCATGAAGTACTGACGCATCCAAATTGGAAGGAATCTTTGTTTGCATTAAAACATTAGATTGGTTTACTCTAACCAAATCCTTGTTGTGTCTTTTTTTTTTTCAGAGAACAGATAAAGCGAGTGAAGGACTCCGAGGATGTCCCCATGGTGCTGGTGGGGAACAAGTGTGACCTCCCGTCCCGGACAGTGGACACCAAGCAGGCTCAGGATTTAGCGCGCAGCTACGGCATTCCCTTTATTGAGACCTCAGCCAAAACCAGACAGGTGAGAGTCCAGAAAAAGGCAGTTTGACTCAGTGAAGTTAAACCTTCCTGTCTGCAGCTGCACTGCTGCTGGAGTACTCCACTTCTGGTCTGTGGTGCATGGTGGATGGTGGAAGCTGCATGTGGTCTGAGGGGTATTTGCTTAATGGACACAGCAGCCTTTCTACAAATTTCATTTCCAAATCAAATCAATCACAAACTCATACTTCTGTTGACGAGTGTCCTCCTCACTGAAGCTTAACTTATGGCGCTGAAAGTTTCAGCCTTGAGTTGCGTGGTGCTGTTGATTTGTGTCGCACTCAGTGGCTCGAATGTTTCAGTTTAAATCATGTTGCTGGGAAATGTTTTGGGCAACGTGCTGCCGATCATTAAATCTTCTTTGGTTAATTGAATTTTCTTATTTATTGGTGATAATGGAATTAATGCATGCTACCCTGTCAGGGTTATATGAAATTATATCCTCATTAGGGCCATCCTCAGAGGACCCTGCACTATAAATCAGAAAATGTGTGTCAAGGAGTCTGCATGAAAGGACAATCTGTCGGTAATCACTCAGCGGGCTGGATGATTCTGCTTCCTGGTAACTGTGACTGGGTGCTGGAAGATTTGCGGTGTATGAGGCGCATTAAAACGGTGTGTGTTGTGGGCATGGCCTCAGGTGTCTGACTGACAAAGTGATCTGTAAACACATCTTTCCTGGTCTCTCTGACCCGAGGTGAATCACGGCTCCTTCTGGTGCAGGGAAATTAATGACACAATTATTGATCTCTTACAGCTCAGCTCACCTTTTTTTTGTTTTTGTTTTTTTTTTAATCTGCAGTTTTTCACTAATTCAGACTTCAAACTCTGCTGTTGCTGCTGCAGGAACATCTCTCTCTTGCAGTTTTCTCCAAATCTCAGTAATTCCATCAAACGATCCTGCAATGAAATGATGAAATGATTCTCTTTACATAGCTTCTTTAAATGAGGATAGACAGTTAAAACTAACTAAACACTGTTTGTTTTTTTCTTTCTTAAACTGAAAAGGATTTCAAAATGACCCAGTCAGGAAAACGTTGTCTAAATTCAGATATTCTTGTCATAATTTGATGATTGTTTTTTTTGTCTGCAATGTAAAGTAGTCTCCACTAGACTCTGATTAAGCCACACCTCCACTATAACCTTTTCAAACCTCTACAGCAATTACACGCCAGGTACTAGTTTCAGTCACTTTTCCAAAGTTGTAGTTTTATAGAGAGTCCATTTTCAAAGATGAGGAGGCCCGGCTAACTTACCTCAAAACATACTAATGCTTTGGTCCTGTGTATCTGTAAGTTGTACCACATGCACCCATACAGCTTGTCCTGCTGTGTTCCTCGTCACTGAGGAAAGTTGTGTCTCACACTGCAGAGAGTGGAGGATGCCTTTTACACTCTGGTACGGGAGATCAGGCTGTACCGGGTCAATAAGCTCAGCAAAGAAGAAAAGACTCCACGCTGTGTCAAGCTTAAAAAGTGTGTTGTGATGTGAAGGGGTAAGTGTATGCAGCCTCGCGCCCCCCAGCTCCTCGTGTCTGTGTGTGTGTGTGTGTGTGTGTGTGTGTGTTTTTGGTAAAGATTGTGGAGGAGAGCTGGTGCTTTGTGGGATCTCAGCGCCTGAGTTACTGGTTTCTATGGGGGCTGTGGTGAAGCTCTAACAGGAGGCTGACACTGCTGAGGATATTTTTTCTTCTCTTTTCATCAATTTGTGTATCGTGGCTGATTATCATCATCAAAGGCTGTTTTCACACTGAGTTTGTTCACTTAATTTGATTGTCGTTCTGCCTTCAGCTGTCCCACATAGTTTGCTTTCACACTTGTCTACTTTTGTTTTAATCTGCTTTGTAAAAATTTTATCAAGTTTCAGTGGATTTACTCTGCTTTTCCGGAGTTGTGAGGGTGCACAGTTAAATATGGAGACAAGTGTGCTTTCAGTTGAGCAGGGCAGAGGCTAAAAAGAGTGAAAATTGCAGCATCTAAAAGTAATGACTATCAAGAATTTGGCTTCTTTGCTCATGCACGAGCGAGGGATTTTATGATATTTTGCTGATCAAATGACAAAAGACGCCTTTAGAGATCAGAAAAATGTTCATATTTACAAACCTAAAGTTAAGTCTTGATTCAGACGAGACCACCAGTGTGAAAACATCCTAAATCTGCTGAAATCTACATGAAAAGGGCTTTTGAGGCTTGTGAGCCGATGTTTGATTAAAAGAGATTACGGTGAATCTGGGACCAAATCACAGGCTGAAATGTGCCGGACAAGGTCGTGGTGAGAAAAGTTGTCAAATTTTGAACATGTTTGTGGGAGAGGGAGTTTTTTTTTTCTTCTTGCAGTCACACTTCTCTGATCTTGTCTTTCCTGCTCTTTTTGTCACAACCTGAAGTGACCTCAGGCTCTTTCTGCTGCAGCTCCCTCAGAATCATTGTCACATTTATGGCGCCGTATGACCTGTTGTAGCACTCGACAGACAGCAGCTGCATTCACATGGAGCCTCTTATTCATCGAGATTCAAAATTCAAGCTCAAGGAAAAAAAGGTTTTTTTTCCTGTTCACCTGGGAAAGATGTGTCACTCTCCTTTTTATTTGTTATTAGCTGAAGAGTCCTCACTGTGTGCATCTTTCCCGGGGAAACCTCTCCACACGTTTCACTCATTAGTTTAAAGAGACTGAGCAGGAGGGCGGCCTTCTGTTAAATAACTCTGTTAGAAGAATATTTTCATAAAACTGTTGCCTCAGTACAAACACAGAGCAGTAAACAAGTGTAATTGCCAAGTGCTCAATTGAGGTCCATCTTTTTTTTAACAGTTAGCCTGTGCCAGCAGACTGCATGCAGTGAGAGATTTCAATGGGACAACTTGAGCGGTGATTCATTGGAGTGGTTGTCTCGACATATTGGTGCTTAAATCTGAATTGATTTCATTACGAGGAATGAAAATGGCTCACAAGTGCAGCTACTGCCTGAGTTTGTCAGTGGGGGCCTCCAAAGTAAATGTTTTATCAGCTTTGCTTTTCATCAAATGAAATCACCTGCACTGATTCGTGCCATGCAGTCCTACATGTGACAGAAATTTTGGTAAATCAGTGGAATTGACTGATGAGTTTAACCTCCTGTGAGGGGGGGTTGACATCGATGTCACAGACTAAAATTCATATTGAAGCCTTTTTATGATGTACAAAGGCAAACAGACTGTATTAATTTTATTTACTTCTTTCTTTTTCCTTTTACTGCTGATATTCTGGTATCTTACTATCTTGTAACCATAATAATTCAACCTTTTGTGTTTTTCTCTTTCAGGGCGTTGACGATGCCTTTTACACATTAGTGCGAGAAATCCGAAAGCATAAGGAGAAGATGAGCAAGGAAGGCAAAAAGAAGAAAAAGAAGTCCAAGACAAAGTGTACACTTATGTGAAAAACGACCCCTTTTCGAGACAGCCTAAGGAAAAAAAACAAACAAACTATGTTGAACAGTTCAAGTAATACATTTTGTACAATACACTAAATTATTAGCCTTTTTCTCAATACCCACCGTACTGAATACTAAACTTGACCCGTCTCTTCTGCCTTTATGTTGTTTGCTATATGGACACCAATAAGCTTTATTTTCAGTTCAGTGCCAGTTTCCCTTTTGTGTTGGCCCAGCAGCCATGGTGATGATGATGATAATGATGATTTGGATAATTTACAGTAAGGACAGAGCTGTGACAAAACCAGATCGCAGCTCACGTTCGACAAATTATTCATTGGATTAAATTGAAGGTTTTTTCGTTGTTTTCTTTTCCCGTGCTTAAAAGATCATGACGTGTAAGAGCTCTGCCGTGATCTTTAAAGTCTGGGATGCCAAAGAATGACGTTTCATCCTAATTCAGATCTGAAAAAAAAAAAAAAGGACCAACACTTAGCCAGACGAGGTCCAAATGTCCCAGCCACTGTGTATTCTCCCTCTCGGTATTACTTAGTAATGTCACAGATATAAGTATGCATGCAAACTCCTACTCTTCTCCCAATGTGTTAACACCCTAATTAGCTCTGAATTAATTTGTCAATGCTTTGTACTTTGTGGGGAGTGATTTCTTGCCTACATGAAACGTTTGTTTGTGTCTTATTCTTTTTTTTTTTTTGCATGCATTGTGTCCTAAATGACATGGGTTTTGCAAAAAAAAAAAAAACTGCCTCTGAAGTCTGACTTGAGGAACTCTGACCCCAGCTGAGAAAATCACCCTTCTACAGTCTGTTAGGGTAATAGGACATTATCTGTAATTACTTTAGCGACAAAGAAATTGGCTTTTTTGATGATTTGATGACACATTTAGAAATCCAGATTAGGTTTTTTTTAAGCTAACCCAGTAAGACTAGCAGCCAGGTATCTGTATTGACCAGAGTCATTAAATGTAGCAGGATTTAATGCCAAGTCATAGCTGTATTCCCGACAGTAATTCTGACCTTACTATGTTTCAGGCACATTTGATCGTACGGTTCGACTGCAGGATGGTTTGAATTCATCCGGACAATAATCCTTTAATTGCCTTTTGAAAACATCCTCCTTACAGAGGTGATCAGTCAAACATTGTAAAGCCCTTTATCAGCTTTAGTATTTAAAGTTTTGTATTCACGAGTCTCCTGTAGGTAGCCACGGATTTGACGCCTTGTCCAGTTTGACAGTTTGCTTGTGACTGGTTGGATAACACCTGGAAGCAGCTCTTTGGAGTCTTTTTCTCTCAGTGCTGTGTCAGAAATACTGTCCAAATAATTTCCTGATTCTTCCTTTTGGGGTGCTTTTGAACAACCTGGTGGTTTTACTTCCTAAAGTGTTGAAATAGTTGGGTGGGCTGCCTTGTAACAGTGATGATTGTCCAGTAAAAAGAAAAAAAAAAGTCATTTTCTCTTACAAAGCTTGTTTATCAAGGTGATGTAACTGGAACTGAAATGTGTAAAATGAGGCAATAATTGCCACAAATTGGTTTTTAGAGAAAATTGTCTGAACGTACATAAATATATAAAAAAACCTGTTCTATTTTTCCACGAGTTTAACAATTCTTCACCTTTTTCATCGTATTCACAAGCTGTGCCCCGGGGATTTTTTATTTGCCTTTTATGTTTGCATTAGGTGCTACTTTTAGACGGTGGAAGACCCGAGACAACATTGACTTTGTCCTCTGAGTGCTCCAAAAATGCACAAAATGCTGTCTTAAGGAAGCAATGTTGTTGACACAGAAAACCCAGATATGACACATTTAGCTTTCAGGAGTAATGATTTATGACCCAGTTTATTATTACCTCTTTTTTGATGAAGTAGATGATAACTGTTAATGCAATTTTAATCATGGATCCTTCTTTGTTAACAATACTGTCTCAAAAGTAGATTTACTGAAATGTCCCTCTTCCTTTTTTTGCGTGCCAACAGCTGATTTCTGAAATGTATCATTTATACCTGGATCATATTTTAACAACCTTTGTATAGTTGTGATACTGAAAGGTGCATATTTTGTAAATTGTGCTTCATTACGTTGGTGTGTCTAATTGAATGTTGCTTTAATGGAGGTTCCCTCCGCTCTGTGTATGTGATTAGAGAGTGTGTCTGGGTCCAGGTCGAGGGAAGTGAATGAATGACCACTTTACAGCACACCTGTTGTGGCCGGTGTAGAGTGGTGATCTGATCTCAAATGAGTCTATTTTTTGCCATGAATCTCACCACTCCTATTTAATGTGTAATAAAGAACAAAGAAAAGAGGAACTTCACTTTGTCTGTCTTATGTTGTCTTTTTGTGTCTTCTTCTTACCACTGAAGGACACTTACTCCATATACTGAAACTAATTTCCAGCAGTAAAATAAATGGACGTGTTTTATTGGTGTGTTTATCCAAGATCTGTAATGTCCAGCAGGTGGCACTGTTCACTCACTGGCAGGGCTAATGTTGGGGATAACACAGACTAGATCAGTCTGGTCTGCTCTGCTGCTGCTCAAACAAACACACAGTGAGCCCAGAACTATATCTGCTCATTTAAAATGGAAAACAAGGACATGTGGGGTAAATGGTAACTCATGCATCCTCAGCCTCATGATAAAATAGGTACATTTTATTCTTTATCAAGTAAACGAGCACTGAAGTATAGAGGAATAATATGAATTTAAAAAAGTCTAAGTTCAGGGTAACATCTCTCAGGGAGATTTGTGGCCTCGTTGTGGAGTTTATAAATAGATAGTCCACTCTGTCTGTCTCTGAGAAATAAAGACTAGAGAGGAGGAGGTCAGTCTGTTTGGTTAGAGTTAAAGTTATTTATGTTTTGTCTCTCTTTAAAGCTCCTGTGAGGAACTTTCAGCTTGTGCCAACTTTGGCGCCCCCCTGTGGACAAAGCTGTCTTTGCTTAACTTGTTTTCTACATATTTGAGTGGTGATTTTTCACAATAATCTCATCCTGCTGACTTTTAACAGCCAAACAGCTATTAATTGTGAAAATTGTGATGATTAAAACAATGGGTCTGTTTCTACAGCTGCTCAACTGACACCTACCCCCTCACACCGGTTTCAGGCTTTAAAGCTTAGGATATTAAATTCTTCAACCTTGTTCCTGATGGGCTTGTTTGCTTTTGAATATCATACAAATGCATCAATATGAAATTCAATCTATTTCAGAAACATTAAAAAAAACTCCCCACTGGAGCTTTAAGTTTGTATGAAGTTAAACCCACCAAAAGTTCTAACTCTAGTTGAAAACATATTACCCTAAGTCTTATATTTGGTTTGAAATTTTCAGAGTTTAGTAAAATGCTATGAACAGAGAGAACAAACCCATATAGTGAAACAGGCTAGTTGCTGAAACATACATGTTTTTAGAGAAGGATCACCCAACATTAAAAGTTGGGCGTGATAACAATTTTGTAATTAGATAAGCCCTTTACTTTGTGCTGCTGCTGACAAAATACCGGAGTATTTGTTCTGAAATGTAACAGGTGATCTGACAGATGATAACTTAGAATCAGTTAAAAGCTCATTGGTGAACTTATGTGGGATGTTACTACAGCTACAGATGTTCACATTGAGGTGAAATCTGCTCAGGCCAAAGCAAACGACATGAGCAAGAGTACAAAGAAAAAAATGGTATTAATGTCTGACATGATATTTTTGTAACTGAATCTTTAATCAGCACTTATATTACTGATTTATGTTGTTAATTATCAACTAAAGAATCATTTTGACCCTTGCTTCTCTGTATGTCTTATTAAAGGTACAGTGCGAAGATATTTGTGATTTTAAGGGAAAAGACTGAGTAGAAATTAAACATGATACTCATACGGCTGAAACATATTTTTTTTACTGAAAGATGGTTTTGATGTCCTCAAAGGCCATGAGGGCTTAAGAAGCCTCAGAGGGGTGAGCAATAATCTCAATGTAGAACCTGAGCCCTAAATACAGCAAAACCATCCCATTTCTACACACCATATCTTTAATGTTTCACTTTTCTCCAACTCTGATATGTACTTGGCGCTGACTGACAGGATTTGATTTCGGTTCGCAAATCTCCTCAAGCTCATTTATTGATGTTAAGGACTTGTACACAACAGAAAATGCTTCCTGCAGAGGTAATCCATAAGTCTGAATGAGAAGCCAAAAGGGTTTCGACAAAGCAGCATCAGAATACTAATATCAGCCTGTGAACTCAAAAGTTCTGTTCACTTTGAGATTAATGTGCAAATTCCTGTTTCCACTTTCTGCATGCAAATAAACCTATAACTCCCTCTGCAGCAGTGTTTCTCTCTCCTGTTTCTGTAGTATAAACTGTTGGCTGCAGTCACATTATGACCCTTCTGTCAAGCGAAGCAAGAATCTTATTCATTGAAATTAATCTATACTGAGAATAACATTTAAAATTCAGACTGTGTTTGTTTTGAAAGCATCTGTCTTGAAATGCAGCAACCACAAAAAAAAGCAATTTACCAGCAGCAGATGAAGATAATGATACAGGCAAGAAAATGAAACACCCTCTTAGGCTGGAATTATCTATTATAAAACCATAACAGGGCTTATTGCTCCTTTAACATGAGCCTGTTTGCTCATGTTTTTATTGTATCTGTCCATTGAATATTGCACTGTGACCTCGGACTGAGGCTGCATGCTTTTAAACCTTCTATTCCTTCTATCGCTTCACCATCAAAATCAAACCAAACCCGAGACAGCATGCCAGAAAAAATGAGCATATTTGGGAGGTTGTCTACGCCTGCATGGTGAATCTCAGGTCAACATTTCTCTCGGCTGGCACAGTTGCACATAAGGTCTTTACCTGCTCCTATTTTCTGTCACTGTGACAGAAGTTGTCCTCTAGCTTTGGCGTGCTGGATTGGTTGTTGGAGGATGTGCTTGTTTAGTCACATTCTGTGAAGGGAAATGTCATGTAGCATCAAAGATGAGATATTTTCCTCCGCAGATTTCGATGAAATAAATGCCTGCTACATCATGACCAGAGACAGTGTACGAGCTTCAAAAGGACAGGCCTGTGTATGTGTCATATGCTGCGATAATTGGCTGCAAAACAATGTTTGCTGCCGAGGCAACCTGGAAAAAGCCTGGGCTGTTTATTGACTTTGCAGATGATCATTAATGAATCCTTTTTTGTGCGGCTCTCCAATTATAAATTAAAAGTGTTACTGGCTGTTTTGTTCTAATAGCTCATTTGATCTTCTGTTTCCTCCATAATTATTCTACAGCCAGCTACAGAATCGCCTCTTTCAAAGGAAGTTAAGTTGTTTCAAACTGTTGCTGTGAACAATAAACTCTGTTAACATATTGTGACAAGCTCCATTACTCTTTCTTCTTAAACAATGGGTCTACGCTGCCTGCCACACAGCAGCAGAGAGTGAAAAAGAGAGGAGATCTAATGAATTATGCAGAGAGAGCTTTCTCTCAGCCTGACAGTCTGAAACCAGCCTGGAGAAAATTGTAAAAGAAGTACGAGTCAGTGCAGCCATCACAAATCCCCCTCCCCTTCCCCCAGGGGACCGCCAAGGCCAAGGCCTGTCAGTCAAGCCCCCCCCTCCCTAAACTGTAATCTGGGGACAACGCTGGGAAGCCTGCAGGTCTGATAAAGCGCTGAAAAGATGCCCCAGAAACCAATCCACAGCACTCTGGCTCCTGTCAGGGAGATGGGCGGTGGGAGGAAAAGACACAGCAAATGTTCCTAAATTGCCATCAACAAGCTTCAGACCGGCTCCACTCAGGAACCTCATGGCCCAGCCTGGCTAATCCATCTGCCTGTTTGGCCTGTGCACACTCACTCTGCGGATCGGGCTCAATCACAATCAGCGGCTCTGACCCCCGTGAACGTGCACAGGAGGGTGAATTCACAATCATCTCTCTGCCTGACCTCTGCCTTGTTAGTGCACGGAGCAAGAGAATTTCCTTTTTATTTTAATGAAGCACGGCTTTCCTTCGCTGGCAGGCGGCTGAGTGCGGGGCAGGGAGAGTGCAGTCCGGTAATGAGAGGCCAGAAGGTTCAGGTGTCTTCAAACTGTGGCACATAGGAGAAGACTTAACACAGAAATGTTTTCCTCAACCCTGGAGGAGATGGAGAGCTGGATGAATATTCATGAAACGGTGATGAATTGTGGTGCCTACAGCGTCGTGCCACTTTGAAAGCCCTCATGCTGCTTCTTTTATCACAGGAGGTCCTCGCCGCTGAACCTCACGGGCCACAACACAGCAGCCTCAGCATCCAACCCCCAATTATCATCTGAGATCATTAACTTGTTATGTTGACACAAACACTGCAATTTCTGGTGCCCTTCTTTATTCAAATGACCCTATTCATGAGGAGTGGCTGACTGGGCTGATTGGATTTTTTTTTCTCGCATGCCTCGCAATCACTCAACAAGTGATGTTTGGACACAAAATTAATGAACAGCATGCAGCCGCTTTGAACTGTGTGCACGCTGTGTTTCCAGACGGATAAACAAGCTTCTTAATATCTTTCAAAGTATGCATCAGCACAGATTGATACAGTAATGGCATGCTGTTAGATCTGTATACTTTGCTATATTCGTGCAGCTTTCTCCTCGATGATTGGAAGTCAACAGGCACAGAGTGAAACAGAGAGATGGAGGCATGGAGGAAGGCCTGGGGATTGAGCAGCGTCATGTTCAGCAGCCCCAGACGGGTGATTCATACCAGCCTCATCACCAGCAACAGACAGGACATCCAGGCCTTTATTACCTTCATCCATCACCATCACTTCATCAATCTGAGCGCCTGTGAGCCAGCTCTCCAACCGGTCCCCAAACACCCATCCCACCGTGTGGCTGGACGGAGATTTACACCCACCCACCAACACCCGCTCCCTCTCTGGCTTTAACACACAAAACAAGAGAGATGAGCTTCTATTCTTGACTTTAGACTTACAGCGCACACACACACTCAAACACACTCACACACACAGAGAGGCGGAGAAAGAGAGGGAGTGGGTAAAGGCCATTCTGCAGCCAGACATGGTGTGAAGCTGTTCCCTCGAGGGCCCCGAGCTGACAGGCTATCCTGCATCCTGAAAGCCACTTACGCTTCAGCAACATCAGACCACCTGCTGCTGCTGCTGCTGACCAGCGTGTCAGAGGAGCACATCATGATGGATACACTTAGCTGTAGTACAAATCATTTAATCAACCACACTGCTGCCCCCCCTCCAGAAAAAAATCCATAAACGTGTGGGTTTCCTTTCAGATGGTCGTGAATGCCTTTGATGCAATCCAACTCAATGGCCGTGCAATCAACC